TGCCAATGTCGTGCAGCGCTCAAATACTTATGCCTGACAAGTCCGAACAAACAAACGTGAGCTAATTACAGCCCACGCTCCTCCGCTTGTGTGAGGAATCTAATATCTCGAGCGACGGGCATGCCGTGCTCGTTCTTTCTCAATTCTTTCTTCGAACGCAGGTGAACCCATTATGAGCTTTGAATATTTGTGGCGTTTTCGCCACAGCAAGGGTTGCCTACTTTTTTTTTCAGAGAAGTTTATACAAGAAAGCTGGTCAAAAGACCCATTATAATTAGCGCTGTTCGATCTGAAGGAACAGGTCTGGCCCGGAGGGCGTGGAATTATGTCACGAGCGCGTCTGTCACAGCGTGACTTAGCGCGTTTTCAACGCGAATGTGACGCGTCGCACTTGACTCTAACTTGATTCTTGGCACTCACAAAGAATGATTGAACCAACGACCTCACGCTTGTTCGACTAATTCTCGCTAGCACCTGCACCTGACCTGCCGAAACAGCGGAAGAGGGAGACGAGGGCGTGTGAGCCTGACAAGATTCTTCAAGACCCCTACGACGAAGCGTAAAGGAGCGGCTCCTTCCGCCGCCACATCGCGCCCTCGTTCATCACGCAAAAATCAGTCACCACTCCGAGCTTCACCCCTCACGAACCTAAATGTGCCACCCCCATCGCGCAACCGATTTCATAACCGCGATCAGAGCAGGAATAGAGCACATGCTCCGCCTCGTAAGATTATTTCTGGTCTTAGTCTGAATATTGATTGTTCCTCACTCCGGTGAAGGTGGCAAAGGTGGCAAGAAGATTGAACTACTGTACGACCCATGATTAAGAGCACGGCATGTTTTACGTGCCAGTGTTGCGAGTCGACCGGAATCATTGCCTTGCGGGGATGAAGAAGACGAGAGTGGCGGATGTGTTTGTGAGTCGAAATTTCACCGATAGAATTTTATTTATTACATTGAGTCATTTTATCTCACTTCAGATATATCTGGTGTGCTCGGGACGCGAAAAGCTGCTACAGTACATGCCCTTGTCTGTGCGCTGAATAGCTGAGAAACAACGCATGCACGTTCTTACTTTATCCGCATCCACATGACTGACTCGCACAGGAAACTAGTCCGCTCACTTATGGTGAGATCAATGTCCTACATCCCTATCCCGGAACCATTAACGGCCTCGCTCCTCTAAGAGGCCATCTAAGCTCGAAAGAGGCGCTCAAAAATCTCACCAGGCGGGAGAAGCGGTCCTGGGGGTCACGCATAGTGAGTTGAATTGCGGCAACAGATCGTGTTCGTTTTCATGTTATTCTATCCCCTGTCGTTCATCGGCTTCCCGCTGCTGCACTGACACGAGATAGGCTGTGGACTCTCCGTGTAGCGTGTTTCTCGTGGACCAGTTGATGGCGCCCAAATAAGGCGTGGTCTATAATTTCTTCCACTGGCCTAATTAGTCCGCACGAAGCTGGTCGTGCTAGCGGTGGCGAATACTATGAATCTTCCGGGGAGTGTCACGACAGAGTAAGAAGTCCTTTCCCTGTACGACGCCACAATTCCGCGATATCAGGGCGTGTAGCTGTCCATGGGTGCTGATGTATCAGCGTGGGTGGCACATACTAGCATCGTGCCCTCAGTCACCGTATGATAACTGTCGACGAACTCAGGACCAGCATGTACGGTCATCTGACATTATCTTCCTGCATCCCGCACCTGTGAGGGGTAAGACATGCTCATACTTTGAGGTGCCAAATTGTCGCCTACACGGAGACCACTTCTCCACCGCCCGTACGGGTACGTCCCTTGCAGGTCCGTGCCTTTCGTAGCTAACACGTGGTCCAAGCTTTGCGCCCTCCGCTTCATTCAACCGCACTGCTGTACGTGCACAAAAAGTCCTACGCTTGGCTCTGGGCCTTCATAATTTGCGGCGTCCTCGTCTTTATTGAATGATTAGCCTGCGCGCTATTACACGACGTTCTTCATCTTCCAAATTGTGAGCATGCCTCTGGTGCTCATACGTATTAGCCTGACCGTAACTAACAATACTGCTCTATCTTAGGTGTGATACGGTTTACCTTTTTGCTGAACAACGCTCCTCAGCTCAGAAAGATCTCGAGTTCCTGACTGGGCACGTCGCGCGAAGCTCTCAAAGCAGATGCGCCGCAAGTCATTGTGACGGACAGTCTAAAGTTAGCTGCCCTGAAGGTTTTTAGGATTGGAGCTTGGCGAGACGCGCTCTTTATATTTGTAGGTCCGTACAACCGTGATTCATGATCATCTCCACTTGGCCTAGTGTCTTGATCCAATTATCTCCCGCCACCTTCGTTCTTCCATCTATTAATAGACGGACCGTTCACCTTGTTATGCGTCTGAAGCGCGTACCCAAACCTGGTGATGTCACTGCCGAGGTAATCGAAGCGATGCAGAATAGCTTACGGCTGCTTATCTGCGCGATTCTAGCTTTCATGGACGCCTTATGTTGGCTTCTCTTCTCAAGTGTGTGAAGAGAGAGTGCGTTTCTTTGGATTCAGAGGAGGCAAGCTCAAAACTTGCTGTACGGATTATCTTCGCTCTCAGACTGACTCCGGGTGGCGTGTTTGGCTCTATTATAGATCCAACGGCAGTACTATACATTGCGTCCTCACAGGTAATGAATATCCGGAACGGAAGCCCACCCCGAAGAACTTGGATGTGGTTTTCACTCGCTGCTTGCCTCGAGAACTTTGTTGATCGAAGAAGGAGAGCGGCAACGAGGAACCTGATCGATGAGAAGAAAATTGTATTGAATTTGGAACAGACTGAGGTAGAACGGGGATGTCGGGTGAAGTCGGAGGACAGAGGTGGAAGAACGCTGCGCGGCATTGACCTCGTATCTCCTTTCTTATACCAGGTAAACAGCCTTGGAGATGGGACGCCTGAGCCGGACCTCACATCACTCGATACCCCCAGTTATCTGACATTCTCAGCGCCTCACGGAGGGCGTTGAACGCCGCAAAATATTTCTAGGTGTGAGACGCGGAAGCACGGTGAAAGCAGTCAGCGGGCTGGTCTGGAGATATGCCTCGAGGTTCTGTGGATGATCGTGCTCTCGACAAGGATGACTGGCCCCCGGAGGTCTTGTATATGCAGTGGGAAGGCGACACTATGTCCGGTGGCGTTCGGCAAGTCTATTGTCACCACGATGTGTTTTTTCTGCGGCAGACATGTTTCCCACTTCATCGGTGGCGGGTTAGTCAAGTCGGATGGTTCTGCCTCGTTTTGATTGAACCTTGAACATGTGAACCTGCCTCGAACATACAAAACCAGACCCAGTGGACAAAATACCTCTGGTTTGTTTTCATCGCCCCCAACATGACCTCCCATAAAGCCACATCGAGCGCTCTAAGCAACGCCCAAAGTAAGTCTCCCCCCTTCAGTGTCCCCGTCCTGCTCTGACAAAGTTATGATCAGCATATCACCAGCATACTTGGGCATTAGATCCTGTTCAGAGTTCTCAACAACAACCCGCTGCTCAGAGTTCTCAACAACAACCCGCTGCTCAGAGTTCTCAACAGCAACCCGCTGTGCAGAACAATGACAGTAAGCAAGCTAACTGTATGCCCGATATCCCTTGCAGCTGAACTGATCTTCCTGCACACAGAACTAGACTATTGGCAGCAACATCAACCTTCCGGCAATGAGAGCTCGACGCCGTCCATTCCTCAACAAACTCCGGCGAACTCATACGTACCTGCCCCAGTCTACAATAGCGCTGCTTCACCCGAGCCAAACGTACAGCGACAGGGTTGGGCTGATACTGCTCAGATCTGTCAACTCGGCCCCGCGTATCACCCCGGATATAACCCGCAGGTTCCTCCTTCGAACCCGCCAAACCGTCATGGCCATCTTGCCAGAGCGAACAGCGACGGCAGCCGGTCAGCGACAGAGGGCACAGATCAGAGGTATCCCGGATATGGCGATCCGAGGTGGAATCCGAACACTTCGTCTCAGTGGCAAGCTCAGCAACCCGTCTATAATCAGACTCCTGGTAGGTCTTTTTGACTCTCTTTGGGTTATATCCTCTGAAGTTAGCATGTTCTTTATTTCGCCAGATGCTCGCTCTTCGGCTCGTCGTCCAGGCCACTCAGGTAATCAGCGCAGGTTCAGCGTACCGCAAAATGTCTATGAGCGCTCATGGCATATCATGTTCTGAACACAGACCCCGCCGTTCCTCCGGTAATTCGCAGCTCCTCGGACAATTATGGCCCTGTGGCGGGCGAGAAGTGTAGGCTCCTCTCCTGCACTCAATTGGTCTACTATCAGGAAGCAGAATACTGCTGCGACAACCACGCACGGTAGGCTGTTCTGTTCAACTCTAGGATCTCTGTCATGAACGCTGCTGATACGATGGTCGTCCTTGCCAGCGAGGACCTTCATAATCGTCGCGTGAGTCCTTGTATCCAGTGTGATCGCAGGCCGCAGCGCCGAAGCAGTCCATATTGCGGCCATGCGTGCGAGACCATGGCTGCACGGTCTCAGCAGAATTATCGGAGCTCACACTCGGGGTATCAGTGAAAGATGTCGTATGTTAATATAACTTCTCGCTGCTTCGTCTTTCTTCTTCGACTATGCCGTGTTCCTTTCACTTCCATCGTGGAACTCAAATCCACAGTTGTATCATTACATACCAGACACGCATTTTCTGTCTACAGTATGCATCTCTTCAATACTTAGATGTTCCGTCCAAAGGAGGAAGTCGCGCAGTGTAAACTTTCATTTCTCTTTCATATTTTCTGCAGAACACCTACTTACCTCCTGTCCAATAAAAGACACCCAAATAAATATATATCATACATTTGTCCGTACGAGAGCAGAGTCGAAAGGTGAATTAGGAGAATGGGAGATGACCTGTTCGAGACTAGGATTCCTCAATAGGGGTGTGGTGAACTTGAGATTGAAATTGACTGCGGGGTAGCGGGGGGGGCCGGACCGTCCGTGGACGATCGGCAGGACGTCATGCTGAAAGCAGGCAGCGCACGGCACCCGTCCGTGGAAACGTCGCAAAATACAACGGGAGAAGAACGTTCTCAACTCTCCGTCGCCATCTGCCACATCGGCGAGGATGCAGTCAGCCCCACGCAAGTCGAACGACACGGTGTCTGTGACGATCCCAGGCAGCGGGGGCGACGTCCGAGTCGCCCTGCTCGTCTCCCCAGCGCAACCCAAGGTCGGTCTTCACGACCACAGTGGCCACAAACCCACTCCACTCAACTTTCACCACGACCTCGCTCACCTTCGCAAACAGGTCGTCACCCGCGCTCCTCCACCGCGCCTCCCACCCGACGCCCTGCTCGCCATCCAGCCAGCGAGCTCGGGCCTTCTCGGTACACCCTTTGACCCGTCTCCCAGATTCGAATACCCTTTCCCTTCGCCGGACATCACATCACCCATCCCTACTTCAAACGCTTTTGATCTCATGGTCTCCGCCGCACAGCACGCCCCGCTCGCCCCTTCCACGATATCCCCACTCGCGTCCTTTTCATCCATGGCACTATCCCTTCCAAACCCCTCCTCAATCTCGCTACGACCGCCACCGCGAACAGGTTCTCCCAGACTCACCTCCACGTCCCCATCCCCATCCACGTCACCATCCACATCATCACACCATGGCTCGTTCAAACGGGGCATACCTCACAACCACCGCGATCCTCCCGTTCCACCCACGCTCGTTCGCCGCTTAGGCCGCAGTCCCAATGTGCAAGACGTCTCGGTCCCTACACGAGCTCCGAACGCTCGACATGCACCAACAAGATCCCGTCCATAAACCACATCATCTACATATTTAACTCTGTACGGTTGCCTCTCGTCGCTCGTCTGTTCTCCTTTCTGTCTGTCATCCTTGCTTTCTCATTTCGTGGTTCTCACATGGCTATCGGCTTTCTCGTTGTGCATACTTATGATAGTGCCTGCTTCCTGCTTCCTCCCTAACCTTTCGTCTATACACCCCCCTCCTCCTCCCAATCCCCATCTCGGTCCAATATTCCCCGTCCCCCAGGGCACCAGTGTACGAATACTCTCCATCGCTCCGTCTAGTCCTCGCCCATTCGCATCTGTATCTTCCTTCCTATTCTGCTGTAGCCACACATACACGAGTTATTCTGTCCTCATACTCCCCCTTTCGATCACGATACCATGGCCAGCCGCCAGCGCCGCCCTTTCCCAAGTTCGCTCTTCGACTCGCGCTTCTATACTTACATATTTAGTACGCTTCAAGTTGTTGCCATGATCAGTTCTCGAGTCGTATTGCTACTCCCTATTCTCAATCTGTAGTCGTGGATATGTTGGCCTATATAGTCCGCAATCATGATCAGGATTATGATACCGGATTCGCGTTTGATTCGCGCACATAGGCTTTCAGAATTCGTACTCGAGGTTCCACGACGCTCTACTCGAGGCTCGAAGGCTCGAGGATTTGCATCCGCTCCGCCACGTGAAATCTACTCGAAATCTCCAATCAAAGCGGAAGTAGTGACGAGAAGTGACGTCAGAATGGAGAAAGGAGCCAAAAATCGCGAGGCGAACGCGACTCTCTGCTCAACCTCCTCTCTCCTTGTTTTCTCCGCTCAGCTATACTCTTATTTTCTGACATCTATTCCTGTACTTCACTTATCCTTGGCAAAGGACAACGATGGCCAGCTCGCTCTTGAACAGCGCAGGGAAGAAACTGTTTGAGAAACATGTTTCGCAGTATGCGCCTCAGGACCCTATGTATGAATTCTACGAGGACAACAAAGGCAGAAGGAAAAGGCGACGAGTAAGTCTTTTGTGTTTATCCATTCTGTTCGACCCCTCGAGCTAACATCTCCCTCTAGCGCGCCATTCCAGACGGCCTGGTCAAGTCGGACGCGAAGGTCCTCAAGAAAGTGCAGAGCAGAGCGCACTATCTCGACAAGGGCTTTCATATCTGTGGCATACGATTCGGCTGGACGTTTATGATAGGTCGGTCCTGCTGGCCTCACCCCTCCTCGTCTGTGCTCATCTGAACTGTTGTGCGGTGAAAACATAGCTATCATTCCTGGTTTGGGCGACGCCGCCGACGCCGCGTTGGGATACATGCTCATCATCCGCAAATCGAAACAAGCAGAGTATGCCGCTCACTTCCCCAACATGCCCCTTCCCCATCGCTGACCCGTTCTCAAACGTTCAGACTCCCCGGCTGGCTCGTCCAACGCATGCTCCTCAACCTCGCCATCGCCACCTCCATCGGCCTCGTCCCCGTCCTCGGCGCCGTCCTCATCGCGACCTATCGTCCCAACTCCCGCAACGCCGCCCTCCTCGAAGAATTCCTCCGCATCCGCGCCGAAGAAAACATCAAGACCGCCTCGCACCCGGGCAACACGACCCTCCAGGGCGGAAGCAGCGCGGTCGCGAAAGGCCAGGCGCCCGCGAATACGTCGGCTGTGAAGGGTAGTGCGGGTAAGGCCGTCGAGGGCGCCGTCGCGGCGGGTGCGGGTGCGGGGAAGGACGTGGATGTGCAGAGGAATGTGAGTGGGAAGAGTAAGGCGAGTGGGAGGAGTTGGTGGGGACGGAGAGGGAGCGGGGGCAAGGTGCCGACTGAGGCGGATTCGAAGGGGAAGGGGAAGGTCGTTGGGTCGAGGGAGTTGCCTGGGGCTTTGAACGCTGAGGGTTCGAAGAGAGATAGTCGTTTTGTGGAGGGTATTGAATCGAGCGGTGGGAGCACCCCTGCCCCGAAGTGAAGGGGTTTCATCCTCACACACCATTTTTCTTGTCGGGCCAGTTTGCCAAAGGACATGGACATACTGATAGTTTCTCTTTTTTGGTTTCGGATAGTTCACACATACCCCCTATTGCTGCCCCAGCTTCAGCCCACCCTCGCTTTACTTACTTTATCTCTCTCATCTTTGGACTGCTTGTCTCGATCTACTAGTAATGCATACACGAGTTGTTTGTATCGTTCTGTCATGAATGAAAATGTGCCACCTTTCAGGAAGGACACTTGGTTCACACTACACGCTTGGTGGTCTTAGAACAACAACAAACTGGTGAAAACAACGGGATGGTACGCGTACTAATTTGCTTCAAGCAACCACCGCGACTCTGCGGCCGTCATCAAGCGGACCAACAGGCAGACGACGTGAGTAGGGATGGTGAAGAAGGTATCATACACAGTATTAGATCAAACTCCGGACCGGTATCGGAAACGTGTGTAAAGAGGAGGGTATGCAGAGACCAACAACAAGGACAAGTCGAGTGTATACCAGGGCTAACGCCAACACTCGACGATAAAGCGCGAAAGCGAGAGCGAATACACATAAGTAAAGACGTGGAAAATCTGGAGAGAATGAGTAGTGCAAACGGGACATCGTGAAGAGATGGGATATACTGAGCGAGGAGGGTTCAAGGCGGGTATCATTTAGAATACACCGTGACCTTGCTTCTTCGCATGACGGCTGAGCAACCTGCGCGGCCCTGCGGCGGGCGTGGGCTCGGGGGCGCGTTTCGCGTTGGCGGTTGCTGAAACCCAGCCGGTGGTCTCCACAGCTGATTCACCGAAGATGTCGTTCTGGGCGCCGTCCTTGAAGTTGTAGAGATCTGTGTAGAGAGGGGGGGCGTAGGTACCCTCGAAGAACTGGATGGTGGTAGGAGTCAGACATCTGTGATAGCGAGTGTATGAGACAAACTTACTGTGTTTCCTTCGGCTTGATACCAGTAGAATGGCTAAGGCGATAGTTTTATTAGTAGGATAAAATGCAGAGAAAGAGATTACGGACCTGCTTGGCACCGTAGGTGCAGTTGCCAGGGTTGGCATCGTTGATGCCGTTTGCAGGGTCAGCACCGCAGCTACATCGGGGATGAAAATTTGAGAATACGTCCGCAAGAAGGAGAGATGAAGAAGACGTACCGGCGAGCGAGTTGGGGGGTGCCAATGGCCTCGGTAGCCGATGCTCCGGAGACCTTGCATCTGAAGCCAGTCATGTACACTGCGACTTTGTGATCAGACAGGGGAACGTGCATCAAAGAAGCAAAGGACTAACTTTGCTCAGCTCCAGAATCCGGCTGGAAGACGAACAGAAAATGATGAGCAAAAATGATCCCGCTTGCCAGATGAGAAGATACACACCGTGTGGAGCCAGAACCAAGCGCAGGTGCAGCCACCGTCGGGGCATTCAGGCATTGCGGCGGGAACCTGGAAGTCTGTGTGCAAGTACCAGGGGCAAGTCTGGTTGGCGGAGAAGACAGCGAAGTCTTCAGGCTTTACAGAGTTGGCGTCCGAGTTGTAAGCGATGGCGAGTGCGCATCCGCCAAGGTCATTTATGCCCGTAGTGTGGAATTGCGAGAGCGGTTGACCTGGGCAAGGGTAGTCGGGCTGGTCCTGGGAGCGAGTGTCACCGCTGGTGATGTTGAAGTGGGTTAAGTATGTGTTCACCAATGGGTGGCGAAGGAGAACAGACGAACCCGGCGCTGGTGTTGTACCAGGAGGTGTAGCCCTTGTCGCAGGCGATCTCGGAATGAATGGTACCGCCGGCCTGAATAGAACCGAAACATAAGCGTCGGATACCATAATTCGCGATCAAGGCACTGACCGGGAGATCCATGTAGTCACCGTCATTAGGGGGACTGCTCAGGAAGCCGTGCTAAAAGAAAGAGGGTGAGAACCATCTGGAGTCAAGGGTACAGGTAGTGCGCGAGGATACTCACGAACCACCACTGACTGAAGGGGAGTTGGATGAGAGGATCCTGAGGGCGGTTGGGGGCGGTACTTTCGTTGAATCCGAAGATGCTTGGGTGCCAGATAGCTGCAGAGTGCGGGTGAACACGGGTTGAGCGGGAGATGGAAGGATGAAGACGTACTTTGGTGGGCAGCCGCAAACGAGGCGGAGCCGATTACGGTGGCGAGGGAGAGGGAGAGGGAGAGAGCGGACATGGCGAATGTGTCCGAAAACGAGCGAATATAAAAGAGAGACGGAGGGCTGGGAAGCACCGAGCGAGGGAGGAGGCGGGGAAAGAGGAGCGGTTCGAGGTGAGGAGCGGGTTCATGGGGCCACGTTCATATTTATACGCGCGATGAGCAATGTTCGAGTAAATTGTCGCGGCTAGCGTTCGGATCCGCCAAGAACATGCAGCCGAGCATAGTGCTGCACTCGCCAAAACGAGACTCCGTCGCGACTGCCTCTCCCAAGAATAGCCCAGTTGGCAGATCGAGCAGCGCGTCATCGTCTTTCCACACGGAATCACATCTTTTTCTTTGACAGATCCATCACTTCGGTTCCTATTATAGGCTGTATAAGGACGCTCACTTTCCTGTCGAGCTACAATTCAATGCCTGAACCCTGCGATCCACCCCTTCACAACCGGTACCTCATCCCCACCGTCTGCTTGTCTGTCAGATCCTCGTCCGAGCTCACCGTCGCCGGTACTCTCCCCGACGCCCCCTCAACCATGTCTCGCCGCCGGTTCTCGTACGCCAGGTAATATCGCAGCCCGAGTGCCTCCACTACGACGAGAGCGTAGCATATCATGATCGTCCTGAACGCGGTCGGATAGTGTGGCTTCTCCGCTGTCAAGAAGAAGTGTGGCCCAGCTCTGTGCAGTCGTCGCGTTAGAATCTTAGACAGAAGGCAGCAATCGAGAACATACATATTTCCAGCACAGTAACAGAGAAACATCAGCGCCGTCATCGTCATCTTCTTCGTTACGCCTCTGTAATTCGACGACATTAAGCTCATAGCCAATGGCAGAGCAGCCGGGCCTGCACGGAATACGGTCAGTGTCAGTTGCGAGGGAGTGACTTTAATTGTGGAGAGACCGCACCGGTGGAAATGATATAGTATGCAAACAGCTTCACTCCGTTGCTAAGGTCTTTATAGATGATCGCACTCCCCACCACCGGCGGTATCACGACCGCGATGAGGAGCAGCGCGGACGCGTTCCGCCTGTGGCCCGCTATGTACCCACTATAACGACATTCAACAAAACGAAGATTCGAGATGAATGAAATGGGGACGTACGTGATCAGAATGGAAAAGAATGATATGAAACTGGAAGGGATCCCGACCAACGTGCTCTGCAAGTCGGTGAACCCAAATCCTGTAATCACAAGGTTCGCAAAGTTGTTCGTCCCGCTATTCGGGATCTGGTTGACGACAAGTCAGTTTCCGTTCAATCAAGACAACCATGCGGAAACTTGCCTGTGTACAGATGGAAATCGCCACGAAGAACCAGGTCTTGACATCCAAGAGACATTCAATTGCCTGCTCGGCCTTCCACTCACTAGCCTTCGGCGCTTTCACATTGCCCGTCCCCGCCACCGCCACCCGCTCTGTCGCATACTGCTTCTCCTCCTCCGTCAAGAACTTGCACGAAGAGATCGAATCCGGCAAAGTAAACAGCATAGCGATGCCCCACAAACCCGTGGCCACTCCGAATATCTATCCGATTTATCCAAACGTGAGTCCGATTCAGACCAAGAACAAAACGCGCAGAAGAAACGCACTATGAACAACCACTGCCACGCCGTCAACGGTCTCTCGATATGGCCAACCCCATACGCGATCAAGCTCGTCGCAAACCCGCCAAACGAGTTCCCCGCGAACCATATCCCCGTCCTCACAGGGATCTCCTCCCGCGTGTACCACATCGCCGTCACGTAGACGAAGGCGGGCGTGATCGTAGCTTCCGCAACTCCGAGAAGGAACCGGACGGCCATGAGTCCACCGAAGTTCGTGCATGCTGCGGTGAGGGCGACGATCAGACCCCAGAGGATGGTGTTGATAGAGATGTAGGTGCCAACGGGCAGTTTCTGGATGAGCAGCGTCGTTGGGTATGTCCACATGAGGTATCCGAAGTAGAAAACGCTCGAGATCCAACTGTATTGTTGGCCCACGAGACCCTGATAACATAAAGAGGAATGTGGGGATGATATGTCAAGGTCGGGACTGGATTCGAGGAGGTAAATGGACGCACCGTATCAGTGCTCAACCCGAACACAGACGCGCTCGAGAGTACCGTCTTGTCCGCAAAGTTCAGACAATACGTGATGAACATCAGAGGCATCATAACCTTGTCGATCTTTCGAACGACCCTCCGAGCAAAGGCGCCATCCAGAGGTTCTCCATGAGCGAAGTCTGGAGATATACTACCTCCACTCCCTGCGGTTTTGACCGACTCCGACGAGTCTTGCCCGGTCGTCATGGTGTAGCGGTCTTGGATGGGGGACTCCTGCAAGGGATCGCTGCTCGAGCGCTCAAGACGAATCGCATGTATACCATAAGTATATCGGAGTGGCAGCACTCAGACGTAGAAAAATGGTGTTCAGGAACAGGCCTATAAATCCCTATCTAATCGTCAAACAAAGCGTGGGAAGGAACTCGGAGATCCGCGCAACAAGAACTGCTTCCGATCTGCCGGTGGCAAGCTCAATGATCGCCTGACGCCTGCTGCAGCAGCGACCAAATACTGACAGTTCATTCAACATCAGAGGACCCAGCTTTCTGTCCAACATGTCGTCTCCAGAGCTCAGTCCATCCGCAATCCAGTTCATAGCAGATCTCCCCAAGATCGAACTCCACATTCACATCGAGGGCACCCTCTCGCCTTCTCTCCGATGGCGTCTCGCCCACAAAAACTCCATCTCCCTTCCATACGCGACATACGATGCTCTCCTCGGCTCATACACGACGATGTACAACCATCGCAAAGAGGTCCACGGCGACAACGGCCTCCCAACGTTCCTCGAGGCGTATTATGGCGGCATGGAGGTATTGCGAACAGAGGACGACTTCTATGACCTCGCGATGGAGTACTTCGCGAAAGCGAAGGAAATGAACGTTCGGTACACGGACCCGTTCTTCGATCCACAGGCGCACACGAGGAGGGGTGTGGACTTGGGGATGGTCATGCGAGGGTTGCAGAGGGCGAAAGCAGATGCGAGGGTGAAATATGACATCGAAGTAGACTGGACGATGTGTTTCCTGCGAGATATGTCGCCGGAGTCTGCGATGGAGACGTACGATGCCGTGATTTCTGGAGGGTTCGGAGACATATTCCATGCGGTCGGACTGGACAGCAACGAGTACGAGCGGCCGCCGAGTCTCTTCACGAGGGTGTTCGACAAGGCGAGGAAGGCTGGCTATAAAATCACGGCGCATTGTGATGTGGGGCAGAAAGATACGCACGAGCATATACTCGAGGTCATTTCGACGTGTGTCGGGGGTACCGAGGGCGCCGACCGGATCGACCATGGGCTGAATGCGGTTGAGAGGCCTGAGTTGATGAAGGCTATCAAAGAGCGGGGACTGGGACTCACATTATGCCCACATGCATATCACAGGCGCAATTCGACGGAATACGTTTTCGGGAGCATCAAGAGGTTGTGGGAAGAGGGTATATTGATCGCGATCGCGAGTGATGACCCTACGTACATGCATCAGCGGTGGGTGCAGGAGAATTTGGAGTTGGTGATGCTCCATTGCGGGTTCACTGAGAAGGAGATGGTGAAGTTGCAGAGAAACGCAGTAGCAATTTGTTGGGCGAGAGACGGGTTGAAAAATAGGATTATGGCGGAATTAGATGTTGTGGACCAAAGATATGTGTAGTATACATCCGTACTTTTTTGGTGGACCGCACGAATCACGCATATCGTGATGACTACCTCAGCTTTTATGGCAATTATTCTGAAGAATTTCTGGAGAGCTCGAATTAGGCATGAATAGAAGCAGGAAAATGACGGCAATGTTACCGTTGTATTGTACCCATCAAATACGACAGCCAAGAGGATTACATACCACATGTACGGCTCCCAAAGGTTTCTAATACTCACCTCCTTGGCTTCTGTTCCGACACCCTATTCCTGGTGACTCTCCTTGGCAGCTTGCTGGAGTAACTTGGCGTGGAAGAGGAACTACTGTGGTCGGCTTTTCAACGTAAGATTGGCTAAGCGGCTGTAATGCTTCGAGTTTCTAGCGAGATGCCATCAAAAGACACGCGAGTCATTCTGGAGGTTCAAAGTTAGACTGAAGTCGGCGGTAAACAGTGGGGCCTTACACTTGCTCACCGTTAGAACGCCGGACCGGCGGATGGGGTCGGTCTTTGTGGAGACGGGATATAAGTGTAAATGATTGCTGCATACATGGGTCATTTCTACGGATTGAAGTTTGACGTCTCAAGAGGCCGTGCATTTCAGTCTACGGAGAGTCGGAGCAAGTAACGGTGGCGGGTGAAGTCGCGTTTATGACTAAGCAGAATGAACCACCCAAGTGCGGCGAATGCCGAGCTCTCAAGTTGAACAATGAACATGACTCGACCCCACAGGTACCTTTGTGCGGTGACGACCTCAACGCGGACATCGTTCTCTCATCTATCCGGTATCTGCTCATCATCCAACATTATCCTGCATTGTAACCTTTTTTTCATGCACCGCTTGAGCCTGAGGACATGCCCGCTGTTGTTTGGCACAATCGTGAAAACATACCTGACGTCAATCGTTTTCTCGGTTTCTCTCGGACTCGACGTTCCGATGGTGTCGCTGTATTTCGATTCTAGATGCCCGTTGGGCTATCAGGTACTCAGAGCTAATTCAAAGAGTCTCCTACACGCTCATCGGCGTCTCTGGACCACTAAAACCTACGAAACTCTGAATCAGGAACCATAATCAGAAGTCGTTACTTTTTCCCAAGCTGCATCATACTGTTATGCCTTCTCTTCTATTAATGAGAAGCGGCTGCACACCCCACTGGTATCACATGTTTCACACTCTGTCTGAATGAAATGTCGTAGAAATCGTAATGCGAATTTTTTCATTCGTCCTCATGATATGATATGTCCATAACGACCATTACATGCAAACCTTCATCCGTTCATAATACCCTCGTATGTGTGGAGCGATCAAGACGAGATACCATGCTACTCGATCATGAAGAAGTACGCGGCCCGACCACCACTTGCTTGGTCTTGTTCAGCTGAGCGATGACTTCGTCCGATAACCCGAGATGTGCCTTCACAAGAGCGGGAGGGGTGAGTGCCAGCCACTGAAAAATAATCGTCAGTTAGCACGTTTAGGCGAGAAAAGAAATATGAGGGCTAACCTGGCTAAGACTGACGTCCGAGAAACGATCTTTCGAACGGCTGTCAGTATATGTTACTTCCTCTTTGAGGAAAATGGCATACCTGTCTTGAATATTTCCAAGTAGTGCAGGGTAGTATTGCCGACATTCTCTATGTAGTGGCCTAGACAGACCATGAGCTCATGATGATGCCAATCATAGTGCAAGGCTCTTACCCATCGAAGCCGGTACATATCCGACATCTCCGGCCTCGTAATCAAAGGTTCGAGCGTTGCTCTGAGATGCGAAGATAGTCATTCGTCCAGTACCCTCACTATGGGAACGGTTAGTTGAGAACATGCATCGTAGAAGATGATAACTGACAGGAAGAAGGACCACTCGTCCTGCGTGGGATGCCACTGCGTAACTTCGTCGGTATACGTTTATACATCATAAGTAGAGAGCAAGCACTTACGTGCAATTCACGAATGGCGCCGGGCTCGACTGTAACATCTGCAGCGGCAATAGTCGTGGCAATCGGGAAATTCGTAGAGTCCACAATCTTGACGGTCCCTCCACTTAATTGCGTTACATTCATCTGGGACATGGCGAAGGAGAACCCCTCAGGTACTCCGCCCATCGGATCCGGAGGTGCTGATGCGTCAACCGGTGGGGGCGCTACAATATACAGGGTCAGTGGGATATATTGACTGAAGAGGCAGTCTTCGTACCAGCTGGGAATATGTATAGCTCTTGTGCAGGAATCCCATCGAAGTTGGACATATCTATCTGGAAGTTTTTGGCCAGGACCTCTTTCGGGACATGAGATAACCAGTCGGTAAGCTAAATAAATAAGGTGAGAATGACAGTTGCAGGGAGTTGGTTCCGATAGATTTTACCAAGAATGTGGCATCCTCGCTAATTATACCCAAACTATTTAGTATACCCGTTGGTCCAACCAGGCCGATACCCTGAAGCTCACCTGAAAGCACCGTCATCAAACACCAGTAAAAACTCGGTACCATCGGTCGACTCGTTCGTGGCTTGGAGAGAGTGTGGAATCCCGGGCGGGAAGTACCAGAGATCGCCGGGTTCCTGTAAGCAGTGTACTCGTCAGACTAACTGGTCATAGTGGAGGGGTCACCTCCAACACTCCTTACCACAGTGGCTAGAAAGTTTTTGCCGTCCTGGTCCACCGCGGAGATTTGAGTAGATCCCTATATTGCAACGTTCAAGGTATAATCTCAGAAGAAGATGGGAGTGATGAAGAACCTTAATGACATAAGCCCACTGCGCAAAGATGCCTTGTGTTAACGCTGTCCTTTCAGATACACCCACCGGTAGACTTACCTCCGAGGTCTTGTGCCAATGTAACTCTCTGCCGAAATAGGTCCATACGATGTTAGAACCGCCTATATCCGGATCGAATATTACACGCACCGAATAGCGCCTGGTTCTAGACGCATGTTCACACCGGCCATTTCTGAACATAGTGGTGTGAGGCTGTGCAGCAGTAGCCATGAGAGTAATTGGAGACTCACGAGTTGCCATCGGCATGACTTCAACTGTATGGAGAAGATGCGTCAACAGTGATACGGCGCTACAGAGAAGATTGGATCTCACTGTTTTGTTGTCGAGCCCAACCTCCGGTCTGGAGGCGATTATGGCTGAGGCCGAATGGCCATTTGGCGTTGGACCTGAATACAACGTCAATGCAGTTCTGATGATTCAATCACAATACGTCACGTACACGTCTCCGTGATCAGTTGTAGGAGGCGCGAGGATGTCAGGGTTCTGCTGGTCAATAGCAATCTAGAAATAGACGAGCATATTATTATCAGAACAGATAAACGAGCCGTGAAGCTCACATTCTGAGGCCCCAAAATGGAACCACCAAGTGCACCTCTGGTAGGCGAAGGCTGAACGTCTGCCCCCGGGGTGAATATTGGTCCGTTAGCAGCTGTCGGTGCTAGAGGGACTGTGGTGCTAGGGCTCGCTGCAGCGGCAGAAGCACTAGCAGTCTCTGTTGTAGAAGATGCAGCGGAAACGGATGGTGCAGAAAGAGCAGAGGAGAGGGAGAGCGGTACGTCCGACGAAGAGGCAGCCGGAGCAGTGTAAGCCCCTACAGCGAGAGAAACGACGCAGATTAACTGGCGGGAGAGAGTCAACATTGCACAAGAGGGAGCGGGGTGACCGAACTAGGGTTGTGAGCATTTCAGGATCACCTTTATACGCTTCGAGGGAGGATGTCACGCGCGTCCGACTACCGGGTGAAAAATAGGTTGTAGACGAAGGAACGAAATACGGTCCAGGTCGATATTGCTGAGTGGTTCATCTCTGACTATGGCGCGAGTAAGCAACGCGGAAGAAGAACACGGGCCCCAAAACAAGTATGTAGACCCAACTGCTACCGTCATTATAGAATCGGGCGACGAATCCGCTCCATCCCGAGAAGCATGACCTCACCGTTGTATGATGAAGAAGCCACTAATCTCCCGACGTACTCCGAACGATTTTGGGCTAGTACAGTGTTTGTGACACTAACCCATACGATCTGCATGAACCACCAGACCGTCCGGATCCTGGACCAGTACACTATCTGAAGCCCGCTCGGGCATCCGATGGGAGTTCTCCACAAATCGAACTTTTCTCTCCTGTAGACTCGACAGGGAGGAATAGTGAGCCGTCGCGAATGTACACATCTGCGTTCATTCTTAGCGACTGGGAAATAATGTTATGTTTCTCCACGCAATCACGTATAACATTCCAAAATTAGATGCGGTTGCGACTGCTATTAATAGCTGTTCCGCTCTACGACCCGGAGAAATGGCTAAGTTTTCGACTCTTTCCGTTCGGCACAGTTACGGGATGTCAAGGTCCAATCGTGCATCGACAACAACAAATGGCATGCGGAATGCGACCAGGTCCAGGAAGTGCTTTCCGTTTTCGCCCATCTCATCAATTATCCTCAATACCATTGGCGACCAGTCTAAGGGCTCTGGTACCATGGGCAAAACATGAAGAAGGGCTGTGACGTTGGCTACTATAGCCAGACAAGGGATGCTGAAGTGTCCCAAACATCATAACACGCTGCTGTAACAAGGTGAGCTGAATTATATTAGGAGACTCACCTCAATATAACCTGCATCATGATGAGCTGTAACTTAAACGTAGTATGAGTGTTTCCGTCTCTTGACCCTACATAGAGTGTGAGCGGGTAATGTAAGAACATATCAAGGTTCACGCACGAATATTGACTGATCTATACATCAACTCCCGAATGCTTGTGCCCTGCCCGATGACTAGACAGCACGCACTTCTCGGAGACGCCTTGCGATGACCAGTCTGTGCTCATACTGACAGCAGTCGCATTGGTGGTAGCTGAGCACTCGTGACTAGTACATCGAGACTCGATGGAGTAGCGGAAGACGTCAGCAGCTCGAGCCGCACAATCACATTCGTGGAAGTCCGACGAACGGCAGAGGTGAGAGCCCCAAGGCACGGAAGGTGATAGGGTTGCTCTTTACCTTCTGAGGATGAGCACAACATGTAATATGGGTCTCCCTCACGAGCGCTATCCCCACAGTAATTCATGACGGCCCCGAACAATTGCAGCAGCGAGGAAACTCCATGTTTGGCTGACATCACATGTTGGGTACTCAACCAGCATTGTGATGAGGCGTATGCAGAGGTGAACTTGTACGTTGAAGTCCGACTGCGAAGGAACAGGCGCGGAGAAAAGCGGAGCGACAGCTGCGCGATCAGATTCGATGTACGTCGGAGGAAGATGCAGTCCAGAAGGAATAGGAGATCAGCTTGCGTTTCTTAGGGTCGAAGTGAAGTCAGGCTCATACATACCTCGTGTTGAGACATATAGAGACGCTGCACGACCGATGTTCGCAGTGAAGTTTTATGTGGGGACGGCATTCTGGGCTAGAGCAGGCTCGTGCTGCCCGTCCATTCTCTCTTGACGTCGGAAAAAGAATCTAACTGAGATGGTCTACTATGATAGTGAGTAGACGAACAATATTTGTCAGCTATCAAAGTGTACAAGTTGAAGTACGGCTTGTCAAAGGCACTCACAGACACGACAGAAGATAGAATGTCAATACGATATATGTTTGCCCCCACATCTTTACCGAACGAATAGTCGGGCGGGAGAACGGCTAGAAAAGACAGCGCTACTCATCGAGCACTCTTGAGTGCAAGGCCAACTAGGACAAGAACATATATCAACAGCTCCATTCGCAGGTTGAGCGCTCCGTCCATAAGGGTGATGTGTTTGGGCACCGTATTCCTCAACATGCCATCCATAGCGGCGCAAAGCGGCAGCCAGCTAGCATCCAACAAATGCCGGTCAAAGACACTGGTGTCACCTGTTGTGCTTCCTGGATGCTTTTAGCAATGCTAGCACAAGTACCAACATTCCGAAAATATCAGGATGAGCCTTTCGCGGAATTAAAACGCTCCTCTAAAAGGCTCGCCATACCCTCGCTGTGCCTCAACTTCCGCCGGTGCATCGTACTTCTCATCGAACCTAAACAGTGGGAGAGTAATACGCACCGAGATTCCCGAGGGATCCCAGATGGACGATCTCGAAGTACTGCTGAATTAGAATACGTCCGCCCGACTTTTACCCTGAGGTGACGCAAGAGCAATCCACCAATCCGCTTGTCTGTATTTCGCGCACACGTAGCGGTATGATCCTGGGCAGCTTTGCCCACAGGACGTCGGTGAGAGATCATAGAGTTTGCGGTTGAGCATGCCGGTCCGTGGAGGCCGAGGTGAACGTGAAGACGCAGAGAAGGATCAGGCCTGTTAATAAGGGCAGTGAGCATCAGAGGTCGGCTTCGAGAAAGAGCGATGAACAACAACCTCTATGTCTTCAATCATAGTGCATGAGATTTTTCTGTTTGGCCCCTGTTTCCAATGCAGTTATGGAGCACAAATATTCACGCGACAGGCTCGGTTATGACACCCAACACAACAATATGAATGCTCGTGCGACAGAGGGCAGGCCCGAGAGTTACGATATGATAGTAGGATATACATCCTTCTACATCCATCCTGTAGAATGCTAGAACTGTTGGTCACACATTCTGTAGAATGTTCTGCCCATCGCACGCTCAGCGCGGAAGAGGTTACACAGCGCTGCAAGGTGCATTGCGGGAAAACACATAGAATTAGCAGAAATATTGGCCAGAGGAAGCCAACTGTTACAATACGAGAGCGAAGGTTGGCTGAGAGTCATCTGCATATTCGTGAGTGTGAGACGTCGACAACGTGGACGACGTGAAATCAGATGAAGAAGTGACGCTGGGCAACTCATTCTGCAACGATTAGGCGTAAACGGACCAGTGGTCTCCCAGGAAAACGTATCCAGACGGTAACTTTCCTAGACGAGTGTGATTGACAGACCGGTCATAAGAGCGGGAACAATCCCTTTCAGGTCGAGTCCGGAATAACACATCACACAAGCGAATGTGAACCATATCCGGATCGTGCATGAACACCCTTGATATAACCATTAGAGGCATTGATTGTGGTACTAGGGTTGCTTCAATGGAATCAGCGAAATCATGAAAGGACGTTGCTTGGCATGATGGATGCTACAACAATGCTGAAATAGGGTAACAGATACGAGCAGAAACAATACCCTCTATGAGTGGGGAAAATGTAAACGGGGCACCTGTGTACCGATAGGTGCTGCGTCGAACGTCTACCTGGCCTCGTTCGACTTCCAGGCTGAGGGTGGGAGACGTGCTGCGAGGATTAAGGACGAGAGCGAGAGGGCGGCCATAATGAAATATACGCCATATCCGCCCATGATGTTGAGTTCAATCGACATCGCGAACATGGAAGTTGATAAGGCGGGGCCGATAGTGCGTACAATGGAGGCAACGGTTTGAGCGAGTCCATTGGTAGCCCCTAGAGACTGTTGGTTTGGGGCGGCGGATGTGATGAAGATAAAAACACAGCCTGGGAAAGGTTGAAAGGGTTAGAAGATACCACTGCGGCCTTTCGGAAACACGTACCGTAGGCCATGTCCATGATTACCGTGAGGCAGAGCTGAAGTCCTATGAGGGCCCAAACGAAGAACGACATCCCCCTGCGCAGGGCAAGTATGTTTATCACGGGAAATAGCTATGCGGATGTAACAGGTATCAGTGAATGGACCTTCGACCTTTTGGTAAACTGGCCCACTAGATATATGGGCGTAAAAGCGCCCATTGAGACCATAAATAATCGCCTGGGCCCTAATCTACCGATTATTTTGGTAAAGAAGAGCCCTTGAAAGACACCGTTCATGATTCCGAACGCGCCCATACAGTATCCGATAGTGGACGGAGGGAAGCCCAGACCACCGAGTTCGGTGGGAGTGGAGTAAAAGAGTGGTAGGACAGCCAAGAAGGCCATCTCGATGAGGGCAAGAGAACCATAGTTGCCGACGGATAGAACGACAGGTTTATACGTGACAAGCTTCCGAATAGATATGGCCTGGTGTTTGTGGGGGTGCGATAGAGGTTCGTCTTCTACGAAGTCTTGACTTCCCGCGCGCTTGCCTTTAGGCAAAGTCTAAGAGTGGTCAGAGAGGGATTATGTGGCATGGTTCAGGAATATGCATACCTCCTTCAGAAAAACAGCGGTGATGACGAACGACAATGCGCTATATGATGCTGCCACGGCGCAAGGGAGAAAATACGGGAAGTTGATCCAAAAAGTGCCACCGAATATTCCAGGATAGTGATCATGAGGGCGGGACAACATGCCGCCCATGAAAGATCTGTCAAACTGTGTCAACATTGGTGCAACAATTGTCCTAAAGGATCCTTACGCGAGTGTTGAGCCGGAGCTAAAGAGGGAGATATCAGCGCCTGCACATTATGCTTCGACAATGGGGGAACATACGAATACACCACGGGCATAAGACTGAAGGCCTGGGCAATGTTTGTCTCATCGGTCAACTCGGCCATGGTACTCTTCATGACACCTGCACGGGAATGATTAATGAGAACTGGCGAGATAGAAAGAAGGGAGATGTGGCACCTATATTTCCATTCAGACCTCCAGCTAGGCAGCGGCTAAGATGCACGCTTTCGTTGAATACTGTCCCAATTTTTCCGTGACAGGAACAGTGCACATACCTAATGACGAGAGTCCAGAATGTGCGAGATAGTCCAAATAGGAACATAGATATACTTAGTCCGATGAGACCCTAAACGCATCCTTCAGCCATAAGTCACTCCAGTACGATTGGACAAATATGGGCGCACGATTAGAAGGATGGGTTTCCGGCCGATGTGATCTGAGAGGCGGCTCCATTGTAGAACGGTGACTGCCTCCACCGCAAAGAAAAGCGATTCCTACCGACCGGGTCAAGGAAATTGGAGTCTGAAGAGAGCACGAAGGAGACGTACAATGATGCCAACGTAGTAACCAACCTTCCTCTCATCTCCATTGGTGATGTCTAGCTCGGAAACCAACTGATTGATGAAGGGTAGAATGCACTGCGCGGTGATAGGTTCCGCAAACTGTATCAAAAGGCATATCCCGATCTGGAGCTTCGGTAGAGGGGTGTAATTTTTCGTCTCTATGATAGTCGCGTCTGTATCGTGACTGTAACTAGCAGAGTGTTGAAGAAGAGGAGTTTCTTCGTCACTGTCGTATGGGGTGCTTGACTTTGGCGTAGACATGAGCGAAGTGGGGATAGAGTGTGCGCAGTAAATGGGATTGATGGAAGGAGTGTCAGCCGTGTACGTGAGGAAAATTTGAGTAGAACAAAAGAGAGATAGCACAGCGCTTAAGCTTGGAGTGACATGTTCTTAGTAGCTCTAGACAACACTATACCGTCGAGGACGATGTAGTAAGTTAGCCTAGTTGAAGACCGCGAGTTCCTAAAAGAACTTGGCCCCGGCCTCGTGCACGCCACATATACGTAATTTCCAGTCACCAGAAAAGGGCATAGCTGCTTCTGCTCGGGGCCACTCACACTCTCGACGGCTCCAACGCGTCCGTTGCTTACTTCTTGCTCCTTTCGACCTCTTGCTTTCTTCGACTCCTCACTGGCAAGAATGCCCGAAGTTATTGATCTCACTGACCTGCCCTCTGATCTCGAAGAAGACCCCGAACAATCTCCGCCTCCGTACCCTGATGAGGAAGACGAGGGCAGCATCCCACGCGAGGAAACTCGCCCTCAGCTACTCGATGCCATACAAACCGTACCTGAACAGCGCCTGCGCCAGCTCGTGACGAACTTGGTGTATACTCTGCCAGCAGCAGAGCAAGCCTTGACGGACGAGTTAGTCGTCGTCCGCAAACGAACGCGGGAGGTCGCATCGCGTTGGGAGGTCTGTGACCACTGCGACGAAGAGTTTGATGTGGGAACAAAGAGGAGGCAAGGGGAGTGCCAATATCATCCAGGTGCGTCATAGGCTCTCTAATGCTCTCCATCTGGAAGTAGAATGTCAGGTCAATCCTCACACTCTTCATAGGAGACTTGGAAGTCAATTATGAGGCTTTCGTCGACTGGGATCCCGATTGCCATGGTCCGGAGGATACGCCACAAAACCGACGGGATTTCCCTGAGAATTTCCAGTGGAACTGTTGTGACGAAGATGGGACAGTTCGCGGTTGTGAAAAGGGTGTTCATGTTCCCTTAGAGCATAAAAGACGAAGGTCCTGACCAGTTTCACAAAAAGGTGAGAACACAATCATACCGTCACTAGTAGTCATTTGATGCTGAGCACGCTGGCTCTATAGACCGACCGCTTGTCTTCTAATCATGCGTACGGTTCACCGCTTTTTGCAAGCTATATACTTCTTGGACGCGCACGATGCCGTGTATCTTGTCTTTTGAGTCGGTATGGACTCTTTCGAGATCTGAGTGCTGCCATGCCCTGCTCCTCCTGTGTTCCGTTCGTTGTATGGCGCGCTACGAATTGTACTTTTGTAGTGGCCCAGTACTCATCGCAGCGTGTCAGTTTAGACTCCCTTTTTGTTATAAAAAGCCAGGGTAGCTTTATTGACAAGGTTGAAGCCGAAAAGTGAAGATTTTTTAGACATAGGTGAAGAAATGCATTATGATAAACGAAGGCTTGTGCGAGAGGCTGTCAATGGCGGTGAGATAGGTGCCATGGCGCGGGCAAGTCGCAGCAGTTCGTGCTTTTCGAGGGAAGAACAAGGGCATCGCCTAGAATAGGGACACCAAGAATAACGCAACACAACGGGGCCCCACGGGGCCTTCTTGAGCTTTCCAAGCACGTTGAGTTTGCATGTGTGCTCGGTCTCCTCTAGATTATGCGCCTACACCCGTAATACCGTCGACTGCATTGGACTCGAAGGTCAACAGCTTCAGCCTCAATAAGAGTGGCAGCTAGGCACGCTGGGGCCGTCCTGCTGGTAAACAGGGATCGATCGTGATCACTATTTGAAAGGTCTGTATTCTCGCTATCTTATCTCTTCAACTTGAGCTTCTCTTCCACAACTCAACCTTGCTTCCTCCAGTCCTGAGCGATGCGCCTCCTACCTCGTGAAGAGCAGAAGCTACTTTTACACCAGGTCTGTCCAACGACTGCCTCGTGAGATTACTAATGTAGCTAATTCTGAATAACAGACCGGCTTTCTAGCCCAGAAACGTCTCGCCAGGGGCCTGAGACTCAACCAGACGGAAGCTACAGCTCTGATCGCGTCTCAACTGCAAGAGCGTATCCGCGATGGAAAGCACTCCGTCGCTGAACTCATGCAGCATGGAAAAACCATGCTGGGTACACGACATGTACTACCTGCCGTACCCAGCCTTCTCCACGAGATCCAAGTCGAGGGAACATTCGAGGACGGGTACGTGGTTCTTCAATTATCCGCCTATATTCTCAAGGTTTACGACCGTGGTATGTAGCGTATTCCTTGTTACCGTGCACGATCCAATCTGCACGGATGAAGGGGACTTGGATGCTGCTCTCTATGGCTCCTTCCTTCCCGTCCCATCCATAGACAGCTTCCCCGCTATCGATCCCTCGGAGTACTCTCGCGAGAAGGGACCGGGAGCTGTGATCGCAAAGAAGGAACGGATAGTCATCAATCAGGGTCGGGACCGCGTGCGTCTTCGTGTCACGAACAACGGCGACCGTCCAGTCCAAGTGAACATCTCTGACAAACTCTCGTGGACCTATTTTCTTCCACTAACCGATGGTTGTTGAAATAGATTGGCTCTCATTACCATTTCGTCGAAACAAACGCCGCTCTAATTTTCGACCGTGGCAAGGCATATGGGAAGCGTCTGGATATACCTGCCGGAACCGCTGTTCGATTTGAACCTGGAGATACCAAGTCAGTTACATTGTGTGCTATTGCTGGTGAAAGAGTCATCTCCGGCGGGAACTCTCTTGCGTCTGGAGTCTTCGACCTGGGAAGGACGGAGAGCATCGTGAACAACTTGATTCAGAGAGGGTTCGGTCATGTAGCGGAACCTGGTGCGCTCGAGGTCCATGAGGACACCGATATTGGGCGAGAGGCCTACATCGCAATGTACGGCCCGACCGTGGGTGACAGGGTTCGGTTAGGGGACACTGCATTATGGATTGAGGTCGAGCGTGACATGGTGCGAGGAATCGGTTACTTGTGGTTGCTGTTTGTTCATCCTTGTTTCTGTGAAGACGATCTACGGAGATGAGGTGAAATTTGGTGGTGGTAAACTTCTTCATCACGTATTCTCGTCGGCACACAAGCTCACTTTCTTGTAGGAAAGTCCATCCGCGAGGGGATGGGTCAGGCCACAAACAGATCGGCAGCGGAAACTCTAGACCTTGTCATTACGAACTGCTTGATCATCGACTGGTCAGGGATCTACAAGGTGAGAGCCTTGCTCATCGTTGTCGTGGAATCATCGTGTCATGACCAAATGCAATGTCTCCTATAGGCCGATATAGGTGTCAAGGATGGCGTCATTTCTGGCATAGGCAAGGCAGGAAATCCGGATGTGATGGATTCCGTCCCTTCTTCCCTCGTCATAGGATCCAATACCGAGGTTATTGCTGGTGAAAAGCTCATCATAACGTCGGGAGCCATAGACGCTCACGTGCACTATATTACGCCCACGCAAGTCATGGAGGCTCTTGCAGTCGGGACGACCACCATGATTGGAGGTGGCACGGGTCCAAGCGCAGGCACTAACGCTACAACATGCACACCAAGCCCTCTCGCGCTCCAGCACATGTTTGCTGCCACAGATGGAATGCCCATGAATTTTGCCTTTACAGGCAAGGGCAACGATGCGGGACCAAAGGGCCTAGAGGACATAGTGAAGGCAGGTGCTGCTGGACTCAAATTGCATGAGGATTGGGGTACAACACCGGCTGCTATCGTGAATTGCCTGGATGTCGGCGATAAGTACGATGTGCAGGTTCGTGCACCCGTTGGTCAAAGAAGTCATCGCACTACCTCTAACTTTCAACAGGTCAACATTCACACAGATACACTGAACGAGAGTGGATTCGTCGAATGTCCGTCTCTGTATCCTTTTTTTCTTGCACTAGCCTGACATGTTAACACCTATGATCACAGCAACCATCGCAGCCTTCGGGGATCGCACAATCCATACGTACCACACAGAAGGGGCTGGTGAGTGGTTCCACGTTGATTCGCCACCATTTTTTGTCCTCAATTTGTGCTCTCCAGGTGGTGGACATGCGCCCGACATCATCGTCGTGTGCGGCCTTCCTAATGTTCTTCCGTCGTCTACCAATCCCACTCGTCCATATACCAACAATACCCTCGATGAACATCTTGACGTGTGTGATCACTCTCTATAATATATATCACTAGGATTTTTACTCATCATTTTTGCAGATGCTCATGGTTTGCCACCATCTGGACAAAAGTATCCCTGAGGATCTTGCCTTCGCAGAATCTCGAATTCGCGCAGAGACGGTGGCAGCCGAGGATGTCCTCCACGATACGGGTGCTATATCCATGATCAGCTCCGATTCGCAAGCAATGGGCCGCGTTGGTGAGGTGATCAGTCGTACATGGAGAACGGCAAGCAAAATGCGAGAATTCAGAGGACCTCTGGAATCTCTGGGAGACATAGAAGGGGTCGACAACGGGCGAGTCAAGCGATACATAGCGAAGTATACCATAAATACGTACGTCTGTTCCGTGCCACATCTCTATTACTGCCGTCTAGTATCTCCATTAATGCAGTCATTCAGTGCTATCACACATGGCATAAGCCATATAGTTGGAGATGTATCGATTGGAAAACTAGCCGATCTCGTCCTCTGGAAGCCTGAGAACTTTGGTGCCAAACCTGAGATGGTTCTGAAGTCTGGAGTTATCGTATGGTCTCAAGTAGGTGTCTAATGATTGATGACATCAATAATTCCTTGACATTGTTCTACCTCTGCTCTTCCAGATGGGCGATGCCAATGCATCTATTCCGACCGTTCAACCAGTTAAAGGCCGACCGATGTGGGGGTCTTATCCGGCCTCCGCCGCTCTAAACTCCGTCACATTCGTCTCCGAAATCTCAATCACTTCAGGCGTCATGGCTTCCTACGGGCTCTCCAAACGTTTCAAAGCGGTGAAGGGGTGCAGGGCCTTGACAAAGGGAGATATGAAATGGAATGATGCGACACCGCGCATGAAGGTCGACCCAGAGAGCTACGAGGTGCGGGCGGACGGGGAGCTCGTCGACATTGCGCCCGCTACGAAACTGCCGCTGGCGAGAGTCTACAACATTTTCTGATTGGTCGATTGATTCGTCAAAGATCATCAATGTTTTGTGGCATGAGGATTTTTTATCATTAGGAAAGACGTAGGGCATAGGATAATACTCTGGTGTAAGGTATTATTACGGAAATAAATTTGAACATATGTACTGTACGAAGAAAGCGAAGGGCATGACGCAGAAGGTTCTATACAGAGTACTATAGGGACGCATGGAGAAAACACAGGGGCAGAGACTTGCACAGGAAATTTGTATCTGTAAAGAGCACCTTCTACATTTACCCTGAGCGGTAATTGCGACTCATCAGGGGACGTAGACATGTTACAAGCGATACCCTCAGTCATCCCTCTCAATAATACACGCTTTGCAAATTGTCACTCTTCATCCCATTCGAGCGTGGTGTAGTAGACGATCGAATACGACTTGGGCCGGCCATATGGCTTGACTATTGGTACCCGTCACTCCTCCACCTGCAACGTTGAGCATAAACTAATACTCGTTGCAATTTTGTGTCCTTTTTGCAGAACAGGCAATGATCATACTTTCCCGTATTCATCAAGAATCGATCACATTCACTACACGGTAGATATTGTCAGTAAGATGACGGGACGAGATACAACTGAAGTGAACTCACCCTCGAACACCACGATACCGTGCAGCCCGGGATTGCTCGATAGTACGCCTGTACCTAGCAGTGTTTCCATGGATAGGCTTTTTGAACCATCTGACCTTCTCATCCTTGTGGACATTTGAGCCCGGGCGCAGGTTACGTAGGGGATGAAACTGGGAAAGAGCCTTCGTCGTATGCGGGGTCTTCTTTTTGGTTCTCATCATTCGCTTGACCTCATAGATATTGTCCATAACATCGTCCAGTTCGGAATCTTCTGAATAGTCGGAACCGTCAGATAACGGAGGAGTGTCAGACCTACTATCGGAGGAACGTTCAGCACCCCAGAAGAATCTTGGGACACCAGAGCTCGCCGACAAGGGACCGTTGACAGTAGCGAGATTATTCTGATCCAGTTTTGCCAGCAAAGACAGACCGGGTATCTCGTCGTCTAGCCCGACAGTAGCGATATCATTTTGATCCAGTCCTGCCAGTAAAGATAGACCGGGTATCTCTTCGTCTAGCCCGCTGCTAAGTTCGTGCGGTTGCTGGTGGCTGATAACACCAGTAGGTGGACAGGAAGAAGGTCGCTATATAAATTCGCCTCCGTTAGCCTGATATCGCACGCGTCAAGATCATGGACGTACCTCAGGAGAATACTGCACCGGTACAGAGGTTAGACCCCATAAGGATACTTTTCTTTTGGGATGAGGCTGAGCAAGACTCGCAGTATCAGCAGATGAGGTTGTCGCCACACGGTGGTCTCGGTCGCGACAGGCTATTGGCAGAACAGAGGTTGCATTCGAGGCCTGTGGCGTTGGACGGCAGATGCTGGTCGCATGTCCGGATGCCCCAGATAGGGCACGAGGGTGTGCAGTCGACATTACGGGCGAGGGCGCATGGGGGCCTGGTGAAATATAGTTGCAAGGGTTAGACATAGGGCTAGAGAATGCAGACAGATTAGAAGTGAGGTTGAAAGGGGAGTGGGACAATAGCTTCGAAATGGTTCCAACGATGTCCCTTTATACAGAAGGAACAATAGAGTCATGTGATGATCGATCAACGCCAAGTCAGAACAAAAGGATCAACAGCGACACGCGTACACTGTGTGCCGCCCGTGCCACTGGGCCAAAGCGAGTGCCAGTGGGCAAGTGTCCTCTCGTTTAGAATCCAATCCACCATTACAAAATGCTACTTCCTTCCGCCAAACGATCCTTGCTTTGTCCGGCTGATGTGGCGACTACCTGCGACTAACTTGCCTTTGGAAGGTCACATGGTATCCAATCAAAGCGAGTTACTCGGGCTTTGCGGTCCACCTTGCGACGGCGATTTTCGGCCCAAAATGTCTTGAGATGCGAGAGCGCCCTGTAGAGGAGACCGCGACCGGCCCACTTTTTCAAAACTACTCAGACTATAGGTCCAGCCCAGGTGTTCACTATATAGGTCGACGCCCGATATTTACCCATGATGTTACTTTCGAAGAACAGACGGCAGTCCGTCCCAGGAGAAAAAGTGAGGACAGAAGAGAGCTTCAGCACAGCAACTGAACTCGACATATACGGTTCAAGAGGTCCGAAAGTCTGCCAATAGGCGGGATAGGGGAAATCGATAAGTACGTACCTCCTTCCGGTTCGACACATCGACCTTGTCCTCGAGCTTGAGAGAAAAGCAAGTACGTGATAAACTCATGAATGACTGCTTTTGCGTGCTCGCGTCGAGCCTCATGACGTTGAGCGAATAGTGGGCTCGTTTTCGCCGACGCCGACGACACTGTTGAAGGCACGGACCACTTCCGGAACCAGGCCTCAGTTACGTGATGATCGGTCAAATTGTGGCGTGAACAGTCATCGAGTCAGCGCTTTCAGATGGAAGCTCTTCGACGTCGAATAAGTATAATAACATGAGATGGCAGGCTTCAATCTTTCTTCCAGTCTTTCTTCGCTCCCTCTCCCCACCTTCCTCTAGTGTTTGGAAGCCGTGAGGGTTTCTCGTGCATATTTTCTTTTTATTCTTCTACGACCGCCTTTATGACCGCTCAAGATACTACCGACGAAGAGACGCCCCTCCTCCAGCAGGAGGGGGAAAATCACCCCAAGAAGCGTACAGCCATTCCATGGGCACAAGTATCCCTGCTCCTTGTTCTTCAATTGTCAGAGCCCCTCACATCACAAGTCATATATCCCTTTGCTCCTGAGGTAAGTCTCCACTCTCGCTACAATCACGTCCATTCGGCGTTGACAGTTTCTCCGACCTTCAGTTTGTGAGGAAGTCTGGGGTCACACACGGAGATGAGTCCAGAGTGGGCACGTATGTAGGGTTGATGGTGAGTACTGTCTATTCAATGATTTGTGCATTCTCATCAATGCTTGCCGTCCTAGCAATCCATCTTCTATGCTACCCAAGCGATGACTGTCCTTCACTGGAGTCGCACGTCCGACATTGTCGGCAGAAAACCTGTCATTTTGACAGGATTATTCGGGCTTTCAATCTCGATGTATTGTTTCGGTTTGAGCAGGACGTATTGGGGCGCCGTGGCAAGGTCAGCATCCTCGATTTTTGATACTCAACTGTTACTGAATGTCTGCCCCCGTCTGTTAGTCGGAGGTTAGTCCGCACTACTTTGGACCCCGTCCACGTCTGATCATTAAACCAAAACTCAGCTTCAACGGTGCGCTCAACGGCAACATCGGTATGTATCCGATGTATGTTGTAAGAGTCTTCACTCTTGACATGATGTTGTAGGTGTTTTGAAATCGATGGTAGCAGAGATTGCGGACCCCACGAACCTTGCTCAGGTAACACTCCCTTATCCGCAGCTTCTGCATAATGCTAATTGGAAATCCAGATCTATGCGCTCCTACCTATTTCCTGGCTCACTGGCTCTGTTTTGGGGTACGTAGGCTTCACTGTCGTGCTTTTGCTCTAGCACGGCGAGCTTGAGTCTGAGCATAAAATGTTAACCCTCTTTCTTTATAGCCCCATGGTTGGCGGTTCTCTTTCTCGGCCCGCAGAACGATTCCCCGACACATTTGGCCACTCAGAATTCCTCAAGAAGTATCCTTACTTCCTCGCCTGCGCTGTCCCGGCGACTTTCTCCGCACTTGCATGGGTCATCACCTTCACATTCCTCAAAGAGGTGGGTTCGAAATCGAGTCGGTGTGTGGGACTAAACCGTACTAAATCTGTCGGCTCTTCTCACCTGCTTTAGACCGTACGTTCACCCACGCCGATTCGCCGATTATTCACCTCGAAGAAGAGCAAACAAGAGCTCGCAGACGAGGCCTCCGCGCCGCCGGTGGATGAAGCAGACAAACCATATCCTATACATGCCCTCTTGGTTCCGCGTGTCCTCATAGCATCTGCTAACTATGCTTCCCTCTCTCTGATGGACATCGCATACCGTGCCGTTCAGCCACTGTTCTTCTCCACGCCCATAGAGATGGGCGGGCTCGGTGCGCAGTCTATTCTTCCCTTGAATTCATGTTATCAGTGAACACGAACCAACGTTTTTGTCGTACTCATCATTTCTGTTGATTTTGATCTCCCTTGCTGCAGGCCTGTCCCCTCCCGTTATCGGCTACCTCCTCGCCTTCTTTGGTCTTTTCAATGGCTTGTTCCAAATCTTCTTCTTCGCCAGGATCAATGACCACTTCGGGACGAAGAAGGTTTTCGTGGCAGGCATGCTTACCTTCATTCCGGTTTTTGCTCTGTTCCCCATTATGAGTGCACTAGCCAAGGAGGCGCAAGCAGTGACTACACTCGTGTGGATCATTGCCGGTTTCCAAACCCTGCTGTCGATTGCTGTCTCGCTCTCATATGGTGCGTCTTTTGGTTGGAACGCGAACTCGTGGCACGAGACCAATTCTCATGCGCTTTTGATTAGGATGTTCCTTCATTTTCATTGCCGCTTCATCCCCGAACAAGGCCTCTCTCGGTGCCACGAACGGTATCGCCCAACTCGGTACATCAGTCATGAGAACGATTGGCCCGGCCGCAGCAAACTCGCTGTTCTCGCTGTCGATGAAGCACGGAATTCTCAACGGGTATTTCGTCTATCTTGTGCTTACAATAGCTTCTGGTGTGGCGGTGGCGTTCTCTACGACCCTCCCGACGCAGGTGTGGAGGAAGTAGGTGGCTTGGTGCGGTTTCACGACTTACGACTTTTCCCAAACCAGCACTTGGTTCTTTCTTTTTTTATGGATGCAATTCTTTAGATATCTCCCGCTGCATTCACATGTTTATACTCTTTCACTATTTTTCGGATCAATCATCATTTCCAGGGGATGTTTCTGCCATGCATATCGTCTGGATACCAAAAAAGAACGAGTACTTAGGAGCCCGATTTTAACTCCGTTCTCTTCATGATCGCTACTGTTAGCACACAAATACAAAAGTGCTTATGTTCAGCTATCGACGCCTGCTAAATGCGGGCTCACAGTCATTGTCTTGCCAGAATAAGCGAAGAGCTGTCGTGGCACGCGCAAACAAGGCCAAAGCCCAATACTGCACGCGCCGAGTGGCGCTCACAGCCTCACCACACCTTGACCCAACCACCTACCTACCCTTCTACGCTCTCTTGCTGCTGTCTGCTGTCTCTCCGCTGGCAGAGACTCACGAGTTTTTCCACATTATCTGTTATTGTCGCTGTATTTATTCGTTCTCTTCCTACCACACAATCGCGGGATGAATAGCTTCGCGGCACTGATGGCGCTGAGCGAGGCTCACACAAAGCATTCTTCACGCGAGGTCGAGTTGCGACTCAAGGAGCGCGAACGAAAGGCCGAGATGGAACGAAAACAGCAGGAGGAGCGGGAGAGGAAGGAGAAGGAACTGGAGGAGAAGTTGCGGCGGCGCCACTTTGAAGAGCAGCGGCGGGAGAAAGAGCGACAGGAGAAGCGAGAGCAGGATCGGCTCGCGAGGGAGAAGGAAAGGGAGCGCAGGGAGGAAGAACAGCGTCAGTCTCTCCTTCACGGTCCCAAGAAGGCTCACGGCAAGGACGGTGGCCCTCGCTGGCCGTCTTCCAAGCGCAGGAACCTCTCCGACGATGAAGACGACGACGACGGCGGTGAGGGCGGCTCTGGTGCCATGGCGCTCACTCGGCAGGAGAAACGGGAACGTAAGTTCCAGCTCGAGCTTCGTCGTTCGACTGCAGCCTCGTCAAAGCGCGCGGGTGCGGCCTCATCGTACGGGAAGCATGCAGCACGCCTGCCAGGAGGAGCCATCGACCTCGCCACCCCGTCAAATCCTCATGCGCTCTCATCTCCCGACGCAGGCGGCTCCGTTCGTGCTCGGCTCGCTGCGATGCCTAATACCCTGACAAAGCTCAATGTTAACAAGCGCGACACCCGTACCATCGACGAGATCCTGCAGGACCGTGCAAAGGCCAAGGCTTCCCAGGTCCTCGATGGTGATGAAGCACGCGAGTTCAACAATTGGTTCGGGACGAAGCCCAAATCACATACACGGCCCCATTCATCCGCTTCACCCTCTGCGTCGGGCACCAGTACTCCACCTGCGACCAGACTTCCTACTACTGCCACTTCGTCCTCATCTGCCATGGCTGCTCCCATTCCCAAGAAATCTGCGTCCAGTGCCGCATCTTCCAGACCTTCAGCTCCGTCGCTCGCCAGATCATCATCCACCAAGACCGCCGTCTCTTCCAAAGCTAACGGCTCTCTGGCCAGACGGGAACAAGACTCCAAATCCTCCTTGGCCAGCACATCCCGGCCCTCCGCACCCTCTCGCAACACACCATCTTCTTCCAAGCTTCCCTCCATCAAACGCGCTCCCCAATCCTCCAATAAGAAACGTACTCGCTCACCCTCCTTGTCGGATTCGCCTTCCCCTCCACCATCGAAGCGTCGCACGCAGGCTTCGCCCGCAAACGACATCAGTGCAGAGATCTGGAAGCTGTTTGGAAAGGACAGAGGGGCCTATGTCCAGCGCGACGTATACAGTGATGACGAGGATATGGAGGTGGACGCGAGAGAGGTCGAAATGGAGGAAGCGCGAAGGTTCGTCTTACGGATTCTTCTTACCTGCTTTTTATACTGACGCCCCATGCTTTTTAGTGCGCGATTGGCTAAGAAAGAAGATCTGGAGGCCGAGGCGGAAGAGAAACGGAGGGAAGAGGAGAAGCGCAGACGCAAGCTTGAGCGCGAGCGAAGGGGTTGATGTCATTCTACCCTTTCTATCTCGTGGACTATCCGTCGCGGATCAGGTCAAGTATCCCCGGAAAGTGTATGTCCATCGCTATGTATATGAACCTGTTTTGTTTTTACTGTCTCCCCGCAATTCTTTGCCTTCTTGTCTGTTCCCAGTCCCTATCCCTATCGAATGATCACGCATTTATATCCTGTTCTTCCATCACGCATTGCCTCCACATTTATCACTCTTCACCTTAGCTCTCTACCTATATTTACCCTCGTCATTATCGGACGTAAATTCTCGACGACAGCAACGATAACAGACGATCCAGGATCCCCATATACACACTGCGATTGTATACTATGATAACCCAGTGTCCTTCGCGGTAATTACATGCGTCCCAAGCACCGACACAGATCCTTGCGAGTGATGAGATGGAGGACACGACGTGTATGTGCGAATAGCGCAGGGGACTGGAAAAAGAACAACGACTTCGAAAACAACAAGGACAAAAGAAAAACGACAACGGTCAGATAGCGCATCATACGTATGTGCCAAAACAAATATGGGTAGAGAAAGCAGTCGAGGTGACGCAGACGGAGAAGAGACAAAGGACGTTCGCCGTTCGCGGACCCCGAAGATCTCAACGGAACCAACTGAAAACCCGATCAAGATCCTCCTGGACCTGGTCCGAACTGGTTTGAAGAGCCGACTATGAATCGTCGAGCTTGAACCTTTTACGTGGCCCGTCTGGTCCATTTGGTCCATACTGTCCAGCGCCTTGTGCGTTTTGCATAAATGCCGGATTGAAGTGTCCCTGGACATTGTTGAAGCCACCTCGCCCGCCGCCCATCATGCCAGGCATCATTCCCATTCCACCTAAAAATACAAAAAAAAAACAACCGAGGGTATCAACAAACACAGTTCAGCGTACAACATGGCTCGGCTCGGGATGCGATACAGGGGTGAGATATTACAAGGAGTGACTTGGAAGGACTTGCGGGAGAAAAAAGAAAAGAGGAAGAACTAAGAGACCGTACCCATTCCACCCATCATCCCCCCGCGACCAGCGAATCCACCGTTCATCATGCCGCCCCTGGGGCCCTGTGGTATCATGCCCCCACGACCACCACCGACGAAGCCCATGCCACCCATACCACCCATGCCCATGCCCATTCCCATCCCCATACCTCCCATACCCATACCTGCCATCACACCGGGCATACCACCACGCATCATACCGCCCATCATGCCTCCGCCACGCATGTTCATGCCGCCACCCCCATTCATGTTTTGCATGGCCATGCCATTATTGTTCATACCGCCTACATGGTTGCCTCCACCTCCACCTCCGCCACCGCTTCCACCACCGCCACCTCCTCCACCTCCTCCACGGAAGTTGCCACCGCCACGATTCATGTTACCGCCTCCCATATTGTTTTGGTTGCGTTGGTCTCGAGGAGGTGGCTCTATTTGAGGATGAAGGTGTCAGCAGGGTTTGTCGACGTGACCTACGAACAAAGTACATACCTTTCGGGAGCGTACGGAAAGGATTACCCTGAGCAGAGCTGGTTAAGTTGGCGTTCGCACGACGATTTTGGAAGTCACTGTTGGGCAGGTCAGAATATGAGCATGAAGAGTAGCGTCGAATGGTCGTAGAGGAATACGCACTTGTTATCAAGCCAGTTCTTCAAGGCGAGAGCATTTTCATGGCTTCCACATTCGATGTAGGCCACACTGTGGATGTGTCGCGGTCAAAAGATAGAAGGCAAACTAGAGGATGCTAATGTGTACCCTTTGCTCTTGCCGTTGACCTTATGTTCCGAGAAGGTGATGTCCTTGTGATCAACCGTGACGTTGACGTTCAGTGCTACTTTCCGGAGGTCTTCGTCCGTAGTCCACTGTGCGTCCGAACGAAAACCAGACGAAGGGAGATATAGTTGTCACGACAAGAAAAGAGCAAACGTGAATACAAAGTCCAAAGAAGAACGCCACCATGATACGTAGGCAGGAATATACGGACCCATTGCAGATCTCCGACATAGAGTGCATCATTAGTACCCGCACCGCCCGCACCCATACCAGCGCCCATGTTCCGGCCGCCATAGTTTCCATTCATGTGTGGTCCGGAATTTGAGTTGGAGTCGGACACAGTGGCGATTTTCTGTTCGATCTGGTCGTTGATATCGGGTACGTTGTCGGGTAGGTCGTTGTCTTCCTCCCTTGGACGTTTGCTCCCTACTACAGGCGAGGCAGGCTTCTTTTCCTCTTCCTGTGTGTCGGATTCAAACGACTCGTCTAGGTCTATCTGTGACGGCGGAAAAGCGAAGTCTGGTCAGTACGAGCGGATGAAAGCTGCGTGGAGGGCGAACTCACATGGAGATCGATGTTTGGCTTAAAGCTGTCATCTTCACCATAGAGGTCGAAATCGTCATCCGCCATGTTTTTGTTCTACTTGCGTGTCGAGCAGAAAGTCAAACGTTTGAAGGTCAAACAGATGATAGACGAAGGTTCAAAGAGTCTTTTGTTTGAGAGTGCGCGAGATGACAGGCGTTGTAGTGACAAAGAAGACAGGAAGGTGACGTGACGCGACGCGACGCGATTACAACATAGGACACAAAACAAGACAACAACAGGTCAGATTACAGGTTTTCTTCGCGACGATACGAGGCAAAGGGAAAGAGGGAGAAAATGAGAGAACACGAGGGTCAGTCTGGAGATGAACATTGGGCGCTGTACTCACTCGTAAGCTATAGATACAGGAGGTAATGAGTTGAAAGAGCGTCTATGAGAAGCAGCGGGCGCGGCGGGCAGAGCAGAGTAGGTCGGTGTCGTGGTCGTGGTCGACGTTCAGGTTCAGACGTGATCGGCGTTCCAGAGGCCTCACGTAGGCTCCGGCACTTCCCGGGTGGAGGGTCGCGGAGTTTGTAACTGGCTGTGGCGTGCAATGGTGGCCCACATCATTCAACGGCCTTTTGGTTGAACTAAATAGTGAATGCAGACTGAACTTTCTGGACGTTGATGAAGTATAGTGCTACTCCCCGCAATGTGTATTCATCAAGGGACATTATTTACAATAACTTTAACCTATCGCTGCTTCCGTATAGCATACTATTCACCGTTGATTCAACGGTGTACGGCCAACGATACCTCTCCGACGTCTGATACTACCACTTGGTGAGATGGAAAACAGGTCCGGCTGTGACTCCGTCGATTAGGTGAGCTCATTGTGTGAGCTCACTCAGAGTCGCACAGGAAGGTGTTCCAGATTGGGACGGGAAACGGCGACGGTGAAACAGGAAAGCAGGATCACAGGCAGAGACAAAACCACCGGTGGTTTTTTCCAAAGACGAAGGTGTATTGGGTTAGAGTGGGTTCCGTAATGAGGCTGTGGACGGTCATTAATGCTTGGTGCCTCCGACTACTTAGATTGTTGGCTGGAGGCCCCAAATATAAGGGCGCAGTGGCCGTGGGGTGTCTCTAAGAATGTGAAGAAGACCGAAGAGATCTCCGTGTGGTCCCTGACCCTGTTGGGTGGCGTGTTTGTCAGCCCGAGAAAGCTGAACTAGGAGGTGCGAGTCCTTATATAGAGTCCATAACGAAGAGAAGACAAATCGAGCATAGATGTGAGTTGCCGCCGGAGCATGAAGAAAAGCTATGTCGAGTCTTTGGAAGGAAGTTGGACGGAAGGAGGCGACGGTGGGCGCACGATGGTGGGAAGCGGTCCGGGCGCAATGCAGAGTAGATGTCGAGGAGGCGTCAGTTGGAGCTTGGTTGGAGCAAGGCCCAAGGGTGTCAGAGATGGCAATCGGGTGCTCTAGATGGATGTACTGTGCGGATAGTGCCTTAGCCGCGCGAAAGTCACTAGTGTCGCATAGGCACAAAGAGAAACGTTGGCAGATGAAGGCCACTAGGTGGAATATGTATTATTTGATAGGGTATGGCTGGTGCGATGAGGCACAGTCGGAGTCGATACTGAAGGAGATGGTACGAGTCGGAGCCAGGAGTTCAAGTACGTATGCCAGAAGAAAAGATAGAGAGCAGCGATAAGTAACAAGACCCGCATGGGTTGTCTATGATAGACAACGTGGCAGAGTGGGTCCGCGTCGACTGCGGCGCCGGTGCTGAGCGCTGACGTGGTGAGCTTGAAGAGAAAAATTCGGGTGAAATTGTGCGAGGAAATGTCGAACGAGAACGGGCGGCGTCATGAGCGGAGAGTGGCCGCCAATAGGAGCCGGCGGAGAGCGCGCGTGCGTCGGGGCGAGATATGAAGTGATGCAGGAACGAACAAGTCGGCGAAAGCAGCGAGCTCTGACGGCGGTCTATAAAACCTGGCTACAAAATGATAAGCGGACGCCGGCCTTCTTCTTTCCCTCATCGTCCATCGCGAAGTCACAGTGGGAGCAGCCATGGCAGACCTCGTCGTCGCTGTTCAGTCGACCCCCCGCGGCCTCTCGAAGGTCTCCATGATCTTTGCGTCCGTGTTCTCTCCATTTCTCTCTCTTCTCACAACCTAATTTTGTCTCCCTACAGTGCCGGCACGGCTCTCTTCTCAGATGGTTTGCACTTCTTCATCCGAAAGCCAACTTCGAAATCTCACTTGTGTTTACTCAGGCTATGCGAACAACGTCATCGGAAGCGGTATGCACAACTCATGTCCCCAATACCGCTTCCCAATTCGGTTATACTAACCTAAGTTCCCCGACAGTGAATACTCGTGCGTAACATACAATGCACTTCTCACCCTCCAGCTTCAACCCCTCATGCACATCAAACAGTGTTGAAGCAGATCTATGGCTCCGACGCCATTGCTGCTCACAATTACAGCCAGACGCTCAGCTCTCTCGCGTTTGCGGGCACGGTCGTCGGCATGCTCACCTTTGGCTATCTCTCCGATAGAGTGGGCCGTAAATTCGGAATGGTTTGTTTTCTAGTATTCCCTCTGTCTGCAGGTCCAACCAACTTGCGCCATCTTTAGATGCTTGCTACCGGCATTGTTGCTCTCTTCTCTGGTCTCTCTGCTGCCTCCTCAGGCGCACACCATAGTCTGGGTGGTATGCTCGCCATGCTTAGTGCTTGCCGGTCAGTGCAGAGCTTATTCTCTTGCGAGCAGTGTGTCTCAACACCGTGTTCGACAGTTTCTTGCTCGGCATTGGTATTGGCGCAGAATATCCATGTGGCTCCGTCGCAGCCTCCGAGCAATCCGAGGAGGAAGGTATCAGCAAACGTGCCCAGAACAGGTGGTTCGTCCTTGCCACCAGTGCGTGAAACAATTTCGTAAATTTCTCTCCAATATCGTCACTTACTTACCAACTTTGCTCCAGACACCATGATCGATTGGGGCTTCGTCGTCGGTGCCTTCGTCCCCCTCGTCCTTTTCTGGATGTGCGTCTCCCATTTTGCACTCATCATCTCCAACATACAAACGCTCAACAAAAACTCCATGTAGCTTCGGTAACAACCACCTCCGTGCCGTGTGGCGTCTTTCACTCGGCCTTGGTGTCGTCCCGGCCGTCCTTGTTTTCATCTGGCGTCTCAAGATGGTCGAGCCCACCAGATTCAGGAGAGACTCGATGAAGCGCGCTAAGATTCCCTATCTCTTGATCATTCGCCGTTATTGGGTTAGCTTGCTTGCCATCTGTTTGACGTGGTATGTTCTCTGCTCGTTGTGCCAGTGGAATCAGAAGTTGCGAAGTTACTGAATAGAGCCGTTTTCTCGATGTTTGCAGGTTCATCTACGATTTCATTACGTGCGTATGTCCGTCTTGTCACCATAACTGTTGTAATACTCAATTTCACTCCTGACACCACAGATATCCAGTATGTCAACCGCTACGACATAGCGTGCTGGGAGATACTCATACTATTATGCGCATCTTTAGTTCGGATTGTACTCTTCAACGGTCGTTGACACGTACGTCTCGTTCAATCCCGTGGCCCAAATCAAGTACGACGTTCAATGCTCATATTCTCTTCCTACAGCATCACCGGCGGCAGCTCGTCCCTTACAGTTGTCTTCGGCTGGAATGTGGTCATCAAGTGCGTAGTCTGCAGGATCTTGGTGTTACCCTACTACATGACACTAACGCAGCGGGTTTTTCTGTATTCAGCTTGTTCTATATCCCAGGCATGTCACAGTCCGAACAAACGTTCATTTGCCGCGTTTTTCTGATCATCATTCGTTGACTTGCTTAGGAACGATGACCGGCGCATTCGTCGTCGACTATCTCGGACCCAAATACACCATGGTCAGTATACCATGCTGACCAGCCCTATCGTTCCGCCTCTGACTCATTATGTAACTTCCTCAGATCACCGGCCTCTTGTTGCAAGCCATCATCGGTTTCATCATGAGTGGATTGTATACCAAGTGATTACATCTTCGCGTCGATACTCTCGATGCACCAAGCTGATATCTCGTTCGTTCAAAGGCTCGTGGACAACATCGGCGCATTTGCGGTATGCTCTACCAAATCTGCAACCTATCACCGTCATCTGACTTTTTCTTGACCTTTCGCAGGTTGTCTACGGTATATTCCTGTCATTCGGCGAATTCGGTACGCGCGCTTCGACATGTCCAGTCCCGATAGCCATTCATCACGCTCATTCGTTTTTGTACCTTGCAGGCCCCGGTAACTGCCTTGGTCTCCTCGCCTCCAAATCGAGCCCTACCGCCGTTCGTGGTCAGTTCTACGGTATCGCAGCGGCCATGGGCAAGATTGGTGCTTTCGTCGGTACTTGGGGTATGCTTCACATCTCCTCGCTATAAAGTCACAAGCTGATGATGACTGTGTTCTGTCCAGCCTTCCCTCCCATGATCGCAGGTACGGTTTGCATTCGGTTATTTGCTATCGTAATGTTACAACTCATTGTGTTCCTTTTAGCATTTGGCGGAGCGGACAGCCCGAAGGGCAACACTGGACCCTTCTGGGTCGGCAGCGGTACGTCCACTCGTCTCCTTTAAATTGTGGTGGAAACTCATACTGACTTCGTAAATTCCTTCGTCGGTTGATTCGCATGTAGGCCTTGCCATCTTGAGCGCCCTCATAACCTTCTTCTTCATCAGGCCTCTCTCTGCGGATGGAATGGCCAACGAAGATCTCGCTGTACGTCCTCCTTCCTTTCCTTGCACTGTGTCCACTTGGTCTCCAAGCTTTCCTTACCGCATCTGACGCCATTTCATCCTGTTCAATAGTTCCGCGAATACCTCGAAGCCCACGGCTGGGACACATCGCAGATGGGCATCCTCCCCGATAGTGCCGAATCATGGGTCGAGCCTACGAGCGACGGATCACTCCAGGAGAAAGAAAAAGAAGCGATCTCGGCTTAGATTTTGGTCCCTTCTTTATACCTTTTCTTCCTTACCCTCTTGTTCTCCCTGCTGGATCCTTTGCATGACATGACCGTGGTTGATGATGTTGATGATGTTGTTGTGTTACTCGTGGGTCGTGTTGTTCGATTCCATTTCTGTGATTTCGTTTGTCTTGTTGTTTTGCTGAGGAAGTCATCAATTTTATCTTCTCCCCATACCACCACGATCACGATAGACTCGACCGTCTTGTCTGCCATACTTGTCATAGCTGCTTCCTGCGTCGCACCGCACTTAGCTAGAGTTCACTACTCGTCGCACTCCGCAGTAATTCAACCCTGGCCCACAAATACATATCGAACTGCAGTCTGGCCGAATGTGCACATCTACATACCATCACAACGCACTCAGCTAAAACCCGCCGCCTCCCAAGCCAGCACCGGCCCCACCACCCCCAGCCGCCGTCCTCCTCTCGATAAAACCCCTAATATTCGCATGGCCCTCCATCGTGCCGAAGAAACATCGCTTGGTGGGGTTCTCCCAGAGGACGACGTCGAGCTGTTTAGCGTAAGTGAGGACGTATTCGTAATCGGCTTGCGAGGCGAATGCGGTGTACAGGAATCCCTCCTGAGATTTGAGCCTGTTCCGCTCGAGCTCCCATAGTCGGATCTGGTCTTGAACCGTCACAGGCAGCAAGGGCGTCTGCATATCATATAATGGGTCAACATATGAGAGCCACGAACGAACGACATCGACTCACGTTTTTACGCATCTGAGGATGTGCGTATGTCGTCAAATAACTTATGATCTATGTGCCACATGTGAGCACAAGCCAAAAGTGGCGGTTCTGACTTGAAACTACATACTTGGTCTGCCGTGATCCCGTTCGACAGCGCCTTCCGTACACTGTCCCTTGTGATGGAACCCACCACAAGATTCGGAAATCGACTCTTCATCGTCACAAACAGGTTCAGAACCGCCGTCTGTAGTGGATTATCTGCATGACATCAACCACAGCCCCATAAATGATTCAATAACTTGACGCTGGTTCACGGAAGGCAAAAAACCAACCTGTGTACGCATACAATCGATAGTTCGTTTCTAGGATGATGAAGCCTTGCGTCTGTCCAGTTCCACTTGTACCCGTTCCGGAGGCAGTGGGTAGAGGTGGTAATGAAGAAGTAAGAGTCGTCGCTAGACGAGTAGGGCTGAACCGACGGGAAGTAGCCTAACCCGATACACAACTTAGCGCTGGTCCTCAAAAACAAGACTGGGTAAAGTCGCACCTTGCGCTGCCAGATCAGACCGTAATCACGGAGATCTTCAAGCATGGCTTTTTGGGTATCACTCAGGCTTTCTGCCGAATAATCCTGTGGGTCTGATCAATATATATTTGTGGCGCCTAGAAACATGAAACTGTCGTACCCGACCGAGCTCCATGGTAGAGAGCATGAAGAGGAAGCTGAGTACCTCGACAAGATCCATCTGCCGTTCCTAAGGGAACCACTGTATAAGCAGCGGGAAGGCCGAGTTATATGAAAGTATCGATCTCACTTCAACCATTGCAAGATACTGCAACAACAGCTCCCAGAGCTGGGCGTGTGGCGTGTGTAAGAGGAATTGGAATCCTGACGAAGTGATCTGCAATGTGCCTCTTTATGACCGAAATATGACCATGGAAAGTTTGAACAAAAAAGAAAGGCGGCCAATAGCATCAACTAAACGCACTGAGTCGGAGCCATGAGCTTGCTGCGTTGTAGGAGGTACAAAACGCCTTGTGACGGTTTTGTGGGCATTTGGCCTGTTCCAGAGGATACCATGAAATGCAGGATAGTCTATAAGGAAAGGTCAGCCCCCCTGAGGGCTTCTACGACAACAAAAATGACCGACCTCCCATCGCTCCAAGGCGTACGTGTCCAGTATCTCAACGCTCGGTGGGCCTCTCTTATCATCTGCCTCCGCTGGAACACCAAAACTACCACTCGTACCACTATGGGAATGTCAGCATCGTCTTTCGTTGGAACAAACCGACCAACGCACCCGCCTGTAATTGCATGTCGAAGGCTGGTCTTGAAGGTTGGGTTGAGGCCCAGCTTGGCAGATGGATTAGGGAGGATATGAAGCCGTGTTAATTGAGCTAGGGCTTCGTCGAAAAATCTGCGCAGGTATTCAGCACAGTACAGTTCTCAAGAGGATAATAACTCACTTCTTGTTCTCCTTTACTACCCAGGAGCTCATGGTATTCGTGGGGATGGCCGACTCCAGCCAAAGAAGATTCATGACGAGTTGTCGCTCGACGGGAGCGAGAAGGCTAAGAGACAGAGGGCCTCATAGTCGGACGAGACTGTGGGCAAAGGCAGGGCAGAGATTGCCTACCGAAAGATGGAGAGACATGACGAGGGCCGGTTGTAGAGACGGGTGAGTGCGGTCTGAGACTGGGACTGAAGAAAGGGGAGAAGAGCATGGGGGCTTGGTCCGCTCGTTTGTTCTTCTTGCTTCTCCACGGCGATTGGCATGAAGACAAGCTGAGATGATGGTCAGGAAACAAGATAGTAGTTTGCAAGAAACGTTCAGTGGCGCCCACTCGACTTGTTCAGGTTGACACAGCTGTGGCGTGCTCTCCCACGGTCGAGATAGGAGGCCATCGTGTGGCTCCGCATCCTAACCTCTCAGTCACGACCATCTTGCAGCAGGCACCCAAGGGCCCCTCTCGTCCTTGACCTTTACCTCCCGTCTTGTGACTGACCTTGGTCGAGTGTTGATATTCCTGCGGTCCGGCCACTCGCCTGAGCATCCATCCCGGTCCCAACTTCCCCGCCGTCGATAGATCAAACGCGGTCACGAGCCCTGCTTGTTCTGCTTCTCAACACCTCCTCATGTTCACAAGACCTTCTGTTGCAACAAAAATGGCGTTCCTTAATTCAGGCTATTCTGTTGATATAAAGCTTGAGCGTTCGTCGAACAGCGTACGATGTACGCAAAATGCGCTTTCTACCTATTACCAAGGGTAGTTGGTCGTCGAGCTTGCTGCTCGCGCTTCTTTGGACCAGTTCTGCTACTCGCGCCACCGCGTTCTCCTTCGCCTCAGATCACTCCTTTTCGTCTATTCAAGCGTTGGATGATACGACGTCCGAGTTGAATTTTTCAACCAACAATCGTACTGATGAGGTCGGTTGGGACAAGTATAGCCTTTTCGTGAAGGGCCAGCGTATTCTTCTCTAGTAAGTCTTCCTCATTGTTATCACCTTGTTTGGCCATGCTAAATGGTACGGAAGCTCTGGAGAGTTCCATACATTCCGTCTTCCCGTTCCCTCACTGTGGCCTGACATCCTTCAGAAGATCAAGGCGGCCGGCCTCAACGCGATCAGTGTCTACCTCCACTGGGGCTTGGTAGGCCATCCTCGTCTATGAACAATTGGGTAGATTGACTTACGAATGCTCTCAGACAAATCCAACACCCGGCGTAGTCGACTTTGACTCGTTCCGTGACCTCCAGCCTCTCTACGACGCTGCACGCGAAGCAGGCATATGGATCGTCCTCCGACCAGGTCCGTATATCAATGCTGAGACTACAGCAGGCGGAATTGCCCACTGGGTGACCACCGAGGTTGCGGGCACTCTCCGAACCAATGCAACCGATTATCAGGCGGCCTGGACACCTTATATTCAAGCTGTCATAGACAAAACCATTGCTAACCAGGTTACAGAAGGCGGGCCGGTCATTGGTGAGGCTCGAGCACACCTCTAGCTCTTCATACGGTGTTACTTACGGTGGGCCATATTTCAGCCATTCAGATCGGTGAGCTCATGCAACCCTTGACGTCGAGGAATGGGTCCTCACCATGGATTTGAACAGACAACGAGTATTCCCAGACTGGTTACGGTCTAGCGGAATACTTTCAACAACTCGAAGACGTGTATCTTAATTCATCCATAGTGTACGTCGTTTGTGTCCTCGCGATATACCGCTGGTTCTGAGGCAACACTACACCCTTCAGTGTTCCTTGGACTTATAATGACCCCGGAGAGAAAGACAGCTTTATAAACGGAACTGTATGTCGTCGACTTGTCATATCCTTCCTTTGCTAACATATTCCACATCCGCCAGGGTGCCGTCGATATCTACGGGTACTTCTCTATTCATGTTTCCCTCGAGAGATACCCCTAAGTATCCTCCTCAGCGTTGACGGGTATCCCCAGAATGCGTGCGCTACCCCCTTAACCTGGCGTGCATACACCACGGACTATTATGATCATCATGCAAAGGTCAACCCAAACGAACCGATGTATTTCCCAGAGGTATGCATGTCCACTACCCATCGCCTCTCCGTCTAATCACGTCACGACGTTTGCAGTGGGAAGGCGGTTACAATGGTGCCTGGGTAAGGATTTGATCTCTTGCCATGAGCGTGTCTCTGAGCTTACACTGCTCGCAGGGACCAAATGCCCCCGGATATGATGGTTGTCGATTAATGACAGGGCCGGATTACGAGTCGGTATACTATCGTTCACTGTGGGCAGCAAACGGGAAGATGATAAATTTCTACATGGTTTATGGGTAAGCACCCGCTCTTCGATCCACAGCACTTGCCACTCAGTGCCCATCGTTGCAGCGGTACCTCCTGGGGAGGGCTTCCATTCCCTGGCGTGTACAGTGAGTAAATCCCAACATGCTTCCTGAAATCACGCCAACCCGCTGTTGCGAAACAGCTTCCTATGATTATGGGGCCGCTATAGCAGAAAACCGCGACATCAACACGAAGTACGATGAGCTTAAACTGCAGGCTATTTTCCTGAGGAGCTCTCCTGAGTTCTACAAGACGGACTGGATCGGGAATAGCAGTACCAGTGCGGTAACAGTGTCGAATCCAGATGCCTTCGCTGTCAAGTTGATGAATCCCGACACAAGCTCGAGCTATTGGATAGTGAGACAAAACGATTCAGCGTCTACGTATGCTTGTTTTTCTCGCCGTCATGCTCCTGTACTGATGACCATCCTACAACGTGACAGGGCCATAACTTCGTTTACTATGGACATTCTGACGTCGGTTGGGAATCTGACCATACCCCAAGCTGTCTCGAACATCACTCTAGGAGGTCGTCAGTCCAAAATGATCCTGGGAGACTACAGCTTCGGTGCCAATTCCCGTGTACTGTATTCTACGGCGCAAGTCATGTTCGCAGGTCAGATCGGGTCTCGCGACGTTATTCTACTCTACGGCGACTCCAACCAAGAGCACGAAGCCTCCATATATCTGCAAGGCACTCCAACAATCCAGACAAACTCCTCGTCCATCGCATTTTCCTCGCTGGCTCAAGACGTAAACGCCACGAACATCGCCTTATCCGAAGGGATCGAAGGCCTTGTCACGCTTTGGGATTCCGACCTTCAGCTCGTTCTATACGCCGACTACGTGACGGCGTCTACATTCTGGGCCCCCGTCATCGCCAGCGGCTCAACCGAGGAAGACCCATTTGCGAGATACTGGCAGTTCGGTACGAACACGACTGTTCTCGTCGGTGGACCGCACCTCGTCCGCAACGCCTCTATATCAGACTCGGGCTCTCTAGACATTCGTGGCGACCTGAACTCGAGTGTCACACTCACCGTTATCGCTCCGCCAACCGTCTCCTCGGTAACATGGAATAGCGAACCAGTCGGCATCGATGATAGAGCCTCGGCTGCAGTGACCTCCATTGGTGGGTTCATCGGGAACCTGGAGATGGATAGTGGTAGAACGAAAGAGATAGTCGCGCCGGTGTTGGAGAACTGGAGGTTTGCGGATAGTCTGCCCGAGGTCCTCGACGGGTACGATGATGGCAGTTGGACTGTGGCGAACCGTACGACATCGAATATCCCATATCCAATGAATTATGGCGATGGCAGGATATTGTATCAGTGCGACTACCAGTTGTGAGTCCTATCATCGTGCTTGATCCATTATGCTTGCTGATGTGGACACTGGTTTTTGTTTTCCAGCTGCGAGAACATTGCTATCTGGCGTGGTCATTTCAACTCGACTGGCATGGAAGCATCCATGAACCTGTCACTCAACGGTGGTGAAGGTAATGAGTATCCTGTCTGCATGCGACGAGCCCGAACTAACACCATCTATCATAGCTTTCGCTGCAAGTGTATGGGTGAACGACTGGTTCCTGAAGACATCCTACGGAAAGTAAGACCCCACAATTTCCCTGATTATCCCGAAGTTGACGCCACTCATAGCTCCTCGGACAACAAATTAATCATCGACGAGACAGACGAAGTTTACACATTTTCCAATGGCTCCCTGCGCGCTGGTGAAGACAACGTCGTTACTGTCGTCATTGTGAGTGCATCTATCACAGCTTTGGCCATTTCTAATACAAGCGCGATAGGATAATATGGGAATCAGCGAGTCCAACAGTGTGTCCTCTCACTCTAACCAAAGTTGTCGATTGTGCTAATATTCAATGCTGCGTGCAGATACGAACTACATGTTTAAATCGCCTCGGGGCATCCGTGGCTTCCACCTCAGTGAAGGCGAATTCTCGACATGGAAGGTACAGGGTAAGGTCGGAGGATACAATAAGTAAGCGGACACGGCCGCGTCTTACCCATCTCATAGCATTCGTCTGACTGAACAATTACACTCGTGCCCTTACAAAACAACCCCAGCTTCCCAGATAAACATCGCGGCGTCCTCAACGAAGGTGGCCTCTTTGGCGAACGCCAAGGGTGGCACCTTCCTGACTTCGACACCAGCACCTCTTCCTGGTCCTCCCGCGATCTCTCCTCTGGCTTACCAGATAGCCAAGCTGGTGTTGGTTTCTTCGTCACTACCTTCGATCTGAGCTTGCCAGATGGGTATGACGTCATGCTATCCTTCAATTTCGAGGATGAGGGAGAGCCTCCGTATCGTGCTCTGTTGTTCGTCAACGGCTGGCAGATGGGGAAGAGAGTCGGGAATCTTGGGTGAGTTTGATCATTACATTCATGCTCGTCCTTTAGCAATGACCTGTGATGGCTAATGACTTCGTCATAGACCTCAAACCAAGTTCCCAGTGCACGAGGGCATCCTGGATTACAATGGCACGAAGTAAGCAAAATTCGCTCTTGGACCGCACTGATTACCGAGCTGACGTTGCTACCATTTAGTACCGTCGCTGTTGCACTTTGGGCCATGGAGGCGGTAGCCATCTCTCCTAACCTGAGCGTGACTGTTGATACGGTCTTACAAGGTGGCGTCGGTGGCGTCGTGGCGAATAATCCAGGATGGTCTCCGGAAGGGAGAGTATGAACTTCGGGTAAAGGGACTGGGATACGTTGGATAGTCTGTGGACCCTTGATACCTGTTTGGTGATGGTTGTAGTCGTGTATCTTGAGACACCGGCAGCCCAACGCGAGTACAAAGCGCCTATCTAATACTTAATGGGGAGGCAGTTGTCTCGAGACAAACCACGTGGAGACAAACCACGTGGCGGAAACGTGGCGGTTTATGTCCAAACAAGTAACTGTGGGGCGAACATTGCTGTGCCTCCAGTGTGGCTCCAAGACTCGGGCCTCAAAATAATTTCAATCTCTGTATATATTGCAGATGAAAGACGGGGAGCCAAACATCCCTGAATATTGGGACAAAATCCCTCGGGCATAGGAGTCAAACAGCTTCGAGCACGGGAGCGAAATACATTTCTGCCAACGGTGCACGGGGGCCAAACCATCAAATACCTTCGGGCCAAAGTGCTTAACATTTCGTGGCGCATAAAACAACTGTGCATTTTGAGCACAGGAGCCAAAAGCCTTCGGGCATGGTTTGTGGTAGCGTAAAATTATCACACTCAGACATTTCGTTGTCTATCAAAATATTGTCAAGCAGCCGTGCGGACGCACGGGCACATGCTAGTTTCATAAATACCATGAAAATTACAACAACGATAACCGTCCGGCCTATGGATGCTTATACCTAAAAACACAACAGGAAAGGATACAACCCTGGCTAGACTACACCTCTTCGACATTCTACACCGAGATCAAGTGGGTTTGTGGCGACAAAACAGCTCGTAGGATCAAAATCCTTGCGGCGGCCAATCAGGAAGTCCTGCCAGGGCCGCATTAGAAGATTCACGAACACGACGCTTGGAGGCGAGGTCGCCTGAGTGGCGGTACCCATTCACGACCTCTGACATCTGGAAAGATGCGGCCGCCACAGTATCTTATACCGATCCGATTAGTATGCATGGATGTAAAGAAACGTGGAAAGATGCACCACAGACTCACCGATGTTTGAGGTGGCCTCCTTCGCAAGCTAGGAAGGCAGATAAGTTAAATGACTTGTAACGTATGAAAGGACGGAAACCCACCTCATTCAACCGATCTATCTCCTGCTGTTGCGGATTATAACCATACCCTCCATATCCTCCGCCCATCCCGCCTCCCCCGCCTGCGAACAGCCCCGGCGCGCCGCCCACTGTTCCACCCATGGCTCTAATCCTTCCTTCCACTGCTCTCTTTCTCTCCTCCCATGCATTCTTAAGCGACTCAAACGTACTAAGCGCCTGTTTCCACGAGACAGTATCCCAGGTCTCTAATTCGGATTTATGTGTATTGACGTATTGGCGCGGATGAGGGCCATTGGCAGACGAAGGAGCCCCTCCTCCGTAATAAGACGAGTTGGGACCAGGTGTAGATGAATAGCCGGGTTGGGAAGATGGATTGGAGTTGGAAGGAGAGTAAGGATCGAATTGGGAGAGGTACGAGTTTCCACCGTAAGGCTGGTTCTGCTGCTGCTGGGGCAGTTGTCCGTAAGGCTGCTGACCATACCCATACCCTTGCTGCTGCTGCTGCTGCTGCTGTTGCTGTTGCGGATAACCCGTCCCAAAGCCGTTCATCTGCCCCATCGCCTGCTGTCCGAACTGACTCGAGGGTGCGAAACCCGAACCTGTCTGCGCGTATCCCATCTGTCCAGCTGGGGCCCCACCTCCCCACTGTGAACTACCACCATATTGCTGTGGCGTCTGTGGAGAAAAGGTCGGTTGTGCAGCACCGGGGTATCCTGTCGTATTGATGCCCAAGAAAGTTTGTTGTTGTGGTTGGTATGGGGGTTGAAGCCAATTCGTATAGGGGGTATGTGAGACTGTGGGTGGAGATGGGTTGGAAGAAAGGGCAGGGAAGCGGGAGGTCACGGAGGCGGAATGGTCTATGAAGGGATTGTTTGACTCTGCCATCGAGTACTTAGTTCTAGTGCTAAACGAAGTATGGATTCAGCTCATCGACGGCGCTGTTCGCGCGCAGCGTCTGCAAGCGCCACACAGCTTTCAATCGCGCCGCAGTGACGCATATATTATCGACATTATCAATCATTCGTGGCGCGCCACATTTCTTTATCCTGGGAAGTTGCCCATTATTCTACATAAATGTCCATTGAAAAATCTACGCAATCCTACATTTAGCTGTCCATATACCCTCTCGTATCTTAGGAGCAGCCATCTCATCTTTTCCCGCTGGTACTGTTGCTGCACAGTCCGGGGTACAGTCTCTGGTCCGGGTTTTGAGGTATCCATCCCCCTTCCAGTCCTTTTTGATAGCTCCACTCGTCTGCGTTCTCAGCCTGTGGCAGCTGATTAGAACAAACGAAGCAGGGGCAGAAGCTAATGAGGACGTACCTTCCATGTCCAATACGCCCAACCTTGCACGCTCTCGCCAATCTCGACCTGTACCTCCCAGTACCTGTGCCATAAATACTTCAGTCCCTTCCTTTCCATATGTTACTGAAAATAGTCTTACTTTCGAAGATAGGTTTTGTAACTGCTCGAGAACGTTGTCCAACTGCCCGTGAAGTTGTCACAAGAACCAAAAGCGGGGTTTCCGTCGCCAAAGGTCCCATCCCATCGGCTGCCCACACCTCGGCCGTTAAGCCATTGAGCACAATCAGTGATAGCCGTCGACCATTCGCCCGTGATGGTCCAGATGTTTGAGTCCGCAAAAGACTGGAGGGTCGGGAGGAGTGTACAAGCAAACTGCAAGTAGAGCAGAAGCTAGTCAGTCGAACGGAGAATAGTACGGTGCAAGTACATACAGAGATGTGTTCATCTTGTGTACGAGATAGCTCTGCGTCACTAAAGATCTGGTATTCGTGCTGGGTCAAGGACGAATATTAGTCGTGACATAGAGACATAACAGGGCGCAGGAAACGCACATAGTCCATGATAACTCCCTGCGCGGAAGGGTAAGTTAAGAAGTCCTCCCAGCTCTAAAACCAACCATAAAAAACAAGTGAGCGGCAATCGCCAATGTTGCAGAGATGCTACAGAGCGTACGTCAACTCCCAGAAACGCATCTCCAATCATGACCTTTACACTTGACCCAGTCGCATTCCTTACAACATCATAACCATCCTGCCAGAAGGACGTCACGGCGCTGACCCACTGGCTGCCATCAAAGCCCGCCACCTCGTTCAACAGCTCGATCACATCGACTTGGTGGCCAATCTCGCTGGCGATCGTGTTCAAAACATTCAACGTGCGCGTGATATTGGCTTGATTGAGGCCCCATACGGGCGACGATGTTCGTTGTCCAGAGTTATCGTAGCCGTTTTGTGAACCTGGTGCACCATGCAGGTCAATCATGACTCGGACGCCATTGTTGCGAGCCCAAGAAAGAGCACGGAGAAGATAGGGCCAAGCGCCGGCATTGTAAGGGGCGACGGACTCGTTTGTAGGGACTGACCAATAACCAACTGGCAACCTTCGTACAGCCGAGCATGAGTCCATTGTTCCAACACTGGATTTATGGAAGATACACACCGCACATGTGTCAGCCCAGCTGCAGAGATGTCTTTGAAATCCTGCTCGGTTATCCAGGTATCCCAGTGTGGCTGCAATAGACTCAGTGCTGTGTCCGTGTCGAGTAGCTGGCCCATCGTATACTCATCGACGATGTCACTGTTATTCGTGTTCTCGAAAATACTAGGAGTTATCCAGGGCTAATTTTATGCCTAATTCAATTTGGCAGTGCTATTATTAACACTAGACAAGACGCTTACCTCGAGAACGAACCAGCCGCCTCTTATTCACGAGAATCGCCAGCCCATAAGTTTACACACGAAAGGGACACTCTAATTGAACTTACAGATTGACAGCCCGGATAGGTGTCGATCCATATTGGAACGCTGGTAAAGTTGGAGAAGCACTTGAACTTCCAGTAGATGATCCTGTCTGAGTAGGTGTGCCAGAAGGCGTGGTAGATGTTGCACCAGACGATGTCGAAGCCTGGTTTGATGGAGTGCTCGGAGCTTTCAGTCGTAGTTGGCACTTCTGACTGGCGACACGAGAGCACAAGGACAACAACCATATTCCACAGAGGAGTGAAAGCAGAGGTTGTTCGCAGGGACGCCACATAGAGAAGAGTTGGGAGACAGAAGTAGCCGACAACACACACCCTCTCCAGCAATCCTGCCACGTTCTGGCGCAAGCGCTGCTGATGTCCAGGAGCGCACCACGAGGAAGCGGGACGACGAAGGCTCGCGCGAAAGTGGACGTATCAGCACCACTCAAGACCCGGTTGAGATAGAGGCTGCATACAGAACTTTGTCCTCGAGGGCTCCTCGAGGAAACCTCGGCGAAGTGCGACCCGTGAGCACCCGTGCCCGGATATGTAGTAAGTTCCTTATTCCGGTCATTTCCTTTGGTCCAACTGGAACTTCGGTCGAACTTGCAACGGAGCCCATTCCCGCGAAAGTCTATGCATGAACCCCGTGGGCTCGGATCCACGACATTGGAGCAATAGAACTCTTCCAAAGTTTGGACTCGGAGCAAGATGTTCCAAGGAACATCTACGGAGTTAATCAACCGAAAATATAAGGTGAGATTAATCATGCAACTCTATGTGGCATTATGAAGATCGGCATCGTGATCATACAAGTATAATCAGATAGTTTCTTGAAGACGCGCCGTGAGCGCGTTAACGGATGGTAGTACCTGGTCATAAGCAGTCTGAGCGAATCGAAGTCTCGAGTTGCAGGCTTCAGGCCTTCAGGCCTCTAGTAATAAAGACGTTTGGACGGAACAAAAGCTCCACTTCAGTTATATGGAAGGACCACTCCCTGAATTGGACGCTGTAATGGGAGCAAAGGCATGAGCGTTGGGTCCTCGACTCCTCGGTCATCCGCATGGCGGCCTCGGCCTGGTACTTGAATCAAAGAAGCTCGTAGCGCTCCTGCTACCCGAGAAATCGTGTCCATGAGCGATAGCCTCAGTTTCGACGTTTCTCTCGTTCGACTTCCCGAAAAACCAGGTCATCTGCGATACACTTTCACGCCCGACTTAAAATTTACGAAGGAAGGAAGATACCTGCGCCAGGAAAGGTGTTGGTTCCCAGGCAGAAGCCCACGAGGGCGCAACATCGTAGGTTTTCTATAAGCAGTCTGGATGACGGGCTATGATGGGGCGCTGGGACCTGATTGGAGAATCATGACCTATAAACGTGGCATACTGCTAGATGAGGTTATGAAGAAAAGCGAGCCTATCGTTGAACTAAACGACCCAAGTCCGGCTCTACCAGGAAGCTTGGCTTACATCCAAGAGCTACCTACGCTCGGGCTATAGCTACTGTACTTCACGCGTTACTTCGACTAGGCCTCGAATGCCAACGACTCCTCGTATGGTCTCCAGCCGTTAGTAAGGATTTCGTGGTCGCTTTTCTTTCCCTCTGCCTTCAGGACCTTTGTTTAGTTTTAGGGAAAGACAGACGATGCCCTCACAAGCAGTTGCACGGAATTGAACGCTTGGAGGGCAACGAGCGCCCATGCGGCAAGTCTCGCTGAGGTTACTGCCAGTGTCATCACGACTCAGTTACTGTTTGTCCTGCTCCAAGAGTAAACAAACTTCGGAAGGGGAGCTGCGACCACACTCGGCTGCGATTAGACGCGCACCTTTCATAAAGCAGAAATTCTTTGGTCATTCATTCACCATGATGATGAGATTTCCCGCAGATGGGGAGAACTGGACCGCTTCGGCTGCTGACACTGGCGGGCGGAGGCGCAGCACCAAGGTTCGAACTTGAACAGCCGTGATGGCAGGTAATACATTCCGTAACCAGCAAACGATTCTATAAGAGAAGGGCGGACATCAGGAAAGCTCTCCGTAGCCGACAGCTTCGTATCTTAAGAGAGTATAGAGCGCCAATTTAGGGCATACATGCAATGGTTTACAACGTTGGAGCCCTGCCAGAGCTCGCTCTTTCATTGGCGGAGGGATGAATGTCACGGTGCATCCTTACATATATGCCCTAATAAGACCCATCGTATAAGGCAAGGGGTCCACTTGCGGTCATAGTTTGTAATTTCCGAACGGAAACAGCCATTACTCACCTTTGGAAACGATCTCCTGCCTCCGTTCTGTATCCCTGCTGAAGTTCTGTAACTTTTTCGGATAGCTCACAGCCTCTAGTTGTTCGATAGCGAGAAGGGAAAGAGAACCATACAGATCAACACTTTAGCCCGTAGTGCATCGATAAATGCGAGGTCCGATGAGGTGATGGTAAGTTATGGTACCTGTGCAAGGAGCCAGAGAACAAATGATAGTATAAGTCACATAGAATTCGATGAGTTCATCGTTGCCTACGAAGTCAACATAAAAACTGTGCCACTGAAACTCTCATAACGAATAATTGAGCGAAAAATATAGAAATTTGTATTACTCCAGCTCTGGGCGCGAGTGCTTTCTCGGGAGGATCCTTATGTACCTCCCTCGACCCAGACGAGCAGTCAGAAGGAGTTGATGCAGAAGTGATAGGAATAAAGCGATTCGATTTTCTAGAACTATTCGCTATGAGAGTTTCAGATGTAGCCCAAAAGTGAAATGTACGCACGCGAACCTTATAGTTGGCCAGGTTATAAAAACTGAGCACTCACCGCTATCGCACTGATCACCACAGCTTCCCATGCACGCACCCTCTTCCTCCCCCGCAAGCCATCAAGAACAAGAGGTCCATCCCTTTGTCGGATTCGTTGAGACCACAGTAGACGCATTGCGCATAGTAGCAGCGGCAAGGTTGTGAGCATCACACAGCGCACTCGTGTCAGTCTAATCGTCCGCTAGAAACGGCACGCTACCGCGTGTTCTTCGAAGGCTTAATGAATCTGAAAGAAGGACCTTGGTCAAGTCTGGAGCCGTATTCTGCTATGGTATTGAGGAGAGCGGCGTGAGACGATGGACAGATGGGTTACTCTGGTACGCCATGATCATGAGAGTGCTCTCCTACCGCCCTCAAGCGCAGCTCCATAGGTCACCATCAAGAGTCTTGGGCAACTTTCTGGTACGTCAGTGGTTGCGCTCCAAGATAAGTAGCATCGACGGAAAGTATCTCTTTGCCAGGTTTACCGTGAGGCTATGCCTGCTGAGTCCCACAGAGGTCAAGGGCAAACGCAGATGCCACGCATCGCCTCTAGTACAGCGTCCGACAGACTAGTCCGGGACAGGAGTCGTTCTGAAGGAGGATTGGGAATTCTGAAGCCAAACGGCCTGTATAAAAAAGTTAGTCAAGTGGATAATCATCATGGGGGCATACGCTGACGTCGGGGCGGGTCTAGACTATCAGTCTCCAACTCGAGGGCGTTGATTATCATCTCGTCGCTTACTTCTCAGAGGACGATCTGACCCGAAACCGGCTACCGCGACCTGCCACCAGAGCCGACATTGGGGCAGTCCCGATTACACCTGCGATGGTGCGCACCAGCGACTTCCGCCACCCACCATCAGTCCATACAGCCGCAGATGGTACACAACATATGTGCGTTCGCACGTGTATGTAATACTAAATTCGCCGCTGACGTTCGCAACGCAGAGTCGATACGGAGGAGCTTGAAGCCGATCAAGGCAACTCCTCCACGAGTGCGTCTCGCAGAGAAATGTCCAGTAACGAAGTCTTGAGATCTTCGCCAACACAGCATCAGACCTTCATGCATCGTTGGGCTGTCGCCGTACCAGAAGGCGATATTCCGCTCCAGTCTCCCGCAACGTTCACAATGTCTTTTCCATCGTCTCCTACGTCGCCTCCTACCACCACCACGATCGGAGAAATAGGCTCACCAAGTACATCAATCTTCCATGGCGAGGCCGAAGAGCACGACCTGAGCTCTGCCCCTTTCAACTACCGTCTCGCAAGCAGGGCAAGTGAGCCGTGGGACAAAGATGCATCTGCTGGATCAACGTACTCCTCCACACAGAGCCGTTGATTTTCATGACCCTGTCCTTTTGTCGCCTTATCTCGTCGAGTTTTGTGAGTGACTATCGTATGCTGTTGCTTTGCCGACTTGGACTACAGCGTTGACCTCTTGATCTTCGTTCCTTTTCTGGGTGCAGCTTTTTCACCAATGAGATTCATACACGAATCTGATAAAGCCAATTGTACTTCAGCGTCTAAATACACTCACCTTGTATCCTCCACTGCACATCTCGACTTCTACTTGTGAGATGGCTCGGTTCTGGCCAGACTGGCGCTCAAGAAGTCAAACTTCTGCATCCTCGAGTCAACAGCTACGTGTGAGGGCGGCCAAGTGGCAAGAGTTACCGAAAGGTATGGCGCACGACAGGCACTTGGTTACTATTAGCAAGACCTTGAGGGTGTTACGATTGATGCGCATGGATGGGCTCCAATCACCTATGTGAAGGAAGTCATTAGACCAATCTCGCTCTATGGTTGGATAGAACGTATAGCAAACAATCGTTACGGCCAGCATTGGAGCATATGCTAGTTCGAAGGGGATTTTGGAACCAACACATGGGATTACGGTGGTGACTTATCAGAAGACCACCATTCGAAAACGGGGCATACTTCATTTCGTCATGTTGCCTGGATTGATTGTTCGGGCTTGGTACAGTAGCGTATCGTGGAGAGTCGATACACAAGCAAACGGCAGACGTTGACGAGCTTCACCTTGGCAATATTTGACCTATCAGTATTGCATGGCTCCAGCATGGAAAGAGCGTATTATTCAAGTGTGATTCTCGGAATCCACATAAATGAAGGTGACATTGGCATCGGAGATCAAAGGGAGTCCAAGGATAGTGAGCGTGGCGACTTGGCAAATCAGGTTGATGATAGGAGTCTAGGACAATATGGTCTCCAAGTTGTGGAGAAATCGAGCACAACGTCCTCCAATGGGTCCGAAAAAAACGCTTTGTATCCATTGATAGAATGTAACGGGGGATGGAGTTCGAAGGCGATTTACTCTTCCAGGTATACTGGAAACCAGTCTTGATGCGTATCTGCGACGTGCCAGAAAATGAGTTAGCAACGCCTTTACCCTGAGTATAAATCTAGTAGGCAGGGATACTACTGCAGGCCACAGACATCACCGCGCAGAAGCATGCTTTCTGCCTCTGCCTGGAGGTAGAAAATCAACAAGCGGTATTACTGACGAGGGCACCAAGAACACCGACGAGTTTGGTCTGCCGCTCTTGAAGACCGAAACAGCTGTGACATGCGATAGGAAGGTTGAACGGGAGGCTACATATTGGGAACTTGGAAGTTTATTGTACGCCATATTCCGCTTAAGGTTGAAGTACACCGACCATAGCAGGCTACAGTCCAGAATCGCTCTAGATGGGGATCGACTCCTACCTCTTGCACAGTCACACGCGTTAGGTATATTCACTCACCACATTATAGGAAACAGCTGAATGTTGCCACGATCATCATACCACACACCGTCTCCGACCAGAAAATACACGCTGTTTTGCGAGTGAAGGACGTGGTTTCAAAGGGCGTACCTGAGCCAGAATCATTGCGCAACAGTCCCTAGCTGCGCAGAACAACTAGCAAGCTCTTTGTGCGCAGTCATATCTCAGCATACTAAACGACAAGGCAACTTGAAGGTTACTCACAACAGATACGATCTCTGGCCCATCCCCTTCGTAGAGCTATAACTACGGCAGAACTCGCACTATCACAGGAAAGCATTTCACATATGCAGTAGGGTTTATTGACCCATGACTTGCACGGCATATGGTACGGGCGTATGTTCCGGTATGAGAGGGAAGAGAGACGCGTATGTCTTGGTCCTGATGATGGGGATTGTCGAGTTTCGGGCAGAACACGCTTTCTAGTGGAATTTTGAGTCCGTCGAAGTGATAGTAATGCGACGAGGCACGGCATGTGAAATTGTAAGCGGATGCTCTGTGTTGTCTGGAGCTTATAATGGGGTAGGGCAGTAGCAAAAGAGAGAGTACAGACAGTGAAAGGACGACAGGATGTTAAGTCACCGAGGAGTTCCACTTCGTCATAGTTGACGAACGAGATTTTCGCACGCTGTAAGGTCGTGCCTTTTGGCTCAATTTTGGCTATATGAGTGCGCCCGACCGCCTAGCTGCGGGTAGTAGAATCACTTTGCGAGCCTTGATACCACAATTGCAATAATACTTATGATGGCGTTGAAGTCTGCTACGCAGAGTACTCGCGCCAGTCGTCACTCTCCCCCACGCGTAGCAAACTTGGTCAGCAGTCTGGTTGAAGTCGCATTTGCGTGCATGACGAGGTATATCCTATTGGGGGATTTCACGCACAAGGGAGGCATATGGTAAGGAGAGACACATAAAGACTTACGGTATGCTGTATGCCAACCAAGCCTCCCCGACCATCTTATCCTTTCCAATCCAACTATTCGCTATATTAGCGACGACCGTCTTACATACCCAACCCACGAGAACGATCAGAGTTGTAAAGAACGGATGGCAATCCAATACCACTGTTTGCACGTCATCAGTAAGAAAAAGTACAGTACAGGAAATGGAGACGTCAAAAAACATCAAGAACAAACCTCTCAGACCGAATCCCGCGGCCATTCCTCCCAGCACGTTCCTGACAACCCACTCCCTATCCAGCTTGTCGTCATCGAGCACTCCCCAAGCTAATTGGAGCGTAGGACTATCAAACGTGATGGTATGCTTGTATCGTGGTGTGGACACGACGAGGTCAGCAGAGGCTGTCGGCGAAGCGGTTCCCCAGATGGACAGAAGGAAGAGCAGAAAAAACTTGGTTAGGGACGAGTAGAGTAGGCAAATCGGGATGTGTGAGTATCTATGAATATTGAAGAAGAGCGATGCATGTGAGGAAGTGGTGTGGTGCGTGAGCGATGAGTGACGGACCTGAGCTGTTCGCGAACGGAAGATGTCGTTGACTCGTGTGGCGGCTTCGATGACGATCTTTTGGACCAACTTGAACACCGTTTGAGACCCTCAAGGACGAGGAAAGACGATAGAGTGATGCCAGCATGAAAGGCAATGGTTTCTAAATACAAATCAGCTACACGCATTTTCAGCTAGATCGAAATGAAACCTCACCGATGAAACAACCTAGCCAGACGGGGCTGAATGCTATGGTAGCCTCTTGGGTCCAAGGGCTTTCCCTGGTAGCCGGAAAGATTGCGGCAGCAGGATCTGGTCCGTATCGTCAATATTGTGTTTATACACTCGCCACGATAACATACGTAGTCGTGACCACCTGATGACTAGAGCAAGAGCCTTTGTCAAACACGTTTCGAGAAGGTAATGCCCACAACAGAAATCACCCACATGCGTCTACCGTGACCAGCGCACAACCGAGCCGTGCAATCAACGAGCGCCGCATCTACGTAGAGGGTAAGAAAAATCAGCGAAATATACCTTGAGGAAAGAGCAAACCAGATCCACCTTCTCGCGCTCCCATTCGTCTTTCTCGAACTGTACATTCACGGCATTACCTTTGGCCCCGTCAATGGTTTCGTGGCTTGCATTATGCATTGGTGCAGCACCAGCTTTCCGTGGCGGGGCTCCACGATTGAATAGTAGATGGCGGTAAACGCCTCTCTTGAGCAAAATGAGGTCAAGAACGAGGATCAATGCGTCGTGCTCAACATATAGATCGGCAAATTGAAGACAAGTCGGCTGTGGGTTCAAGTGTGAATTGCGAGAGCGATAAGTTGCATATATTACAATGAGAGAAAAACGGACACATTGCTCGAGTCGGACATTGTGGGCAGATTGATATACTGTGTAGAGATAGGGCACAGGCGCCGTGCAATGTATGCAAATGGGCATGCGTGAGCAAAGCTAAGTCCCTCTATCAGTATTGCCTAAATCACGTTGCAGGAGTAACAAGGCAAAGGGGTCGAGAAATTAGGTAGATAACAGGCTATATATTGGTTGCTGACGCAGGCGCCAGGAAGCGCCACACACCGCGGTACCACGCCTCACTGTTCAGATTACGCCACAAGTCAACACGATTTGTGTCTTTGAACCATCACCATCACCCACTGTCATAATATTTGCCATGCCTCCCAAAGCTCCTAAAGAACCCACTAAGGCTCAGCTTTCGTCTCGCCTATCATACTCGCAAAACACACCCGCCTTTCTTCTCAGACTGCAGAACAAAATGGCTGGCGTCTCCGCGCCCGAAGACGAGGACGAGCCACAATACGAGGACGACGAGTTTGAGGACTTTGCGCGTGGATCGGGTCGGCCACCTATACCCAAGCGTCCAGCTGACTCACGGCCAGCATTACCTGAACGTCCGGCGGACGATCCAGGAAGTGCGGATGAAGATGACGGGGATGAGGCACCGCAGGTAGTTGTCTTGAAGGCAGGGAAGCATCTGACAGAGAGGGAAGCCGAGAATGAGAGGCGAAAAGGCGAGCGTTGTCTTCATCTGAGTTTTGTATACTATCATACTGAATGCTCCTCTCCTTTGACAGCAAAAGGCCTTCCTCCGCTCGTTGATAGTAAAGAGACGGACGCAAAGCCAGAAACAAAGGATGGCGTGCCAAAAGAACCGGGTCGGGCACAGACTCAACTGGAAAAGCAGAAGAATAGCCTTTCGTTTAACTCGTCCGGATCAGATGCGAAGAAAGGCAAGCGAAAAGTGGCTGTATTGCAGAGCGAGGACTTGCGAGACGGTGACCAGTCTCGCCCGGAGAAAAAACAGAAGAAGAAGGCGAAATTAGAACGCAAGGCCCTCCTTTCCTTTGACGATGATGCATAGCTCGACACTGCTTCGATGTGTTGGGTTCGAGTCTGGGTTCAGGTGAGTTTCTTCAAACTCCCCTGCGATATCACTTCCTTTGGCTCTTTGATTCCCGCTATTTATCCCACCAATATTTTCTCTCTAGGTTTGCTCTATTTGCGCTATGCGGCGTTTCATCCTAGTCGTCATCACGCGCGAGAGCTTCGCTATGAGTGAAGTTCCCCGTACTTGCTACATATTTGCGGGACAAGTTCGTCGTGGTCTGGTCTCCACCTCAAATCTTGTCATAGGCTTCGGAACCTATTGACTATGCCTATTGCACCTCACGCTCATAGTCCTCTCGTAAAGCTTTCTCTCACCTTGTCCATGCTGTACAATAATGCCATCGGCTGATTGTACCTCGACAGTGATCTATCTTCCTTTCCCCAATTCGTAAATTGATGTTCTCCCGCCTCCGCCGTGCTTTCATATTCTTCTCCTGTGGTATCATCGCATCACAGACACAAGCATTCATCTCATTCAGCTTTCGCAACCCGAGCTTGTCCATGATGTATGGTCACGCGGTTTACCCTATGCGTGAGTCGAGATTGTCACGTCTTTATTGCATGCTCATCGATGCCATTCCGTTCTACGCTTTGGCGGTCAGACGCTCACAGATCATTGCCATTCTCACATAATATGCATCCTCCTAGACGCAAATGTCTAGTCCATTTTTCCGATGTAATGTCAACCATGACACCGCAAGTGATCGCATGAAAAAAGACTGCTATCAAGAACGGTGAGTGGCATTCGCTGGTTTGTTCCTTCTTCTCGATTTGCGCGTGCGGGGATGCAATGCATCTTGTATCCTAGTATACTAGGACGGGTTGAGACCCTAGCACGGACACTCATCCGGCGATGGGATTAGTGGGGACTTTCACTGAAGAACCTTCACTGCACTACTTCGTGCCCTTACAGACCCAATGTCTACTACTTCTACAACATAATCCTGATATTCTGCCTCCCTATTTGACGGACAATGAACTGTTCACGTCCCTTTCCCGCTAAACCCTCTCCGTTTCGACCGGACCAAGTGAATCGATGCAAATGCTCATGCTCAAGGGCAGTCTGTAGGGTCCCAATCTGTTACCAAGTCTAAAAGGGATTTTAGTATGACAGAGCGTGGTTCAAAGAGAACCATGCGTACTTTCGTTCAGGGTGTCCAGATGGGCAACCTCCTCGTCCGTCAGTTCGAAATCAAATATCTCGGTATTCGAAATGATGCGCTCTTTCGAACTGGACTTGACGAGTGGCACATATCCCTACGACGAGAAACGTGAGGGGGGATTCTTTTGAAAGACGGACCGGTGTAATGAGCTTACCTTCTGGATGGAATAGCGCAAGAATATGTGAGCCGGTGCTTTATTATATTTCTTCGCCAGATTGACGATGGACGGATGCTTCATGCGCATTCCTCTGGCCAAAGACCCCCAAGCCTGTACAAAGAAGATGAGAGAAAAGCGCATTGTTATACTGAAAGATGTACTCACCTCGAGAACCATTCCATGCTGTTTACTATACTCCACGATCTCCGTTCGAGTCATGAACGGATGTAGGTCAATCTTGAGGCATGTTTAGCTCCCCCTGTATTTTCTCTGCATATGTGTCGCACCTGATGTACTGCCGGAACCTCAAGCCCCTTCGTATCTTCCTCAATCAACTGCTTCATGTGGAGCACGCCAAATGTACTGATCCCGATACTCTTGACTTTTCCCTCCTTCTTTGCTTGCACGCAAGCCCTCCAGCATTCCTTTCTCATCTCCCGTCCTCCCCATCTACATCGGCAACTTCAGAATCCGCACGTTATACGGAGGAGATCAGAACGCTCAAACTCACGGCCCATGGATGAGATATAGGTCTATATAGTCGAGTTTTGCCTGGTCGAGCGAGTACTGTATCGCCTTGAGGGTGGCATCATAACCCCTATTGTGCATGAGCTTGGTGGTGTAGAATATTTCGGAACGTGGCGTTGAAGTCTTGGTGCAGAAGTCACGGATGGCTTTCCCTACTTCGGCCTCGTTCTCGTACCATGTCGCAGAATCCTAAAGAATACAGACGTCATCGGCGGAGGGAACCAAAGTAAGATTGGGATGGATTGTTTCGGACAATGTGACGGTACCCCGTCTGTTGAAATCGGGGAGGTGTTCAGACAATAAATCGGAGATTCCAGACTAATGATACGCACCTCGAGTGCCCATGTAACGGCCTTATACGCGTCCTTTCCATCCAGCTCGTAGGTACCTGCTTATAAGTATCAACATTGGCACCGAAGTACTCTTCCTATATTTGCACGCACCAAATCCAAGAAGAGGGATTTGATTGCCATCGCTCAGCTAGGAGAGAGCAGGATCAGTTAAAGAACCCCTATCGCGAAGCGCCGAATTGAGCATACTTTAATTGTGGACTGCAGAGTTAGAGATGCCATTATATTTGAGTGTCGTCGCTGTATAGACAACGTAGGGGGGATAGTGGTCGGACGAAAACTTCTGGATGCTTGAAAGAGCGGCCGGGCGGTGGTGGAAAGACGGAAGAGCGACGACATTGCACTCGTAATGTGGCACCTCCATAGTTTGGGGGTGGCCCGTTGTGGCGCCTTGTTCAACGTTCGACCCGCACGCTCACCTTTACTAGTGGACTCAGTCTTCATCGCTCTCTCGATACGCTCTATTCTCATGGCTTCTTTACGTCCGACACTTGTCCGCCTTGCTCAGTCCATAACAACAAGACCTCTCAACTTGCAAGAAACGAGCGCAACACTCCTCCCACCACTTCCGTGCGCCATGCTCTTATGTTCTTTCCAGCACCTGGCTCTCCTGATGATTCCACTAGACTATACCGAAGATTGCTCAGAGCTCACCGCTTTCTCCCAGTTGAGATGAGGTCCCTGGGGGACGACTACATCAAAGCAGGTGAGTGAGCGCACGACTTCGTTCGTCTCTGCGTTCCCCCTACATACGTTGCTTTCACCGACGACTCTCCACGCGACATGAGAGGACAGAATTCAGAAGACATAAAGAAGTCGATAACCCAGTCTATATCATTGGTTTCTTGTCGCAATGGAAGAGATACCTTGATGAACTGCCGGCACCTCTGGAGGCGGAGAAGTTCACAGGAAGGAGGTTGGACCCAACAGTATTTGAAAAGGTCTGTTTCGTCCATCATATTTGTGATACATGGGGACTGGAACTCAAGTGTATTTGGGCGATATGACATGGCGGCGGGGTGGGGTGGCGGTGGACAGTTGTCGAAGGAGCAACTAGGTCAGCTATACGAACTCATGCATGCGACAAAGGATGTCTGGAAGCCTGTGGAACAGCTGGCCCAGGATGCCGCCGCCCGCAAGGAGGACGGGAGTAAATCATGATACGTGTGGCGAGCGGGTTCGAGTTAGGGAGGTAGATTCAGATAGGTTCTACATTGATGCAAGGGTCAAGTAGGTATGTTTTGCAGTGATTCTCCTACGTCTTCCGAAGCTGATTGTCGTTCTCCCAAGCTTGTATCCCAAACCCTTTTTTTGCGAATGTAAGCCTTCGTTCGGGTGAAGCAGAAGCGCCCCTCCTGGTCATAGTAGCGCGCTTTGTCGGCGACTCTCGCCTTTCGACTATTACTTGCATTGCACTATATCCCCATGGCCCAAAGGTAATGCGCATCCGCCTACCAAGATCTGCCGGAAACTTCATATCGAACTTCTTCAACTTTCCGATCTTTGTCGCCTACAAACATCCTCTCTGAGGCCGCCTTTCGGCGAATCTCGTGCATCGGGAGTCGAGGAGACAAGTCTTGACGTCCTTGGGATCTTCGACCGTCTCATCTACTGAGCAAGTACCGTGCAGCGTCATGGGTTTCCTGAGGGATCTCTTTTGAGGTTTTATTATACGCGACCAATCACTCTGCTTGCCTCGCCCGACAGGGCTTCGAAGCTCGGCGGTGACGCGTGACGTCATGTGCTTTCCTTCGCGGAAGTACATTCCGCTCATACCGCTGACCGACAGTCCCCACCCGACCACATCTGCAATTCACGAAAACATCATCGTGACTAACTATGGTATTCTCTGCTCTCCGTGTGACTTCCTGTCGAGCGGTTCCACTAGCCCCCTATAAAAGCTTGGTCGGACGTTCAGTCTCACATAACCCTGCTTTCCTTCGCCCAACCTTCGCCGCCCCGCTCGTGATCCCCTTCTCCGGCGTAAGGAAGATGTCTTCCTCTAGTGCGGTAGGATTCTTCCATTAGTGAAGCCGAATCTTATGCTTACGGCGTCTGCCTGCGTGCTGGCTATGCTTAGACCGTATCTGCCAACACGGCGCCCTTCGAGAAACTCCCACCAATCATTGTCCAGCTCTTTGAGGCTAAAGCTAAGAAAGGTATACCCGCTCACCTATGCCTTCTGTTCATGTTGCATGCTGCAGCGCTGACCACGGAGATGAGTAGATTTGACTTTCGAAGAGATCTCGAAGGCTATTGGGCGCGACGAGGTGTGGACTGCAGCTCTGTTCTACGGCCAGGTACTGTCTTCCTTCATCCCTTCCCTTCGATCTCTCCACATGCCACCCAAGACATGAATAGTCACTTCGGAGGTATTGAATCACTCTGAATACGTAGGCTAAGGGCTCGCCTGAGGATCTCAAGGCTCTTGCTGAAATCCTTGAAATCCCACACACGAACGTTGATGCGGAGATTGGGGCACACTGGTTCCCACAGCGTGGGTTGGGGCCTGTCCCACCAACGGACCCTGTGATTTATCGTCTCTTCGAGGTATGCAATCACGCCACACGAAAGGGGTGATATGGTTTCGCCCTCTGACTTCTTCATTCAACAGGGCATTCTCGTTTACGGCCAGGCTCTCAAAGCCATTATTCATGAGAAGGTGGGCGAAGTCAATTCACTATTCTTAGACTCTTGCCTTATGTTCTCTGCTAGTTTGGCGACGGGATCATGTCGCTCATCGATTGTAAAGTCCATGTCGAGAGGAAGCCGGACCCTAAGGGTGATCGCGTCGTCGTCACTTTCGAGTAAGTCCATTACGGTCCTACTTATCTGATCATGTTCGCCAACGGGCTAATGGCCTCATTCGCTTCACAGTGGGAAGTTCTTGCCTTATCTCAAGTGGTAAAACTTCGTATGTACAATCGATCTTTCCTCCAGAAATTGTATATCTTTCCTCCGGAAATTGTATAAGTAGTCGCAGATGGAATGCAATGGGATTTTATTCCTGTCTCTACTCCGCGCAATAACCGTGCATAGACCTGGTTCACACCAACCAAGATGGAGGTAGTTATGGTCGAAGGATAGGATGGATATAATCGAGGATGCTGGATGGAGGTGGCGCACACATCTGGAACAATTCTGTCGGTAGTTCATGTGGTCTTAAGCAAAGATATGATGCGATTCCAGCTGCATTCACGTCCTGGCGAATAACTTATCAGCGAGGGCGGCGCTGGCCATTCGGCCACCGCCACACGTCCTACATTTAGACTTATCACATGCTTTGATGAGTAAGCGCCGTTTCACGTCCACACAAGTTCGAATTCGCGGATCTTCCCTTTGTCTTCCCTCCCTACCGCATCCCAATAATCGGTGCGTATTCTATTTGAAAGGAGCGAATACAATAACCTGTAATCACTCATAGAAACCTTTTGCATAGACGGAAAATGGCTGTCGCTCGCGTACCGCCAGAAATTTGGGCAGATATTTTCGTGAAGCATTCGGAAGACCAACCATCTCAACGGATACATCTACATAAAGCTCCTCTTGTCTTCACCCTTGTCTGCCGTAAATGGCGTGCCACCGCATACTCTACACCCATGCTTTGGACAAAGCTTCGCCTCCCCGAACCTCCCAGAAATTGGACCTCACTGCGCTCATTTACCAGCTCTACTGCGCTCTGGTTGAAGTGCTCCGAGCCATATCCCATCGCTAGACTCGAAGTTCGTGGGCTGAAGGATATGCCGACGACTTTTCTACGGCGTTACCTTACCGCCATGATCTCCCACAGTCGACGATGGGAACGCGTTTGGCTACCTTTGGACGACCACGACCTGTCATTTTTTGACGGTCTTTCCGAAAATGCATTCCCGTTATTGAAGAAATTTCATCTTACGGATGCGCAGGGACCCGTTTCAACCGGTCTCGCTCGTGCTCTCAAGAATGCGACCAAACTTCGAGAGTTGACGCTAGGTCACCCTATTCTGGACGACTCATGGGCATTGCCATGGGCCGGGTTGGACACCCTCACACTCTCGAGCGCAATAGTTGACGAGAAGACCGTGCAAAAGCCCCGTCTTTGCATGAACTGGTTCGTCTCTGCCATGTGCAGCTCCATCAGACTTGACAGCCTATCGCTCAAGTTCGGCCCAGGGTTTTCCGACCCAGAGCTTGCTACCATCATAGCTTCCGCCGAACAGGTCACTCTACCAGACCTTCGGTATCTCGAGATTATGATGGACCCAGCGCTGGTCGCCATATTCGCAGACACCCTGATCCTCCCCCATTTGGACACTTTGTCGTTGTATACGGAAAACCAGCCATGGGAAGACGATATCTGGGACACCTTCATGGAGTTCACCTATCATTTCTCAGCAAACCTCGCTGACCTCCTTCTGTGCGACTCCTTCATGGACTCATCGCAGATCATCGAACTCTTGACCAACCTTTCTATGATCCAACATCTCGAAATCACCAACACAGCTGGGATTGGGGATTGGGACACGCTCTTCACCTTTCTCACCATCCGGTTCGGCAACGACAATCAACTCCTCTGGAGCTCCAACATTCTTCTCACCGAGATCGTGCTCGAACGGCCGAAACGGTGGAGCCTCGAGCCTCATCAACTCGGATGGCCTCATACCTGGAGTTACGATCAGCTTGTCACCATGTTGGAGTCCAGGCGACACGTCTCAACAAACAATTATTTTAAGTCCTTCAGTCTTCTCGTTACCGACAAGATTAGGATGCAGCAAGAGGCTCCCGATGCCTATGCCAGGCTCATGCGATTGGTCGAGGGTGGCCTTAAGGTCAAGACGACGGGCGACCCATGGGAAAATATGGAGGGGTCTGATAGTGGATCGCTGGCGGATGCTTCAGAGTATTCCACGGATGAGTTGTCAGAGTATTCCATGGGTGAGGATGTGGATGATATGTGAAGTAGGTGTTCATCGTCTCTTCATGCGCCATTCGTGTTCACACCCTTTTTTGGCAGGTTATCATATATACTTGGCCTTGTATTGTTCGTCGCTATTCGTACACTTGCATGTCACGATTCTGAATGAAGTTCTTGCCCCCACCCGTCAATAGGCGAGACACCAAACTCACCCAGTATCACTCCAATCGTCGACGTTGCTGCCGCGGTCTTCAACGCACAATGCTGCAGATTGGATAGCGGTTCGCCCAGCTCAGTTTCCAATTGTAATCATAGTAATACATACATATGCAAGTACTAGGGCTCAGAGTCCATAGGCGTCAAAGCCTGATCCAAAGAAATATCAGGACCATGGACTGGTTCCTGTAGGTCGCCGTTGACCATTTGTAAGGGTGCAACTGCTTCGTCCATGGCGGGAGTAGATGCAGGCGCCGATATATCCATGTCATTTTCCTCAGCTTGAGAGTGAGGATTAGGAGTCTCTGGTATCTCCGATATCTCCAGCTCCAGGCTCTCGTCTGAGCTGGTCTCGTCGTCGTCCACGTCCATATCCACATCATCGTCTTCTGCTTCGTCATCATCCTCTGCTCATGCAATATCGATATGCAGCACAGTGAACTCGTATGGAGGGTGAGAAACGTACGTTTGGGAGGTCCCCTGTCTTCCTGCAAGATTGCACGAGCGCTCCTTCGTATCGAAGCACCGAACTCTGGATCAGCAAACGCGGGCATATCCACCAGCGCACGCTCCACGATGGGATATCTGAAGGTCGAAGGAGGTATCGGCGAGACGAACGACGCGTAAGAGGTGAAAGGGACGCACCGGTCCAGTTCTTTCAGAAGTTCGCGCTGAACGTTGTCCGGTGCCATGTACTGCAGCTTTAGATCCGACTCCAAGCGCTTTTCTACCACATCGTCCACTCGTGCCATGAACGTCTCAAGTCCCTCCTAGCACCTTGGAGGCCTTAGCCTGAGACACACATCTCGAAAGATGAAAGAAACGCAGTGCGCACAGAAGCTTGGAATTGAGCATAGAGTTCGCGGCGAAGACGATCAAATTCGCCGGACTTTTTGTACCTGTAATATTCTTAAGTAAGTGAAACGAAAAGGCGATATCTCATGAAGCGTACTCAGCGACAAGCTGGTGGGGATTCTTGATGGACATGGTGGCGTGTAGGAAACCCGAAATAAAGGAACTTCGTGCCACAGGCTGAACATGACTTCCCGGCACCGGCCGAGGGCTTCAAGATGGATCCTTTCAGATTCTTTCTTGCTCTTTCCTTCGCCCAACCCATGCTGACCGCGGTCTTGATTTCTGCGCTTTTTTGCGAACAGTTTCATGTTGAAGGCAGACTGCCGATACTAAGACCCGTACTCACCAGCCCTCCAGCCCTCCAGCGGGAGTCGGGCTGTTGTACTGTCTGCAGACCACGGTCTCACTTGTATTCAGAGGTCTATACGAAGTTCAACAAAGTCGTTTCCTCGGAAGGCCATGGTCAGATGCTCATATGGAGGAAAGTTCGAATAAAGAGTGGGTATCGCAAGCGTCCATAGCATAATGTAAGAAAAACGTAGAAAACACAAGTTTCGAGCGCCACAAAAAGAGCGAGTAAAATTCCAAGAAAACAAGGAGGCAAAAAGAAGAAAATAAAAGAGGAAGCGTGTACGTGCATCTTGAGATCCAAGTCCATCGCGAGTACCACTGCAGTCCTGACCGGGCTTCCCAACCCCGCCGTGCACATTAGCCAGTCACAGATAACATCTCGTTGCCTGGCCCACTGAGCCCAACTCTACCACCGTCGTGCTCTGTTCTCACTCAGAATCCGACCTCCGCCCCGACCTCCTCGGGAGCCTATCCGAATCCGGCGTCGCCTGCAAAGCGTTGTACTTCGCTCCATCGCCGCGAGGAGGAGGCGTAACGTTGCCGGTGGACCCATCAGGGGAGTAAGGAGTGCCGTCCTGGAGATCGATCCTAGAGCGGGAGCGAGTCATGACGTCCGCAGCGAAGTCTTGACCGTACTGTTCTGCGAGTTCACTGAGGACGGATAGACATGGTTAATACCGATATGCAGAGTACGTTGGGTCGGGCACAAGGAATGACTCACTTTGCGTAGTTGTCCATGATGACGGCCATGGTGTTCATATTGAGCCTATACGCCTTGGGCATCATCCCCTTGCCGAACCTATACGTGACATGGTTCGAGCACAGCAGGCCGGCGACGATGCAGAAGATCAAGAAGGGCACGCATGAAAACGCGATGGTGTACCACCTCTCCAACACCATCCTCTCGAACCTGATGTAAGGACCTTTACAGCCCTCGAGCACGCTCCTCGAGTAACAGGTCTGGCTGACGGCGGCCTCGACGAACGGAGAGAAGTAGCCGCAGCATTGGAGCTGGTTCTGGATGCGAAGCCAACCGTTGATGCCGAGATCCTGAGACCACTGGGCGTTGACTTTACCCTCGAGATTGAAGGTGCGTTTCTTGTAAGTGATGTAGCCTGGAGTGAGGAGGAAGGCGAAACAGATCCAGAGAAGGAAAGTGTATATGGCGAGGAATGAACGGTTGTTGAGAAGAACGCCACCCCAGCCGATGAGAGAGGTGACGAGGGCGAGGGCAACGGCGATAGTGGACAGGATGAGCTCTGGGCGGTTGCCGACGCGGACGACATCAGAATTGTCGAAAGCGTCGAACCAGGTGCAGAGCAGGAAGATGAGGCCTGCAAGGGCGTAAACGGAGAACTAGATGAGAGAACGAGTGCAAAAGAGATCAGAGCCGATCCGGGCCAGGCGATGAGTGATGGACGAAAGACATACGAGGACGATAGAACAGAAGAGGGTCCACTTGAACCTGTTCCACCTCAGCCTCATCGGCTTCTTTGCACCATCCTTGCCAAACCAACCCGACTGCACACCGTCGTAGTCCTCGTCGTTCGCACCGGGCATCCTCGCCTCTCCCTGCTTGAACGCCTCTCTTCCACCGCCGCGCTTAGGGATACCGGGCGGTGCAGTCTTGCCAATGTTCCTACGTCTGAAACCATTGTATAGCAGAGAATCGGAGAACTTTGTAGGAAGGTAGTTGGCCGAGAGCGATGGCGAAGTGCTGAGCGGGGGAGCATTCAGCGGGGTGTTCGACCGGATCGAGTTGGCGGATGCGAAGGGGACCTGGGGCACCTCCAGTTCGTTCGACCTATTGCCGTTGCTGTGCCGGTTCAGCACGTTTGGGAGCATCTTGACAGTGCGCTCTGGTAAATATTAAGGAAAGACTGCGACGGCCAGGCGGTACGACGAAAGGAGCTCGTCGTGGCACTCCCAATCACACCGATTTCCGTATGGCGTCTACTCGCCGTTCTCCGGTCTTCGCTTCCCCGCCACTGTGGCCCACCTCCCTGTTGTACAGAATGATATTTTCGCTCGACATCGTCCTCGAGCTCCTACTGCAGCAGAAAACGACCATATGAACGCAGACTGGAACCAGACGTGCGAGTAGAGGGACATCGGATGACGACAATTATAGTGGCGCCCTTTACCGTTTCAATTGGATGCGGCCTGTGCGTCCTTGGGCAATCATTCGACCAATACTCCAAAACGTAGAGGATCGGACAAAAGAACTCAAGATATGCAGGCTAGAACAGGGGGAGCAAGAAACCCCAATGACGACGATGGTAGAGCGGAGGGTGTAGAGTACAGGTCTCATTAGACGATGGCGAGAGCGCAAATACGATGAATAGCATCGTTTACTGCCATCTTTTCAAAGCGTAACGAAGCGTCGAACAAAATTCAGGTCCCAGTGGAAGCGAACACTTCAGTGTACAACTTGCCGAGCAAAAAGTATCACGCATGGAACAGATAGCCAACATGTTATGCATTGCCGCACAGATACTACAACTATACATGCAAGAAAAAAAAGACACAAGGCAATGATAAGACACCTGAAGGAAACAAGGTATCGTCAGTGAAGAGATCTTCGACAAGAAAATAGCCTCGCGTCAAAGGAAAGATCAGACATCCATAGGAAGGTCAGTTAACCCTCATCACGCCGACCGCCCGCGTTGCGCCCAGCGCACCGCCAGACGAGCTGGACGGCGGCCCACGCTCCTGCAACGTCAATGGGTTCAACGTGCCATGGAGGGGGAGTGTAGACGTTTCGCATTGGGGGAGTACTCCGAAGAGGGCGTTAGGGTGGAAACTGCGAATTTCGGCGAATTTTCATCCGGAGGGGACGCGAGGCTGATGGACAGAACAAGGTAATAACACTCACTGTTTCTGATAGCGAACAAGCTTGACAGAGGGAAAACAGTGCCTGGAGAGAGATGTGATTAGCGATGAGGCGAGAGGGATGAAGGAAGAAGAGGTGAAAAAAAGATCAGACGAAATGGCACTGGCAAGTACACTATGCGTCCCGAAGGACGCGTGTCTGTTGCGAACAGACACCTCTGTTCCTCGGCATGGTCGTGTAGGACGGGGAAGAGAATAAAGTCATCATAGTAAAAGAAATAAGAAGCCCATAACATTGGGAGATGAGGCTTACCAGCAGAGAAAGACGGAGATGGAAGAGAAGGACGACTCGCACAGAAACGCAAAAATGAAAACTTTATAGCGTGCGCACGCGGATGGGTTCAAACTCCGCCGGGCAAAGCCCGCGGGTGCGCGTTCCACGACGTCAACGACTGACGACGATCCGCAACATAATATTCATCAGCGTACTAGTCGTCGCGGTCATCATCATCGACAACGACAAGCCACCCTCTGAACGATGTCAACCGCTATTGCTACCAGCCTACCCCGCACTATGGCTATCCCTCGCGACCAGGAAGTCATCGACGTCGATCTCCTAGATGACGACGACGACGACGACGTTGTCTTTCTCCACCGATCCGTCAGACGGAGGCTTGACGAAGACGGGAGCTATGTCTCTCCCTCTAGCTCGTCGTCGCACTCGACCCGAGGTGAACATTACTGCGATTACTTACAACGTCGGCACTGATTCTCTCATGCCCAGGCCGTCTCATCTCTCCGCCCCCTCCGGCACGCTCAGGCACCATCCCTCCCGTGCCCCCCATTCCAGCAAATCTACGGTTCTCGCGTTCTCGTTCTAGAGAACCATCTGCCACAGGCCTTATTAGGCCGAACGAACGGCCATTTTCATTCGAACACCGCTTCCGTCCACAGACGAGAGCTCGAGAGAACGTACGCAGCCACAATGCTCCCGCTCCAGCGCCAGTACCTGCACCTGCTGCAGCTCGCCCTTCACACCACGTTCCCAACATGGGTTTCGGTGGAGCCATTCTTCGTCAGAATGCGGAGGAGGCTACTCGTAACAGAAGCAACCTAGGCTCTGGCTTCCTCAACCGGTTATTCCCTCGCTTCGGCACATGGATAGGTTGGGACGATGGCGATGAGGCAATGGAAGATGCTCTCGATGTTGCCGCGATGGCTCGCGCCGGTGGTGACCCGCACTGGTCGTTACAAGCTCATGACGCTCTTTTCAACGCACCTGGCGATCACTTTGGCTCTCACTTCCGGCGGAAGCAGCCAGACTACAAGCCGATGTACACACATCCTAGACTCCCTGCGGATGGTTTCACGCATAGTTTTGCTCCCCCGGCTCAAGCGCTTACCCCGCCTTCGGACGTCATCGATCTCGACGATGAACCTGGCCCCTCTTCCCCCACCACAGACATCAACACCACCCTTGTCTGCGCGAACTGTCTCCATCCGTTAGTCTTGGGTGATGGGGTTACTTCCGACCAAGAAGCCAAAGATAGGAAGCTCTGGGGCCTTCGTTGCGGCCATATCCTCGACGGTAAATGCATCGACATCGTCATGAGGAAGCCTAGTACTCCTCCGCCTTCAGACATAGCCGGGGAGGATGTGGAGGTAGCCGCTGAGCGTGTGGATGAGGCAGGTGACGACGTGGAGAAGAAGGGCCGAAAAGGGAAAGGCAAGGCTGTGTCGCAGCTTTATCCCTGGTCTGAACTTGGACTCCATTTGGACTCAGAAGGAAATCTCAGCACTGTCGGGATTCGTTCGCGCCTTCGTCCTCGCAACAACTCCGGTACCGTTGTTTTCCCATCTGTCTCGACCTCTCCTTCCAATGATACGGACTCCGCCGATCCGAGCAGCAACGTCACCGATACTTCATCGGCCAGCACGTCTTCGCCTGTGCGAAGGGCAGCACCTACTTCTCCCATCCATCGTCGTCTTGCTGCGGTTAGAAATGGCAGCCTTCCGAACGCTCGGGCAGGGTCCAAGGGGAAGGGGAAAGGCAAAGGGAAGGTCAGAGAACCTCGAATCGAAGAGCGGTACGAGTGGAAATGCCCCGTCGCGAAGTGTGGTCGTACGCATGTCAGCCTCAAGCTCGAGGGAAAGGGATGGGTGATGGATGAGAAGGCGGGGGCCATCGGCGTCTTTGTGTAACAGGATGCAAACCCAATCACATGTCGCTGCATTGCCCATGGCTTTATGCTTGTATCGTACGTATTTTGTTTCGCGCCGTCCGATTCTCAACAAGGCTTTCGAGCAGACTCTCACATACACTTGATTGTCGATACGTTTATTAGGTTCTGCGCATGCTCGCATTCGATCCTCGTCTCGAACTGCCCTCTCCATATCCCCGCTGGGATCCTCGCCACAACCGTCACCACTGGTGTCTGGACTCTGCCTAATAATAATACATTATGCACACTGCGTTCATCTCACCAGCAATGGTCTATTGGAGAAGGTGCAGTCGGTCCGAAAGCTTCGATTCCTATGTTCATGGTTAGCACATGATCATATCCTTTTTATGGGTGGGATGACGTGGTAAATGTCGAACTATCTCAGCTTTGGACTGTCTTCACTAGACTTGAGACATTCCTGCTTGTCGACCTGGCGCTCGCTACGTATCGCTACTCCTGCTGTTTCCATCGTCTCAGCCTCAGCACTGGTCGATACCTGGTGGCTTATCTGTTATGCACTGCGTGTCTTTGAAACAGACGAAGAGCAGCCAATCCAGATCTCTCCACATGCATTCCATCCAGCTTCGCGCATACAGGGAAGTAATATTCCTGGTACGTATATCTACGTATTCGGGACGGTGCATTGTGGGGGTGTACTCCATCAGCTGCCTTATGCTACTCCCCTCATCCTCGTGAGCATAATGCAGATGCCTTACGACTTCCAAGTTCCTCCGAGGTCGAGACTGCAGAGGCCCGAGGTGGCGACGTCATTCCCTTCTTCCTCACCTTCCTAATATTTGTTCGTGGGGACGTAGCGAAATGGTATACGCTCGATCAAAGCACTCGTCTGTCGACGTAAGCCCCTGATAACTAATCATTACGCCGTCCAAACAGAGATCGCGTTTCCACCGATGGCGGGAGTCAACGCGTTGAGTTAACTTTGCTCGTGGGAGACAGCATCACCAATTTTGGTGCTAGTAAGCGCGAGGTTATTTTCCCCCCTTCCCCGCGCTTTCCCCTCGTGCATTCGTTCCTCCACCTTCGTACTCCTAGAGCTCTTCAGCATCTGAATTGCTTGAGCCTTCGCTGATTCGATGAATTTTCCTGTTGTCCCGCTGAACACTGAACCTGCTCTAGGCAAGATCGAAGATACAGGGTGTGTTTGACCATTAGCTCTATATGTTGAGCTTGACTGAATGGACATCGTTTATTCCCCAAGCTTTGATTATACTCCAGGGTCACATATGCCCGTCGACACGACCGAGAACGGCAGATCAACCTTTTACTAGTGGGTAGTCCTCCATCTTTCCAAACCTCGTGCAGTCAACGGGTGTAGTCTTCAAGCTCAATTTCTTGACAGCGATACGAATCGTGCATTTGTCGAACAAGCTCAGGCTTTCCCGACGACTATTTATGGGAAAGGTTATTCCCAAATTATGTCGCCTCGGGCATGGATCGGACCTCAAACCGACAGTCCGACCATACGGGGTGGCTTCCATCCACTGCAACCTTCAGCCACTTCCGACATCGTAGTATCTATAGCCACACTCCCGGTGGAAATTTTGGACAAGTGTTTCGCGTACCTGGCCGACATTGATCCACCACGATCGAGTCGGACGAAGGCGTACTTCCACAGTCTGGCGCCCATTACCCATCTCGGCTTCGTCACCGTGACGCACGTCTGCAGCCACTGGAGACATGTCGCAATTAACAACACTCTTCTCTGGACCACACCTACCTTCGACCTTGGCCCCGAGTGGCTCGCAGCGACGCTATCCAGGGCGAAGTCCGCACCGCTTACTATCCGCCACGATTTTGGGGACACATCTCTGTCCCGCCGAGACAACCCACTCGCCCTTGAAGAGATGCACGGCGTCATGGAGACTCTGCGTTGTCACCTGTACCATACTATCACAATCGACCTGTATGGATCTCTTCCTCCACCCGACATCTTCCCAATCGAAGACCTCCTGAGCTGCTCTGCTCCTGTTCTCGAGTCCCTCGCCATTGAACGCAAGTCACCACTTTCTCCGATCCTACTAGGTGACGATGCTAGTCGGTTGAGGCAGGTGCAGCTCGTCGGAGTCGGGGAGACATGGATAGTGCCAGTGTTCACTGGCCTGACATGCCTACACATACACGCCGAGTCGATATCCGCCAGTACATCACTCTCTCAGTTTCTCGACATGTTGGAGCAAAATCCTGAGCTGGAGTACCTGAAGATCACCTTCGCACTTCCCCGTACCGACAGCCTAGTCCCCACACGTCGCATCGCGCTCCCTCTGTTGAAGCGTCTGAGTGTCACGGGCTTCCCATCCAGTTGCGCTACTCTGTTGAGTAACATCGTGACACCTCCGAGCACCGCCTTCGCGGTGTTTGCGTCTTCGCTTCCCGGATCTGAGGACGACCATAGCGCTTTACTCTCCGCACTGGCATCCAAGTTCCTGGCCCTCGACCCCCCTCTCCGTACCCTCACAATTCAACCCCAGGACTCTGATATCAACGGAGATACACTATTCGAAGGCTCTCAGACTGTCGGCGGGCTCGATGGGCGGCCACACTTCGAAGAGTCGCTGAGTGGCGGTTCACCGTCCGATGTTCCTTTAACCCTCGAGATATCCCCTGCCGAGACCTTCCCGAACGACTACAGCGGAAGCACAACACACGCCATCGAAAGCCTTCCCCTCCTCGACGTGGAAGTGCTTTCCGTGAGGTATGCGCAGCCCGCGGTCTCTGGGATCTGGACGAGGGCTCTTTCACGCCTGAAGCTCGTCCGCTACCTCGAGCTTGAAGGCTGCGCTCTCTACGCTCCTCTCTCAGCTCTTTCACTCACCGACACCGCATGCGACCACCATTCGATCTCCATGGCCTCCTTCCCGCGACTTGCGCGTCTGCAGATCAACCGTACTGATCTCACCGAGCGGGCTGCGTCCTATAACTGGAGGAGTTACGAGCATCTACTTCTAGATGTCCTTCACCTACGAAAGATGCGCGCCGTCCCGATCCAGTGGTTGTGTTTGCAGGATTGTCGAGTGTCGGAGAAAACTCTTGCACATTTACGAGGTATTGTCCCGGAAGTCCTAGTCCAATACTCGCGGACCTTTGAGGAAGACATGTCGGGGCCCATTTCATGCCACCGCTTGACCTGATCATTTCTCTACTTGTACGTTGTCAGTGGAACGTCATTGATGTACAAATATCTCTCAATTGTGTCGCTCCCCAATAAAGTTTCGCCTTCACCGTGATACATGAGCGACCTGCATGCGTAATCTTTGGAGTAAAGTCCGCTGGATACCGTAAGTACGAGCAGCGATGCTCAATAATACACTGTCGACACAAGTCATAAAGATCAATTAAACGCTAAAAACATCTAGAAATATACTATCGAGAGAGTCGATCCCGACCACAACAGACGACATTAGTACATTGTTTTGATTCATATGTTTCAGCTTCATTCGGTCCCAAACACCAAACACGCGCCGTCGTCTCCTGCGGTAACTATGACATTTCCCCCCAGGCCTAATGCGGCACCCAACACGGGACCGTGGTGCCCTTTGTGTTCCCGCAGAAGCGCGCCTGTACGAGCGTCCCAAGTTCGCAGCGTTTTATCTGCTGATCCAGACACGACAAGGTGTGGTTTTGTCGGGTGAACAAGGAGAGTCGTGATAGAGTCCTGCCAAGGAGCGCGAAGGGTCAGCGGCGATCACAACGGGTCCTTAAAATACGAGGATATGACGTACCTCATGTTCCAGAGTGGCCCTCAGCCTCATCGTGTTCAAATCCCATATACAGGCCTTTCCATCTGTTCCACCTGTGACGACCGTCCCACCACCCGGAGCACTCGCCGAGCCTCCGACAGTGCCCACAATGTTCACAAACACGGCGCTCTCAACACTTTCTCCCTCCTTATGGCCACCCAAAGCGTTAAGGACCTCTCCCTTGCTGAGACTGACTACCCGAACTCCGCCGGCGGCACCACCTACGACAGCGAGGGTGGATGAAGGATTGATAGCGAGGGAGGTTATGCCGTCAAGATTGAAGCGGTTATTGGATGATGTGAGCTTGAAGATTGGATTTGGGGAGCGGGGGTCCCAGTAGATGAGGTTATTATCGGAGTCGGCAGTGATTATTCGCTTCCCTGAGGGGCAATGAGAATGGGATTCGGATGATGATTGTGAGTTATCTTACCATCGGGAGTGAAGTCGCCACATTGTATAGGACCAGTGTGGCCCGCGAATACTTGCATCGTATTTCCAGACGGCACTGTGAGGTATGTCAGCTACGGTGCAAAAAACTCGACGGAGGTAAAATACGAACGTTGCCAAAGCCATACAGTGCTGTCATTCGCACCAGCAAGTAAAACGCTGCCTTTTGGATGCCATTTGAGCCACTAGAGCGAAAATGAGTGGTAGCCTAAAGTTTTCGAGATTGAGACGTACCATAACCTCGTCCGGACCTTGAAGCTCTGTGAGGAACTCCCATGTCTTCCAGTCATCCTTCCCTACCCTCCTCCATATCCTCACACGGCCATCCATACCGCCCGTGGCGACCAATTCTCCGTCAGCACTGAAACCGGTAGCGGAGACGCTGTCCGTGTGGCCCGTAAGCTTTACGATTTCGTTCCCTGTCTCGAGATCCCAGATGTATCCCAGATCATCTTCCCCACCCGAGACAGCAAGAGGTGCGGTTGGGTGCGCAGATACGGCGAAGACAGACTGGCGATGAGCGGGAAAATGTTGGATCGAGTTATCTTCGTACACGATGTCTCCTTCCCCTGAGCCCCCTTCCATACCAGACGGAAGCTCCCCCAGCTGGTCATTCTCGTCCTCACCCTCGTCCATAGGATGGTCACCATCGTCTGCAATGACCTCGTACACGTCGTCGGCCTCCAGGTATCCTTCTTCATCCTCCTGGCCCTCTATAGTCGGGTCTACCTCGTGATGGCCTGATGATGACATGGATGTTGAAACAAAAGAAAGCTATGAAGACCGTGGAAGTTGACTAGACGTGTTATATACCAGGACTATACAGTGGCTTAGTAACGAGCAGAGAGAGATGCTGAGCGAGCAAAGCAATAAAGATATAGCTGACAGAGTGAGAAAGTTGGCGTTAATATTTCTCGATCTTTTGATCTTATCTTATCGACCTTTCCGGGTGATCGAAAAGAACCGACCAAAGGGCGCCTTTGCATCTTCAGATCCAACTTTGTGCCAATTTTCGATCACCGCGTCCCAATAGCTCCCCTCCACCACGAGTAAGTAACAGCTCGTCGTCACAGATCACTTAGAATTACCGCAGTCTACGGGAACAGGTCGAGCCCTGTAATATTCGCGTGCGCAGGTAGCTCTTTGAGCCAATCGCGCTCCTTTTTCACGATGTTTCTCTATTACTATCACTAGTACTAGTCTGAATTGACGATATCAGGCTGATGTCATTCATGCAGCCAAGAGCCTAACGCCCGCTTTCGAGGTAGTTGTCACCATGTATGACTTTTTTATGAGATACATCTCGCATATATCATACCCCAGATATCCACTCCGTTGCGAAAGCACCGCACGATGACCGCTGCCGGACTATTTTCCTTGGCGACACAGGGCAGCGTACTATCCCGAAACTGCAAGCGACTGAAGGCGGCTCGACATTTATCGCTTCTTATTTCAATTCATCTAGGTGGTCTTTTATTTAACAAGACTGGGTGACTTTCCGTAGCAGTCTAGGAGTGTTTCTTGACGCACAGAAGCACAAATACGAGGCTCTCAGCCAATCAGAAATCGATCTGAGCCTCTTTTCTGTGTTCTAGGTCTCTAGAACGTGCACAAACCCCCTACGGAAAGTCACCCACTGGAGGCAGATCCTGATAGTTTGCGCCTGGCTTGCCCCAAATATTGAGCAGGAGGAGTCGGTTCGTCGTCCAGGTCATCAGCTTCACGCCTCCCTCTCAGCTATGAGTACCTTCGCTCAGTCCACGTGAGTCATTTTCAGTCCCGTTTCTCGGGTAGCTGCAGGCCACACCTTACATTTACGACCATTTGCATGTGCAGATGGGGCCCAATACTCGTCGGGACCTTTATAAACATACTCTTATTTGGAGTCACGGTCGCACAGCTGTATATGTACCACCAATCATACACAAGGTGAGCAGTCTTCCGGTACCCATTTGCTGAACTCTGCCAGCTCATGTTTTTATCCATAGGGATAAATTCTGGTTGAGATGCTTTGTTCGTCCCAGGCCTCAGCACTGCGCTATTGACCGTGTGGACCTGATTCTGTTTGTTGCCGTCAACAGATCGGTATCCTTTTCGTCGCAGATACAATCAATACAGTTTTCGACATGCAACTAGTGTATGACGCCCTTATCAACCATTTCTGTGCGTTTTGGTGACTCCCGCAAAAGGCCTGTCCTGGTGCTGATTAACCTGACTTCTGTAGCCGATGAATCGTACCTCGAAGTTGCGACATGGGGTGAATCTATGCTCTACACCTCGCATATTGAATAACTCGCTCAATTGTTTTTGGGTGCAGTCTTCCGGACGGATCCCGCTGTGCGTAATATTCAGTCGTTCTACTTCTTCAAGTCATTTAGAAGGGGCTTTTATCCAATGCGCAGGGTGTCATCGGGATGGCAGTCCAGCTATTCTTCGCCTGGAGAGTAAAAGTATTGACCAATAGCATCTGGGCCACCATCCTCGTCGGCTTCTGCGCATTTGTTTCGTGCTGTACGCCCACATCCGTCCTCGACCATTCCAAATTCTAAATTTCTAATGCCACTTTACTGCACACAGGCGCAGGGGTGGCTACGGCGATAGCGGTCGGCATCGTTCCGCGCTTCGTTGAGTTCCAGACATTCAAGCCGGCTGTCATAATCTGGCTCGCTCTCTCTGCTCTTTGTGATTGCCTCATTACACTCATTCTAGTGTCGTATCTGGTGTGTTTCTCATTCTTCTCAGTCTCACGACAACGTGGATAAAGCGAGGAAAGACGTTGAACATGGTTTACGATGCGTACAGAGAAAACAGAAGAGCGCGTTCGTGGTGACAGATGGAATCGTGGACAGGATCATCAGACGTACGCTCAAATTCCAGTGATATGCCTGGTCCGGGGATACCGACTCAACTACTGTTCTTCGGCTAGTCACGGTGCAAACTGGCTTGATTACATCCATCGTGCGTTCGGGCTCATCATCATCTTTGGCCACGCATTCTTGTGCTGACAGAGCTTGGCTCCACTAGGTGGCTGTTGTTAGTACCGTTCTCGATAAGATGGTCTACCATGTCCATTATCGTCGCTCACCGTTGTTTTTCAGGCCGCTCTCATCGCCTTTCTAGCGAGTGTGCGTGCCCATCATCCACATCGTATTAACCCTCTATCACTCACTTGTATCGTCATCGGGCTTTACTTCACCGAATAGCCCAACGGCCTGCATCTTGTCTTCAACATGCCTCTTGCGAAATTGTATACCAACTCCTTACTTTCGTCACTCAACGCAAGAACCGGTTGGGCCTACAATTCATCATCACAGCCTGATCACCAAGCGAACACCCTCCATGGACAATCATCGAAAGGTGCAAGGAGGCGTCAGGACGTGCTCACTTTCGAGGGTACAACGACCGCTCCCGAGGTACGTCTTCCCGCAAACTCCCAGCCACCTGTCTTTTTCCACATTCTTCAATTTGGGTGGCGTCGGACTAAAAGTGGGAAATATCAATATGCAGGTGTTTGTAAACGTCGAACAACATGAGATGAGCGACTCCATCGTGGGCGCGAATAAGCGTGGCAGCGGGGATTACACTTTCGACGTTACCACGGACTCGAAAGCGTATCCGTAATTGCTTCATATTCATGGCTTGCCTCCATTCAGTTCTTTCCGCACCGCGTCATAACCCGAGGCGCCAACGCTTCCACTGTCATCTTTTCGCGATGTCGCTGTTTATTGACGATGAAACATGACATTATATATGCCACCTCCCTGTACTTTTTGCTTTCAACTACGTAAAGTGCATCTAGATCTCCCATTGCGTCGTTCTATGGATGCTATTAATGTCCAGACATGCGCATTAGGCACCTACAACGTACGGTCTAAAAGTTCTAGCTTCCTGATCTGTATTAAACTATGTAAAGGGAAGATACGGGATTATTCGAAGCTCAACGTCTACAGCATACGATAGACTTCAACAATACATAATACACATTACACCGACTGTTCCATCGATAAAATCAATAGCCAGGGCTCAATTGGTCCTATACGGTCTCTGGCAGGAGAAGCGATTCGAGCATCTCCGTCAACTCCATCGAAAATGATCGCCCAATCTGGCGTTTTGGCTTCTTGGTGTGACCGAGATGAGGGTTTTGATGGTGTGGACCACGGGGTGCAGGCGGGACATCGCATGCGAGGTGACGTGCTGGATCTTCAGGTCGAGTCACATCATACGAAATGGATGAATCCACGACGAGGACACTCGACGATCCAGCTTCCTTGTTTTGGGTGGAGACCTTGTCGGCAGAACGCGCAGAAGGGTATGGTCGAGTATTGGGGGTGACAGGCCCAGTGCTGTCAGAAGCGGATGATGGTCCACCGCGCTGTCCAGTATATCTGAGCTCTGGGACGCTGTCGGAAGACTCTGGGATGGATGTCTCCTTGACGTGAATGACGATGTCAGCATCGGTGTGAGATTGATCTTGGAATTCAGCTTGAGCTTGAGCTTGGGCGACGATTTCCCTAACGATCTCGGAGCCTTCTCCGATCTCCGCATCCGACATGAAGAAGCTACCGATTCGGGAGACTTGGTCGTACATGTCTGCGAGGCTGAGACGAGCGGAGGGTATGAAGGCAAGGATACGGCTGATGACCTCGCTCGCTTCTTGAGATATGGGGAGACCATTGCGAATAGAGTTTGGGTGAAGGAGAAAGGCCGCGAAGTTGCGGTCGGAGGTAGTTGCGTGACTCCAGGGATTGTGAGCCGTAATCATCTGTTGTCGGACAATACGAGATGTAAGACATCAGATAGAAGATTATAAGATTGTAGAGCCTCGCCTGCACTAAAAGGATTCCCATGGCCCAGATGTCACGTTTGGACGTCGAGAAAACTCCGCTGGTGGAGAACTTGTCGTTGAGACACTCTGACGAAGACGATCAGGATCCAACGATGGGATTGTGAGAGGTCGCACTGACCTGGGCTCAAGTAACCTGGGCTACCCACACCGAAATCGCGGGACAGAGGGAGGTCGGTAGCTAGACCAAAATCTGCAAGCCAAACATGACGGCCATCTTCAGAGACTAAGACGTTGTCTGGTTTGAGATCTATTGATGAAGGCGTGCATTAGCGCCTTGGCACACTCTTATCATTTGCATGCACGTACCTCCATGGTAGACACCTTGGTCATGGCAAAAGGCGACAGCATCGATCAAACCGCAGAAAGCCTCCTTCAATAGATCTCCCTGCATCCAGTAAAATTTCTTCTCAACGATGGCGGTGAACAGGTCAAAGGGCTTGAAATCGAGGAAGACGTAGACGAAATCTGAGTCTTCAAAGGTGCGGTGGAGGGTGACGACATTTGGGTGGGTAGAGACTCGATGGTGAAGTTCTATCTCGCGTCGGAGAGCCGCAAGTCGACGTCGGGAGCGCAGACGCTTGCGCTGAACCTTGATGGCATACTCTGGCTGCTCGGTCGAGACGGTATTGAGGGCGTAGTATACAGCACCACAGGCTCCTGCAGCGATGAACTTCGTGAGAAGATACGACTCGGCAATGGTCCGGCCACTGAGCTTCGTAACAGAGGGTTTGATGAGAGACATCATGATGGTGTGTGTGGAAAAGTGAGTGGAGAAAGATGAAAGAGGGTAGCGACCAGAACCCTGTGCGGAGGCGTTCACGTATCGTTGTTTCGATTTAGACCAGCAGGCTCAACAACGCATGAGACCAAATGCATCCGAATCAAGCGAGGAGGTTCGGTCCAGGCATAGAGAGACAGCATCGAAGACGGGTAGTAGTGTCGACTTGAGACTGCCGTTGACCTCAGTACGAGACGAGATTTCCGAGTCTTAACACAGCAATCTAGGATCTAGACAAGAGACACGTACAAAGACTACATGTAAGTATAAATATGAAGATTATAATGAAGTGAGCAAGCTACGGTTGTGAAAGTCGCTGAAGTCGGAAACACGGTGTGCATGCAGAAAACCACGAATGCCGTGGGACCGCGACCCGGCGACTGCCGGCTTGCTCCCTTGACTTCCGAACTAGGCAGCATTCTTTGTCTGCTACTCACGTGTCGACTCCGCTATCCTCTGCTCCCAGATTGTATCTTTGCTTGAAACCAGCATCACCGGCACACGTGGAAAGGCGAGCGTGTAGAAAGGAGCGGCTCTCGCGTTCTGCCGGACCACTTGAGGGACTGCTGTTGGACTGCGGCTACTACGAGTTTAGCAAACACCCTTGCAATCGAGCGAGCCCCAGAGTCAAAGCCTGAGAGATGGTTTTCTTCGCTTTCTGATGGTATTGATTAGGTAATCATGGACTGTGATTGTGAAATACCTTGCTTCGTACCTCAGGCTGCGATGTAGGACGACGCTCTCGCTGGTGCCAGTCGGACTTGTCAATTTTACCATTAGTCGCTTCCCCTGTCTTCCATGTCTAACCTCTTGTCCTATGGAAAGTGGCTTCAGTCTCCCAGAACATCAAGTACGTACGTTGTTCTTGATTGTTCCATGATTGACACCATACTTATACTAACAGAAGTCAGCTTCTATAGCAAGAACGAGGTCAACAAGTACTCACTTCATAGCTCTCATAGAAAGGCACCTCCCTGTCAAGTTCAACGCTGCCAATGTAGGTTTCCTTACTCTCCGCGAATGTGATCCTCCGACGCGAAACATGCAAGCTCCGGGTCGGCCATGTATCGTTCCTGTAGATGCAATATCGTTCCTTGATCTTACCGTGGGTTGTGCAACTCATTTTGGACCTTAATCAAGGGTATACTCCACTCGGATCTCATAGCCCCTCGAAGCTGTTCGTTTTGTCCATCTGGAAATGGTTGGGTTATTTCTCGTGGCTGAAACATGGAAACTTGCGTCGTATCGTGGAATGGAGCCGTCTCCATGTAGGACTGAAAGCATCCAAGGATGGCAGTCCAAGTATGAAAACTTTCCGTTCAATTTCAATCCACTGACATCGGCCTTGCAGATTTTGAGCAGTCAATACTGCCTTCTAGTCGAACTATGACGATCGAAACGGAGGCGAACAAGACCTCATTGCCGCTCGTTTTGGCGATCAGCGGCGTTTTCACCTGCTGCAATTTTGCAGGTTCTGTGAATCATGAGCTTATCCGGTGGATCTGAATCGTACCAACCTCTTCGGATGTCATGAGGCATGTTGCGGTATGTCTCTTGCTGAACAAAAGCACTACAAATCCGTAACTGACCCTGACCCCTTCACTGCCTCTACAACAATGTCAAGATCTCCGCAGGTAGATTATCACCCGCAGTAATGTGGCGGTAACCTCATTTTTTGAGTTTGTGACGCACGACATGTACTGTCCAAGGCTCCTGACGTTGAGGGCTCTTCCGTCATGTTTTGGTATTGCGCCGACATTTGCGCCGACATGGCGACTCACTTGAGAGTTACATGCGCACCGGTCCTCTTCTCCAGAGACTCTCCATGACAGACAGTCACATCAGTGCCGCATAACTTACATGCATAAGCCGTTTATCCAGCCCGAGTCGGAGGTAGAAGAGCGACAGGCATCTACTCCATGTCTTCCCAAGGAGACTGGTTCAGCTTTCAATGCCGCTCCGGTGGTGCTTGATCGTGGCTAGCACCCTGCCATGACTTCTTCTCGGCGACTGCCAGCTGCTCACTACAAATGTATTTGGAGAAATACACACATCTAACCCACGCATCACACTGCGCAGGACTCTTGCGCACCCCTCATTCCAAGCTTACGGCATTTCCCTCCACCACTCCGTTGAGCAGACACCCGCCCTGGCTAGTAGTGGTGGCCATAGGACTCCGTACGGCTTGTAAGTATGATGTACTTGATACGAGTTCCCAACGCGGATGAATGCCCGACTCCTCGCATCTGCATCAAGAACCCTCGGGATCTCCATGCCTTCGAGCGTCGAGCTTTCTAGATTCATTGACGATCCTCGGCCGCCCACGGACTCTTCCGTACTTACCTCCCCTTTCCATTGATCCTCGGATAGGTAGGTACGGCAGCAGTCTGTTTTGATGGCGCCGGAGAGATCACGTCGTCGACTTGGTGAATGTTCTGAACGTTCTCATTCCGATACGTACTCATTGCCCATCGTGATCTCCCCCACCGAATCCAAGCATCCCAATATTCGCATGGCTGGTGCCTCAACCGGTATTTTGTTCACATGCGCACCTACACACGAGTGCGACGAACAATGTCCCCACCAGGCGAAGAGAAGCGGCCGGCGGACGAATCAGAAGAACCTCAAGCTGCAGCTCACAGGCTCACTGGACAAACCGACGACCAATCTAATGTCTTCGAATCGACAGGCGCTACTACACACTATTTGTCCTCGAAAAACCTTGAGGTGCGTCATGCTCGCCAGCGCTAATAGTAACAATGTCGAGGTCACTTATGTACGACCCCGTGTCCACCGGCTAGCCTGAACAATAGTGCCCGATATTCCGCCAAGTTACCGTGCGCCGCACGATATCGAGCCTGCATCCCACTCGCTTGCTCCTCGCAGCACACCGAATGAGTGACCGGTGCGGCATCTTCTACCCGGATGCAGCACCTGGCCGCATCCTTCGAAGAGTTCGAAGGGCCCGCGTATTTTCCTGCCGCGTCGGAAGCGATCCGGAGGATCGCACTCACCGTGCCTTCCCTTCCATGGCTGGCGAAGGCTTGAAAGTAACCGGCCGCGGATAGTAGGACCCTGAGCGCGTTCGCGGAGTGCAAACGGGGGTGGAAAGTGGCGGAAAGTCGAGAACTCAGCTCGGGATGGTCTTTGCCGTCGCTGTCTGCGGGAATCTCTCCGCAAAGACGGAGACCGCCTCTGGACGTTCCAGACTCCGAATATCCTTCCTTCCTTCCGAAGGCTTTGTGGCGTTCGAGCATTGAATGGTGTTTTTCGAAATTCGAAAGGCCGCGAAGGAGGGTTTTATTCGGGATACGACTTGCCCAGTCCCATGGGGAATAATTCGAGGTTCGTATGACTCGGAGCCCGATTGGGCGACGGGGCCTGCTGTGCGGATTTGTGGCGCACCGGTGTTCCAGCCCCTGCACGAATACAAGCCTCGTGGCCGTCCTGCATACCACGCAGATTTGTTGGCCTTCAAATAAACTTATGATCAATGCTCGCCGTTCCAAGGACTGTAATAGAGTCTGTTGGACGGCGTATTGAGTTTCTTTCCTGTTTTCTGTGCCTTCGTATGGCATCATATGTACGGTGTGCCTACATCTGTATGTAGGACCCTCGAGCCCACACTCCTCATCACCAATATAGTCATCCACCTACCATATCCAAGTTAGTGTAGTGTAAGCGCCTCCTGCCTACAGTGCTCCGTCACCAAAAGGTTGTGGCAGTTTCAATTCCGGTTTCGGTGTCTGATAGAGTTTAGCACGAAGTGTCACACAAAATCTTCACGTCGAGCTCTTCCGTCATGACTCGGACCAACGCTGCGCTGTCTTCCGCGTAACGTACTACAGTATGTACATTCTTAGCAAGTACATAGTGCATGTTGAACCCCGTCGCCACTTACGGCTGTCCCTTGCCCTTTTATTTCAGTTTGGACACACTCGCCCCGCCTTGAAGGGCCATAAATTATGAAACAAAAGATGGAAAGAACGAAGCGGTGTGCACATATTTTCAAGCTTATTTCGAATACAGTCTTGAGCCCAAAGACAAGACATACATAATTGATCGCAGTAAGGCTGCTCGACGACTCGATAAAGGATGCTGTAAGTATACGACATCATGACTCCCAGACATCGCGAGGAACGGCGAAGAGAACGGGGCGCCACCGAAAGACCGACGTGCTCACGCGATGGGTTATGTTAGTGTCAATGGAAAAAAATGGCAGCGCAACGTACGCACCAGTTGCCATAGTGTGTCAATGGACCGATGTGGCCACCGAAAGAGCCTCGTGCCCAAATAAATACACGTACGACGAAATTTAAACCCATTCACATTGCAATGTTGAGCGTCGACGGGGTTCATGAAACGGTGAAAGCGCGGACAAACGGAAACGGAAACGAAAAGGAACGGCATGCCCATGCCATAAGGGTCCTCGTCTTTGTCTTTTCCTTGCACGCATCGACGCTCAACCCCTAACGCACGATCCCTTTCCCCTTCCTAGCACTCCTCCGATATCGTGGCGTGAACGTTCAGACCCAGTACTTACGTCCAGAAAGCAAGACTTGTCCCTTCGCTCTCTTTCTTTCTCCTTTATAACCGACTCTCTAGGACGTGCCAGATCTAGAAGCCTGAGAGAGTCCGCTTCGAATTTCCAAAGTCTGACCGGGCTTTGGACGGGAGCCTGAGGGGGCAAGGCCACCACTGTGTACTCAAAGCGATCGCTCTCAGAACGAGCCACGAGTCAGTGGTGTATCATGATAAAGTAGCGCTATGTAGGAGCAAAAACGGCGACCAACAAAACCTGGACTCGAAAAAAAAACTCACATACTGTAATTTAAACCCATTCGTCCCAATCCATCTCCATCTCCGTGTCCCCGCTATCCCCGTACATACTTCCTTACTTATCAGCGCAAAAAGAGTCGAGTCGGCGGAGAACTTTGAAAACGAGCGCCACGACTGTCAATGACAGAAAGAGGCCGAGCGCTAGATATGTAAGTTAGCCCCATCAATCGCATCCGAGTCCCGAAGCTCTATGTAACGAACGAACGACGGCCATACGTTGAACTTTGACTACTAGACTAGCGCGCACACCGGAACGAACGTCGCCAGAGTGGACGAAGAGGGAAAAGAACGCCACCTAGAAAGATCACGAGGAAGAAGGCGGTGGTTCGAAGACAAAGGACGTCGTACGAAGGCAAGACGAAACGATAACTTAGCCTGAGACTCTGGCCGAATGGGTCAAGTCGTTTATGTTTATGTAAATTTATCCAAAATAAGACAGATAAAACACGGAAGCCCCCACGCCATCTGAGTCGGAGCTCTTTGTCCGTCGTATTTGGATAGGACGGCCCCGTCGAAGAGTGTTTCCGGAAAAGTATCGAGGTACTCGTTACTTATACGGATAGGGATATTGGTCCTTATGGGCCCATTTTGTATCCTGAATTTAATTCCTTCCTTCCTTCCTCGTTTCCGTCTACAGCCACATCGTCTCGTCTCGCAAGCAAGCAACGGACTTTGATTCTGATCACGGCCATCAGCCAAGGCTTTCCTCATCACCTCCTCGTCCTCGTCCTCGCCCCCATCATCATCAACCATCAACTATCACCATCAGAAACGGACATCCCATGTATCATACGAGATAATCCCCATCCCCATGTATCAGCCCAAAGTCCGAAGTGTGAGATCGCGGAGAAACGCAGAATCGAATGCAGAAGGGTAAATCCGAATATGGATGCTTGTCTCGGAGAACGGAGCGCTGTGAAGTCTACCAGTGATTCACAGGTTACAGTAGTACGGATGTCGTTCACTGGATGACGACTACGACAGACGTCGGGATCTCCGCTCGCTGCTCAAATCACCCACCCCATTCTATCAGCACAAACTCCGAGTTATTATAAGACCACAGTATCGCAAACCGACCGAACGAGGTCGCTCGTCTCGGGAAACGCAGAACAGGTCCAGGGAACGGAGCGCTGTAAGTAACTGCACGATGACGACGACAGACGTCGGGATCTCCGCTCGCTGCTCAGGGTCTATGTACATCATGCACGAGATAAAGCCCGTCCACATGTAAATCCTCATCCCCATCAGACTATCAACACAAAATCCGTTTTCGACATCACAGCATCGTGCAACCGAAAAAGGGTCCAGAGAACGGAGAACGGGGAACTTACTGACCCACGGATGCACGGATGTACGGATGTCGTTCACTGGATGTCCGCTCGCTGCTCAGGTCAACCCATCCCCATCTCCATCCCCATCTATCAGCATAAAGTCCGTTTGTATCGCAAAACCGAATAGGGTTTTAGAGAATGGAGAACGGAGCGCTGTGACCTTACCGACTCACGGTCCAGGGTGAATATTGAATGCCGTTCGCTGTAACTGTACGACTCGGATTCCCCGGGATCTTCGCTCGCCGCTGCAGGGCCTAGTCGTAGTCTAGCCCAAACCCAAATATAAGTCAAGTTAGGAGTACTGGCCGTATGTAACATATGAGTGGCGTCAACCATCACGGAGCACGACCGGAAGTTGGAAGAGGATGCAACAGTTACAGTGATGTGACGAGCGATTCTCGAAGCAAGCAAGGACGGAAATAGACCGAGTGGCTAGTGGAACGAGTCAAAACCCAGATCGAAATGAACGGAGCTGTATGTTCGTGGTGTTCGTGGTGTTTTACATAGACATGAAGATACCGCCGGCAGAGACTCGGAGCCAACTTGGAGATTTCCGGCCATTGTCGGATATGTTTGGGATGAAGTTTGGTTAGTAGATGATACTTAAGTCAATCAGTAAGTAGGCAGTTTGCTGGGAACGCTGCAGCTCGGAATGTGTCCAACGGGTTCGAGGGACCTTGTTGTGTAGCAAGTGTAGCAAGGGAAACCGGACATGAATAGGAGCACCTGGTGGACGAGACGCGTACATAGTCTGGACTCTGGACTCTAGAATCGTTTTCTCGCGGGTTCGTTCCGGAGAGGGGGACAACTTTGGCAACGGGGGTTCCGTGAAGAGTGACGGGATGTTGATGTTGATATTCGGTGGAGGGATGTGTAGTTGACGGGTCTCAAAAGCCCTCCAAGTTGTTGTGTAGCTACATAGGTAAGGCGGACATGAAGAGCCTAGAGGAGCGCCTGGTGGACGGAAGGGAATACCGAGGCGCGAATCATGCCGGGGAAACTTGACCAACGGGGGTCGTGAAAAGTGGCGGTATGTTGATGTTCGATGGGGCGGCGTGGTGGAGAGGGGACGGAGATGTGTAGTTGAAAGAAAGAGAAAACCGTCGAAATGAAGGTCTTTCTGGTGTTTTACATAGACATGAACGCCGCCGTCTAGACATGAACAGGAGCGGGCGGGGGCGTAGTCTGGACTCTGGAATTGTTTGTCGCGGTTCGTGCCGGGGGCTAGGCAACGGGGGTTTCGTGAAGAGTAGCGGCATGTTGATGTTCGGGGGGTGGTACGGTATTGAAATCTGTGCAGTTAACGAGAAAGACTCACCTAGGCAGTGGTGGTGTAACGGCAATATGCGCACACAGCGTGAGTGACGATCGTACACATTTGAAACGATCCGAAGGTGTAAAGTTGGACACAGCACGGAGCGCTGAGACGAATTATGACGGTGATGGTGATGAGGTCGTGAGGCTAAAGAGAGAGAAAAAAGACGGAGATGAAGAGGTCGAGAACGGAAATAGAGAGATGGATGGAGAAAGCGGAGGAAAGGGACGGCATGATGGGATGGCGACGACGGGAGTGATCGCGAGAGGAGGCGGGTAAGAGTTTTGAGGAGAGTGGAGTCGTCGCGGTTTGTGAGATGTGGGCCTCGTGTGGACGGAGATGAGGGTGAGTGAGTCAAGGACGGGAGAAAGTCGGAAGGGGGCGGGATTCGGAGAGAGAGCTGGGACGGATTACGTTGGGGAGGGCGGTGTGGAGGATGTGTGGATGGAGGTGGGGTGTGGGAAAGAGCGTTCGTGGAATGCCGAGGGGATAGAACGGTGACGATCGACGGAGGACGGAAGAGAGAGATGATCAAAGCGCTAAGAGGGCGTGAGATGCCGGACGCCGAGCGGGGAGTGCCTGGACGGGGACTTGGAGTGGACGAAAGCGGGGATCAACACTCGCAGTCCGTCCTCCTGGTCCTCCTCTTCTCCTCTTCCCCTACAAATACGCCCAGCGATGGTCTCACTCCCCACACATCCTCCGCCATGGACCACCGCTCGTCCTTCGAACGCCTCGTCCCCGACGTCCTCGGCTGCATTGCCTTCCATGCATTCGACCCGCGCCGGCCACACGACCTGCTCTCGCTCTTCCTCACCTCGCGCACCGTCAAAGCAGCGCTCGACCCGCTCAAGACCAGCATTCTCGCAGACTGCTTCCGTGTAGCCTTCGACACAGAAGCCCCCGCACGCCGTCTCGGCGACTTCCACCTGACCGACGACGCCCTCGCTGACCAGCTCCGCCTGCGCTACCTCACCCTCCGCCGCGTCAGAGCCGCCCGTCCATCCACTCCCCTCCCAGTCCGCCAACGCTTCTCTGCGCTCTATCGCTCTAGCCCCGCTCTCCTGAAGCGCGACCTCTGGGTGCTCTATCTGGCCGTTCTCGAGGACGACTACAAAAACGCTGAGCTGCTCGTCAACTGGGCCGGCCTCCAACACTGGCTCTGGCTACTCGTTTCCCTCAGGTACGGTGCTCAGGGCAGGCCCTGGTATGCTCTCACCCAGGAAGACGTGGAGATCACCAGTCTCATCCTCTGGCTCATCTGGATGACCACCACTCCAGGTACCCCTCTCACTCCATCTCACCTTTGCCCCTATTCACACTCCACCCTCCCTCCCAGACGACATCCAGCGCGAGACCCCGATCCAGCGTCAGACCGTCCGCAATCTCCTCCATGCCTTTGTTCTCCGAGGTTTCCAGGTATCTCCCTCTCCTCCCCTTCCCCTCTCCCTACTCCCTCACTCCCTCGCTGATCACCTCCACAGTACCCATCCAGCTACTTCCCCTCCTCCTTCAAATCCCTCCCCCTCTGCCACTTCCCAGACCTCCCCCCCGAAGCCCTCCAACTCCCCTTCGACCTCGTCCCTCCCACAACCACAATCAACCACTTCTCTCTCCCCATCCGTATCTCTTACCCCCCTCTCGTCCCGCCCGCTATGATGCTCGCCTCTGCGCGCGCTTTCGTCGGGCTTAAACAGATGCCATATAATCAATACGCGCAGGCTATTAACCCGAATGACCCCGTCTCTGTTTTTCGCGCGGCGGCGCATCATCATTGGATCCATAACACGAATAAAATCTCGTTCCCTTGTACTTCTGCCTCTGCCTCCACCTCCGACGCACGCGAAGAAGAGAATGAGGACGAAGAAGAAGACAGGCCGACCCGTAGCGAGCGGAACGACGAGGATTGGCATCGACTCGTCAGTTGTACCGATCCTTTCGCGCTCGAAGATGAACCTATCCTTCGTGGACGGGTCATCTCACCTGGGAGCTTGAGTGGTTCATGGCACGGCGTCATCTCTGTACGTCTCATTCCTTTTCCTTTTCCTCGTCATCGTCCTCGTCCTCGTCCTCGTCCTCGTCCTCATCTCACACACACCATCTCATCTCACACCATCTCATTTCATCGAACGCTCTTTCATTTCATCAAACTCGCACGTCGTATCACCCAGCACCCCGACATCGCCCGCTTCTTCCCCATCCTGCTCTCCCCTTCTATCCCCATCCACGGCCACGTCAACCCCCCGACCGGCGACCTCGACTGCACCCTCACTCAACATCCGTTTTATTGTGAGCTGCGGGAGTATCATTCGTTTGAGGGTAGCGTGCCGTTGAGGACGGGGGAGTCTTGGCATGAGGGGGAGGGGGAGCGTGAGGATGGGGAGATGGAGATGGAGATGCATGGGGAGGGGATGATGAATGCTTGGTTTCCGGAGGGCGTTAAGATGCGGAGTGTCGAGGTTCGTTCTCCCCTTCCTTTCTTTCCCTATCCACTTCCCTTTCCATTTTTGCTTTTCACTTTTCACTTTTCACTTTCACTTTTCACTTTCCTCCTCCTCTCCCCCCTCCCTGTCAGTCCATGCGCGTATCCTGACCCATTCATTCATCCGTTCTGACAACTCGCAACAGAACGCCCTAATATTCGAAGACCCCACAACCTCCTCCACACACCGCTACGAAGAATACATCCCTTCCATCGGGGGGTATAATTCATCTACCGTGCGTTCGGCGCTGCCGCGGAAAGGCTTCCCGGAGCGTGATTACAACACTAACGGTGATGATGCTAACACGAACACGAACACGAACACGAACACAAACGATGATGGGGAGGATGGGGAGGACGGGAAGGGAGAGGGAGGAGGGCACGCGTGTGTGTTTAGGTGGAGGAAGGAGTCGCCTTTTGCAGGGGGGGTGTGGGCGGGGGCGGGGGGTGGGGATGGGGAACATGATGGTGAAGAGAGCGAGGTGGATCCTCAGCCATTGACAGGACAGCCTGACTTCCATTCCCATGGTCCGAAGGCTGGATCTGGGACCTCGAATCCTCGCGAAGATGACGAGGAAGGGGAGGAGGAAGAGGATGAAGGGATGGAAACATATTCAGATGCGGATGCGGAGGGGGAAGCACAGGGAGAGGTGGTGATGGAGGATCATGTGGATTATGCGACGTCGGGCGTGCAGGATATTATTCTTGCTGGCGAGGTCGGTCGTCTCTCTCTGTCTCTGTCTTTGCTCCGTTTATACATCGCTCCCTCTCAGTCTTCATACATCGCTCGCACTCTGTTTATACATCCCTCCACTCCCTCCGCTCCCCTCGCTTGCTCACATCTTGTCGTGTTCCTTGTGGCCTTGCAGACAGGCCCGCTCGGGGACGCATTTGGCCATTTTGGGTTTATAGCGCGCGTGAGATCGTGGGATGGGATGGTGTTGATGTTGAGGTATCCGGTACGTGTTGTTTCTCTTTCTTTCTTTCTCTCTTGCACATCTCGGACTTTTCAACTGACCTCGATCATCATCATTACCCCCGTTCCGCCCCGCCCATGCATGCAAACTTGAATCCTCCCCTCCCCTTTCCACTCCACCACCTCCCACCTCCCCCCTCTCCACCTCCCCTCTTCAACTCACCCAAACAAAGTCCGACCCCACCCACCACCCCGGCCCCCGCTGGCTCTTCCAAGGCTACATACACGCCGGCGGGAACTTCGTGGGACGGTGGAGGGATACGCAGGGCGGGGAGGCGGTGCAGGGGTTGGAGGGAGGGTTTTTGTTGGTTAAGAGGGAGGGGGAGGGGGAGGGGGGTGTGTGAGGTGGGTGAGGTGGGAGGGAGGGGGGGTGAGGTGGGAGGGAAGGAAGGGAGGAAGGAATGGGAGGGGAGAGGGGAGAGGGGAGAGAGGGGAGGTCGGATGCTTTGGAATGCTCTCATGTTTTGTTTTCGTTTGTCGTCTTCGTTTTCGTTTTCGGTTTTCGTTCGCGGTCGCGTGCCGCTTTGATCATCATCGGTGTTCAAGGAGCTTCACCTCACCGTCCTTCCGTCCTTCCGTCCTTCCGTCCTTCCGCCTGGCCAATACTCGTAGTCGGGGTGCATCTGCGGTCTGCAGCTAGTGTCGCTGTTTATTGTTATATGTACATATATGCTCAATTCTGTATCTACTCCACACACCACACACCATGACTTTCGCAATTCGCAATGAATCGGGCTCAGTTCACCTTATTTTCATGCCCACGGCGGTATTGTTTTCGTATATGGTGCTATAAAAATCCGATTACTTTGTCTCGCTAGATAGCATTATAAGTCTAAGTGCATGCCCTCGTTCGCTCGATTCCTAATACTACAGTAGTAAAAGGTCAGACCCGTTCGTTCGTTCGTTTATTTGTCCTTATTGAATCCCGAAGCCCCCGCTTCATCGCTATCCGATCTGGATCTCAAGACTCATCGAGTTGGATCGACGTCGGATCGGGGTTAATGCATTATCTCCGATTCCGATAATTTGTGATCTTGATCGCTCGGAGGGGCTGGACGACTGGATATTGAAATTGAAATGCAGATGGAGGGGGAGATGGAGATGGAGATGGAGAGGGGGCTGCGTCATCGTTCGAATCGGTGTGGGTTCCGTTTAACGTTGTAGAGAGAGAGAGAGGGGGGGGGACTCAAGAAGATAAGTCCGTCGAGACCTAGGGAGGGATGGTGATGACTGCGAGTACTTATATTTCAAAAGCGTTGGGTTGTAAGTACGAAGACGAAGGCGGTCGGGTGATAAGTGCTATAAAATAAGATACGTTAAATACTGCGATAGATGTACAGTACATTTGAGCGAGCACTGGACCGAGGAGTGAAACGAATCACTGAGTTGCTGAAGGAGACAGACCGGTTGATACCCTGGAGGAGAAAAGAGATGTAGAAGGAGGTAGAGAGAGAGAGAGAGAGAGAGAGAGTTAGGGACCGAAAGAGGGGGGATGGGATGTATGAATACAAGATGGACACAGGAGGATAATACCGCTCGAAAGATAGATGAAGATATAAAAGGAAGCTAACCCCAACAGATACCAAAAAACCCACAGAAACAAACACGAACTCACCGCACCCGGGCCACACCTCACCCACAATCCCCATCAACCAAACAACTCCTCCACATCCTCCACATCCACAAGCACCACCCCCGCCTCCTCCAACTCCGCCTCTATCTCCCCCTGCACCACCCTCGCCCCCGTCCTCTCCAACGTCCCCGAGCTCTCCAACATGCCCATCCCGACGCCCGCACCTCCCAAGCCGAGACCGAACGGCGCCCGCGAACGGACAGCGGCCCTCCTCCTCCCGCCCGGCGTGGGCACATCCATCCTATCATAAGTCCCATGTGCGCCCCTCACCAACACGACCTGGTTACGCCTATCCAGCGCTGCACTGCACGTCGCGCGTATACAAAAATCGGTCTGGCAGCCTACGACGACAACGAGGACGTTAGGACCGGGTGGGATGAGCGAGAAAAGCCGCGTATGTGAAAACGCGTTGTTTTTAGGGGTTGAGACGACGGGTTCGGAGGGTAGCGGGCGGAGAGGGAGGGGATACGGAATATGGAGGGATGCGGGAGGGGATGAGAGTGGGCTCGATGGAGGCGAGGAGGTCGAGGAGACGCTACTGAGGCAACGAGCAGAGCGTTCCGGACCGGGATCGAGAGGGTCGGAGGGATATCCTGCGTGGTTAAGTTTGCGAGGATCGAGCGAGAGCCGGTCTCGATGGTGAAACGGGACGGAGCAGGCTGCGGCGGTGGCGGTGGACGTGTGTGCGTGTGCGAGCGGCGAGGAGAAGAAGTCGGGGGGATTTGTGGTGTGGATGATGAGCGGTTTGTCGCGGGCGGCGCGGGCTATGGAGAGGACGCGCTGGAGGGCGAGGAGGAGGATGGCGCCGTCGGGGACGCCGAGGGGCGGAGGGAGGAAGTTGGACGCTTGGGCGTCGATGACGAGCAGCACGGTGTTCGGTGGGGCTTGCATTTCGGTCGCGTTGCTCGTTTTTCACCGTCGCAATCAGGCTTGTTATAAAGGCGATGGGTGAACTGTGCAGGCCTGGAGTGGAAGGTAGTGGAAGGACGGACTCAGGGCGAATGGAATGTAGCGGAAGGCGGGCCCTCACTGCCCCGGCGCCACCCCCTGAGCCCTCTCGCCACCCGTGCCTCCCTGCACGCGCGACCCCAAAGGCGGACGAACTTGGGAAACTATCTAGGTTTCACAACTCGGCTGAGGACGCAATGCGCGCAACCCTTGAACCCGTACAAGTTTACATCCTGAACTCAGATCAGTGCAGATTTACTAACTGGTGAGAAACGCTGGATCGGTGCTTACCGTCCCAAAAGACTCGTCGCCTTTCGCCAGGAGACTTTTGACTGCTGGCAAGGGCGTAATGGAAGGCATCGTGTTCATGACGAGGCAGACCCTATGTCGCGTTGTTTGCGGTTCACTCGGGATTATAGGGTTGCGTCTTCTCTTTATGTGAACGGGGGTTCTCTCCGGCTATGCGCATTGCGCTCACCTTTCTTCCCTCGTCATCACAATCTCCTTTCCTTCCTACCCTCAACCTCGACTGAGTTCCCAATCCAACTTCTGTCTTCCAGGTCACATCGGTGGGAGTTTTATGGGCAGCTGGGAGGACACGTTGGCAGGGCTCGGAGCCAGAATCACAAAGGGGCGGAGATACAGAAGCCGACGCCGTTTGGGTTTGAGCATACGTGAGCTCGAATTGAGAGATACGCCGGGGACGACATGAAGTTGTGTGATAGAACACAGCCTGAGGAAGAGGGCAGCGGTGGTGGTAGTAGCGGTAAAGATGCACGGATGACGTAGTCTCCCAAAGGCAGTGCAGACGATATTTCAACCCGAGGATGGATGACGCTGTCTCTACTGTATACAACTGCGCTCTCTCCTCGCTCGCCCGCAACAATGCCCTGGCTCGGTATGCATACACTCGTCATACTTTTCGCGCATCCATTCTCACTGCTTTCCTGGACGCAATTAATGCTCGTTTTTCTCTCCTATATGATACGTTCTTGGATCTATTGCTGATATTTTTCTTCGTGGTTTTATTCAGCACCTATCGTTCTCTCGCCCGTCCTTACACGTCTACACTCTTCAAGCTTCCAGTTCGCGGACGGTCGTGCCGTGGCTCTCATGTGACATGTCCGAGAACGGTGCCACAGTGCGCCACTAGGCACAAAAACGCTATTTGGCCTTGTTGAATTCGGAGGCCTTCGCCTTTGACGGTTTCGCTTCCGCCGGGCTACTAATATCGATCGGAACGATCGACGTTGTGTCTTGTCGCATACTTGACACATCTCACCTCCCTCTCTGTGCTTTGACTTGGAGTTGTCTCTTCACACCCCTTGATGGGGACGCCGGCTAAGTTTGCAAAAGGCGTATACACTCGAAGCTCTCAAATGCAAATACTCTCCGACTCTTTCCGTTGAACTTGGAGCTATCGTCGAAAAGCTTAAGGGCCCATCATCGTCATCCTGGCTACTTACCTAGTGGTAAAAAATCTCGTGGCCTCATGGTTGGAGGAGTTCAATCCAACCAAGGTTTATAGTATGGCCCTAATATTTAAGTTGCCGACTCTGCCAATGACTCGTCTCCTGGGCGTTTTTGGTATGTTATACATAAGGTGCGACGAACCGCCGTTCCTGATTATCAGGCTTCAGTACTCACCAGCTCCGCTAATACCTCCATTTCTAAAAGGAACTTCGCCCTCAAGTATTCAAACATGATCATCGGTGGCGACTTTACTGGCAACTTGAATCTCGTATCACAACCTTACCTCCATATATATATCGTACATTCCACTACCACATACTACTATATCAACCCCTTCCCTTTCGCAACCCTCTTGTCCTCGCGCGCATTTCAACCCGGGCCACATTCCGTCAAGACTTCCCTCCACTTGCGGAGAACATGTACAGGGGTCAATTGTCAATTGAGGGACCGTCGAGGCCCAGATAAGTATCGTGATGGACTGCGCCTTCTTCCTATGTAGCTTGCTTCTACCGGGACATCCAGGCTTCTTCGAACCGTTGGATAGCTCCGAAGGCTGGCGGGGTGAATCAGGGGCGATGAGCGGGGTAGGACTGGGTATGTATGCGGGATCATATGACTTTTGTTCGACGAGGGAGTACTTATTGGAAAGGCGAAAGTGAAGAACGCGAGGAGCTGAAAGGTGCCCACTATTGACGTGACGGTCGCGGACGTTGCGGGAGGACTGAGAGTTACAGGACGATGGCCCGCGTTAGAATCTTAGAGGGTTAGTGGAGGTGTTTGGGACTAATGATTAGATTCGTGTGCATCGTTTCCACCCATATTCCGTCTCCTTGTATGGAATTGTTACTACGAAATTAAAATTGTAAGAAGATGTGTAACATGTAGCGCGCTTCGAATTGAAGACTACTTGGGTTGTGTAACCCCTCAGCTCGAGGCTTCGGCAGAGTGTTACACTCGTTGTATCCAGTGAATCCTCTCCTGGACCAGGATTGTGATCTGTCATTGTCATACCTTGGTCACATTGCCGTCGGTCGGCTGCAGTTTCGGCTGCGTGAGCGGCTTGAAGAAGTTGGTTCCAGGAGCACTCCGTCCGAGTGAACAAGGCGAGTGAGAAACTTTGGGTCTGATCCCGAGGAGGGTGACTACTTTGATTCCATGATGGTATGCGAGGTTGCTCGACGACGAGACGAAGCAAGTGGTATGTAACGAATTCTTCGACGTAGAAGGCTGTCGCAGACTGCACAAATCAGAAATCCGCAATACGAAAGCGGCAAGGCGTAAACGAGGACTCGAGCGCTGAGAAATTCCAGCGAAAGAGGAAAGCGGGATGCACGGTCGGTGGTAGTGCGGGGGAAGGTGACCGTCCAATGGTTTGGCGTTGCTTGTAGGAGCATAAATAGGTGCCCAGCCCGCATTGGGCCACATTTCCCTCGGACCAGAGTTCGACCCGTACCCTGTCCTTGCCACCCTTCCCCCCTCTACTCCTGGCACAACACAGCAAGAAGGCCCGGCTAGCGAAACATGGGACGCAAGAAGATTGAGATTCAGCCAATAACGGTCTGTATCATCTCACCTCCTCTTACGTCGTATATGTCTTGCCCCATTCCCACTTCGTCTCTGCGCCGTGCTATTTTCGCGTCCGTCGTGCTTACCTTCGCATCTGCGTCTACTTCACCGCCAATCCTGTCGCCGTCGATATTTTCGTCGCCGATTGAATGTCGTGGTTTTGCAGAACGAGCGCAACCGCTCCGTCACTTTCCTAAAGGTAGCCTGCCAAGACTTTCTAGTTGTAAAAATAGCATAGCTGACCGCCACGCGCCTTCATCGCCTCCTCCCATTATACATTGGCATTTATGACGAGCAGCGCAGGACCGGTCTATTCAAGAAAGCGTACGAGCTCGGCGTCCTTTGCTCGGTCGACGTCGCAGTCATCATTTTTGGTCCGTCCACGCTTAGCCTGTTGTCTGTTCTATTTTTGGCTCACGTTCACCTCCCTGTCCTCAACAACAATCCTGACGGTCTCGTTATTCAATATTCATCGAATGCTGAGCAGAGAAGCGACAAGGGCACGCGGAAAAGCTTTATCAGTATTGCTCGTCGGACATTCGAGGCATCGTAGACCGTCAACGGCGGGTACGTCCGCGCTTCCATATCTCACTCTCACTTTCGTTCCTTCTCACATCTCCGTGGGACTATTATAGTTTAGCGGAGAGCGCGACACTCGAACTCCGAGCGACTTCAGCGGGAACCCGGCTCCCTCTGGTGCTGCGGGCGCAGAAGATGACGCCGGAGACGACGACGACGATCAGGATATGGCGGATGAGCCTTCCGCTCGCGGTGAGGGTGACGCAGACGGAGGGAAACCATCCGGTGGAGAGGAAAGAGGAAAGAGAGGGAGACCACTTTCAGTGAAGGCGGAAGGGGACATGGGTATTGACGTGCGTGCACTTTCACCAGTTGCTCTTCGTTCATTATATCAGACTCTCCCGTCTGTTTTGTTATTGACGATCTTCTACTTATGTGCGATACAGATGGACTATACCTCCTTCTCAAACCACCCACACCACAACCACCCACTCTCCTCCAACTTATCCTCTTCGGCGTCTACTCTCTCCATCCCCTCTCTAGTGCCTTTCAGCTTTGACGACGTCTCTTCCCTCGGCGGCGTGCCCTCCATTTCGACTTCCCCAACGATGCCCATCTCTTCCGACCGACACACACGCAGCCGCCTAGCGGCCTACCAGTCTCACAGTCATCTATTGCACCAACAACAATCGCACCAACCGTACCCATCTCTCGGTTCGCATCTCTCTCTCACACACCAGCTGGGACGGTACGGAAACGAAAGCAATCCGAACAAACGACCTCGTCTCTCAAGCACCTCTCTCCCAAGTCTCGACATGCACCATTCCTATCCACACCATTCGCCCACGTCTGCAACCAGCCTCGTCGGACGAGGAAGCGCGTCCTCCTACCTGTACGACGACTCATCGCCTCTACACGGAGGCGGAGGCGGCAGCGGCGGGAATGGAAACTCCCCATTTCACGACGAACACTCACACTTGCATGGTCGTACTCCAGCGCCGCCACCTTCTTCCTCAGGTGGTGCAGGAGGATACGGACAAATTAAGTCAGCGTCGCGCCGACCCGGGGGTTTACCTTCTTCTTCCTCTTCTAATTCATCGACGCCACAGCCTGGCTACCCGGGACGTACGCATCCCCTGTCGGGTCCTGGTGGTGGCCTAGGTGAAGGAGGTGGGGGTGGGGGTGGGGGTGGGCATGGGGTGGGAGGACCGATGAGCCCAGGAGGGCAAGATCTCTTCGCCGGTGTGTTTGGTGCGGGAACGGACTCCGGATCGGGAGATGGTACACGAGGGAACGGGGGAGCATCAGGAGGTGGTGGTGGGGTAAGCGGCCTACCGTTCAACTATCACTCCAACCCACTCTCCGCATTCGACCTGGAGTCCCTCTTCAGTGATCCCGAACCTCCCGCGAATAATAACAATGAACTGATGTACTCGTTCGACTGGCCACAGTACAACCCAAGTTCACAATCGCAGCAACATGGTTCGTCGGACCACTCATCCTCAGGCGCAGGGAGAGGGACTAGGAACGGAGGGGACGGAGGAGGGAATGGAGGGATGGTAGAGGGACCGAATTGGTTGGATTTGTTGGCTACTGCGGTGCCAGACCTCGATATGGGCGCTTCGTCCTCGTCTAGTCTCCCTCCTACGTCCATGTCTGGCTCTGGCTCTGGTCTGAGCGGGACGAACATCGGCATCGAAGGAGAACGGGGTGATAGCGAGGACGGAGAGGGGGAGTTCGTGGGTTTGGATGAAGGGATGGGTTTGGATGGGTTTGAGATGTTGGGTGCGCAGGGGAGGGGTGAGAAGAAGGACAGTAGGAGTGGTGGTGATAGTGATGGGTAGATCAAATTAGAAAGTAATCGCTAAATCTGAAGGTAGGCAATGAACTCATTATCCAGATATGTCCTTCATGCGCTGAGACTGATCTCTATTTCAGGAACCATAGCCTTTAACCATCTCGTTATACTCCTCGTCAAAAAAAACCAAAAGTCAAGATCTTTTCCCATCGGCACTACTCGCCCTGATTTGATTTATGCAATGAGCGGGAACTTATGGGGGGTTGATGGGAGCCTGCGTTGTCTATATTATTAACGGACACTACTCTTCATTCTCGGACAATTCTTGAATACCGTAACTGCCGAACAATTATGCTACCGGTGGGCCACAGTGGCCCCACTCTTTTTTCCGGGCAATCTGTAATGTTCATGTCTGCTGCAATGCGCAGTGGTGTACGGCCAAATTGTGGGCGCAAAGAAGGGCGGACCACAAAATGGAGCACTACTAAGTATCAGTGGCCCCTTGTTCGGACAAACCGTTGTTCGGACAGTGCAAAAAACACGTCCAATTCCCTATCGTTTCTCCCCGTTCAAGTTCTCATAAATCATGATAAATCACCACTAGACCATATGTGAAGTGATTTGAGTACAATAATGGCAGTGGGAGGTCGAATGGGGAGGGGGGTGTTTCGGACGCTTTGGCGGGATCGGCTGTCCGATCGACGGTCCCACCCCCCGATCGACAACCTTTCTCTCAAGCAATCCACAACAAAATTGCATGGGCATGTAGCTACAGTAGAGGGCATTGTGTGTGCAAATTTTCATGGCAAGAGACCTTATACTGCCTGAGCTAGATTTTTTGCAGTCCGGATTGTCCGAACAAAGGGCCAGTGATAGTACAGCGTTGGCGACAAGTTGGCGACTAAATCCGGGACAGTGGCCACATCTGTCGAGATTATCTTATCTGACATGCTCAACTCTGAGTGTGTGGCGAGGCTTCACAGGCCTGCTTCGAACCAATCGTTGTACCTCATCGTCCTGCAGGCCGACATGGCAGATCACCAGACACAGTTCTCCACGAAGGCAGGAATATCCCCCACGTCCGCAATAGGAACCTATGAAACAAAGCATTGGTCCACATCCTTCCTTCTCCCAACATCCGAGCGCTCTTCCGAGTCTAGCCACACGCAACACAAGCGGGCCTTGATAGTCCTGAACCAGCCTTTTTCTTTCTCGCTATTCGATAGGTTATGGAGCTCTACCCAACACCACTTCTGCGCGGATGGCGGTGCAAACAGGGTCCATGATCTTCTCCGGGAAGCTTGCTCGTCTGCGGACAATGTGCAGGATTGTGGCGAGGCCGTAGATGAACGTCTGTGAGTTATCCAGCCTTTCGACTTATGTTTCGAAACTGATGAGATTTGCGGTCTAAGCAAGTATCTCCCAGATCTCATCAAAGGCGACCTCGACTCTCTTCGCGACGATGTCAAGGACTACTACACTTCGAAAGTCTGTAGTCTCCCGTATCCACATATACACCATAGCATCTAACGAGAAGGGCATGAACTTTCATAGGGTGTCCCAATAATCACCGATGAGGATCAGTATTCCACAGATTTGATGAAATGTATATCCAGTCTCGAGGAGATAGAGAAACGCTCCACAGCACCAGACGACGTGGGTCCATTCTACCTTTGCCTTCCTACCTTCTCACCTCAAATCAACTTTTCAGGATATGTATGAAGTCGTTCTTCTAGGCGGACTTTCAGGTCGTTTGGACCAGACCATTCATACCTTGTCATACCTACACAAGCTTCGGAAGACTGGTCGTCGTGTCTTTGCTGTCACCGATGAGAACGTCGGCTGGGTTCTTGACGAGGTATGTCAACGCTTGTGATGGGCCCCGTCTGTCCGATCTTCACTCAACCTTCAGCAGGGAGAACACTTCATTTCAATTGAGCACTCGGTACTGGGCCCCACATGCGGCTTACTTCCCGTCGGTATCGATTCCACTGTGCTCTCAACTACCGGTCTGAGGTGGAATCTGTGTAAGTTCATCAACTCTTTAGAGTCTTTTCCCTCCCTTCTGACACTTTCACCGATACTCCCAGCCGATAACGTTTCATCTTTCGACGGCATGGTCTCCACTTCAAATCACCTCGTACCAGAAGAATCGACCGTATGGGTGAAAACGTCCAGACCTATCTGGTGGTGTGCAGAGTTGAAACAGATAAGCTAGTTGCACTGCTCATATTTCCCGTGATACCGTCCATAGAGCTCGTGTGTAAGTTTCTGATATGCTTATTGGATAATAACTATCTCTGTCTCCGAAGCGCTGCTACGAAGGAGCAATGGCCAGCCGATCCAACTTGCAATCCCGCGGATCTGCTATGGTTTGATCCACGCTCATGGATCTTTCGGTTATATTTTCACTTACCTGGTCCCGTTGATATCTGACCTGTCGGGCAACGCTGGATCTGGATTTCATTCCGTTGATGAGTTCGGAACTTCTACGGCGGCGCTTGTGGTCGGGCCAATAGCCCTCCAAATTTTGTAAGTGAATTCCGCTTATTTTCAGACATCTATGCTTACGCATTGTACATCGGTCAAGATTGTCGCCGAGGTAAATCATAGGTTCACCATACGCGGAACCCGTTGATGCAAAATTCCCGTAGCACCTACATATGATATTCACCTTTCACCATGCGACATCACGGCTATTCATCGCTTTCTGGAGGCCGTTAGTGCGGTATGCCCTCTGAAGTTTGAGCCCCTTCGAGATTGTCAAAGTTTCCGAATCCTCGCTGAATATTACAGCGGAATACTCTGCTGGGACGGAAGATGGACACGCTAATGTCCCCCAGGGCGTTCGGGATTTGCTTCACGTGGTAAGATAAACTTGACATCGTTTCATTGTTTGATTAGCGTTGATCGGCGTCTGCGCATTGCACGGGTGCTTGTGGCTGGTACAGGTTTTGGTCGCGATAATATGACAGAATAGTTGAAACGTGTTCCTCCATGAGTATCAGCTCGGGCAGGTTCACAAATGGGCTACACGCACCTGACCGGGAAACTTCGCTTCCACAAGGCCCTTCTCGTCGCCAATTTTATTGAGCTGGCACCATACGATGCTCAACTCAAGGTTAAGTCTTATCTGATTCAACAACGTCTGTTACCACCCTGTTTCTGGATGAGGCTCTCAACCCGGCCAACCCTGTTTCATACCTGTCTGCGTTGAGCTATGTCAAACTTGTGGTAAGCTCATACTTATTCAATTATGGGACATTTCCTTTCGTCGACTCCAATACTGATACTGGCTTTCGCACTACATCCACAGAATGTATTCCTATCGGGAATTTAGAAACTTGACTGAATGAGAAGTGATATCGTTCAGGAATCCCAACGAGGAGACGTTATTACCGAGCTACCAGGGCTAGTATGGTACGCCGGTGAGGCCGGCCATCGGCAATATCTGTGTTGTTTCGACTTGTTGGTTGAGTTATATGTTGATCCTCTGCACATGGGTATTACCCTTCCACCTCACCTGCTCACAGGACCCCTGGATGCGCATTGCACACAGTGTTGGACTGCATCGCACAAACTGGCTGCGTACCCCGCCTTCTCTGTATGCGACGGTTCACAGCTCCATGGACATTTCTGCCAGCGGTCGAGTGGCGTTGAAGAAGTGACAAAAGCACCATGTTACCATCTCAGATGATGTCTACGGGTTCTACTCGACATGGAGACATATCCCCGACCACATTGATGGCGTAGTTTCTTCTCTATGGTCTTACATCGACCGGTTTCAAACCGCTAGACTTTGCACTTGACGCCCTTGACATCCGTAACATCTTTCTGGTACCCGTCATCCGCGCAAGCGATGAAACAAATTCTCACATTCACCGTATCTATTCTGAGCCCGCGCGTCGGCGCTGGTTGAAGTTATCGCGTAAGCACACCGTTCAAATTATCTGAAGTGCAATATCTGCGGGTGCTGATTGCACACTAATCAGAGTTCTGTAACTACCAGGACATTGTACTACAAAATTCATTATTCTGGCCAACATCAGCAAGGAGAGCCTAAACAGCCCATGTGGGTCTGCAAAAATGGACGTTGTACAGCGTCGTCCTTATGCGACTTTCCCTGTATCTTGCTCTTGCTGTCCCGTTGATGTTCCCAGAGCTTGGCACTAGACGCGAGGGTCAACTATGTGTTCAGATTCAATCACTAAAGGGCCTTCAGCCCGAGTTTCATACGCATAGCAGCGGGGCGCTGGCCAGCTCACCTATTCACACATATCCTTGCAGTATAGCCAATTATTTGGAAAGACAGACACCGCCAGGCAGGTCTTTCAATGGTATAAAAGATGTCGTCGTTCTGCAGCAAGGGCCTCATCCCAAGTCCTCTCAGCTCATTCCTCACGCCTTCACCAATCAACCTCCAACCCTCACAACAATGCGTTTCTCCACTCTCTTCCTCGGTGTTTCTTCTGCTCTCCTTGCCGCTGCTCCTAGCTTCGCCAAGGCCATCGACAACGGTCTGAGCAAGAGGCAGTCGTTCACAAATGAGCGCATGACCTTCTACGAAGTCGGCGGGTGAGTGTGGCTCGTTTTCAGATCCTTGAAACCCGGGTGAAGAGCTTACGGGTGGGTTTATTTTGATAGCGCTGCCGGAGCTTGTGGCCAGACGCACTCTGACGATGAATACGTGAGTTGTGGGTTTCTCACTGAATTTGATCCGTCTAATCTCATTGCTCTCCATTACTGTCGTTAGGTTGTCGCTCTGAACGCCGATGTGGGTCACTGCTCTGAGCATTCTTCCAAAATCTTGTTGTGACGAATTTGGGCCTATCACTAATTTACTCCTCGAACAGCAATACGGCTCTGGTGGATACTGCGGCGACTCTATCACCATCTCGTACCAGGGAAAATCTACCTCGGCTACCATTGTGGATGAGGTTCGTGCTTATTTTGTTGTGACTGGCATTGCAACGACCCATTTTTTGACACGCTGCCATTCTGTCCAGTGCCCTGGTTGCCCCTATGGAGGTCTCGACCTCTCGCCCAGCCTTTTCAGCTACTTCGCTGACGAGTCTGTCGGTGTGATCTACGCTGACTGGAGCTTCAACTAGGAGATGCAGATTCATAACCATCTGAGCTTCTGCTCATGCTTAGGATGTATTATATATAATGTATCGGTCCTGCATCAGTTTCCAGTTCAACCTGGTGCTTTGCAGTGTCCAAGTTCTCGCGATAATTTATATCTAAATTGGGCCCAATATATCTGTGTGCGTCTGTTTAAGAGGCTCAGATTGTCTGGGAGCAACATCGGGCCACAACCAAGGTGGCGTAGGTTCATTCAAGTTATGCGTGTGAGTCGCCGGAAGTTGGAGACGGATATGAAAGTCACGTGGAGGTAGACCTCCACTTGCCGTGAGCGCGAGCCGCAGGCTTCACCATGTTCTCCCCCAAACCGTGCCCTCCATGTCACTGTCATCTTCGAGGGCCGTCTTCGTCGTAGTTCTCCTGATCAACTGTATTCTCTGGTCACAGAGCCAGTATGCTCTCGTCCCGAGCACCGCCAGTCCTTCCATCTCCCATCCCGGCAGGTCGCTCAAGCGCAGCCTTGTCGCACTGTATTCCGGGTCGAACGACTCAACCGCTCTCGACATTGAAGTCGCGACGGTGCGTTTTATATACTCAAGCGAGGACGTCCAGTGCTCACGAACTGGCTGCAATTTTTTTTACAGTGCAAACCACTAGGATTTCCCGTGGCGGAGCAATGCTCTCATGTCTGGGACGCCTGCCCCACCGCTCCCACCTTCCTCTCCATCCCCTACCTGCAGTCTTACTTCTGCTCTTCATCGACTGCTCGCCCATTCTTATTTGCAGGTTATATCCTGTGGCTCATATTCCTCTTCTCAACGCTTGGAATAAGCGCATCCGACTTCTTCTGCCCAAACCTCGCCACACTCGCCTCCATACTAGGACTGGACGAGAATGTAGCGGGCGTTACTTTCCTTGCCTTCGGTAACGGCAGCCCCGACGTATTCTCCACTTTCTCAGCCATGCGTGCAAACTCGGGTAGCCTGGCCATAGGGGAGCTATTAGGTGCTGCGTCCTTCATCGTATCCTGTGTCGTCGGCGCCATGTGTATCATCAAGCCCTTCAAGGTCAACCGAGGCCCGTTTTTGCGAGACATTGGCTTCTTCACTGTTGCCGTCACACTTTTCCTCGTGATGCTGTGGGATGGAACGATTCAGGCATGGGAGGCCGGAGGTCTGGTCATTGTCTATGTCCTCTACGTCTTCGCCGTCGTCATCACGAGTTGGCTATCCAGGCGGAGAGAGCGTGCACGATTACGGGATGCAATGATACGAAACGAATATGCGGAAGAGGAATTTCCCCCAATGGTCTATCATGATGATGAGCCGTACAGAGATGACCGTGAGTGTTCAAAATCGTTCTCTACCCTGCGACGCCCCGTTCATACTTATACTTCTTCAGCCAGCCCTGTCATGAGCCGTGCATCTTCTACGCTCCACCCTCCGGACCCCTATTCTCGGTCCCGTGCCATATCTCAACCAAGTCCCCCTCGACTCGAGATAGAAACGGGCCGACCTCGAAGGGCCTCCATGACGCGACGTGCATCACAGGAGATCAGTCCCATGCCGTCATTCTCTCTCGTGGGCGCTCTGGAGTTTCGCGAGGTCGTTGCTTCACTGCAGACACAAGCTGCAAGCTCCTCCTTAAGCGTGTTCGATTCACCAATCACTCCGTTTCCCGGAGGACACTACCACCATCACCACCGCCACCCACGTTCGCGTTCACGCTCTCCGTTATCACACGATGAGTCCACAAACCCATTCGACCTCACTCTCGGCCTGCCTCTCAATGACCGGTCACCCGTCATTCGTCACACCGCGCCTCCCGAGTCCCCGCCCATTGCACCCCTCATCGAGATCCACGACGCCGAGCCTCATTCCGACGTTCCGACAATATCGCACACTCCAGCATCACCATCCTCAGAAGCCGACAGCGAAGTTCAACATCAGCCTCGGCCACTGTCACGCCGCAAACGGGTGCTGCAGATCTTGAATCATGCCTACCACATCTTATTCCCAACACTTACGCATTTCCGGGCAAAACCATGGCTCGGAAAGATTGCTGGTGTGTTTGCGGCTCCAGCGGTGTTGGCCTTGACGATCACCTTGCCCGTCGTCGTGACGCCGTACGACAGCCCTTATGTCCACGAGAAGACCGTGGTGCCGGACTCGGGCCTCAATTCCTTTGAGGAAGAAGGTATTGAGCGGGCTCTGATCGCAGAGGAAGAGGTTGAGGAGGAAATTCATGAACTCCATTATAACAAATGGCTTATGGCAGCGCAATGCGCTCTTGGGCCGTTGTTCTCTGTATCTGTCCTCTTCAGTATGCTGTCTTTTTCTTCTTCTTGATTAACTTACTTACTCACCCATTAATATTTACCAGAAGGCATGACCGAGGCAAAGTGGATGCTGCTTTCGGTCGGAATTACAGGGCTCGCGGTAGGGGCGCTGGTTATCGTCTTTTCGGATAATGGAGATCGTCCAGCGTCTCGATTAGCCCGCTGTTCCATGGGGTTCTTAGTGGCAATGGTTTGGATCATGGCCATCGCTGATGAAGTAGTGAAAGTGCTTCAGGTTCGTCTTCGAGAATTGCTATGATAGCATCTCCCGTTGGTCTGATCATATATTCGTAGACCTTCGGCTTCATTTTCGGGCTTTCAGATGCCATCATCGGTCTGACCATCTTTGCGGTCGGTAACTCTTTGGCGGATCTTGTGGCCAACATGAGTGTGGCGGTACGTTTTTCTTGTTTGTGCTGCCATCTAGTCGTCGGCCAGCTAAAGCCTCTTCTGCAGGTCTTTGCACCTATCATGGGATTCTCCGCGTGTTTCGGTGGTCCTATGCTGAACATGCTTCTCGGTGTCGGCATTTCTGGCTCGTACATAATCCACACCACCGCAAAACCCTACGAACTCAACTTTTCTACCACTCTCGTCGTGAGCGCCGTCGGCCTCCTTGCGCTCCTCGTTGCCACCATGATCTTCGTACCCTGGAACGGATATTTCATCCCGCGATCATGGGGCGTTTTCCTCATCGGGTTTTACGTGGTCATCATGACTGTGAACGTCGTGGTGGAGGTGTTGGATATTTAATAGCGTGTAGTGGAAAGGTCCGTTTTTATTTGTCGGTGTGTTTTGCTTTTACCTTTGGACTTTGCGAACGTTTGGATCTGAATTACAGCTGTGATGTTGTAGTGTATATTTACATCGCTCATGTTATACTACGTGCTTTCATATGTCGTCTTCGCCTCTTCAGTCTCGTCAACGATCCAGCCCACACTGCCACGAGCAATAAGGTTTCTGTCGGTCATGAAAGAACTGTTGGATTTTCGTGAGCGAGAGAGAAAAGCACGAGAAATCTGAGAGGGCTTGCAATCACACTGAGCTGTGAGGCTGGCTTGTGTTAGGGCAAACCGATGCCCTACACAGGTAAACACAACATGTATTTATACTACTGTACAATGTATCTAGAAAATTCTACAGTACTCGAGAGATTGGCAAAGCAGCTGCGCTGCTGAGTCATCCGTGTCCGTCGAAAGCTCGCGAAAGCTCTCGCGACGTCGAGCTGCAACTAGCTAAATCCAACACTCCCCCTCAGCGAGACGTGCGGGAAAGACCTCTAGATCAACTACGACATGCAGTGAATTACCCGTCTATGGTCAGAACCTACGGCAGTGGTCAGGAACTCCCCCTGGACATGCGCGCGTTCCTTCATATGGCAATTCCGTTCTGCTCGCGATGACGAACGGCGTATCCTAGCGGTTGATGCGCGTCGAGGCGTCGTGAGCACCGGCTCACCTGGCGCTACGGCATCCGTAACCGTGCCCAATACAGCCTGGATGAGACACCGAAAAGAGAGAGTCGGGGCGAAGGTGGCGAGGAGTGTGGGTGGCAAGGGATAGGAACGGTGGGTGGCGGCGAAGTGGCGGAATAGGGGCTGAGGATGTGGCGACAAGGGACGGCGGAGAGTCAACGTCAAATTCCGGACCGGGGATCGAACCCGTCTATGCACAAAGCACGGAAATGGCGGACGATGGGTGTCTCGGAGCTGAGCTCGAACGAGGACAGGTGCGTGCGATGTGGCCGGGAATACCACAAAGACAACAGATGGCTTTTCGCCACGCGGGGTTGGAGGGTGGAGAGGCCGGAGGAGGTGCGGCGGATGAAAAAGGTGACGGAGAGGGTAACGGCGGCGCGTCTGAACTTCGCGGCTTACGCGGGGACGAAATGACGAGAGTGGCGGAGGGACATACACGGGCTATGTGGCCCACTTCTCGGCAGTGGCGGCAGATAGCTCTGCTCCAGTCGGGATGACTGTCGCGAGAACGCGAGGGTGATGGCAGAGGCGGGGCGCGTGCGCTGGCGTCGAGGGAGGATGTGCGACGAAGAGGAAGGGTGGTAGAGCGGGTGTGGCGCACAGGAGTAATGGGTGCAAGGGAGTGGCGACGCGTGAGGCAAAGCGCAGGGGCGACGAGAGGAGCTGCCGTCGGGAGATCCGTCGGTAGATCAGTCGCAGCGGTTAAGCTGGACATGATGGACGAGCGTCGGGTTATCGGCGACGGTACCGAGATCGGTTTGTGTTGGATTTTCGTGAGCGAGAGAGAAAAGCACGAGAAATCTGAGAGGGCTTGCAATCACACTGAGCTGTGAGGCTGGCTTGTGTTAGGGCAAACCGATGCCCTACACAGGTAAACACAACATGTATTTATACTACTGTACAATGTATCTAGAAAATTCTACAGTACTCGAGAGATTGGCAAAGCAGCTGCGCTGCTGAGTCATCCGTGTCCGTCGAAAGCTCGCGAAAGCTCTCGCGACGTCGAGCTGCAACTAGCTAAATCCAACAAGAACAATTGCCCAAAACCTCACTACGGCGTCGGATTGCGGGATTCAAGGTTGCTTGACGCATGAACCGTCGGGGAGGATTGCCCGTTGCCAGTACGTTGACTTCGAGCTCGGCGACTGTGTGAATTAATATTGGCTCCATGCCTCTGCTGCTCCCAAGAAGCGCAGGATATTTGGCCGCCGTGATCTCAGTTGCGATCAAACCACAAACACCGGTAATAAACGTGTATACTGATCGATTACTAACCAGCATCGCCCCTTCCCGAGGACATGAATAAAAGGGAGTAGGTGTGTGCTGAGAAATTCTTCTTCAGTGCCCTACGCTTCACATCGCAGTTCTTCTTCCCAGTGATCTCTAACTCCAGTCAACGCTCTCACTATGAAATCCGTGACTGCATTCGCCACTTTGCTCGCTCTGCTGCCTAACGCTCTCGGCCAATTGACCATCAATACTCCGTTAGTACAATTTATTGCTCTTATTCACCGTACTCCAATTTATCGCTGACACTTCTTCAGTACGAGCATCGTTCAATGCGGTCAGTCGAACTACCGTCTGTTTTGTGTATCCTTCGAATTAACTCCATGTCCGTCTGCAGAGCCTGTTCAGATCACCTGGCAGGAAGGTACCTCCCCGTTCTCTGTTGAAGTCATCCCTGGTGGGTACAATATTTTCTCGGCGCTCTTTTCCTACATAGTCTCAATGCTGACCATGGTATGTTGGACCAGGCGGTCAGCCCACCGATAGTCCGGTTCGTTCCCAGCGAAAACGAGGTCTTGCTTAAAGCCGGCTGACCCTTCGTTAGATCATCGAGTTTCCAGCGACCACCGATCACTCGCTCACTTGGGACGTGAATGTTTCTGCCGGAACGTTCATGTACGTCGAATCCACGTTGTGTTTCTCGAGTATCCGGGCTCAACTGGTTTTACATCTCATGTTTTCGTGCTGTAGTTCGCTCAAAGTTGAGGATGCGGCCGGTACGACTGCTTTCTCGTCTGCGGTCACAGTCGGTACCAGCGATGACATTAGGTTCGTCGTGGTACACCTGATCCTCATATTAGGATTTGGCATCGCTGACTCGTCTGATCATGTAGCTGCATCAATTAGAACGTATCATATGTTTGGCAGCCGCAATGGCTCCAACCGGCGATTCCTCAGACACGTATATTTGGGGGTTAACAGCAACGTTGTACGTTTACCTCGGTGACGGCGGTTGTGATGCCAGAGGTGATACTATTTCTACCCCACGCACGTTTTGTTTGACTTTGAAGATGCGGAAATGCGAGACCATCGACCTCCATTCGCACCACATATTGTCCTCCTGGCACCGATGCTCCTACGGCGCTGAGTGTTTTAATCTGTGATTCGACGGTACACGACGGGCAGAATCTGCCATCTCCTTCCCAAGCTGATGCTTGTCTGGCCTGCGTTCAAGTTTGCTGTTGGTCTGTGCACAGCAGCTTTCATCTGTCACTGCTATACTATTTAATCCCAACGGTCCTTGTTTGCCCACCACGACCAAGATTTGATGTTCGGGTACCTCGGGTCGAACGCCAGGCTTTCCATTGAAGAGTTAATCCTGATACGATGCTGGTGGTGAACAGGATCTCAGCGCCTATACGACGAAGTAACTTGGTTCCTGCATCTGATCCTTTGTCTCACGATACTAGTCATGCATGGCTTGCTGTGAAGATGGACCGTATTGTTGTCTTTACTCCCTGGAGCTTTTCATTCTTGTTACCTTGGTACTTCGGTGCTATCATTGGCCATCGCGGCATGTCCCAACATTTACACGGCCATCGAGGACGATGATCAACAGGTCGCTACAAAAATATCTAGTGTATACTGGTTTACGAATCCATCTCCCATTGCAACCTTCCTAACATTCCTCCAAGTAATCATGAAGACCTTCACTGCGCTTGCTTCTCTGCGCATTGCCCTTCCTGACGTCCTCGGGATGTTGACCGTCGACACGCCGTTCGTGCTCCTCCTACATTCTAATATATATCCATGGTAGTAGCTGACTTTTCGGGACCAGGACCGACCTTGTTCATTGTGGTGAGCTATGTTCTTAGCTTTCCTCTCGCCTACTCGTTGACGACTCTGCCGTTCTATAGAACCCGCTGAGATTGTCTGGAATGGTGGCGTTGCGCCATTCAATGTTGAGATCACCGCTGGTAAGCAGTCGCCATCGTCCACGCAACTCCTGCCCACTGAGCTGTCCTTCACAGGAAACGATCCCAGCAGCGTCGTACGTCTCTCTTCTCCCTCAAGTGCGGTAGCATATGTGCTTGACCCCCTCTGTTCATATGCTACGTAGCTGGAAGATCTTGGCGAAACGTCTGCTCAGACCATCACCTGGGACGTGGACGTCGCGGCTGGAACTTCCATGTAAGCTTCAACATCAAGTTGCTCAGCGTTATTGGCCGTACTTGCGTACTATATCTTGACTATATTGCTCGATTTTTCAGCGGTATCGACATCCGGGATTCGACGGGTGCGCTCGCTCAGACCGCTGATGTCACCATCGGGCCTAGCAACGATAGCAGGTCTTAGCAGGTTAGTCCAATTCTGCACTGTGATTATATTTTCAAATGTCTGACTCCGAGGTACATGTGTGTTCTGTCGCGTACTATAGCTGTCTGGCCTGAGATGCCTCCGACTGATCGAGACCTTCAATGACGTGTTATTTGTTAGAATATTCAAAGAAGAGACCAATGTACATATGGAACGAATTGTGCATGGTTTATGTTGCCTCTCGTGCAACCTCGCTGAACCATGTCACGAAAACATGTCGGCGACTGTTGCAAATTAGCCTGCCTGGTGCCAAGAAGTCCCGAGGCAACCGTTATGAATGACGTAGAGGGTGGCCGCCGCCAAGAACGATCGGACTGAAATGGAAAAGCTGCCTCGCGTGGAAAATTGCAACTCCGCCGGGTTGGAGGCGGTTGCGAACGCGGGGGTCCTCTTCAGTTCCCTTCGTTCGTCGACTCGTTCTCTCTTCGTCCGTCGTTACACGCACTCTCTATCCATCTTTTGTTTCAATCCTCCACCACTGTTCTCTTAACTTTTCAGTATACCAGTTCATCATGAAGTCCTTCACCGCCATCGCTGCCCTTGTCGCCGTTGTCCCCGCACTCGTCAGTGCTGATCTGTTGGTCAACACCCCGTAAGTCCCGCCACGTCCCGCCAATCTCTCGAAGCTTTCACGCTGACATGCCTACTCATTTTATCACTTAGGACGAGCGTTGTTCAGTGCGGTAAGACCTAGCGCGTGGTGGTCGACTGATCCCTCTTTTTTTGTGCTTACTTGCCTTACAGAGCCCGCCCAATTCACTTGGCAGGATGGTACCCCTCCGTACTTCCTGACCTTGATCCCTGGTACGTCCTATCGTACATCACCAGATTATTCGTATTTTTTTCTGACTGGGTGGTTCACAGCGGGTCAGCCTTCTGCCTCCCCTGTAAGCATCGACCGCGTTGTCACCGCATCATTCCAATCATGCTGATTCACACCCGCTGTTCGGGGCCAAATTTTCCAGCTCAAGGACTTCGGCACCCAGACCGGCACCAGCTACACCTGGAAAGCTGATCTCGCCGCGAACACCAACTTGTGTGTATAGTTCCTTTACCTCATTTTATAACTTTTTTAAACAATATCGTTCCCGACAGCGACATCGCTCTCAAGGATAGCACTGGTGCGACCGTCTACTCGTCCCAGGTGACCATCCAGACCTCCAGCGACTCTAGGTATGCCCGTTCTAATTCCACCATCTCCGCCGCATCTAACTGACGCATCTCCTTCCAGCTGTGTCAACTCGACTGTCGAAGAAACCGGTAGCAGCTCCAGTAGCGGCAGCAGTGGCTCGTCAGTTTCTACGAGCTCCTCGACCACTTCGACTTCAGCGTCTGACAGCACTTCACCTACTTCATCCACCAGATCTTCAAGCGCGTCGTCCGGCTCTTCAGCTTCCGGCTCGGCCGCCAGCGCCAGTGGCTCTGCCTCCTCGACCGCGAGCTCCAGCGCGTCCACGGCGTCGTCCTCGAGCGCCGCTTCCGGTGGTTTCTCCATCCCCGCCTTCGGCCTCGCTGGTGTTATGGGTCTTGTTGGCGCCGCTTTGTTCTAAGCATCTAGCCACTGATTCGATCCGTGACGGTCATTAGAGTGTCGATGGACAGCTGTCTGTGCTCCGTCAGAACGCGTACCTTACAGCGGACAATCATCTCCTAGTTTATCACCTCTCGTCTTGGCAGTGTGTCGGCCCCTCCTTAAATACCTTTGTCTGTCTTTTAGTCTTTTTCCTTCCTGTGACATCCCGCCCTGGTTGAACGATTTTTTTACTACACTTTTGACTTGTCCGCAATACCGTGTTTTTCCTCATCGCCTCCCATGTGTGACCTCTGTTGTCGACTGCGAAGAAGGTGCAGCAACCACTCTCACTCTGAGGTTCTACTGTGATGCACCTTGGTATTTTGATGAGGTGTCAGACGGCGTATGGTGCAATGCATATGGTGATTGCGGGCGAGCAACACTGTTGTCACAGTGCTTGATTGTCGGTAGGCTCGTGGATGGTCATCTTCCCATAGAATGTGGGATTGGGTTCTCGGAGTTGTCGAACAGAAGCTGGATGCCCGCGTTGCGAACGGAGTCGGGCTAGAGGCATGGATCAGTGCGACCCAACATATGGTTGCAGCAATTTCTTAGTCGTTCTCTCCAATAATTCTGTGTCTGGGTGTAAGTACTGCTAGATCGACCTACACAGTATACGATGCGCAAAGCTCAGACCTGAGCTTGGCGGTAGCATGGGTGGCGGTGGCCCGAATTGGACAGTGATCTTGCTTCGATCGGCGCCACGTGTCGGAAGAGTTGCATGTGAAAGTCAAGATTTACCACGATTGCTGTCAACTCGTCCGTCTGTTCGCAACGCTTCCTATAGTACCACTCACTTTCATCTCACTCTCCTAGCCAGACGCCACCACTACCTCTTTCATAATCTGATACAGCTGAAGTCAACCCATTCGCCAGCTCTGGTAATTGGGATTCGACCTCCAGAATCTCCGCTCTGCTCACTGAACTCTGAACGTCTCTTACTCCCTTATCCTTGGACAAACGAGTTCCTATACGATCTTCAGGGCCAACATCCTTAGAAACGAGTCGGGATGTATATGGACACGAGGCACGCGCTTCGACAGCTACAGTTCGTCATCCCCGGCGGCGCAATCACTTTCTACCTCGAGACTTTGGCAGTACTTCAGCGAGTTTGGGACGGAGCCAGTGGGTCTTGGGCGCGGTGCGTCTATCTATATCATGTCTCTAACTAGCGCTACGTTGTGCTGAATGGAACCGTCTTTACTGTCCCATTTTTGAATGCCATAGACCGCTTGTCCTGACATCACTACTGTCGGGGCTGCTCACCATATCGTTGTTTCTGTACATCCTGCTGATACCTGTATTGAAAGGTATACCACCAAATGTGCGTCTTTTTTTGTCTATCCAATCATTCCTTTGTGTACGTGGCGCTTGACTTATCTATATTTCTCGCTCCATTCGGCCTATGTGGCGCATACCCGTCATACCGCATCCAGTACCGGTCGTGGCGAGAATCTGGAGAACTCTCGTCCGTCATTCCCGTACGTTATCATCGTAGTCTTTCCTTTACACTCGCACTCATGACTATCGTGCATCTATACATCGTCTACACGCCGTGATGTACAACAGATCCTCACTGCCTCAATGATCATCGGCTGGTCTTTCCTCTCATACACACTCGGGAGGTATTCGCCACTGGGCTACATTGAGGGTATTATCGGCTGTCAGTCTCTCTCCCTCCCATCGCTCTCTTGCTCACACTTATTCGCTGGGCCCCTCTAGCTTCGGGACTATACGCGCTTGCCGTCGGTCTCATGGGACTGCTTCCAGCACCACGCATCAAGCGATCATGACCCGGGAGCACAGTTCAATCTTCATACCACACCTTCGATACCTTCGTCTCCTCTTCCCGTCCCTCTCTCTCTGTGCTTGTCTTGCACTACTTTGGTGCCGCCAAATAGCAATACATACTACTGCTCATGCCGCCGCTATCCAGCCTCTATCACCCACTCGCTGACATCTTTCTCTTCAAAACTTCAAACCTGATATATCTTCTTCCCTCCTCGCTTATATCCTTGGGCCCATTCTTCCTTCTTCCTTCTTCCTTGTCATTCGAGTCAGGGCGCTTATACTCAGTTGTCCCGAATATCAGGATTCGAAATAGACTTGTCCACCTCGTCTTTCCTCTTCGATACGTTCGATGATCATGGACCCCGCCTCCCATACTTAATCCGTCTTTCGCATATCTCATCCTTTATTTCTTTTTCTTTCTCGTCTTGATTGCTCATAGAGTCTCGATTTTTTGTCGCATGATCGTGACGTACGACCAGATATGCATGTGTTCTGTGTCTGACTCCCTGTATCTAGCCCAGTGTACATTTGACCCGACTTGGCTGCACTCTCGCCTCTTCTCGGCGTGGGATGTTTCTGTTCGAGCCATTAACATATACTTATTGGCGCTTCATCTCGACACACTATCCTCGCAATGGCCATCGAACGGCATCAAATTATCGGGGCCACGAACCCCCCTGGGAAACGGCTTGACCCGTTCGAAGTAATATCATACGCCCCATCCGCCTCAACCGATTCCAAGAAAACATGCACGATAAATTGGAAGCACATCATATACAACATCCCACCACAATTATTTTCGACACTTCAAGATCTTCCCTTCTTGCCGCGACAATTCTTGCCCTTCAATCCTTTGCACGGACCAGATTTCTTCGCAGCTGGCACGGTAGTAGTGGATAATGTGTCCGAATCCAGGTCACAATCCTCAACGCCTGTTTCGACAGCCTAGTTAAAACAAATCCACAATGAGTCAGTGGGGCAGGGACGTACGAGAGGGACGAGCGGGGGATGAGAGTTTTGACCTTCTGACTGATTTCGGCCGTCGAAGGAAGGGCAGCCGGAGGAGTTGGCTTGGAGGTGATGGTGGCCAGCGTGACATTGTAAGTGCACTGATAGCCAGTGGTGCCCTTGCAGCCCGTTGTCGACTGTGTGCCGTCGGATGTGTAGGTATTCTTCTGGCGGCAATACTGGCAATATATGTCCTGGGTTATCTCATTCTTTCGCACAGGAGCCCTTGAATTTGTCGTCCGAATATTCTCTCTGGCCTTATTGATCGAAACAACATCCTCCATACCAAGCCTCGTACCCTCCGCAAGCGTGAGTGGCTCCTTCCTTTCAACGAGGCCGGTATATCCAGGAAGAAGCCACTCTTCAAAACGATAACGATGACCGAGCACCACCTTGTCGACGTCAGAGGCCGATGGTGTAAAGCTCCGTATAGCAAGTTCTCGGATAGAGGGGAAATTCCACTCCGAGGCAAGGTGGAGGACGGAGGCCCAGGCTGGGGCGGCCATGATCGGGTTCGAAGTATAGGAACTAAAGATTGAAGCTTCGTGAACATACTGTAGACAGTGAGGATAGATACTAGGCATCACAGTACGTACGTGCGATACAAGACGTTCAAAAACGCATCGAACTGACTCTTCTCTACGTCTTGTAAGAAGATGGGTGACTTGGTGTCCTTACGTCCGGCAAGGAACGTCTTAGAGAATGTGTCCGAATGCAGGTTGAACAGGAAGCGGTGAAGGCAATACGCCGTCCCATCGACCTGCGTGGCGCAGGTTAGCTCACCGAATAGGGAAACAAAAGAGTGGACAGAACGTACGACGAAAGTTACACTCCCATCATCGAAGTAGAACTTCTCATGGTGAGGGTATTCCTCGTCAGCCGGACTTTTAGAACGGTCGTCGCTGCTTTCAGCGGAGAGCGAGAGCGAGCTGAGACGTTGATCCATGGGTGAGGCAGGCATGGTTATGTCGAGGGGTTCGATAGATGAAGTAACAGAGACTAACTTAGTTCTTCGAAGTCTGACTCCGACCCTATTGAGTTCTGTACCACCATCGCAGTGGGCATATTAGTCGAAAAAACGACCAAAGATAATATTGAAGGAAACACACCATACCACGAGATGAACTAGTCGGAGGAGGACGTGGAGTATCGATGCTGAAAGTTAGTTGGCCAGAACATTTTAATACGAGCCGACCGTAATTTCAGTGGCGGTATATCAACCAACTCTGACAGGCGTGTGAGGCTCAGGAGACAAACTAAGCTCGTGTTGCATTGTCCAAAGCTGTGGCGTGTGTGCGTGCGGGATGACAATAGAGGTGTAACGCTTTAACGGTATCACGAGTCGCAAACCCAAGGAAATCTTTTATCGGTGATCCTCCACGGCCACGGATGAGTCCAGGCAGAGACCTAAAAAGACCATGTCGACTGAGAGAGACGGGTAACCGTTCCAAAAACCTCTATGACATTTCGATATCCTCATCGTCATCACTATCCTCCATGTCCTCCCAATCTCCACCTTCCTCCTGACCTTCCTCCTCAGGCGAAGCCTTCACGCCCAACTCCTCCAACTTCTCTATCAGCTCACTTACGTGCTCCAATAATGGTAAATCTGGATGCTCTTGATTCATGTGAAGCTAGGAAAACAACGTCGACCATCCCATCATCAGTCCCCGAGGGGGGAAAAGGAGGTGGGCAGATATCCACTGAGACTTACCGTTTTACACGTCTCCAAACAATCCCTCGAATCCTGTGCCAAAGTCTCCCAGCTCAATTCATCCATCGTTCCACCTTGTTCGTGAGCCATCTCCGCCATCATGAAGAAACACCATCCCTCAAGGTACCATGCCTCGACTTCTTCGTCGTCTGCTGCCATGATGCCCGTCAGGACGAGAAGCGCAGGTGTGAAGAGTTCGAGCTCGAGGAAGAGTTTTGTGAGGGCAAGACGGGAGGGTATTGGTGGCAGCCGTGGGTCATCTGAAAACGAAATCATCTTTGAGTGAGACATGTATAGAAACTGAGTAGTCACATACCATTCTCGAGATTCTTCCAGGAATTCCAGGACTTTTCAAGTAATGATTTTGCGTCATCCGGCCGTTGTTGTGACATGCGCACGGAAGCTAACGATTGCAGCGCTTCGACGTTATCCGGATCTGTCTGCAATGCCAACTCTAGCAGATCTTCGCATGTCTTCTCCGCTGCTGGGTCAAAACTACACAGACATGAACCACACCATCACACGGTGAGCGATGAATTGAACACACAAGTGAAATTGTCACATACCACAGTTCGTATTCTGGGTCCATCCAAATTTCGACTTGCCCAATCAGTGCTCTCACAATCGTCCGCCTCGTCTCTTGTTCGTCTTCATTTTTTGCAGCCGAGTCGACGGCTCGCTCTTTTCCCTGGAGTTGGATGGATAGGATGTCAACTGCCGCTCTGTAATATTGCAATGCTTCCTGAGGATCTTCGACGCTCAATTGAGCCAGGTAAAGGTAGGCGGCTGGAGGTGGAGGTTGTGGTGATTGTGGTGAAATTAACGATAGGAAGGTCTGCAATTGTAGGCAAGCATGAGGATATTATTGTCAGCTATATGGTTTCAAATATGTAGAGGAAACGACGAGATGTAAGGCGGGACGTCTGAACATACCTCCTTTGCAGCATCGAGCTCTCCCGTCTCAAGCTGTACAACCCCCATCATTTCAAGTGCTTCCGCATGGTCTGGGGACCTCTCCAATACACGCTGAACAAATCTTCCAGCTAGTTCATAGTCACACTGTACAATGAGCTCCTGGGCTTTTTCGATGAGGGAGGATACGGAGGGTTGTGACTGTGAAGTGGATGTGGCTTTTTCCTGGACTTCGACGACAGGAGGTTTCGTTTTACGGGTCTTGGTTCGTGTTCGGCCCATGATCAGAAATAAAGACTTTGGAGGTGATCGCGTATGAGTTGGTACAGATACAGTAAGGGCTCAGAATGAAGAGGCTAGATACAGTGCTCCAGGAAATGACGGTACTGTAAGTGAAGAAAAGTTGGCCAGTCAGTGGCGCCGCCACAGTGATAAATTGCTCTAATCTTATCAGACTCCGACTCGACGGCTCCCGTCTCTGAGTCTTTGACCATTCGCGAATTGTTCGCGAAGTTGGGAAATTATACGTGCTGTATTATTTTCTGTACAACACCGACTGTGAGAAGTAGCAGAAATGGCTCCAGGTACTTTGTTCCATGGTAATATCCACAACCAACAAGAGAGAATGGGACTCGGAATGGGCCACCGCCACTGGGGAGATCGGCAGCCTCGTCATCCCTATTTGTCTGCCAAGACGCCGGCCGCGTGCGGAAAGGCCTCGATGTGCAAGCGTGAAGCAGACTGGCCTTCGTGAGCAAGCTCTGCCTCCAACCACCACGAACACCTTCTCGTAAATCGACAACATGTTTTCCTCGTTCTTTTCGTGCGTATTCTCCACTCAGATGCCCCAGTGTACTCTGACACCCTTACCAGGACTTCCGCCCCTGTTGACCCAACAGCCCCAAACTTCCATCCCGTTTCTACCGGCAAGGGTCCCAACGAGCTTTTTGGCGAGCTTGAGCCAAAGGACACCGAATGGTTGTGTTCCGGCGGGTTCGTCGCCGAGACTCAAATCTGGTACCATATTCTGGAGGATGGAACGAGTTTGATGGTCCAGATTATTCACTCGTCCATAGGGTGAGTGGGCTGACATCATCATCGCCCATAGCGGAGGTCGCAAGAAATATCGTACTGATGTGACTCTCAGTGTATGGTATCCCACCGTTCAGGCCACCTGCAGGATCTACAATCCAAACACCAAGGAGACCACTTGGCGCTCCATCAATGTCTCCAATTTCACTACTCCCCCGCCCGGTCTCGATAAACGATCGAGCAGATCCGACCAGTTCACCATCACTCACAAGACTCTTCCTAAATCCTCCGACTCTCCTTCCGAATACGCTGAATCCTATACCATCAATGTCAACTTCTCCAGTGACCTTCAGATCTCCCTAGACGTCCGTCGTCCTACCTCTGTTCCCGGTTTTAAGATCGGAAAGGGCCCCAAGGGAGGATACTCCTATTTCGGCCACGACCTTGAGAAGCCAGACGGATACGTCATCCACAGGTTCTGGCCGAGGGCTGTCGCGACTGGTCATGTCATTCAGAACGGCAAAGCGACGAGCGTCGAGGGTCCCGGCATGTTCGTGCACGCCATCCAGGGCATGCGCCCCAACCTCGTTGCAGCTCGCTGGAACTTCGGGCACTTCCAAAGCCAACAGCATGGAGGTGTCTCCGCGATCCTCATGGATTTCACCACGATAAACGACTACGGAGGGAAGGGTGCGGGGTCTGGCTTCGTCAATGTCAGCGTAGGGGGCCTCGTAATTGCGAATAAGCTCGTCGCAGTGACGGCGGAGACGAAGTGGCCGGGAGAAGAGCAGGATGCGAATGCGGTGGTCAAGTCCAGGGCTACTCACCTGGACGCCGCTCACGATCCCGATACCGGCTATGATGAGCCCTCGCGACTCCTCTTCCACTGGGCTGGCCCTTCGCTTTTGCCCGAGGCACCAGGCAACGTGACTGGGACGATAAATGTTGATCTGGGAGGTCCTGGAAAGGAGAAAGGTTTGATCGAGAAGGTGGACTTTTTGGCGGAGATTCCGACTGTTGTCAAGGCCGTGGTGAGCTATGTGGCGGGCACGAAGCCATACATTTATCAGGTGTGTTTTCTTGTGATTGCAGGCCTCGAAATCCTGGCTAACTGGCTGGATCGGGTCACCTAGTGGCACAACCCTGGGAAGATTACGCTCACTGGTCCGGATGAAATCTTACCTGGCTTGTCGGGTGGGTTGGAGGCGGAAGGGTACATCTACAACGAGTGTACGTTCATCTCCTAAAGAAGGATAGAAGCAAGGACCCGAGTCCGAATACCTGTACAATAATCGACCGCTCCGGATACGCATGCATAATGATTGTAAACACCTCGACTCTTGACATCTCCAACCATTGCTGTGCTTTTATTGTTCAAAGTGCACTGTCAAGGTATGATGCAGTGAGAACAATGCGAGCTGAGGCGCCATGGCATTACTGTGAACAGCGCCGAGCTCTTGTCTAAACGTGAGTCCTCGTACAGTCTGTATGCTATCGTCGGTTCTGCTCATGGACTTCTTCAGGCTTCAGAACTTGACAAGTGACCGTACTACTCAGAATTCTCCAATATAGCCTGCCTAGTTTCGGCCACTGGCTGCCAGGTCATCGGATATGTGCTTCGGTCGCATGTTTGTATCTTAACAGCCACGTGTCTCTCTTCCCTCTTCAGCCATTCTGAAACGGGTATTTTCCGGACTTCACAATCGATATGGAGCAAGCCCGTGGGATGTCAGAGCTTCCATCCTCTGTACACTGCGGCAAACACAACTCATAAGGCACTCTCGAAACTCCGAAGGACTGACTCCTCAGATGTTCGATGATTCATGATCTACAAATACTAGCCTTCTCTGTGCGGAGTCTTGTTACTACCGACGTACTCGCTCATCGTCGTCGTCCTTCGCAAAATCAAGGGGGTCAAAAGCACTGCTTTGCGCTCGTCGTACCATCATGGCGTTCCGTACGTCTGTTTTCCACGTGATCCATTGATTTGAACTCGATACCCTGTACGGTGATTTGGGGTCGGACGTGGGGCTCACAGCGCTTGGAGTCTCAGCTTAAGCAAGATCCCAATTGGTTCGGCTGCAAACATATCCGTTAATCATGGCGGTCTAACGATATGGAATACCCATGGTCAGTGGCCAATCTTTAGAATCTTCAACATTCACTGATATTTTTCACTCGGGTGCTCGTCGGTAATATTTCAGTCTAGGGACTCCGTGTGGATATTTCCTTAGTATTTACGGAGTTCGCTGGTGTAGGCGCGCCTGACAACTATGGTCGTATACTGATTAGATGGACAAAGCTTTACACGACATGCGTCAAGTTTGCTGGCAATTCAAAGGGTCACCACAGCGCAGCAACTGCTGTCGGGCGAACTTCCTTTTAGTATAGTTTTGGCAATGAAACAATACTGGAAACAGTTTGCGTTACCAAACGCGTAAAAAGACACGAATGTAGGTATACCGTTCCTCCGTTTCTACGGTCTTTCTTGTGGTGCCATATGGCTCATACGTACTTGCCAGCACGCTGGTGCAAGCATTGCCATGCTCGTCCATCAAGATCGATTGCTACGGACGATAGCGCTACCGCAAGCGCTGGAAGTATGTCTTGGATGGCTTGTTACGTGACTCGTGAGAAAGGCAAGATACCTGGTACGCTCAAGAAATTTATTCATTCATAGGGCCACTATCTGACCTAACTTGTCCTCGTAGATGTCTGTGGCGGCCCTGTGGGTTTCCCGCGTAGTTTATACCAATAAACACGGTCGTCTGGGTCCTCATGGCACGGCACTGTTTCGAGGTTCAATCAGCACAGCAGCGGAGCGCTTGCTAGTCTAAACCCCTTTGTCGATTCAACTTCGCAAAGTATCTCGCGGTACGGTTGAGGTATGGCCAGGGTAAACAGATATGAGCTGGCAAGCCAAAGTGAATGGTATATAAACCGTTGTGCTCAGGCAGTCGAAACTCATTCCCAATCCCTCCCAAGCCCTTTCAAACCAACTTCCCGGCCCACCTAACACACTCCCTACAAGAATGCGTCTCTCTACTCTCTTCCTCGGTGCTTCTTCAGTTCTTCTCGCTGCCTCACCCGGATTCGCGAAACCCATCGACGACGGACTCAGCAAGAGGCAGTCGTACAGCAATGAACGCATGACCTACTACGAAGTCGGCGGGTATGTCACTTCCTGCGACTCGTCATGAACATCAATTTCAGGATGAGTTGCTCATGTGTGGTTGGGATCTTACAGCGCTGCCGGAGCTTGTGGTCAGACGCACTCTGACAGTGAACACGTGAGTGACAACCTTTCACCGAAGTGAACTCACTTGAACCCAACATCTATATGTGCTCCTCATTAGGTTGTCGCTCTCAACGCTGCTGTAGGTCATCGCTCCGCGCTCAACCCAATCCCTTCGTCGATGAACATCGTCACTTACGTACAAAATCTATAGCAATACGGCTCCGGTGGAGATTGCGGCCGTTCAATCACCATCTCGTACAAGGGCAAGTCGACCTCCGCTACCATTGTGGACAAGGTATGTCTCTCTAATAGCCCGCGTCCATATGTTTTGTTCTCTGACATTTTTATCCTTGACACTACAGTGCCCCGGCTGCCCCAACGGAGGCCTCGATATCTCGCCCAGCCTCTTCAGCTACTTTGCTGACGAGTCTGTCGGTGTGATCTACGCAGACTGGAAGTTCAACTAAGAAGTTGGATAGGAACGACACATCATCATTATCCACATTATTCACTTAGACTCCCTCGTATCAGTTGGGATGTATTGTCGGCTGGATCGATATTGTAAAGCGCGCTTGTAATCTTTATATAACTTATTGGGCCCAAAGACGTGAAGACTTTTGTTCTACAGCGTGGTCTGACATTCATTAATCGCCATAGGAAGGACGAGAGACACTGAGCTATCGGCAGTAGCTTAAACCTGAGAAAAGGACGCTGAATGTCTTGCGAACGTCAAATGCAGCCTCGGTTCGTTCCGAGCTGGTCTGTGTCACCGCAACGGAGCGCCTAAAATAGACGCCGGCCGGTACAAAGTCGCGACTGGCCTTCATTCGAAGGATCAGATACTTATTCGCGCTCAACGCCAGTAGGACCTCAGGTCTGTGCAACTGCAAGTGTGCGTAATCTGTTCGATATTATTTCCACTGATTTTGCGTGAGCAAATAGACATGTAGACTGAACCATTGATTCTTAGGGATCCTCGAGTCAGAGATTGAGCACCGCCGTGTCTGTGTACATGACAGTGTTCCCGCTCACCATGCTATAGTACAACAGAAGGCCCATGGAGAACCGGCGCCAGAGCCGGCAGGGGCCCTTGACATATTTAGCCACCTTTCTTGCGGCTGCGGTCATTTAGTTCAAGTCGGCAAGTGCTGACTGCACTGCAGCATGCCGCGACGACAAGGAGAGGTGGGATCTCGACTGTAGTGCGTTGCAATTGGCTCAGACCAAGCACTCAGATCTCAGAGCTATGGAAGTTTGATCGCTCCCTCGGATGCACTTTGAAACACCTGGTAAGCATACGACACGATGCGCTTTTTTTTGGCTTTCTGCCAAGCCTTCGCCGCACATCATCACTTGGGTCATGATCATCCTCAGGCATATGCGTCTTCCAAGCTTCGAAGGTTACATACAAAGACCCCTACTTATCCATCACAGACGGCTTCGAGTGGTCGTATGACTCTAGCATATGCCATAACCGTGTTCTTGCCAACCTAAAGTACGCCTAAGCTACACAGACGGTGATAGGCTTACAGTACAAATAAACAGCCCATGGGCGTTATGTGTGACTCACCATTCTTTTCACCTAATATTCGCATCCTACAACCACCACACTCATTGAGCCCGTTTGAAACCCATTCCATCGGTGGCTGACCATGCCGTCTCTGACTGCTCTAGCTCTCACAGCGGCCTTGACGTTCGCGTCGTCTACCAGCGCTCAATCCGTTCTTGCCTCCCTTTCTCCGTGCATACCCCCTCTCCCTGTCGTCTTGGCGTCATATCCTCCAACCGTATCTACGGACGGCATCGCAAACGCCTCTTCCGTTCTCGATGATCTAGTCACTGCGGCCTTCAACGCAAACCATACCGGAACTCCCAATATTGACAGTCTCGTTCTTGCGGTCGTCACTGCGAATGGCACCGTGTTTGAGAAGGGGTATGGTATCAGAATAGCGAACGAGACCGATTCTTCTCTGCAAGGCGGAACTCCTGACAAAAACACTATTTACCGGGTCGATTCCACCTCGAAGCTCATCACTGCCGCCGAGACCATGTATCTCAAGCAGCAAGGCCTTGTTTCTCTGTGAGCATATCCATGAAACCCCGTTTGTCTGAGCTGACAGTACATTTTGTGCTGACAGTGATGATCCCATAACCAAATACTTCCCCAACCTCACCGAAATCGCACAATCGAACCCCTCCGTCGACCCCTCGCTCTGGACGCTCCGTTCCATAATGGGCCACATCGCGGGCCTCCCCGCCAATATCCCCACCAACCTGACCAACTGGCCCCAGAACACGACCACGAACAGCACCGCGCCGACCCTCGCGGAAACCACGGTCGACGACCTCTTCAACGCGATCGCGACGACGAACCAGCCGCTGCCGATGTGGAGCTGGCCGATGTACTCGAATTTAGATTACGCGTTGACTGGGATGGTCAATATGGCTGTGGCGAAGGATCCGCCGGCGACACATCTGGAGTTGTTGCAAAGGGATCTGTTTGGGCCGTTGGGGATGAACAGTACGGCGCTTCACCCGGACGACGATCAGGCGAAGAGGTTTGCCGTGTGTTCGACGGATCCTTCGATCGCAGTAAGTGCGCGTTAGAACGTTCTGCCTCTCCTTTGTTCTCTGCTCCAATTAGCATGATACTGAATCTGTTGGTTCGATGGTCCAATTGTAGGACAACTTAAGTCCGGTAGGGGACCCTGCTGGTGGACTTTTCACCTCCCTTGCCGATATGGAGCTCATGATGCAGATGATGCTCGACACCTCGAAGAACAACAGTATCTTGACACCGGCAACGATGCGGGAATGGCTCCGACCAGTCAGTGCGCTTTGGGATGACGAGTTTGAGATGGGTCTTCCTTGGGAGATCTTCAAGCTCAGGAACACGCACGGAAGAGTCGAGAGACTGTTCACCAAGAGTAAGTTCACTTTCCTCTTTCACCGCCGTTACGTTGGAATTAGGAATGCCACTGACGATCCCCGGTACTCTCTCCTAGGCGGTTCCGGAGATGCCTACCAAGCTTCCTTCGCGATCAACCCCCTCTCCGGGTACGGAGTCATGGTCATGTCCACAAGTTTGTATAGCGACATGCTTGAGTTCGCCCTCCTCGCAGTGGACGCTTTCCAGCCTTCGACAATCTCAAGGACAGCATCTCTGCCGATCTCTACCAGGGCGACTGGACCTCTTCCGACGGTCAGACCTATATCAATATCAGTCTCGACGATGGGGCGTTATGGGCTCATCAGGTCATTCTGGAGGGGACGGACGCCGTAACGTTGCTGCTGGGTGCGGTTGCGGCTGGGGATAAGGTAACGTTGTGGCCTACGTTTAGGCCGGGCGTGGAGGAGTTCAGGTCCGTTTTCACTCCTACCTTTGCATGTTGGGAGCTCTAGTTCTAAGCCATGCTTCATGTATGACAGGATCTCCTTCGGGTTCTCTGGTCAAAACGGCATCCCAAACTGGCGTTGTATGGTTCCCGTGGTAGATCTCGACATCGGGTACAACTTCGGACATCCGACCACTCAGTTGTTATTCGGAAATGACCCGAATGGCCAGCGGTACTTGAGCGTTCCAGCTACAGGTGCGATACTGTACCGCTCGTGAAGCCTCGAATGAGCTACGTCGAGGCTAGTTGTAGTTGCACAATGGTGGTGCCATGGAATCGTCGGGTATTCTGAAGGCACCATAAGGTCTGCGTACAGATTTCACGGACATCAGACTGTAGGCCATGTGTAGATCTTACTTCTGCTGTATATCAATGCCGTAATCGAGGGATTACTATTGGGCGGAAGGTAAAGCAGGAGCTTGAACAGAATCACGCCGCCTACACAGTTGAAGGTCAGTCTCAGAACCTGACTCCGACAGACGAAGAAAACAGTATGTCGTCTTGATGAACCTGATAGGCGCGGTCACTGCAAGCCGCTCTGGACAATGATCCTCATGCCTCTAGATGCCGTCTAGCAGAACAGAAGCAGACAACGCTAGCCGATAGAATGCGCGAAAAAGACGATAAAATTGTACGGCGCGCCGGATCGGAGTACATCCCACCATCACACTAGCTAGAGATTTAGTGGTGGCCGTGAGCAGGCTCGGAGAGTTGCTCCTGGGGGTGGAGTTCTTGCAGGACGACCTCGTCAGGCTTGTAGTCGAGCTCGTACACTGTAACACGAAAAGGATACAGAATGATATGAGACATGGACGGGGAGAAGCAGAAGGGAAGTCAACGGACCAGAGCCACACTCATGGCAGCGACGGATTTTGTCCTTGTTGAGGACCATCCATTGAATATCGTGCGAGTCGGCAGGGCTTCCGGTGCAGCCAATGGTACGCTCGGGGAACTAAAGACGAAACACAAGACGTGAGCCGATATATATATGAATCCGAAGGGGACTCGAGAAAGAGTCTCTGATAAGAAGAGGTGTAGGAGAAGTGGGGAAGGAGAAGTAGATAAACTGGACGTACATAGGAAATGACCTTGATAGGGTCCTTCTTGGTCCCAATCCGGCTCGAGTCGAGAGGGTTTTGATCCCAAACCTCAACACCCTGAAGGAGACCGAGAGACTCTACACGGTCGAGACCGGTGGACTGGTTCTCAGCGGTGGCGACCTCGCCTTTCTTCGCACCGGGACCAAAGAGGGTGGGGGCAAAGGCGAGATGGTCCTCAGAGCGGCGAACGGCGCTGGTGGCGATGGTGCGGACAGAGGATGACCTGGCTGCGCGAATGGCGAGCGACGCCGGGCGGGCGACGCGGAGAACGGACTGCATGGCGTTGAGAAAGGAGTTGATGGTGGTGGTGGTGAACCGAACGTCGAGGTCGATAACGACGACCGTCTCGCACCCTCCGCTTGTCACTGTCACGCCGTCACACGCTCTTCCCGGTTGTTCCGAGCGTGGCCTCGCTCTGCCCAGAGCTGCCTCGAGAGCTCTTCGTCAACGTCCACCAGTCCTTGTAGTTTGCATATGTTTTGGACTCGTTCAGGATGGCTGCAATTGGAGGAATGTTGGTGTTACCTTGCTGTTTCACTACCTGCGCCATCGTCTTCGCCTGAATGATACGGCCAACGCTCGGGAAGTCGATGATCAATTCAAGCTTAGGAGGCTCGCTTGTCAGTTGCTGCTGGTTCTTCCTTGCAAAACTCATCTTTTGTTGAGACTGGCGCTGGCGAAGGCATCGACACGTGTGTACTCGCTGTCAATCGTTTGTGCGCCGCACAACGATATCGGCGGTCCTTCCTCGCTTGCATGAAGCGGTCCCCCGCAGCGACGTTATGTACACCATGACATGTCTGAGGGTGCGAATTGGCTCCACTATCCCTGCGGGGTTGCAACGCTTTCGAACTTCGAAGCCATCTGCTCATTGGTCAACCCTTCCTTCCATGCACTCAGACTCCTTCACCTGTCTCTCTCAATTGCGGGACATCTACCATGTCTTTAAATAAGCTATGAAATATCCTGCGATCTGCTAGCATGAGGCGGCCAGAAAAGGACACAACGGGATTGCGAACTAGCCAAAATGGGAAGACTAACACCCCGGCACGACGGCATCTGCCCCATCTCCCGCTTCTGCTTCTCTTTATTGAACGGGGGTGTTATAAATATAACCAATTCACTCCGCTAAGCGCGATACAGGTTTGGGGCTAAACATAGGCATGTTCGCCTTCAGCCAGCCCATATTCTATTACCCTTTTGTCTCTCCACCAACAACCCCCAGTGCTCCTCCTCCCACTCCCGCTCTCTCTCTCTCTCGTGAGTTTCTTCTCTATATACTCCTCGTACCAGGTTGAACGACGCTTACTTCTCCGATCTCCGAATACAGCATTTGCTCAACCCTGCTCCGTGCTTTTGTTCCAGCGAGCACGCGGCAGCTAAACGTGTTCCAATACCCCACGCTCTTTATTCTAAGAATTGTTCTCGCACGCTAGCCGGCATCACCTACCCATACTTTAGGCTTTCCCAGAGATCTTGCCCCACGACTGCTCCTTTAGTGCGTTCATCAAAGTTTCTCTTCTTTCATCAACCTAATTCCTGTTGTCACCACTCCAGCGATGGAGAGGTCATCGTCCAACGTTGATGACATCCTTTCCAACTACACTTACAACAACACCACCTCCTACGAAACATCCAACCTCACGCCGACCAAACGGCCGATTCGAGATAGTCAAGGCCCATTCGACACAATACCTCTCCCTCCCCTCTCTCGCACTACATCGCAATGCTCCGCCAACAGCATGGCCTCTACCGCATTCCTTATCGAGCAACACCGGCATCCCTCCACTGCGAAGACCACCTCCGGCTTCCACTGGCCGCATCCGTTCCATTCACGGAAGGACAAGTATTCGGGGGACAGCGACTTTGATATGGAGAAGCTGTCTCCAGTGGATGATGGAGGCGGAGGCGCCGGGGGTGGTGGCAAGGGCGGAATAATCGGTAGTAATGAGGGTGATAAGCAGAAGATGAAGCCTTGGGAAGGCTGGCGGCTCGTTTTGTTTGGCTCTTGTAAGTTCATTCCCTGTCTCTTGCGTGTAATGTGGAGCAGGACTTCATTTCTTTCGACAGGGTTCAACCTGTTGCTTGTTTTCTTGCCCGCTTCGGTAAGCAGGACACCTATCGGACCATCATTCAACGCTGACATCCCCGTCAATTGTAACTGATAGTGGATCGTGGACTCGTTGATTGGAGAAGAATCGAAGACGCTCGTGTTTATTTGTAAGTTGTTTCACCGCAGGTGCGGCGCACCGCAATTCCTCATCTATTCATCTTTGCCCAGTCTGTATCCTGGCCATGATGCCTCTTGTCAAGGTAAAACGAATATTCTCTTGATGAAAGAACGATGCTTACTTGGTTATGGAGTATAGCTGCACGATATGACGACCCGGGACTTGGCCCATAGGATCGGAGGTTCCAGAACCGGATTGTTGAATGCCAGTATGGTATGTATTGCTTCTTCCCTATAATCAGCACAATAATTCACTGAACCCTGTCCTCTTGTGATGGTCATCTAGAGTAACATGTGAGCTTTACTCCTCATTACTATAAGCGATGAGCTGACATCCTTCCAGTGTGGAAATAGTCATAGCTGTGAGCATGTTTCTCGATTATTTCGACGGTCTACTTCTGACGATCTCATTCTAGGCTACAGCGCTTCGGAAGTGCGAGCTCAGTGTCGTGCAGTCCACTCGTGAGTCAAATCTTGGCCCCCTAAGTGATATAATTTACTTACGACACTTACAGTGATTGGCTCCATGTTGAGCAAGCTTCGTAAGTGCAAGCTGTATTTCATGCAATATATCATACTCATCGAATGCCGTCTTCAGTTCTCGTATTGGGATTGTGCTTCTTCGCGGGCGGTCTGCGCTTCACCGAACAAGCTTTTGACGCTTGTATGTACTCTTCGAACCCACTAGTTATCCCGATCATTGACAACTTTTTCGCAGCCGCCACGCAGGTTCATTCTTCACTGCTTAGTATCAGTGTCGGCGCCGTTCTTCTCCCCGCCGCGTACCATTTTTCGATCAGTGGTGGAAGCAACACGGCCTCCTTTGAGCAGCGACTTGACATCCTCCAGATGAGCCACGGTGTATGTTTCATCCTCCACATCGGTTCTTGCCTGCGTGGCTGATTATGTTCAAACAGGTCGCTATCATTCTCCTTGTGATATACGTCGCCTACCTTTTCTTCCAGCTCTACACCCATCGCAATTACTTCAAAGACAAGGAAGAAAAGTCAAAACACCACGACCTACAGGCACCCGATCTCAAGCCCCTCAAGAGTCTTTACATGGCCAGTCGCTCGACGCTCAACATCGCTGCCTACGCCGGCAAAGACAGATCAAAGACCCCCGCGCAGAGATTTCCCAACAGCCCGGGGAGCTCGAGCAGTCGTGACTCAAGCCCCGAAGGTCCCAAATCGTCGCGAAACAGAATGCACAAGAGCGAAACCAACTCGCCATATGCGTTCGGTCACTCTAGGTCTTACATCCTGAACTCGCCCGAGGCCTCCGCATCGGATATCTCGCTTCCTCTGACGAACGGGTCGACCAGCCAGTTTATCGACCATGGGAGGAGAGAGACCAGCCCCAGTCCAACGAGCGCTGGGAGCTCGAGTATGAGATACGTGTATTCGAAGGGGGGCGCCACACCTGCGCCCGAGCATGGGACGACTGTGAAGCTGGTTCCACACCATGGACAGATGGCGAGCTCGTCTTCTGTGGGCACAACGGTGGAGGTTCCTGTGTTCGAATCAGGGCCTGGGATCCGGTTCGACGAGGATATGGCGTACGAGGAGAGGGAGAGGAGGAGGGCGATTGAGGAGAAGGAGGCAGCAGAGAGATATGTCGGGCCTGATGGTGTAGTTCCGAAGCAACCGAAGTTGGCTTGGCCTTTGACGTTGGGATTGTTGATCACAGTGACTGTGGTACGTGCTATTAATCTGTGCTGAAACAAATGACGACCGTACTGATGACCGGATATAGTTAGTGGCGGTCAATGCGGAATGGCTCGTGGAGGCCATGGACGGGCTGAATCCGATGATTAGCAAGCAATGGATTGGTCTAATCTTGTTGCCTGCCATCAGCTCTATTGCAGGTACGCACCTCACCGAATTTTCGCCAGAAAGAGTCGCTCATGTGTTTGGATTCATCTATAGAGTGCGCGACGGCCATGAACGTGTCTGTCAAGGACCAGCTGACGCTGAGCGTTAGTGTAGCTATCGGTTCTACGATCGTAAGCCGCCTCGATAAAGAAATCTTGGATGCAATATTCTGATCATTGCCTCATCGTAGCAAACGGCACTCTTCGTCACTCCGTTGATGATCGTCCTGGGCTGGGCGATGTCCAAACCCCTTGCTCTCCTCTTCGACCCTTTCCAGTCTGTCGTACGTTGGCTTTACTCATTGCCGATGTCGTGTTCATACTGACATATATCTCATGCAGGTGTTGTATATCTCCGTGCACACCATGGGCTACGTCGTGGCGGATGGAAAGTCCAACTGGCTTGAGGGCGCGATCCTCATTTGTGAGTTCAACTCTCCCATAGTATGCCTATTCTCGTTGCTTATGCGTTTATTCAGGCCTCTATGTGGTGATCGCCGTCTGTTTCTGGTTCTATCCCGGTGAGTCGCAAGCCAAAATCCTTGCATGATGATCGCGTAGTCGCTGACGTGTCTCGTTCCTCTGCAGGATCTACGTTCTCGTACACTCTCGCTTCATGTGCTAGCGCTCCCTGATTTGGACATTTCTCATCATCTGCTCTCATCGTACCCTTGCATGGACTCCACCATTGGACTCTTCCCACAATTCGAGCACATCATCTCTCACTTTCAGCTTCACATACACTGCATTCTTAGACGACCGCTCTCTGCAACGTTTCCTTCTTTCCCTTAGATTTGTAAATCGTCTTGTCTTCTGCTTCTTCTAGATCTAGATCTCTTTCTCAAAAGACTGTAACATACATTACTCTGTCCCCTGCACGTCGCGCACGGCCGTTTGTTCGTCAGATTCTTCTCCATCATACCGTACTGTATATACCAACCACATCATCCCGTATCTCCCCTCCCTCCCTCTCGCTTTCTCCACCCTCACTCGCTCGCATACCATACCATGCTATACTATACTACTACCTGGACTCCTCGTCGACGGGTGCCCTGGCAGGTTTCTGTGGCTACTGAGTCCCCACGTTTGTGTAGGATATGGACCTCCGCTATTGTACGCGCACTGGTTGTCGGTTACAGCATTGGTATCGCATCGGTACACCTTCCAAGCCTCAAGATCCTGTCTGGTTCTTGTGAGCCCATCTGCTCTCAACGTTTCAATGCCCAACCTAGCTCTGTCTAGGCGCCGCATCGAACTTTCACTCAGCTTGAGGAACTGATACCGAGCTGCGCAGTGAGTTCCAAGCCAGAGATGCATTGATGATTGTTAGGTGGTCACATATATGTTTCTCCGCAGCTCGGCCAGCTGTACATAAAAAGGTCAAAGGTTCTCTTGTTTTTTTTCTCTGTTTCCTCACTTGCCCGACGATCCCGTCCCCAGAGCTTCACCTGGTCCTGCCCCAACTTTGCTCCAACTTGAACACTCTTCGTTGTTGATCCGCGCCACACCTCGCCACACGACCATTAATATGCCGCTGCCCAAGTGTTCGACCACTCTCGTGGTCTCGGGTTCCTTGTTCTCTGCTCTCGATGCTGCTTCGCATGACGACCTTTAAATAAATCTCTCTAATGCACCGACGACCACGTCCCATCGTCTACATAATTACATTGCACGACGACCAGGCACCGGACCGCCCTTCTCTGCATCCGCGTCACATCAAAGCTTTCGGTCTCAATCTCGAGCTCGGTCGTTCTCGGTGGTAAGTACCATGCAACCCCTGCGGGTTGTTGATGTTCTCGATGGTCGCGGAGGACGGTTGGGAGACGGAAGGGAGACGGAAGTTTTGTTCACGGAGATGGTCACCGTGCGCTCCGGCGAATGAATCTGCAGAGGAGGGCAACGACGACGTGGTGAGCACGTTCTCCGCGGTGCCTGTGTTACCAGGTCTGAATCTGCATGAACAGGATCTCAGGACGTGTGTTCTCGGCGCTTCTCTTTCGTACTCCTTCTTTCATCTTTCAATTGAACGGGTCATCAACGAAATGTTCCGCTAGAGGATTTTCTTCTTGGCGTATCGGCGGGTTTGTCAAGGTACGCTATGACAGAAGGACCTCTTCCTGCCAGGCGTCCTGGTCCTGGTGAAGGATATACGGAACCGACTTGCTATTATATCTCGGAGCGGTATATATGAACGGGTGATTAGTACGGGAGATATATCGGAGGTAAGTTCATCACGGCGTTCTGTCTTATCCAATTTCTTTCTCTAATACACAGAACGCATCCTTGCATCTCTGGACGCGTTTCCTGCTCCATCCTCATCGTGGACTGACATAGACAGCCCTATGTTCGGACGAGACAAGACACTCTGCCCGGGTGTGGTAGTATATGAATTGATGCCGATGGGAACGACATGTTTGCACGCTAGTCCTGTTGTTGCTTCTCTGAAATCACATCAAAATTACATGCATGCCTACCAGGCATACCTGTCCTGGCAACGCCTTGACGACGTACCACTGTTTCGCCCCCACTGGGACAAATCGCCTGCTTCAAGCTCGCTTTCTGGAAGACATGACCTCGCTTGACAACAACCGGTAATGTCTCCGTCGCTATCGACGCTCTCGTTTATAAGCCTGACCGTTGCGTTTCCGAGTCTTTCCCCCTCATTCTCTTTCTGCCCACCCTCTCCGTCTTTTTTGTCGTTGAACGGCTCATTTCCTTTGCTTCTGCCCTGTTTCTTTCTCGACCAGGCGTCGCTCACTTCCTTCCTTAACCTCGGTCAGCGCAGGTCCTGTTCATTCACCCATCGACTTGAGACTTGAAGCCTCCTTTTACTTTTTTCGTACTCTCGGCTTCATTTGGTCTCTTGACCCATTCATTCCTTCGTCAACTCACGTTCGCTACAACCTCATCCACGACTTCCATCCAAAATGCTGGCTACATCTCTCATTGCTTTGACCGCGCTGTCTTCAGTCGCTCATGCACGCCCTCTCTGGACCCGTCAATCGAATATCGGTGACGTCGGGAGCTGTTCCGTTCCTCAGATCATGTTCGCTGCTGGATTGGACGGACGTAAGGAGACCGCTTTCCAAGCTGTCGACCAAAGTGAGCAGCCCTGCTGGTTGTTTCATGTTTCCATTAGCTGACAGTTTAACTAGCCTCCTTTAACCACGGCTCGGCTGATAACATTGCTGTCATTACGGGCTTCATGTGCGATATCTGCGATTTGTTTCATCGAGTGAGCCTGCTAACCCACACCTTCAAAATAGTTGCCAGCAGCTCGCCAGCTCATGTGGTGAGTAGAATGCTTTATGTGCTCATTGAACCTGCGCGCTGATCATCCGGTTCATAGGTGCCGATGCTAGTATGTCTTCGTAGTTGTGATCTTCAGAGTGCATATCCCCAACAATTTATTTCTTCTACAGCTGCGCAAGCAACTTGCACGACCGCCACGAATGCAGCTAATGCTGCAGCTGCTCAGACTGGTGCTCAGGCCGATGGTACGTCAACCCTCATTACACTAGTTTCTCCTAGAATTCAACATTGCCTCCTTAGCCTTCAATGCTGCATTTGGGATCACCACCGACTTCGCCGCTGTTCCCGAAATCAGCAACCAGGGTGTTACTGTCGCCGCCGCTGCAGCAGCCTCCACTAGCGCTGCTGCTTCTGCTGCTGCGAGTACCACTGATGCTGCCGCCAGTTCTTCAACTCCTTGCGTTACTGCCACTGCTGTGACTGTTACTGCTATTGTCACCGAGACGGCTTCAGCTGCTGCTGCGGCGTCGACTGACGATAGCGCCGTCTGTGCAGTACGTTATTTTTTTCCTCGAGTATCAGCGTTGTACTCATCTCTCTGTAGGCTACTGTGACCGTCATGGCCACCGTCACCGCAGGTGCCACTGACTCCGCTTCTGCTACCGCCGCTGCGTCGTCCACCGCCTCTGCTGCGGCCGCCTCCTCGACTGCGTCTTCCTCCGACATTGGAGACTTCGGGTCTTGCACTGTCCCCCAGATCCAGTTCGCCACCGGCTTCGACAACCGCAAGGAGACTTCCTTCGAACCTGTCGATCAAGGTATTTCTCAGCCAAGTTCGTGATGCTATCCTTTGCTGATACTGTTGTTCTGTGATTAGTCTCGTACAACCACGGCTCTGCACAGGGTATCGACATCATCACCAAGTTCATGTGTGACACCCTCACCAACTCATGCGGTAAATATTTATCAGCTGTTGTTCGTCTCAATTGTGGTCGTTAATTTGAAAATTTCATGCAGGTGCGGATGCGACTGCCAAGGCTACTTGCGCTACTGCTTCGGCCGCTGCTGACCAGGTTACCGCGAAGACTGGTGGACAGGCTGATGGTTCGTTCCTCGGTTCGCCCGACCACCTTGCTTGTGGCTAACTTTCGTGTCTCAGCTTTCAACGCTGCGTTCGGCATTACTACTGACTTCGCCGCGGTCGCCTCCGTCGACGATCAAGGCAACATCATCGCCGGCACCGGTTCTTCGTCTGCTGCTGCAAGCAGCGCCGCCACCGCCACTACTGCCTCCGCCTCCGCCGCCGTCGCAACTACCGCGAATGCTGCCGTCGCCAGCTCTAGCTCAACTGCATCTTCTTCAAGCATCGGAGACTTCGGTTCTTGCACGGTTCCTCAGATCCAGTTTGCCACCGGCTTTGATAACCGCAAGGAGACTTCTTTCGAGCCCGTTGACCAGAGTACGTGGAGCTTTTTCGCAACCTCTAGAATAAAGTCTGATGTGTCTTCGATTCAGCCTCGTACAACCATGGCTCCGCCCAGAACATCGACATCATCACTCAGTTCATGTGTGACACTCTGACCAACTCGTGTGGTAAGGTTGATTGCTTTTCATCTGCGGTATTCGTACTGACGAACTATCTTTTCAGGTGCTGACGCTACTGCAAAGGCGACCTGTGCGACTGCTAAGGCTGCAGCTGACACTGTTACTGCGAAGACTGGTGGCCAGGCCGATGGTACGGATAGCAGTCCTTGTCTATCTATTATATGCTAACATCTCCGTCGATAGCCTTCAATGCCGCCTTCGGTATCACGACCAACTTTGCCGCTGTTGCTGTTGTAAGCGACACCGGTGTGACTGTCTCCCCCGGAACTGCTGCCTCCACCGCCGCTGCGAGCGCCGCCACATCAGCTGCTGCTGCTTCAACCACTGCCGCTTCCGCCGCCACATCGGCTGCTGCCACCGCTACCTCAGTGCGTATTTTCATCAAAGTAAAAAGCATTTTCTAACGCTTATCTATATTCGTCCTTCCTCACAGGCTGCCGCTGCTGCCACGAGCTCTGCTGCTGCTGCCAGTGGCCAGAACCTCCAGACGTTCACTGGCTCTCTTGGAGCAACTGCTCCCGCTGTGACCGCTGTTGGAAACGGCCAGTTCCAGGTGACGGGTAACTCTGCGTTCAACAGCGAGCAGAACGCTCTCGTGCGCTCCTGGTACGCGTATTCCACTTTGTTTGTGAGCTGTGATGCTAATATTTCTTGCGTTCTAGTGACGTGCAGCACAACCAGTGCGCAAACGCAGCGAACTCGTCCGGAAACACCGGTGACCTCACTGTCGACGCCTGTGGTACCCAACAGACCCAGTGCAACGCTGCCGCTACCGCCTGAACGATTGCTCGAGTAGCCTTTCTTGGATCTGATTGACCAGTTTTCTCCTAACTTTATTTTGGATGTGTTTTTGCGATTGTTTTGATGAGGGTGTTGATAGAGAGGAGTGATAATGGGATGGTGGACGTGCAATGTTTCCTCGCTGTGCTTGACTGCATTTTTGTATTACCTTCTTTTCATCTTCGATACCCAGGGCTGGCAAAGGAAAGGTTATGCCTTCGACTTTTCTTCAATCATGCGTGCGTCTGCGTACGGGGGTCAACAGTCAGCTATTGTCGTCGCAGGTCTGGTTGCGACTCCCAGTCACCCATGCGAATGTGGCGTTTGCTGCTATCCTTTAGTGCCGCAAGTTGAGCGTAAACACCAGACGATCTCTGAGCCATGAAAAGGATGCATGCAGATATTGAGATATGATTCGAACCTTGAAGCCAAGTCCCGGAACCTTGCAATTTGAGAAGTAGCACGTCCGCAGATCTTCACAAGCGGGTTCACCTTTCAGTACCAGTTTAGACTCGCCACACGACGTCCAGTTCGCGGAGATGCAAAGCCGGCTTTCTCCGCATCCTACACTCTGCGGCCAAGCCATTGCCAAGAACGATTTCTCTCACGCGGTACCACCGTGACTGGCCACAATCCTTTCTTCATTCCTGTGCTTGTTGTCTCTCCATGCACATCGGGCACGTTTAAACAGACTTGCTAGGACTTGCGACAGGTCAACTGCTATAACAGCTCTCTTTTCGCGTCACCGCCGTCCTAGTAAGTTACTAGCTCTTGAAACAAAGGCTACACGATTTGAGGGACTCGCTCGTCGGCTTCACCATATACATACTAGTGCCGCAGTTCGTGCTCACTCACAACAACGAGTTCTACGATCATCTTCGTCTCTTCATCCCCCCTAGAACCTCTCCAAGAAGGACCAATCAGGACGACAGTATTTCTCCCATGCCCATTCACTGCGCTTGTCCTCGTGCAGGACATCGTGATACTTCCGCCCCGTCTGAAGGGCGATAACCATGTTGAGCTTCTGGTGAGGTCATCACGCTGCAAAATCCACAGTCAGTGCTGCAGACTGGATCTGCGGAGAGCAATACACGCTGTCCGAGTCGCTGCGGTATAGGGCTTCCCTAGAAAATCATGCAGTCCTCAACATATCCTTGCACACGTGTTTCGTGTTCATATACATGCCTCTAAATCATGGTTTCATTTTCAGGATCTTACTACACCTGAGCACCCACACGAGCAGGGTCTTGCAGGTCATTCCCGTTTTTCCGAGTACGTCGTGCGCTCTATTGTGACCGCAGTGGCCAATGCGACTCTCGATCCCGACTCCGGTTATACCAGACGTTCAACAGATCGTGCTAGACTAGGGCCTGTGGACCAATCACAAAATCGGTGTTATGAGATTGTGGCGATGCTATATCGGCCCTTTCGACTGTGCCTATCCTATACATGGTCGATAACAAACCTCATTTCCCCCCCTGAGGTCATGGAAGAGGTCATGATTTAGGCTGCGCATATTAATTCCGGGCGTGTTCGTATATCCTTGTTACTGCGTACAAGTGTTTTCCGTAAAGTGGCTCGAAATGGGGGGCAGATCTCGTTCCTATAAAAACACCATCTCGCGGGCATAACCTCATTAAGCATATAGCTACCCCTTCCCCTCTGACGCCATGGTCCGTTTCTCTGCTCTCTTGTCTACTACTATTGCTGTGGCGGCTGGCGGCTTTGCACTCGCTCATTCCCCCTTAGATCACGAGTTTGAGCGCAATGCGAGGCGCTCTCTTGGGTCTTGCAGTTCGCAGTACAGTAGACGTGATGGTCTCGCCGACCGTGCCATGGTACGGCGCCAGTCTCTTGCTGATCAAATCCGAAAGGCTCGTGGTCTGCCGACAGGTATGACCATCTCCATGGTTATCGTTCATACTGTCCATCTTATTCGGTACTTCTCTTCTCGACTTGAAGGGCCGCTCAAACGTGATCTCGCGACTGTCCTCGCCACCGACCATCAGTCCAATTTGACGGGTCTCACCAATAATACTGATCCTGCCACCATCTTCACCAATAATACATGTGTCCTGGCTCCAGAGGGAGAAGAGGGCCCTTACAGTAAGCCAGCTTACTTTAATTGAAGAGGTTCTCCCGTTGATCAGTCTTTCAGTGGTCGACGGGGAATATGTCCGTCAAGATCTTAGAGAATCTCAGGAAGGGATTCCGGTCTATCTTGATCTACAGCTTGTCGACGTGAACACCTGCGATCCTGTTTCTGATGTCTATATCGACATCTGGAGCTGCAACGCTACCGGTGTATACGCTGGAGGTAAATGTATTCCCCTTTCATATGGCTAGAGCCTCTCTGACATTACATGGTCAGTCGTCGCGAGTGGCAACGGTGACTCTTCCGACCTCAGCAATATCAACGCTACATTCCTTCGCGGTATTCAGAAGACCGATGACGAGGGTGTCGTACAATTCATCACTCTTTTCCCCGGTCACTATTCAGGTCGCACCGTCCATGTCCACCTCGTTGCTCATCAATCTGCAAATGGTACCCTCTTCGACAACGGGACCTACGTCGGAAACGTTGCCTCGCACATCGGCCAAATGTTTTTTGACCAGGACCTCATTACCCAAGTAGAGGCCACGTACCCATACAGTCTGAACACTGAGGACTTGGTCCGTGATTTACATCTTGATATACTCTTAGAGACGCTGTGCTTAACAATGTTTTCCGCAGACGACCAATGCAGACGACCGTGTCGTCGCCACCGAGGCCGACGGCGGACAGGACCCTGTAGTCGAGTATGTTCTTCTTGGCGACACGCTCGATGAAGGGATTTTCGCGGTATGTCTCGTCCCATGTTTGCAACCCCGCCGCGCTTCGGTGAAGCTGATTGAGTGTTGAAATCAGTGGACCTCCGTCGCCATCAACACTTCGGCCATCTACGATTTTACACCTGCTGCATGGCTCTACGCTGATGGCGGTGTAACGGTTTCCAGTGGAGACAGTAGTGCTGGTGGGGGAGACATTTCGATGAGTGGAGTGCCCACAGGCTCGATGTCTGGAGCGTTACCTTCTGGTTCCGTTTCTGCCTAATTGTGGATGTCAACTTGTGCGATGTAGGACATTGCGGGCTGTTATTTGTACCCTCATCTCTCTTTTTGGACCTTGCATATTGTTCATTCAAGCTCTACGCAAGTCTTTGTGAATCGTGTGGCCCATGTGGCGAGTGTATGATCTAGCCGGAAGTCGCCGCGTCCGGTTTACTCCGAAACAGATGTAGGGGACAGTCGAACCAGGCCTCCATCCCCACCGTGACGGCCCTCACCAACCCTTGCTGAATTCCTGTTTTGGCTGATAACTGGGTGCGGGTCATGAAATTGTGTGGACGTTGCTTTTGTTTTTTCCCTTCTGTTCTTGATAAGTACATCCAGCAGATCTAACGCTAGAATCCTGCCAAACTTGCAGTTACTAACCGCAGTTTCAACAACGACCGCCGCATCTGGGAACGCTGAGCTCTGAAACTGTTATGTGGCTTCCCTGATCACAGTCACGGTGAGCATTTTGCTGTTACACCACACTTGCTTCAACTTGATATCAAGACTGTGCGTTTACTGGTGTTTCAAGCTGGGAATATACTGTCCATCTTTGTTGTGTTTGGCCTCTGCGATCCAGACTGTCTCATCGAAACCGGGGGAAATTCGTCGATAGGCTTAATTCTCCGTATGTTATGATGCTGGTTGGAATGATGCGGGCAGCGGCCGCCTGAGGCGCCTAGAAGGATCTTCGCTGTGCCGTTGTTCCTCTAGAGGTGCTAGTAACGAAAGTTGGGTGTTATCATGTGAGTACCCTCTTCGAAGATTCTTCATGCGTATGTTGAAGTCAAATGGTGGTTTGATTGACTTGCACCCGTAAAAGAAGGCTTGGCGTTGAGCCATCTCTGAAGGTGGAGACCAATCAGAACGCCCGCATTGTGGACAACAATCGAGGCAATACTGCGGTTGTCCTCGTGCCAGCCTGTTCGAACATCATGCAAACGCGAAGAACGCAATACACCACTTCTGCCTGGCCTCTTCACCATGAATCGGCGCCCTTCATATCATGATCGTGCATGAAACGTTGACTGCGCAGTCCTTCCAAGCCGAATCTCATTCTTCATGACCCAACATATGTTACCTTCCTCACCAGGGATCATCCGTGGTTACAGCACGCAGACAGATATAAAGGCTGTAGTTTCAATGCTTACAAGAAAATCACCTCATCTTATCCTCCTCCAGGTCCTCTCGACGTGATCTTCCTCTTCCTTTGGTAAATTTTGGCCCCGATGGTTCAGATTTCTACACTCTTGTCTGCCCTTACCGCTATGGCGGTCGTGGGTTCTGCCTTCGCCCACTCTGGCCCCCCGTCTGCTGCCGAGCTCGAGTTCAAACGCAACGCCCGGCGTTCTCTCACTGCGTGCCAATCTCAGCTCAGGAAGCGCGATGGCTACGTCGAACGAGCCATTGCTCGCCGTCAAGCTCGTGCTGAGAGTATTCGTAAAGCTCGTGGACTTTCTATTGGTTCGTTCTCCGTAGATCATTCGCAGGCGGGGGATATAAGCCGACTGATGCGCTTTTTGTCTGGTAGCCGCGCCCTTCAAGCGCGACTTCCCGGGGGTTCTGGCTACTGATCACCACTCAAACCTCACCGGCGTAACAAACGACACGGATCCATCGGTACTCTTTGACAGCGGGAGTACCTGCGTTCTTGCGCCGGAAGTTACCCAAGGCCCCTACCGTTAGTTCATTCAGGCCATTTTTGTTTTTCTCTATGCTGATGGTGACCCTAGTTGTCGACGGCGAGTTTGTTCGTTTTGACGTCACTGAGGACCAAGCCGGCGTTCCCACGTACTTGGACATCGAGCTTCTCGATGTCAACACTTGCGAGCCCGTTGCGAATACTTACATCGATATCTGGGCTTGTAATGCCACCGGCGTGTACTCCGGCGTTGGTCAGTCCTGTCTGTCCCTCTATTGATTTGAATGTCGTTTAACATATTGGATCATACTATTTAGTTGCCAGCGGAAACGGAAACTCCGCTTCAAGTGAAAACATCAACGCAACCTTCCTCCGTGGCATTCAGCAGACTGACGAAGATGGTGTTGCCCAGTGGCTGACGGTCTTCCCTGGACACTATACCGGTCGTACGAACCATATCCACGTCATGGCTCACCAGTCTAACGGCACGCTCTTCGACAACGGTACCTATGTCGGAGACTACGTCTCTCACGTCGGACAAGTCTTCTTTGACCAGAGTCTCATCTCTGAGGTAGAAGCTACGTCTCCCTACACGTCGAACACTCAGAACTTGGTACACTGCAATCCTTTATCTCCCACAGATATTCCCCGTTACTGACACAATGACACTATTGTAGACTACCAACGAGGAAGATGGTATCATGGAGCAGGAGGCCGACACCATAGACCCTGTTGTCGAGTATGTTCTTCTCGGCGACTCAATCACTGATGGTATCTTCGCCGTACGTTTCTCTGACTCTAACTGAACTATGTCTGTGCTTTTACTGACCTGTCGCGGTTGACACCTGTAGTGGTCTTCGATGGCTATCGATACTTCCTCCGGGTACACGGTGACCCCGGCCGTGGACTATTATGAGACTGGTGGTGTCACCGTCTCTGGTGGAGGTGGTGGGCCTGGAGGTCCTCCTCCCAGTGTCTGAAACGTTGATGTGCCTTAGCTCCACGTCAGTTTCTCGTGGGTTTGAAAACAAGTCCTCGCCGTCCTCGTTCTGTGGCTGATTATGCGGGTTCTGTGGAGCTACTTGGCCTTTATGTATGTGACATTACTGTCAGCAAGATCCTAGATACCCAGAATGACACGTTTCTGTGTTACCCAAATCCCCGTGAAGCCAATCACACCATTTTTGTGCTATCATGACTTGTGCGTGCTACTTAGGGATAACAGAATCTGACCTCCCCACCCCCGCCCCCACAATTTGCTCCTCGTTCCTACTGGCCGAGATGGCGGCGCTTCAAGACAAATACGTCGACGGATCACAAGCATGTTCCTATCTATAAATAGTTCTGTCCCCGTCAGATTCTCTTCCGGATTCGCCCGCACCATGTATTAGCAGTGTTCACGCGCGCAATGGTGATCGCCGTTCCGGCGAGGAGCGATGAAGAAAAGAGAAGAGAGGTGATGCTATTCTGTTCCAGATGCCACCGGAACCATCAATAGCGCTGGCAACACATTTATGGCGAAGAGTAAGGTACACCTGAATCGCTCCGAATATATACACTGGCATACTCCCAAGTGCGCAAGCCCTCGAAAGTAGTAACGAGCTTGTCCATTGTCAGATCCGCAGACGCTGCCAGTAAGTGTGTGGTATGTACGTATGTGCATGCCGAGACTCGATGGCCCGCCATGAAGAGGAGCAGACGGCTGTGTATAGTTTGTGTAAGGGCGTATAATAATAGGATAGCGCGGTTATAGAGTACAAGGATGAGATCGAGGTGGTGGTGGTACATGGTAAGATAGATAGATGATTGAATGAACAAACGAAGAAGCTGATACCGATAGCGAGCAAGGAGAAACGGAACGTCGAGAGGAAATGAATAGTAAACGAGTGTGGAGCAGGACGACTATAGTTGCCGTAAACCTGGCTTCGACGACGACGAAAAGCAAAAGGAAAAGGAAAGGAAAGAAGATGAAGTCATCAAGGTAGGGGGGGGGGGGATGGGGAGTAGAGAAATGGACACAAAGAACTGCCAGATCTAACGTAGAAACTCGAAGAACTCTAAGTCCTGTCACCTACTCAAACAAAGACATTATCGCCACATCGTTACGTTAGGGCTCCGTTGCCTCTCTCCGCGCCCGCTCATTAGCCGCCACTATCTTCTCCCTCTCCTCCTGCCACCTCTGCAACTCTGCCCTCAACTCCTTCACCCTCACCTCATTCATCGGATGGTCTGAACTCGTCAACTTCATAGCCATAGACCAGCTCTCCTTCTTCACCTTTTTCTGCGCAGCTTTGTCGGCGGTAGAAACAGGATTGGCGGTAGGTCCGCATTCGGTGTTCGCCTCGTCCGAGCGGTCCTCCCAGAACTGGACCGCGCGACGGGGATCGAAGCCTGCATGGGCGAGAAGTCTGCCGTTGCGTAACATGGGATATGTCAGCAGGAAGGTTGCAGCAAAAGATACACCGGGATGCCCTATACGATGAATTGAGGTGACTAACCTTGCCGAGACCACATCCGCCTCGATCTCTTGAAGCATGGTCGTACAGTTTTCATGTATGATCCCTAGCTCTCCCGACCCCACCTTCCCCATCTGTGCTACGGCATCGTTCACAAACGGTCCAAAAAGCATCGTCAACGGGAACGTTAAGGTCCTCAATAGATCCGAAAGGATCGACAGCACGCCAGGAATGACGATCGTCCGCGAGCTCAAAGTCTCCAGATGATGGGAGAGCACGAGGTGTGCGAGTTCGTGAGCTAGGAGGATGGCGAGGTCGGAAGTTTGTTCGGGGGTGGGGCGATATGAGATGACGGACGGTTGTGGCGATGAAAAGAGAGAACCGAAGAGGGAGGATAACCATGAGGATGAGGATGGTTGTTCTAAGATAACTTGCTCCAGGGGTTGTTTAGCGAGTATTTGGTCGAGGAATCCCGAGAATACTACGACGCCGCCTGCCCCGTCCGGCCCAAAGCCATACGAAAATGCATTGCATGACTCGGGGTTATCGATCAATACAAGTGAGTAGGGGGGTCCCGGGATAATATGTGGTGCAGGCCCTGGTGCTGGATCCCTCGCGGTCGACATCTGGCAAAGCGTATGTAGTACCTCGGAGGCCCGTGGACGAGGTTTGAGGGGAAATTCGGCGGGTGGAGGAAGAGGGATATCATCTGCACTTCGTTCGAGCCATTGTGGCTCGAGCATACGTTCGTTTCCTAGAAGAGGAATGACCGTTTCGAGACGTCGAAGGGTGTCGGCGACCCACGCATGCCGCCAGTCGCCTGGTGGAATGGGGTTTATAGGTCCGTCCTTGGCGAGGATCTCACCAATGGCATGGTACCAGCCAGATCCGGCGAGTTGTGAAGATATTTCTTCTTCCTCTTCGGGCGAGAGAAGGATGAGGCGCCACCTAAAGGACACAAGGATGGCGTGAGACACTGTCAGAAACTCAAGTGCACAAACGACCCGGAAAGGTGGCTGAGTCTAAATATACACAGGGCCCTAAGAAAGCTCGAGCGTAATCTTGTATGTGCATACGAATGAGCAGACGGACGATCATGATCAAAGGAGACATGGTAAATTGATGCACCAATGAGATCAATGCAGGATTGATGTGATTTCATTAGAACAAATCCGCAGCTGCGATATAGACTCAACACAGGTATGATGGCTTGCAGGTCGACACGGGTAGCCATGCCCGTCTGAGATATTCACCTGAACACGTACGAAGGCACCAGAATCGACGTCCTCACGGAAAGAAGACGATTTCTGCAGAATCCCGGAAGAGGTACTGGATACGAAGAGATGGAAGAAACTGAAGAGCAACTTACCTGCCAGTTAACGGTGTCCGTTCCAAACTTGCAATGATTGCTCCCCAGAAAAGTACGAATGGCGTGAACATCAATGCATGGAACAGAAGCGCCCTGGTCCTCATCCTCTTCATCAGTGTCTCCCGCTTTCGTTTCGGATCCTTCATCCACGGAAGCTCGATGTTATTCTTCTCCGCATGTTCGACCCTCTGCAGAATCTTTCTTGACTTGCAGTTTTTGAGGATGAGGAGTGGGATGAAAGTGAAGGCGATACGACCTGCGGTGCGTGCTATTTCGAGAGCAGTGGAGGCCTGTTAGGAAGAGCGATAGGACTGGTGGGCTCAGTACGATATTTGGTATGTGAGAATGGGAGAGGCTGACTTTCAGGATGGCCAGCAAGGGGATTATAGGCAATCCTTGCCGTCTGTGTGTTGAATGAAAACCAGCGACAAAAAGAGGGGTCAAGGAGTGTCGTGGATCATGACCATTGCCTAGGGGTAATATTCGAGGACGGCATTGGGTGTGCAAGAGGGGGTTTCGAGTAGGAAGAGAAGCAATCGTTCTTCGGGATATGTTTCTGGATGAAGTTTGGATGAGGGTAGAATGTAGATGCGGTAAGGAATGGCGGAACATGGTGCATTCTTGCAGACTCTGACTTGTGCCTCAGACGAACACGTCCAAATCGCTTTGCGGCTCGGCAGCGCACTGACGAGTCAGGCATCTTCCCTTCCACGTGCCAATCCCAGATCATCTTTCAGTGGCTGTGCACCCGGGGCCCGGCGGTGTCCCCGCATCAATTTATCTTGCCACTTCAGCATTTCTTGGCTCTGTGGCCCTTTGCTGTTCGCGCCCACTGACGGCCTCTTCACATATACAGGCCTGCTTGGGAGCTCCCGACTTACTTTAAGCCTGGCCGGGTATTCACCTATGCTAGATCAGACCCGTACCTTTATCCCGTCGGTAACACTCGCTCTGTTCTTGTGATGCTAGAAACCGACCCTGTCCACGCGCCATCTGCATCGGTCGTCAGCTGCTTCTGCTCATTTCATCGAGCAATATTCTTCAATTACTCGGTCCGTGACTAGGTAAACACGTATAAGTACCCGAGCGGACTCGATGGCTTCCACCTCGCTGGGCCCTAACTCCTACGGCCGCCATGATGTCCCTTTCTACATTCACTGGCAAAAGCATCGCACTTCTCGGACTTGTGTTCTCTAGCTTTGCTCTCGCCAAGTCTAGTTCCAAATCTTGGCAAACTGACGCGACTTACACGAATACCAACCCCACGAACCTCGCTGCAGACGTCTACGTCCGGTGGGACACCTCCACCAATGCGTACTGGGCTTATTCTACAGAGGGCATGGACGATGGCTGGATGTTCGCGATCTATACCAGCCCGGATATGACCACTTGGAGCAAGATCGAAGGTGGTGCCATCAAGAACGCGACCGAGAGTGCCAACTGGGCTCAGGATTGGTATTGGGCTCCAGAATGCTATCATAACGTGGGTTAATTCGTTTCCTTAGTATACCTACAAAGCTTTCGCTGAGCTGCCAATCTACGTGTTTTAAATAACGATGTTACAGGAGGAAACAGGATGGTACTTTTTGTAAGCACTGTCCAATCTCTATGTGCGAGGATGCTGATGACAGGGTTGCGATTTCCAGATTCTACGCAGGCCGTTACACAGAGCCCGAACTTGTAGCCCAATATTTTAAGTAAGCATTCTCACCATCGTTGTTGTCCATGACTTTCGACTTAGCACCGTCATTCTATAGGTACCCCGATTTCGAAGAAGGCTCAAAAATTGGCGTCGCAGTGTCCAGGTCTCCCTCCGGCCCCTTCGTCAACATTGCCGCCCACCCAATCGACTACTACCCCTTCGACCCCACCTATCACGACATCAACCTCCTCATGACCTCTCCTTACCTCGTCCCCCCATCCTCTCCCTCCATCGGCGAAACCGCTCCCAACGGCACATACATCCCCTCCATTGACCCCAATGTTTTCTTCGATGACGACGGCTCCATCTGGTTATTCTTCAGCCGGAACGCCTACAGGAACTGGATCTGGGACGACGAGTACGCTGAGTACATCGAGGAGAGCAATATCTATGCAGTCAGACTCGACGACGCGTGGTGGAATGACCCGGAGGCGAAGACAATGCCTGCTGTGCATGAGAGCTATAAGGATGTGAATCAGGGGAAACCGGAAGGCTGGGTGACTTCGGTGAACTCGAGTTTCCCGGGCCCGACGAGAAGGGATGGTTGGGAGCAAATCATTGCTTATCACCAGCAACCTCAGGTGAAAGCTACCCTCCTGGAACAATATCATCTTGAATGTAATGAAGGAAGTGCTCACGGTGTGTCTTGTTGTGTTTAAGGAATGGGAGAACGCTCATGTTCATGACTACATCGCGAGCAATGGCACCCTGAAGAACCGACGATGGTCCGAGGGCTCGACGACTATCAAGCAGTACGACTCTGACGGTAACGCGGTTTATTTCCTGACTTACAGCGCCAACAAGTCAGTGACACTTCCCTTCCTCACTTCGTATACATCGATGATTGGGCTTATCGACTAATTGACTGCCTACGTTGTTCGTTTTTTGTAGTTACGAATCACCCTACTACGGCGTTGGCTACGCCTACGCATCTAGCCCACTGGGTCCCTATTACAAGTCCAACTCGAACCCTATCCTCTCCCAAGACGCCTCCCGCTCTATCTACTCCACCGGACACGGCTCCATCATCGGCGTGAAAGGAAGCAATAGCACGAAAGAGCTCTACTATCCGCATCACGCCCGTCCCACCGTTGAGGCCGACCGCTACCTCTACAACGCACGTCTCTTCGTCGAGCCCGACAGCCTCTATGTCGGCTTCGGCGCGGACGCGGGGGACCTTCGTCTTCCCTCCGGCGTCGCCCCGTTTTCCGTTTCCTCGAACTCTACCGGGAATGGAACATGGACTGTGAATGTGGAGAACAAAGACGGTGTGGCGTTCAACCTCTCCAGTCCCGCGAACAGGCTCTTTGCTTGGATTGAGAGTGGTGATGCCAGTGGGAACACGACCAGCGTAGGCGTGGATGTTGAAGTGGTGGGCGAAAATGTGACGGTGACGGGCGCGTTACCCCAAGGAGCGACGATAAATGTGGTCTACCAGCGGGCGCGGTCAAACGACTCACAGCCTTGGTTGAACGTCAGCCAGGTGACAGGGTTGGGAGCAGACTGGGAGCTGGTAGGTACGATGCTGGACTAATGAATCGACGGTGGCCCACAATAGTACGAAGGGAATGGACGCTATGCTCCGTAACGACTACAGAAACGTAATAATACACAAAGCAACTTGTGCGGTCAATTTTGGTGCTACGCTTCAGTGGTCTTCCGATATTTTCCGACGTGGAACGTCGACGTTTGACTGCTCGGGTTGAGGTTCTTGACACCGCACCCTTATTCACCTGCAGAATGTTTGTAGACCAGTAGATGGACAAGCTAAGATATACGCCGACCCTAATTACCTGGAGAAAAATCTAGTCATAAGATCATGAATCAACTCCTTCTACTTTTCCTCCAGTTCCTCCTGCTCCTGCGCATGTTGAACCTGAGCCTTCGCCCTCTCCAGATCCTTCTGTTCCTCTATCTCCATAGGCATCCTCTCCGGCACAGTCCGCACGACCAAATACATGAGCGGAGCCACAACTACTAACAATCCAAAGTTTATCCCGCTGTCCAAAGCACATAACTCGTTAGGGTTATTGTGCAACAGTAGGCTAGAATTCAACTCACAATCCAACAAACAGGTTCTCCGCATGCGAATTGATTCCATAACTGACCGCTTGTCCCACAGCCTCAAGCGACCGGAACACACCCGCGTTCCTGGAGTTCGTCTGTACATCCTTTGCATAGCATGAGATGAGCCAGTACCTAGCATCGTGAATGAGTAGTTAATGAAACTATTGTCAGGGCTTCCATGACGGTGATATTGGTGGAACGGTGACTAACATGTATGATTGTCCAATTGGGCCGAACGTCTGGATGAGGAAATACGGCATGAAAGCTCTCGCCCAGCCAGGTGAGGTCCTACACCATACACATTAAACATCACAACTCGATTGAACCTACCAAGTCAGAACGCAAGGCTCACCAATCGAATGTCCCCGGATCATGCGCATTGAATCCTGCCTGCACGACGCACGTGTATATGTAAATCGTGATCGCAGATATGACGACGAGCGCAAAGCCCATCTGAGCACGCTTTCGCTGAGTGAAATTTTCGAGATCCAAGATCCATCCAAGGGCAAAACAACCGACGATGCAGAAGGCGGGCGAGACAAGGCTTGAGAGGGCGCGGGCGCGGACGGTGAAGTAGGTGGACAAGTAGGTGCCATATACCTATTATATAGCCGTGACAGTAATAGAGTGAACAGTGAGTATTCCAATTTGCTTGAACGTGGACACGAGAGAAACTCACTGAGATGTAGAAGAAAGAGTAAAAGAAGAATCCAACAAGTAGCAATGTCTGTTCAATCATACACTCAACCGTCAATGGTGGAACTTGCAGCGGACGAGCAGTGAGATACTGACCCGCTTCAAAGTGATGACCTTCCCAAGTTCTATGAACTCATTCTTCCAAGTCGACTTCCCGGCGGCCACATGGACTCCCGTCCCGTCCGCTCTACGTACTTTCTCTGGGGGCGAGAGGAACAACGCAGCGGGGAAACCTGCAAGTGGATTGTTGAACGGTTATTGCGTGGTGGAGTTGGGGCGATTACTTACCGATACATTCAATACCTATAGAGCAGCGACAACACTGTCAGACTCGGAAATACGCGAAATAGTTGAGTGCGTGGAAGGAGGACTTACCGACGAAGATGAGGTAGGTTGACGGCGAGATACCGCCTGTCGTGTCTGTGTTCACACTATCACAGACATATAAATCAGAAAATCGCGCTTCATGCTAACGAACAGACGAGCAGAATATAGCAATGGACTAAAGAATTCGCCGTACTTGACAGATAGATTGATTGCACCTCCAACCAGTTGACCCAAATTACGCGAGAGGATCTATATATCAGCATCCACAAAAGAGTCAGATGGATGAAAGCGGGAGACGGCTAGAGCTACGAACCCAGAGAGCCAGATATCTATGTGGAGTGATCGATGGACAATTAATAAGATCGTATCAAGCAGATTAGCTAGATGAATACGCACCGACCACGGCGACCTGGTTCTGGGTAGGACAAGATAATTGCAGCTTCGGCGACGTACCACAGACCCGTACCTACAATTTGATTCTGAAGTCGCATCAATAGCTCAGAGAGGACGGTCTGATGAAGACTTACCGAGCCCCGAAACAGCATGACCGAACTGATATTATGAACGAACCACAGGGAAAGCCATTAGTCTCATGATGGGTTGCATGCTACGTAGCCAACGTACGATCAAGTACCACTAAAAATATTCCCATCAGATACGAGAGGTTACAAGGCCGAAAGAAGGAATAGCTCACCTGGATTCCATACTTGCTATTGACATAGAGCGACGAGCTGTGGGGACAGTCATATCAATCAAAACTGAGAAATGGACTATGAACAACCCGGGACGCACCCGTTCAAAGGAAAAGCCATTGCTCCAAGTGCCAGCGACCACTTCACTCCGAGACGGTTGATCAACGGCCCACCGAACAAACTGGATGAAAGCACTCAGGATGTTCAACGCAAGGTAATTTTAGCGCCATTGTATACTAATTCACCATGTTACAGCCATCATCTGCACGAAAAACCGAGAAGGATGAGAACTCATACGAGAAAAGATAAATGGACAGCCTTACACTGTAGCTGGCAGCGCTTCCAGCATCTGAGCGAGGAAGATCCTATTCAGCTTCATTCAGAAACACTGAACTCGAACGAAGACTCACTAGCAGTGTAGGGCGTGGCGAGACTGTGCAAGCCCCCGTCAGTATTCACGCTCGAGGCAAGGAGCACGGTGAATGCCTACCCTCCGCCACCCAATCCGCTGAGTGCTAGTGGGATATTTTCAGTCTAACTTATGGACAAATTCTCGAAACAGAGGTACTGACCATCGCTCATAGCAGGTCCCGCAAAGGCGACTGCACCAGTGACCAACATCTGGAACAATGTCCCTCTGTAGAATGCCTCCCATTTTCCCATAGGTTTCGTCAAGGTCTGGGCTTCCAATGTGTTGATATCCTGTATATCGACATCCTCTTGAGGGACGGCCTTCTTCTCGTTCGTGTCCGCCATCGTGCTAAAAGATGAGAACAAAGAGAGAAGGGCTGCGATACCGATGCACAAGGACTAGCCTGCCAAACGAGAGGTACGCCGGGAGGAAAGTAAAGGTCGAGCGGATCGTGCATCTATGCAATAAGTAGTAGAAGCGCTATCGGAATCTGCAATAGCATATACTTCGATAGCTGACCCCACCTCCTAACACAACTTCTCCAGGGCTTGGCACTGAGAGAACGCGGAATTCATGCCGCAGGTGTACTGGATTCCTCTAACTTTCTTCGCAATTGAGACGGCCGGGGGCGGGAACCATCCTCGAATTCGACCTGCAGGTCTACATCGTGGGTACGATCACCAAAAATGACGCAAATGTTATCTTACCTTACCGTAGATCGCGCCATGGAGGGCAGGGTAGGCTCTATTCCCATTGCCCAACGTCTGACAAGGAAGCCTACCTTAGCCTATCTAGAGTTGCGAATCTGTGCCTCAGACTCGTGGTGCACTCTGGATAAGAAGAAAGCTTCTCTTGAAGAGGAAGGTGATAAGGCTGGGAAGGTACTCAAACCTTCAGTTTCAAGCATCAAACATTGCAGATTCATGATCTCTCTGTAAGAATACAGGGTATGAACAACCACAATGGTAGGGTACGTGATTCCTGAAGTTGTCCACAGCGGGAGCGGGTTTTCAACTGAGTAGCCCCGTGATACTCTCCAGAATCAACAAGAGTAATCCAAGACTGTAGCACGACGGAATCACGAATTATTTGTCCGGAAGGTTGTCGGAAGGCCTCGGAGCGGAGCATGTCCGCCACATGTTCTCAGCCAGGATCTGTTGCCACAATGTGGAAGTACTTGGGGAACTCACAACAGCGCCTCCATAGAAATCATGGATATGGCTACCGAGATGCATGAGCAGATAGGATTGAGCACCTTCGTCTGAATCAACTTCCAGTTGACTAAGAACAACTGTAGGAAGAGATATCAACTTGGTCTGAGGAGACGAGCAATTGATGACGGTTTTATTCGGGTCGTGGACCTGCATTCGACTGAAAACTGAAAGAAGTTCGTCTGTTATACGCTGTTGCAGTATGCAGTGACCAAGTCGAACTCTATCCAGACTCTATCGACGGCCCAGATCCAAGTCCTAAACGGTGAATGATCATATATGTGGCTCAGTCAGCAACCTTCCGACAATGAGCATCAAACAAGGAACCTCCACGGAGAGTAAGTGTCGAAGGACGTATCATCCGGCGCATAACGGTGACATGCAGGGGAGAGCAGAGACTACCACGAGGACCACTGTCGGGCCAGAAATCCGGCCACCTGCACCCATTCGCCTATACGAGCACGTAGCGACGCAAAAACGACGCTTCAGTAATATAACAGTCGATGGGACATGGGCGTTGTTTCCTCTCGACGTACGAGAGGGAGAGAATCCCTGAAAACGTTTTCGTAGACGCGCATAAATCAATTCGGGTAAACCCGGACTCCGAGTCGGAGTTCCCCGCCCACCTATTTTGGCATAGGAAATTTGTTCAATGACATTCATTTTCACGGCCCTTCGAATTTTACTTGCAAGTTTTACTGGTGACCTCATCGTTCGAGTGTGTACCAGCAGTCGTGTTGAAGATTTCGCCACACCCTCCACCGTTCAACAACACATTTCGATGGGTATTTCGCAGAAGTAAGCTATACGAACTGCCTATAACAGGAGAAAAGTCCAATGGTTATATAATGTCCATCCAAGACGCCCAACGCTGCCATGACGCTAGCATTACGCTACACTAGCTGACTTCAATACACCGCTTCAAGAGCGGTACAGTGTGGCATTTATAGCCGGAACGCTCAAGTACCGCTGACCGCTCGAGTCATTCCCAAACAAGAGCTGAGTGGTCGGATGTCCGAAGTTGTACCCGATGTCGAGGTCGACGACGGGGACCATGCAGCGCCAGTTCGGAATGCCGTTCTGCTGAGAGAACCCGAAGGAGATCCTGTTATACAAAAAGCATCGTCAGGACATGTGTTGGAACTAGAGGTCCCAGTGTATAGAGATGGGAGTGAAAGCGGACCTGAATTCCTCCACGCCTGGCCTAAACGTAGGCCACAACGTCACCTTATCCCCAGCCGCCACTGCACCAAGCAACAACGTTACGGCGTCCGTTCCCTCCAGAATGACCTGGTGAGCCCATAACGCCCCATCGTCGAGACTGATGTCGATATATGTCTGACCGTCGGAAGAGGTCCAGTTGCCCTGGTAGAGATCGGTGGAGATGCTGTCCTTCAGGTTGTCGAAGGCAGGCTGGAAAGCCTCCACTGCGAGGAGGGCGAACTGAAGCATGTCGCTGTACAGACCTGAGGACATGGCCATGACTCCGTAGCCAGAGAGGGGGTTGATCGTGAAGGAAGCTTGGTAAGCGTATCCGGAGCCACCTTGTCAATGTCACCGCGCGGATGGAAAGAGGAAATTGTAACGGAAGTCGTCAGCGACAACCCCCAATACCAAAATGAAGGAAGCTGTACTCACTCTTGGTGAACAGTCTCTCGACCCTTCCGTGAGTGTTCCTGAGCTTGAAGATCTCCCAAGGAAGACCCATCTCGAACTCGTCATCCCAGAGGGCAGTCGCCGGACGGAGCCATTCGCGCATCGTCGCAGGGTTCAAGATACTACCATCTCCCGAGGCCTGAAGCAGCATCTGGATCATGAGTTCCATGTCTGCGAGGGAGGTGAAGATGCCACCGGCGGGGTCCAGCACAGGACTGAGGTTGTCCTAAACCATTGGACCGGAGGAAATTAGCAACATGGAGCAAGAAACAAAGAGGGCGGATGAACCACATACGGCGATCGAAGGATCTGTCGAGCACACAGCGAACCTCTTCGCCTGATCGTCGTCCGGTGTAATTCCCGTACTATTCATCCCCAACGGCCCAAACAAATCCCTCTCTAACAACTCCAGATGCGTCGCCGGCGGATCCTTCGCCACAGCCATATTGACCATCCCAGTCAACGCATAGTCTAAATTGGAGTACATCGGCCAGCTCCACATCGGCAACGGCTGCTCCTGCAACGCTATCGCGTTGAAGAGATCGTCGACCGTTGTTTCAGCGAGCGTGGGCCCAGGAGTGCTGCTCGTGACATTGTGCGGCCAGTCGGTCAGGTTGGCAGGATAATTGGCGGGAAGACCGGCGATGTGGCCCATTATGGCGCGGAGAGTCCAGAGCGAGGGATCGACGGAGGGGTTCGATTGAGCGATTTCAGTGAGGTTGGGGAAGTATTTGGTTATAGGATCATCACTACCGACACAAAGTATAGTGTTAGCTCAGGAAGATGGGGATTTATGGATATACTCACAGAGTAACAAGGCCTTGCTGCTTGAGATACATGGTCTCGATGGCAGTGAGAAGCTTCGAGCTGGAATCGATCCGGTAAAGAGTGTTTCTGTCAGGAGTTCCGCCTTGCAGAGCAGGGTCCGTCTCGTTGGCAATCCTGATACCGTACCCCTTCTCAAAGACGGTGCCATTCGCAGTGATGACCGCAATGACGAGGCTGTCGATGTTGGGGGTACCAGTGTGGTTTGCATTGAACGCCGCAGTGACCAGACTATCGAGTACGGAAGAGGCGTTTGCGATGCCGTCCGAAGAGGCGGTTGGAGGATGCGACGTCAGAACGACAGGGAGAGGGGGTATGCACGGAGAAAGCGAGGCAAGAACGGATTGCGCGTTGGTAGACGACGCGAGAGTCAAGGCCGCTGCGAGACCTAGAGCAGTCAGAGACGGCATGGTCAGCCTCTGAGATGGGTTTCGAACGGGTTCAACGAATGTGATGGTGTCGGTTGTATGTGAGTATTAGGGGAAGGGGAAGACTGGAAATGAGGAGATGCGGCGCACATAGTACATATGGACTGCTTACTTATAGCACAAGCCTACTCATATGAACTTAGGGTTCGTGAACTCCCGATGCTATGTCCACTTGTACATCTGCGTCCGAAATCATCCCTGATGGGTTCTCTCGTTGTCAAGAGTGTCCATATTCGGATAGCAAGGGGCTCATGGGAAAGATGTGCGTACTAAGCAGGGGTTCAATAAGTATGCAGCTTGCTGCGCGGTGTTCTAATTCGAGAGGAACGGTCAGCATAGACCGTGTCTTGAATCATGGAAGCTGCAAGATGCATGATTAATATTGGTTGAAGGAGTGAGAATGATGATGATCATGACGGGATGTGCGAAGGAAGCGGAGGAGTAAAGAAAGACAAAGAGACGCGTCGCGTCGTGTCTGGGTGTCTAGTATTTTCCTGATTTGTCCGACCTCTTATGTGATTGACCCCTACTACGACCACGACGATTTCGTGCTGCTCTGGCTTGAGCACTCTGAAGCTTCAAGGAGAACACTTCGGTTGCCCCACACGAAGACACTTAGCTCCTCGTCCGTAGGGCTCGAACCCTACCGACGAATTGAGCTGCCATCGTAGGAAGGGATTTTCAGGGTGGCAAGGTTGTCGAGCAAGCGGTGTGGAAAGAAGGGAAAGAAGGACGATGGCGAGTTGCGACCGTTCCCCTCATCAGATCCCACATTACTTGAGTGTGTCAAGCATTGACATTGACTAAGTACGCAAGCTACCGCGTGCAATGAACTCGTTCTCTCCACCCCGAAATAGGGTACAGACGTAGTAATAGTATACAAGTTAAAACGGAAAAAAAGCACAATCATGGGTGGAAAAAATAGTACACTGAAAGTATAAAGATTCAAAGCTCAGGGAGGACGCGGTAGCATCAAACACCGGGGTTCGTATGGTGTGCAGCGACAGAACGAAGATGCGGGCAAAATGCGAAAGCAAGGATCACAGCGTCAAAGCACGCAGCGAGGAAAGCAATGGAGGACGAAAAACGATGCAAAACGAGATAAGACGAGATAAAAACTATGCCGCAGGACCCACAAAGACAATCCATCCACGTTCCTCATCCCTCTCGAGCCCTCTGAACATGATCCTCTCACCGAGCCAATCCACTCTTCTCAAACGATCCGTCGCCCGCTGCTGAGCACGACTCGAACCAGCTCCGGCTCCACTTCCTGAAGTTCCTCCCGTCCTAGCCTGAGGCGTTGCCCTATGCCAGCAGGCATTATTGGCAGCTTCGCGAGTCGGGGTCTCCCATGAATTGTACTCTCCACTGGTCACCAACTCGTTAAAGTTGGCCCAGATACCCAGCAATACGTCTTCCACCAAAATCCCGCGCTGGTTGGTAATGGTGACGGGCCATGCGAACTCCAGCGAAGGGTCTTCCGCGACCGCCATGATATCCAGACTGTCGACATAGGGGTGAGTGGCGGGCTGAGCCCAATCGGATGGCGCAAGCGGTATGATGACAGGAGACAAAGGATAGTTTGGCGAAGGCCTCACTCGATCCAGACGAGGCACTCCGCCAAAAGGAGGTGGAGGGGGGCGACGGGGAAGGTCGGCAGGGTAATTCAGAACAGTTGGGGCCTCCCCTTCAGTAGTCACCTGTGGCCGCCCCATATCGTCCAGAAGCTGAGGATCCCACAGGTTGATTATCGGTGGCGAGGCCGGAATGGAGGTCGATAGATATAGGGCTGTGCTTGGAGGAAGCCGCATGTCCCACACAAGTTGAGGTGGGCCCCATGGGCGATGCCTGAGAATAGGGTTCAACTGGAGGGGCGACGCGTCAGACGACGTGCTTGGACCTATATGACCCAGTCTGTTTAGATTTATCCGATGGAGAGAAACAAATGGACCATACCAGCGCGATCACCCTGAGTCTGAGGGCGCCTCCAGGTGTCAGGCATATTCTCTTCAGGACTTGGTTGTAGAGGAGTCCATGCGGTAGGTCTCGGCGGTAAGCTTGGATGCACGAGGCCAGGAACCCAACGTTTGGGATGTTCTGTCCCATCTGGGTCTCGCAGGCGCCTGAACACAGCCTCTGGGTTGACTCCATTCAGGGGGTGAGGCCGAATAGGCGCTGAAAGAACACGGGATGGTCAAAACGATGCACGGACGACAGGTCGAGAGGATGAAGTTAGACGTACGAATGTTGTCAACCACCACACCGTTGACCGTCGGCCTCGCCCATCTTCCTGCCGCTCGCCACTCTGCGTCCGTGATAGTCATCGGGCCCACGGAGGCATCCACATTTTCCGATGACTCTGGGACATGACCAGAAGCATTCCCTGAACCGGATCGGGCTAACAAAAGATGACTGGGGTATGAGAAAGGTGCGTGTGGGAACATATCAGAAGGGCGCTACACACTGATTGTAAACACCCTCCGCAACGCCCCCCAAATACTACCACCTCTTCTCTGCGCACCACCACGATCTTCTCCTCTTTCCTCTGTGCGAGTCGTGCTGGATCGTCGTCTACGGAACCATACTCCTCGCCGTTCTCGGGGCGCACGACCTTCACCCTCCACTCCGTTTCCGCCTCTCACATCTCCACCACCTTCGGCAGTCACTAGGACCTCCCCTGGACTTTCTTCCTCGTAATATTGCACCGGATCCCATATAGACCCAAAACGCGCGATCCTTCTTCGGACCGGTACGCTTCCTGGCGCCACCCTATTCTCGTTAGATCCAGAAACACCACGATCAGTCATGGCTGTGCCACCGTGCGCTCGCTGGCCGGCACCAACACTCCGTAACCTTTCATTCTCGCCACCCGTGGATCTCACTGCAGTCCTCGTCGCCGTCGCATTCGTCTCCGTAGTTGGCAGAGGAGTCGCCACCCTGACACCCGGTGAGGTCCTCCATGGTACGTTGGTATCGACGGTCCTCATATTCGCATGGTCGGAGTTGGGAGGAAATGGAGGAAAGCGAGGGTTGCGTGGGGCTGACAACGGTGCGTGGGTCTCCTCAGGTTCTTCAGGCTCTGCAGGGGGTAGAGTTTGTTCAGCGGGCACGTCTCGGGGAGAGGACGAAGCCAGAGCTGCTTGAGGGTAAGTCGGTTCGAAGGTTCCTGGCACGAAGGGTACGGCAGGTCGAGCGGGAGCGGCAGCGGCAGACACTGCTATGAATACTTCTTGAGTGAACGTACCCGGAATGTTTGCCGGGAGAGAAGTAGAAGTCGAGACCGATATCTCTGGTTCGCGAGGACGATACGGGTCGTACGAAGTTGACGGTCCCGCGATAGGAAGGGGTGGCGGAGGAATAAAAGGTGACCGGTTTGGCGAAGGGCTAGGTGACTCTCGTCGCTGACGAGATGGGTGCGGAATAGGATGGGGACATGGTACGCCATGGTGATACGATTGAGGCGGATGTGCGGGCGAGGAGCCACATCCACCAACATTGCACATGCATGGCTTACGCCCGGTGCAACCCCCATGACCACACCCAGGACTATGGTTCTGATTGATTGGACGACAAGGGCAGCAGGAGCAGGACACTGGGGGCCCTTGCCCAGAAGACCGCCACCCGGAGGAATTATTGTCAGAGACGGCGTGACTCTCGCGAGAGTGTATAGACGTCCGTCCTCCATCGTCACGATGAATTGACGTTGACGGTCCTCCTCCGACCCGATCCAATACCGAGGCGACGAGATCCGCACGCTGATGCCGTTGATGTCGTAGGCTCAGATCGGAATGCGATTGCTCGCTGGGCTGTACAGAGCACAACGACTATCAACACTGAACAGAAACCCAGGCGCAGAAAAACCTACCCGGAACAAAAGACTATCCTGCGCATCTAACGCAGCATCGCTCCTCGACCGTCGATGACCCAGCGCCTGTATCTCATCCCTCTGCTCCCTTGCGTCGCCTTCCCCCGCACTGAACGACGACGTCCGTCTACCAGTGAAATCCGGCGGCACAAGAAACCCACCGTCCTGATCATGAGTGTTCAACCCCAACGAGTTCCTGAACATTTCCACGTCGGAATTAGGATGTGGCTGTGGCGCAGACTCCTCTGGATCAGGTAGAGAGATGGAGATCCGACGCTCGACTCGAGGAGGTTGGACATGCTCGGGCTCGACTTCAGAGTCCGATTCAGAGATGACGGTGGCGGTGAAGCGCGGAGGTGAAGGTCGTGATGGAGCCGGAGCCTGAGCCTGCGGAGGGGGAGGAGGTTGTCGAGCCCATGCACCGGGATCAACAATCTCGGGGTCATCGTCGGCGTCTAGCGCAGGACGCTCCTCTTCTTCCACCTGTCTGTGCCCAGTACGGAGCGCAGCGTTCGGGTCCAGTGTCCTGGGAGGTAACCGAGCCCAAGCTCCCGGATCCAGCTCGAGATCCTGATCAACAGTAGCCTGAGGATGGCCAACATTCTCCGCGTGCCCCGTCGGATAAGTATGTGATCTCGGCCTCCCAAATCCAGGATCCAACCCTCCTCCCTCTCCGATCCTGTTATTAGCAGCGAGCCTCCTCGCCTCGACGACCTCAAGCTGCCTCTCGAACTCGTTACGACTGTCAGACCAAACAGGCGCCGACCTCGACATCTCCACCTCGTCTTCGTCTCTCACCTGCTGCCACCTTTGGCGATTCTCCAGAACATCGTCACCGGGTATACGAAGTGGCCGAGTGGCGGAAGCAGCACTGTACGTTCCCCGATTGGTATCCACCAGACCCTCCCACCCATAAGATAGAGGCGCTGGTGTCGGCTGGAAATCCCCACGAGCCGGAACCGGAGCCGGAGGAATGAACCTTTCCGCATAGGGTAGCGATGGCTCAGGCGATGGTGACGGTGACGGTGGCGATGAGTACACCATCTCCTCCGGCGTCGCAGCAATAATCCCAATCTCCGGAACCTCAGGCGAAGACGAAGACGGAGGAAAAGTCTGAACTTGTTGGTGTTGGGCAGGCCGGTCGGTCCCCAACAATGCCCCCAGGAAATCCCACGTCGACAGGCGAGGCATGGCCGGATTCGTATTCGTAGTGGTAGTCGCAGGTGCGTTCGTCACCACAGTGCGCCCTCCAACATTCAGGAATTGTAGCTGTGGCTGTGATTGTGGCGGTCGACTGCTCCAAGAAGGCCCGAACGCAGGAGTCGGAGCCGGAGTCGGAGAAGCAAGAGGCAGCGAACTCGTCGAGGTCGGAGACGGTGGTCCCGGTGCGGTGGCCTCTTCCTCTCCTTCTTCAGGCCTTTCTTGTCCAAATCCGAACGCCGTCACAGGCGGTGGCGGTGACCACAACCCGGGATCATGCCCACGCCCACGCCCACGTCCGCGTCCCCACTCCTGCCCCTGTCCACCAAACCGCGACGTCCCCTCAAACCGTCCTCCACGTATGGGCACCCTTGGTCCAAAAGGCGACGACTGATTCTGATACCCAAACGTATCCGGCGCAGTCTGCGCCGAAGGCGGCGAACTCAGAATCTCAAACTCTCCGTCCCTAATCCGCCTCCCTCCCGCCTCTTCCTCGTCTTCGCTTGAACTGGAGCTATACGAACGGGCAGGGGCGCGGGCACGATCTTCGACTCTCCTAGGCGAGGTGTTATCTTCCACGTCGCCCTCGTCCTCATCGGAGTCATAGGTACCTCCAGGTCCACGGCCTTGAGCTTGTGTATGCGCGCGAGACGGCGATCCATGTTGAGGGGGTGGAACACGATATCGCTGTGGTGGAACTTGGTCCGCGGAGGCGTATCCACCATACGGATACTCGCGTTCCCTCTCCCTCCTTCCATGTCCATGTCCATACTCATCTCCATATCGACGACGCTCATGATCATGAGCATGGCCGTCGTCGTCGAACCCGAATTGACGGGTCTGTTCTGCGGGGGCGTGTGCGTGTATAGGTTGGGACTGGGAATGGGACTGTGTCTGATGATGAGGTGGTGGTCGTAGTGGGGATTGAGGTTGGGTTTGCTGTTGTGGTAGTTGAGAATACACGACAGCGCCAGGATCATATCGTTCGCCACGTTCAATGTACGCATCGTTGGGAGGATCCGAATGATGATATCGATGTCGGTTCCGGGTGGCTTCTGCTTGAACGGCGTCGTAGGCGTCACCTCGATAATCATACCTCGACACGGGATCGGTGAAATTTCTCGTCTGTGTGTGAGGGGCGAAGGTGGATGGGAGCTGTTGTTGCGGGGATAGGTGTGGCATTCGCGACACGGGGTCCGAGAAATTCCTCGTCTGAGCGTGTGATCTCGGTGGCGCGAAAGTGGAGGGCTGGCGTTGAGTTTGAGTTTGAGATTGGGGTGATAGGTGCCCTCGGACTGGTGCAAAAGTGGTGAATGGTTGTTGTTGTTGTTGTTGTTGTTGTTGTTGCTGAGGGGATAGGTGAGGAGGTATGAAGCGGTCCGTGTGTTGTTGCGAATGCGGATTGGGATGTATATACGGATAAGTCGGTGGTAATCGTGCTTGGGATCGTGCTTGGGATTGGGATTGGGATTGGGATTGGGATTGGGATTGGGATTGGGATTGGGGATGTGGTTGTGACGACTCGGGCTAGAAATAGGAACAGAAAGCGACACTCATCAGCATGTCAAGTCGACATGAAGACGAGCACACAGCAACGCACTTGTGTACGAGGCCCATACTGCTGATGTTGCATATCGATATCGACATCCTCCGCCTGAGCCTGAACCTGACCGTGGCGCGAACGGCCATAAGTCATCCGCCTCGAATAACTATCTCCTTCCATTATTCCTGCAGTAGTCGAGCGGGGTATAATCGTTCGATATCCTAGAAGGCCAAGACAAGAGACAAGGGGTGGAAGGCAAGAGTCAGTAATGGCCTCACCGCACCCTCATATATATACACAACCCTGAACAAACCAAACTCACCGATTGCAAAAGAGCCCTCGAAGGCGGTCCCGCCGATGGAGTCCTTTATCCTCCGTTCCTGTTCTTCTTCCTTCGCTCTTCGTCCCTCGAGGGAGACGAGTACAAATACGGAAGTAGAAATACGAGGCCTAGACCAAGTCCGATGATCCTACACCGCTCAAGTCAGCTCCAAGCCTCGATCGGGCACGGTATATGGAAGGCAGGACTCGAGGAGACGGTGGGGGGGAAGGTGGGGGCGGACCGAATGGGGGAAAGGATAGGAAGGATACTTACCGCGTGTGAGGTACGAGGTCAAAGCGTATAGCTCCAGGGGAAAGGCGGTGGAATGTGCTGTGCTGTGCAGAGGAAACGCGTCAGTTTTGGACGGGAAAGGGAAGAATTGTGATTGTAATTAAGCACTGGTGGAGAGGCTGGGCCCTCATCATGCATCGTGGACTGTAGGAGACAGTTGAAAGGAGAGATGTGGCATCCACTGCTCGTTCTGAAATTCGATGCCACCAGTGACAGTCAAAAGGAACGAGAAGAACATGACGGTGGGCCACAGTGGCACTAAGCTGTGCTGTATACATCGGTCCCGGGGGCGCATAATGGTAGTCTCGACGAGCACGATGCTCTGCGAGCCCCATCAACGTCGATATGAGCGTCGACGACAGTTGAGCCACCACAGGGGTTAGACAAAGAACGTAGCCGGGTCGTATATCGAGCTCGAGCGCAAACGTCGATCACCCGATCTCCGACTCGAAAACGACGCACTGGCTCGCCCCGCCGATGATGAAATGTAGAGAAACAGACTCGCTCGAAAGCAAATGAAGTGCAGAGGCATATTGTAGGACATACCAGTTGCTATAACGCGCACGGGGACGAGTTTGGTGACGACGAGGAGGAGAGCGGGATGGGGGGGACGAAGGTGAAGGCTGAGGGACAGGAGCAAGTTGAGCCACCGAAAGCAGTGGCAGCTGAAGAGCCTCGAAAAGAGTACAAGCAGACAATAACTCACGCGACTCGCGCCTGGCGTCTGCAACGAGGCAATACACTGGCGTCTCCCGAAAAAAGCTCAAGTGTGCCTCCGACGTCCATCAGCCATCGATCCAGCACGGCGCCCTCAGACCTCGCATAGACCGGCCACTCTTCCTCGGGGGACCTGGGGAGACCATATTGCGATGCTCGGGACGTCCGCGACGATGTGCAAGGCGAGGAGCACGGGGCAGGTTACTGGATTGAGCGGGTACGACGTCGTAGAAGACTGGTTGGGTGGCGGCAGGGCAAGGGTTGTGGGAGCTGAAAGCAGGAATTGGTCGTGCAGGGCGCTTAGCGCACGGAGTCGGAAGGATGGCCGGGGTGGCAAACACAGCTCGCGGGAGGCTTGCAATGTTCCGTCGCAGAGGAATCGATGGCGAGTGTAGACGCCGTCGATGGAAATGGACGAAGGATGAAGGGGAGGAGGGAGAGTGCGCGCGGGGATTACCGCGCGAACAGAGACCGTTCAAGTTGCTGTGCAAGCGCTAGAACGCAGACCTTTCTGAGTACAGCACTCACAGCAAAGTTGCCACCCTAGCACACCAGCTGCCTTCCATGTTCTCCTCGACATTCTTCGAAGGATTGAAGAAAACACCGTTCGTCCCGGTCACTCACCGGTAACTCAGTTCAAGCCGGCCAGATCTGCGTGGCACCAACATGATATCACATTGGCGCCACATAGACGCCATTCAGGCCAAACTTAAGTTCACCCCTTCTTCACATTCGCCGACGGTCATGCGATCACTTCTCGGTCAGACAGACATGAACTCTGGGCCCGTTTCTTAAAACCTCTAAAGCTACGAATCACGGCATTCAGAGCGAACGTCCGACAACTACAGCTCTCAGTTCGAAATGCGTGGCTTGCACAGATGAGGGTGGACGACAATACAACAATAACAACGAGCGAGGATAACGACAACTCTCAGCCTCATCTCAGACTCCATCGTCTTCGAATCACTATACCATTGATTCCATCTGAGAAGTAGTCCTGCCCGTCAGTACGACGGATGAACGCACGAACACGACGTATCCGTATCCTTACTGTACGTCAACGCTCGAGAGGACGATCACAGAAGCTCGCCTCGCCCACGCCCAACTTGTCTCCGAACAACGCTGCAAAAATATCGTCTGTGATGTAGAACATGAAGAGCCTGAGAGCATCGACTTGTCAATCATCGCATACCTCCACACCATAAATCAAAACACAACGGTAGAGTTCACCGATACCACTTACCATCATCATCTTATCATAACACGAGTCAATGGTCATGAGTTAACGCTAGCATAAGTCGGTGACATCGTTCTGGTCGCATTGAACATACTTACCTCGAGCAACAGATGCAGGTGGCTTAGAAGACTCAGGCGGCCCAGAAGCGATCGGTTCTTTGGATGGGTTAGGGGCCTTGGAGGGTTCGGATGATCCAGGGGGGTTAGGGAGAAGCGAATCAGCAAGCACGTCGAGCGATAAGTACCGGGGCCGCCGATACAGAGAGCGCAAGTGCGACGGTGAGGAAGAGGATAGAGAGCCTAGAAAGCATTCTTGAAGCGAGGGTTTGGTTTGCTAGGTGAGCGACTTGGGTGTTGGTTGTAAAGAGTTGAAGGAACGAACGAGGGTAGGCGTGAGGCTTCGTGGGACGGAAGAAAGGCTTGCATACTTCTGAAGTTTGTGGTGTGACTCGGACCCCTCCCAGCGCGATCGGTCGACCACGCTTCAATGATGATATCGGCGGCGCATTAATGGATGATATAAAGGGCGACGAGAATCATGCACCTTCAATGAGTGGATGACATCAGAGAGTACGAAGAACCGAACAAAGAGAAATAATCCCGCTTTACGAGTATATCTGGTGGCAGAGGTATAGAAAGCGTCGAAGTTGAAAGGCTTGAAGGACGTCCAACGAAGTGACATCGCAGTGACAGTTGCACAACCAGAGAGAACTAGAGCGATTCGAAGAAAGTAGCACATTCAAAAAGGACATCCCAAAGCACGCTCGAGCGAGACGGGCGACGTCAACTGTAATAAGCATCACAATCGCGAAACGAGCGGTATTCCCGTCTGTGTTGACCGAGCTTGCAGACCAGATATAAACAGTCCATCCAAGTATACTCATCATGATACACGACGAAGAAAACGCTGGCACCCGATCGGAGAAGCACTGGATGAAAATCATCATGATTCATGAAACCTATCCGGTCAAATGCTCAGCTGGATGATGTCGATATCGATTCAGAGGCTGGGCCAGAATCTAGACACAAACGGATGCCTGGCGAGGCTAGAGATATATAAATATGATGGTGAGGTGAGAGGCTCTGAACAGCTAGCTTACACTGACAAGTTCAAGTTGAAGGTGAAGGAAGCTTGCTCTGGCGGATTCCGGTTATCTCCGCAATCCAAGAATCTCGGCGCCACCCCAGACACCCGGCTGATGTGGCGCAGAATGGCCTACCACCACCGAGCCGATTTACACCTGCATCGCTGAATATAAAGTCGATACGAATAATCACAGAAAAGAATGTTCGTCCCGGTCTCTAACCGGAAGAAGTACTTATCCCATTCGCCAACGGTCACGCGAGTATTTCTTTATGCCCTGGTATGCAGGATTGAAGACACAAATTACTGCATTCAAAGCGAATGTCCGAATAGTACGACGACGACGAACGAACGAACGAACGAACGAACGAACGGGGACAACAACAACTCTGGAACTCATTCACAGCGAACTAAATTAAACCACGTTTCCGTCTCTCTCAGATCGCCCGCAAGACTGCGCCGCTGATTTCATCTGAAAAATGCAGTCTCGCCCGTCAGTACGATGAATGGACGAATAAACACAACCTATGGACAGCTTACTGTATGTCAACGCTGGCGAGGGTGATCAAAGGCCCTACAATATGCCTCCCAGGCCTCCCAACAAACTACCGAGGCCGAGAAGACCGCCTGCCATATTGCAGAACGTGCAAAAGACACAAAACGACGGGACAAGTACATGTTGAGAGCAGAAAGACCATCAGTCATCGCATACATACGTCTAGGCCGTAAAGAAAAAGTTCATCACTTACCATCGTCACCAGAGGCTAAAGTAACAATGACCATCGCACGAGTCGTTAGTAAAGCTAGCATACCTCTGAGAATCGTTATGGTCCGAAACGTACCTCCAGCAGCCGCAGGTGGCTCCGAGGGGTCCGGGGGGCTGGAGGGCTCGGGAGGCCCGGAGGGCTCGGGTGGGCCAGAAGGGTTAGGGGGAGGCGAGTCCGCACGCAAGTCGAGCGACACAGGCGCCGCCGACACAGAGAGCGCGAGCGCAACGGTGAGGAAGAGGATATAGACTTTAGAAAGCATTCTCGAAACGAGGGTTTGGTTGACTGAGTGAGTGACTTGGGTGTTGGTTGGAAAGAGTTTGAGAAACGAAGGAGAGTAGGTAGGCAGGAACCTAGCGAGCTTCGAGAGACGGGGCGAAGACCCTTATATACTCTCCTCGTATTGGGACGCCTTCTAGCGCGATCCGTCGAGTGATACTAATAAGCTTCCATAATGAGTCGGGAAGTGTAAGTATATCGGCGCCGCATTCATAGATGATGGGAAGAGTGGCGAGAATCATGCATCTCTATTGAGTGGATGACATCAGAAAGTCTATGAGGAGCCGAACAGGCGAAGTGAATCCCATTTCACGAGCATACTATTTCATCACAGAGATATAGAAAAGCTTCAAAGTTGAAGGGCGTCTAACGAAGTGACATTGACAGCTGCACAGCTGGGGCGATTCGAAGGGTATCGCACCAAAAGGGTCATCCCAAAACACGCTCGAGGAAGACGAGCGACGTCAACAAGCACCGGAATCGCGAAACGAGCGGTATTCCCGTCTCTATTGACCAAGCCGGCATACTATAAAATCCATCCAAGTATATCACAAATCACGAAGAAGGCAAATTGAAGCACTGACACCAGACCGGAGGAGCACTGAATGAAACACATCATTCAGTGGATCCGGTAAGAGCATCACCAAACTGGGTTCACGAATGCCCAGACCAGAGCCAGAAGCAAACAAATAGCTCGAAGAAGTCACCGGGGTTCGATTGGTTGCATTGAGAATCAGTACGCACTGAGTCGCATTATGAGACGTAGCCTAAGCCCATAAATACCAGCGTGAACAGCTCGCTTTCCGTTTCCCGGACGCTCTGAATTAGCTGGATGATGTCGATTCAGAGAGGCCGAGTCAGGATCTAAACACGAACGAACACCAAGCGAGGTCAGAGAGATATAAATACGATGGTGAGAAGTTCTGTACACGACCAGTTGAAGGGGAAGCTTCAGGGAGCTTGCTCAGGCGATTCCGGTTATCTCCGCAATTCAAGGATCTCGACGCCACCCCAGACACTCGAGTGGTGTGGCGCAGAATGGCCTGCAACCACCAAGCCGATGTCAGTACGCCTGCTTCACTGAAGTGTGAGGTACTCCGTGTTCCAATTGGGCGAGTGATCAGGTGCTTACATCGTTTACTAGGTTCTGGGGCATGAGACGTATCGCCCGATCAGTTGGAGTACAGATCCCCGTTCACAGTGCTGGGGTATCTGCGAACAACAAGTGCATCATCGAGGAAGGATACCTGTATCCATAGTCAGCATACGCCACAATGCAGTCAACCACAGCAGTCGAATGACCCCAGGCCACCAGCAGTAGTCACATCATCCGACCCCAAGCAATCTTCGTGATCTCCTCCACTTCCGTCTTCGTCAACGTCACATCCAGATACCTGACCTTGTTCGTTCCAGGAATAGGACTGATATCATCTCCCTGGGCAAGCAACCATGCTAACGCCACCCCTCCGGGAGCTTCATAATGTTCGGCCAGTTCTCCGCCGAATCCGCCTGAAATCATTCTCTGCGAAGCCCTCTGGTCCTTTCTGTGTTTACGCACACACGTTACATGAGGTCAATAACCCCTGAGATAATGAATGAACCTAAGCGTGTAAATACACGAAACGCACGTATTGTCCTGTGAGCAGACCCCTTCCGAGAGGCGAGTACGCAATGACCGTGACGCCAAGCTCGCGTGCGGTCATCAGAAGAGCGATCTTCTCGTCCATGACATCTAGTGTGAAGGGAGAGAATTCGACTTGGAGTGCTGCGATGGGATGAACGGCGTGCGCTCGGCGGAGGGTCTGGGCGGAGACTTCGGAAAGGCCGATGTATTTGGTCTTGCCAGTTCTGTCGGACAGAAGAGTGGTCCGTTAGAGATTCTTGAGATAAATACGAAGATGAATGGGTGCGTACTTCACGAGTTCGGCCATGCAGGCGATGACTTTCTACACGCATTGATTCACACATCAGATTTTGCCGCCTTTATCAAAGCGAAGTTTCTGCTGACCTCAATCGGGATTCGCACTTACCCACAAGCACACACAACGCAAGTCAGCTATTGCATTCGTCATCTATACCTGACACAAAGCCATCAAGCCTTACCGGTGGAGGTACCACAGATCCACACTCTCCACACACAACCTGCTGAGAGAGGTGTCGAGATTCTCCGTGACCCAGGCAAGGTCTGCGGCCTTGTCATTCGGAGAGAAGAAGCCAAACTTTGTGGCGAGGAAGATCTCGGAGCGTTCGCCCGTCTTTTTGAGCCTGTATCTACCGCCACAATGATAAGGATGGACATTTGTGCCAGATCTCCATGAGGGACATTGGGAAGACCAAAAGCGGCTCACCACTTGCCAATGAGCACTTCAGAGTCATTATACGCGTTCGCTGTATCTACATGAGTACATCCACGCTCATAGACAGCATCTAGCACCTATGAAACAATGGCAGAATCAGCGCCACACTCCCTCAAAACACACAACGGCAGGAACACAAAGTACCTTGAGATATTCTTCGTCGGACTGTGTCCCTTCTGGTGAGTGGTAAATATTTCCCCCTAAGCTCATAGCACCGAAGTCTATGGCTGGCACGGTCGTGTTTCCGATCCTGCGTTGCGGCATGTAGCTGGAGACATATCGAGTAGGTGTAGATTTATTGCTAGAAGGATACCGGGAGAATAGAGAGACGACGACGAGGATTGTCGCACTTATCGATATCAAAGGACGACCGTCCTGTTTATAAGTACTTCAGCAAGCGCGCGACGAGCCCTGTGACCGACTGCAGTATACATAGCAGTACCGACATCAATTTAAACCTGTGCATAACTAAATAGATCAGAAGGGGATTACCAAGCAGTCGAGCCGGTCTGGAGAGCGCAAAGCGTTCGGAAGAGCTTGGAGCCGCCACGGTGTTCTTCAAGACGAAGGGAAAGCAGAATGCAGAAGAGACTAAGTGGCGTGCATCGTCCACGGAGCACACAGTGGATGGGTGCTGCTGATGGATAACGAAGAGAACGCAGGATGACGCGTTGTCGAGGCCGAACCATACTATACTTCCCAGCGCTTTCCTGTCATGCCATGATATTCCGTGATGTTCGGGAGGCTGACGAGCGGAAGAGAGTGGATTAGACAAATAGCTCTGGAGCATCATATATCACACAAAGTACCTCCACAGACAGAAGAAGGAAGCACAAGGAAGCATTCCTACACGGGTCTACGGCAGGATGTATGAACTAGATCAGCTACCTTCGGTCAATGCAGTGTACCAAGTAGTTACTCACAATCGTATATATTGAACGACAGATGAGCAAAGAAACCAAGATGAGAAGGCACAAAATGCTGATCATAGCGTTCCGACGCTGCTCAGAAACAGGTCTCGAGTAACAGCACAACGCTCTTTGTCTCTACCCGATGCACTCTCGAACGCTTTCACAAGCGATGCCTGCCCATCATCAATCCTGCAAGAACGCGTAGAATGACCGAGCTGAACATGAGTATCATTCACAACGGCAGTAGTGAATGGAAATGACACACCATTGAACGTCGTGTGCCTCCTTCTCGAGGGCAACCTTGGCTGTCGTCCATGAGAAGCGGACGAAGGAGGGGAATCCGAATGTACGATCTAGTGACAATTTGATCCACTCCTTTGTCTTTGGATCTACGAAAGCCTAAATCAGCGGGAGCACAGCGAAAGAACGAGAAGAAAGTAGTGTTACCAGACGGATACCCGCTTCCAAACTCGCTCGCCCACCTCCTCTTAGCTTCGGAAGTCGACTGTAATTCGTATTGTTTGTCAGATGAAGGGGAGTCCTCCTCATAAATCCACCCCTCGATCCATGCATCTCTCGTTACTTTAGCCGCCACACTGGCTGCTCCGACAATTTTGAACTTGGAGTCTGCTTTCGCAGTAACAGTGAAGTTGATACCGGGGAATTGGGAGGATAAGTAGGCTTCGTAGGTTTTAGTAGGACCAAGGGCGTCGACGTAAACCTATCGATTTCAATCAACAACGATCAGCTTGGCGAGATGCACAACACTGAAAGTGCATTACCTCGGATAGTTCAAGGCCACGCTGCAGGACTTCACGTATGAGCAGGACAGTCGCGTCCTCGGATTGTCTATTCAGGTTCGTTGGAGGGCGACGAAGCATGCCACTCGAAATAGCTTGTGGACTTCATCTCGGGATCAATGAAATGATAACAGACAGAGTGAGACAACAGAACGCACCTGACAACTCTCACAGACCACCCGAGGTTACTTGGGTCGTCGCTCAAGGATTTGAGCAGGGCCGAACGCGTTGTAGCGGTCAGTGTCTTAGAGTCTTGGGCACACAAGTTAGTTCAATTATACAAAAGCAGCATATAACATATAAACAGTCAGTATACCAGCAAACCCAAGTCCTTCCAGCTCCTCCTGATATGACGCTGGACAGTACGCGATTCCATACACAAGGGGGCCAAGAACTGGACCGCGACCAGCCTCGTCCACGCCCAGGATGTAAGGGCCTGACGCAGTTGGTGTCGGTGAGTGATAAGTGTAGGACTCGGTAAGTGATGAGGAAGTAGATGGCGACGATGGCACAGCGTTTGGGGCACAATCTTCGTCAGACATGATGGGCAGAAGTTGAGAGTTGCGAACGAACGAAAACCGCGTCTACGAGGTCTCGACGCGACGCGTGTGTCACGTGATGACGAACCTTTTGTGCCACAGACCGCTGCCATGCTGTGGCGAGCAGGCCCTCCCCTCAGCGAAGTCACTGACTATCGCGTTATTGACCTTGCCAGTAATCTGTGCACATTTTCACTCGCCTAGACAAGCCATGGATTCCGGTTTGACACCAACAGTGACAATGCCACGATCCTCCGTTCCTCAGCTCAACAATGACTGTCCGCATTCCAACACAATGCCACACTCTTCTGCACATAAAGGCGTCGACTAGATACACTCGTAGCAGATAACCGCCCTATATTCAAGCCGAAGAGCCCACTACATATTGCTTCGTCTTGACCAGTCCAGCAATCACCTCTTCCGGAAGCCCGAGATGAGCCTTGACGAGTGCAGGTGGCGTACTTATTGGCCAGCCACTGCGAAGTCGAATAGATAGACAAGGCGGTCAGCAAGTACTCGGTATGATGACATGTGAATGCAAGAACGGACCTCTTGAAGAGAGATATCAGCGGACTTGTCTAGGGATGTCAGTGATGGTCAGAACTCAGATGCATCCGCCTTAAGGGCTAAGCATACATACCGGTTTTGAGTATCTCAAGAAAATGAAGCGTATCGTTGCCGATATCTGTTTCGAAAGAATAGTATATTAATGGGCACCGACACGGTGGTAGAGAAACTGATAGCTTACTCTCGACGTAATGTCCTACCAATGAATTTGCAGTTAGTCGGGCTGAAGGCGGGAACAACCAATATACATACCCAGCGCAGCCGGCACATAGCCGATGTCACCAGCCTGTAAGCAGACGACATTCATAAAATATCCAGGATAAATATATTTGGGCAAACGAACCTGGTAGTCGAAAGTACGCGCATTGCTTTCGGCAGCGAAGACGGTCATCCGAGCATTTCCCTCACTGTCATGAGGTGAAAGACGTGACAATATAAGAAAACACACAGGAAGAATGACCACTCATCCTGCGTGGGATGCCACTACGTAGTACATTATGTCAAAGGATTCCCCAGAAAGACGTCGAAACAGCGGGATCATTTACATGCAACTTTCTCATGGCACCAGGTTCGATTGTGAATTCCACGACGGCGATCGTCTTCGATATCGGAAATCTCGTTGAGTCTACGATCTTAACAGGTCCGCCGTTCAGGTTCTGAGGTGCAACTTGAGACAATGGGTAGGAAAAGGCCTGGGGAACCTCTCCTTGAGGATCTGGAGATGCAGACGCATTGGGATCTGGGGCATCTAATATCACAGAAGTTACACGAGTCGGTCATGAGAAAAGTGAGAGAAAGAGTAGTTAAAACGGATGTACCTCCAGGGAAAATATAGAGCTCCTGACTGGGTATCGTGTCGAATGTCGATTGCGGGAGCTGAAAGTTCTTCGCGATAACTCCTTTGGGCACACGGGACAGCCAATCTGTGAGCAAGAAGGTCGAACCCATGCTGTGTGTCCGGGACGCAAAAGATGATCAATATGAGTAAACATTGAAATATGTTCCAAGTCATGACTAACCTAAAAGAGCCGTTGCCGAAGACAAGGAGGAACTCGCTACCCTCGTCCGACTCTGCAGTGGCTTTCAGGGAATGAGGAATTCCAGGCGGGAAGTACCAAAGATCACCCGGTCCCTACACAGGAACATACTTAGAGTCGAATGTGAGACAGAGGCGCAAGCAATAGAGGGGAGACAGACCACTGTGGCCAGATAGTTTCTCCCGTTTTCGTCCATTGAACTGATTTGAGTCGATCCCTTTGCCGAGTCTGTCAGCGTATGAAGTCTTGAGGCATGGAGCGGCAGTGACTAACCTTGAGAACGTATGCCCACTGCGGAAGATGTGATCAGTCGTTAGCGGAGATCCATTGCGACGACATGGTAGGAGGTGCGTCGGCGTTCTGATGCCAATGCAGTTCCCTGTTCGAACGGTCAACATATCGTCAGTATCAGCCCCTATACCGAACACATATACAACACACGTACCGAATAGCCCCAGCCTTCAACCGCATATCCATCTCTAAAGAGCGGGCTGTAAGGTCAACAAAATCCCAACACAGGTGAATACACGTCACTTACGGGTCGCGACAGGCATCTCGTGTACTGCGGGAAACATCATGAGGATTGAGTATTCAGTGACGAAATGCAGTGGCTTACTACTCTGCTGACGAGCCCAGCCACCGCTTTGCAAGCGCTGATGGCTGAGCGCGAAGGGCCACTTGGCGTTTGGTCTGTGTAGGAAGCACTCAGAGCATCAACGATCGCACCAATAGCGGCAGAAAAAGTAGGCCATACACAACGCCATGATCAGTCGTCGGAGGCGCGATGACGTCGGGATTCTGCTGCGCGAGTGGGATCTGCAGCAGCCAGTCAGCCTTAGTATGAGATGTGTAGAGATGGAGGTGCAACAACATACGTTCATCGGTCCCAGGATGTTCGCACCCTACGTGCCCCTCGTGGGCATAGGTGTTACGTCTGCATCTAGTGTATAGGCTGGAGCATTGCTTGCGGTAGACGCGGGAGAGACTGTACGAGTTTCTCTCGACACGGAGGTGGAAGCGCTCGAAGTCTCCGGTGGGGAAGATGTTAACGAGGAGGTTGAGCTGCCACTCGGCGCAGAGCAAGCCCCTGTGGCGAGAACGACCAAGCAGACGAGCTGGCGTGAGAGCGTCAACATCGTAGCGGTGGCGGATCAAGGGAGCGAGGATAGTGATGTGGTTTGAAGGGGGTGAAGGAGTGAGAGTCCGTATGCTAGCTTCTTATAAGCAGATTCATTGGATTACCCAGCTGAAGACAAGGGCCAGATTCGACGGCAAGCATCCGCTCTCAGAAAGTGAGCCCATTGGTTGACTAGAAGTAAATGACAATGTGCACTGTCCGCAATGGCGAAGCGATTTTATCGTCCTATTCAATCCAAGCGTTGAAGGTGCGCTATTTCAATCGAGACCCGAGGACATACAACTTCTCGAGCGGTTGAGCAGCGGATACATACTACCGATCTACTTCTTCCCAGCGTAGGCCAAGCGTAGGTAGTACTCAAACCCAAACTGTGAATGCTTGAGGAGCGAACTCTGTGATAGATGATAAGGAAAGAGAGCCCGGAGGATGAGACTGAAAGGGCTAACAAAGTAATTCCGAGTCAATGGCCGGGAGCATCTATAGGACTCGGATGCGCCACAACATAATTCTGCGTCATTTTGTCGTCTCCGAATGGCTTGGGGCACCTTGCTGTGGCAGGCAGTGGCAGTCCTACTCTGCGAGCCAACCCATTTGACATGCCTATGTAGCTACTACTGGCCTCCCGTTTGTGTGATTCAACTCCCTGCACGGCTACTGTATCAGCAACGAGGAGGTAGGCAGAGGTAGGCTCGGCAAAGGCCAGCAAAAGCCCGAGGTGCGCACTCCGAGTTGTTGGCACGCTTTGGCGGCCTTGCCGCGTTACGCATGAAGTATGCTATCGAGGGAGCAAGTCATATGTTGGCCGGGTGCCGCGTTATCTACTTCTGACTGTGAGCCCTCGAGTCCCTCTCTTCGCAGTCCGGAGCAAGTTGACTCTGACAACCGGCGAAGCTTCATCAAGCTGCTGTCATCAATTTGCAAGAGAAGAGTTGCCTAGCCCAGAGAGTGACGAGTCGTCATTAGAAGATAACTCAAAGAAAGAAAGATGCTCGAAGTCGAACATCGAGGTGTGTGTGTTTTTTGTCCTTGTTGGGTTTGTGCAAGTTGTGGCCGGCATTCCCACCATCCGAGTAGCCGGCGATTGCAGTTGACAGCTGTGGGTCCATGTATGTCCCAAGTGACGTATACCTAAACCATCATTTCTGAGCGTTAACGCCTTTGTTCTATGCGCTTTCTCACCCTCCCTGCACTATGCTATCTGCAATTCCCCGTGAACGATATCAGCGGGTGCAGCGCGCAGGAAAACGCTGCTATTTTCCATTTCAATCCTATATGTCACGCTCGTTATCAAGACTCTGATGAGTCGGACGATTCCCCAGGCAGCAACACTTCATGGCTCCCAAGCCCCCAGCAGCCTTCTACACGCTTCATATTGCGCGCAGCGTCGGTGCATCAGGAGGATGAGAGCTCCAGCGAGGATGGAGCAGGAACCTATCTTTCTTCCCCCGCTGCTCGAGCACCGCTTCCTGGCCCAAGCGCGCCTGCCGCTTCTCCCATCGCGAGGCCATCGTACACTTTGTCGCCAACCCAAGTAAGCTCTCGAAAGGTTTATTCATGTTTGTTCGAGCCTAACCTTTATTTACAACCCTTTGCAACCCTCGCTCTTGATGCAAGTTCCCACCGCGACAAGAAATGCCGCGCCACCTCGGCCGGGGCTCTCCGTCCATAAACTCCGATTCTGAACAAAGCGAGGATGAGACCGTAGAAAGGGACAAAGCTATCTATCACAGACCCCACAGACACGATCATTCAACATCTTCATTCGCTCATTCTCCTGAGTCGCGCCCTCATAGGGGCGAGTCCCGGTCACAACCGTCATCTTCCATGTCTACAACACGGGTGCGAGCGACTGCACGCTATACATTACCTACTTCAACGGCCCGACACTCTTTTGGTGCCACATCGCCACATATGACCCCTTCCAGATCACCGCGAACTAACAATCCGTCCCTGCCGCCCTCACCCCAACCGCGGCCTCGAACAAGACCGCTCTCACCCGCGCCACTCCCTGAGCCACTCGCCCCCAGTACCCTCAATCACCCTTACTCTGTCGCCCCGAACCATTATCCCGCTTACGATACGAACCGAAGGCGCATTGGACTGGACCATGTCTCATTCGATAAGAAATCGCCTCCAATCAAGCCTGCTCCGAAATCCTATTATCGCCCTCAGACACATCACTATCGATCCGCAGAACATGACACCGCCCAGAAATCTAAACCTCAACGCAAACCCAAGCCGAAATCTGGGGGTCAATCTGCGAACTTCAAGAATACTTTTCAACCAGAACCAGAACAAGCTCACTCACCTTTGACGCCACAAGAGCCTACGCGACCTTACCACCGGGGCGAGGGCCGAAGATGGATATACGCCACTCCTGGCGCATTGAACCCAAGCACGTTCAACATCGAACAATCTGAGACATTTACGTCCTCAAACTTTTCCAATGAACAAGATCAATTGGCGGATTCTTCCCCTTCTCGGCCTCCTTCCACCGATGGTCCTCCTTCGCCTGTCCCTCCTCCTTCCCCTCCACGGATGCCTTCACCCACAGGAAGACCACAACGCTCGCAAGAGCGCGTGAAAGAGCTCATTCGTATCTATGGCGGCTCAGGTCCTCCTCAGGGCATGAACGAAATACGTTGGTTAGAGGAACGCGAACGTCTGCAGGAGCAGGGAATCCTGCCGCTTACTGATGACGAGACGGAACCGGTAGAAACCAGTTTCAAGCTGCGTCCAGTATCGCCACCCAGACCTCCTACTCCACCTTCTCCACCTCCATCACCGCGCTCAGTACGGAAAGCCCAACTCAAAGCAAAAAGAGCTGTTGCCTCCTCAACGGCAGGAGCGAAGAGCAGAGCCCAGGCTAAATCGACCAGCACAAACGATCGCCAAGATAGCGTTGAGGCTGAGGAGATGTCAGAAGAGCATATTCGTGCGCTGTTGAATGTCGGACCGACGGAGGATATCGGTTTGGAGTGTCTCGTCGACCCACCACCCGGAGAGAGACCTGATTATGCGTTGCCTACATTGGTCAAGCTCGCGATCTTCAGCAGTCCGAAGAAGAGACTTACGCTGCAGGAGATTTACCAGGCGTTGCAGGATAGGTTTGAGTGGTATAAGGAGAACGACGCCTGGAAGGTTGGTACACCTTTCCGTCCGCATGCCCCTTACCACTCTGACAATACGACTGATTTATTCAATGACAGAATTCGATCCGACATTCCCTCTCCCTTCGAAGCTGTTTCCGAAAAGTTACGAGACCGATCACTGAGCCTGGTAAAGGTTGCTATTGGACTCTTGACCTGAGCCAAGGCGAAGGTAACAAGCGTGTTCGCAAGCGAAACCGCGCTCCGACAAAACAACAACGTGAAGCTGCTGCGAAGAAAGCTGCTGCTGTATCAAGCCAGAGCTCTTCCCAGGAACCACAAGAAGACGATCAACTTCTCAGCGGACATGGCCAAGGCCAGTTGCACCCTCCGAGTGCGCCAACCCGGCAATTCACAGACGACTATGATAGCAATCCTGATGACGGCGAGTATTCTCAGTGGAGCCCCCCACCGCAAACCGCGGGCATGACCATGCCTCAATACTCGGGGGGCCATGTGCCTGGTGTTCCCCCTATATACTACGGGGATCATAGATCTGTCCAACTCGCGAGCCCTGAGCAGCGTCGATATCACGCGGGAAACAGCTATCAAGACTCACGGACGTCTGCCCAGGTTGGGGCCCGCAACCCCCCGTATCCCGCCTCTATCCAGAATCGTAGCTACACCCCCCCTCGTCCGTACCTCAGCTCAAACTCGCAGAGCCAGTCTTCTCGATCACCCATCATCCTCCCTGATCCTCTACCAGCTCGCACGTCCCCCAAGACCCGCCCCACGCACTTTAATAGCCACCAGCATTCAGATCTGGCGCGACCCGCCCGCCGAGACGAGCTTCACCAGTCACTCGACAGACCCCTTCCACCTATGCGTACAATGTCCATTTCACCTCCTCCCGGCGGTATCAGCGCGTACGAATCACCGTCTATGAGCCTGGTCCCACCGCCACGATTTGGTACGGCTGCCCATTCAAGCTCGAGGTTTGGGCGTACAGCGTTCGGACAACCGAGCTTCCAGCCTATCGGACTCAGACCAGAGTCTTCACTCTACCTCGGGCGTGCAATACTGGGCACGAGCGGTTCATCTCTTGAGGCAACACGCACCAGTGAAAAGAGCCAGGGAAAGCGGAGAGCCGAAGAGGATGAAGATGAGGAAGCAGGAAGGCAGTCGGCGGAAGTGAATGAGAGGCGGCAGAGGAAGAAAGGGAAGTGGGTGCCTCCACCTTTGAGACCTGGATACGAGTATGTGAGGGATGAGAATGGATTGTGGACGGTACAGACGATAAAAGGAATGGAGGTCGAGCCAGTGAAGTGGCTCAAAGATTTTGGAGGGGATACTGACGCTGATGTGCGGAGGAATCGGCGTGAGGGTCGAGAGTACAGTGAGTATGAAGAAGACGAGGATCAGGACATGGATGACGGTGTGGATGAAGACATGGAACGATGAAGATAAGTCCGGCTGGCGAGGTGGGTACGGTGACGGGTATAGAGTGTGAAGGGCTTGATGGGGTATGAGGGAGAGGTTCTGTGCGTAAAAGTACTCGGTGATTTTCTTTTATCTTATTCGTCTTGGTTTGTTTTCTTCTGCATTGGTTTGTTTGCACTCTCGCTATCATGTTGTCTTTTACGTTCTTGCTCTTCCTTCGTTTGTCTTTGTATACTGCTTGCTTTCATCGCTGTCCTTTGCATCGTTGTCTCAGTACTCATTGCAGACCTCTTCCACTCCTTATCACCCGTCGTGACCACTGACTTTGCTCCTAATACACTGTTATTCGACTTGTAGGAGTTCCTGCTAATTTTTAAGCCATTTGCTTCACGCATTCAGACCCTCTTGGCATATGCCTCGCTCTGTCCTAATCACATTTGCTCTACTTAGACCACCGTCACCTTCGCTCTCCCATGCTCTGTTAGCCACTTCGACGAACTTTGGTTACATTACGCCCGACAATTTAAGAGATTGCGTATTGTGCTGAGGGAATTCAAGCAGACAGACCGAGCAACAAAATAATGAGTCCTATGAAACGCAGGCACGTTGTAAACTTATAAAAAACCTGGTCACGAAGGATTGCACAAATTGCTGGACTCGTGGAAAGTGGGGAGACTTCTTGTTGAGGAAATCCGCGGAGGCGCGTTTCTTTCATGCGATGATGATCATACTTTCTTTGCTTCCGAGTAAGAACTAGTATAGCAGCTAGTACGTGATTTCAGATTGAGAATGACAAACGAAGCGAGTCTCAGTTCTCTCCTACATATTGCCTTCTTCCGCCTTACGGACTAAAAGCTTGCGCAGGGACCTAGTCGTAGTCATGATGAGGATAAACAAGGCAATTATTGTCATTAGCATACTCGCATCCGAAACAATGACGAAGTGTACACACCGCAGAACATAGAATATCAGTGTCCGGTGAAGCCGTCCGGTATGTCTCGTCGATTATTAGCTCTTGACTGAATTCCTCCTCCACCTCAGCCCGAATACTCTTCATGCTAATCGGCTTGTCATAGACACGTTCACGAAGCTTGGCAACCTGTCCATACGCATGCCACCCAATCTTCTCTCCCACGTCCTTTGGGGGTTAACTCCTTCTGTGTACACAGTCGTTCGTAAGCATTTCTTATCCATTTCGCAACACGCAGCCGTCGTCCAAGCAAGAGTTGCTCCAATGGCGCAAGTGGCTCAGGTCCAAGCTCAGTGATGGCCTGGTCCCGAATGTGGTCGAACTCCCACATGGTTGCAAGTTCAAGAGCAAGGATGAGGTCGGCCGTCTCCAGCTCCATGTTGCTTTGTTTGAGTCTGTTATACAGCACCGTGTTGAATATCAAATAGTGGAAGAGTTAAAATACACGCACTCAGGATAGAGCATGTTCATGAAGGCGCGGAAAGCGCGCGCGCTGATCTGTGACGGAAGACGAATAGGATCATCATCTGTCCGGCCTTCCACTTGAGATGTACCTCCGTCGGGGAGCGAGAATAAAGCGGTAAAATGAGGTGTGGTGAGGCGAAGAGGTGGGATTCTGAAAAGCGTTTTTTCAGCCTGTCGTCGTCCGAGTCACCAGAGTGGGATCAATCAATGATAGAGAGAAGATAACATGATAGAAGACTCGAACGTACCAAGAAAATCACGTAATCTGGGCAGTAAAAGGTGTCGTCTCTGCTTATTTCCCATGTTGCACCATCTTCTTGGACGACGACGGGAGAAGATGAGGAAGGCATATCATTCACTTCACTACTATCGGGGTGCATACTCTGCTGACAGGATTTACGACTGAGAATTTTACATTCAATAGTCAATTAATAAAATAGACGTACTGCTCTGGCTTCTTCTGCTCGTGAGAAATCGGATTCAAAGACATCATGAATATTTTTCAGCAGGATGGGGCGTTCTTTGCGAAGAGTTGAGATCGCCACACGGCGCTGCCACCGGTTACCGGAACCCTCTGATCTCTTTCTCTCTCTCAGTTGCAAAACGTCGTAGTATGTATTCCACCCCATAGCTTCCCCGTCCGATGATGAGGGTGGTTTTGACGCGTACACCAGGTATGCATAACCTTCGGCCATCCACTCCTCGTTGTGGAACCTTCTGCCCATACGAAGTGTTTCCCATGGTGTGATGTCCGCCTTCTGGTATGCATCGTCAACACGGGCACGTACATCGTCGAGGTCCCAGAGGTTCCCGAGATGAAGAGCTGCTTCGAGCTGCGTAGCCCCTATGTTGCCCTGAAGCGTGCTCGAATGGATGCTTGAATGATAACCTCAGGACGCAGTATACGTGCGAGTGAGATGTTCACGTACGTAGGATACAGAAAGCTTACGAAGGCGGAGAAGTCATCACTACCTATGTCGTCCGGTAGTTGGATGAATTTGTCACCCTGGGGGCATAATGAAGGGAACTTGTGCCGTACATCGAGCGAGTCCATCGTAGCAAGCATGGTCTCACTGCCTAGGAAACCATGGATGGGAAGTCGGAATAATACATGCCCTGCCTAGCAGGTCACCGTGTTTGATCAGTTTAAAGTTTCACGTAAACGAAAACGAAAACACAGAGTTAAAGCACAGACCAAAAATACAACAGATAAATCGTAGAATAAGGAGTCTATCTTTTGCGACGTTACTGTTTCCGAGCTTTTGGGATAGTTTGCTTGTAGCCGTGATGACCACGATTAGATGGAGGGAACTGCGTAATACTCAAGCCACATACCAATAATCCCAGTCTCCGAAGAGGACTTTTTGACATGGTAATATTCCTGTAATTGCTCTGTGACTAGATCCTTGATGTTCTCGGAGACTGCAGCGTAGTTTGTGCGAAACTCCTTTGCCTTGTACAGCCCATAACAAGGACCAACCTCTGACAGGGTTCTACTGTTTCTTGAAGCGCCTGCATGGACGTTGACCTTAGGGGCATAAGCACAGATCTCTTCCGCAGAAGCCCTCCACAGACTCTCCCTCATGTCCACGAGACGTGCATAGGTATACCAACCCAGTATACCCCGTAGTGACGCATCGATAGGCTCCCACTTTCTAACGAATACACCAAATGCTTCGGTCAGCCATGCCGCAATGCCGCATTCTCGGCCAAGTAGGACACGGTCGGACAAGCTAGGCGTCTGTATCTTCAGCACCGCATCCCCCTGGATCTTTTCGAAGCTCCACATGGATGACAGTTTCAAAACTGATGCCCATTCTTGTGGGAGTACATCGGTGGCACCAGTAGCGAAGCTATTCTCGAATGGCGAGTTTAGTACTTATGCATCTGTTTTAGGTGTCATGACGATTGACTTACTCGGGACATGCGACTTTGAGAAAATTACGGAAGGAGTCGGCACTGACGTTCGGCACGACGAGGATGGAAGCATTTTCTGAGCTCCCAGGAGGTACAATGTCACCGAGCATATCTGGGTTCATCAAAGACTGGGGGACCTTGAACAATACGTTTTCGACCTGTGTTTATGTTCGCATGACATGTCAGAGTATAGCACAGTCGCGAAAGACCTAACTTACGCAGAGAATAACCGTTTCCTGATAATACAATACATGTCGCACCATCGTCAACGAGTCCGTGCCACATTCTGGGCCTGCGTGATCCAAGCCCGGGCCTTCAACGGTCAACTCACTTTCAAGGCCTGCACCTGAGCCGGTTGATATGATATCTGTCGATTCCTGAAAGGCGTCCATGAGCCAGGGTGGTCGTGAGGAGTAGAGAGAGCGAGACGGGGAACCTGTACGACACTCAACTAGGAAAGGGTGAGTGGGGAATTAGGGTGGCGTGGGATGGGAACCACAGGTTTTTAGTCTGGTATGAACATATATAAGCCTCGTTCAGAGTTGGGGTCGAAAGAGTGTTTAAACACTCTTTCGACGGTCGTTGAACGTATCCGAGTCTTGGCGGTCGAAACACTCCTTTGTGAGCCAATCAGGAGAGATGCCGAATGAATACTCTCTCTCGGCCATCAGAGTGTTTCGACGCCAAGAGTCGAGAACCCGCTCAACGACTGTTGAAAGAGTGTTTAAACACTCTTTGCTCATGTCTCGAAATCGAACTCTGAACGAGGCTATAGTTTGCTCAGAGATTGAGTACGAGAAGAGAGGCCCAAATCGGTTCGGAACGGTGCATTTGGGCTGACCAGGTCCTCATGCGAAATTATAGTTGAAGATGTTGAACCGAAGCAGAGTGGCGGCCAAACGACAGTGCTACTGGCCGGCTCTACCCGGCTCTACCCGGGTGCGGATGCGGCCGCGGGGAACGATCAAGCCAATACACAAAGTTCCACAATTTCGTCTACTTACAGTTTCCCATATCTCCGAATTACAAGAGATCACACCGCGGATCGATTGCCAGTAGAATTGTATATCCATATAATATACATTTGCTGTACCATCTGGAGTGGACAATAATGGGTCACACCTTGACCTTGCCACTCTTGAGATAACTCGATACAGACTCGAGTCATGTTTTCCACGCCGGGGAACCCTTGACCACGCTCCGACCAGCCGGCAATACTCCATCTTCGGCTTCCTCTTGACCGCCACCCCATCAGTCTCGCCAGCCCTCAGCATCGTCTTCAACGATTCACACCGACCGCAGAACACACATAACGAACTCGGATCACTCCAGAGCATCCAACAGTACACGTTCCTACTACTTATACCGCTGACGTCGACGAGTGCACAAGATGACAACGAACGGCAACATCATCTCACCCACACCAAGCCCGGGCTTCCGTGCGCCCTCCCCTTTCTTCCGACGCAATCGGATCCTGGGTCGAGCGCCGTCACCTCCTACATGGGCCTGCTACGAGCAGATTCACTCGGACGACTACTACGACGGCGAGTTCTCTTGCTCTGACTCGGATTCTGGGGGAGAAGATAACGATGATGATGATCATCGATCCTGCTCCGAGGATGGAGAGGACTACGATGTTGCTGCTGTCGATGGCTTGGGCGACCAGCAGGGTCAGGGCAACGACAGCGCTGTCGTCGATAGCATGGACGTTGATGAGGTTGGAGATGCGGAGAAGAAAGCGCAGGAGCGTGCGCTCGCACAGGCGAAGAGCAAAGGGAAGCAGAAGGCCGTCGATGATGAGCAGGAACACGGACGCGAAGAGATACTGGTGACTCGCAAGGTCGCCCGCCCTGCTCGCAGAAAGGGGAGAGACAGTTACAGGAGGCAGCCTGAAGCCAACCTACGTCCAATTTTGACCATTCAGAAGAGCCAGGGCTTTGTGTGGAATCAGGTATGGGTTCATCCGCTGTTACATATACCATGTGCTAGAAATTGAATACGCTCCACTTATTCTTAGGATCTCTTTGTACCTCCATACATCAAAGATCGATGTTCGTTTCTTTATCTCTCGTCCATTGCGCCTTACTTATGGGTTCTTCTACTATATCTCGAATTGAAACTTGTTCGTCAACTTGTCCGAACCGCTAGACGTTGCATCAACTTCTCCTGCCAATAGCACCGGCTTTGTTTCCACGTCCGCGTCCTCGACAAACTCGGCATGGGACAACTACGAGGTCGAAGTCGTCGAGATTCGTGTGCGCGAGGGAGAACTCAACGACATCATCCCCTGAAACATCGCAGCTGGCCTGCTCATCTCTATTCTACGGTTACATCGGGTGTCCACGTCCAGGTTGCCACGCCACAGTTGGTACGGTGTATCCACACATCTACACTGGGACTCACGTCCATACTCTATCCCTCCCTATTCGTATTTGACATGTTTCAAACCTGCTCACCACACCCTCGTTGAGCCTCCTTCGGTTTAATATGCAGAGTTTCATACTTACGTTCCCCTCTCCATTCCCATAACCTCGCCTCAGAATTCTACTATCTTTCTTCTCCCCTCTCATTCAAATCTACGGACTTCGTTTTTGCATTTCTCCGGGTCACCGTTGCTCTCCATATCCCATTCGTGCTTCGCTTTCTTGAACCTTTTTCACTGCAGTTTGCCCTATCAGGCCCGGATATGTTCATTGTATAATTCCTTGTATTATGGTTTCCGTTATATAAAGTGTTGTGTCCTACATACGTGTTCCAATGCCCCCACACACAACCCCCATTCCCAATTCCTTGTGTGTGTCTTGACGGCCAATGGGCAGTTTTGCCGTTCACCTGCCTACATTCGCCCAACATCTGTTCAGAGAAAACGCTGACATTCTGCAAACCGTCCGGGAGGTCATAAGTAGGCGTATGCAGCATCACGAACGAGATGCCGAACTTCGGTGTTCTTCCAGCACTTACTGTCCTTGTACACAGTCAGTTCACCTGACTGGTGGGACCCGGACGTTAGAGACGTCATTCTTTGTGGAATTTCTCGCTCCTCGACCTTCGTGAACGACGCGCGGAGCCAATGCGACGGCGCCCGGCTCTGTAGATTATGTGTCATTGTTTGTGCTTGTTAGGATCAGAAGGCGATGGCTTGCAACGCTGCGGGATGCCACAGAACTCCTAGTAGTTGTTTACCCACATCGTATACTATTGTTCATCCTCTCACCACGCAATGTCTCCTAGTACTCCAACCAGGGATCTCAAACTGAATGTTCCGCGTCATAATACCCAGAGGATAGGCCCCATGTTGACCGGGGCAGTGCAGGCAGTAGCTCGCGGACAGAAGATCAAGACTGACCTTCGTCAGTCAGGACACGATCCCGGGAGTGCCTTAGCTATTGCAGTGGTAGGTTATTCATCAGGATTCGGTGGTCGACAAACGCGTTCTGACAGGCTGTAATGATTCATACTTACCCACTCCCTAGGAGAGCGCCAGTGAGTGGAATTCACTACTGACTACGGCGCGAGCGGACAGAGGGCCACAATGGGACGTTGGCACGCAACAGTACGTCATATTTCTCTTTGACTCTCCGACTGATGTTGATGATACAACTGACTAACACCATGGTTCTTCGGTTAGATTCCATGTAGAAGCAGAGTCCGAACTCTACTACAACCCGTCACCACTTCGCGAGCACCTGAAAGAAGAGGAAGAGCCTCCGACGACCTCCAAACGCTCCGATCCTCCCCACCCCTCATCTAATGGTGGGATGTCTCGAACACCCTCAAGATCTCACCTACAAGCTCAGCTTCCGTATGGGATGAACGGTGCTGGCGGTATGCCTGGAGGCATCTCTCCATCTCCTCGAGGTGGCCCATACCCCGGCGGAGCAGGCCAGTACAACTCATCTATTCCCCCTAATCAATTCTATGGGTCGGGTGTAGGGAGAGATTCGATGGGTGGTATGGGTGGTATGGGAAATATAGGTGGAATGGGGCAGATAGGCATTGGAGGGGGCTCGCCGATGACGACCAGGAGCGGAGGTGGCGGGAATATGGGGATGGGCATGGGCATTGGTATGGGAATGGATGGTCTGGGAATAACCCCGGATGTCAGGCGGAGGATGTAGTCTCGTGAGTGACGCTATTGTCCGTAGCGCCACGTTGTATGATCCTGGTATGTTGCGATCCTCTGCTCGTGGATCACAGTATTGAATAACTTCCTATTAGATTGTATTTTTTGCTTTCTTCTGGGTGCATGCAAGATGCTATATATTATTCTGTCATGTGCATGCAGGATAGACGATGTCCGGTGTGTGCTGCTATCTGCCATACTTACCGTCGTCTGCTCGCGAAATTTAGATAGGCGCGCGTTCATTTTCTACAACAGAATTTATGAAGTGACCCGGCCAGGTTAAAATCGATGGTCCCAAGACCTCGATAAATATAGCTTGAACAGCTTCCACTCAGCTTCATTACATGCAGTGTGCGTCGATAAGCATCAAAGCTAGTGCAGACACGCACGTACTTCACAGCATAGCCCTTCGGCTGTGAATGTTCTGGAGCATATAAACAACACGCATCTGGTCAACCCCTCTCTCCCACTTTCTGTTCCCACATACAACATGCACAAGGACAAAGATGCTCTCTCTGTTACGCCCCTTGATGCTGCCAAAGTGGCGCTAGGTGTGGCGATGGTGCTTGTGAAAGCTTCCCCCATTTCGCAAGTATCTATTCTAGTCGACACTGCGGAGCTGATCTTGAACATCATGGAGGTGCGTATGGTGTTTGCTTCCCTCCGACTCCACTCCACATCGCAACGCTGATCATGATGGGTGTGATGATCGCTTGTTGTGTGTTGAACTTCCTAGCAAGCAAAGTCAAACATAGTAGCGCTCGACGTGTTGGCCAAGGACGTCTGTACTTCTCAGAAAGATGTGTTGGAAGTTTTGAAGAAGAATGATGTGAAGACCTTGTCGGAATGCTTTGCAGCAGATCTCGAGATGTTATACTCGTGCGTATCGTCACTCACCTGGGCTTATGATGTCGCATTCCCTGACTGTGCTGCTCGTGAAACTATTATTCGACAGGGCATTGAGAGAAATCCAGGATTTCTGCGAGGATTTCAAAGCGAATGCGCGCGGGCCGCTCTGGAATCTCATACCAGGCTATACTCAGAACGTCACGGACAAAGTTCAAGGGCATCGAGATCATCTTAATAAAGCCAGGGAACGCTTCCAGGTTTGTCATAGCGCCCATCTTGTAACCATGTTTCACTTGAATCCCGAATTAACAATCGTCTTGTTCGTAGTTCAATCGGTCACTCGAGCAATCGCTAGTGGCTTATGCGCAGAAAGAGTCGATTCATCGTATGGAGAAACGCCTCGACAAAGTCGTCGAATTACTTACGCATTCGAAGGCTGATACTCGTCCACGTCGAAACTCTGACTGTGGGACCGTGTCTACGGTCGTTGGGAAAGATACGAGTCGAAGGAGTTCTCGTCACGCGCAAGATGTCGGAAAATCAGAGGCACGTCATGATCTTTCCTTTTGTTGCTCTGAGGATACAATACCAAGTCCAATCTCGCGCAGTCGCCCGAGGCCTCGACATTAAAGGTAACCGCTTCGCGAAAGCCCGCAATGCACCGAACAAGGAAAAAGCCAGAGGTACGTTCGAATCTTGATGGACTGCCTGTCCATGGATTCCTTGCTATGAGTGTGTCGGTACTGAAGTGCAGACTCGCGTAGTCACTTAAAGCTTCGACTTCATCAAAACCCACAGCCGGTCGGACCAAGAACAAACCAGAGGCAGGTCTTGTTCTTGATGCTCTATATACCACCAATTCTTTTCTCTTGGTGTGTCGGTATTAAAGAACAAACTCTCTAGCTGCATGAGACGTCGACGTTGAGGACAACTGCTTCAATAACGCCCAATATTGCCAGAACAAGAGACAAGCTAGAGTTGAGGGCAGCCCCTTTGACAAAGCCCATCACCGCTAGAACAAGGAACAAACCAAAGGTGCTTTCTACACTCGAAACACTCGCCGGCGCATCGATCAACTTATCCTAATATGACGTTCCAGATTGGGCCGAACGACACAAGTGTTTCGAAGAAAGATGAAGATCATTCATACCAGGAAACCGACTTTCAGGGCGGTCAAAATAAAGGCAAGAGCTCCTCCAAGATCCAACAGCAAGCTGAGGAAGTCGTTTTGGCCACCCGAACGAGCGGCGATGGCCATAATCTAAGATGCCGTAGGTCCCCGTACCACAAATATCTGTCTTCGTGATGATTCAAATATAAAGCATACCTCTTCCATTCACAGCCTCAGTTGGCGTCGTCAGCGTGTAAGAAAATGCGAGAAACGTCCTCCGACTCGGATCCCTCCATGAGAGAATTGAAGAACATCCATAACTCGCCATCATCATCTAGAAAAACACTCGTACACAGTAGCTCCACGGAAGCCGTTGTGGGCATCATCAATCAAGATACCGAAGCAAAGGAACAGAAAAAGAGGGGTGTAGACTCTGAGATATCAAAGGCCATAACTATTGAGGGCGATCCGTCCCCATTCGAGATCTGGGTCTTTGCACCTTCTGAGAAAGCTACTCACCCTCCGAGTACCCCGTCTTCGAGTGAGCACCTAGCTGGAGCGGCATGGACGCAGTGGGGCAGAGGTAAGTTTCATGACTCTTGACTGACATAATCGCACAATTCATTCAAATAACTCATACAATTTACGGTAGGAAAGTAGGCAACAATGTTATAGGACATCCCATGACTCAGAGTTTACCACAGCCACATCCTCAAGAATGGAAGACTGCTATATAGCTGACCCCACCTGTCTCCCCCTGGTCATCACATGATGGAAAACATGAGAGCGCGAACTATTGACTTATTGCTCGTTTTACCATCTCCTCTCCCACGCTCGTGCCCTAAGATGTATTGAACAGACGTCTCCTTCTGTGGCGCAGGTTGATAATGAATGAATTGTCGGCGACTACTTTGTACGAGTCATGGGCTCTGTGAGATCTTCGATTTATCACACACCGAAATTTTAGCGGTATCCTCAAATCTGTGTGAAGTGTTGTACTACTCACTCCCTAACTGCTATATAAGGCGGATGTAACAAGTACCACGGTGGCCTATTCTGGCCCACGGACACAGGTCGAGAAATTCAATCTCCGCGGCAGCTGAGTCTCATGGTAGCGTCTCGCAATTGGTTCGGAGCCAATCGGAGTCATTCGTAAACAAGCCGGGGTCATCGAATTAGGCTTTTACACTTCGACCAGGACCGTGAAGTCGTTGACAGCGTCGATTCGACTTGTAAGTTTTCAAGCCTTCCAAGCAAGGACATACATCTACGGCGAATTCGTCGCTCTCAATTGCTTGTCGGGAACTCTGCCACAAATGGTCAACCTTCCCCGACTTTGTGGTGGATTCGGGTCCGGCCGCTCCTCGACCGAGGTTCAAGAAGAGCAATCGGAGTCGGCCCCGATCAAGGGTTTTTCAGACACCACGCATAGGTCGTGCGTGTTCTGCAGTGTCTCAGTAGCGAATGGATTCGACATAGTTGCCGAGGTGAGTTGCATCGAGTATCTCTGTGCTTCGCCTTGAACAAATCACCGCCGCTGCAGGACGACCTGTTTGTCGTGTTTAAAGACCATAATCCATCAGCTCGTCTCCATCTTCTCGTCGTCCCCAAGCGGCACGTCAGTAAGCTACAGCCTCTCCCTGTCACCTCGTGCACTGCTTGGGGTATAGCTCATGACTACGCGCTCCCTTGCACAGAGTCGGTGAAGATCTTGACCAAGGTGGACGTGGACATGCGTGCGTCATAATTCAACAAGTCTCTGATTTGGGCGTCGATCGAGGAAAATACGTTTTATAGTGCGACAGATGGAACAGCTAGGACACTCAACTCTAAGCATACTCGAAGCCTCAGACACTGTGGGGACGCATCGGTGTGTGCTTCGTCCTTGCGCGCATTCACAATCACAAAGGGCGCTCTGACATAGTACGACTGTAGGATGGGTTTCCATATCCCGCCTTTCAACAGCGTTAACCATCTCCATCTTCATGTCTTTTCGTTGCCTTTTCTTTCATGGTACAAGAAGGTGAAGTACCCGTGGCGAAAAGGCACGAGTCCCCACGACAAAGGCTGGACATGGTTCGTAGAGATTGGGCAAGCAATACGGATCTTGGAGAGGGGCGCCAGGATTTCTATCATTCCTTGCTGAGGAGAAATGAGGTGAGACTGACTTGTGTAGTTGAGTTGCCAACGAAAGAGCCGGAAAGCAGTCGTTCAATTGGGTGCATTGTGCTTCTTTAGGTGAGGCTGTAGGCTGGAATATTCCATCCGTGTCTTATGCGCGACCCTCCCTGTTCGTATTTTGATGCGGATCAACTACTCAGTGGTCTGTTCTGTATACCCTCGACCGGTTGCCTTGTTTATGCACGCACGGTGCGCTGAACAATACATTTTAACTCATGCACATGCACATTCGGCATGGTATCATCTCTTTGATGATGAGGGGCCCACATTGCCCTATTTCCGTCGTACCCAACATGAACTGAGTTCGTACCGTGCCTACGTTCTCCCGCTATTGCTGTCATTATGCTGCTCTTTCATAAGATGGATGAGAATCTGTACTTCTCATCGCCATCTTTGATGCTGGTCTCGCCGAAGCCCTTGTCAGAACATCCGAGCAATGCTCCACGCTCTCCGGAAACCATGCACATTCACTGCCATTGTCGCATGGCGTTTGGTATGCGTATGCACAGTTCCTACAGCGCATAATTTCCGTATCACAAACTGTTGTCTATGCTCAGGGACTAGGTCCTGGCCATCGCTGACAGTTCACCCGACGAAGTTGTTCCCCGCTTTATTGGACCGCGGTATTCCCAGCATCACTGTCCCCGACTTGGTTGAGTGCCAGCTTCTGATCACCTGGCTCACGACTCGGATCGCGAAGATGTGATAGGCTGTGAAGAATGTTATGGCTCGCCAAACCAAAATGCCCTTTTCCCAGCGCCAAGGTCTTTTTCTAGTACGAAGTAGAAGTTCCCTTACCATGAGACATTTGTTATCTTTTAATTGTGGAATGCGTGGTACGTCCCGTACTATCATGCCACTGGGGGGTCACTCGTGACTTTGTGCACCAGTCAACCACACCGGTGTCAGTGGATCGAGAGTCATCCATCACGCCCGCTGAGCATCCTGCACAATATTGCAGGACTTAAAAATGTACGGAACATTCGTACAATGATCATGTGGCCGTGGTGACCTCATACAAGTCTCCATCCGCAACCTCCGCTACAACGCAACAACGACCAATCCTGGCAGTGCCTTTTATTTTGTGGTACGTGCGTTCCTGACGGCATTCCTCTGATATTTCCTCGGCGGTTGAAGTGGCAGCGAAGGGTGCATAGCCTCTGGCTACCGTACTTCACGACGACCTAGCTGCCAACCTACATGTAGACGCCTCGGTGATTCCGGCTCTGATGCCTTTCATCCCGCCCTGGTGTCTTCATGCCAACAAAGAGACACAGCTACTTGGTTTGCGCCTTTCTAGGTCCCTATGAATACTTACTGAGGTCCAAGGTCAGACTTGCAAGTCTGATTGGTGCGCTGGATTCCGCAAGGACTCCATCAGATCAGTGCTCTACCGTGCCGATAGACTTTGCGTACTAATCTTCCGCGGCTCCTCGTACGAATGGATCCCGAGCGTCTCCCCGCTCTACTTGTACGGAACCGGAAACCAAGAGACCCAAAGTAGGCACTTCCCCCGGGAGTTTCGAGCACACAGTACTTTCGCTTCTATCTTTCAGAACATCACTGAGCAACCTTGTGCTGCATTCCAGCGTGCGATGGGCTCGACTGTCATCTCTGCAGCATAATTGTCACTGAAGAATCTCAGAGGTGCATCTGGTGAATGCATGCTCTGACACCTCTGAAGCAGCTGCCATCGCTTTGATGAAGTCTGCCCGATTATGCGGTCTCGACGGCTGGTTTCAAGTCATGCCGTACACTGTTTCAGTCACGACGACAAGAATGCTCAAAGCACACGGTGGTACATTGCTCTCCTGCATACCATGCTCTAGAGCAATACTCAATCTTCTCTCGGCTGGCCAAAGGAATCCGATGATGCGTCAGCCTTGACAAAACAATGACCGTTGGCAGTAATTCATCCACAAGTTCGGACTTCGTGATGATTCTCGCTATCACTGGCATACATGATCATGATCATCACTCGGTGCATTTAGGGCTCACTGCTGGACTTCAAGACCAATATAAATGTGCACCTCAAGGTTCCACGAATGGAACTAGTATCAGGTTTCCAGTGAACGGTGATGCCGCTTCAGTAAATTCGCACATCGAAAGTACTTGATGGATAACAGATCCAGTTCCAAATCCAAATCTCATCTCACGTCAGGGCGCAGTCTCAACATTGGTACGAGAAGTTGGTCATGCATCTTCCCATCACCACAACGGGCTTTGAGACGCCACAAAAAACGTCGATGATGTTGTGCCAGGCCTGTTCCTCGGCGACGTGACACACGTACAAATGCGACCCTCTGGGAACAGACGTCTTGATGTCCAGACGAAACATCTTGATGGTTGCGTTCATGGATACTGCATCTATGGGACACATTCATCAACAACATTATCCGTGCACAGATACCAGACTGAATGCCGAGAAGGACTCTGAGAGCGCGATTAAATAAGTTGGAGACGTGATCTGCGAAAGGCAGGAAGTATTGAGTTTGTCCCGTTGGCATCGGATGAATGGTCATTTTGATCGGTGTCGACTGGCATTGCTAGCAAAGGCAAAGTAACGACAGAAAATGGACCTGAGTATCACAAATCAGCGCGGCACTGCGAAGTCAGGTCTGTGCATGGAGTCCACGAGGATCGATACTCGTCAGGCCCAAAGAGACACAATTCAAGCTATGTGTATGCTGGCCTACCATCGGCGTTGGACGCTTTTGGCAATAGTAAATAATATCCTGACTACACCAGCAAAACCTTTTCAAGAATGATGTCAAGTAGATTCGATAAGATGACTGTGCAGCTTACGACGGAAAACCTTAGGAAGGGGTGTGGTTGTGCGGCGAGGGAATCTGTAGGTAAACTTCGCCACAGATGGGGCAAGGGTACAGATTCAGTTCCCATGCGTGTCCGAGGTCCAGAGCTATCCGTAAGGACATGACAGTCACCTGTCAGAGGGCCTAGCGGCGGCCCGATTGGTTATTGAAGCGTTGGGAATGCCAAAGCGAGAGCCTTTTCAAAGAGAGCTCAGAAGCCAAAGTCATCTGTCGAGAAAGCTCAAAAGGGGTCAGCTCAACAGCAATGTACCCGACGGCTCCAGTAGCATCGATGCATCAGACACGGAATGTGCGTCGAACGAGAAGAAACGTTGCGCATGGTGTCGGCCTACATAAGCGATTTAGAAGTTAATTCGACTACGGCCGTTGCGCGTCGAAATTATGGTCGATCGCCGGTCTTTGAGCCGCAGGCCAAGTAAGAAGAAGGTTGGTGTGTGGATCATGTAGAACCATCATGGGTATACCGCGAGGTGAGGGCGTGGACGGGCAGCAAGAGGAGAGCCCGCTGTTCGAGGTAAAAGGATGGCCGCTGTGATTTGGGTCGCCGCCGGGCGTTTGGGCCGCGTCCGAGCTCGGGGGAAAGCGAAGTTACCGAATTTCCGGAGCGATGGGAAAGGTACCGTAACGGAATCGGGTCGAGATTGATCCCAACATCACGCATCTCCTCAACTTGAACATGTTACAGGGAATTTCCACGGCCGACTTCTATCCTCCATATCATACAACCGTCTCTCAACGTTGATGCAGATGTGTCGTCGAACAGGTACGTCAATGTCTCAATGCGGTGTCTGTGACCCCATCTCCATCAATCTGAACGGTCCAGTCACGATGCGCGGCGTATGGTGCCTTCGAAGTTCTATTTGGCGGTGCTTGGAATTCGCTTTATAAAGCATTCATTCTTCGCTGTAGACCCGCCTTCGACCCCATTTCCTTTGTTTGCATAGAGCTCTCCATTGCTTTATCCCTCTTCTCACGCTCTCGCTTGGTTCTGACCGCACACCCTCGTCCTCACAGACCATATTATTACCTCGTTCCTCATGATGGCAGACGATCTACCTTGGCCTGATATTGGCAATGTCGCCAGAGGCGCTACACGTGGGAATCAAGGTAAGATACTTTCGTATCCCATGCCATCGAGTCAACTCCTGAAACATTCTATCAAGGCCAGAAGGGCGTTCTAAGCCCGCCCGACAATGAAGGACGCTGCTCGCTACAATTGCGCGTTCAGCCTGGCGTTCTGACTGTTCTGCTCAACCGACAGGCGAGCGACTGGTATCGCCGCCTCGACCATGAAGTAAATCATGCGCTCAAGCTGACAAAAACATACTGGCGCAAGGCTCGCAGACGGCAGGATTACGACGCAACAGCTGACCAAGTAGGCGAGCCTTACGTCTCACTGTCACGATGATACTGAACTGCTTTCGTTTTCGTTCAACAGGACCATATGGAATGTGCGTTCGATCTTGAGCGTCGACTGAACTCGTCCCTGATTATTCATTGCTATCTCAGTGCACGAATGGCTACAGCAATTGAAGGACAAAGTCATGTCCCATTTGGAGTTGTTGATGCAGCGCGGAGACATCAAGGGGCCACCTTATATCATGCCGGACGACGTCGAGCTCACCTTCCTCAGGAAGTTTATTGAGCGACAGGCTGCTGGCATCCCACATAATCCCCGACTTCGACATACGGCTGTGAGCAAACGCTATGCGCCCCATGTTCGCCATTCTTTGCCGGACTCGGAAACACCTGAGCCTTCCGATGACTCCATGACAAATGGATCTGATGGAGGCTGGGATGATACCAACCCGCCGTATATCTCTAACGGTGCGTCAATATACTATCCCTCGTTGTTTACAAACTGATGAGACGCTGTAGAAACCTCTGCTCCTCATTATACTCAGCATCCTGTCCAAGCGGTGGCCTACGCCAATCATGTCAAAGCGGTTAGTCCGCGTATAGTGAGCACCTACGAGGAGGAGCTCGATACATCCAGTCAGCCGTTTTGTCTCTTGTCTCTTGAGTATTGTCTCACCTTGTAACAGGACGCCTCCTTCAACATGCAAGGACTACATTACGACAGGCACAAAAGGATACGCAGGATGCATTCGCAGTCTATACCGCCTCCATAGAAGCAGAACGTAGAGCATGGCAGGCAGTAGCAGCAGAAGAGGACCGCCGTGACGGACTTGTCACCGTCATCCTACGGCAAAAACCACAATTTGGTACGCTCGTCAAAGGCTCCCATCTCAAGCATTATCAATTGACAGCTCATACTCATTTACAGATCCCTACCCGCGCAAGGAATCTTTCTCATCAGACAGCGAACTGCCACGTTACTCTCAGTACCTCCCAAGACCCCATCACGTCAATAGTGCTGGGCGCCCTCGCACCGCGGACCACAGCGCGCCCATGCGCCCCGCATACGCGTGGGATACCGAACGATATGAACACGCTGAATCGGCTTCTCGCACCACCTCTCCACAGAGCACGAATTCGAGTCCTCGTGTGCCAGAACGAGTGGCAACACATAATTCTCCGCCTGAACGCAAACATGCTCGCCACTGGGACGATGAGGTTCGTGTGTTCTACCTGCTCGCTTACATGTTGCTATGCACAGTTCTAACAACTTTACATCAGGACCAGAGTGTTTCCGGACTGCCCCCGCGCAAGCGCTCCAATCACGGCTCGGCTGATGGTTCCCCAAAAATAACAGCGTAGGCGGTTTCGTGTCACCGTGCCTCTCTGAGGAGGCGAGAGCAAGACTCCAAGCTCATGATCATGATTACACGGCGTACCGTTTCTGCTTGAGACGCTGAGCCTTCGGCTCGATTGCATCTGGGGCCTATGACACCTATTATTCTTTGATGTCCGCGGACGACTTTCAGCATGTTCACACTACTCGTGATGCGCTGGTGTTCCATTTCTACCTTCCAATCTTGTGTATTCGCTCTCATTGGGACCTTGCTATCTTTGTTTTGCCGATTTTATACGCCCGTGTAGATGTCTCACGAGTAACTTAGCATCATGACTCGTGATTGTTTTACTCTATATACCCTTGTCCTGCTTTATCTTCCCTACTTTGGGACAGTCTGTTTTGCTACTTGTACTGATACGTTGGTTTGTATGCTCCAGTTGTTGATACCTCACGACGTCCAACATGCTTTTATGATACATATGAGGATCTCGTATCTGTTGTTCACAATATCCATCGTTGCCCCACTTCGACACGCGCCAGAGCGCATGCACCACATCATTACTATATTATTTTCTACTTCTCTCGTGTGATAAAGCTTACCAGAAGGCTTTCGAGCAACACGTCTGACCTGACGTTTTCCAGGCCAGAGAAGCCGCAAGGGACAGCAGACATCACCTTCACATGCTCTGCCGTACGTGGTTCCCGGTAGTTCCCCACGCCAAAACAGAAAGGCTAAAAGGGTGTCCTTCGTCGGAAGCACGCTGAGAGAGCAAATCACTGATGTGGTGATTCTTGACTACGAACGAACTTATTCCGTTCTACCAACGCCTCGGCGTCATCAACTCGAAGAAATATAGGAATTTGTGGACTCCATCTAGCGCCTCTGGAAACACGGCGACTTACTCTCCTCGTGTGCGACCGGCGGGCTTCAAAGAGGATGTCAAAACTTGAATTCCCTCCAGATTACAGACTAGGACAGAGTAGGGCAAGGTACAGCCAAAGTAGCTGAGCCCTGTACACATCCAACAACGTTGTGAACGTACACGAGTATCCTCGTGTATCAAAGATGCATCATTGGGACAAGGGCAGGAACTCAACCCGAGCCTATAACAAATTATGGCGAAGAGTCCTGCAAAGGTCAGACAGGGCACAAATCAAAATTGTGATATATATTTACTATCAAGTATGAAGTAACGAGAACCTGGGCGAGTCCAAGTCTCTCTGACTACCGACCGTTGAAAATCGGTACTCCATTTCCAGTGCATAATATAGGTGGCGTAGGATTCTGACACCTACAGAGTAGACGGTCTAGACACCTGGGTAGATTATTCTCGTCATATGGCGAAATGGGCAGAAGACAGGGTCGACGAATATTCAAGCGAAAAGGATCGTCGAGAGACATTGTGTCAAAGAAGACCATTCAGGCGAAAGTCTGACGGGATGGGGGTACCATGCATCTTAATCCCAGTCGCGGCCGGAGCGATTTCGTTTGACCTGGCTCCTCTTGTCCTTGTCTGCACGACGCCTGGCTTTATCCGCTCGTTCAAGCCCTCGCACGCGGTCCTTCTGCTGCTCGGTAGGCTCGTTCTGAATAGATGAGGCGGCCATAGACACGATCAGATTATGAAGCTGTGGCGATGGTGGTCATTTTAGCACGCTGACTACATCCGAAGGCCAAGATCTCTACCTTCAGTAAGCAATCATCTACATTCTGCGACTGAGAACGGGTGGTGGTGGATGTTATTAAAAGCGAATGTGAGGACGAGACGAAATGTGGCTGTATTGAAGACACATCATCAGGTAGGTAACGCGGAACACACGCAACAGGCTGGGACGTACGGATCTACGAAGGCCGTCCTTTGCCCACGGAGGAATCCATAAGGCATCCAAAGGGCATCGCAGTGTTGCTTTTGTATTCACCTTGTTGACGTTCTTCGGAGGAAAACGTCATCACATTCATGTCTGCGATCACAATTGCTATGTAAATGAAAACACGAACCTGCCCACCTGGCCCAGAACTCCGCGAAAAGGTGACCTCAACTACGTCTTTTGGGATGGTAATACCCTTGAACTTTTCGAGCCAGCCACGGGCAGCTTGCGTCTCTTGAGAGGTTACCAAGCTCTGTAGAGGGGGCGGAACTGGGAGTCCCTCGCTGCTGCTCCGAATACCGCGGCGAATGACAACAATGCCGTTTGACGCCACCGACCGAGCACGCTCAGAATATGTTATAAGTGGGCGAGCAAAGCCAAAGCTAGGCGCTGCTGTCGAGATCCCACGTGGAAACATGGTGGGTCACCCTCTGCGGCTCACTGCCACTGGCAGCAGTCAGACAAAATCTTTAGACGGGGGAAGGTGTTCGGAGTCAGCCGCGCTCACGATAAGAATGGGTAGAGTAAATTTGATAGAAATGTACGAATGAGATCGCAGCGAATTAAAAAAACCATGCTCACCGCGACAGCGTCAACCTTTGTGAGAGCTCAAGAAGTTTGTACTTGAGCCACTCGCGCAAACAGCCGCGTAATTGGCGTCGGCGGGGCCTGAATGATTCAAGTCGAGCGACCCAGGAGCTTGGCTCATTCCTTCGCACATCTCATGAGTGGCGCGATTGTGGCGTAGGTATTGTCGATCCCCGTTCAAACATTGGTGTAAATCAGTGATTCACCGGAGCTACAGTTCGCATGAGACAACTAAACGTAGAGTCGCCCGGGAACCCTCGCCCCCTGGCACCGATGCTTTCCTTATAGTAAGCACAACTTTGAACAATTCACCACTGTCAGATTCGGTGAGCTCGAGGAATTCCTATTAGTTACAGCGGGAGTATCAGTGATGCGCATCCCACGACGGAGTTTTCCTTGCAAGCATGCAATTCCGATAGACCGAGAGAACCGTAAGTATTTACCTAGTGCCTTCATGGAAGCATATAGACAACTGACAGCCGGGAATCAAGGGGTGGATGTTAGCTATAGTTGCATTAGCTTATGGCGATGCGTGCTTCAACCTCATCATTTATGCATTCAAAGCGAACCAGGAGATCTCAGGAGAAAGGCCGCATCAAAACATCGTTACTGTGCGATTCCGAGTCGGACACGGTCCATTCAGTATCTTCCTGCCGTCTGTATCCTTGCTAGGATCAACATCCGGAGCATCCGAACACGGTATATCATCTCAACTGTTCACTGGGGCAGATTTATGGCGTGAGCTACTGTCCATGGAGTTAATCCAAACGATGACACTGGCACCTCGGGCTCCGCTTGTTGCGTTGTATTCCAAGTATAGGGGCAGAAGTCGGCATCTCAGCATCAGGCCCCTGCTTTCTGATTGACACGGTCATGGAGTGTTACGTTTCTGTTGGACATCATGTCACTGTAGACTTCAAAGAGTAATTATGGCCAGGCGCCCGTCGGCGTTTGTATATCATGATGGGGCCTGTGAAACGACAGCGACTTGTTTCAGAGAGAGCACGAGCGGTGATAGGTGTTAGTGAGATAGGGCTCCACCCAAGGTTTCTGGCATCATCACGATGATCGCAAACTGAAGAATGGCATGTCCGGTCCGCTCACTATGTGAGTACAACAAAGTGCCTCTAGGCTGTGTGTGATGATCTGTATTCTGACACCACTTTTCACGCAGCCTCCATAAGGACAATGAAGTAAATAGCATCAGATCGCTCTGAGAGGCTGAGTGGTGGGCATTGTGAGATTCGAGAAGCATCCTGTGGGGAACAAGTGGTGAAAGCAAGATGTAAGGTCTCCGGATGTGGACTATGACATTCATGCAACGGCATCTGGCCTGCATCCCGCCCTTCCAGTCATCTGTGCACAGGCTGCCGTTGACACAGTGCTTCTAAGACCTGCTTCTTCTGGCTTTCCGCCATTCCCTTCGGAGCTCTGATGTCTCATAAGTTAGAGCCGTTCAGCGGCCTACAATCTCGGTTGTAAGGCGTTGCTATTGGCTAGGACACCGCGTCCAGGTTCATGCATGCATGCATGCAGCGAAGACCATCTTCTCTTGCATGCAGTTCCATGGCAAGCGAGCCGCTTCGTAGAAAATGTATATCCGCCAACCAAAGTGGAACAACTGTTTGGGCGGTGTGGGTACGCCGCTCAAGAACGACCGTAATAGCCTGCCGCACCTCGGTACCCTGCGGCCGCATGCGCAGACCCGTTCACATATATGAATGTACACCGTCAAGTCCGCGGTAGGAATGCGATTTGCGCACCCGTGGTCCAGGGTTGCGCGCTCGGGCGGTCTACGATGAACAATCGCGGTTCCAACCTTCCATCTCTCACCAGCGTCGTATTGCTGAAGCTAGAGCGCACAGGAGGGGGCATCAACAACTCCTTGGCTTTCTGATATTCTAGCGTATCCAATGCTTGTCCACACGAAAACAGGCCCTCACAGAAAAGTATCGCGGAACGGCAGAAGCGGATATTGAAGGCGCATTCCTGCCCTGAGCCAGACGAACCAGTGTTACTGATGGGAGATTGACAGTGATACAAAGGTTCGAAGGAGATATACCAAGGTCAACGGTCAAGCTTGTCAGCACGACAGTGCGACGATGCTTGCATCTACGACCGTCCCGTAACTGCCCCTGGCCCATAAGCTCAATCGCACGAGGCGCATGGTTGATAGTATGTGTTGAAGATATTATATTGGCAAAGGTACATACAATATATACAAGGATCAAGGATCGAACTACCAACAAACGAGAACAACCACCATCGCCCTTGCTCAACAAGACGACCTCTATCCTATAGAACGACGAGTAATTCGGATGGCCTAAAAACACCACTTGTCAGCAAATATCTCACTGCGCAATGAGCTCCATCAATATAATTGAAGAGCGAGCAAGAAGTCAGGAAAGCAGGAATATATAATCAAAGCCGAAGCTAAGCAACAGCTTCTAGTTGATATTTTTTTCTGTATTTCATCACGCGAAGAGTTGGAGAGACGACGACGCCCACATAAGCTGAAGGTACTCACAGGTATGATTATATACAAGCTCAGACGTCTTGCACTTGAACATGTAACCTCACTCTCTATCTATCGTGGACGACGAGGACATGGCATACACAACTCCAGCACGCTTGAGGGGAGGTCGGACCAAAGCCAAGTATCGCTGGTATCGAGGACTGAGCGATTGGATGGAAATGCAACCGGGATACGCAGAGCCCTTGAAACACCAAGAAGGTCAGTTACTGTATACGCGACAGAAAGAGATAGTAGTAAAAGAGAAGTTCAGATGGGGTTGCCCGAGAAATTGAGCTGTGGCGGGCACTTTCGGCAGTGATGATACGAAGACCGTCGTGATAATAACATCATGAAAAGGATTGGTTGTCAATGTGAAAAGCGAGAGCTCACCTGAGTACTTCTAAGTCTTGCTCGAGATCATTTAACATGTGGTGAACACGGCAAACCATCATCTGGAGCATTGCATGTCAGTCAAAGGCAATGACGAAAATGATACCAAGGAAGATCAGAGTTTTAAAAAAACAGCCTTGGATTTGTCGTCACATCCCCGCCACGTATGGCGGAGTCAGGCGGTAAATCCATTTGAAACATCATATGGAAAGGGTGTGGATGATGACAGAAGTACTCACAACCTGGAGACACGCATGCCCATGGCAGAGGTAACGACATGGGGAAGACAGGACATCTAGAGCAGTCAATGAGCATAAGTACACACGAAATAAAGAGAGCAAAATGGAGGGGTCAGTGGATAAAGGTATGCTAAAATCAAGAGGTCGAAGTGGCCCTCATATACTCTAGTTTGAATGCTTTTGATTCATCCTGAAGGAAGAGAACCAGAGAAGCGAGCAGGATACAAAAACTCACCAAGTTTTTTTTCCCTAACGATATATCACTGACGATTGTTGTCGTCGATGGTACATCTAAAATGAGAGGATGATTAGCTGGAGAAAAGTATGAAGCACAGAATGAAGAACCGATCAGTGTAACTATGACAATTACATGTCTTTGCACCGCCGTATGGTTGTACGACGGCGCTCCGGTGTAAACGATATGGTTTTTCATCGCGCCGAATGCGAAGAGGGAAAGACTCACCATCTCAATCGTTGTCGGTTTCCCCACAGCCTAAGATCGCACGGCTTGATGAGAAAGAAGTCGATTTGGTGACCATGAGACAACGGGGTGCAGAAGGTGAGATGAGAGCAAGACGAGAAAAAGGACGAGCAGTGGACCGAACGCGATGAAGAAAATTGGAGCTTCCCGATATGGAAGGTGCTTTAGGGCAGGCGTCGCTTGTGCCTTCGTCGCGATCGACGCGCCTCTCGCCACAATGTCCCTCTCTCTCACGCGCCGTTTCGTGTATCACTCTCTTAGACCTATAGCTATAGTCCCTCGCCTTGTCCCATGCCGAAGTCATTCTAAGCTGTTTTTTTGAGCTGGTCACTTGACTCATTTTGCTACGAATCTCTAGGATTTCTCTCCACTAATACCGTTCCCGTAGAGCTCAAGTTCGATGTCTACGAGCCAAAACAAGTGAAGCCCGGCGTAGGGCCTCTCCTGTTGCTTCATGGTCTTTTGTAAGACACCTCCTCAAGTATGAGGCATATACTGTCGAATACGATTAACCCAATTGACAGTGGAAAGGGCCGCAATTGGACGTCGTTGGCAAAGTCGTTCGCGCGGGTCCTGCACAGACCGGTATATACAGTCGTGAGTGGCCCATCATTCCAGTTCGACATATCACGGGCGTAACATGTATTTCTACAGGACCTCCGAAACCATGGGAGTTCTCCGCATAGCGATATCATGACCTACGATGCCATGGCCGCCGATGTCCTGCACCTGTGTGACAAACATTCCCTCTCCAATATCTCCCTTTTAGGGCATTCCATGTTAGTCTGGTTCAACTTCACCCTTGATCCTCTACTTTTTCGCTCATTACTTATGAAGGGGTGGGAAAGTGGCCATGACAGTAGCGCTTTCTTCCTCCCTTCCTTCAGACTTGATCAAGAGCCTCATCGTCGCTGATATTGCACCATCTCGTGGAAGACTATCTCCCGACTTTGAGATGTATCTTCAAGCCATGCACAAGATTGAAGATGCGAAGCTGAAGACACGTAAAGAGGCAGATCATATGCTTCATGAGTTTGTCAAGGTACGTTGTCGCTCTAAACCATCCGTCTCGTCTTACACGATTTGTGCTACGTCCCCGCATTCGAGTATTGGTGATATAATATGATATTGACGTCTTTTCGTCTCATGATCCATAGGAGACACCGATTCGACAGTTCCTCCTAACGAACCTAGATGCTCATAGTCACCCCCTCAAGTTCTCTATTCCACTCAAAATCATCAGCGAGTCCATAACTAATATCGGAGATTTCCCTCATCATCCTGATGACGGCGCGCTATACTATGGGAGGACTTTGTTTATCAAAGGTGAAAAGAGTCGGTACATCAACGAAAAGAATGTTCAGCATGCCTACGCAATGTTTCCTGACATGGAGATCAAGACGCTGCACACGGGACACTGGGGTAAGTTAGCATCCCCCTGCGTGCAGTCATGAAGGTCATTGGTTTACAATACATTCTTTATCTTCCAGTTCACTCGGAGAGGTAAGCTTTACATTCAAAGTCCGTTGTGGCCTGTTGTGGCACCGACATTGACCTAAACTTATGCGAATAGTCCCGCTGAGTTTCAAAAACTCGTAGTCGACTTCATACAAGAGGGTGAACGATGAACTTCTGGCATTCTCTTTCGATTTATGATCTTCAAACGATCATCCTTATAGTCTTCGTACACCTGAATAGACCCCTTCAATATTCGATGCTTGCCGTATGCAGCGTCACTCATTTCGTGCGATCCGGGTATATGCTGCGCTAAATGATCATGTCTAACATTCAATTCCAGAAGAACCATTACATATCCCCAGGGTAATACTGATCTCGCCTCAATATCCGCCGATGAGCTTGGGCCACACCCCCTTCTCGAAAACGGCCACACGTTCCCTTCGCATGTCCGTTTCTTCGGTCTCTACCCCATACTCTTCGCCCTTCTTCCCCTCGCTTGACTCAAGACTATCGTCAGAGTCTGACCCACTCCTTGACTCCATCCTCGATGTTAACGGCCTACCGAAATCAGGGAGGGCGAGAGGCGTGAACTCTCGCCGTAACTCCTCAACCTTTGCCTTCTTCCCTTCGTCATCGTTCTCCTCAGAATGAGATGTCTGGCTCGATAGCGTGCTGAAAGATACGCTCGCCATGGTATTGCGATGATTGACTCGCAGCTTACTCCGTGGCGTTGGGCGCGGAGCAGGCCCCTGTGCCGACAACTTGATGCTCTCGTCAAAATCCGGGTAGAGAATCGAGTTTGCTGCGTTGGAGCTCAGTTCCGATTGATATCGAGGCGGAGGATACGAGAACGGGCGCATGTTTGAGTGTGGAGACGCGGTGAGCACAGAGCGGACGTTGCTCTGTGTTGTGAACGCGGGCTTCGGGAGCGAGAGTGGTTTGAGACCTTGAGGTCGGGCCCCTGTGGTGAAGCGGTGGTTCGCCTCATTGACTACTTCTGCCACGTTCTCCTTCGTTGACGGCATAGACGCGCGGAATGTCCGTGTTGGAGAAGATACAAGGGGGATATTGCCTGCCTCGAGAATGGATGGGATGTCCGATGGGACTAGTAAGCCAAGTCGGCCTTGCGAGTGACGTTGTGACGAGACCGTAAACAATGAAGTGGCCAGGACCCCGCTGGTGTGGCGGTCGTGGAGGAGACGCACGTCGGTGGTAGAGTAGATCGCCGATTGCTGGTTTTGTTTTGAGGTCTCGCGCTCGACTGGCTGACGAGAGAGCGCACCGGGCTCGAGGCGAGGATTTGACTCGATCGAACAACGTGACTGTGGTTCGATGACACAGGATTTCCGGTCAGGAGACGGTACTGATTGATGTTTTGCGATTTCAGCGGGTAAACTTGAGGGAGGGGGAACAGAACTTCGCTTCCCGCCCAAGACGAGACCGGAAGGATTTGAAGACCGTTTGGACCTGCGCCTCTCGCTGATGACCCGCGTTTTCCTCCTTGCCTTCATCTCCTTGGCCCTCTCCCTGCGCGCGATTCCCATTTCTCGAGGGGGGACGGTGCACGCATCGTGGACGGACAGGTCGTAGATGTTGACCTTGGATTTCATCCTCTTCGTTCTCGACTTCGAGGACTTGATCGACCTAGGACTCTTCTTCTCCGATATGGGCGAACACCCTCTCGATGTGAAGGCAGAGATGTCGTAGACGTTAGAAGTGAGGTCTGATAACGCGGAGGGAACCGTGTATGATTCTCCGTTCATGGCGAAGGGGTCGCTTGTGGCTTCTGCGTCGTCGGTGGGACTGAAGGGAGGTGAGGGGGTCGTTGGTGCCTTGGCACTAGATCGAGAGATGAAGCTAGAAACCCGGCGCATTCGGGTGCCGGGAGTGAAACTCTGAGACGGAGGGCGCTGCGAGGAAGGACGTTCGAGTAGGTTCCCGAAGCTCAAGTTCGCAGACAGGGTTCGAAGACGCTGACTTCTGGTTCTGACAGGGCCTCCAGGCATAGGACGTTTGACAAACGACTTCTCCGTCGTTGCTCGTTTCAGAGGCGATGTCCATGTGACAGTGGGCTGATCGGAAATAGCCCCAAGAGATACTTCAGAGCTCATGGGCGTCGCCGTTGTCGTGCTGCTAGGACAACGTATGGAACATGCGGTCGGCGATGGAGAGTACAGCGCTGCAGAGACGGACATGGATGCAGAGTCGTCTGTAAGTGCCGGAGTGGAGAACCCTTTCGCCAATGGAGTAGGGTTGGCTAGGGATATCACCGTGGCCAACGTCAGGGAGGGTGGCGGGATAGCGATGGTGAGGGAAGGTGGAGCTTTGCACCGGCCGTATTGTCCGGGCACCAACGTGGTTTTTGAAAGTGAGATCGCCACCATATTTGTCCTGCTTTCAAAGTGGATCTTTCCGTCCTCCTGTTCGTCAAAAATAATGATCAAGCTTTTTGAAGGGAGGAGTCGGTGGGGAATTGCCTTACCTCGCAAGTGAGTCGCGTCTTCCTTCTGACAGAGGTCCGAGCGGAATGGTCTCCGTCGTGTAATTGCAGCTGCAGCTTCCTTAGCCCCGAAGGTTTATTCCCGGGTATTGTTGTGAACAGATCGTGACGGCGAACTGGGGTCGGCGGGCGGTATGCCATCGTGGGCAGCGGGAGGGATTGGTCTTCGAACGAGCGATTGAGGATTGAACATAAGAGACGACGAAATAAGGAGCGAATGAGATTTATTATTTGCTGCACGATGTTTTGTGCGTATGAAGTGTTGCTAGGCATAGCGATGTGTGGTAAATGAATGTGGGGTAGGGTCGTGAACTCTGAAGAAGACTGAACTGGATGGACGTCGAGGTGGGGATGAAGAAAGAGTGAAGAAACTCAACCAACGCCCGCATGCGTCGGCCAGACCATGGCCAGCTTCCGCCTTCGTGATCAGGCGTAGATCCCGGAATTCAACTTCTCACATAGACTCGGAGTAGTGTTGTTTTTGCATCCGAAGCGCCACTCGAGAGCCACAACACAAGATCATCTGCGTTTCGAACTCAGCGGCTCCCATTACTCGGCCATCCTCCGGGATATCCCGAGGCTCCTTTGAACCTCCTTATTTGTTTACCTCTCTCATGCTGCTTGCGCCACTCGTTCCTTTCATCGTCGCCTGAGACTCTTCGTCGGCGCCGTCCCCGTCCCGGAAAATGGGAGATCCCATGGCACTCACACCATGACCCAGGCCTCGCCACTGCTTAGTGCTTGTCAAGGTTGAATCGCTCTACCTTGGTTCCTGCGTGAGGGCTCGATTGAAATGCTCTCCTTTCGTGGATCTCCGGTTGAGCACAAATTAACAAGGGATCACTCGCCTCAAGAGCTAGTTCCTTCATCTCAAAGCGTCAACCTCAGCTGATAAGAAGATGTAGTTGCTCATCGCTCGAATCAGAACATGTTACGCCCAATCAATATGGTTCGACGATTACACGTATTTGGTATTGTAGCCTATTTTTGCGATTCATTTCACCGCTCTAGGATACGTGGGTTCGCCACGAGGTCTCGGTATGGGAGCCGCACTGCGTAGCTCCCATCTTCCTAAAAGCTCTCCGTATGCGCTTGCTTGACACTCTCGCCCTCTATCAAGCTCTTCCTGAACCCACGACGTGCACTCTCTGGTTTCTGTAACATTAATCCCAACGATTCTCTTCGTACTTTGTCCTGCTTCGTTTTCAAGCTTCAAGGCCCGTGTAGCGTGGGTAGTTTCAAGCGAATCAAGCGAATCGCCACCACCGCCACGACATAGCGCCACCGAAACCAGCTATGTCGACTTTTTCACCAATAACACCTGGAGCATGGGTAGAGGCGCCGTCGTCTCCTCTTTTCACAGAGGTAGGTGGGCGAAGACTGGTGTATAGACCAGACATACATATCACCACTCAGACCTTCTCGAGTCCCCGTACCGGCGGGATCTTCGGCAATCGAAATCATCAAGCACGGCCTTCGTTCGGTCAACGTCTCCCCTCGCGACTTCGCATCACTGTACAGGTACGTACGTTCTTTTTTCAGTCTGCTCGGCATCTCCGTCTTTTTCTGACCTTTGTTGCAAAGAGACCGGTCGATAACGACGTGAAATACTGGGATTGGGAGTACTTGCTGGCCTTCATTAGTGGCCCCGGCCGGTACCCTGGTGCCAGAGAAGGCCCTTCTGTCTGGAGGATCAGGGATTTCATCGAACGTGACAAAATAGGTGGTTATCTTTTTGTCACGACCTACCGCACCAACGAGTCAGTACTATCAATGATTCCACGTTCAACTCGGTTATCCATCCTTCTACTTTTTTACACACGCAGAATCTTCGAGTCTGGGGACCCAAGGAAGGCACTCTTTCGCGCCATTTGGGACGTCTTACCGTCATGTCCCATAATGAGCCCTTCAAAACCGACGGGACTGAGAGATATATGGGAGGAGTTAGATCTGGCAACGGCCGGTGAGCAAAGATTTCCTTGCTTGTATTCTCACGGAATTGATCTGATACAGCCCCAAATTGAACAAATAGCAAATGCTCGCGTAGAGCAATTGCTACCCGGCGTTGAGCCTGAAATATCAGATTGGGACTGGGGTGATACACAGACAGATGGGGAAGCCGAAGAATCCTCTCTGACACCTTCGCAAATATATTCTCCTACATACGAAATGCAGATGATTCGACAGATGGAGGAGGATGACGTTCAAGATGATCATTCTCTCACAGAAGAAGTGAGTGAAAGCGACATAGATTCAGACTCACCGTCCGAGGTACGCCGCACGAGAATTCTCCGGGTCGTGTTTCTTATTTTCAACGGTCTGTCCATCCTAGTACGGTGACCAGTCTGATGGTGGCTCTTCGGGGAACGAAGTGTTTTCCTCAATAGGACACTCTATGGCATCTTTCCATGGTCATGGTCTCAGCAATGTCGTTCGTAGCAATGGGTCCGAAAACTTGAACCTCAGGCCCCTTGTTGATTATGAGTCAGATGAAGAAGACGGGGAATATGATTCGACAGAGCATGACCTAAATGCGCATACAGCATCCTCGCCGCCCCCTTCACCAGACTCAGGATCGGCAGCGCTCCATCCTCCGCCAATCTCGCCAACATTTTTCTTACCGTTCTCCCTCCCCATTGTCGCAGACGATCGCGACGAAAGCGGTTCGTATGCAGTACAAGAGCTTGCTGCAGAAAGTGGACCAGAAGACGATTCCGAACTTGCATCGCCCTCCATTCCCAGCATCATGGGCCTTGTCGTCTGCCCTTTCGACAGCCCTACTGCCGTTTTTGTTTCCTCGAACACCCCGTCCTTGTATAGCATACCTCTCTTTCCTGATAACGGTGGATTACAGAGCAGATTTGGTTACATTCTAGATGATGAGACTTCCGCGGATACACGTAGGGCCAGCATGTTAATCCTTAGTCTGAAGTACTAACATCCCTTTCCGGTATCGCCTTTCATTATATCAGGTGGCCACATAGCCGACGGAGACGCATCCTCGGACGGCTTGCAGGGCGCAGATACAACTACGACACACACTGGCAACGAAACGTCCGAGATCAATACGCCGGCATCGGCCCTCCACACCTCCCCCGACATCCCCACAGAGCAGACGGAGGCTGAACCTTTGGGCGCCAAAAAGGGTCGCAATAAAGCCAAACCTGACCCCGACACTAGTCAGTCTGTACCATCTGCGCAAGATACACCTGCTATCCAACCACCATCGAATCCATCGTCATCTTCAAGCCCCGACATGATACAGCCTGTACAATCTGCGCAAGATACACCTGCTATCCAACCACCACCAATGAATCCGTCGCCACCTTCATTTCCGGATAACCCAGAAACGCAATCCCACAGTCCTCTTCAGACATCAGCCATACTTGCCTCAGCACAAACACAGGATCCTACAGGAGATGCGGAATCTTCTGCATCAAACCCCGACGTAGGAAGAACCCATCTCAATATCCCACCAAATCTTCACTTACAAGATGAATCGGACAGGCAGAAAAACTTTCGAAGAGGCAACAAAAACGTCAACGCCAACGCATCAACGCTCTCGCCGCTGAACATCAATCTCAGTGTCCTTGATACTGGCCGGTCGCTCCTGCAAGAGATTTTGCAATCACCTGTTTTCACTCGCCATACCATCCCACCACCGATTAATATACCCTCCGACCATGTTCGAATGGCTTCATCACCAGAGAAGCGCCACACTCTTTTTATTAATAGCTCTCCTGTGGCTCTACGCGCAGACTTTACAAGAAGTTTGCCCGGCTCGGCGACTCGCAGGACATTGTTCCCCATCGACGATTCCACACGGGGTTACGACATATTCAGTTCACAAGACGCTCCTTCACGCACCTCTCGCACTCGACGAGAAGATTCTCAGGCTCAGGCTCCAGCGGAAGGGAGGGGGAATCCGGTGGCGTGGGCGTCCTCCAGCAGACATCATCGCCGCGTGTCCATCGATAACTCCGCCCTCGTAGGGTCTACGTCTAGAAGCTCTGTAGATCCTCCAAATCTGGCCCCGTACGGTGGAATCGCTGGCCAAGGAGAGGATGTTTCTTTAGATCCTAGTATGCGAGCTCCTTCGCCTGCGCTTGGAGAGACAGATCCCCACGGTGCCCTTTCGGTACGCTTGCTTGGACTTGACTTCAATTGTCGGAAATGACATTCACAACACCTTTGCTTTAGTCTCCTTAGTTCGTGAATTTGTCTCTCGAATGCGCAGATGTGGCAGGTCCGTGTAAATGTCTTATCCACTACGTCACAATATTCTCTATTTAGTGAGACCTCGTGGACAGATCATCTGATGTCAGTATAAATCTAGGCATCCCCCTCGTTTCCTCTTGACAAGGACTTCACGTTGTGCATCCCGACTTGTAATCTCTCGCTTTATGCATCAATTATGCTCTCACCAGTTATCTTAATCTTGACTTCTACGGCTCTCCTATGTACAAGTACTACTCGAATGAACGGAAGGTTTTCACCATGACCTGTTGAGCGTCCCGAACACCATTCCAAGAACAGAGAACAATCATTCTGTGCTGAGCTCGTGACCGATATCCGGCCCATAGCCTGAACTCACCTGCCTCAGTCGACGGACCGCCTTGGGACCTTAGCTCTGCCCTTTATAGTGAGCCTCTCTCTTGTTGACCTTGCAGTCTTAATTCTACCTGTAACGTCCTTCGATTCCTCAGGACTAGGGCGCAGATCATGGCATACCTCAGGCTTGGGACTGCTTCTGAATATTTCATTCTTGTCGCGGCCGCTGTGGCGCGGTTCGCTTTCGCCAGCCCTGATCGCAATGACGGCGTCCATCTCGCTGTTCACCCTCAATGTGGGACTCTTGGTGGGAATTTCACCGATGTGAATGCGGGTATAGACCTGTCAGCAATTCGCACCATCGTCACATTCGGAGTGAGCGTCTATGCTCTATCTTCTGCTACTTTTTTTTAGAGAAACAAAACAAGTCGCTCATGGTCGTATGTGTCTTGCCTAAAAGGATAGCTACACTGACGGAGGTCATAGACGATTTCTCTGGGCTCCGTGTCATGCAGTACAACTGATAACTTACCACAGGAGTCGAGAACGGCTCTGCACTTCTACCACCGGTGGTCATTCCTCCTGACCCTCATGCCGGTAAGTTCTTTTTATGTGGCATGCCGTACGGCGATTCTGATACCATGGTGCAGGGAATAGACAGACGAACGGGCCGGTTTGGATAGAGGACTTAGCTCGCGACATCAACGCCACACTATCAGACTATGCGGTAAACAGACGTTTCTAGCTTTTCTCAGCATTTTCACATCTAAGCACGACATGACCAGGTGGCAGGGGCAGTGGTAGACATAGCCTTGTTTAATTCAAGTCTAGCTGCAGACAGCTCTCACGACTTCCTTCAGCAGGGTCAGTCTTAGCTCCCTTGCATCGTTGATCCGACCTTTCTCATGTCACAGAAATGTCGTCGGATAGTGTCGCTATTCCTGAGTCAAGGACACACGTTCGATCCGAGAACAACTCTCTATACAGTCTTCTTCGGCATAAAGTGAGCGGTTTTACTCTCAAGCTTTCTCTTTGTGAAGTCTCACCCAATATAAAGTGATTGGACAAATGCGAAATCTTTGGGTATGGACCAAATGTAAATTCCTCGCCACATCGTAGGCTACTGACACGGAATCCTCGCAGCCAACGGAGACGATCTTCTTCTTGAAGACGCCCAAGTTCTCCTTCAGCAGATACAACTTCTCGCTAGCCCGCCCACCAACGCCCGCTCCTTCCTGGTCACTGACGTCTACGGCCGTGGAGCGCACACTGCAGGCGGCGAAGCTTGGAAACAATCCCTCTTCGATGGGCTCAGCGCATTCAATCAAGGGATCAACTCAACGGCTCCGTTGAACGTCGCCTTCGGTGATCTTTCTCGTATTTGGGATGGAGTGCTAGGCACAGACCCTGGGTACGAGGCCTTCGGATACACGAGCAACGGGTCCTGTATCCCGGGTGCAGCTACCGCGAACTCGACAGACGGGGAATGTGCAGATCCCAGCCATACATTCTATTGGATTCACGGGTAGGTGTATCGATTGACTCCCGAGAGAACCCCGTTCAACTCATACGTCTCTATGCATAGGCATCCGAGTAAGGAGACCCATCGCATTATGGCCGTAAGCCTCAAGCCTCTGACCCCATCTATAGATAAAGAGCTGATAAATGCCTCACTTCATAGGATTATGTTGAGGAAGTGTTGATAATGTGTAGCGTATGAAACACGAGAAGTGCTTTGTGCTCTATTTGGATCTGCCGAAGCTTCATGAGCCTCTCGATGGGTTGTACTCATTATGGAGTATTGAATGCATTATATCAATTGTGACAGCCGATAATTCGGAAAGATCAGACTTATGGCCAGACGCCCCATATATTACGGTAATAATGACAGGAGTGGTGAAAGACCGGAGGTGTCGGAAAGGATAAATAAATAATGTCAATTGTCAGCGCACCCTCTGTCCAGGCCTCTAACTTGAGGAAGTCGCGGAAGGGGTAGAACCAGACAGGGAGCCACTAGGGGGCACGCCCGTTGCGGAGCCAGAGGGCGCACTGCCTCCACCACCCATGCCAGAGCCGCTGTTGGAGTTCGCAACTCCGCCAGTTTCGTAGTAGTCCGCAGACGGGGTGACTGTGTAGGCAGCAGTGGTGTCGATACCGATGGAGGTCCACTGATGAAATAGGCATGATCAGTCATTAGCGGTGTGTACGCGCATGAGTGGACAGGAGACGACGTACAGCGAAGACACCGTCTGACAGCGAGTCACCGAGGAGAACATACTCGACAACAGGGTCGATGTCATCAGCCTCCTCCGACAAGATGCTGTCGTCAGCGTTCTCGGTGAGGTCTTGGGTGTTCGTCGAGTAGGGGGACGTTGCCTCGACCTCAGAGATGAGGTCCTGATCGAAGAAGAGCTGACCGACATGGGAGACAGTGTTCTAAGGGAGTGTTTGTCAGAGAATGTACGTTCAGACGTTGGTTTTCCTTGAGCTACGAAAGGTGACTGACCTCCACGTAAGTACCGTTGTCGTAGACCGAGGCATTGGTCTGGTGGGCGATAAGATGAATGTGGGTTGCACGAGAGGTGTAATGGCCTGGGAAGATCGTGAGCCACTGCGCAACGCCGTCCTCATTGGTTTGTTGGATGCCACGAATGAAGGTAGTGTTGATGTTAGAAGCGTCGGTGGATTCGCCATTGCCGCTAGCAACTATAATAATGGATCAATTACTGCCCTTCATACAGAAGGTCAGACAAATGTGATGCTTACCAATTCCAGAATAAACACCGGTAGCGTTGGCAGACCAGATATCGATGTAGATATCGGGGACGGGCTCGCAAGTCGAGACGTCGATAAGTTCAATGTCGAGGTAGGTGGGAATGCCCTCCTGGTCCTCGCGAATGTCGTAGCGGACATACTCGCCGTCGACATCTGATGAAATCCGTCAGAAAATGTTTTCTCATGAGGAGAACTTTGTCGATAACTCACAGTAGGGACCCTGGGTCACTTCAGGGGCGAGGACGCAGGAGCTGTCCGTGTCGAAAAGCGTGGCAGCGTCGGTGTTGTTCGTGACACCAGTCAGGTTCGACTTGTGGTCGGTGGCAAGGACGGTGGCCAGATCGCGCTTGAAAGGGCCTGTCAAGGTGGCGTTGTGTGAGTCGAAGTCGTGTGATGAAGTAGGAAACACAAACCGGTAGAAAGTCCGCGGGCCTTGCGAATGCTGTCGGCGTAGGCCTGGCGGCGAGCCATGGATCGAACAGCAACACCGTCGCGTTTCCTGAGCTGTGATTGACAGTCCCCAAGCGAGCGCCTTGCGCGGCGTTGGAACTCGAGTTCAGAAGGGGAGTGAACGGAAGGATGGGCAAGGGCGGAGCCGGCCACCGCGGCGACGGTAAGAGTGGAGAAAAGTGTAGAGAGCTGGACCATTGTGGCGAGGATGAGGGGATCGTTAAAGTCAAAGGGAGCGTTGACAAGAGAGAAAAGAGATGTGTTTACTTTCCATACTGTTTAGCTGGTCTTTTGTAAGTGCAGGATCGACGCTGGAGCCCTCTGTAAAAACCGCAGCAATATCCGCCAAGTAAACCAGTGAAAGGACCGCGACAGCGGCGCAGTCAACAGGGGGATGAATTCGAACATTCATCGTAGGCTCGCAATGCGAAGACATCAAGGCGATATCCCCAGATGATCTCGCTCGCGCAATTGCCGCACCCTGGTCGGCCAATACAGAGGATTTCATTGGTCAGAAACGTACGGTGAAGATCAGCACGAAACGTGCTTGTATGGAGCCGCAGTAAATTTGCTGAACGATCTCTATGCGTCAGGCAGCAGTGAGGCTTGGCACTGCTATCACTGGCCATCGTTCGAGCGTCATCGTGCTACAGTATCGGGTCAACTTTTATGTTGTCCTCGTACTGGCCAACCGCAGGCGCCCCATTACTTTCGCAGACCCTTTGTACAAGCCCTGCCTATTACGCTAACAAGGGACAGAGGCACGGCCTAGGCGACCAAGGCGAAATCTAGATGATCCATACGGAGTACAGCGGTTTCAGGTGCAACGAGACTTTAGCCAGAAGCAAGCCAGAAGCTCGAGAAAGATGGTGTCCGGCTAGTAGTCCTGGACGACTGAATGTACTACTAGCCTAAGCACCCGGACTCATGGCAAGACGGTGGCAATGCGGAGGTCCATACAGCATTTTATACAGAGTGGCGGTTAAGATTCCACGATTGGGAGCGAGGTCATGGGCAGTGCTTGTGATGATATATGGGCAGAAGATGGTTGAATGATGAAGACGTTCAAGGACGTTGACCGCTCGAAAGATTTCCAATTTTCTCCCAAATACGGCGGCGAGATTCGGAACTGTAACGCCACGCGAGCGATCGTCGCTGTGGCGCTATGTCATGTGTGGCCCAGAAGAGGAGCACTACCACCGTACTACGAGGAACTAAGTATGGGAGGGAACCATGGGAGCTACGTATGAATTGTAGCGTACATGCAGTGTCTATATATTACACGATTTAAAACCAAAGCAGGAGGAAGAAGAAAAGAGAATAAGTAAATATTACAAGAATACGAGGAACAGCGGGTTCATCCTATGAGTCCTATATGTACTTTGTACACCAAATCGTACACGCAAAATAAACGGATAGACTCGTACAAGTATGCTGAATTTAAAGTACATGTAGATTTTATTGTAGAGGGCCAACCACAAAGTTCAAGTGCTTGGAGATTCAGCAGTCTTCGCCGTCTGAGGCTTCGCCTGAAAGGACAAGGGTAAGAATCTAGAACGATCAACGAGCAGCCCATACTAACCTTTCCGCCCTTTGTTCTCCTACTCCCTGTCCTCCTTGGCCTCCGCTTTGGTGCAGGCTTAGAAGCTACCGTGCTCGCTTGGGGGTCTGTTGTTTTCCTCGCATTCGCGGGCTTCTTCGGCTCCTGCTCCTTCTTCGGTTCACCTATCTTTTCCACCTCGGGAGCCCTCTTCACCTCTGCCTTCTTCGTCTCCGCCTTCTTCGAGCCCGACTCCTCTTTCGCGCCTGTCTTCTCCGTCTCGATGGCTGTTGTCTGCTCCCTCGCCTTTGAAGCCTTCGCCCTCGCCCTCGTCCTCTTCGGATTTGGCGACGTCTTCGAGCCGGATGCTTTCGATGCCTTCGCCTCACCCTTCGGGGATTTCGTAACCTTGGTTTCTGGCAGAGCTTTTGAAGGGTCAGACTCTGCCTGAGTCGCCTTCTGCTCGTCGACAACCTTGCCCTTGGCAGCCTGTTTAGGTTTCCTGTACTTCCTTCCTCTCGTTTTCTTTGGAACTGTACTCGGCGTCGCAGGCGTCTGGCTGGTCTCAATATTCTCTTTGGCTTCCAGAACCTCAACATGCTCAACATGCTCCACCTGCACCAACGGTTCCGGGGGAGGAGACGGAGGTTCAGGCACCTTCATGACGGCGTCGAAAACTTGAGGAGCCACGGCGCTTTCTACTGTCTCCCTGTTGATATTCGTACGAAGGCGGCCAGCTGACGGGATTATATCTGAACGTTGTCGAGCGGGTGGCATATCCCAGATATTGGACACGTCAAGGCACAAAGGGAAGACGGTGGATTCCGAGGATGCGGCGTCGGCGTCGATGAACAGTAGCAGGTCCCGCACCGTTTCCTCGTCCGACTTGGGTTCCGAGCCATCTTTACTCGAGGAAGATTGAGCGGCGTCGGAATGGGTGGTATCGGACGAAGTGGAGGACGGTTTTGTGGGGCCCGCACCCGGCTTGTGACGGGAATGTGAAGTCGAGGGCACTGGGAAGTAGAACATGCCATTGCGCTCGATAACGCCTGGAGGTAGCTGGGACTGCTGTTGCTCGAGTAGACTTTCCACACAAGAATCTTCGGAGTGACTTGATACATAGACGTGGCGTTAGCACGGTCGTCTCTCAATTTCTCCTCGGCCACAACTGATAATGGACGTACTCAGAATCACTTTGTTCACAAAGCTGCCGTTGTGGAGTTCTCGGAGGACGTAGTCTGGGACTATCGTGACCGTGATTAACGAGGGGTTTGGGAGGTAGAGGATGGTTTAATTTGAGCATTGGTTTACTGGTCGCCACAGCTGTCGAGCTTGGAAGCCATCGCGAGTTGTAAGACGGAGGCAACCAAGGAGCATTCGAGGTTGGCCAGAACATGGGTAAGAATGCGGAGGCATACAGGGAGGAGATGGAGGGGGAATTCATCGAAGGCGATATGTGTAGAGGAAAGGGAGAGGTCTTCTGGTCAGAGTTTAGCAACAAGTGTTCAGCCTCCGAGGGCTCGTGATAAGCACAACTTGGGGGTAAGTATGGATAGTTGTAGTTGAGTGTTTGAGAGCGAGTGAAGGCTGGTAAGGTCTGGGTGGAGCAAGACGGAGAAGACACGAATTGGTATTCGTTGATGTTGGACATCAGCAGGGCACCGTTTGATAGAAGGGCCACCTAGCCGGAAATGACGAGATAGCATACTGCTGCCGTGAGAACATGTGGTCACAATTGTGGCGCCCCGCGTCAGTCGCAAAGTTCCGGCTTGTCCTCGAACCTTCTCGATCTCTTCCCCATTTGCTTCTTGTCAGTCCTTGTTCTGCTCACGAGCCACACCACAGTAAGGATGACCCTTCGTCCCTTCTGTTATGTTTCTCATAGAAAGACAATGCGAGTGTGTGAGCCATGGAGTATTATGCCTCATGTTCACTATTGCCAAATAACAACGCTATCCTCTTCGCCGTCATTATCTCACCAACATTGAACAGGTGCGCCGCTCAGCAGGCTGTGGGTCAAGTACTGCTTATCGCCACCAATTCGCACCATACAATGGTACAAAACAAAAACTTGGGAATGCACTCGGAATACCGCTTTGGGTCGGTCGGGTTGACGCGGACAATCCTGGGTTTTTGTTCTCTTCTGAGGCTCGTCCCATGCTCGCTGACGGTACATCGTTCGCGCTTGTTTAGTGACTCCTTTCGGAGGTGCTAGTGTATCAAGATACATCATGCTATCGGCCGTGCTATCATCCTAAGGTTCGACTATACCGTGCTCGTCTAGCTTCTGACCGTTCCTCGCCGATGAACTTTCTCATTCAAAAAGAGTACAAAGACTCATGAAGAACATGTATATATATTGGGTCTTTCGACTCCCTCTCTCTCGTACTCCCCCTGCACGCCGTAGCTCCCTCCACCATAATCATGTCTTCCCAACGTATATTTCTCCTAGGTACGTTGGGTCCGAGCTATTGATCCTTCTTGCGCAAGACCTTCCTGAGCATCACGTCGTGGCCCTTGTCCGTAACGCTACCCCAGAACGTATAGACTCACTCAAGGCTATACATCCAAACATCAGCGTTGTGGAGGGAACCTTGGAGGACGCAGAAGTCATCGAGAAGGAAAGCGAAATCGCAGATATCATCATCAACACAGCGAGCTCTGATCACTGGCCTAGCGTCAAAGGTGCGCCACCACACTCCACATCCCCTTCAAGTTCGACTCGGGTGATAAATACGCTAATGAATTTATAGCAACTCTCGAGGGCCTGAAGAAAAACTCTGCCAAACACCCGGGGAAACCACCACTTTACATCCACGTGTCGGGATGCGGTGTTATAGCCGACAGTGCGCGAGGAGAGCCAGTCGAGCACGTACCAGAGTATTCGGATATAGGATTTGACTTGAAGAAGTATGTGTGTCATATGCATCGCTCGAGGTTTCCTGTCCGCGCTTTGCTCAAGGTTTGGCAGGTGTCCGCCCCATAACTCCCATCTCGAATGTGATATCCCCGTACGTTTCGTCCCATACTTATACACGGAATGTTGGAATTGCAGGTTTACCATCTACCAACTTCTCTCAGATTGTGGAAGCCGGGACACGTGAAGAACATAGGATACGGTCGATCATCGTACACCCTGCGCAGGCATGTCCTACCCTGTCCTTATGTTACCAACTATTCGGTGTTCTCACATCTGACGTTCTCTGAAGGTCTACGGTGTGGGTGCAGGTATGGTCATACCAGCTTCTTCCGTAGTCAACCTTCGAATGGATCATACACAGGTATTCAGAAAAACACCCTATGGCTTCGCATATTCATCAAGATGGCCAAGGACGTAGGATACGCGGGCACATGGGGCCCCGGTGCTAATTCGATGAATAATATACATGTCAAGGATGTGGCCTCCTCTCTATTATTCGTTCTCAAAGCTGCACTTGAAGGCAAGGCAGACGAAGGCGCTGAAGGTCACTGTGGGTTTACCTTTCTGTCTTTCGTATTCATCCTGGCCACTGCTCGATATCGTTTTGAATCTTGATATCAACAGATTTCGCCTCGACCATGGCGCCCAAGATTTCTTATGCTGAGTGGACGAAAGTGATGGGTGATGTACGGCATTCTTCGAGTTCACGTCACATTCCCTACTCGAGCCTGAGATTCCACCACTCATCCCCTTGCTCCTAGATCATGTACGAGAAAGGCCTCCTCAAAGAACCCGGCACTCGTCCCATGCCCAGCGAAGTCGTCGACCCGCTTGGAAATTGTGCGTCCATTATTCCGTCGTTTGCTCTCCCTCTGATGTTGACAGTGAACATATAATAATATAATTTGACCTTGCGTAAGATGGCTGGTCCCTGTTGGGCAGCAACCAGTTTTCGAAGCCTGAAAGGCTCGCTCGACTCGGTTGGACTCCAGTCCACACAGACAGGATATCGTTGATGGAGTCTTTGCCGGACATGATTGAGGTCGCGCTGGCGGAGACAAAGTAAAGAACGTTGTACTTTTTGTAACTATGTCGCGTCGGCGGAGATCTTTGAGTCGCAATTCCAACAGGAGACGCCGTCAGGCTGACATGTCACGACATTCATGAGCTTTGCAGCAAGCAATGTAACGATATGGTAAAACTTGCGTTAAATTGTACAAACGATCCAAACATACAGAACATACAGGATATTACACTGAATATTACAACCGCACTATATATGAGCGCAGGCAGACCAGAACCAGACCATATGTACAACACGAATCAGTAGAAGGAAGGGGAGTATACAACAGCGAAGCCATTGCACTAAATAGTCCAAGCAGAACGCACATAAAAGCAAAACGAGTGACCTGAATCTACAACCCCGCACGACCCTTCCTCATCTTCCTCATCATCCGCCTCTCCCTCCTTCTCTCTTTCCTCTCCATCCCCTTCTGCAAGTTCTGATCATACGCAGTCTTCATATCCGCCCGAATCTTATCCTTCATCGCCCTAGCCTTAGACCTAGCCTGACCAAACCTGCCCAACGCCTGCTCGCTAGCTTCCATCAACATCTTCTCTCCCTTCTCCTTGATCAACCTCGCCGTGCCCTGAGCGCGCCGATTGCGTTTCTGAAACTCCTCCCTCAAGCCAACCGTGACGTCCCTCGAGACCCGCCACGCCGAGGCAGTCTGCCTGTTCAAGACCTGGATCAACTCATCCAAAGCGTCCATCAACTCCTTCATATCCGTACGAATAACGTGGGAGAATGCCTTCGCGTTGAGGAGGTCCCACAGAGAGTCCGTGAGGCGCGGTGCGAGGGCGTAGATAGACGCAGCGGGAGTCGGCTCGGTTGCTCTCGGCGTAACGGAGCTCTGCTCGGGGCTGGAAAAGATCGAGAGGGCCTTGGATCCTGCAGAGCCCGTGAGGGAGAGAGCGGAAGTGATGGGCCTGGTCATGAGAGATTTGTTGTCGACCTTCAACTTATCGGTCCTGGGCATATCGCTCTTGACGACGGCGGCGGTACCCGAGGTAGTTGGGCTGCGGGCACTGGGCTGGGCAGCTGAGGCGGTGGAAACACTGGCAGGAACAGGGCTGAAGACAGCCAGCGCGATGTCTCTGAAAGAGGATGGGCTGGGTGCGAGAGGAATGGACGAGGTGATAGTGAGGGGGATGGAACGGTTTGCGGCGTTGCTAAACACGCCGACGCTCATGGTCTGCGAGTGCTTCTCGACCGGCGATAACACTTGTATCGGAACGGGAGACGTGCAGGTGACAATGCAACCGATAACGATGGATAAGATCGCAAGACTAGACGTAGCGATAGCCGATGTTAGCATGACTTGCAATCAGACGTATCAGAAAAGAGAGACACATACATGGCGACCGCAGGGGTAGATGTAAGTCGCTCCTGGAGAGCTCTGATGGCCTTCCTTTCCTGCGACAAAAGCGGGTCGAAACCGCGCACAACCTCCGCTTCATCGAGGGTCTTAAGTTCGTCTTCAGTGATAATAGATGAAGGTCTCTCCGAGTCAATGAGCAGAAGCTTGTCCATGGGAACAGCAAACTCGTTCCAGTGGCGTTCGATGGCAGTACGGTCGAATGCGCGGGATGAGCTCGTGTCATCATCGTTCGAAGAAGTGGTGACGATGGCGGGCAAGTACAGCGTATGCTCAGGAAGAGCAAACACGGAGGCGGGCAGATAAAAGATGGCCAAGGACCTGGCTGACTCGCGCCGCGTACTCGGCTGTTAAAGCTGAAGGTAAGTGAGAAGGGGATCTAGAAGAGAGAAAACATACGTTTAGCTCAACAGGCAGGCCCGTCTTGTCGATGACTGAGACAGCTCGACCCAGAGTTAAATGAGGTGCGTTGCCCTTCGCGTTGAGCCAGTAGATGGAGGTTCGAGGGAGTCGAATCTCGCGCTCAGAGAGAAGGTGACCCGACCCGGATGCGAGTTTGCTGAGGAGAATCTCTACAAGATGCCATTTGTTCGCGGCAGAATGTCCGTATAAAAAGATTTGGAACTCGGTGTCGGGAATATCATCGCCATGCATATCCGGGACCGCGGGTGTGGTAGGTAAACCCGGATCCTGGGAGCACAATGATAATGGGTCGACTTCTGGTTCGTTGTCGTCTAGCGTAAGGGGGTCGGAAGAGGCGGGGGATAGATCCTCAAAAGAGCCCTGCAACTCATCGCGGGAGCTGGTCAAGGGGTCAGGGAAGGAGAGTCTGAGATCGTGGAGACGGCTAGCGCCAGGAGCGTGCGTGGATCCGCTAAGGGAGTTCGAGCGCGAGCTGCTAAGAGTACTCATCATACTCTGGTCCAAGGCCGCCCTCACGAGCTGGTCCTCTTCGGGGTTCGTGACGGTGGGTTCGTCAGTTGGTAGAGACTGGGCGTCACGGATAGGAGAACTAGAGACAGGGACGGAGGGCCCATCCACACCACTCTCGTCGACATCCTCCACGAAACCCTCCCATCCTTCGGCTTCAACATCACCGTCATGAGAGCTCGAGTTGCTACTGATTGATTGTCTCGAAGGAGGACGCCTGAAAGCGTCGTCTCGGTCGCTTTCGATAAGACCGATAGATTCATTGTCGTCGGAGGCACGGCTAGAGATGTCAAGCCAGTCCGAATCAGATATGGAGTCTACCTCGGAGAGGCTGAGGTTGTAACCGCTGTCGATAGCATCGGCAAGCAGACGAGTATCAGGCTGAGTGTTGGCCATGGATGTGGGTGAACGTCAAGAGTGCGTCCGAGTCAAGCATCATGGCTTTATACTTGTATCCGCAGGCGCCCGCATCGATTGTGTCCCGTGCCGGCCTTCCGCAATGCGTCTCTTTCCCTCAGAATGACCTTTGCTGGGTTCCTTCGATAATCAGCCCTTTTGGTCTGCAACCTTTGCCCATGGGCATGAACAGCATCGCCGTTTCCCCACTGGAGACCCTTCCAAATGATATTTTATTCATCATACTCCTCGCTGTCGAATTAACCGATGTCCTTTCACTGAGACAGGTCTGTTCTTGTGCTATCGTGTCCTTATATACCTGACGCTGAACCACAGACCTCCACGTTCTCGTGATGGACGTTCTCAGGTAACTACGTGTAGACCGCCTGTTTTTGATGCAACGTGCTCACATGCACTCCATCCGCGCAGACTTGTCGCCGATTACACACGCTTGGGTCCGACGACTATTTGTGGCACCGGGTAGGTCTGTGCCCCCTGCCCTGATGGTCTATCGATGCAGCAGCTCAACGTATACCATTCATTCGTGTAACAGCTAGTCAGACGGTTTTCCTTGCCACTCGACGCTCCACGCAATGTCGATCTCAGCACTCTGAGTGGCGCAGAGCTACAATCTCTCCTGGTGAAAGCCCTCCGCCTCGATCGTAACTGGCGGAAAACACCTCCACAAATTCGACAATGTCGTTCAATTGTATATGGTGCGGATTCTTCGCGTGTCGATGACATGCAGCTCCTGCCAGGAGGGCGTTGGCTGGCCACCGCCGAACGTGCATTCCCAGGCGGTTTCCGATGCACCATCATGAATATTTGGTCTTTGAAGGATACAGGGCAGTTTCATCGTGCCATTACTTTCAGGATTACCGGCCATTATTATCGATTCTCATGGGCCTACCAGAAGGATGAAAACCATGCTACTATGGCCATAGCCACGGATCATGATCCTCGGTGAGTTTGGTGGCCTGTAGTCCCGTTTGTCTCGACCTGACCGTTTGTCTCCCAGTCACAAAAACATATTACAAATTTACGAGATACCGTTGATAGACGAATTTGAGTCTGACGTACCTCATTTGTCTGCACCACGCTTGAAGAAATCGGTCATGAAACCGCCCGACGCTCGCGGACTCGTCTCCGAAGTTTGCGTTTCCGAAGGCATCGTCGCGATCTCATTCTTCGACCTGGAGGAGAACGATCTTGGATCCGCCCACTATTTCCTAATCGTTGATTCAAAAACGGGATCGGAAAGATTATATCACCCCGTTTTCGTTGAAGTAAGCTTTCCGAATCTGCTTACTTTGTGTTGAAAACTGACACAAAATACCTTCGTTGATCAGCATTATCACCGGTTCAATTTAAGGATCGGTTCCGACTGTATCTTGCTTTTGGGGGCCGTTGGCAGCGAGGTCATCGCTCACATCCTCGATTTATCCGACGATACAACGCAGCCATCTACATCACCTTCAGGATCGGGGCGCCCAGCTGTTATATCCCCAGAGCTCACGCCTCCGGGAGACTTCGTAGTCACCTTGGGTCCCGGTCGTGAATTCATCGTATCCCTCACTCCAAAGCAGCCATCGAACAAGATCCCACACCGCGTCACTTTCCTCTCCTTCAGCGCCCTCTCCCGCGTCGACACAAGCACCGGAGTCGGGCACGCCGCTCGCGTCGCCCTCACCGACCATTCTCCGCGCCACAAATCATCGTCCACCAAATCTCAGCTCTCCGGGCCCTCTGCCCATTCCATCGACAATGTCGAATGGCCATTCACGAACATGACCTCTATCCGTCTACCCCAGATCGGATACCGACGAGCCGTCTGGATCGAGCAGAATTGGATCACGGAGCAGCATCGGTTGATGAAGCTCAGCTGGCCGCTGAAGGAAGAGGAAGGTGGGGCTGAGGACGAGAAGAGCGCGTTTTCGGTTGGGGTGCTGTTGCCGCCGAATACCTCGTTGCCTTTCGTGCCGGAGGGTATCACTTGTATGACGTTTGATGAGACGACGGGGAGGTTGTGTGTAGGGTTGATTACAGGCGATCTATGGGTGCTTGATTATAGTTGATTTATCGTGAAGGTTGTATTAAAATAAGATAGAATACTGTAATACCCAGTGGTCTGAGCAGAGTACGATCGGTAACGAAAATCGTGAAGGAGGTATGTGAAAGAATAGAATTCGCAGGGACCCGTTAGCGGGCAACCTAATCAGGATGCGTCATCACTGGTACTGGATAGCGAGTGTCTAGATCTTACAGACACTCAAAAGTCTCAACACCACCAGTCATGTCCAAAGAACGATTCGTTACAGTGCTTTACTTCGCTGCAGCCAGCACCGCTACCGGGCTAGCCTCCGAGCGCATCACTCTACCCCCTGAGACTGCATCCGATAATCCAATGCGTCTTTCCTCGCTTGCATCACTCTTGACATCTCGACACCCTGATACATCGCTTGGAAAGGTGCTCGAAGGCAGTCAATGGAGTGTTGATGCGGAGATGGTTGAGGATCCTGAGGAGGTGATACTAAAAGGCGGAGAGGAAATCGCGATCATTTGTCCTGTCTCTGGTGGATGACCGTGGTCGTGTTGTGGTAGGTCATTTTCTAGTACCCCTTTCTGGACCACTGGAGGAAGACTATGGCTAGGTACTAATACTTCTCACCCAGTGTGAATCCTGCAAATCGCACTTCATATATATCCCACAATGAAATGTATGCTCGTCAAGACGGTCTACATTGATGCTTCGGCGAGGAAGTCGCATCCGGACAGACATCTGCTGTTGCTATTACTCTCAGGAGTTCCTGTCTCTCAACATCCGAAACCCGAAAAACAAGCAAGCAGGTACACAAGGACAGAGACGAAGACGTTACTCGACAGGTTGACTGTCCATCTACTCCGCTTTCCGTTTCTTCCTGCTTCTCCCCCCATCGTCTGCGCCTCCTTCGTCGTCGTCTTCGTCTTCGCCATCCTCCTCTGTGCCGAAACCCTTCTTCAGACCCTTCATCTTCCTCGTCTGAAGCTTGTTGAGATCTTGTTTCGCCACATGCACCCTTCCTCTCAAATCTCCCATATCGTCCACCTCCAGATTCTTCCTCTTCTTCCCCAAACCCTTTTCCACATCCTGCTTCTTCAGCTTTGGCCTCTTCATCGCCATCTTCCACATCTCCGGGTCTGCGGCCTGATGCCTCCGGAGCGACAGGTCCAATGAAGGGCCCATGGGGACAAGCTCCACTCGCGGGGTACGTACGCCAGAAGCAAGGAGTTTGAGGGTGAAGCATCGGATGTGAACCTTAGGCAGGTTTTTTGTGTCCTCTTGGGAGGCCGTACCCGTCGAGGTGGAGGGTGCAGTAGAAGTTAGGGAAGTGGGGGTAGGAGCGACGGTAACGCTGATGACATGTTCAAGACCGACGAGATGTATCTGGTCGACTTCTTCGCCGTTGAAAAGGTGCATCAGGATAGATTTTAGTTGGATGTAACGGGGGTGGCTATCGAACAATTCCGAGGCAAAGTGCATCATTGGTTTGTGGCCTGGTGTAGATTTTGGTGTCTGTAGATACCCAACGCCATAGGTATTGAGTGAGGAGCATTATCCAAAAAGATACGAAGCACGCACCTTGAACTCGTTCATGCTAACAAATTTCTCCACTCCGACCTCGCACATATCCAAGACTTTCCCGTCGAACGTCCGTACAAGCGTCAAACCATTCGGTCGTTTCTTCGTCGTCTGCCCAACGGCAAACATAGACGCATCGTTCTTGTTGGACCAGAATTCTAGTGATGAGGCATCCTCGAATGGTCGGACTGCGTTTTTCTTGGAGAATGAGATGGCATTCGGGCGTTTGAGTGCCATCTGCAGAAGTAAACGAGAGCGTGTGTATGATTAGGAGGCAAGCTGACGAGTAGGATGGTCGGAAACATACAAGCTCCTTCATAACATTATTGAGTAGGTCGCCGGTATGTGTACCACGAACGAATATTGCGGTGCGTGCATCCTCTACTTCCTTCGGCTCTCGAGCTTCAAAAGCTCGTTTTGAGCGAGCGTTCTTAGGTTTTCTGGATGGAGGTTAGATTAAATAAGTAAAAAATCGTGTAAAGATGCTCACATTACACGCAACATGGCCGGTCGAATGGCGCCGAGTATGGGTGGACGGAGGGAAGAAAACACTGGAGATAATTTGAAAATCCCGGATCAGGCAAAGGCTTCCGAATTCAACAGCGCCAAACAACCCACCGTCTGCCCGAGAGTAAAGACAATAGGTAAGTTATACCCCTTCGGATCAACTGCAGCACTTTTTACTCCAACCTCGAACATAGAGCCAGTTTTCAAAGGAGTTCACGATAATTCTGCAACCCCCAGAGCGCCCCCATAAAATATCACTTCTTTCTCTCAGATCTGCCGGTCTATAACTGTCTGGCCTGGTTGTCTAGAACTCTTCGCCATCTCACTTGCCAGCCTGATACGTAGCAAGAACTTGACTCGACTCGACTCTTTCACACCGTACATCTCTTACACGCGGAAGGACTCAAGCAGAATCATCGTGGCGTCGGGGCCGTCTGGCATCAACGACGCGTGACCCTCGGCTTGTCCAGAGGAAGCCGTTACTGCTCGGCCTCAGGCTTCTGATGACTCCGTGCCATACCTGCCTGAGAGCTTACGCGTTCGACCCTTCTACTGAGGTCGATAGACACATATATTAAACCCATGTTGCCGTATATTATCTCGAAATCGGTCCCCTCAGACGCCCTGTTACCAAAGTGCTAGCTCCATTGATTTCATACCGCCTATATAGTCTTCACCCTCACGTTCACCCCTATCGCATTTCCGTCCAGTAACACGACTATGGCCGCACCCACCCCGTCTAACATCTTCCCCAACATTGCTATCATTGGGGCTGGCCCAGCCGGTCTCACGCTTTCTCGCATCCTTCACCTCTCATCCATCCCCACCACAATCTATGAACTCGACCCCTCGCCTACGCACCGCTTCGAACAAGGCGGGTCCCTCGACCTGCACGAAGATTCGGGGCAGGCAGCCCTCAAAGCGGCCGGATTATACGAGGAGTTCCAGAAAATCATGCGACCCGAGGGTGAAGCGATGAAGATCACAGATGCAACGGGGAAGATATTCTATGAGGAGGTGGCCGACGAAGAACACAGGATTCCAGGTCAGGGGACGAGACCAGAGGTGGATAGAGAGAGGCTGAGGGAGATGTTGTTAAGGTCGATTCCGGAGGAAACTGTCAAGTGGGGACATAAGCTCGCATCGGCCTCGCAGGAAGCAGATGGGACGTACACTTTGACTTTCGAGAATGCGCCTCCGGTCACCAAGGTCGACTTGGTCGTCGGGTCGGATGGCGCATGGTCGAAGGCCCGACCACTCGTCACACAGGTGAAACCTCATTATTCAGGCATATCCTGCCTCGAAGTCCGCCATCGGGAGGTATCGACTCGAAACCCTGCCGTTGCATCCCTCGTCGGCCAAGGGACTTTCGTCGGCCTTCAAGACTCGTACGTCCTCTGTGCTCAACGCAACGGCGACAACTCCATCCGTGTTTACGCTATGCTACCCGTCCCCGAAGATTGGGTATCCACGTGCGGGATAGATTGGAGGGACGCGAAGAAGGTGAAGCAGGAGATGGTGTCGAAGTCTTTCTCAGGGTGGGACGAGACGTTGAAGGCGTTGATCACGGAGGCAGATGACGATACAATCGTTCCGAGGGTGATGTACATGTTTCCACCTAACCACAGCTGGGAAGGGAGGGCAGGCGCGACGTTGTTGGGAGACGCGGCACACTTGATGACGCCGTTTGCTGGCGAGGGTGTCAACCTGGCGATGGCGGATGCGATGATGTTGGCTCAGGAACTCAGGGACGCGCTAAAAGAAGGGGAAAAGGCTTGGAATAAGGAGAAAGTGTGGAAGGCTGTACGGGCCTTCGAGGAAGAGATGTTCACAAGGGCGGGAGGGAAGGCACAGGAAACGTGGGACAATCTGCAGGTGTTCATTCACCCAGAGAGTGCAGCGCAGAGGCTGGCGGACATGTTTAACACGATGATGCATCGGCCGGAGTAGTCAAGCGGAATTTCTTGCCCATATTGTTTTCCCTTTACTTGTAGTTTGCCTACGTGGTAGTCCTTTTCGAATGTTTACTGAAGCTTTGGTCACTATTGCACTCGAGCAAGGACAAATAAGATAGACAACACAACATCATGCACTATCAAGGATCCACATGAATTACTCTCGTCCCGCACCACTCATCAGAGCTTGGTCTTCCCCTTGAATTCCGCCATAGCCGTCCTCTTCGTGATGCTATGCACGCATATATACGGAATACACACATCCCCGTCAATACACCATTTGACTAGAAATATGGGAAGATAGAAAGGGAAGAAGAAACCGGTACTCACCCAGAATGCATCACGGGGGTAGGCGCCTGCTTGGGACCTTCAACCGGCTTTCGCTCCTCAATTGGAACGAAGTCACGCTTGCCTGCCCCGACGTATACCTACAGCAATCGGAAATCAATCAAAGAGCAACAGAAATAACAGGTAACATCTCCTGAACTAAGTACCTGTCGTGGACGCCAGATCTTGACACCACCAGACTGGAGCATCATCTGCAGGAAGGGAACGAAACAGACTTAACACAGAAGTTCCAGTGCGAATTAGGAGATGAGAGGTGTACGGACCTGTCTCCAATGTGCGAGCCAACCCACAACTCGAGGGACAGCAAAAAGTACGGGGAAGAAGTCCAGTGGGAACCCTACAACGATTGGAACATTCAGTCCACGATAGACGCAGAATGAAAGGTGAAGCTATCTCTCACCCATTGCGCGGTAGATCAAGCCACTACAAACCCGTTTATCCATTGTTCAGAGCGATTTTGAGACTCCGGAATTCTGCAGACCACTCACCTCCTACAAAACCCGGGTCCAAATCACTTCGATAAGTGCTTAAAAACAGAAAGACGGTCTTGTCACCACGTACCAGAAATCAACATTAGGGGCTAACTTCCTCTTGACAAAGAACTCGTCTTTGATAGCAGCGTCGTGAAGTGCCATCGCAGTGTCCAAAAGTTCGTCCTTGCCCGTGCTGGTGTGACAGTGTTCGTCAGTATTCCACGAGTGAGATATATCGAGGGCAAGTAGCGTTATATGTACACTTTGAATACTTCGTCCGCGGTCTTGCGTATGATGAACGATCGAGGGTCCGACTGTTTCAGGCTCGTGTCAATAACTACCTTCCGGATTCCCACAAGTAGAAGATGTCCTTACAGTCTTGTAAACCCTACAAGACGACCGTTAGCCCTATGCGAAAGGGATAACGCGAAGTTAACACACCTGTGCCCGAACCCGGACAGGACCTTCTCTCTCCGTTTAACAGACTCGAGGAATGCTGGGACATTTTCTGGACTGGTGAAGAGCAGGAACTCAGTGAAAGACGGCCATAGCTGACGATCATAATTCATACCTGCCGATGGAGATGAGCATCCTGATGACAGCCTCGTTCGCACCACCTAGATAGCACACACGTAAGATCTCAAAGAACGGTGGGTCAATTCCTCGCTCGCAGAGCACGAACCATGGAGAGGCCCGCTGAGAACGACAGCTGTCAGTAAAAGATGCATGGGATAAGGTCAGATTGTGAACGTACTATAGCGAAGCACATCCAGCTCTGTTAATCAATAGTAAGTATCCCAGACAAAGCTATACATGTATCCAAATCGTGTTACTCACGCAATAGCAGAATAGGGATCCACGAGCGAGCTTCCCGTCTGCAACACAGTGGTACATGACGCGTTCAACTCATGGTCTGCGTGCAAGAGGAACAGAACGTCCAGTGCTCTCTCGAGCACAGGTGATGGCCGGTAGTTCTCTTGACCTAAATGGTCCATTTGGTAGAGGAAACTGCGAAGATGATTGACTGAGCACAAACTGGTTGCGGCACAGATTAGAAAGACGAAAGCACATACGAGCCGGTGTAGCTGAGACCGGTGGGAGGAGTCACGAAATCGCGGCCTTGTCGGATTCGGTAGGCCATACTACGAGGATATAACAGAAATCATGAGCAGGTCAGACATGGTGTGCACGATTAGTTGCAGCTTACGCAGCAAGTGTTGTTGCCTTCCCAATGAGCCTGAAGATCTGCTTGTCCATATTCGCGAGTGAGTTATGATCCCCCTTCGTAAACAACGTTTGTCCTATGCGGAATGCATTCAGTACCTCTTCGCAATACGGATTATGGGCAGAGTAGATATACCTTGCAGCGATGGGTTTGCCTCGCTGTAGTATGAGCCCAGATACGAGAATGCACTGGTAAGGATGGCCATTGGATGCGCGTCATAGCTATATGTAAATAAACGAGGAGGTTCAGACTCAACAATTCTCTACCCTTTCGAGTTCGAGATTCAAGAACAGTATCGCACTTACCGGAAAGAGCGGAAGAAGCCCTCGGCATCGGCATGCACAATACTGTGATGCATGATCTCGCTTTCGAAAACTTTGTACTGTTCTCTCGAAGGCAAATGGCCATAGATGAGGAGGTATGAGGTTTCAAGGTGCGAAGAGTGCAATGCTAGCTGTTCGATTGGGTATCCACTATATGGACCGACGAATTTGTCCATATGAGCTAAGGTCAGGGAAACGAACGGACAGTATGGATGCGTACCGGTATCGCAACACTACATGTATCACACGTCGGAGTGAGCTTGGAAACCCACACAATTGCATAGATGTAAGACGTACCTCCAGCATCTCCATCAATATACGTGATCTGACTCTGAATGACCGCAGTATTCAAAAATCCCTTGTCCGCCACCCTCAGCCCCTTTTCCGTCTCGTTCTCTTCGCGTTCTCCTTCCTTCCTCGGTGCAGCAATTGCCTTGAAGGCCGTCGCAGAGATGGTATTATCCACGATTCTTATACACGCAGAGTGATGTCAAGGTCAGACCAGGCGCTCACAGAAACCAAAGACACGCACGGAATATTAAAAGTCTTGCCAGTCCTATTATCCCGGACAGTGAGGCTGTTTGCCTCAGACTCGAGTGAACGGCCCATAGTACTGAGATAGCAGAATCAAGAGGTAGAGGACAAGGTCGAGCGAACAGGTTGTTAAGGTATGAAGCCAGTTGCAGGTGGTAACGAACAAGGGATGCCCATTACCGGAGCACTTTATGTGGAGGGGAGCGCTAGCGGGTCATGCATCATGGATCCGGCGAATGAGACGCGTCTCGATACGAACACATGTGATATGTGCATCCGTTGGCCCGAGTGGCACCCAGCTCGTCCAGTTGGGCACAGTGAGGGCGAGAGGCTTGCAACCAATATTAGTGCATCGTATCGACGAGAACTTCACCTTGAGGGTCACTCATGAAACAAGAACTTGCAGGAGGGCCGAACACGGCAGGGCGGATAACTACACACGAAGATGGCCGGAAGTTGGACGTTCACACACAGGTGTGGCCCAAACCCACGAAACGGTTCGTCACAAACAGATATAGAATAAAACGTGGATGACGTATAAAAGGGGGCGGTGCGATACAGAATGTGAAGACGACAGTGTACAGAATGGGACAGACAACCAATCACAAGTACAAGCCTTCTGGCGTACCCTCGTTCTTCCGGTACAGGACCTAGCAGAAAGTATTAGCGTTCTGTGCTGACATGCATTGGACAGACATTTGAAGCAACTAACCTTTTCCCTTGCAGCAGTGAAGTCTGCCTTGTTCACCCTCATCCTCCGTTCCCGCAATGCCAACAAGCCAGCCTCCGTACACACGGCCTTGATGTCGGCACCGGAAAGATCGTCCTTCGCCATGATGAACTCTTCAAGGTCGACATCCTCATTCAGGCTCATACGTGAGGTGTGTAACCTACATGAAGGGGCGTTTATGGCGTTAGTCACTGCGATTTCTCTTGTTAAACAACCCATAAGGTGGCACTGACCTGAAAATGTGGCGCTTTGTCTTCACGTCTGGTAGAGGGAACTCAATCTTACGGTCAATACGGCCAGGTCGAATGAGCGCAGGATCCAGTGACTCGATCTTGTTGGTGGCCATGATGACCTTGACGTCTCCACGAGTGTCGAAACCATCTAACTGATTCAGCAATTCCAACATTGTTCGCTGAATTTCACGCTCGCCACCAGATGTCGAATCGTACCTGTTATTATGACCTCCGTCAGTCTACAGAGGAGATAAGGAAGAGCAATGCTAGAGACGTACCGCTTGGTACCAATAGCGTCAATCTCGTCAATGAAGACAATACTTGGTGCGTGCTCCTCTGCGACACGGAACAGTTCACGAACGAGCTTCGGTCCATCTCCGAGGTACTTCTGAATAAGCTCTGAACCAACGACACGAAGGAAAGTGGCGGATGTTTGATTGGCGACGGCTTTGGCAAGAAGCGTCTTCCCAGTACCGGGGACACCGTAAAGAATAACACCCTTTGGTGGTCGAATGCCCATCTCTTCGTATAATTCTGGGTGGGTCAGAGGGAGTTCCACGGATTCCTAAACCGGATTTCGTGTCAGAGCAGGGTGAGGTTTATATATAGGTGGAATGGGCGCACCTTGATCTCTTGAATTTGTTGCTCGAGACCACCCACATCTGCATAACTCTCCGTGGGTGCCTTGTCGAGTTTCATGACTGAAACCATAGGATCCGCGTCATCCTGCAACACACCAACGATAGCCTGCGTTTTATGGTGGAGCAACACCTGACAACCGGGCTCCAACAAATCCTTGTCCACGAAGCTCATGATAGAGACATAGAACTCGGGCCCCGACGCAGTGCTGATGATGGCATGGTCGTCGTCAATAATCTCCTCCATCGTCCCCACCGCCATCGGACTACCCCTCAAATCGTCCACCTTTGTCCTATCCTCCTCGTTCTTCTCCTCCCGGTTAGCCTCGGGCTTGAGACGTTCCTGGTTTACGATGAATTCTTCCTCGAGGAGAAGGTAGTCCTTGATACGCTCAGACTTGAGTAGTTTGAGGCGGCAGCGAGTCGTAGGGTAAACTGGAGGAAGTCTGGAAGCGGCGTCGGGCCCCTTCTTCTTCTTCTTGTGCCCGACACGGGTGGGGAGTGGAGGCTCCCATTTCTTCTTCTCGTCCTTCTTTCCGTCCTTCCCATCCTTGTTCTGGTCTCCTTGGCCGCCGGGCGCGCCAGGCATTCCTGAGGGTGCATTACCCTGTCAAGACGAATCAATTAGATTGTGCGAGTACATAGGGCATTATTGGAAATACCATGATTGTTCAGTCCTAAAGTTCGAAGGGGCGGTATGGATGAGAGACGGAGGACGTGAAGAGCGTAAGGTCGTTAGAGCGTGTACGACGCGTCAGTGCTTTCCCAATCTGGACGCGCGTTACATTACATAATGACACGTGGGTGACCCCGTTCAATTAAAGTTGTAGCAGCGTCCACGTACCAGCACATCATCATCAACCATGAGTGCCTCAACACCCCTCACGGCCAACTCACAATTCATCCAAGCAGGTGCGCCCACTGTTCTGCCATTATGTAACTCAAACTGACACTTCGTGAGAGAAGACGAAGACGACGACCTTGACGAGGATGCCATCCCAGGGTACGCACCCGCATCTCCCGTAGCGGACAAGGGTAAAGCACGCGCTCCCGAACAACTAGCTTCTCCTTCGACAACACCACACCTTTCCGGAAACATTGGAACATCTGCATCCGCTGCTCCGAAGCAGCCGTCGCGACAAACCGTCGGTGGTGTACGGGTCGAGACGCGGTATGTTGTACTTTAGTAGATGCTTGCAGACTCCGCCTGAGGATTGTGGCGCGTGCTTTCAGGTATAGCGGAATTGATACCCTTGATGAAACTATCGCTACAACTATTGTACGTTCTCTTTCTTTCTAATGTTTGCTCGCATTGGAGTTAACTTGTCTGGGGACAGGGCCGAGACTTGCTTTCGATTTACAACAAGCTCGTGCAGGTCCTATACCCACGACGTTCGGGGAGTGCAAGAGAGGTACTTCGGTATGCGGGTTTCTTCCTTTATCTTGCTAAGCTTTCACTCAACATAACATGAAAACAGAGACTGGGATCTTTGGGGCCCACTCATATTATGTCTACTCCTGGGTATCATGCTGAGCGTCAACGTGTGTTTTCACCATGCATGTGTCAAGCCGTAGCCAACGTACTCATCGTCGTTCGCAGGCGCCAGCAGATCAAGCGTTAGGTGTCTTCACTTCTGTCATAGTCATCATTTGCGTTGGCTCTCTAGTTGTAACCGTGCAAGCAAAGGTACTCTTGATACCTCTTTACCTACTAAACTTTCACTGACTGCTTTCCTTCAGCTCCTCGGGGGTCGAGTGTGAGAGCTGTTTCTTTCCTTCCTTTCCCGGGGTCATACAATGTTGTCTCAAACTTATCACCATCTGAACCTTGTAGATCGTTCTTCCAAGGCCTCTGCGTCTTGGGCTACTGCGTCGCTCCGCTCGACATCGCCGCGCTTATATCCTGTTTCGTCCGTATCATCTATGTCCGAGCGCCAATTGCTATCCTGGCCTGGGCTTGGTGTATATGGGGTGCGTCTCACGCGTCCTGCCCTCTTCCATGTCCTAAGCTCCTTGTCGATGCTAATGTGACCGACTCTGCTACCCGTATTTGTTGTTCTCTCCTCAATCGGTCGACCTCTTAGCATCGGTGAACTTCCTCGACGGGACAAAAATCGAACCTCAGCGGATTTTACTGGCTGTGTACCCTTTGTTGTACGTCCTCTTCTCCTTCATCACGGACATCGATTTGCCACTAAGGCGCGTCGAAACTTCAACGCAGGCTATTTTATTTCATCCTGGCTTGGTTGATTCTGATCCAGTAACTATGCTGCCTCTAAATGCATTATTTGGAACCAATCGGTTGGTGTGTGGTTTTCTTTGGCGCCACTCTTATGAGACGCAGCGTGCATTAACACTGCGACTCGCTTTTCGAACTCGCCCTACCAAAACTCGGGGCGTCCTCAGTACGTAGAATGCAGTGCGACATACAACCCACTCATCCTTCTTATTCCGTTCACCCTCCCTCAGTCTCGCTTGACGCAAGCTCCGCGGACAAGCGCAGTCTAGAGTGTGGGGAGAATTTCCTTCATTACGGCGCCTGGCACTCGTTAGCCCCACTTCCTTTTCTCCTGCAGCCCTCCACAGTCCGTCACAGCGCATCGAGAACGCCTGTAACTTTGCCGTCATTGGGGCTTGAAGTCTCACAGATGGGACGTACTTGATGCTGGGACAGGCGTTCTGTATGCGACAATGACAAGAAGAGCGACTTCCCCGCCAGAAATCTTTGTTTGGCAGAGCTTACGTTGCCATGAGTATGTTCTAATCATCGCCCACGTGGTATTCAAGCGGTCTCTTGTGCCCGGCTTCGACTAGAGGGCGCACTAGAGCGTCTGCTGCTCTCAAAAATCTCCACGAAACTTTAGGATCGCATCTCCTCAAAGCGCTCTCTAGAGCTCCAGGAAAATGGTCTTCCATTCCTCATCGCCGCTGAAGCGAGAAGTTTGGGGTCTAGGGTCCTGCTATGATGGCAGAGCCTTCAATAATCAGCGAGGCAGTTATGGCGCCTCTATTGTGAGCCGCTTTGGCACATAGAAGCCACAAAAACCTGCAGTCGCGGAGAAACTGATATAAATCTCTCAACCCATGATGGCCAAAAGCTCTCACTGGCACTCGGCTTATCAGATTTACCCTGTCCTGCGAGTCCGGAATCGACATGTGTCCTTTGTGGCGGCGACGGCGAGTCAAGCCTTGTCTCAGTGTGCAGCTATATGCAGTACAGCAGCACAGAGGCTACTCGCCTCTAGCAGCAGAATCATCGAGAGACTGCAGTTTACTCTGATGTTTAGACACAGAGTCATTCTATTATCTACCCATGGGCACATGGTCGCCAGTTCGGTGCCTTCATTTGAAGATTTGAACGCCAGCCCCATTTCTATTTTGATAGAATTAATGATCTGCCATCGTATTGGGGCTACTAGGTGTGATATGAATCGACGTCGTGGCTGTCATTTAGGCATGTACGACATTCAGCTTCATTCCGAGCTCGGCATGATGACCCTTTTGAGCTCTGATACTCTTCTTGACCTCTATCGAGACAAATGCCTTACACCGTCACCTACACGCAGCCTCGTTATCCAGCACCGGGTCACTCATCGTGGTTTCTGCGGATACAAGGTCGCTCGATGGCTGCATAGCCCTGCTCTGCTCGTCATACTCATGCCCCACAAGATATCCGTCGACATATAAAAGCCCTCCCCTCGTCCCTTGAAATATTCCTCACCCGCCTCATTCTCAGCATCTAAACAGTCTAAACTCCTCAACTATCCAACCATGCAGTTTTCTATCAAGGCCACCTTCTTCACCCTCGCCGTCTTCTTGCCTCTGATCTCCGCCGTCGCCGTGGAGAAACGCCAATGCGAGCCTGCCCTTCAGTCTTGCTCCCTGGACCTCGAGTGTTGCTCTGACCTTTGCCTCATTGGGGTGAGCGTAGTTTTATTTGCTGTGATAGCAGCTCTACTGGTCAAGCCGGGCTTTTCTAATGTATTTTGTAATCACTCTAGCTCTGCATCTAGTTGTCGGTATCGATATATAGATGTATATCCCAACCTCATACAGTGATGTCGTGAATTGGTCTCGGTACGTGCTTAACATCCAGTATGGGGTGAAGGTACTAACTGGATAACAGTATGTGTACATTTTGTCCAGAAAACCCGGTAACTTTGAAGACGATGGGATTAGTGGCTGGATAGTGGTTGTGCCGTTTGCTGTTGTTCTGTATATGCCATCCGAGTTACGAATGACATGAAAATTGAGTCGAGGAGAACCAGTGGGACTTAAGGTTTTTGAGGAAACTCACAGAAAATCCACATCTATGCGCAGAGCGACCGAATATATTCAGTCTGATCCTAGATGGCATGAATGCCCGAGTGTACATCGCCGGCCGTTGGCCTCTGGTAACCATTCTCAAGAGCAGTCACCCTTTAAATATACTCGAGTATTTATGTGCGTAAGTACTTCCGATAGTCAGTGTTCGAACGATGGTCGGAACGAAATTCCAACTTATTGCTACTTCGGCCCTTCACAGGCCTTCCAACTCAAGCTTAAGTATTTGAATACTCGATGAACGAATTGTTTCTTCAGTTGGTTTCACTCAGGGAGAACAGCTGCAACGTGTTATGAACCAGGATGAGGGAACAAAGACAACTCCCGAATGCGGCCGGCGGCGATCGCAGGTGTGGGGATTTGAAATTGAAACTTCCCCGGCAAGGCTCGGACTCGTGATGACATCATGTCGCTCGCAAAGACTGTCATTGCGTCAGAGCGCTCCTCTGCTCAAAGGCGCAATGCTCATTCGTCTACGCCCTCCCGTCCAGCCCCGTCTCATTTATAACCACCAAGCTTGCCCAGAACACGCAACAACACTTCCCTGACCTCAACCATCACCATGTTTTCTGCTCTTACAACCCGTACCGCTCTCAAAACCGTTATTCGACCCGCCAGGAGGCAGGCATTTATGGCCCCTGTCGCAAACATTAGCTCCAGGTTGGTTTCTTGTGAACATTCCACATTCTGTCCCAGCCCCTGAACATCGACAAACTATCAATTCCTTCCCAGCCGGTCCTACGCGTTCGTGTCAATCCTGACTTGGTCTCATGGGCCATGAATGGACTGTACTGACATGTTTTCGTTCGTATAAAGTACGAATCATGACAACGATCCAGAGGTGCGCGTCTTGGCTGCTTTCTATTGCATTGCTCTCAGCCTCATATCTGCTACGACGCTATGGTTAGATTCTGGACAGGGAAAAGCGTCGCAACCTGAGCCGCGAAAAGTATCAGACGACTGCTCCCATGGACCATGCACCCGGCTGGAACGAGCATCTGGCCACCACCTCGGAGCACGCCGTTAAAGTTCGTCGAAGTATTGCTCCTATCAACCATTCGCATATCACTGACGGCCTTGTCCTCCTCGTGTGCGCGTCTCCTGTGGCACTTGACTTGTGCTGCCTTACTGTGTTTCCCTCGAATACGTCGTTCTAGGCCGATGCTACTCCAGGCGGTCCACCTTCTGAAGACCTCCAAGCCCAAACCGTCCAACACCTCCAAAAGAAGCACTCACCTGAGGAACGTTACACCTCGGAGGCCGTCTACGAGCGCGACGAAATTTCAGGCCCGCTTGGATCTGCGAAGTCAATTGAGGCCGACGCTTCTGAGGAAGTGGGTCGCGTTGACGGTGAATGGAGGCAGACGATGGTTAAGGAAAGGACGGAGGAGGAAGTAGTCAAGGAGGGAGACCCCACAAGCAGTGAGGCACATGTGAGTGTCGTTTATTCGCTGTGTACGCGACGGATCGAGGTCTGACAAAACTCTTGCTTATCACTCCAGGTCAAAGCCGACCGTGGAGAAATATAAATCTACGACGACCCCGGACCGAAGCCGTTTCTGAAGATGATCTCAAAATAATTCCAAGTGTCTCGCCCACTGTATCTTACACTTGTATCATTACTGCAGCCTCGTCTTGGACTCTTTCCTCTTCCATGTAGACTTTCTCTCGATTTCGCATCTCGTGTATGCGAGCGTATGTTCTATGTATCCACCAACCTACTCGACTATCAGCATGATTACAGTCCGCCTCTGGAGGTTGAGAGCCGCGAAACTTTTGTCACGGGCAGTCACCGGCAGTCATAGAACGTGGTAAATGACATCATTCGCTCAACTTAAGCTTTGTTTGTGCCTGTTTGTGCTTGTTGAATTCAGAGGGCGTTGTCATCTGCTTCTGCTTGAACTCATCCTCCGACTTTCTGCCTCCTTCCGCCTGCACTCGCTACTTCACACAATGTATATTGCCATATCTGAGCAGCAATTCGAATGAATTGATAATGCTTGTCTCAACCGGCCTTGTTCAAGGCTCAGGAAAGCTCCGTTACTTGAATTTCGTAAAGACCTCCGTATGACATTATTGACTGAAAACGGCAAGCCAATCCCACGCTCGTGCTCACTCAGCGCCACCCACCTCGATCGATAAGCCAATCCCACGCTTGCAAAGCAGCGACCCACTAGGAACAGAAATATTTGTATATATACGCACGAACATACCTCTAGCAACTAAGTCCTGTAAACGGAATATTGCAATATGTCGACCCTCTCCCTTTCTTCTGCCGTGAAGCTGCCATCAGGTAGGTCCATTACTTAGTACTAATCATAGACTCCTGCTGCTCGGCGTTCCTCTCAGAAGAAGATCGAGAGTACTTATTCATTGTATCGTACACAGGCTACATGATGAAGCTGTTGGGATTCGGTGTCTATAAGAACTACGACGCGAAACCCTCCTGTTTAGAGGCCCTCGCTGCTGGCTACCGGTCAGCTTCACATCTATATTTCTTTCTATCCACGAGGCTCACTATTCGCAATATTTCTGTTCTTTATACCAGCCATATCGATAGTGCACAGATGTATCGTAACGAGGCCGAGGTCGGCGAGGCTATTCGTGCATCTGGCATTCCCAGGGAGGATGTGTTCGTTAGTGCGTGGGAGCCTTTAATTCCATGTCGACTTCATTTCGGGCATGCTTATGATGTGAATATTTTAGCGACGAAGATAGAAAGTAAAGATCACGGCTACGAAAACACCCTGAAGGGTGTCGACGAATCTCTCAAGAGGTTCGGGTTTGGTAAAGACTGTTCTATCGTCACTTCTGGCGTTGCTACTCACAGGACTTTCTGCAGATTATATCGATCTCTTCTTAATCCACGACCCAGTATGTCTTTTTGAGACTGACCATGACCTCGAAATAGTGAGCATGATATTAGTTTAGCGGGCCCGAGAAACGCATTGCTACGTACAAGGCGTTGCTAAAGTCAAGAGACGAAGGCAAGATTAGGACTGTCGGCGTCTCGAACTTGTATGCATGCATTCCTTCGTATCATTGACTTTTGTGTCCTTAGCTCATATTTGCGAACATCTAGTGGCATCAAACATTTGGAGGAAATCGTATCGTCCGGACTTGAGCTCCCAGCAGTTAATCAACTTGAGGTAGGCCTAGCCGACCTGTCCTTGCTTTTGTTTCTCTGATACGATAAGACAACAGATACATCCCTTCTGCCAACAAAGGCCAATAGTAAAGTGGTGTCGGGACCATGGTGTCGTGATCGAAGCGTATTGCCCAGTCATTCGTGGCAAGATGGATGACCCTGTCTTCCTCGATATAGCTCGCAAAGTACGACCTTTCTGATTTCTCCTTTCGCATCCACAGGCTCTGTCTGACGACATTTTTGCATATTCAGCACGGCAACCGTGACCCAGCGCAGATCCTCATCCGGTGGTCCCTCCAACACGGGTATGCTTTCCACCGCCTCAACTCCACCTACTTTCGCTACCTCTGAACTCTTATCATCCCCTTTATCTCCGTCTGATAGATACGTCCCCCTTCCAAAATCAGCCACTCCCGCGCGCATTCGCTCGAACGCCAATTTGTACGACTTTTCCCTCGACGAAGAGGACATGGAGCGCATCGATGCGCTCGATAAGGGAGACGCTGGTGCTATCTCCTGGAACCCTATTCATGCTCCCTGATCAGCTTTTCAAGACACTGCTACCTATATTGTAATGTAATAGCCGAGCTCTCGTTAACAGCTCTGATTGGAACAAAGCAACAGCCCATCTTGTTAGATCACATTCAGTTTAAGATGAAGTCAGGGTTTGATGTGAGATGCCCATGCAGCGTAGGATTGGATTGATCGGAGTACAGCGTACAACAATTGCTCCGGGTATCAAGACTTCGACAGCATAGTACCCTTGGTACAAAAACTCAAACCACAAGTACCGAAACAATGAGCGACGTGAACAAGAAAACTGTCCAAATGAAAGTCCCGGAGAGAGAATTTTAGCCAGAAGCTTCCGCCGTTGCTCTTTAGATCGAGGCGTAGATCCACCCCAACTGATCCATCTCATCGCCGTCCTGTCCGTACATCCCAACAATCCCGTACCCATCAGGCGCACTCGCCGTTCCACAGTCGTCCGTCTCCACTCCGGTAGTGACGGTCTTTCCCGTACTCGTCGTCAGCTGAGCGTAGAAGTTGCGCGTCTCGTCGTTGTACTTCCCCCAGCAGAGCTTAGCGGAGATGACATACTCGTCGGAGGCGAGAGTCAGGGAAGAAGCGTCTCCTCCAGAGCCACCGTGGGTGAGCACAGTGCCATCCTTGAGCGTAAAGGAGACGGCGTCGAGGCGGTTACCGCCGTGGAGGGTGATAGAAGACAAAGCAGGGTTCGAGGGGAGAGAGCCGACGTCATTGAACCAAGTACTATAAAACCCAAAGACTCAGTATAACGAACGGATTAAAGATAATAGCGGGCAGATTTACCCGTGAGGACCACCGTAGAGATCACTTTGGCGGTAAGTACCCCAAGTCCAAGCGAACTCGACCCGGACGGCCTGGTGGTCAGTAAGGACGCCTCCGGTGCTGTTGACGAATCGGTCGGTGTCGTAGTAGAATCCTGTAGCGACGAGGTTGATATTCGTGGAGGCACGGTACCTGCTCGGAAGAAGTGAGTTCACGAAAGCCTCGCATACATATATGATCCAGACGCACAAAACCTTATCTACAATTTCGCATTGCGTGATGCTGGTAGCGATGGTATCGTCCGCACAAATCAAGGCGTCGCTGCCAGCTGCGGGTGGTACTCCATTCTCGGCGAACTCTACCCATGCGTCCGTAAGACCGCCTTCGGAGACGATGGTGGGGATATTGTCTTCGGCACGGGTATAACGAGAGTTGGTGTCGCCCATGATGACTATCGGGTTGCCAATGGACCATGTAGCAATGTAGTCTGCGACCTATGCGGGCCACGTATACGTTTAGTACGCAACTCATATTCTGACCGCGATGCGTAGAGTCAGCGCTCACCTGCTGAATGTTCGCGGTCCTCGCCTCCTCATCACCCTCTTCAATTCCAGCATCTGCATGCAAGTTGACAAAGTCGACATAGACACCCTCTTCGAGTCTGACCCTCATGAACGTGAAACCTTTTGGTGTCAAGCAGTCGTTTTCAGAAGCATCGGAGCATTCACCCCACTTGGTACGGCTAAAGTCGATCCAGTCGTAGTTGGAGAGGGTGTTGAGACCAGAACCGAATGGTACACCACCGGATGTGGCCGTCCTGTAGGGATGAGTGTCGTACTCATAAAGAGTGGCATGGTAGTTGAAGTCCTAAAACGTGGGCGATGTTGGGCAGGCTGAGCAAGATACACCAAAAGTGCTCGACTGATAAAGATTACCTCTTGAACGTGTACGACGTCGTAGGTGTATTGGGTGAGGATCTTCAGAGCATGCCGGAAGTTAGTGGTTTAGAATCACATGTCAAGAAGAGCTATCTACCTCGCCGATGAGCATTGTGTTTGTCGTCTTATCGGTTTCTCCATTGCCGTTGAGGATTTCCGGAAGACCTGTAGTCAAGAAAAGATATCTCAGCAGTTAGACAAGTGCGAATTTTTACGATGAAACTTACCGGCAACATTCAAGGTCAGCGTATTGAACGACCCTTGAGCATGGGCCACGGAGAAAAGACAGGCGAGAGACACGAAGACGCGAAGAGACAGCATGGCGATGAATAAGGAATGAACGAGAGACTGAGCAACGGTTCAGTGAAGCAACCGTCCACGGTGTCAGCAGTGCCATTCGGTATGAGCTTTTATACGGGACAGAGAAATGTACCCACACGAACGTGGATAGCACGAGATTTCGATCCCCGCGGCGAAAGAAGGCGAAAGAATAAACACAATCTTCCGGGAGCGAAAGACGGTTATCGAACGTGGCATGCATACTGCAGCTTTATAGCACAGGCGACAAAACCAAAGTGTAATTGATTCCGAGAGACGCTTCTCGTAAGGAAGACGGGATCGTCAGCTGCCAGGAGGATTCGTTGGCGACACGCAGCTATCTGTTCGCAGTCGGGTACATCGGACGGTAGGAACAGAGAAACTAGCTGAGGACATTCGGCCATACGTGCTTTCGTTGCCAGCGATTGTGTCAGAGAGGAGGTCCACGCGCAAAGATAATCTGAAGATGCATCTCGTAGCCCATAGAATGACTGGGAGTGAGAAAGTCGAGGGATGTGTCCTCAAGTCAACAAGGCACCAGTAACAGAAGCCTCTGAAACTTTACTGCGCATCTGCCGAGAGCAGCTGCATGGAGGGAAAAATCGCACAGAAGAAACTTTGCCAAGTCCACGGAAATGATGCAGAGTTTCCTTGGGACCTGAACTTAACCTCATCGTCGAGGAGAGGTCGAAGTTCGAACGTTTCAACATTTGCAACGGAGATTGGACCTGACCGGGACATCCCGGTGTGTGGCGTGCCCTTCAAGTTCTATCATTTTGCCAATAAATAGCTGAACACCCCCTCAAAAGATTCTTAGCAGTCATCATAGATTGTATACAACCATCCATATTTCACTTATCCTATAACATCTTACAACGTCTCCTCGACATCCTTCAACATACTCGCCATGGGCCACATTTGGGCTACCTTGCCATAGACCTCCCTCCCTTTTGCACTTCTCACCCCCGCCTCTTCGTTCCCGCCTTCAAAAATTATATCCTTTCTCTTCTCCTCGTACAGACTTGCCAGCTTTTGCGCAAGGACCCACTTCCACCTCCTAGCGCGCATGCTGCCCGTCCTATGCACATGGCTCAGATAAAGCAACCAATCCGCGTCTTGAGGGGAGTGTTTCTCGTGGGCTACGACACTGCCGGGAGTCTTTTTATTAGCCTGACTCTTGATGGCGATGGCATATTCCTGGCGAAGGGGCATGGCCCAACCCAGTGAGAGAACGAGCTTGCGGGCGTGTGGTTGAAAGGTCGTCAACGCGAGACGGCGGAGATAGCGGCAGGTGGAGGTGAGAGCCAGGTAGTCTGAGATTGAGAGGTGGGGTAAGAGAGCGTGTATAATGTCGACTGGTTGAGTTGTGAGGAGATCGGTCTGGGGATGAGGGTCCCCGACAGAAGAGAGACGTTTCTCGCTGACTTCGGTGAAGAACTTTGGGAAGCTGAATATAAGCGCAATAGTCATCAGCCTCTAAAATGCGGAGTCGGAAGAAATATTAATGATTGGACGTACACGTCGGGCCTGTTCAACGTCCAAGCGAGCTCGCTGTTCTTGATATCTTGCCACATAAATCCACAGTCTAGCCCGGACTCGCTCTTACCCGGGACCCAAAATTGCTCAATATCGACGTGCGAATCACGTCCACAATCAGTACCAAGGTTCTCATAGTCGAGCTCCCTGTATCGACCAGATAGGGTTCCCGTTTGTGGCATCCCCAACACGGGCTCCATCTCGCAGAGGCGGGTGAGAGATTCTTTGCTCCAGGAGTCGGCGTTGAGGGCTTTACGCAAGAATGCTGCGCATGTTGTGTGGAAGGCCATGACCTGGACAAACGATAGAGATGAACAGTATCATCAGTGGCGCTCCGAGGGAAATGTGGCACGAAGCACGGGCAGTGAATTGGTGCTTACGGTACACGGTGGGGATGGGCACTGCCAGGTCATGACCATGGATACGGGGTGTTTTCCGACATTGCTGAACATGTTGTTGTCTGCAAAAGAAACCAAATCAACTTGTGTTTCACTGAATCTGGTTGCGCTGATCTGACGCACCGGCATATTCATCATGCCTGAGCAATCCCGGAACGAACGTGCCCCAAATCACGGCCTTAACCATATATTTTTCCTGAGCCTTTGTCAAGATACCCTCAGGTGGCGGATGAGGGTCTACAGATATCCAGCTGGGCGTAAAAGGAAGGCGACAAAGGCTGCAAGACATGAACGTAGATGGTTGAGAACAGGAAGGCGGAGGACCAAAGCAAGAGAGCCGGGCAAATTTGAGGCGCGGAAACGCGTTTCTTATAGTGTGTCGGAGTTCATTGTGTGGCGAATCCGGAAGCGCAGCACAACAAGGCTTTTGTCCTCGTTCGGGAAGAAGCGTGTCTTTGGATAGACAAAGGGTGGCGGGTGTCATAAATCCACACCGCGCGTGGAGAAAAGCCGAGAGTCCTGATTTTTATACCAGCTAGTGATATGAGGCAAGTGTCCATCTGGATGGCCTGCTAAAGAATTTGAGAGGTCAAAATTCAATTCAGAGGAATAGGTACTGGATGCTCGCAGGCTCGCAAGTTCAAGTTCCGGGAACTTGGCTCTTTAACACGCCACACTCTTCATCAACATCCCACACAAGGAAGTGAGATCCTGACAACGATAGCGCGACAAGGCGGATGGCTATAAATTAATAGACAACAGGACAAAACAGGTATAGGCATGTCCGCTTATGAGTTAGATAGATATAGCAGCTCCGGGCTCTCTGCCCGAGCGAAGATGATGGTACAATGTGAGGTTATTCTGCGCCGAACAAAGAGTTTGGTGAGCATCGATCACCGAGGGTCAAAGGTCGGACTTACATGTTATAGTACTTACACATACAATGGCTGCTCATTGCTCGGACGCAGGCCCGAATACTTGAGCGACGGACTCCAATACCACCTTTGGCTGCAACAGAACAGTCCGTTCAATGCCTAGGGCTCCATTCACCGCCACTCCCTTCGCCGTCCCATCCATTGACTTCACATTCACCGTCTTCCGCGTCGAACACCTCAGCCCGAGCTCTGTCGTACACAGCACAGAACCCTTCGAGGCTGCATGACCTCCGAACGCATTCGTCATCGTAATGGTATCGAAAGCCCTGGCTTGTTCAACAAGGATAAGCTCGAAGTTCGTCGACATGATCTCCTCCTTGATCACCCGCGCCAGGTGGCACGCCGCTATAGCGATGCGACGAACTTGTTGGCCAAAACGAGCTTTGAGGGCGTCGGGAGAAGTCAGGGGGATCTCGGTGTGAATGCAGCCGCAGAGGACGAAGATGTCCGCATAGGCGCGAAGAATAATATCGACAAATTCAAAGACGGCGTGCTCTTCCAGACGGGGGTTGAGTGCGCGGATGTGACTCAAAGCTAATGCTCGCCAACGTGAAGATGTAGCCTGAGGTTCTGTGGGCAGTCACTCAGTAAGAGAGCGAGGCATATAATTGTTAATAGCCGCTCAACGCACCCGTCGCTTGCATGTGGAAATATAGCTGAGAAAATAGTTCGTTCGGCATGATGGGGAAACCGATACAGAATCCAGACAGCAGGCGTGCCGTACAAGTGGTCATGCACGCCTGCAGGCTGAACTGGATAAGTGTAGGATCTTGCGAGTGATTCCGTGTCGCGAGAATGCGGGCGAACATAGGTCCCAACCTCGAGGCCGTATCCTTCCCAGCCTGTGCCACCTTCGCTGGGGGATACTTGGCACGCCTGTGCGTTACTGTGGTGAGCTCGGCAGCTGCGGCAGAGAGCTGGAGGATCTCTGAATTTAGGTCCTGGACGGCCTCGATGACCTGTGCGCCTGACCAACTGTCCGTCTTGGTGAGAAAGACTTCGAGGCCGTGCATGGAGGCGAAGGTACTGCTATCGGTGATGTCGAGACTAATCGGGCGTGGAACTGGAGGTTGGGACCTATTCCTACGGCTGTTGAAAGTTGCTGTGCTATCGGCACGACGTAGTCTGGGACGATTCCTGCCATCGTAATCCACGTCATCGTCGTATGGGTCTCTGCTCGAAATGGATACTGTAGTTCGGCTGGGAATGGGAGTTGGGCCACTGGACCGGGGAGTCGTCGGGCTGCGATCCGTGTTTTGGCTGTTCCGACGCATCAGCGATATCCTCTCCCGTTCTCTCTTCAAGTCATCCACCTCCCTCTCGCGAGACCGCAAGGCATCGGTCGTATCCTTCAACACCTTTTCGAGATCCTTGCATCGCTGAAGGTACTTCGTGCGCTCTGCCTGGACTTTGGCGAGCTCTTTGAGAGTGATATCGAGTTCGCTGCGGATGGATGCGAGAGCCATGGATGCAGGAGGTTCTGGGCGAGTTTGTGGGGAGCATCCGTTACTCCCGGGTCGACGTTCTGTCGACTGTCCTTCACCCCTCCTTCGTCTCGAAGCTCTACCACGCGTCAGTTTGTCGAGTCGAAGGTGTTGGACGGGAGTCAGGTTCTGCGCACGCGAGGTCGGATCAGGATCGGTGGAGATGTGATTATCGTTCGTGGTTGAGGATAGACCGTGGAAGGATATGAGTGGGTTGCGGAGCGCGAAGAACTCGACGGATGAATCGTAGAGATCTTTGACATGATGTACATTAGCATGTTGCGGCATACGAAGAGAGCGATTGAAAGGAAGAGGACAGTTACAATAGCGAGTACGACGAGAGGGGAGTCTGCTTGCCCTCTCCCTCGAGGATCACAGACGGATGATGGCGAGTGAGGCAGGCTGTATCCCTCTCCATCCACCCCGGCAACGCCTGCAGGCAGTCCGGGCCACGCTCCAAGCCGCGTTTTGTTCGCATTGGCAGGAGAACAGGCTAGACAGGTCACAATCAATCATGTTCCAATTCTTTTCGGCCTCGTGTATTACGATGCACGCCTCGAGCACCCCACGCCTTCGTACTTATGCTGCCTTCCAGTCCTTTCGTGCTCTCACACCACCTTCCTCTCCCTCAAGCTCGATCCACCCGTTATCATCGTATTGCACGTTTCCGCTCGCGGTGCGCTGAGCGCAAACCGACAATATGACACTCACCAGCGATACCCGGAAACCATACCGGGGCACGACTCGAGCTCTCGTTCTTGCTTTTGATGTCGGAACCACGTTCAGCGGTGTATCATACGCCATCCTCGAGCCGGGCGAAGTCCCAAAGATCCACGGCGTGACTCGGTGCGGCGACGATCTTGTTGTACGGTTGAGTATAATCGCGTAGCTGACTCGCAGTTCAATTCGGGGCAGATTTCCGGGCCAGGAGCATGTCGCAGGTAACTCCAAGATCCCGACAATAATGTACTACGACCAGCATGGCGTGATGAAAGCAGCAGGCGCGGAAGCAGAGGGCGCGGCCATAAACGATCTCGCAGAAGACGAAGGATGGTTGAGGGTCGAGCTGTGCGTTCGACTCCTTCAAATGCACGCTTTGCACTCTAATCACAAAATGCCTAATTTGCTTCCGTAGGTTCAAGCTTCGTCTTCGTCCAAAGACGATGAAGCTTCACATGAACGGGATGCGTCTCCCACCAATACCCAAAGGCAAGACTTCGACCGAGGTCTTTGGCGATTTCTTGGGGTATCTCTTCCGCTGCTCTAAGAATTTCATTATCGATACCCACGCAAACGGCGCAATATTGTGGCGCGCGGTTGAGAAGGACTTGCAGTTTGTCTTGAGTCACCCAAACGGGTGGGAAGGCGCTCAACAATCCAGAATGAGGAGAGCAGCAATACACGGTGGCTTGATTCCTGACACGGACTCAGGCAAGGCCAGAATCAGATTCGTCACCGAGGGAGAGGCCAGTCTGCACGCTTGTGTGCTGAACGGGCTAGCAAACGACGTTCTCTCGGTTTGTTTTATTTTCATTTGTATTCGATTAGGGCGGCGTCTAATAGATAACGCCACAGGATCCCTCTGGACGTGGATTCCTAGTAGCAGACGCAGGAGGCGGTACTCTAGACATAAGTTCCTACGCTATTCGGGGCACCCAACCTCTCGTCATGGAGGAGATAGCACCCGCAGATTGTCAGGATTATTTCCACCGACTTGTGATCTTCATTGCGCTGACATTATCCTACAGGCGTCTTCGCTGGTTCCGTTTTCGTGAGCCGGCGAGCACGAGAGTTCCTGAAAGGTGGGTCAGTTCAATTTTCCAATGTAGTTTCAAAACTCACTCGCATACTCGATCCCAGAGAAGCTGAAGACCTCCAAATATGGCACGCCCGACGCTGTCGATCACATCACAAAGAAATTCGACGAGACGACGAAACGTCTTTTCCGCGACAAGAAAGACCTACAATTCATCCCTTTCGGATCGCCACTCGACAAAGACCTGAGTGTTGGGATCCGTGGAGGACAGCTCAAGCTGACCGGGTAAGTGGCGTCGAGGCAAACATTTGTTGACGTACTCATCCTGGTTTTCTGTGTAGAAACGAGATCGCGGCCCTCTTCGAACCATCTGTGGAGGCTGCCGTCGTGTCCATCAAGGCCCAGATCAACGCCAGTCGAGGTGTTGTCAAGTCTGTATGGCTCGTAGGAGGGTTCGCCGCGAGTCCATGGCTCTTCACACAACTGCAAGAACGTCTCGCGCCTCTCGGCATCGTCGTCTCTCGACCTGATAGCCAAACGTCAGTCTCTGCATTGTATACTTTTCTCCAAATAGACCCACTGAACTCTCACCTCTGTGATCTCAGGTCGAAGGCGGTAGCGGATGGAGCCATCGGGTTTTATTGTGATCACCACGTTGCCGCCCGCATGTCCAAGTTCATGTACGGCGTCGAATATCTGCGGGAATTCGACCCGCAAGACCCGGACCATGTCGCAAGGAAGGATAGGCTATGTGAGCTGCCCTCTGGCCCCCGTCTCCTCGCCGACGCCTTCGATTGCATCCTCGCACGGGTACGTACCGCCTTTCCCCATCACGAAACACATCCACTAACATTTGCCCACCAATTGCGTGTTCATAAACACAGAGCGTCCGCGTCAAAGAGTCGACCGTCTTCAGCCGCAAGTATTGCACCGAAGTCACCTCTCTCTCCACCCTCTCCGTCTTCGAGGTCGAAATCTGGTGCTTCCGCGGCGGGGACACCGTCCCGAAGTGGATTGAGCGCCAGGCGGAGAACTTCTCCACGCTGTGCGTCGTCCAGGCCGATTTGAGTCCTCTTAGTGGGAGCGCACAGCCGAAACAGGGGAGAGGAGGGAAGCAGTATTGGACGATTGTTTTTAGTGTGGAGATTCACTTTGGTTTGACGGAGTTCAAGGCGAGGATCAAGTGGGTCGACAATGTGAGTGGATCAGCGATCTTCTCGGTCCTGAGTGAAGGAATATTAGTTTATTGACGGATATTTGTCTATAGGGGAAGACGAGATAGTAGGTTTCACTGATGCTGTATTCTCATTTGCACTTTGCTGACGGTACTTTTCTTTGCAGTGGCCCTGCATCCATCGTCTACAACGAATCCGGTCATCGTGCCGATGAAGAAGAGGGAGATAGCGGTAATGAAGACGAAGGAGGCACCAACTCCCGCCTACGCTCAGCTGTCACTTCCCGCGCACCCTCGCGAGACGAACAGGCTGCTCCCGTCCAACAACGCGAGGTCGAACTTCCCGTGCCCGAACAGCAAGGCTACCGCGACGTGCCCAACACCGAGCTCAGAGTCACAAACCCCAGCACGCCCAGCGTACACGGCAGTAGCGCCAGCATCCGTACGCCGACCAGCTCTCATCATCGATCACGTACAACGTCCAACACACAGTCTCAGACGGGTTCTCAATCGCACACTCACTCTCGTAGTACGTCCCAGATCTACGCCCAGAACGGCGTTACCCCTTCCGAGTTGTTGGCCGCGGAGAGAAGGGATAAGGGCAAGCAGAGAGAGATGTCGGCGCCTTCGGGAGGTCAGTCGAGGTCGTCCATGGCTCCTCGTGGCTTAGACTCTCGTGGGTACGACCTTCCGCCACCGATGACACCAAGCGAATCGTCCGGCTCTCGAAGAAGTGGAAACGCCCGTCTCGCTGAAGCTCTATCCTCAGTGTGGGGCGCGGCTCCCTCAACGACATCGTCCACGAACGCATCCAAGCTTCCTTCTCCACTCGTGGACGGACCATCGGCACAAAGTAGGCTCCCCACCGTGCACGAGAACCCTCCCGCGTCTGTCCCAAAGACGCCCCGAGCTAATGGTGGAGTTTCTCCCAGGCCAGGTATCCAGACTTCAGGCCACGGCACTCGAGGACCTCCGTCACCTCGTGGCGAGACTGTTGTAACGCCGACGCAGAACGCTCGCTCCGCATCGCCAATCCCGTCCTTCGCCGCCGTCGACCCGATACCAGAACCCGAGCCGGAACCTGCAGCACCTCCGCCTCCACCTCCTGCACCAGCATCTCGCACCTCGAGAGCTGCTTCACGAGCAGCCGCATCACCAGCCCAAGCATCCACGCCAAAACCGAGTGCGACCGAACGTGCAGCTTCGCCGATCCCTTCTATGGCTGCTGCTGAACCACCCGCCGACTCCGTTACGCCCATAGACCCCGTTCCGGAACCCACCCCCGAACCTCCTGCAGCAGAACCCGCTGCAGTAGAACCCGCTGCAGTAGAACCCGAGCCTACTCCCGAACCTCCTGCGCCTCCTGCAGTCTCAACGTCCAAGTCTAAGGCCGCATCTAAGGCCGCGTCCAAAGTAGGCACTCCCGCCAAAACCCCTGCCGCTGGAACCCCTGCGGCTGGTACACCGAAACCGATGTCGAAAGCTGCCAGTAAAGCTGCCAGCAAGGCGGCGAGCAAAGCAGCGAGTAAGATACCGACGCCTTGGGGTACTCAGACGCCAGCCGCTCAGCCCGAGCCTGTCCCAGAACCAGAACAAGTGGAGGAAGCGCCTGCTCCTCCCGCTCCGGAGGTGGTGAACGAGCCTGCTGTTCCTGAACCGAGTCCACCAGTGGAAGAAGCGGCGGTCGTACCTGCCGTGGCCGAAGCCCCTGTTGAGCAGCAGCCGGAGGCTGGTAGTGGTGGTGGTGCAAATGCGGACTTTGTCGACTTAAGTGGCGCGGGCGATAACGCTGGCGGTAACGACGGAGACACCTTCGAGATGGTGGGTCTTCCCGGAGGACTGAATGACACGAAACGTCCAGAGGAAGAACAGCCGACTGGTGCATTGGCTACGTCCGACGCTGGATCCGGTGTCGGTGGTTTATTCGGCGGTGGCAATGCGATCTCAAGTTTCATAGGTGGTGGATGGGGAGGGTCTAAATCTCCTGGTGAAAAGAGTGGCGGCGGCGGTGGCGGTGGCGGTTGGGGCAGTCTCTTGGGAGGAAGTCCGTCTGCTGGAGAGGAGAATAAGGGAGCAGGCGGTGGATGGGGTGGGTTCAGCGCGTTTGGAGGTGGAGGTGGAGGCGGAGGTGGAGGAGGCTGGGGATCCTTTGGAGCAGGAACAGGTGGTGGTGCTAGTGGTGATGGCGGGGGAAACAGTGGCGGCGGAGGTGATGGTTGGGGCCTTACGAGTGGAGGTGGAAATGGAGAAGGTGGAGGTGGAGGCGGTGAAGGCAATTGGGAAGGTGATAACTCTGGAGGCGGTTGGGGAGCTTCGGGCGACGGTGGGTTTGGGGAGAGCACCGCTGAGGGGACCGGTGGCGAATTGCTCGATGCACCACAGAGCATGGACGTCGCGATTGTACCTGAAGGGGGTGAGGATGTGGCGGCTCTGGCGCTCACGACCACGGAAGAACCACAGGGAGACGGCGCACCTGCGGTAGATCCTCTGGTTGGGGCGGTCCCACCGGACAGCGAAGGGGCGGGGACGGAAGATGCACCTGCAGAGGATGAGGCTCCAAAACCGGAGGAGGGTACCGATCCGGTAGCAGAAACCCCTACTGCTGAGCAAGCTGAGGATGGCGAGTGGGGAGGATTCGACGTTAAGACGAAGAAGGGCAAGAAGAAAGCGGGCTCTGGTGCTACTACGGGTGGTCCGACGACGGCTGCTGCGTCTGGGGCTGCGACACCTGCCGGGGATAAGGAAGACGATGGAGGAAAGGGTAACAAGAAGGGTAAGGGTGGAGGCGGCAAGAAGGGCAAGAAGGGCAAATAGTCCGTTGATCATTGCGGGGGGTTGTAAGTTCCATGATATGTTAGACGGTTTGGCCCTCGTGTGGCTTTCGTGTGTTGTACTCCTGGCTGTCGGTCGTATGCTTAGTTGTTAGTTATGTTGTGTTTGTCCATGTACTACTCTACTCTGATGTACTTTTAGCGCTTTGAATGCCTATATAGCAATACCTTTCTTGGATAGAAGCGGTATGACGCTACTTGATGTTGTACGCCTGTCATGATGAGCCATCAGACCATCTCAAAAAATATGCGACATACGTATACTCTCCACAAAGTTGAATACCAGAAAAAATATGAGCCTACTCGAGACAGCAGAGGGACAAAGGCGTGGGAGAACGGTCGCGTCGCGATGGGGGCCAAACAGGGACCAAACAGGCCGTGCGTTGCGGCAGCCTCACGACTTGAACACCTTCGCTGCAGCCCGTTGCCTCCCCGCATCCGCGCCTTTCTCATTCATCGCTCAGCTAATTTTGCGTCGAGGGACGATACATGTCCTTCTCGGGAACTCCTCTCGGTCAAGGCAGACGTCTCGATCACCACACTTTTCTCAACAAGACAAACCCGAACAACCATATCAACTTGCCCCGCGCTCCTGCTTCTCCCCCTAAAGATCGTCCTGTTCCCGCGTCCTACGCGTACGGGTGAGTTCTTTATCTTCATCCTTATCTTCTACCGTCTGTGGTGCCGCCTGCTGCTGTGGGTGAGCGACGCGATGCAGTCAGAAGAGCCGGAAGCAGAGCACGCGCTACATAAAGTCGTTGATGTCAGTCGCAGCACTGTCGAAACTCGACATTTTCTTCGAGCAAATGCCGATCCTGTTGATAATGCTAAAGTTCATCTGAATGCAGAGGACCGAGTCTGTTTTTTTGGACCGAGGACGGCTGTTGAAGAGTCGAACCGCGTCACTGATGCAACTATCGCGTTCATCACGGGACATGCCTGTTGACTGCTTCTGCTGGCTCGCGTCGGTACACGAAAAGCGTTGTTCGCTACGTTCAAAGCGCAAGGCAGACAAACACGCCTGCCTGCGCATTGTCCTTTTGTCAGGCCTTGCAATCGACACAGCATGTCTCACCTGTATTATTTAATTTCCTGCGACACTGACGTTGTTTCATTTTTCGCTTTGCAGCGCGCCCACGCTCGGAACACGTTCACCCCCTAAATCAGGTGCATCTATTAGCCAGGAGGATAACGCACTTGCACGCTTCGCACGTCTCAAGCAACGCCAACAATTATCTTCGTCCTCGTCTCAAACTCAGACCCAGACCAAAACTCTAGAACCAACAAGGTGGGCCGTACGAGACACCTCCGTCCAAGTCGCCAACGCATTCCAACAAGCCGCTACATCGTCCAACCCCGTCGTATCCACCTCATACTCTCAATCCCAGTCCTATTCCGACGGGCCCAGTAATTCCAGCATGAACCCTACCGATGCGTGGGCCTCTCAAGGCTCCCGCAGCACACAACAGATCCCTCGATCCACATCCGCCGAGTTCGAACAACAGGCCTCCACACACGGTGGTCGTCGTTTCGCCGAACCTCCCAAACGCAACGGCGGTCCTCCGCCAGCCAAGTCGACGGGTACTGCCACCCGTCAAGCGATTCCTTCCAACGGCTCCTTGACCATCATACCCGATTCGGAAGGTGAAGACGAGCTGTTTCGACGCCGAGATCCTATGACGCGCGGAAAGAGCCCTATCGATACCGCGGTGGATATCGCCAAACGAGCTGCATTCTATCTGCGTCAGAAACCGTCCGATATTCCTGCAGACGATTCGGTGGCACAAGTCGAAGCGTACGTGAATGGCAATGGCCACAACCCCCAAGAATCGTATGATTACTCGAATGAAGAGAGGGAGTATCAGAAGGAGATGGAGGCACAGAACCAGAAGTCCGCTTCTCAACGGCGCACAGCTCCGGGCGTCCATAAGCGTGGACGGATTTCGGTCGACAACAAAGCTTATAAGCCTACCATATCAGATTACGAAGATTCGGACGGAGAGCTGTCGGATGACGGAAAGAAGAGGAGGAAAAAGAAGAAGAAAGATCTCAGTGGGTTGTCGCTACCGATCATGGCAGGAGAGAAGAGGAAAAGGCGCAAAAGCAGAGGGTCCAAAGGCGACATGCAAGCGGGATCGGATGAAGAAGAAGGGAGCGAGAGCGAACATTCTCATTCTGTTAGTTGCATTCTGCCGATCTCTCCTCTGTCTCTAACAATGACGTCTTCATTCGTGCATGACAGCGGTCAGTACATTCTCAACCACCCACTCAAGTAATCGAACAACAGCAATCTCAGCAATCTCAGCAACGTGCCTCTGTTACTCGGTCCCTCCCTCCACCCTCACGCGCCTCCGCTTCGCGTACATCCGCACCTCCCGAACCCTTAGCCCAAGACGACCGCTCTCTCGAACAAGCTGAACAAGGGCAATCCTCGTTGGACTCTGTTCCCGAAGAAGTCTACGAAGAGTATCACGAAGCTCCCATGGTCCGACCATCACACCCCTACGCTCGCCGTCGCGGTCGCGCTTTCAGCGTCGGGGGTCTGCTAGGCAAACTCGTCCACGCCCTATATCTATTCGGCGTACGGAGCGTGACGTTGTTCTTCTGGGCGATCTCGGAGTTCACCAGAGTGGTCGGGAAGACGCTGGGCATGACGTTGAAGCCGGTAACATTCGTGACGGACATGCCGACCACGCCACTCCTCAAAGGAGCCGGTTGGATCCTCGCACTCGCGATGCTATGGGGCGCTTGGAACAATATGCCTTCGAATCTCATGGACTACGTCCCTCACGTATCGCTACCCTCGCGGTCATCAGGTCATCCCGCATACCAGGCCCCGGAGCTTCCTGCTGCCAATGTCGCGGAGATCTCACAGCGGCTACTCAGCTTGGAGAACGCCCTCGCAGGCCTTTCCCTCGAGACCGAACGGACGCGGGCGAGCACATCGGCGAAGCATAACGAACTGCTTGGACAACTTGGACAGATCGAAACGCAGGTGCAGAAGGAGAATAGAAGGGCTATCGAGGCGGAGAGTCAGTATTCTAGCGCGGCTTCGCAGAGCCTGCTGCTCGTTCGGAGGGAGATCGACAGTCTCCAGGAGGCACTCAAGTCTGGGGAGTACACCCAAGAGAAGACCACGGTGGTCGAGAAGATCATCGAGAGCACTGGCCCTAGCAGCGACGAGGAAGCGAGGGCGAAGTTAGCTGCACTAGAGGAAAGGGTCAATGGCGTCGAAGGTGGCGTCAAGGAGGCGCTGGAGATTGGCAAGACGGCGGTGAAGGCCGGTGGCGCTGCGGCTGGAGGTGCCGCGACTTGGTGGCAGCGGTCGTCTTCGTCTGCGAACAAGGGTCTGACGATCAAGTCGGGCGACGGACAGGACGTGACGGCGTTGATCGATCATATGGTCGAGTCGGCGGTGTCCAGGCGAGGGAGAGATGGTATCGCGAAGCCCGATTTCGCGTTGAACTCTGGAGGCGCCAGCGTCATTCCCGCACTCACGTCCGAGACGCTTGAGATCAAAGTCGAAGGACTCAAGGCCTTGCTCGGGCTCTTCACCGGCTACGGTGGCGTCATTGGAAGGCCACCCATCACTGCGCTCCACCACGAGAACCATAACGGACACTGTTGGCCATTCGAGGGCTCGCAGGGGCATCTGGGTGTGCAGTTGGCTCACCCGGCGTACGTGGAGGAGATCTCGATTGATCATGTCGCTCGAGAGGTCGCCTGGGATTTGAGGAGCGCACCGAGGGAGATGGAGGTCTGGGGTTTGATTGAGGGCAAGGCTAATTTCGAGAAGGTCAGGGAGTGGAAGGTCGCTAAGGCTGCAGAGCGCTTGCAGAAAGCGGACGAGGCGGGCATCTCGACGGACTCGGCCGACGTTACTGTCCTCGACGACGAAGGTGAAGAATATCCTGACTTCTTGCCGCGGGATATGATGTTCGTCCGGATCGCCAGCTTCGAGTATGACGTACGGAGGGACGAGGAGATCCAGACGTTCCCGGTGGATGAGGAGGTCAAGGCTCTCGGAATCGACTTTGGAGTGGTGGTGTTGAGCGTGAAGTCGAACTGGGGTAAGGAGTTCACATGCCTCTATAGGATGAGGGTGCATGGTCAGAGGATGCAGGATACCTTGGCGGATTCGGAGACGACACCCACGGACGCGCCGGAGCCTGAGCCCACACAGGCTCCTTAATCGCACTCAGCCGCCCCGTCCTCAAGTTTCAATCGTTATGCCCTCCTCCGACATCATCATGCCTCATGCCTCATGCCCTCCATATTCCACATGTTCGATAACTGCAAGCAATTCCTTACGTCTAAATAACTCGACGATATATGGCGAACTCACTCTCCGGATACTCATGCACATATACTATCTTTGTTGTCTGTAGTACCTTACACAATGCGTTCCCCCACATTACATATTGCTCGCCTTCTTCCATTCGTTCAGGTCTCTCTTGCTCTCGATGCATGCTCGCTAGGTCCACTCACGAACGTCCTCCTTTATGATAGTACTTTATTATCTTTACACCTCTTCTCTCTCTCTCGTCGTAACCCGTATCTGCTTCTTTATAGTTTCCCTGCTTCGCTGTCTTCAAAGCCTTCGTGTGTGCATAGTTCTGAATTGCTTTTCTTTTCGTTCGTCGACTTCTCTATTTCCTATTGGTACTGATGTAGTGTCGGAAGTGCAGTTACAGTGAATCTTCTCGTAGTTCTTTTTTCTTCTTATAGTAGGTAATAGCGTAAGTACATCGCTATGGCTGAGGTGTCAATGTCAAATTAGCAGCAGTTTCGAATTTCTCTCTTTCCGTCTCTGTCTGAGTGCACAAAGCCGTACCATCTAAGTACGAGGACCTCCCTACTCTAAGCTCGTCGCCTCAAGAACTTCCTCGAGTCGTTTCTCTGCTCTCGCCCAATCATCTTCGGGACTCCCCGTCCACTGAAACTCCCATCTCTTGGCAATTTCTTCTCTCCACTGCTCCAATGCGTTTTCGTCCGCACGGTCAGCTCCGTCATATGCAGGTCCATTGAATTCGTACAGCATGCCAAGCTCGCGCGATCTAGCGACGATGTCTTGAGCCACGGAAAGACGGGCATCTTGGTATATTTGGAGGGCAGTGGCGATGAGCTCGTGTTTATTTGTACTGGTGGAGATTCGGAAGGATTCTAAGGTGGCGAGGAGACGGCCGAGGATAAAGGCGTCCTGGAAATGTGTGTGGCGATTATTTACCAGCTTGCGTATTGGAGTGAACAAGACTGTGCAATACCTCTATTGCTTGACCTGCCCCTGCTGAGGCGTTCGTCGTCATTGCATGGACCTGTACAAAGTAAGAATTCGTCAATTCCGCCATGATCGTATACACAGAATAAACAATACACTGAGACAAAAGACCTACCGCGTCGCCGATGAGCGGCACATTCCCGCGAACGCACAGTGGCATCTTACCACAGACGTGCACCGCCCATCGTGAAGTTGTCGGCTCCATACTCTATGATCGCTCAACCATAAAGTCTATACTTAGCGGTGCGGATGAGAAGACGAGACTTGGATCTTCCATTCACATCGAGCATAGCCTGAACCTGCGGCTCCCAGCCTCTGTACCGTTCAACGACTTCGTCTTTAGAGCAGTCGCTCACCCATCTGCCTGGGAGGGCCTTGCCTTCGTGGTACTGATGAGTGTCGAACGCCAGAACGTTGATCAAAGTCTGTTGTGCAATGGGATATGCTATAATATGCTGGTATAGATGGATTTGATTAGTCGGGGTTGATGAATAACGGGAGGAGTATCGTGGCTTCGTGTTTACCTTTCCCTTTCCACTATACTGTGAAGGTATGCTGAGTCAGTATACGCAAATCCAGGAGCAGGGAAAGTAACGATCACCAAAGGGCATGCTCACACTGAAGGCGGCCACTGTGGTCAAGACCGGGTGCGTGGGATAGATCTCACGAAGCTTGTCTGCCTTGATGAGTGTCCTATACACCATCGTTCCCGATCATTGAGGCTCGATAGTCTGTCGCAAACCATCTTCGAGTTCTGGCAAGGCGGTCCCCGCGTCAAGCATGTCATTGAACAAAACACGCCGCACTACCGAGCGGACACCGTCGGCCCCTACAAGAACGTCTGCTTCGGCGATTGTCTCGTCTCCGAACTGTAAGATATATCGTCCAGGGGATGATTGACTAAATGTGGTCAAAGTCTTGGAAGTATGTATGGTGCAGGATGCGGAAAGACGGCTTTTTAGCATGTCGATGAGGGCAGCCCGGTGTAGAGGTATAGGTGAATCTGACGCTCAGGTGAATATATGTCAAAATGATATGTTACAAGAGGGCTTACACTGTGAAACGAGGCGGTTGATTTCGCTCCCTTCAGTTGGCTGGTCACTTCTGCGCAAAATCATCCCCAGACCTGAGGTAAATCCAAAGCAATTCAGTGACAGAACGAACAGTGATAAAGACAAACAGACTTTGGCCGTCGGAGGGATGAGAAATTCCTCTCTTTGTCATCTCGACGTCTAACCCTATCTGACGCATAACCTCCCATGTTCGTTTCCAAACGACAAGACCAGCACCGACCGTGCCCATCTCCTGAGCAGACTCGTAGATGTCGACAACGATTTGTGAATATTTCCCAAGAGTGACGGCCAGGCTGAGTCCCGCGATACCACCACCACTGAAAGTCGGAGGGAGATGAGCTATGGGCATGCACTGTAGGCATCGAGACGATCTACCAAATGGCGACTCTGAGTCTTTCAGTCGGCATCATGGAAGAGAGGATGATTTTCGAGCGGGGGCTGAGTTGGAGGGTGATGGCCTCAGCTTCGCGAGCTCACCGAGAATTCGAGAGTCGCCTCTTGAGAGGAAATGATTTGGGTATCAACGCTCACAGGGTTGTTGCATGACTGCAACCTTCTAGATCCACCAATTAGGGCGAGAGAATAGACCATGGGAAACGAGAGACAAGCTACTAGCATCAAGTCCAGTGAGCGTGAGATGCAACACTCCTTGTGCCAGTCTCGAATTAGAGCGAATAAAAGACGGAACAGTAATCCTGAGAATAGCTCTCGACCGCAAAGGCTCTCAGTGACCAGAAGAGCGTTAATTGGCAGTAGTTTGTATGAGCCCAAGTAGGACCTATATAAGACTCGGAATCACCAGATGTGTATGTTACAATGCAACTTTGTCGACGCAAGAGGTTGCTACTCGAGTTCAACTTGGGCCTTGATAGATTGGATGGATGAGCAACTTTAGGCTCTCGATTCAGAGTAAAAGCGACAGCGATTGGACGGGAAGAGTGTCAATCCATATTTATCATCAGCCACGGTGGGCTCATTACGAACAAGGACCCCGAAAACAACCCGAGAACTTGGGTAAAGACCGGGGCGGTATGTATAAAGTCGTTCATATCCCAAGCGGCTACAACTTGTCTTGATCCCCCATTATATACTTCGCTTATCTTGTCGCAGAATATCCTGTTGTTGTCGGCCGCAGACATGACAGTGTACACCGCGCCAGCTCCTCCACCTCTGCCTCAAGATGCGACCCAGCCATACGCATCGTTGCCTCCGAAGCAACAGGAGATGTATGAGGAGGTATTGGCCCACTTTGTCACGGAAGACTACGCGCTACCTGGGGCTAAGGAAGGAAAGGGAGCATTGATGGAAGAGGAGAAGTTTTGGCTGGTGAGCATCACATTCCGAACGCACTTGGACGAAGTGTGGCGCGCTGTCCGTGCAAGTTTGGGTGTTGTCCGCAATACTGACGGAGTTGTGCTCTATTTAACGTGACACTGTGTACTCGTGACGTAATTATAGTCTAGGGAATGTCTCCTCCGGTCAGGCCCTCTCCTCCGTCGCGTAGTGCTACCACTAAACTAGCATTCTAGCTACCTGCGCGCGGTCAAGTGGCACTCAGCGGACCAAGCCATCAAGAGACTGGAAGATACTCTCAAATGGCGACGAGAGTTCGGTATCTACGAAATGACGGATTCGCATGTTGAACCTGAGGTCAGTTTCTTGTTTTGTCTTGCGAACGCTTCCCCCATCAATGTCTGTCACTCACCTCTCCCTCTGTCCCTGCAACATAGCTCGTGACTGGCAAGATGATCATCTCTGGTTATGATACCCAACGGAGGCCTGCTCTATATTTGTTACCCAGCCGTCAAAACACAGAAGAGTCGCATAGGCAGATAGAGGTAACTGTATGGTGCTTAGAGCGAACACTTGATCTCGCTGGCCCTGGTGTCGAGTACGTCCATTTAACACAAGTTATATTTGTCAAATATACTCATGAAACTACCTCTGTGAAGGTCCTTGACGCTTATGATCAATTACGCGGACAGAGGGAAGAATCCCTCCATGAGCACCTCCAGAACCGTTCGTTCATCTTGTTGGCACCTTTGTATACATGGATTCATAGGCTAAATCATCTACACCACACAGGTCCTTAGTATCTTGCAGAACCACTATCCCGAACGGTATGCTCCCCCTTCTGACAAATACGAGGCCGTCAATGACTAATGTTTCCGCTTACTAGCCTTGGCGCTGCCCTCATCCTCAACCTCCCCTTCCTTCTCAACGCTTTCTATAAGCTCATAACCCCATTCATCGACCCTATCACCCGCGCAAAGATGAAGTTCAACCCATCACCCATCACAGACGGACTCTTCACCCCCGAACAGCTGTTCAAACCAGGAGGTTGGGGAGGAAGCGTGGAGTTCGAGTACGAACACGAAAAGTACTTCAAACCTCTAGTGGAGCTATGCCAGCAGAGAGCGGAAGCACAGATGAAGGCTTGGAGGGAGATGGGCGGTGGTGTAGGGCTTAGTGAGTGGGACTTCAAGACGAAGGCTGAGGGGATCAAACCCGAGGCAGAACATACTGAGGTCGAAAAAGTCGCTGAGGCGGTCGAGGTAGAGACGCCAGAAGTAGTGGGTGTTGCTGCATGAGTAGAACGCTGATCTGGTCGTAGGATTTTGTGGAGGGGTTGCTCCACGGTGATGCTAGAGGTTTTCGTCTTGCCGCCTCAATTATATTATACGGATGATACATAATTGGACTACCCATGGGTTACGCATTGACGCCCAATATTTCGACATATAGATACACGAGTCAGATAGATATACTGTCCTCTCGTACACTGCAATGAATAGGAAAAACACATTGTCCATGTGCTCGCGGTTGGTTAGCAGAATCACTCTTGCTTGTTTACATACTAGCAACAAGTAGTGTAGAGCCTGTCGACATGGCCGAAGTGCGAGTTACGACTCTATTGGGAGAAAAACGTATCCAAAAACGTATCCAGTAAAGCTACAGTATCGTGGTGAACAATGCCAATTAAGCCCTTTCTGGCTTTTATCTCAACTCATAACGTAGTAATATATAAAACGAGGGGAACATCCATGTAAGCAAGGTAACCCAGCCCACCGTCACCCAAGACTGAACCGTAAAGACGCAAAACAATGTATACATATGATCGTCGAGACCATAGATACAGCAAGGCAAGGAGAAAGCTCAACAACGACTGCAGAGAACTCGAAAGCACCGATCCAGACTACACGGCTCCATCGCGATACTGGGGCAATGGCTCGTCGTGGCTGCCTCTCCGTGGTGAAGTCCATCCAAACCTCTGAGCCAATCCTTCAACGATCTGATCCAGTGGTGGCACGGATTGTTGCGATGCTGTCACAGGAGTAGAAGTGTTCTGTCCAACGCTGGCCCCATAAGGTTCTCTCCTCTCGGGCTCGAAGTAGCCAAGTACCACGGGAGATTGTGGTACGATGCCCTTGCCACTGACAGAAACACTGCTGTATGCCTGCGAAGACCTTGGGAGACCGGTAGATAGAGGGAAAGCTTCGGAGGTGTACGGTTCAGTATACGGAGAGATATTGCGTGGACCTGGACGGTCGATAGCCCGTTTCTCGGTCGGACTGAAGATGGAGCCTTGTCTCCGACGGCGGAGGAAGAAGAAGATACCGAGGAGGATGAGAGCAACTCCTGCTACACCGCCAACAACACCACCTACGATGGCACCCGTTTTACTGGAGTGCGAAGACGAGGTGGGGGAGGCGGTTGACGAAGCGGAGGCGGTCGACGTTGAGCTGGGTGACGCGGAGGAAGAGCTTGTGGCGTTTTGACTATAGGACGAGTGTTGAATAAGTTTGCCCAGGTATATCTCTGATAAATATTTGTGACTTACGGGCAAAATATCACCTCCACCGAAGCCTGGGTGTTCAGAGAATAGTTTAGAGATATATGGTAGAAAGAACAAGATAGGATGCACACACAGTCGTATCCGTGCAATTTACGATACCGGAGGTCTCGGGTGGATCACGTATAGCATATTCACACGAACTTGTCAAGCCTATCAAACAGATCATCAGCGAGACGAGAAAATGACAATAGGAAAAGAAACTCACAACTGACGCCCGCTCCGTCACAACCGTTATAGTAACTATATCCCGCGTCAGAGGAGGTAAATCTCGTACAACCAACAACTTGATGACTGCCCACCTGAACTGTACGGGTACTGAGAACGCATGTCTGTCGGTGAACGTGAGCCGTTCGTGAGCCGCGCTCACGACTTTGAAATGCCCTCTGTCACTCACGTCGGAATCAAGTTGACCACCACGGAAGAGCTCCCGCCCGTCAACACCCCGAGATCGGCCGTTATTGTCGTGCAGTGCCCACCATTGGGACCGCAAGTACCTGCAAGTACCTGTTTTAGAATGTTGAAAGCCGTACATGTTTCAGAAGCGTTCATACCGTCGTTGAGAAAGCTACATCAGACGAGGAAGATGGACATCAGATGGGCCTATAAGTTAGCAGCCGACATCAGCACGTACATCTGACCCGAATCCAGCGTATCGTTCGTGTAGACCTCTCCCTCTCCTGTTGCAAGAGTATTAGAGGGAATTTGGTCGAGGGTTGGCTACAACTCGAAGTCAGTCTTGAGTCTCGAAATCCAATCGTTGAGATATGAGCGTACAGTTCCAAATCCACATCTAAACGGGAGGGTATCAAGATTAACCATTGATCATGCAACTTTGTATGCACTTACCTGTTAACCATAGTCACGGAATGCGAGGCCATTACTGTCTCTAGGAGGAAAAGAGCCATCACGATGAAAGATATAGTATGTTCTCGTAGCATGGGGAACCACGTCGTCGAGGCCATCGGAATGGTGGTCGTGAAAGAAAAGAGCGACGATGATAAGAGGTCGGCGAGGGCGCGGGCAGTAGACCTCTTCACCGAAGCCTCTATATGAAAGAACTTGATAGACACAGTGCCGGTGAAAAGAACTTACCGAAGGTCGAGCAGGGTCGAACTAGGAGGCGGTGTCACCGACTCAAAGGACTCTCGTACGTTTACGTATATAGTTGGACGCGTTTCAGCATCACGCGCATCGTACCAGGCCGTAGGTTACCAGAACGTTTGGCTGTAATATTCAAATCACGTCGTCCTTGTCAACAGCCAATGGTAGAGTACAGCGGGTAAGCCGTAAAGACATCTATACTTCTGCTGCGACCTATACTTACACGATAGCCTATCGCCTCATACTCAGCAAAATACCCGCGAAATGATCGTGAAGGCACCTAGTAGCTTGGCAACATGTCAGATCTTCCGACTCGAGGCTAGTATTACACCGCATGTCGGGGAAAGAACGGTGAACGAACGGAAGGAGATCTGATAATCATTGGTCATAGCAGCAACAGTGAGAAACTACAGTAATACTGCAGGTCGGGTGAAGGAAAGCATATATGTTGGATTGACTTGTGGACCAGTACGCAGTGTTTTTATCCGACTATTTTTGAGTACAATCTTGCTCGATAAGTAGTGGGCTTGATTCGAGTTGACGGGCGAAATCTGACCAAGATAGGATAAGTACCAGTACGCCGGCGTCTATGTCGTGCAACAAAGCAAGTAGCAAGAAAGTGAAGTGAAGTGAAGTGAGGGCCTATCTGCGCGGGTTCCAGTTGTCGCGTATACCTCAGGTCAGTTAGTCACGACGTCTGAATGGTCGTGGAATAAAGTACGAACTTGACCCAGTTGGTGGGAGACAGCAGGTGTGGCGACGAGATGTGGCACCGAATAGTAGAGCGAGTAACGTCGGGTCTATATCCGGAGAAGATCATGTTCCATCGGTTTCCCAAGTCGTGCTGCTCTCGTCCTATCTTCTCCAAGTCCACTGCCCAGACCACGACCAGCATCCGCAATAATTACCGCACCATGTACAACCTCACTAAGCCTTTCGAAGCGGCAAAACTGAAGGTCTCGGATATCCACACCCTTCAGTGCGTGGACGGCGCTTGTGAACGTGCCCGGTCGATCCTAATAATCTCCTCGATTATAGCTATGAAATCAGCGGAAATAGGGATGGTGTCCCAGGTGTGTGTTACTTGGTTTCTTCTACCTGAGATCTTATCAATTCAACCGCCTGTATAGTAATATTCGTTCACGGTGAGGACGCCACATCATCCCCATGCGCGAGATGTCGCGGTTCTTATCCCCATCTACCGTAAAGGTGGCCCTGGAGGCGGATGCATCGAACAGGACCGTGCATTCTTCAACCCGGAGAAGTGGAAGGTCATATTCTTGGACCAACGAGGAGCTGGCAAGTCGACTCCGTACGTCTCATCACTTCTCTGTGGCCTAAAGCCTCTGCTCCATGACGTATCTTACTTGGTGTATTCTCAAAGGAGCGCAAATCTCGAGGAGAACACCACATGGGATCTAGTAAAGGACATGGAGCGCTTGCGAGAACATCTTAAAATCGACAAGTGGCACGTCTTTGGTGGCTCCTGGGTGGGTTCTTTCATCCTACGTATAAGATCGGAACTGACTGTGCTTGCGAAGGGATCGACTCTTTCCCTTGCGTATTCTCAGGTACCTAGGCTTTTCAGCAATTCTATCTTTGACTTACATACCTTCCCGTGCATAGTCCCACCCTGATCGCGTGAAGAGTATGGTTCTTCGGTAAGCTTGCCCGCAAGGTAGTGAATCTTTGTTCACACCATTGCCACCAGCGGTATCTTCACTCTGCGAAAAAGGTACTTCATTTCTGTTCACTTGTTGACTCCGCTCACAACCTGTGAAGCGAGCTACATTTCTTTTACCAAAACGGTGCGTTTTCAGTCTACCGCCCTTCTTAATACCGCTCTAACCAGATGAATATAAAGGTACCTCCCATCTCTTTCCGGAGGCGTGGGAAGAATTTATAGCCCCTATTCCCGAACCCGAACGTGGCGACTTCATGCTGGCCTATCATGCTCAACTAAACTCGGTGGACGATGAGACGAGGCTGAGGGCCGCGAGGGCATGGTCCAAGTGGGAGTAAGGATGAATGATTTTGCTTTGTCAATCCTTAGTGGTTATACTGACTGTTGTGACAGAATGGCCACTTCGAAGCTGCATGTCAACCCTGCCGACATTGCTGAGGCGGAGAAGGACGATTGGGCAAAGTGAGTGTTCGTCACGTATCGTTGTGATCGATCCCGTTTAAGCTTACTTCTCCACCGTCGTCATCATATCTCTCAGTGCGTTTGCGAGGATAGAAAATCATTACTTCATCAACGAAGGGTTCATGCGTGAGGGCCAACTCTTGGAGAAACAAGAGATCGAGAAGATGTGCGGAACTGACATTGTTTACTTCCCACTTTCTGCCTTTCGCTAATCCAGCCCATGCTTTTCAGTCGCCACATACCCACAATCGTCGTTCAAGGCCGTTATGATGTAGTCTGCCCGGTAAGATCGACCATCCCCTTTCGCAGCGCCTTGCCCCAATTAACCGATTCCATTGTCATAGATTACTACTGCCTGGCAACTCAAGAAGGCAAGCAGCCTCGCTCGGCGTGCCACACAAAACTCCGAGTACTCATGGACTGATTTTGTTGGAATGAACAGGTATGGCCCGAAATTACTCTGAACATCGTCCCCGACGCAGGGCACTCCTCCCGTGAGCGTGGTACTACTAAGTTGCTCGTCGAGGTCCGTCTCTTTCCATCTTCGTTAATTTGTTGTTCCCATGAATCCCATCCCCATATTTAGGCTACCGACAAGTTTGTGGATTTGTGAGGTGTTCGTGAGTGCGTGTGAGGACGAAGAAGATGCTAGGTTGATGAATGGCTGCTCGCTAGGTGCGAAGAATCTTGTAATACTTGTGAACGGACTTCTGCTTGTGACCCTCTTGTCTGCGTCGGACTAATCATAGTTTATGCATGTTGAGAGATTGCTGTCGTATTCCCAAGAGTCAAACTATACCATTGAGTCCAGAAAGAAATTCGAGCATCGGACACTTCTAGTGATTCTTCGAAGCCATCAATGACTATTATAGCGATCGTATTCTCGTACAGTGTACATCCATTGCAAAAAACTACTCATCTGCCTCCCCGGCGGTGATAACGTCGTCTACGCAAATTAGAGTCAGACTGGTCCCGAGATGATAACAGTGTCAAGGACGGCTTACCTATTTTGAGTACAGCACGGACAAGCTGGTGGTGAAAAAGAAGCAAAATGAACGTGAGTGTTATAGAAAGCAAGGGGCACACTAAAGGAGAGGGAAGAACACTAACCTGAGTTGCGAGAAGGTATTGTTGCCTCTTCGAGATCAGCGGGTCGTAAACGAATTGCTTCTTCATGTCTGCACACGCCACACGCCACAAGTGGTCAGCGTCCGCCACAGCATATACCAGAGGACATGTCACAAAACGCACCATTCTCTCCCCTACCGTTACAGTCGATCCCCAGCTTCGAATCGTTCTCCTTCACCTGGCGACTCTTGACCTCGGCAAGTGTCTCGATGGGTGACAGACCGCTGTTTTCTGCGAGAGCGAGCGGGACGGAGTCGAGGGCAGAGGCGAAGGCGCGCATGGCGTACTGCTCAATCGATGGAATCTGACGGAAAGCAGTGAGTTTCAGATAGAAAAGAGTGGAAAGGGTTGTGCGAATAGTCACCTCATCAGCCGCCTTTTGGACGGCTATTGCGGACGAGATGTCGGCCGCACCACCGCCATAGACAACACGGTTATCTACCACAAGATTACGGACGACACAGATAGCATCATGCAGAGCACGTTTCGCTTCGTCGACAATCTGGGAGCGAAAAAAAAACGTGTTAGAAACAGTCACTCTGTCGCCATCAGAAGTAATGGGCGTACCATCTTGTTGCTTCCACGGACAAAGATGGTGACAGCACGAGTGTTTGCGCACTCCTCGATGACCAGCATCTTGTCGCGAGTGGTACCAAAAGACACTTCGCGAACAATCCCTGCTTTGCCGAGCTTTTCTGGGGTGAGATCCTCGAATCGGGGGACGATGCGACCATTGGTGGCGATAGCGATCAACTACGCAAGACACGTTAGGAGTGTATTTGGTACCTCTTGGGTTGAAAGCACATACCTCGATTTCCGGTCCACCAACCCACCGTACAGCCGGCAACTCGTTCTGCATCAGTAAATGATTTGCTTCGTCGTCGAAACCCCATTGGCAGATGACCAGGTTGGCCCCACTATCCTTCACCCTCTTGATCATATCCAGGAACTTCTCCTTCTCGTACTCCCTCAGCTTCTTGTACTCCTCCACGGACGTGATATCGAGTTTATGCTTCGTCTTCGGACGGGGTGGCTCGAACGGACATGTGAGGATCGCAAGTCTGGCATCACTGACGGAGTGGGGCATTTGCGGGTGGGACATATCCTTGTCGATGAGAACGCCCTTGATGAGGGTGGTATCGCCAAGAGAGCCACCGACTTTGCCATCGACTTTGATCAGATCAAAAAGAACGTCTTTCCGCTCGAGATCGGCGACTTGGAGAACGGCATCTACTGCGATTTGAGCAAACTGTCGGTGCTCTTTTGAGACGCTATTTGTTCGCAGGATCAGAATAGGGATGAGGATGAAGATAGCAAAAGTATTGACATTTTACTGCCCAGAGAGGTCATGGCTGTTTTGAGGAGGTTCTCGGTATCTTCCTTCGTGTATTCAACGCGGTCGGCGATGCGTTCGAGATTTTGAACAGCGACAGTACATGCGCGTTCGAAACCATCTGCGATCCGGATTGGGTGGATGCCCCGGTCGAGAAGAGCCTCACTCTGTTCCAACAGTGCACCGGCCAAAACTGTGGTCGCATATGGGGAATGTTTAGGTATCGAGTGAGAAAAATTCGAGTGATGACCAAGGAAGAAGACGCACCAACAACACCAGTAGTACCATCACCAATCTCATCGTCTTGCGACTTGGAGAGCTGCACGAGAAGCTTTGCGATCGGATGCTCGACCTCCATCTGACCTAGAATAGTGGCACCATCGTTCGTGACGGTGATCTCTCCGTCTGGGGAGATCAAGATTTTGTCCAGGCCTGATGCGCGGATAGCATACGGTAAGCCAATGCCACACGAGTAGTACGCGTACACGCACCTCGAGGGCCTAATGATGTCCGGATGATGTTGGCCACGGTACGCGCAGCCAGGATGTGTGTCTATGAGGCCAAATTGTACTCAGCATATTAAACTCAAGCAACGAAAGAAAAGCAGATACTTTGATGGCCTCCGTTCCATGAGTCCGTGTCTTCTTGGCCTGCTCTCTCAAAATAATGAAAGGCCGCCCGTACTAGAATTGACGAGAGTCAGATACGCGTCCTGAGGGTTCACAAAATACCATACCTCGTCTGTTGTGTATACGGCCTGGTGATTGTCCATATTCGTCGCGGTGAAGGAGGAACAAGGGCTCGAAGCAGAAAGCCGACTTGGATTGAAGGCAGTCACGGATGGTCACAAGTGACGCAGCAGGAAGGTGACAAGGTTGGACCCGGGCAAGCTGTTCTCCACAAACGCTCCCCTTCGCCCTCACCCTTGGTCTGTCCGCGCTCACAGTTCATTCACATACGACGACGTAGAACACAACATGGAACACGAAGTAGACAACTGGATCTCACAGCTCAGCCAGTGTAAGCAACTTTCAGAGGCAGATGTCAAAAAGCTTTGCGACAAGGTACGCAACAATCCACCCTCCATCGGTGAACCCGATAACACGCCACCGCATCCTCATCTTGCCGCTTTGGCTGCGTATTCCTGCTCCTTGTCCGAATGTTCGCGATGGATAGACGAGGGAGATTTTGATGGAGGAGTCCAACGTGCAGCCGGTGCGCTGCCCGGTCACGGTTTGTGGGGATATCCATGGTCAATTCGTGCGTCTTTCTCATTACCATCTATCTCCCCCCGATACACCTGCTTATTCTACGCGTGACTTAACTTTCTGCGGTCTTTATCTTTGACTTGGATGTTCAGCATGACCTATCAGAACTCTTCCGCATCGGTGGCAACTCGCCCGACACGAACTATCTCTTCATGGGGGACTACGTCGACCGTGGTTATTACTCCGTTGAGACCGTCACCCTTCTCGTTGCAATGAAGCTCAGATACCGCGAGCGTGTTACCATCCTCCGAGGCAATCACGAATCCCGACAGATCACGCAAGTCTATGGGTTCTACGATGAGTGTCTCCGGAAGTACGGAAACGCGAACGTATGGCGGTATTTCACCGATCTCTTCGACTTCTTGCCCCTAACCGCTTTGATTGAAAATCAAGTACGTTCTTTATGTACTCATCGTTCACTTCTTCCCGATTGAGGACGCCTAATCTGCATGCCCATTTCGGTATCGCGTGATGACTGGCCAGCGCTAACACATCTTGTTTCCTTTTTCGGCTTCGCTGTTCAGATATTCTGCCTTCACGGTGGCCTCTCCCCTTCAATTGATACCCTCGACCATGTACGGTCCATCGACCGGGTGCAAGAAGTGCCTCACGAAGGACCCATGTGTGATCTTCTCTGGTCCGACCCCGACGACCGCTGCGGTTGGGGAATATCACCCCGTGGTGCTGGTTACACCTTCGGGCAAGATATTTCGGAGGCTTTCAACCACAACAATGGGTTGACACTCGTTGCCCGTGCTCATCAACTTGTCATGGAAGGTTCGTGGACTTTTCTTTCAATCCGTCCACCATCAGACCTTCCATCTCTGCCACTGCGTGACCGAATGGATCGCATCACTGTTTTCTATCTCGACGCTCCTTTTCTGCTCCCATCGTATATCTGCTCGTTCTCGACTGACTGACTGATTGATTGATGACTGCCGATATACAGGGTACAACTGGGGTCAGGACCGAAATGTAGTCACGATATTCAGTGCACCGAATTACTGCTACCGCTGTGGAAATCAAGCCGCAATCATGGAGATCGACGAAAAACTATCTTACAGCTTGTATGTACTTCTCCACTACCTCGTCCTCGAGCTCGCCGCTGACGGACATCTACTTCTGCAGCCTTCAATTCGACCCCGCACCACGAGCGGGAGAGCCGCTGGTCACGCGGCGCGTACCGGACTATTTCCTTGTGAGTGGTTCTTGCTCATCAATTTCTCGTAAGGGGGCGAACACTGATAACATCTGGACCACATCCTTCAATAGTGAGACATGCTTCTACAAAGAGCCGCCACCCCTTCATCTTCACGCTACCCTCATCCCGTACCCTCTCCACTTCTTCCGCTCGCACCCGCTTGGCCAGACCAATGTCAGATCTGCGTATTGTACATCCACTCGTACTCTCTTCGTCCTCATCACCTCGCTCTCGACCGCTGGAACGCCTCTGGACGCTTCATTCTTTGTCTCTATACTTTTTTCTCTCTCTTTCTTTCACCTACTTCATATCTCCATGTTGTAGCACAGCGAATCCGAAGATAAACCCCCAAGACATAAAATTATGAACATGCATAGATACAGGAATAGGCATATGTGCATGGCATGGCATCTCGACGAACGCTCTGGCATGGTGTGTGGTTGGATGGGTTTGGACTTAGTGCGAGTGGGTAGGTTTGTATGTAGAAGAGAAGAAATGAAATAAATGATTGACGGTTCAGATTCGTGCTTGGAAGTTATACCTGATTGTGGACAGACGATTTGTATCCAATAATATCATTTTCTTTGTGAGATTACTATTCTCTGCACTTGAACAGGTCTGCTGTCATGGATTGTGCTGTACTGACAGGTGTACCGATAATCGTAAGTTGAGCACCTAAGCAAGCTGGCCGCAGAGATAAGCCAGTTCATCGGCTACGCAACCCCTGTGGCCAGGACACACGTTGTTTGGCCTTGTTTAATTCGAAAGCCTTTGCCCGATTTGGGAACTTCCGACGCCACCTCACTTCGACGCCACACGTCTCTGACACGGAAGACACTGCAAAGACACAATATTTCAAACAATGCTACCGTGTGATGTATTTTACAGAGACGTAGTAAATAAGGGCAGTCTATATTTACTCACTGCCTGTCCATGTGCCTTCGAATGGCTTCTCCCTTGTACATCAGGACCACGATGGGTATGAATGCAACAATACATCCCAGCACCGAGAAAAGAAGGAACAACCATTGATAGCCTCCCATGGCTTTGGCGAGAGGTATGGCGTAGAAGGCAAAGGTCATTCCGATTTCTTGACTGTCGCAGAGGTAGCCGAGCATCAGTAGAAGGGGCACAACGATAACGTTCGGATAAGGAATAATGGACGAACCGGAAGAAGTTAAAAACCTGAATCATTGAGACCGTATGAGTAGTGATATATGCTGGAGAACGTAACAGTACAGACCTGGGACACTTGATCCGAACGATCTCTGGCGGGAGTCGACTGTCGTTAGCGCCACACTCCTCATGAGCACCAGCCGTACTCTACATACCGGTAACACTCGCTGCTATATGTATACCTGAAAGAAGTGTTTAGCATTGAGATATAACATGTGAAAATAATTGAAAACGAACATAACAGTTGTGATACACTGTACTCCAAAACAACCTATACCCATACCGATGATGGGGCCAGGCCATGCCGCATTATACTGGAGACCAAAGCCATAGATAAGAAGTCCAGCCTAAAAATGGTCGTTGAATCAATACTTTGGCCAATGCTATGCATGTTCGACGTTATGAAAACACGAACCATAACGAGAATATTTCCTGTCCAAGCCGCCTTCAATCGAACTTCGGTCGGCGCATTTTCTCCCGAACGACGACGTGCTCTATTCTGATAGCATGCAGTAGACTATGGTTGGAACCAATCGGCGAGGTCAAAGACATTACAAGGAGATAATACTGACGATGATGGAGTCAACGACCCATCCACCTGCTGTCTCTCCAAGGAAACTCCCGATGGTAAGTGAACCACCATAGGCAAGTCCGATCTGGAGGGTGTTCCAGCCGAACGCCTGGGAGAAAACGCTTGCGACGGTGACAGCTGGAAGGATACTACGCCAAACGTTGTATCAAAGTGCACACCATACAAAGGAACTGACAGACCTTCCAAAACCGTACTGTGTGCTGTTGTTTAGTTCCTGTATCAAGAGTACATATAAGAGAAAATCACCTGCGTGGCGTAGTAAATAGCGGGGAACAGAACAGAAGGCTGTGAGGCAAGGTGGTCAGTAACTATCCCGTTTTCCGGGAGGGTTAAGCGGTGCTCACATATCGCGCGATTTTGACGACTGGTACCACGAAGTCCTTCACGCTCACCCGACGGCCCTCCAACCTTCCTCTCCACTTCAGTCTTTGAACGTGTCTCCGCCAAGAGCTTCTCGAAAGAAGGTCGTTCGTGGTGGCGTACTTGTCGCCAGCACGGTCCATGAAAGACGAGCTGTCGCGGAGGTAGAGTGTCTCAGGAAGGAACAACAGGATGCAGACAAACATGAAGGCATCGCAGATAGAGGAGAACTTGAATATCCAGCGCCACCCGAGAAACTGGCCAATTACGCCTCCAAGAATGGGTGCGATATGGCTGCCATTAGCTACAGTTGAATATCATAAGCGTAGGCCAGGCAAAATCGTTGAATGACGAACGTACTCATCAAGACGGTGTAGACACCGATGGCGCGCCCACGCTGATGGAGGAAGAACATATCGTTTATCTGTCAAAGAAAGTCAGGGAATTCGTGACCACTCTTATGTACGAGAAGGTTCGCGGGCTCACTGTTCCTATGCCGAGCGTCATGCTAAGACGTCAAATTTCAGGACATATCTGAAGTCGATTAAAAGTGTGCCACTCACGCAACCGGAAAGATACCATTGACAATTCTTGCTCCAATGAGCTGGGCGTATGTCGTCGAATATGCACAACCAAAGGCGGAAGCGAACCCGATGAACGTGGTTATGAGGTAGATATATCTCCTCCCGTATGCTTCGGCTAGAGGGATAGCTACGAATGGCGACAACCCCACCATTGCTATCATAACGGTGCTGATGTTACAAATAGTGAATTCAGTGCCACAATCTCCGCAAGACGTAACTCAGGCTTTGCTGAAGAACCTTACGTCTGGTAAGATGCAGTCACCGTCGTGATACCAAATTCATTTGCGAGCTCTCCATAGGCGGGATTGACAACTAATACGATTTTGACGCATTACAAAATGTAATGTTGAAGTTACCCAGGCTAGCAAGCAGGCTGACTTGCGCCAGGACGAAGCACTGTGAAGCAAAGGCATCAGCACCAGTAAAACTACGGGAGTAAAAAAAAAAAGAGGTTAAATACCCGATAGGTCAGTGGCCAGTTCACTGTTTGAGGACGGGTGAGTGTAGGTCAGACTATAGTCGGACACTGCAACGCACAAGGATCTTCCGGGTCGTCGGAAGGTTGAGGGTGGAGAGGTAGGCCATGCTTGTCGACCTTCGTCACGGCGCACTGTGCGCTCACATCTTCTGGAGAGACGGAAATATCAGCGTCAAGATGACAAGACAAGGCATAGCCAAACCCTTCTCAAACTCCACGATATTCTCTTTTGACATGCCGTTGCGTGATGAAGGGAGCGGTCGATCACAAAGTTATGCAAGGCAAAATTGATAGCATAAAATTCTCCTTGTGCGCAATGTGGATGTGGAATGATCAGGTCACGACGAGGTAAGATATCAGGTGGACCTTTCAAATGCCTAGCCTTTAACTCCAAGAACTAGTCGTCGCTGTACTTCCACACGGATTGTATGGCTATGATAGAGCGTTCTATGGCCGCCCAGATAGGTATTTTTGTAGGTCAACTCCTTGGGCCCCCACGATGTCCCTCTGCTTCTTCGAAGCCTCGGATATGTGGCGTGGACTCAGTGCCCAATGATCAGGATGTTTTCCCGACCACAGAGGCTAGGATAGCAGCAATCTCTGAGATATGCCGTAGTACGTCGTGGAAAGCGAGGATCCGCATGATCGTACTAGAAAGATAACGTGGGCGCGTAAACAAGCATATCAATAGGACAACGTGTCAGGAGGGGGAAGCATGAGAGTCCCAAGCGCCATTCGAGTACTATTTGCAGCCTCGAGGCACCTCCGTCGCTCAAGCGTGAAAGTGATTGTGGAATTTTCGACAGAGCCATGAGCTTGAGTATTTTGAGAATTATTAGGTGAGTGCAATAGCGAGTGTATCCATGCCGCTTTTTCACTTGGTTAACGTCGTGACGGTTTGATGGAAGATTGTTGAAGTCCGCATCAGGCAAAGGCTTCTAATTCAAACAAGGCCAAACAATCATCAATCAGTCGCCACAGGTTGCAACCGCCACTCAGTGCCCAATCTGTTTTCAATCCTCTAAGTACTAGTGCCACCCCGATAATCAATCCCCAATCTCTGTGTTGAGCTGTCTGCTTTAGAATGCGACTCGAACGTTGATCATGAATGTCAGATATGCCTGCCGCAGTGGTCGATCCTGGAACGCTGGAATCATGGCCGTCGCTTGAGCCTCTTTTTTCGTTCTCGTAAGCACTGGTCTTGGAGCTTCACAGGTATCAGGCTAGAGGCACTTTTTCAGTGTTCAGGCCCTGGTAATCCTCGCAATCTTAACTTTCGAATAGATCCGCCCATCTCGGCCCGCACCACGTCCGGGTGCTAAAAGGCAATGATGTTGTAGCGATGGCGAAATCTGTTCTGAGCATTGTGCAAGGTTCGTGATCTCCCTATTCCCATCCCACGCAGAAGCGATAACTCGGAGCTCCTATCCCAGCAATTTATCTATGTTGTCGATGAGGCAAATCAGCAACGTCGACTTCTTTTGAACGTCGCTCTTCGCTATGGGCCAAACAAAACTGGCCGCGCTTCCTCAGTCACCACCTGACGCGCGAATCATCTCCGTTTCATGGCTGGCCGCATTCTCCAAGTCTCTCGAAGCTGGAGATGTCGACGGAGTGGTATCGACATTCTTTCCGGATGGCTATCTTAGAGACATCCTTATTTTTACCTGGAATAATCGCACAGCGAAAGGTCACACCGCCATACACGCTTTTCTTGCACCATCCCTCCATGCCGCACAAATCACCAACGTTGTCCTGGAAGAACGTCAGTATTTCAACCCGGTGTATGGCGCTATTGGGCCGAGCATCTTTGGGGTATCAACGGGCTTCATCTTCGAGACGCCCATTGCCAAGGGACAGGGATATGCGAGGCTAGCAGAGGATGAGAAGGGCGAGTGGAAGGCCTTGTCCGTGTTCTTCATGATGGACGAGCTCAAAGGTCACGGCGACTTGTACCCGGAGTCAGGAGTTTATGGTGGCCATACTCGTGCGTACGACATTCCTGTCATCCAATCACTTAGTGAACAGTGGTTGCCATACAAGTTGCTTGGAACCTGGTCAAAGAGCAGAGACAACGGAAAATTGAGAGCGATCCCCATGTTATCATCGGTTCGTCCTATGTGGTCTCTACTTGATGTTTACGAGATTGTGGGCGCCTGATGCCATCTATGTACAGTCGGCGCGGGCCAGACAGGTCTGAACATCGGCGCACGGCTGAAGCAAGCAGGAATACCGACATTGATTATCGAGAAAAACTCGCGTGTCGGCGATAACTGGCGTAAACGATACTCTACTCTAACTCTACATAGTCCGAAGCCGCATACCGCAAGCAAGTGTCATCAGTCTGCCTGGTCCCATATTTTGCATATACTGACGATCTCGTTTCTCAGTGAATTTTCAAGGCTTTCCGGAGACCTGGCCTACCTTCACTCCTCGGGATAAGCAAGTATGTCATTTTCCCTCTAGGTTATTGGCCTTCAGCTGAGGATATAACTCGGACAGGCAGACTGGCTTGAACAGTATGCTATCTCCCAAGATCTCGTCGTGTGGACGCAGTCCACCCTCCAACCGGTACCCAAATATGATCCCGATACTGCGAGGTGGACATGCATAGTCACGCGAGGCGATAAATCCCTCCTCCTCAGGCCTGCTCATATCATTGTTGCCTGTGGGACCATCGGTGCACCTAACATACCGCCCGTCCTCTCTGCTCCTGTCTTCGAAGGCGAAACCTTCCATGCCTCGTCCTATGACGACGGCGCCCCGTACGCTGGGAAGCGTGTAATTGTGGTCGGCGCAGGCAATACCTCAGCCGATGTCTGTCAGGACCTCGTTTTTCATGGAGCGAAGAGCGTAACAATGGTACAGCGGACCGTTACCACCATCGTTTCTTGCGAAAAGATGACGCGCATGCTGCAAGGGAACTGGCCACTGGACGTCCCGACCGCTGTGAGCGACTTCAAGTATTCGAGCATGCCGTGGGGGTTAATGAGGGAATTCGCAAGGGAAAGTTCGAAGAAAAGGGACCCCGATGACATGGATACGGCTATGCTAGAGAAACTGGAAGCAAAGGGTTTCAAGCTCGGCAATGGGCCGAAAGATAATAGTGGACAGGTTTTCCTCGTATTTGAGCGCTTTGGAGGTACGTGCATGGTTCATTTCAGCGGCTGATCCCTATTCTGACCTGGAATACGTAGGATACTGTATGTTAATTTGAGGGCCCGGTATCTCTATCAGCATACTTTCTGATATGTTGTTCTCCATATAGGGTTGGACGTCGGCGTTGCCGATCTCATTCATGAAGGAAAAGTCATGATCAAATCAGGCGTCGAGGTTTCTCAATTTACACCGAAATCCGTGATCTACAGCGACGGTTCTGAGCAAGAAGCCGATGTGGTCATCTTTGCGTTCGTACACACTTTCCTCATTCTCTTCGCGCGTCTGTCATTCATATGCTCTGGCCGCCCACAGGACCGGCTACAAGAGTGTATTGGAGAGCTTGAAGCCTCTTTTCGGAGACGAAGTCATTGGAAAGACAGAACTCTGGGGATTTGATGACGAAGAAGAGTTGAAAGGGTGCTATCGTCCTTCTGGCCAGCCTGGTGTGGGTGTATACTCCGTTAAGCTTGCAGTTTCGGGTTGCTCAATCTTTCCATCTTAGCTATGGTATGGGGCGGGAAATTTCTACGTCTCTCGATTCTACTCCAAACAATTGGTAAGTTTTTATGAGCTCTGAAAGGAGACATTGCCTAACCCCTTCGGTGCGTTGAACAGGCCTTAGAAATCAAGGCAATTGAGCTCGGATATATGAAGCAGTGACATATGTAGTACTTCTCTGGCGACCATTGTTATAACATAATGTAATCGTAGATATGAATGATCAATGGTAATGCATGTTACCGAGTCTCGCAAAGCCAACGATTTCTTCAATGTGAATGAAGTAGCGACCCCTGTCGTGACGGGTGGCGGTGGCGAGCAAAAAAACCCGGCGCTTATTGCGTGGACCTGGAATTTGCAATAATTTTCTCCCACTTCTCTTCTTCATCCTCAAGAGCTCCATGGCTGGACGCGCTACCGGCATCCGTCTGCCACAGAGCCTCGCAGAGCAAATTGGTGCTGCCGAAGGTTGTAGCCGTTATCATGCTTCACAGTCTACTTCTATATCTGACACAAGATGCTCTTATTAGATCGCAATAGAGGCAGGCCGGGTCGTAAACCTCAAACCTCCCGCAAGGATGCGCGCAAGCAGGCACGCGTAGAGAAGAAGCAGCGGAAGGCTTCACACTCTAGACATCCCCATCATCTTGTAACTCCTCCCTCGGCCAGTAATGCTGGCAAACGTATCGCAGAGAATGACCATCCAGAGTCGCCACAACGGAAGAAAGCAAAGCTATCGGACTCCGCACAACCTACGAAACACACACTCCAGGCCGCTTCATTGTCTAAAGATAACAAAACAACCGTTTCTTCCAAGAGCAAAAGCTCACCGGCTCGACCAAAAACTGCTTTGGAGAAGCTTGCGGCCCGAGCAGACCCTGTGTCTGTATCGAGGTCCCAAGCCGAGAAGGATGATGATGCGTATATCTCGTATCTAGAGTCCATGCTCGGAGGAGCTGGAGGTGGGAACAAAAACGGAAAGCAGAAGTCAAAAAGCTTCAAGGATGAGTTCGACGATGATGGTTTGGGAGGTACGTGTTCGCGATCGGTCTATGTTGTACTGTTCCCCTCACAAATCGTACTCAGACCTCCTTACGGACCTGGATAATATCGGTGCACCAACATCTCAGCCCGTGAGTGTCTCTGTTGTAATCCTCCTAATCGACCATAACCTAAACAGCGTCTCAGATCCCTAAGTTCAGCAACCCAAGTGAAGAGTTAGAGCTAGAGAAGGCATCGGTAGATGAGCAGGACGATAGCGAGAGCGAACATGCTGATGAAGATGGGGAGGACGAAGAGCACAATTGGAAGGGCCACGATTCATCTGCAGAGTCGGACAATAGCAGTGATGACGAGGAGGCTCCTAAACTGTTACCTGCTCCATCATCGTCAACTTCAGAACCAGTCCCTCGTGCGTTCGCTTCCTGTCGTCCTCAGATTTCTATGCTGACCATTTCGCGTTGTAGCTTCACGTTATATACCTCCACACCTTCGCAATAGAATCCAGGACAGCGACAACTCGGAGGATATGGTCAAGTTGACGAGACAATTCAAGGGCTTGCTGAACAGGTCAGCTACACATATTCACCTCATGACCTTTCCATATATGCTCACGTAGTATTCGAATCTAGGATGAGTGAACAGAATATTTCGACCATTCTCGATGACATCGAGGAAGCCTATAGAAAACACCGACGCCACGGTGATTACTACCGCATCTCATCCAATATTTCGATGCTCATCCTTTCTGCTTGTAGACATCACTTCTTGTCTGACCACCTTGATCATCGATGGAATCTCTTCGCACTCTATTCTTCTGGACTCGTATGTCGTTCTACATGCTGCATTGGTATCAAGCCTCCACAGGATTGTTGGCGTTGAGTTCGGTAGAGTTTTTCTTGGTCTACTCATCATCAACCCGCAGTATTGACATCACTACTCAGGCGCGTCGTTCGTTCAAACGGTTGTCGCCACCTACGAAAAGCATTATGCCACTCTGCAGTCTCCGTCGGACAGTCAAGATGAGCAAACAGAGGTCGAGGAGACCCGGGGAAAAGAGTGCTCAAACTTGATCGTTCTGCTCTCCGAGCTATATAACTTCCAAGTGATATCTTGCGTGCTCATTTACGACATCATCCGGAGTCTCTTGAACGACTTGAACGAGTTCAACGTCGAGTTGTTGCTCAAATTATTACGCAGTACGTCTTCATTTCTGTGGCAGACATCTCCAAACCAAACAAACTGAACGTAGCACTGACATGGTGTCACAGATTCTGGCCAACAGCTCCGACAGGATGATCCATCTGCACTGAAGGATATAATCCAAATAGTACAGAACAAGGTGGCCCAAAACCCAGCATCGTCGAGGTAAGCTCCATTGTTGACTCAGAGTCGAGCGCACTCTTATGACAATCCCGAGCAGTTCCAGGACTCGATTCATGATCGAGACTCTCGTCAATCTAAAAAACAACAAGTCGAAACGTGCCGCTACTCAACATGCCGGCGGAGATGCTGTAGAACGCTTGAAAAAGTTCCTCTCTGGTCTCGCTAAGAAACGCCATCGTGAGCCCTCGGTCTATGCGTGATGGCCTCACATTTTTTTTGACGATATTTTCTATTAAATTTCGCAGTGATGGCCCACGATCCCCTTCGCGTATCACTAGCAGATCTACACTCTGCGGAAAGCAGGGGAAAGTGGTGGCTCGTTGGTGCGGCGTGGGGTGGCGATCCTTTAGCAGAACACCAAGAAAGCACCGCGACTGCCAAAACGCAGGCCAATAACGGCACTCAAGACGAGCAAAGCAGCCCCACCGTCGTGACAGAGAACGCGCTGCTAAAATTGGCTCGAAAGCAAGGAATGAACACCGACATTCGGCGGCGAATCTTCATGGTATTAATGAGCAGTGATGTGAGGACTTATGCATTCTGTGTTTTCTCGCGCTCTGCTGATAACGTTTCCCAATATAGGATTACATGGACGCGTGTGAACGACTGACACAACTGGGCTTGACAGAGGTCCAGCAGCGGGAGATCGTCCGTGTCATTCTCCACTGCTGCGGCAATGTACGTCTTTTCTCTGTTGTTCACCTTCTGCATCCTGACCCTTTCATATAGGAGAAGGCGTATAATCCTTATTACACATTCATCTTCCAACACCTCTGCCGATCGTCGCACTCGTACAAAGTGACCCTGCAATTCTGTCTCTGGGATTTCCTTCGCGATCTAGGTGAGACGAACGTAGGTGGGGCGGAGGTCATCAAGAGTCTCAAGGATGAGGATGGCCTGGGCGGTGGGTTTGGAGTGAAGAGCGTATCTGCGACAAGATCAAGAAATGTAGCCTTGGCTTATGCGTGGCTCATCGCCAAGGATGCTATCACTCTGGCCGTCTTGAAGGTGTGTCGACTCCTTACCCTCCTTATACAGCTATGCTCACGTGGAGAAACCAGCCTGTCGACTTTACCGTCATCAAACCCCAGACCCATACATTCCTCCGAGAGTTCTTCACGGCACTCTTCCTTAGCACTCAGTCTTCACGGCCTGTTCTCAGTCTAAAACCTAATGAATGGCCCAAGACCAAAGACAGACGGTCGTTGGAGGAAGTATTCATCAAGGTGGCAAGAATTCAGGCGCTTGCGATGGGTCTTATATACTTCCTGGCTGATGCCTTCGGAGAAGGAGCCGGACTCAGAGCAAGAGCCCTAGAGAGTGCAGGCGGGGATCATGATGAAGGTGGCTTTTTGAGATGGGCAAGTCAAAATGCGGTCGATACGCTGAGGACGGGCATGGATGTCGTTTCTTCTTTGTAGACGGAGCTGAATTGCTACGCCGTGGTAATCCTGATAGTCTTGCGTGAACTAAGCTGTTCCTTTGCAGACCAGACCACCCATCACATTTCGGGAAGTAAGGTCTTCTGGGAGAGGATCCTTGACCAAATCTCAGTGTTTGCTGAACCTCTACCGATGTCCCCATTAAAGGGTGTCAGTCTCGCAGCATCATCCCACTGAACACTATCGGTGCGTCTTCCTATGGGTGTGATGCTTTGCATTCTAACCCCTCATGACGACGATCTATGCTAGCTGTACCGTGATTTGGTAAAGAATACTTCAGGTGGCGACGATGGTATGTTTCCGACACCAGGGGATGTTCTTTCGAATGAAATGTAGACCTTCGACGGCTGATCTGGGGTCTGATAGTTGTATTCTACGCTGACCATGGGAACAAAGTTCTGCCATCCAGAGGTTCTTCTTAGGCAAGGGGCCTATACATGAGACCAGTGTCGCTCCCAGACATGACTTCTACGGCTTACAGAAGCCGACACGATCTAAGACTAAGGTTCGAGAAGGAGCGCATTGAACGATCCTCGCAGCCTTTCCCAGTCTTGATGGTCGGTACACTCACGTATGCTCCAGCTCCTTGATATGGATCTAGCTGTCTCTTCCACGATACAATAGTACCTACACAGACATGAAACACTACCACGCTCCAAACGGCGCAGGAGCTAGCCAGTTCCACACCCACTATAATGGCATAGAGCGACCCGCGCAACAGATCAATATTGATGTGTTGACCCGCTCCTTGATTCTTGATTGTGTTCATCATTCACCATGGAATGCGCATGGTGGACGCACGTTCATAGCCTATATACAGCTGTTCTGGGTGAGGGTACAACTCACTTTCTCTGAGTTTCCTCCTCCCTTAGACCTACTACCAAGTTGACGTGCCCAGCACTTTTCCAACCTCACGTCTAATGGTGCAAACTTGAAGCTCCATGGCGGACACACCCTTGCTCATAATTCTACTTTTGTCGTGGCTATTCCGTCTTCAGCTTGCCAAATGTTCACACTCTGTGACCATGATAAACAGGTGCGTATACAGACTTCAGCCGTACTGGTCGATTATGTCGCAATATTCTCATTAGACCTTCGCTATCTGACAGATGCGGTTATGGAACAGTGCGTACTTCCCTTGTTACAGAATATGTACCGTCTGTCGCTGACTTCACGTAAATAGCCAACCCTCGACCAGATTCCTTCTAACACATTGGCAACAGGGACAGGGGAGGTCTACACGAATGATACGCTGAACTCAGGGCAGATGTATGTCCTCATCACTCGGTCTATATTCAGTTGCCGGTTTCGAACTGATATTTTCGCATCTCACAGTTTTCTGAACACAGGTGCGAGGTTTCTAACAGGCTTATCACTGCAGAGCTCTTACTGCCCATCATTGTCAGGCGATTGCGGTCCCAATGGCGGCCATTGCACGGTAGTGACCGCAAACCTCGGTGTTGAGTTGGACCAAGGTTCTTCAGTGGTAGTAAATTTGATACCAAAGTGAGCTACCCACTACACATGTGAAGTCAAAGGACGTAAATGCTCAGTTCAAGCGTCAGCAATTCCTTCACGGTTCCTATTCAATTCAGGTGGCGACTATGACATCTATTCTTTGTGACCTCTACATCTAAAGCCTGAGTATGACCCAGTTATTACAATGGTTGTGACGGTGCAGGCGTTAGCTGTAGGTGACGTTCCCTTCTACGTCTGGAGCTGTTCCCATCACTGATGAATGTATGTGAAGGTCTGACTAGTTCGTGTGAATACGCTGTGCGGGACCCCAGCGAGGACTCCGGGATAGTCAATTGCTCAAATGTGACCGTGCGTTGTATTGAGTTCTTCGTCTTCCGTTTGACGTTACAATATCTCGAGACCATAGGCCTCTATCCGTGTAATATTCTGCCCGTAAGTCCCATATCCCTCTAAAAAATATACTGATCAATATGCCCCATTGAATGGTTTAGTTCGAATGCTACTAGCGCTACTTCTGTAACAGCGAGCTCGACATCGATCACCTCTTTTCTTGATACGTCCACCTCATCCTCCCAGTCCCCGTCTTCCTCAACGACAGTTACTACCTCAAAATCCACGCCTGGACACTCACCCAGCGTCAGTGTCATTGCAGGTAGTGCTTTCGGCAGCGTCGCAGGTCTCTGCTTGATATCCATTTGCCTTTCCTTGCTTTTGCGACGCAGATCTGGACGACGGTCATCCCGTTTTCAGATCGGTCGGCGGAATGTCGACCGTCCCGGGCCATATAACGTTTCTCCTTACACTGTTCCCTACCGCACGCCATCTCAGCCCCGAACTCAGCCCCTACCTTCGTCACCAGTCGTTGCACTTTCAAAGTTTCATCCGAAACACCCAGCAGACTATACAGCGCACAGTGAACGTTTCATTCAACCTGAAGCTCAGCACCCTAGCACAGTTCGACATCTGGACTCCGAGAGAAGGATAGCGGGGAACACGAGTACCAGTGTTAGTCAGAGCACATCTTCTCAATTGGAGACACCAACGGCTAGAACACAGTTGGACGAGATTGTAGAGGGCTTGGCACAGCGGTTTGGATGGACCTTGCCAAGAAGTGGCCCCAATGACGAGCCATTGCCACTGTATAGCTGATTAAACGCATACCGGTATGTCATTGTCTTTTCCCATGAAATATCGCAGTCGTTGACCGCTGAATTACCAGCATCACCACATCTAGGACCGTTCGTCTGAAGTCTGCTTGTAGACTCGGCGTACTCATATCCCACATCAGAGAGGAAATGATTGTAGCCACTGGCCTATTTTCGTGCGAGAATTTACATTCATCGGTTACATGAAGTTTGAGGTCGTTCAATCAATACCACCCGCGGTGCTTGCTCCCTGGCTCTCGTGCTTCTTCCGTACACCCTGCTCATATATACGTCCAATGTGAACCGACTTCAGAGACCGGTACCTATATACATCGACGACCTAGTCAAATTCAGTACACAAATATCCTTCTACTTCCAGCAACTATTGGAAGGAGCCGGAGTCAGCGTAAAGGAATCGAGCGTCATCTAAAAGAAGCCACTTACAGGATCGCGTATGACTCTTCGAAGAACATCTCCTCGCCATTAAATGGAATGTGACAACCTCCCTGGCGCAGGTGCTTGTCAATACGAGTACTGTTTTTTGCCCAAATACTAGCTTCCCAGTGCTAACCAGGTGCTCACCACACTTCCCCAAGACCCAGAGTGCAGGTTCGTTCTGAACCAGTGCAACGCCATGATACAGTTTTTCGCCCGTCTCCTCGAACCCTCCCTCCACCGGTCTTCTCCCGTCCGGGATGCGCCCATATCCCGTATCAACCCACTCCATTATCTCGTTGTTCGTTGGTAAAACGTCATATCGACCCCTATGTTCTATTTCCACGCCTCCATATGCCACCCTACAGACGGATGGAGCGAGGTTGGGCGCGACCTTGCAAGGTTGGACGGATCGTTCCATGATGGCGGAACCGATGTATGTAGGGCTTGTTCCATCGGCATCATAAAACGCTACTCCACCAATTTGTGCGAAGGGGAAGGGTAGTTGAGATTCGGTAGACAGAGGGACACGATGACCGCTGGGAGAGAAGACTGGGGTGTGCAGTGGTGAGTGTGTCGCGAGTTGTTCAGAGAGGTGAGGGTGATGAGCATCGTGATGGCGCCTGTGTTTGTCCTTCTCGTATTTCTGGTCTTTGCTCCACCAATGCTTCCTTTCGTCGTCAGACGAAGAATCGCTGTCGCTACGATGTCCCATCGAGAACGGGATTGGGTGGGTCAGAATACGGGGCAGAAGGGGCAGTTATATCGCGCTTGAGCACCTTCGCTTTTATCGTGGCTGGGATGAGGTGATCACACCGTGATGCCCTTCCTATACTCGACAGGTAAGTGGATTGGCCTCGTGTATCACTAGCGAGTGACCAAGCGGGCTACAGGGCCAGATGAAGCTGTTCCGAGAAAAGCGCTGCAAGTCAACAGAAATTAGATTCGACGATCAAGGCTGAAGTCTGTGTTGGCAGAATTGCTATGGACAAGCATACGTTGCACCGTTCGTATAGATTTATTGCGGAAGTCAAGAGGACTAGCGAGTGGATCACTAGTAGCGATGCTGATTGATGAATAAATCAACGAACATTACGCCGTCTCAAAATCCGGAGCACACGCAGACCAACGGGCTCTCGACATTGTCGCAATCATCGAGGTACTGCAGAATGAGCTTTGGCATCATGATTTTGTGAATGCGACACTGGAATATACATTGCCACTCTTGCCTCCGAAGGAGAAAGTGGGATAAGCAATCCGTGAGCTGAACATACGGAAGGAGAATATTAGCCAGGAACTCGTGTAAGGATGTAAGGAAAGGATACGCACTGATATATCAAGCCTGTCTCGGGTGTAATGAACCTCTCTTTTAACTCTGCTTCTGTGAAGTTGCAGGCTTCAAGTGACATCATGTCAAAATTGAGATAAGCGGCAGAAGTTGAGCGCACTTACAAGTGATCAAGAAATATCCGCCTTTCTTCAACAAGCTAGCCGCTCGGACTGGATAACCCTCTACCGGCGACTTCCCGCTCTCATCCTTCTCTCCTAGCGCAATCGCATCATACGTCCCCTTATCTAGTAATAAATCCCACCCGTCCTCGCCTTGCCCTTCCAGTTTATTTGGAACCTCCGCCAAGAAGTCGCATGTCGAAAACGAAATCGCTTCGCAACCCTCACGACTTGCTGCGATCATCCGAGAGAGCTTGACTGCATCCGGGCTGTAATCGGCCCCTGCGAGGCGCGATGCTTCATATCCTGCCTCGACCAGGGAGAACAAAAGGGTGCCATTTCCAGAACCGATCTCGAGAATTGTCGGAGAATTCGTTGGGGAGATATTCTCAATGACCCAATCTGTCATTTTCTCGACACTGTCTTCACCAAACCTGTATGATCTTCAGTTGAGCGTGATTCAGCCTCGAACAAGGGAGTTACGCATGTCTGAAATTTTACCATATTTCGCCTTCGTCCCCAGTCTCTTCGAAGTTTGCGATCTCTCGCTCATACACAGAGTCCCAGCTTCAGAGATGTGGCATCAGCGCGGGAGAGATAAAAAAAAGACTGGAAGACCCACTGCTCCTTTGTACCCAGCTTTGAGGGTTGCGGATCCTCAGAGCTCATTTTCTCAGATATGTTTACGTGATTCGAGATGGGTCAGACGGAGACGGTGGTGATTTTGACTCGAAAGAGACCAGCGTTTGTGCAAGAGCTGATTTCAGTAATTGGTACTCACTCGGCAGTAGCCGGTACCTTGACCATTCACCGGGAGTAGAGTAAGCGCTGAAGCTCTGCCACTACGCTCATCCTCGCCTCCTCGGTTTGAACGTGAACTCAAAATTGGCTATTACTTTCATGATCGTTCAGCGCTCAGCATTAAGGCACCATTCTCTGCACCACATATCGTGAAACGTCTTCGGGCCATTCTTGCCTCCGTTCTACCTGTTCCGCTCGTGTTCCGCCTATATGCCTTCGACCGATGGTACAGAGCACGAGGGCGTCTCGCAGAAGCGGCTTGGATTGGACGTGGTAGGCCAAGAATTCGGTCTCGATGATCTTTGCGAAGAGCCGTGACTTTCCCTCCCAGGGATCTATTTTTTGTATGGCGCTACGCTCAGAGGCCAAAGTGTTGGAGGTTTTATTTTCAACAGGCGGGTTAGTTCCGACCCTGTTTTGTACGATGCCGCCAGCGCCACTTTCTTCCAGCTGCTCCACTTGGGTTTATACTTGGCTTGCACTACGTGGGCATTACCCAACTGTGCAACATATCCTCCGCCTTTTCCCTCACCGTACAGCATCCAGGTCGTTTTCTTGTATACGTATCGGATCACAAGCAGGGTCAGAACACTCTTCTTGATTCTCCAATGATGTACTTGCCTCTTCTGTTGCGCTGGACAGCCTCGGAAATGCTCGCAGCTCGGGCATGGTCTAGATGCGTACAGAAACGCAGAGTATTAAAGGGCGAAGGAACAGACGTCTTGGTCTCTATTACACCCCCACTTCATACCTCGAACCAAAATGACCCACAACGCGAATGCAACTGAACCAGGATCGCCAATGGTACCAGGTCATTTCCCGAACCCGACGCCTCAAGACTCCACCTCAGACATGCAACCAACTCAATTGACGGGCAGGCCTAGGATCAACAAGGCGGGGTTGATTGTAACTGCTGAGCTTGATGAGGCTATCTCAAGGTGTAGACGCAAGGTTCAGAGATTAGCGAAGGACTGCCGGAGAGGGAACAGGCGATACCGGTACGTTTAGCTTAATATCTACCTGTCTTCAAGCAGACGGCCGTCACTTCAAGTGCTGCATCAACTGACTAGAACCATTGCTACATTGTAGTGATATCGATTTCGACTTATTGGAGGATCAGGACCATTGCCTGCATGGCTACATTACCGATCCTAACTTCAAGAAGCATACCCCTACAGAGGCTCTGCGTGTCGCTCAAATATTCGAAGATCCCAAGTTCTTCGTAGACGGCGCGACGGCGAGTGATATCGCACAAGGCCACATAGGAGATTGTTGGTTCGTCAGTGCCTTGTCCGTGGTGGCCAACGCCGGATTGATTGAGGTAAGATGGATAGTATCGCAGCCGCACAACCGTTTCTGACCGTCCTTCGCCGATGTAGCAAATCTGCGTGGAGGTGAGCACTCGGTAGATATCTCCGGATTGGCTGAATATTGAGTCGTGATTTTTTCATTTGTCAGCGAGATGAGAAAGTAGGCATCTACGGCTTCATTTTCTGGAGGGACTCAGGATGGGTGGACGTCATTATCGACGAGTGAATTACCTCTTTATTTGATCTGTGTCGTCGTCAGCCACTGATTCGATACTTAGTCTTCTTTTTGTGAGAGTTCCTCGCTGGACGGATCTCACGGAAAGAGTGAGTATACGAGATCATCTACTCTCTGGACAAGGCTGATACCGTCTGTCAGGAGCGCATGCTGTATAAGAATGACCAAGACGTATACGCTAAGGAAGCGAGGAAGGGAAGTAAGGCTCTCTATTTCGGCAAGTCGCAAGGAGATAACGTACGAATGTCCTTTCTGTTAAATGTTTTAATTAACTCTGACGATGAGTTTTAGGAAACGTGGGTACCGCTGATTGAGAAAGCCTACGCTAAGTTGCATGGGGATTATACATCCCTGGAGGGTCAGCATGAACTCATACTTTTTCTATCTGAGCTTCTCATGCTAAATCAACTCCTTCAGGAGGCTATACGAACGAAGGTGTAGAAGATCTGACCGGGTGAGTTTCCTCGTCTTTAAGTGTACTCTCGTTGCTGACTTTTCTTATACAGTGCGGTGTCGACTTTGATGTACACACAGGTAAGCCTAATCAGATATTTTCGTCATGCCAGACACGGCTGATACTAGTACATGATCAGGATATCCTCGATCCCGACGAGTTCTGGACTAGTGAACTCTTGTCAGTTCACGAGAACCGTGCCTTCGCTTGCTTCATTCCTAGCAAGCCGAACACGACTCAACAGAACACTAACGGTCTTTTCATGAACCATGCATATTCTGTCACAAAAGCCGTCGAGTTCAATGGCAAGAGGTTCCTGAAGGTCAGGAATCCGTGGGGGGAGAAGGAGTGGAACGGCAGGTGGAGCGACGGGAGTAAGGAGTGGAACGGAGAGTGGCTCGAAGCGCTTTCCGCCCTCAATTACAAGTTTGGCAATGACGGAGGTAAGACCATGGTCATTGCTTATGGTTCCTCCTTTTTCAAAAATAATTCGTGATCATAGAGTTCATCATGGAGTACTCCGATTTCCTCAAAACTTGGGATGCCGTCGAGAAATGCCGATTCTTCGACAAGGAGTGGTCCTGCAGCCAACTCTGGTTGTGGGCAAACTTGGGTACCTATCCGCGCCCTACGAACTTCGGTGACATCTCCTTCACGTTCTCGCTCTCAAAGGATACCGACGCTGTGATCGTCCTTGCCAAACTCGATGAGCGGTACTTTTGTGGTGTGGGGAGTCAATACTACTTTAGTCTGCATTGCCAGGTCTTCAAAGAAGGAGAAGATGAACCTGTTGCTATCTCCATGCACAACAAACTTTGGGACCGGAGCGTCAATCTGGAGGTTTCTCTGGAGGCGGATAACTATGTCGTACAGGTGCGTGATTTATGATTGCTGTTGGCGCTCACGTAACTACCCTGACTCTAATGTTGCCCGACGTCTTAGGTCAGAGTGGAAAGGATGTCTCCGAATGCTGTCGAAGAGGATCCAAAGCCCAAGGACTCAGAAGAGAAGACCCCGCCCTTGCCCCAGCCTTCGAAGAGGAAGGTGCTTCAGAAACAGTCAGAAAAACTGCGGAGCATGTCTATAGCTGCTAGTAAGTTCACCGAACCCAAGTCTTTTAGTTAAATTGATATCAATCTTCTCCCACAGATTTCAAGCCAGCGTGAGTAGCTGTGTTGCTGTCTTTCTCAAGCTTTCTCACTTGCTGATATGTCGATTCAGGGATTATGGCCAGGAGATGCCCATCGCTCCAGAGACCTTCGCTGGCATGGATATCACGAAGATGGAGCTCCTCATGCATGGTCTGTACGAAGAACATCGTGAAAAGCGGGAGGCCATCTTTGGTCCTTCGAAAGCCGATCAGCTTCCCCCAGCCGCGACGAGCTCTGACGCCTCCGCGGCTAAACCAGCTGAAGGCACCACTTTCTCTGCAGCCGCCATACTAGCTCCCCCATCGGCGGAGCCAGAAACATCCGCTGAGAGCGAGGGATCATCCGCTTCTGCTGTGGAGCCGACGGATGTGAAGAAGGATGAACAAGCTGAGAAGGGAGGCGAGGCGGAAGGCGACGATACGGCCGGCGAGGTGAAGGAAGGTAACGAGAAGGCGAAGGGCACTGACGTTGCGAAAGAGGAGCAGGACGACAAGAAGGATGCAGTTACAAAGGAGCCGAAGAAAAAAGTCCATGAAGGTTATCACTGTGATGGATGTATGGGTCCTATCGAGGGATCCAGATTTAATTGTCTTGAGTGCGTACCAACCATATTCTTTTCCGTTCGGACTCATTACGCGCTTGCTTTCCCGCGATTGCTGACGAGTCGCGTTCTTTCGCAGACTTATCTGCGGTGGACGGTTTGATCTCTGTGAGGATTGCATGAAGAAGAACGGGCATCGGGAAGGGCACCGGTTGGTTGAGATCAGAGACCCGGCTGATGTGGCTCTTTTTGCAGAACAAGTAAGGAGTCTATTTTTTTGCTCAGAGGGAATGTTCTAGCTCACCTGACACCACTTTCAGGCAAATCCTTTCGAAGAGTCCATCTGCGTTGGTCTGCGCGTGTACACAAACAAGGAGTGCACTGCCGTTATTGAAAGCCAGATGAGGTATGTTGACTGTAATGTGACAGAAATGCCTATGCTCAGATTCTGACGTGTGTCGTATTGCAGGCATGGAAATATGGTCCACAGCTACCTCACTATGTCCAAGATAATTTGAGCCTTCTTCGAGCATGACGTCTCTCCGCTTCTGTATGCCGTTTGTCCGTACGCTGTTGCAAGAATAGAATCCTAGTCTGTTGATTCATTATGTAAAGTTGGACTGCGCCAGAAGATGTTCTATGGGCCGTGAACCTTCAGAACTGTGTCCAGGGTATTTACCATATAGTGAATTCGTTCGCAGGGTCAGAACACCTTTGCCCCTTTTCGGAGTCAGCTCAGGCTAACTCACTTTCTGGTAGCACAACTCGGAAGCTCGGCATGGTGAAACGAAAGTCATCTCGTAAGCCGTCTCACTGAAAATGGCAAAGAAAGCGAATGGAAACACTCGTCATCCTGTTCCTGCCACGAGTACAAACGCTCTGCAGACAAATAAGAGTGCGGCGACACCGCTGCGAAAAGTACAGTCTCTGGTCAGCGACAGATAATGTTTTTTTTTCCAAGAGCTTACAGGCAGAATGATTTAGCTGGGTAGTTACTGGGTCGTCAATGGCATGAAGGCGTAGCCGTGAAATTAGATGGTTCAGTTCCTGATTGGTTCCTGAAGGTTGTTCGTTTGAAGCGGAGAATGCCGCGCCACCCTTGAGCTTGAGCGCTCAGCCCCTGTTCCGCCGTTTGTGGCACTCGGCCAAGCTCCGCCTTGCTCACTCCCACGACAACGGACTCGATCTCGGTGGCCCTTCGTCTCTGCCGAGCAGGATGCGCTCGTTCTCAGGTAGGTTCCTACTTCTTAGTACTCGACAGAGTACTCTGAGTGATGAGTTGTAGTCTCCAGCGTCAAGAGCGCAGCAGTATCAGCAAAGAACAGGACAACGTCGTCCTTAGGTGACTTTCGAGACAAGCATTCGTCGACGAGCCGACTGCCAGTCAGATCTCCCTCACCACCACCCTCGTCGCCTTCAACTTATACGAAGAAGAAGAAAGGGCCACCGCCTCCTCCGCCTTCACGGCGTACGAGACCATCGTCGGTGATCCAGCAGGACGATGCACAGCCCCATCACGAAGTAGAGGCAACAGCGACCGAAAGTTACGGCGTAGAGGAGGAGCAAATAGACTGGGCCAATTTATCGCAGGAGGACAAAGAGGTGTTCTTTGGATGGCTGGACGAGTTTTTTGCGGCTTACATCAAGCGTCTTCGCGATCCCTCATCCGTTCCAGCTTATGCAGCTCCATCGCCCGACGCAGTCGAGCCAGTATCGTCCCCCTCTCCTGCCCCTCGTCCACCACTTCCTGCTCGTAAGTCTACTGGTCAGATCGCACCAGTGCTCCCGGCACGTACTCGTCCAGAACTCATTTCGCATGCGGGGTCTGAGCCTGCGAGTACGGCACACACAATGACCTCCAAGCGTTTTCTCCCTCCGCCTCCAAAGTTCCCTGCTCAGCTTGCTCCTCCACCTGTCAACACCTCCACCAAACCACCTGCACCCTCCTTTGCTCCCGAGGCTACCTATGATTCAGCTTCCGAATCGGAATGCATTCGGTGCAGAGACTACACCGAGATTGATGCTCACGCCTCTGCTTTTCCTCGCCACACCGTCGCATCCATCCACCAACTCTCCTGGGATCTCACGTCACCTTTCTCTGCCCTCATCGATAAAGCTCGCGCGATCACTTTCTGGCTGCATCTCAATATCACCTACGACGCGCACGCGTTTCTGACGAGAAACGTCAAGCCCTCGACGCCAGAGTCGACTCTCAGCACAGGCATGGCTGTCTGCGAGGGGTACGCAGGCTTGTTTGCCGCTTTGGCTCTAGCGGCGGGGATAGAGTGTATCGTGATCAATGGGCACGGGAAAGGATTTGGATACGATCCTCCTCCGTTAGGACAGCCTTTGCCGGCGTACCATTCGGTCCACGCGTGGAACGCGATCAGGTTGGAGTCGGGAGAGTGGAAGCTGGTCGATTCGTGCTGGGCGGGCGGGGCGCTCGATCCGAGCGGCGTGTTTAATCGACGATTCGACGCGTTTCATTTCGTGGCGACGAATGAAGAGTTTGGGAGGAAACATTTTCCGGATCCGGGCGAGCCGTGGAAACAGTTCGTGGGCCAGGAAGAGGTGTTGACGTGGGAGGAATATATCGGGACGAAGGAGGATTTGCCGCAGATGACCGGGTCGTTTGGCGAGGGGGAATACGCGGTGCATTTGTTGTGGCCAAAGACGAGGGTGATCGAGCCGGGAAGGACTACTTTTTATCTGAAGAGGAAGTGTGAGCATTGGGTGGAAAGGGAGGGTGAGGGGTATGTGCCCGTTATGATGGGTCCGAAGGCGGCGATGGTCAGGAGTGGTGGTGGGGCACAGAGTCAGGTGCCAATCAGTGGGATACGGATTGGGTTTTTTGGCCCTGTGGTGAAGTTTGGAGGCGGAGGTGGTGGTGGTGGTGGTGGTGGTGGTAGCGGAGGGAGTGGATGGATGCCGATGGAGGAGGATGTGACTAACGGTGGTTGGAGAGCTGATGGCCTGGAGGTGATGCCGGGCGAGAAGGTGATGATTGCGCTAGTCAAGACTGTAGGCGGGAGGGATGCGAGGGGGTTGGGCACACAAGGGTACGTCAACAAGATGGGGAGAGAGGAGATGACATTTGAGGTGCTGGTTCAGTGGGAGGTCGAAGGGTAGGAACTTCGCTGGATATAGCGGGATTGGAGGGTTTTTTTGCTTCTTTCTGGCTTTCTGTGGGACTGGCTATTATTTCTCCTGTATACCTACCATGCTGTCATCCAAGTCCATGTAGGCTGTAACCATTTATTGTGCTATTATTTGTTATACCAATGCTATAGACTTTGTATTGTCTTCGCCGTTGGGTTCATAAATTTAATAAGCCAGGTACCGCGTAGAGGATTGTCCATGCCGTTCACAATAAGTAACAAACCGCGAGACGGTTTCATGCATCTGTGGCGCATGATGCGCGCCGACACAACCAAACGTAAGAACAAGGGCGATGCCAGAAACGAGTTGCAGCCCGAATATTTCCGCACACTCCCGAACAGGAGGATGAAACCTTGCGTATTACGGAGCACGAGCGGTTTGCGGCCGTACGTATGCTGACGGGTCATTGTATTTGCAAGAGAACGCGCACTCGTGATGCGAACGGGCGATGATGGCATAAGAATGCGGGTGTAAGCTGCTGCATAGTCACGTACTTATCGGAAGTACCGGAAGGAGATATATAGGTTGATGAGCAGCAAACTAAGGACGTTCTACGACGAGTGCATGCTAGAGAGCGTCCAAGATCGTGTGCAGGTTCAAAGAATATTAAACACGATATGAACGAAAAGTTGGGGAAGGGTGTGCCTGTATTGTGCGGGGCAAAGATGCGATGCCGAAGCTGGCCGAGTGCGATTGGGCGGCGCGTAGGATGGGGAAGAGCGATGTTCGTGATTGGCCCAACTTTCCGGGCTTGCCCGCCAGTCATAAAAAAGTCGCGTCGTGCTCGTCATCGCTCGTTCTCTCCACCGTATACCATCTCCGTCCAAAATGGCCTCTGCTCTCCGTACCGCTCTCAAAAAGGTTTTTTATATTCTTGATTTATTGTGTTCTAGCCATCCTAACATGTCTTGCTTCAACGTAGTCTGCTTCTCCTATCGCGCGGTCCTCTGCGGCCCGCTTCGCGTCCACTGCTGCAAAGCAGCCCACGCTCAAGGAGAGACTAGCTGAGATTATTCCCGCCGCACAAGAGCATGTGCGTCTTTTCTACCTAATGCACCAGCTCGTTGCGATCTCTGACGTGAACGTATCATGAACTGTTCATCCAGGTCAAGTCTGTCCGCGCTGAGCACGGAAAGAAATCCTTCGGTCCCGTTGTGGTTGACCAGCTCTTCGGGTGCGTTCCGTCTCACACTATCCGGCATCTCTTCGTACTCAACAAATGATATTACAAAACTGTATCACTATACAGTGGTATGAGGGGTCTCCCAGCTCTCATCTGGGAGGGTTCCGTGCTCGACCCAGGTGCGTCATAGCTTCATCACATCTTCTCGCCACATTCTCACAATCGACTTCTTTCTGCTCCGACAAATAAATAGAGGAGGGTATTCGTTTCCGTGGCAAGACTATTCCCGAGATTCAGGAGCTCCTCCCGAAGGCCCCCGGTGGGTCCGAGCCTCTTCCTGAAGGTCTCTTCTGGCTTCTCGTCACCGGCGAAATCCCCACCTCCGAGCAGGTCGCCGAGCTCTCCAAGGACTGGGCTGCCCGTGCCGCCATCCCAGAGTTCGTTGAGGAGATTCTCGACAGGTGCCCACCTACGCTCCACCCCATGAGCCAGTTCTCCCTCGCCGTGACCGCTGTATGTCGCCCCTATTCGATGTTTTTAGATATATATTTATAGGTTTTCCCAGCTTAACCACAATTCAGCATTCGCCAAGGCCTACGCTGACGGTATCAGCAAGAAGGAGTATTGGGGACCTGTCTTCGAGGACTCAATGGACCTGTAAGTGCCACCATGCTTTGCCTTTGCATCTATCGGACGTGCGCATGCTAATTCCTCGTTTTAGTATTGCCAAACTCCCCAACATTGCTGGCCGCATCTACCGCAATGTCTATGGCCAGGGCAAGCTCCCCTCGATTGACCTCCAGAAGGACTACTCTGCCAACCTTGCTACCCTCCTCGGCTTTGGCGACAACGAAGCCTTCGTCGAACTCATGCGTCTCTACATCACCATCCACTCAGACCACGAAGGTGGTAACGTCTCCGCCCACACTGGAAAGCTTGTCGGCTCCGCCCTCTCAGACCCCTTCCTCTCCTACGCCGCCGCTCTGAACGGTCTCGCCGGTCCCCTCCACGGCCTTGCTAACCAGGAGGTGCTCGTCTGGTTGACCAAGATGCAGTCGAAGATCGGTGAGGACGCTTCGGATGAGGCCGTCAAGGAATACGTCTGGTCAACATTGAAGGGTGGCCAGGTCGTTCCCGGTTACGGCCACGCCGTCCTCAGGAAGACCGACCCCCGCTACGTCGCCCAGAGGGAGTTCGCGCTGAAGCACTTGCCCGATGACAAGCTCTTCAAGCTCGTTGGCCAGGTCTACAACCTCGTCCCCGGTATCCTGCTCGAGGCCGGTAAGGCGAAGAACCCATGGCCCAACGTTGATGCCCACTCCGGTGCTCTCCTTACCTACTACGGTCTCAAGGAGATGAACTACTACACCGTTCTCTTCGGTGTTTCGCGTGCATTCGGTGTTGCTGCTCAGTTGATCTGGGACCGTGCTCTTGGTGCTCGTACGTATCTTCATTCATGTCTCACATTTGGACCATGTCTGATCGTGAACATTCATCTCCAGCCCTCGAGCGTCCCAAGTCTTACTCTACTGCCGCCATCGAGCAGATTTTCAAGGACAAGAACTAAGTGTTTTCTTCTTGATTCCTGGCGAAGGCGGTTGGGAGAGAGGTTTGGAGTATTTGGTGCGGTATGGACGGGATTGGATTATGACCGAAGTTTCGCTAGCAATACACAACATGCATCCAGCGCTTCTGACTATATATATTTTCTTTCGTCTTCATTTTGTTGTGGTATAGAAGGATACTTGCAACGAAATCGAGTCTCAGTCTGAAAGCCGTCGGTTTCGAAGATATTGTGCTGTGGAAGTAATTGCTGCCGCCGTGGCGGTTAGAATGCGTTCCTATTCCGGCTTTTCCCGTGAGTTCTTGTCAAGATCAACTGTCGAGACATAGGGGTAATATAACCGCTCTCTTCGCTTCCCTTGGCCTATACGATCCTGCGCTTAAGGTCAAAAAGCTAACGCACAGTGACACTCAACGCTATCGGGCTCATCTCGGGTACGTTCCAGTAGGTGACAGCGAGTAAGCTGCACTCGGAATTGTGATGATGCATGACGCCATGTGCGGGTAGCTACGGATTGGCCACGGATTGACCACGGCGTGGCCCCATCGATACTTAGGTTGACATTTTCGTAGGTCAGCTTTTGGCAGCACGAGTTCAGGGCAAAGCGTCGTCGCGACCCCAGATCACCAGGTAAGGTAAAGTAAGGTAAACTGGGGGAGGTGACATGGTTCTAGCGCACGGGAGTTCGGACTCAGGCCAATGGAAGGTCGTCGTGACCTTATGAGATGATGTGAGCGCTGGAGCAATGCTGATGAGCCTCGAGAAGAGCTCGGAGGACATGTTTGAGCCGTAGCAGACCATACGGCCGGCGGGCAGAGAGGAACAGAGTGTTCGAGTCCGGCGGGAGCGCAACTTTCGGAAGGCTGAAGCTTTTGCCAGAGCATAATGCATAAGGTCTGGACTCTTTTCAATTTGGATGGGCACGACCAATGGTATGGACACGCCCTTTCGCTCGTTGTGTTGCGCTCCATCAGATTCACGTAGACTGCTTGCCCTCGGACAGACATTGTTTCGAACTCCATACAGCTACCGGCTCCGACGTATACCCTATCCTAAATACTCCAGAAAGTCATTTTTTTAACCCTTGCATTCCCTACAGGAGTTATTTTCACGGGCGCCGAAGAGGTTCATGGCTCGCGATCACTCGCCAGAATGCAGCAGCCCATACCAAACATGGCTAACCACCGTCGCACTTTCTCAGTGCCGCCTCGCATTCACATCAAACGATCCTAGAATGCAAAATAGCCGCCAATTTTAAATGTTTGCCCGATCATGAATCCTGATGGATCTTTCGATGATTCAACTCTGTTCGCCCTATTGCAATCCCTACTCTCTCGACCTCAACATCTACGTCTTCACGCCTCTCACGTTCAAACATCTCGGCCAAGAGCCAACGCCCAATCTTCTTCATCATGCCTTACGTCGACATCGAATCGTCCTCTGGACCTCTGCATGTCAGCTACCATATTTCTACACCCAGCAATCCAAGCGCGGAGACAATCGATAAAAGCCTTCCTACCCTCATCTTTTTGCACGGCCTTTATCTCGGGCAGCAGACTTTTGAATGTACGTGTTTTCGTATGGTTCCCGACAAGGTCGTCTGACTAACGCCATGCCTTACCACCTTGTCAGTTCAATTTCGAGACAAGCAACTGAGGAGATTCAATCTCGTATCGCTTGATACTCGCGGACACGGCGACACCAGAGGACCTGTTCCAAAGACCTGGAGTCCCGTAGCAGCAGCAGAAGATCTCTTCTGTTTCATGGTGCGTACTTTCATCTCTAGAGCATACGCGTGCCGTTGACCCATAATTCTTCCCTCCATCGTGGTGCGTTGTATCCCAACTTGCGAACAGCAAGCGTTGAATCTCCCACCATGTCATTTTGTGTCGATGTGTATGCAGACTCTGACATGTGCGCACCTCAATACGGCGCATCCCGACCGGGTGCTTTCCCACTTTCTGATCTCTCCGGTGCCTGATGTCGAGGTACGCCCGCATATCCATGTCACTTGCTCGTACGATCGGCCGGCGGCCCTGACGGTCGTGCACCTCCCTGGATGTTTCCTAGGACAAAAACGTCCTCGCTGGAAGACAGGAGATCTACGACTGTTGGGTTCAGGCATACGCGAATCCGGAGAACGTCGACCAACTTGCTGCCGAAGATTCCATCTTTGGTGCTCTTCAATACGCGTTCAACAATATCGAAAGTCGGTTCATCACAGCGTCAGTTCCTCATCCAGGCCCTTTCTTCTTCGATGACACAGTGGGCTCACGACGAGGTTCCTTCGTTCTTTATAGCCTCGTGAAATACTCCGTCGCACAAGGCGCAGTCAACTGGAGTGATTTAGACGAGTGTTGGAACATATTCATCGGCTTTTTCGCAAACAGCACGCGCATAACGCGCGAACAACTCTGCAAGAACCGGGGAAGCCCCGTCCTGCTCGTACACGGGCAGATCGACATCGCCTATCCGATCGAACTGGCGCAGGGAGTGGTGAACGCGCTGGTAGATGCTGGAGTGCAGACAGAGTTCGTGGACGTCCCGAAGGCGACGCACTATGCTTGTGTCACTGCGCCTAATGAGTGAGTTCTATCATGCCTATTTCACCCGTATTTTCGTTTCTGTCGCCTAGGAAGCATTCGACTGATGAGTGGTTGATGTTACGGCACGGCCATAGGATCAACGAACTATTGCATAACTGGATTCTGAGACACATCGATGGCCCACCTCCACCCATTCCGACCACAGCCATCTCACCTTGGGAGTCCCTCTTCGGGGACTACGAGAAGAGCTCAGACGAGGAATCAGACTGATTATTTTTGGACTCATAAACGGACCATGCCACTCTTTTGTTGTCATTCTGTATACTATTATTGCTCCCATAGACATCGTCTCGATACGCCCAGTGCGATCGAGCAGTCGTCAAAGCTACATGGTTTTGCAAAAAGTCGTAGCCTCTGGCCTCTGCGAGTATTAGCGCTCAAGGCTCAGGAACACCTAGACTGATGCCGTATCGTCGCTGGACCATAATGGACAGAGACAGCAGATAACTCGAAAAGCAGAAGCGGTGCTGTGCTGTCTGAGCACGGACACACAATCGCACCAAGTTTGAGGAAAGTCTAGGATCGTGCCAAATCCGGTCCGCAAAACGCTTTCCTTTGCAGGTGGATCAGGTCTCAGAACGAAACTAGAGGAAAGTCTCTTCGACGTCTTGCCGCATCAAGCAGCCAACTGGACGAGGAGATTGATCAACTAGGTCTGATACAATCCGGACCAGGTACATGCATATCATAGTCTACGCTTTGAGCTTTTGACGAGCTCGAGTTGATCCGTCCTTTAAAAGGCTCGGGTACATCGCGATCATCCCCGACCCACCACAGCTAACGGTGGGAATCTCACGGTGGATCCTTGGACATACGTCTTGTTATTCCCTGCTCGAGAACTATGAGAGGGACTTGGACGAGGAGCACAGAATCAGGGTAGACTGGGGTGGAAAGTTTCTGCAGCCCATGTCATACATAGGCAACGAGTGACTCCAGAGGCTCATATGAATCGGATAGAAAATTTACAGTCAATATCAAGACTATCGGACAGGAATTGGGATGTTGAGCAGAACCAAACACCGTCTGACGCACACGTGACTTGAACAAAGGCATACCCAATCATACATGCACTATTTGAGACGTCCGATGTTGAGGGAGCCACTGGTTTTAAATTCGAATGCCTGACACAGGTTGTACGAAGGATGGTGGCCAGGACGTGACCAGCCACCCGTGCCAAGCAATTGTCACAAAGGATGAACGAGATAATATGTCGAGTTCAATGCAGTGATAACGTCCCAGTCTAACATGTGCTTCAACCCCGAGAAGATACAATCAAGGTTCGAGTGAGGCGGGGAAGGTGCCGTTTTCCCTCTGATCGTCCCACTTGGCAATCTTTCCGCACAACGGACAATCAGCGACGCTTCAACAGCAATTATAAAAACAAGTAAACGCACCCATTCGTCTGAACAGGGAGATAACAAGTCAGTGGCGATGTTCAGGGTTATGATACAAGTAGCAGATAGTTAAGTATAGAAAAGAAAGCAAGCAAGACAAGTAGCTGAGAGCAGGCTGGAAGGAGTATATGAAAGAAGACGTACTAGGGCAGAGAGAGTTGTAAGCCCTCTTGAACTGCTTGCAGGGAGCGAAGTCCTCGCCCTTGGCGGCGATGCACTTGAAGTAGTCGGTGTAGTTCTGGAAGCTGGTTGTTCGGAAATAGCCCAATCAGTCAAGACGATACGGTATCCCAGAAATAGGCGTACCAGTGTCTGGTCTGGTTCGTATAAGGGAACCGTGCTACAAACAAACAGATTAAAACTGGAGCAAGGAGAATACGCCGAAACCGCCTACCGTCGAAGCCGGCGGTCTGGAGAACGTATTTGCTGTATTTTGTCCAGCGTTAGTGGACAGAAATCAGGTCGCTCAGCAGGACAACGCACCTGGAGAGTTCGTCAGACATGGTGGTGCGGGGTGAAGGCGTTGATGAGGGGGCGAACGAGCACGACGCCGGACGAAGCGACGGAAAGCGACGGGATCTGATCACGTGAGGGTTCGCGAGCAAGCCTCGGCGTGGCTACGCCAGCTCGAGCCTCTTTCCTCCTCGCCACTTGCCCATCACCTGCTTCCCCACCTCAGTTTCAACCCAAGCGCTATACATTTCTAGAAGAATATACAGGCCACAATCATGGACGCTCTCAAGGCAGAAATCGCGTCGAAACGCAAGGCTCTCGATGAAGTCCCAGTTCGGCCAAACAAATACATGCGGAGAGGGGATCTCGAGCGTCTCAACAAAGAGGAAGAGGAACGTAAAGCTCGAGAGAAACAGGCAGCAGAACGGGAGCGTCTTGAGAAGGAGAAGGCTGAACAGGCTACTGCCTCTGCATCCAAGTCTAAACCGGGACAAGCATCCAAAGTATGTATCTTGCATTTCTACCCTCCCGTTGTCGACTTTGTCGGGGAAGATTCGAAGAAATGGAGCGTGGCGAAGCTGACATGTTGCTGGAGCCAGGCTTCTACTCGCTCGTTGACAGCCTCACCGCACCCAGACGGCTTTCGTGGTCCGTCAAACTCACCACAGCCTGAAGCAGCAGCCGCAGCTTTCAACATCTCAAACGAAGAGACCGTCCGTCGTCTCCGCGCCAAGAGCCAACCTATTCGCCTCTTCGGCGAATCTGACAAAGAACGCCGTCTTCGTCTCCGTGCGCTCGAACTTATCGAAGAAAAAGGACATGACAAAGCTGGTGGCAATGACTTCAGGAAGGCATTGGAAGACGTCGAGAAGTCAGAGAGAGAGCTTAAGGCCACTGAGGGAGGTGGTGATAGTGGAAAGGGTAAAAAGAAGGGCTCGGGAGTAGACAGTGGGGAGAGCGTGTTGGACCTGGAGCTACTGAAAACAGATCCGGATAGGCTGTACCCCATCATATACTATGCTCTGAAGAGGGCATTAAAGGAGTGGGAAGAGAGTCTCACAGACCGGCCAGGTAGGTTGTTTTACTGGGTCAATTCTTGCATTCTTGACTGAACACCATTGCAGACAATATCAAACGTTCGACGCAGGGCAAGCTTGCTGCCGCCACACAGGTTCAGTCTGCCGAATATCTCAAACCTTTGTTCAAACTCATTCGGTCAAGAGTACGTGATTATCGCTCGCTACGTCTCATTAGATCCTCGGCTGACAAGTCGCAATAATATAGTCATTACCACCAGACATGCTCGCCCGCATCTCTGAGATTGTTCACCACATGCAAAAACGCCAATACCAAAGAGCGAATGACTCTTACCTCCGACTCTCAATCGGTAACGCCCCATGGCCAATTGGTGTCACCATGGTTGGGTACGTTTTCCGGGTTTCTTCTGTTGCTACTATTTATTTTCTCCAGCTGGCATATCTAACATGAAATTTATAGTATCCACGAACGTTCTGCCCGCGAGAAGATCTCGTCGGATCAAGTCGCCCATGTACTGAACGACGAAGTCAGCCGAAAATATATCCAGAGTTTGAAACGGTATGCATCTCGCTACGGGTTGCTGTTTCATGGAGTATGCTGACGAGGGTTCCGCCAGGCTCTTGACATTCGCACAGACCAAGTACCCACCAGAGGACGTTTCGCAGCTGATGGGCTGAAGCTCTCGATCTGCTTTCTGTCGCATTTTCGCCGTTGGTTTTGAGGATTTATCTGTGCGTTTCGTCTGCTTATGATTCGGCGCCGTCTGTAATTCTATTTTGTCTCCTCATCTGGTCAATTATGGTCACCGGTCAACTGGACGGATTACCTACCAAATCAGTGTGCTTCCTCAATGGCTATACGTGCAGCACTTGACGGGGTTTCGCACAATGACAAAGGCCGTAATACCCGTGCCACCGAGCCAGTTTCAGTGGAACAAGGGCGTCGTGATGGTATATTACTACCACGTCGCCGCCGCAGGACTGTCATGACTATTCGGGCGTCGCTTTTCAAGGGAAGATACTTGTCTCGCATTCCAAGTCTCCTTCCGGCTATGGGCGCGTCAAGAAGTCGACGGACGTGTCCGTGCGCAACTGTGTGCGCGAATCCTCCAAACAGACTGCAGATCATGATTGGAGCTCCTGCTATATGGGGAGTGATCAGAAAGGAATTGTGGGTTAGGTTGATGGGGACCTCGTCGGGCCTTCTTTCAATACATTCGCTGCTCGCTATTACACTCACTGCCTCTAGGGGCTATCGCTATACATACATATAATACTTAGCCCGTCCAAACTTCGACAACTGTAAGGCTATTCCACCCTCCTCAATATTTATGGTGTCTGATATCCTCTTTACGCGTCTGTAGACTTGCTTGTCACATCCGAGGTCCTCACGGAACGTCACTGCTATGACTGATTTTGCGGACCACGACGACAGCTCCGATTTTTCAGACCTTGAGATCTATCTGGAAATATCTCGCGTGATAGGAGATTGGGAGAATTCAACATTGACGCATTCTATCGTAGAAGCTATCATGTCTACCTCAAGTACATTAGCCCTGATGACGTCGAGCAATGGGCAAGCTTGCTTGAGAGTGACCCAAACAGGGTTGTTGCAGCGTTGAGGCTTTGCACGAAGGGTGCGGGTAATATATGGGACACAGACAAGGTGTATTTCAACTTCACTTCTGCTATGGCTCTCGTCCAGCTGTTTGCCAACATTGAACATACTAGACTACATCCCCGTGCTGAGGGCGACCCGTACCGCTGTACACCAAGGTGGAAATACGTGGGACGTACTCGTCAAAACCGGTGTGATAGACGGGATCGAGATTTTACCGTACGTACCTTCTGATCTCTCATTTGTGGCATTCGAGGCCGTACTGATATTTATTATTTTCAACTTACAGCCTATGCCAATTCACTCATTAATACGCACTTAACGAGCGCAAGAACATGTACATCTATCCGAGGACATCTCCAAACCACTCTTCCTCGTCCCATCTTGCTCCGCTGCCTCCTCGACATCGCCTTCCTACCCTCCGGCCTCTCGCGCATCCATGCATCCGGCACGTATGTCCCCGCACCCGATGTGCTCTTCAGGATGAGTTCCAAGACTATAGGCATCGAGAAGTACGAAGAATATCATGCACAAGTACTATGGCAGACGTTCCTGGAGTTTCAGGATTTGGTACGCTTGCGAAATCGATGTGGAAGAAGAGGTTGTCGCGTATGGGCTCGACACCAATGTGGAGGAGGTAAGTGTCGGACAAGGTATTGTGGCGTTGAATGCCAAGCTAGGTGCGCTGCTCGATTTGTCTCGTGGTTGACGCTCAGTATGGCTGAGTGAATGATCATTTATGAACAGCGATTGGAAGGAACATCGTCTGATATGTGGGTTCGAAATTGCTGAGGAACCCCTTGCTCGCCAGGCAACCATGAGGATCTCGTTTCCTCCAAAACCTTGGAGGATAGATGTGCCAAAGCAAGAGGACCAGGTTGGGATTCGCTCCGATATGTACGGTAGTGCCCCATTGCCCCATAGCAGACTCGGTGTCTACTCACCCCTAAACACTTAGTAAAAAAATGCCCTCGGTCACAGTAGGGATTAATAGCTGAATATGAAGGTCATAGCATAGTATGTAGCGAGCAAAAATCATACCAGGTGCTAAAAACGCGAGGAGGAGGAGGAGGAGGAGGGATGAGGGGTAAGACAAACCAAGGTGGCCGCGAGCGCCACACCAACGCGTGGATTCCGCTGATCCCGGTCCGTTGCGCCGGCAACTGAGCGCCTAAAATGCGGCCTCGTGGCCACCGCCACTCGAAAGTCAACACCGTCATCTGTTTCTACTTACCTTCAACCCAACGCCTCTAGACAGTGGTGCTAACCATCTTGCTCGCTCACTCACAACCAATTATATATAGTCATCTCTTCCTATATAAAGAATTAGCCAATCGTGAGCCTTTAGCCATGGCAGACGTCCGTGCTCTCCTCAAAGCCAAGCGTCAAGAAGCCCGCATCACCCACCCATACGCCTCATACTCCTCCTCCGGTCAACTTCGATGCTCCATATGTGGACTTGCCATCAAACACGCGGCAGCATGGGAAGGACATCTGGGCAGTAAAGGGCACAGAACGAAGGTCGCAAAGGCGAGGGAAGAAGAGGCTGAGAAGCAAAGAGAGCTGGAGAGGAAACGGAAGGCGGAGGAGATGGAGGTTGACGATGATGCAGAGGAGTATGATGGGCAGTCTGGAGGCGAGGATGGTGGCGATGGGAAGTCGTCAGAGCGAAAGAAGCGGAGAAGGACGGAAGATGTGGAAGAGCAGGACGAGGAGCCCGAGGCTGGGTCGAGCGCGAGCAAGGGTGGCTTTCCTGCCGATTTCTTCTCAGATCCATCACGGGCACCACCTCCAGTAAATGACTCTGATTCAGAAGCCGAAGCCGAAGGAGGGAGTGCAGTGCAGAAACCGAAGGGCGAAAATACCGGTCCTGGTGCAGCTGGGGACGTTGACGCGGAATGGGAGGCGTTCCAGCGGACTGTGCTGGAGCCAGCCACGAAGCCTCAACAGTCCGAAGACGACGCTCGGGAAAGATACGCTCAGGCCACGGTGTTTGCGGAGGCTAAAATATACGAAGCTCCGACGGGCATGCCAACGCAGGAAGGCGAGAGTTCTGCTGTAGTGGAAGAGACGGTCGAGGAGACGGAGGAGGAGAAGCGAAAGAGGAAGGAGCAAGAGGATAGAGAGATTATTATGGACCGGCTGTTGGAGGAGGAAAGGGCTCAGGAAGAGGCAGATGGCAGGGTCAATCTTCTGAAGGGCAGATTGGAGATGCTGAAGAAGAAGAGAGAGTTGGCCAAGGCGAAAAAGTCTTCACGGACTTAGGACGAATGATGTGTTATTGAAGACACACATATCCCACTATTCATCTAGGTTATCGGAGAGCAAAATTACATTGAACGAGTGAGATGAACATCCAGAAAAAGTGATACAATATGCGCGAAAACAAAGCAGCAAAGAGACCGTCGGCAGGCTATGACGACGTATCGACACCAGCCACCTCTTTCTCCTGCTCAGAGGTCCGCCCAAAGCCCAACCATCTGCCCCAATCCGTGCCCTGCTTATGCACCATCATCAATCCAAGCACAACCGGCAACCACCACAAACTGTGCTGGAACATCACCCTCGCAGACTTATCCCCCCCATCCTTCCAGAATTTCCATGTGCTTTGTACGAATATGGCGTTCGGCGCAAGGCTGGTGATCGCGAACCACCAGGTCGTCAGTCCGGAAATTGGGACCAGGACGGAGCAAATGCCGGTGAGGAGGACGGCATGTCGCAGGGCTACTGCAGCGTTCTTTTTGGGATCGAGCACAGAGAGCATGCGATAGCCCGCTTGGGCATATGACCCACGGACGAAGTGCGCGATGGCGTTGAAGTGAGGGAATTGCCACGAAAAGAGCAACATGAAGAGTGCGAAAGGTGCTAGCGGGTTGTCTATTAGTGAGAGATCGAGTGGTGCATCTGTGAGGAACGGGGGGAGGAAGAGGGCGATTGGGTGTTCGGGTGAAGGTAGGAGGTGGCCGCCACACGCTGTCCAGCCCATGAGTGGTGGGATGGCACCTACGACGGCGCCAACCCATGTATTCCAGATGGTGCGACGCTTCATCCAGGTGTATAGTCCCGAGTAGAGAGCGATATTGCCTGCTCCTAGAATAGCTGTGATGGGGTTGACCATGGTCCATAGGAGCACTGGGCCCGCCACACCGGCCACGACAGCGAAGCCAGTGGCATGGAGGGGGCTGATAGCCCGTCGAATAAGAGGCCGCGAGCGAGTACGGGCCATCTGCGCGTCGAAAGGTACTTCTTGGATCTGATTGAGAGTGTTGGCAGAGCCGCAACACAAAGCAGTACCGAGTGCTGTCGAAAGGAGGACAGGGATGGTGGTAGGAAGAGGAGAGAGTGCAACACCAGACATGACGACTAGGATGTTGAGTACGGAGAGGTTCGTCTTCGAGAGCTGTCCGTATATTGAGATGAGTCGACCTGACGTAAGGGGTGGCGCGGGGCGATATGCGGAGAGGGGGACGTCTGGGGGAGGATATGGAATAGGCAGCTCGGAACTGTCTGGTGACGGTATTCGCACATCGAGCGACAGCGGGTCGACGTATGCAGAGACCTCATTTCTCGAGAAATATGCAAGCTCTGAGGTCTTGTTTGGCGCAAATGTTGTGGAAGACCGAGCTGAGAACGGTCTCAAATTCGCTCCTGAAGCAAATCGGCGGAATCCACTACATCGAACGTAGGCGTGAAATGCCAGGCGTGTTTGCATCGCCTGTAACAATTCTTTTCACGAAGGAGCCAGCTGAATATGAGCGCAGAAATGTCAGTATTTGGACGGCCAAAAGGATTATAGCACTCACAAAGTGGATGAGTGTTCGTCGAGCGATCCTGCTCTCGGCACCCAGCCGGCCGTGGGACAATACACCGCATAATCTGGTCGGAGTTCGAACCCACACTTTCTCACCCGCCATCGTCTTCGTCGTCTGGGTCGACGCGCTACGTCTTTTCCCGCCATACACACGCCCAAAAGTCACTCCGTTCTCTCTCAAGGACGCGTGTTATATTGTTATTGTACCCTAATATCCCCCCAAGTACTTATTGGGCTCCTCTCACGAACTCAACGCGCGCCAACACGTCAGCATGCCCGGTACCCATCTTCTCCCACCCAACCTTCTCAAACTCTTCGCTCCTCGACCGCCCCTTCCGTATACCCGACCGCTCGACAAGGATATCGACCGCGTCACGAAGAAGGATGTCTCCGGTGTAGGCGCCATCCTCGCTTCGTTGAGGGAAAACGCGACCGCGGGTCTCATCAACGGGAATGGAGAATCTGTCGAAGGGATGGAGGAAGGCGAGGAACCTGTGTTCACGCATGCCGAGCAGACGAAAAGACAGTTAAGGCGAGAGGAAAGGAAGAAGAAGAGGGCAGAGGATTTTAAGGTGGCGAAGGAAAGCTGTGCGTAATTTTCTGTTTTCAAAAAAAGGCAACCGTCCATAAAGCTAATACCGCGGGTCCGGTGATGCAGACAAACCTGCTGAGGACGCAGAAGCTGTAGGTGATCCCTACAAAACGCTTTTCATTGCCAGATTGGTGAGCGACTTACTCTTCCACTTCGTAATGTTCGATGGACTGACATGTTTGGGCGCTTAGCACAAAACCGCGACGGAAACCGATATCCGCCGGGAGTTCGAGACTTATGGTACCATTGAGAGAGTCAGGATCGTCAAGGATAAGAAAGGCCGCTCACGAGGCTACGCTTTCGTCGTTTACGAACGCGAACGCGACATGAAAGGTTATTCATCCCGTCCATAGTTCTGCCTTCTCGTTCTATCTTTCAGTGACGCGTTACTGACCGTGCTGGGGGCTCACTACCTTGGCTACATCCCTGCCTGCTTTCATCGCATGGGTTTGTCCTTTTTTGCCTTTTCTTTCTTTCTTTAGCTGCGTACAAGGAGTCGGACGGGCTACACATCCTGGGCAAGCGGATCATGGTAGATGTGGAGCGTGGACGGACCGTGCGAGGTTGGAAGCCTCGCCGCCTCGGTGGTGGTCTCGGTGGCCGACCTAAACCTGTCGAACCTCCGGCGGCACGCTTCAGTGGTCCTCCAGGTGGGGGCTTCAGAGGCGGGATAGGCGGTGGGGATCGTGGTGGCGGTGGCTTTGGTGGGAGGGGTGGTGACCGTGGTGGCTTCCGTGGCGGACGCGGTGGCTTCAGAGGTGGAGGTGGAGGGTTTGGAGACAGAGGAGGCTTCGGCGATCGTGGTGGATTCGGAGATAGAGGCGGAGGATTTGGTTCATCTGACAGAGGATACAGTGACAGAGGAGGATTCCGTGGTGGAGGTGGAGGCGGATTCAGAGGCGGACGCGACGACTTTGGTGGCCCACGAGGTGGTGGAGGTTTCAGGTATGCATGCATTCAAATCTTGACAGAACGCCGTCGCTGCCATGCAACCGAGAGATGCTAATATGTTTCGATGTCTTCCAGGGGTCGTGGTGGTGGATTGGGGTACTCAGGAGGCGGCTTCGATGGACCGCCTCCCAGTAGGTATGGCGGCGGGCCACCTGGTCCTGGGGGCCCTGGCGGATATGGTCCTCCTTCCGGTGGAGGACCTGGGGGGTTCCCCAACGGAGGGGGCTATGGTGGAGGCTACAGAGGCGACCTCAAACGCGAGAGTTCTGGGTTCGAAGATAGGGATTCGAAGCGGCCTAGGTATTGATCGGAACGGCAGACCTTCGACGGGTAAAACCGAAGTAGTGTTTAGGATAAAGGTGACTTTCGATGAGTGGTACAGTATGATGATTGATGGTGAGACGTGCTGTGCTGTTTTTTTTTGTTTTTTTCTTTCTTTCTTCTCGTTCGCAGATCATATCCTTCACGCACGACTCCCTCGCGTTTCCGACGTGGCGTTTTGGTATCCTTTACTTCTCCCTTCCCTGTTTGTGTTAATCCCTGCTATCGGTATGTTTTGCGGGTAGGTTCTGTTGCTTTTAGTGCTCGTAGAAGAAGCACCGTCCGAAGGTAGTCGTCTGCTTCGTCTGGCTTTCGCGCGTAAGTATCATCCCTTCGGACACGTGCTATGATCGACGGGACCAGTACACGTCGTCGTAATTGTTGGCCTGTTCGATCAATTCTCAAGGTCCCTCGGAGTGCGTCTTCGTCATCGATCATCAAGGACAATAGCCTTGCTCAGAGTTCGCATATTGAGGCCTCGCATATGAGGCTCGTAAATGAGCTCGATATGAGCTGAGCTGCCCCATTAGGGAGAAACTGCTCGGCAAAGCCTCTTGGCTGTGTTGGAGCTCATATCAAACTCATATTGAGCTCATATACGAGCTCATATACTGCGTTTATGAGGGCTCGATATGAGCACTCTGAACAAGGCTAATGTAAGCTCTTGCAGTTACCGGAGCGTCGGAGTTATGGGCTCATAGGGACAGTGCAGAGGCAGGGAAAGGTTGTACGATGAAAGGGACGCGAGAGCGTGTGGGTAACGATCAAATTACGTGGATGGGTTACAGGGATGAACCTTCGACCTTTGCATGACGTGTCGAAGGCGATGTAGCGACGATTTTCCAGTGCTGCTGATGCGTTGATGTCAAGGAAAGCAGATGAGACGATCATCAAAGCACTGCAGTCGATGTTGACGTTGATAGTGAAGAGTCCTGTTCCGACAAGCTATATGGCCTCGCCACACGGCGTGGAGAACACTTGGACTGCCTCTGCAAGCCTGGTCCTCGGGTGGGATCCGTTGATGGGATCATTGATGCGGCGCGGATCAGGCAAGAAGGTGGAGACACGGGAATACGGGAGTCTGGCGCATGGCGACGGATTCTGGTTCTTGACACTTTTTGACGCATTCCCCATCACGTTCCTGTGCGATACATCATGCTTCCCCCGGCGGCCCCCTCGTTTTGCATTCGATAACCTATTCCGCCACGTTTCTGGATCGCCTTGGATGCTCGTATCCTCCCACTCTCCTTATGCACACTTCCACGTCTTGCTTCGCTTTTTGAACTACATACGTGCAACCAAGAGAGCTTAGTATTGTACTCTTACAGCAAAGCTTCCACGTTCTAACTTCAACAACACCGGGAACACGAGAGAACACCACAGCTGTTTCGCGCGATAAGTACAAGTCCGTCTCCCGCATATTTCGCCGTTCTCCGATCGTCACGTTCCGACCATGCCCGTCTCCTTGCCACCTGAAACACGAATCACTTCTATCTGTTCCTAGATCCATCTCATGCTACTTGGCTGAGGGACATGCGTCGGACCCAATAGGACACAGTACACTCTGACGCGTGACGCCTATCTCCCAGACTCCCGTCGGTCGGCCAGAGAAATACAAATCGACGTCCAGCTGCTCCGCTTAGATCTGACCATGTTATTTGTCCACTCCTTGCTATGGCGCAAATGCTAGGCCCTTCCTTCCTCTCTTCCATCAGCTCTACGTCTCTGGCCTCCGTACTCTCTTTTCTCATCTTTCTCTCTGTGGGCTGCAGTAGTCGAGAGGAGACGCGCATCCTCACGACCCTGATCTTCAAGTGCACTGCCTTGCTCACCTCTCTGCTAGTAGCCGCCTGTTTTTGACTACAGCTTTCTTGATTAATCTGTACCCTCTCTCATCAAGATCCCACCGATCACCGGCGTGACCCCGGCCCTGATCCCATTGGTACCGCTTGAGGCGACCGTCCCGCCAGCCCTCGGTATCCTCAGGTGCATTGGCATCCCAACTTCTTGACTCGATCACAGCACTCTTGCTGCTTTCCCCCACCATCATCCTCCAAACTGGCTGTCACACTCGACGCAAGCCCCGTCACTTGGGCTTTCACTTCTATGGAAGAAAGTCAGTGTGTGCGGCCTCATATATTTATTGTTACCTTTGCGCGTTCTTCTGCCGCGCTTTGTTAATATTTACATTCCTCTCATGACTTGTGAACTGATTGATTTGCTCTCTTGTTTTCACTTCACCTATAGCCAAGGGCCAGTGTTCGAATACGGAAAGCATGCTCAAGCGTACATCAGCGAAGAGCGGTGAGGATCCCTCTCAGATGGCGTCGAACGCGTCCTCCCCGCTTAGTTCTGCGGGGAAGTCTCCCGAAGACACGATAGACAACGCAGGAAGCACCACCGTCTCTGCTTCGTACGACTCGCCAGAGACATCAACTTCTGGAGGAAGTGCTTCTGCACGACGGGGATCGTCTGGCAAGAACGCTTCCGACAAAGAGAAGCGCAAGCGGTCAAGAGTCTCCCCGGAGCAACTCGTGCACCTCGAACGGTTCTTCTTGGCGGACAGGAGTCCCACTGCGGCCCGGAGACGAGAGATCAGCGAGATGTTGAGTATGCAGGAGCGTCAGACACAGATTTGGTTTCAGAATAGGTAAGCAGTCGATTTTCGATCTCTCTTTCGTATTCGCGCCACCGGCGGTCGATTTTGACAGTCATTGATGGTCTGCTACTAGGCGAGCAAAAGCAAAGCTCCTCGACGGGAAGAGCAAGTCTCCGTCAAGTAGCCTCGCACCTCCCGAGAGTCCTCCGGATTTACGTCCAGGTTACGAGACGGAACTCCACGAGCTAATCCACGAAGACAACCGTGAGTTCTCCTCGTGTCCATAGTTTATACTCCACGCCATCTCAGTTCTGATACCCTTGCCCTGCTGTCGTAGCGGTCACCATCATTCCTTGCACCGACCTCGCTATAGGCACTTGGCGCCGCATAGCTACGACGGTAGGCAAGCACGATCTGGTCGCATATCTCTGCGAGCCAAAACGTTGCCTTATCTGGTTCATCTATTCGATGGGATACGGTTTCAAGATGGAGATCCCTTTCGATACCATTGTCAACACGGAGTTCATTAACGACTCGCCCGGTACAGGACGCGCTGCGTTCTACCTTTCGCAACCACCGATATTTTATCTGGAGTACGACACGCCGAGCGGAACGCGGGCATGGAAACGGTGTGCGGACTGGACGGAAGGGATGCAGGCGACGAAGGTCCTCCGACACGATCTCACCGGCTCTGCCGTGCAACTGGCTCACATCTTGCGAACCTTCAACTCGCACAATACCTCGGATATTCGTTTGCACAAACCGGCATATCTTGACCATCCCCAATCGAGGCCCGCCACCGCGATTGATCTGAGTCCAATGCCGCTCTCAAGCGGAATGGCTGCTGCGGATCGCTCTTATGGCTCGCATCCCCAATCCCAATATCCGGCTGACTTGATCGACCAGACGCAGCAGATGTCGATGATGGGTATACAAAAGCGGCAGTTTTCCAGTGCTCCATCTCTTCAGTTTACGCCACCGTCAAACGAGGTCTCGGAGTATGACGACCGCGCTTCATCGTCTCACTCCCATGCCCACTCGCATAGCGTGTCCCCGACTCCGTACGCCGTGTCCTACTCCCAGCTCGCACAGCCCATGCCCTCCCGGTCTGTGAGTGCCAGCGGGTACTCCACACCGACACAGATGTACGAGCAGTATCCAAGTGCCGAACAGGCGCGTCACTCCCCGATGGGCAGTGATTATGGTCATATGCCCCTCCAGCAGCGCGCCTATGGGAGCGTCGACTCAGTGCACTATATGTCCGATAACACCGACTCGACGTCTTCGTACATGTCCGACCGTCCCAATACGTCTCACTCACAGTATACCAACTCGTCGCCCTCCATTATGTCCACACCGTTCTACTCACGGCCCATGAACGGTTCGCTTCAACAGTCGGCGGAGCAGTACATGCCGACTCACCCATCTATGCTGCAGTATCCTGGCCAGGATGACCACTCTCGTTAAATGTCGTGCTTTTTATTCCGTTCGTTCATGGCATTACTTTCGATTTACCTGTTTCATTATTGCTCCAAGTACATTACTCACGCCTATGGCACTTTCTTGTCGCATCTCTTCGTCTATCTATCACATATCTGTCGCGCCGCATCATCGTGAGTGATCATCTCCCGTCCCAACGACTACGTGACTCTATCTGACATCAAAGGCCTCTTCTTTGCCATCAGATCTCATACATTAACATTTCGACCTTCCTTATCTGTCGGCTGCCGTCATTTCTTTGCATTACCATAAACCCCGCGGCATGTATTCTTCTTGATTCTCCACTCGGCTATATTGGCCTGCTCTCCTCTTCGTTTTCGATCAAACACATTATCACGCTCCTCTTGCTCATTGTCTCGCCTCTCTCTCGACTCTCGCATTGTACATAACGGCTATACTTATTCTGTGTCTCCTCTCTCTCCTCCACGCACTCTCGAAATCCTTAAAGCACCCCCTCATCGTGCTTCCTCCCGACTCTTGTACATATGTTACTCTAGTTGTTCATCCGCACCCTGGCCCTCTCCGTCTTCTCTTGGCTCTATGTCCTTGTCTCGGTTACTTATTTGCTTTTGTTTTCGTCTTTTGTCCCCTCTGTTCTCCGCCGTCTGGTACATGACTCTTCTACTACTATCCACCCAAACCCTCATTTCGTCAGCATGGATGACACTGTCTATACAGTAACTATTTAAATTATTTCATGCATTGGCAAATACGCTCGTTGTCTACCTTGTCCTTGCCATATATTTCGATACCTCGGTTTTGGGCCTTTCCCGGCTGAATGGTTCATAAAACATGGATCGTTCTCCTTCAGTGGTCATTTGTGTTTGTGGCCTTGCACATTGTCGCTCAGCATGGCGTATAGGCGAACCGCAGACAACGAAGAAAGAAGGATCAATAGCGTCGATCCTCATGAAACGTCGGAAAGGCTCACGAACGTGCCGCACGTAGTATGTACACACGCACCACGGGTATGGACGAGCGCTTATTTATCAACGATTCTTGATGTCCGTTCAGTCAGTTGAGACTAGTTGAGACTCCGGGCGCACTCAGAGAGGTCCGACACGGAAATCGTGTCGCCGACCGATTTCAGGGAGCAAAACATCAACACACTGAAACATTTTCTAGACGATCTCACAAAGTCTCACAAGTACTTACGGTCGATCCCTGAAGACCTCCATTGAGTTCTCTATGTGTCTCCGGTGAACTGACGACGTGGTTTGCCGCCGGCAGGCGTGCGCATGAGTCGCCGGCGAACTCTTAGCTATATACGTCCATCTAAACGAATTATGATCGTTAAATGAACGGAGGCAAATCGAATGGTCATCTCGACCAAGGCAATGGTGACTATAAATTGTCGCCACGTTCCCCATAATGAGCGGAACGCCAGACTGCTTTGAGCGCCACGACAACGTCCGAGCCTGTCCGAGCCCTTAGGGGCCTCAGCCGTCGTCTCGCTTCAGGATTACCACTCTTCTCCATATAATACAGCTCATCATGTCAAGAAACCAAGGGCAAATGACTTGAACGGCGGAAATTTGAAGCTCAGCTTTGAGGAGCGATCCATAGTGACGCTGGTTATAGCAGCAAGTTCGGTGGGAACGAAAATCATTATGCAGCGCGTTGCACGAACTACTAGCTGACCACTAGAACGACTGCGTAACAGATGATAGGTAATCTAGAGCTGAGGTTACTCTTGAGCGAGTGCGGCAAAGACTGCAGGGGGTGTAATAAATATGTATATTACATGGGAACATACGTCCATGTCTGGCCAGGGGCCAGGGGCCGGAGGATGCTATAGTCCGCGGGATGCTCATACGCGCTCGGTTCGTGGCTTCACGCATAGACCAGGGACGGGGCTGAACTCCAAGGTCGCGACTTATATCTGGGTCTCAGTAAGACGCTCTTTGCTGAGCCGAGTGGTATATGCCCGGCTGACGATGTTGACTGCAGAGGAGTATTAGCGCACGCGTCACAAACATGATGAAACAGTCTGAAGCTCGGAACTCACAAGCCTCCATATACCTATCCAGACAGCGAGCCAGACATGTCTGAATATGATGAAATGGATACAGAATGAATAAAGAGCAGGCATTAGAAGAGTCTAATGGGGAGGGATGGGGAGGATAACGAGGCGCACCTCCTCAGAGCCCGACAGCGAAGTGGAGGGCTTGGTAACGCATTTTGCGTAACATTTTTCGTTTGTTTTCTGATATTATATGTGCTCCATGAACCATCCCGGGTGTGATCTGGAAAACTTTAACATACGTTCATGAGCTCCTGCGCGTTTGCGAGAGCAAGCTCGTTCCGGATAGATGTCATGACAGCCTCTTTGCGAGCGAGGGCATCTGGAAAAGGTTTATAAAGTCTGAGACTCCATAGGAGGCAATAGCAGAGCTAAAGTACCTTGAGGAGTAGGCGAAGGCGAAGCCGACGACGAGGATTTGAAGAAATCGGCCATGATGGTTCTGTGTTCGCTTTTTCGACGCGAGAACGCGAGAAATTCTGTATGAGTCGAGCACGTGACGGCAGCGTCCTGCGTCTGGAAAACATCGCCGATTTGGGAGTTGACTCATTTCTCTGTGTTTCTCCATCACCTGCCCTAGCTATTCGTGTCTATTTTACTCGGAATGGGTGCTCGCGAGTCTAGGGCGCAACATGAAAATGATGGACCTGGCGTGGAGGACTACTACACTCTACTCGAAGTGGAGGAGGACGCCACAGCGGATGAGATTAAGGTGCGAGGAGCAATGTTTTGTAGTTCATCTAGACACTAACTTGTTGTTGTTGTTGTTATTTACATTACTTGACGGTGGTAGCGTTCTTTCCGTCGTCTTGCACTCAAGCACCACCCGGATAAGAACATCGATGATCATGAGAACGCCACACAACGTTTCGCAGCGCTGCAGCAGGCGTATGAAGTGCGTGCGACCTGACCAGTGCGGTTCATGAGCTGATGGGTACGCTTAGGTCCTGAGTGATGACCAGGTGAGGATGAAGTCCATCCTTTACCATTGGAGGGCTGAGGAGACTTGACGACTGAGACGTTCACGTTCTGAAGGAAAGGGCCTGGTACGATTCGCATCGAGCATCGATGGTTCCGGAGCCTGACGAAGAGACTGTGTTCGAAGATGTCAAGAGGGGCGCGCCTCCCTCGAAGGCTCGAGAGCGTGGAATGACTGTCCGCCAACTTGCCATGTTCTTTAATCCGACCATCTGGTCTGCTTTTGATGACTCCGAAAATGTGTGTATATTCGCCCTGCCCCGCATTTCAATGGATATGAGCTAACACTGAGTCCATAGGGTTTCTTCACAATATATAGGAATCTTTTTGTCCGACTCGCACAAGAGGAAAAGGCTTTTGCGTCCAACACGGAGTTGCCGCTATTCGGTGACTCAACCTGGACCTGGACCGCGCCTTCGAAGGACCGGCATGCTGAGGCTGCGAGACACTTCTACAACAACTGGTTGAACTTCGCCACCGAGAAGGATTTTGCCTGGATGGACCAATGGAATTTGACGGAGGCGCCGGATCGCAGGGTTAGAAGGTATGACTACATCCCTCACTCACTAAAAGTCAGGAGTATCTTATTTATGGCTTTCCAATGGCAGATTGATGGAGAGGGACAACAATAAGGCACGAGCAGAAGCAAAGAAAGAATATAATGAGATCATCAGGGTACGCTGACATTAGCCACCACCCTTATTTTACGAGTATAATAGGTTTACTGACAACCCTTTCGCGCTATCAGGAACTAGTTCAATTTATCCGGAAACGTGATCCTCGGTACAAAGCACACCTCGCTTCCCAGCAGGCTTCTAACTCCGGCACTTCAACACCCAAACGTGCACCTCGTCCCAATGCCAACCTCAGTACTGGGCCCACAGCGGTATTTGTCGAACAGGAATGGCAAAGGGCGCACGTCGATGCCGCGGACCTAGAGTGGGCTCGAGCCGAAGGCGCAGGGGAGGAAGAATGGGAATGCGTGGCGTGTGGCAAGTCGTTCAGGAGTGAGGCAGCTTGGGATAGCCACGAGCGGAGTAAAAAGCATTTGAAAGCTGTGGAAGCGTTAAAGAAGGAGATGGAGATGGAGCAAGATGAGCTCGGACTGGAAGGCGTAGACGACGAAATGGAGGAGGGAGACGAAGATGAAGACGACAGCGAAGGATCTGGTTACGAGGATGCTCCGGATGTCGGAGGGGATAATGAGATAGCCGAATCACAACCCTCTCCACCTCGCAGTCCTACTCCTGAGGATGTCGAAGTGCGCATATCATCCACACACGATGTTGCATCTGACGACTCGTCCTCGAATACCCAGGCGAAGTCGAAAAAGTCGAAACCAAGGGATCAAGCCCCCGTACGGCCAGTAACCCCGCCCTTTGTGCCGTCGAAATCCAAGTCAAAGCGGCGGCGACGCGGTCCCTCTCCGGAGCCTTTCGATGAGGACGTGACGCAGAGCTCACTCAACAATACGCGCAAGGTCGGTAGTAAGTCTAGAGGCAAAATGCATGATGATCCTTCCCAGGGGGTTGGCTCATGGACAACTGAGCAAGTTGACCCTTCTGCGCCATCGAAAACACTACAGTCACCGGAGGACGAGGAGCCCGGGGAAAACGATGCTCCATCAGAGACAGAAGCTGGTGCCCCGCACAATGGTGTGGGTGTAGAGATGTCTAAGAAGGAGAAGCGTAGAGCACGAGAGGCCAAGAAGAAGGCACGCGAGGTTGGCGAAGGCAATACTACGGCCTTGGTGAGTGTGATTTTCTTTTCCAGAAGTCGGTACGGACGGAAATTCCGGATGACTTCCTTGTGGCATCGTCATACATGCTTATTGCTTGAGGCCGGTTCATTTCCGCGAAGTTAGATGAGTTCCACTGAGCCATTTTCGATGGCTCTTTATCTACCTATCCTTTGCTTGACCTACTCAATTATCAGTGCGCTGATCATTTGTCTCTCTTTCTCCGTCTTGCATCACTTCTTCATTCGAACTAACGATATACTTCTACAGCAGCACTGCAACGTCTGCTCAGAGACATTTGATAGTAGAACGAGGCTGTTTGCCCATATCAACAGTACGGGCCACGCCGCGGCCGGCACGCATGGATCGTCAAATCAATCCGGGAAAAAGAGCAAAAAGGGAAGAAAGTAGATGGTCTTGTCAATTGTCTGCCGACTAGAACTTCAGATCCAACATTCTTCGATCATGTACTTCCCCTTCCATTCGATATCCGTAGCACTCCCAACGCTTGTTCCAATCTCTTGAAAGCCTCTCAGCTATCGCGCAACATATTTTCCGTCGACGTATATTTGAGGCCAAGAATCATATCGGCTTTGCTGACATCATACGCAAAGTCGTACTGTTTCGTGTCCTTCGTCGCACCAGGGTTATCCTTCGGGAGGTTTGAAAACAAGGATAGATCGCTTTATAGAACCCATCGTCGGAATGTGACGTCCGCAGCACGACCTACGTGCCAGCCGGCGGTGGCTGGAAGCGGTAGATGGGTCAAACAGAACTGAAAGCTAGTGGAGAAACAGACAAAGTTTCGTGAGAAGGGGCTTAAACCTGTCGTTATTGACCCTAAACGAACCAAATGTTGCGCGTCATGTCACCCCGTTCTGGTATTTTCTGAGCTCTGTTCACCTCTAAAAAAAAATCAGGGATGGTAAAGGACTCTTGTCTGCAGGACGCAAGACCGAAACAGTACGACATCTGCAGGATTTGAACCTGCGCTCCCAGAGGGAAACAGATCTTCGGGAAGGGAGATGCCGAAATTTCAAGGAGCAGTTTATACGGGTCAAACAAACAAACAAATCTGTTCATTCACCAATGGTAAAATATCGTCCACAAGACTGAAGGGCAAAACAGTACGACATCTGCAGGATTTGAACCTGCGCTCCCAGAGGGAAACAGATGTTCGCGGAATTCGAATCTGTCGCCTTAAACCACTTGGCTAAGATGCCTTGAGACGGATGTGATAGACAAGACATAGGTACAGCATTTTTTGCGAGCTCACAGCTCTCAAACCCGACCGTCCACGCTCGAAACGGCGTGCTGGGTAGTCAGAAGGAACAGAAGATCCGGAAGCAAATCTTGTGATTGATCGCATTGTTCCAGGCCAATTTGCCGTCTCGTGCAGTGCGGCAAGCCAAGTACAAGAAGACTGTGCGCTGAGACTTGAGCGAGAGCCTACTTATACGTACGCGATGCTGCTCAGAGTCGGAAGCCCAGATGAGACTGCAGCGGAGCTACTCTTGAGAAATATGTTGTGGCAATGGGGCTCAGAGAGGGAGGTTAGGCCAGAACTTGAACAAAAAAACGACGCGTCAGTCAGACGTGTTCGCTCATGTCGGAAACCATCAACTCAAAGCCCCTATTACGCGTTCGACATTGCAAACACAAGATCTGGACACAAACCGTGCAACACAATAAGATGCATAGCAAAAGGCATAGGTCATATTCCGTCATGAGCGCCAGAAAGATCCAAAACAACGAATATTGCGAAATGAAACACAGCAGAGTAGAGCTGACGAAGAATAAAATATGAGAACAAATACGACGCCGTATCATACACAACTCCCAAGCAAGCATGTTACAGAGAACCAACCGAATATTAAACCAAGCGCATAGTTTGAGCCCCTATCCGAGTCCATGATGTCTATTGCGTATCCTCCCAAGTCATCCTCAACATCGAAGTCTCCGTCCGAACTCCTGGATTGGAAACGGTTTCATGTTATGCCTCCCGTCATCATCGTCGTCGTTGTCCGGTCATGACATACATGACACCCAGGCCCTGCTTCATCACCAAATCTGCTTTACTGTTCAGTATTCGCGAGATTGAATTGGAGCATACACGACAAACGCTAGACAAAACTCACGTTGATATTAGAGTAGGTGATTCAGTTGCTGAAGGGCGCAGAGACGGGATATGCGCCCGCAGGGACAGAGTACGGGCGCTCAGATGCGTCAGGCTGCGAGACGACGTAGACAGTGGACGGTTGGTCGGCTTGCGTGGCTGGTGACGCCGACGATGAAGCGGCCAAAGGTGATTTGTTGGCAGCAGGGAATGGGGAGAAGAATGTGCGGGTCTGCGACGAGGTACCGCGGAGGGAGGCAGAAATGGTACGGGAGTGTTTGGAGGCAGCACGGATAGCAGACATTGTGTTGTGTGGGTGGGTGACGAGTTGGGTTGGTGGGAGAGTTGGGTGCACAGCGGTGCGAACGGCGCGCGAGTTATATGGGCAACGGAACCAGAGCAGCGTGGGGTATTTCGATTGCCTTTCCCGTCACTCCGTTGCCGAGGGCCGGCCCAGCGAACCCCTGTTGGGGCAACGCGCGCTCAACACCGCTTTCGTGTTTGCCGATGTCGTCTCATTTCTAACAAGCAGGACAAAATTCGACCACCCCCATTGGTAGGATACGGCGCGTACTCATATGATACGATTTTGTGTCCAGCACTGCGCCTGTGCCACCGTGAATGGCGGACGGCGTGGTAAGGGGATTTATACCAGCGCATATCATCATTGGTCTGCGAGCGGCCGTCAGCGTTTCAGCGTCAGCGTCGTCGCAGCCTAGCCGAGTCGTATCAGGATCCAGGACGCCTTGTTCCATCTCTGTCAAGAATCTTCGTTGTAACAGGTCATGCACCTCCACACGCTTTGACACTCCCGATGGGTTTGCCCTTATCCTCGCGCCGGATCCCTTTTCCTTTCACATATATTTCAACACTAACACACTTCCTCCCTTTATTTCAGTGTTTATTTTCACCACTTTATCTCGAGCAATAGCAGCGGAATGCAATCGTCCACTTTCAATCATCCGTCACTAAGGCATGCCTTGACTCAAAGGGCCTAATGCCGCATACGATTACCTATCATACGGCCCATGGGGATAGTTATGATTACTACCTGTATCGTTCCCCGTTGGTCGAGTGTGTAAGTCAAAGAAGACATCCACCCTTTTCTCGTATTTATCCACATACAGTATCCTTGGATTTGCGCTCGCCGTTACATCTCCGTAAGAAAGGAATGTGCAAGCCGGGCGGATATTATGATCAGGCGCCATGGGCGGACGGTCTTGCGGGCCTCCGCCCCACTCACGTTGATTGTCTTCGTGGCCTGGGCGATTCCAGCCATACCGCGTCCTCTGTCGCCTCATTATTGACTCTTCAACGTCTATAAAGGGCCTCCGAGCTGTATATTCGCTTTTACCGTTGCCCTAACTGTGGCCCGTTATAAGTACTCTATTCAACGCACTGCTCTAGTACGCGGCATGGTCGAAAGGGCTGAGATAAAAACACGCGTTTCATCTTATGCTAACTCAACCTCTGTCGAGCTCAATGCGCGCGGTCTTCGTATACGCAGCTGCAGAGCAACGATCAGTGCGGCGAGCCCTGTACTTATCCTTAACTATCCGGTATGCTCCGAGGTTGTTTGACGGCGGCGGAATTCGGAATCTGTTCTATCCTCATGATCATCCTCTGCTTAGATGCTTATGGTAAGTCCTCTTCCATGTCTCTCTCATCGCAAGGTAACTTCAACCTCTGGTCACGCCACATAGGTGCTATGCTTTACCTTCCATAAATCGCCGAAGCTCGTGGAAGGGCTGAAACTCGCGCCCATGCCTCGAACTGGGAAGACCGATCTGGTCTTCCACATCTCATGACCGTCTTGCGCCGTCTTACGAGCAACACGACACGGTGTAAATCACTCTCAATTGAATTGTTTCTGAATATGCATACCCCTCGACCTGATCAATGATTACCAGACAATTACGAAAGTCAGATGGCAAACTCTCAGATAACCTTGCGCTATCTGTTTCGACGCTGGTCTGACATGATCCTTGGGGCTCATCCTGAACCTTCTGTATTACGGTAAAACATCCTCAGACAGAGCACTTCGGGGCTTCTCAGGTATATGGGGTCTGAACGCGAAGATGACGGTGACGAGCATGTGAACAAAACAATGCAATCGTAATGATTGTCACGATTTCACACAAGACTTATTTCGGTATGAGTGCCATTCATTGAATCATTCCCATGCACAATCGACTCTGAATATACCCTACTATAGTGATGCCGACAATGAAGACTCGATGTGCCTCCTTTGTTTCCCGCGCAGAGAGCTTCGAGAAGCAACGTGTATGCTATCCTTGTTCCATCTTCTCCATCCGTACATTGAAGCGCGGTGATCTAACTCAAGCCCTCTACCAAAAGCACAATAAGGCCGTTGAATTGTCATCTTGAGTTTGCCTTCATGTCTACCCAATCCTGAAATCGCAGTCGGCTGTTCGTTCACGAACCTTTACTGATTCAAGCTCGAAATACAGGAGTGTTAGCTGCATCCGCCAAAAGGGCGTGGCTCGATTCCTTCAAAATACGTGCATCATGCAGCTGTAAGTGGCCCCTTCAATCTTATTGATCCCTCCAAACTTAACAAACCTTACTACTCGACTTCTAAAAGACTTCCGCTCCCCATAGTCCGTCAGTTGACTGCACCACGTTCGACAGGATTGGGTACCGGCGTTACTACTGCATCCAATGCCCGGTATGTAAGCATTGCAGATGTCATTGGCACCGACGATAACGAGGTATTTAAGCCGGCCTCGAAGAATTTCGACTCCCCACACATAGCAGTGCCCCGACTCGAGCAATGCATCCTCAGCAATATCGTCTACGATTCCTCCTGGACTTGACTAAACTTCTTATAGTACCTCAGCTCCTGTTCTTCATCATCCTCTATGCTATTCGAGCCAATTACAACCTACGATACCTTTGGCAGAAGATCGTTTTACACCTCCTAGTCGTCCTCTTCGCCGGTCTTTTGAAAGTGTGGTGGTCCGATCTGCATGACAAGAGGAATGCTGGTAAGTGACACAGTTGTTCTACCCCTCTCTGTCATTCTAGTTTCTTGACATTACGCTGAACTTTCTCATAGCCTCCCTTGGGGCGGAACCGATTCCATGCGTTCGCGGTAAATGGCCTGGAAATCTGGATGTCGGCATGCGCCTCATTAGCTCTATGAACGACGACTACATCATGCAATACTTCGCAGAATTGTTCGATGAGTACGGCGTCAACACGTTGAACACTCGCGTTCTTTGGGCGGACCAAGTAAGGGTCTTTTTGCGCCATTTCTTGTGTACATGTTCGCTCGCTCACTTGACTTCATTGAACGGCAGATCATCACGAGAGACGAACAGATCATGAAGTACATGTTGACAGGTGCGGGTTTCGAAAAATTTCACAAAGGTCCCTATTTTCAAGAGCAATTGTACGTCACACTGCGTTTGTTCTGATTGCTTCGACACCGCTAACTCCACCTCGCAGCGAAACCTTCATTGGAAACGGCATCTTCAACAGGGATGGAGCTGAGTGGCAAGCTGTACGTGCAGTTTATTACAGCTCACTTTGCTCTATCAAAGTTGACAATACTAGCACCGCCAACTTGCCCGCCCATGGTTCGCCAAAGACCGTATCTCCGACCTCAACCTCTTCGAGAAGCATACCACCCACACCCTCGATATGATCGCTTCCCTTCCTCCCAAAATAATGCCAGGATCCGTGGAAGTAGGACCCCAAGCTTTCGACGCGCAGGACCTCTTTTCTTGCTTCACACTCGATACGGCCTCCGAATTTCTTTTTAGGAAGGTTCGCTCGACATTGGATAAGCCGATGGAGAATCAACGGAACTCTGCGGGTCCCAATGACAAGAATGGACTTGATGAGGACCGGTTCGCAGCCTTTGAACAGGCGTTGCAGGTCGGTCTTCTTCAAATATTCCTGTTTTTCCCTTCTGTTCACGACTGCTGCCCTATGAGTATAGGACCTACAAGAGCGCGTCACCCGCCGAAATTGGATAGGCAGCATGTGGCCTCTGTTTGAACTCTTCCGAGACGGGACGGCGAGGTCAAGTGCCGTTGTGCATGATTTTCTTAGACCGTTGGTGGATGAGGCATTGAAGTTGAAGGCGGACCGTTCAGCTACCCTTGGACACGTCAAGGTACAAGACGACCTGATGTCTGCTCCGGAGGATACATTCTTGCAGCATCTGGTCGAGAGTACCGACGGTCCGTCTCCTCTACCAGCTGTCCATTGTGCCGGAAGGTTCGGCGCTCAAGTCAAACTTCATGCTAAAGTTTCATCCTGCGTCTCGTAACAGATTCCGAAACCATCAAGTTTGAAGTAATCTCAATGCTCATTGCTGCACGGGATACGGTATGCGCATCATCTTGTTGTTGCTTTTATTCCACTAATCGCTCTGGCAAATTTGTCGCTGTACTTACAGACCGCAAGCCTACTCACATCCGGGCTTTACTTTCTGTGCATACATCCCGAGGTTACGGCACGCCTCCGTCAGGAAATCGTGGACGAGTACGGCAGCAATGGAATCCCCACCCTCGAACGAACGCAGAACCTTCCTTACTGTAAGTCTCTGTCGTACAATTACCTTATCACGTTGAACATCATCGAACACGCTTTTCAGTACGTGCTGTAATTGAGGAGAGTCTCCGTCTATTTCCTCCCGTCGCTATCAATTTGCGCTACTCAACCGCCTCCCCGCAGGCATTGCCACCTAGCGTGTCCAGAGATGTGCACGGCGTTGATATACTCGGCCCACGATATTATGTCCCGCCGAACACGCTCATATTGTACAACATACTTCTCATTCAAAGGCGGAAAGATCTCTGGGGAGAAGATGCAGAGGTATTCAGGCCGGAGAGGTGGTTGGGGCCTGCATCAGCTTGTGACCAGGATGGAGCTGACATGCAGATTGGAGATGGGGCGAGAAGACTAGCCAAAAACCCAGCTATATTTGCACCGTTCCACATGGGCGCGAGACTCGTGAGGCTTATTCTTTTTCCTTCTCGAGACTGATCCACTAATTATACTACCATTTACTTGTAGTGTCTTGGCCAGAACCTCGCGTATAACGAAGTGTCGTACTTCCTCATCCGGCTCCTGCAGCGCTTCGAATCATTCGAGCTCGCTGAAGACGCCATGCCCGCGGAATCAATGCCTCCGCCTGACTGGAAGCTTGGTGACAAAAAAAGGATGGGCCGGAGAGCTATTGAGCGTGTGTGGCCCAAAACTCGGGTGACGACCTATATAAGCGGTGGGTTGTGGGTTCGGGCTCATCCTGCCTCCACCTAGACTCGTAGCGAGGAGAGCGGTTCCTGTAGGGTATACTCGTCCATATTTCTTCGTATATGTGAGCCCATGGTCTCAATATGACTCCATAAGTATGTGGCCTCACGCCGTTCAGCACAGATCGTTGCCGGCTGGGTAGCTGCTGGTAGACCTCACAAACGATGAGGGTATGACAGTACAATACAGTTTGTATACAGTCATTAATCCCGGAAAATGCCTTCAAACACACGAGTCCGGCCCTTGCACGATGTTTATCTTACACAGCCAAGCCTGCTAGTTCGATCTTGTTCACCATGATCTCCTCAAAACGTCGGCGTATCGAATGTGGTCTCAGGATCTGCAAACACACACCAGGCAAAGTTTCGATCAGCACACATATTTTTGCATCAATCAAAGGCAGCAAGAAACCAGAAAAATGACACAGAACCGAAAACTCACCCATGCCATGCAGATTAATGTAATCCCTATCTTTCTGCTTCAGGTGCAAAAGGTTCGACGCAAGCTCATGCGCCACAACCTGCACCTTCGGATTGTACTTCCCTCCCTGGCGCACTGCATGTGCCGCGATATCGTACCTCGAGGTCCTGTTGGCCAGCATCATCTACAGTACCGACCGAACGCCAATGTCAGGTCCTGCACACTGAAAAGCCTAACAAGATGATGCAGCTCACGTCAAACGGACTTGTCGTTGTGCCTTCTTCCGCATACCCACCCACCTCAACCCGCTCATCCAAACCCTTCCTACCAAACAACAACCCCTTCAACTCCTGCGGGTACCCATGATAATTGAAGTAGATCGGCCTATCTGCCGTGAACAGTCCGTAAAAGTCCTCGTCCGACAGCGCGTGCGGGTGTGCACCGACGGTCTGGAGAATCATGAGGTCCGTCACGTTCACGACACGAACACGGAGCTCTGGGCACTGTTTCCGGAGGAGCGAGGCGGCGGCGATGACTTCGAAAGTGACTTCGACGCCGATACCAACGAGAACGCTGAAAATGCAGAATACAGCATGAGCATTCAGAATATACGCATGGATTAAATGGGCCACTTACATGTCTGGATCCAAACCATCGTCTACGGACGCAAACTTCCAAACCGAAGCACCCGCCACACAATGCCTATCGGCCTCCTCAGGACTCAGCCAAACCGGCGTCTCTTGCTTACTCCCCACCATTAGGTTGATGTAGTTCTTCGCCCGGACACAATGTGCCATTGTTGACAAGAAGCAGTTGGCATCGGGTGGGAGATACACTCGTGCGAGTTGCGGTTTAAGATTGAGCACGGCTCCGATGAATGACGGGTTTTGGTGCGAGAAGCCATTGTGTTCTTGGCGAGCCCAGGTACTGTATATTTGAGTGGTTATGAGTCAACGGGGAGTGGAGGACGGGGAGATGGACTAACCTAGTTTCTAGGTAGTTCAGAGAACCGATATCATGCCTCCACTTCGTCTCACGCGCCATCTTGTTAAACTTCGAATACTGCACCATCATCGTATGTACAATGCCGAGGAACGCTTCGTATGAAGGGAACAAACCCGTGCGACCTATCCAAGTTGAATTCCATCAGCGCTCATATCACGCTGATTTTGCGGGCAGCGAAAGAGACGTACCTGTGAGAGTATACCCCTGCAACATCGCTTGACAGGTGTGCTCCGAAAGGATCTCGATGACTCTCCCACCCTTCGCACGTGAAGCGACGTCCCACTGGAAATTCCTTCCACTATCTCTCAGGACCGCGTCGAGCTTATTTGACTCGAGCTCGTCTGGAGAGAAAATCCTGAACGTGCTTGGGTTCCTAGTACGCCACACGCCACATGAGTCTCTCGGTCAAAGTTTCCTGCGGTGGACAAAGAAACTGACCTCTTGATCACCTCATGCAAAAACTCGCCCACGACCTTCGTACAGCTCTTCTGCTCTCCCTTCTGCACGCCCATCTCAATCCAGTTCGGCACATCCAGTGCCCTAAAATTCGCATTTGCCTCCTTCCTCATCCCCATCTTCTTGTCATCCCCTTCCGGAACAATACTCAACACCTCCTCCACAGGTTTACCGTCCTCCGTGAACAGTTCCCGTGGCTTGTACGATGAGAGCCAGTCGTTGAGGAGCGATAGTTGTTCGTCGGACTTTTTGGCTGCGGGGAGGGGCACTTGATGCGAATTGAATGATCCTTCGATGTACTTTCCGTTGAGCATTTTCGGTGCACCCCAGCCCTGTCGAATGAGAAAGCCCGTGGTCAACCGAAACCGTATTTATGAATAAAAACCTGCGTTCTCTTACCTTTATCGTTCGAAGGATGAGAACGGGCCAGCGTGGCTTGACAATGGGGCTACCACTCCGAGCAGCCTTCTGGATTTTGTGAATCTCAAAGATGGCCCATTCCATGGACGCAGCGAGGTCCAAGTCAATATTGTCCAAGTCTTCGACGAAGCGGACTTGATACCCGTAACCGCTGGACACAAAATTCATAAATGGGACGAGCTAAATGTGGTTATAGGGACGAACCTGAAGAGAGCGACGAGCTCTTTGTCGTCCATGGTACCGTATATTGTCCTGTAAACCTCGTCAGTCACTGAAATTGGCCATGAACATGATCCGGAGTATTATTTACCGCTCGCTAATCTTGAACCCATTGACATGTACGATGGGAATGACGGCGCCAGACTCTGCTGGATCAATATATTTATATCCGTGCCAAGCTCTGTTTACGAGTCGCTCAGCAAGCTTGTGCGGGTACAGAGAAAATTACAACGCACGTAGCGGTAGGGCCCGACTCTGCCTCGCCATCGCCGACGACACAGGCGACGATGAGATCTGGATGGTCCATTACAGCACCGAAGCTAACACCAAGCGCATATCCGAGCTCGCCACCTTCGTGAATACTTCCTGGAGTTTGCGCGTTGATGTGGCTGGCTGCCCATCAGCAAGACGCCTCTGAACGTTGCAAAAAAAGAGATTACCTCGGGAAGCCGCCTGGAACGCTGAACCCGGAGATGAGTCTCACAAGTCCAGCCTTGTCACGAGTATATTCAGGCATGTAGGGTGCGAGGGAGTTCTCTAGCCAAAGACAGGACAGAATTCCTGGAGCACCATGGCCTGTACAGGAAAAATTAATCAATTTACGCAAAACATACGAATTGGAGAGAAACGAACCTGGGCCAACGACGTATAACACGTCAATACCGGTTTTGCGAATAATCCGGTTGAGATGGGCGTATACGAGTACGAGGCCGGGGCAAGTACCCCAATGCCCAAGAAGACGGTTCTTAATATCATCGGGAGTGAGCTTCCTCTCTAGCAGCGCGTTGTCCTTGAGGAATATCATCGCTATGTAGGTTTGACGTAGGTTGTGAGCAGATGAGTGCAAAGGAGATGTAGAATGGCTGACCGGCAGCAACATAGTCTGCAGCACGTCTGAAAGTTTGTACAGCTTTGATATCCTCTTTAGAAAGAGCATCCTTGATGTTGAGCTTTACTCTGAGCTCGAGCAAGGAATCTGGTAAGTGGGAAGCGTCTGGAGGCGGATTTGGCTGGGCTATTTCTTGGCCGGGCATTGCGGCTGTGGAAGGGTTATGTATGAGGTAGTGGTGGTAAGGAAGAAAGGCGGATGTTTATGGTGGTCCAGATAGACTGCATGTCGGCGTAAGGACTTATGTATGTGGGTGCAGCAGGAAAGAAGGTTGAAATGATGCGCGTCATCACTCTCCGCGATGACAGCCCCTGTTGCCTTCGGAGCCGAGCCACGTGCGTTTCTTCCGAGGTCGCGAGTTTTCCTAAGTACGAGTCTGCGTCTTCCCAACCACGCTCGACAGCATTTCCAACTTTGCGACGCTAATACTTCTGATTTTCGCTCGAATTTCTCCCAATAATCTTTCACAAACTTTCTGCTCTTTTCTCACCATGATCTCTGAGAACGTCACGGTTGGTGTATTGGAGCTCGCACTCAGTGCGTCACTAGCCAGAGATGACGTCGCTACGCATTCCGTTGTTGATGTACACAACTCTCACTGGAATCAACAAACTGAAAACGTTCTATAAAGTGACCTCCACTCTTCGAAGTATCCAGATCAAACCTCTAGTCTACGAACGTCCAGCTGCCGTCTTTGGTCTCTCTCCCGTTCTCAACTGTGGCCAGCATTTATAGTGTGATAGCCATTGGACTTCATCTGTAAACCTCTCCCCTGCTTCTCTTGCACCGCGCATAAAGCATCAACTATCATGTCTTCCAAAACACATCCTCGGGAAGGACTCATCCTATCTCTCAACTCGGGCTCTTCGTCTCTTAAGATTTCTCTTTATCGCCTCTACGACTCACCCGCATCCACCAAACCTGTCCCGAGTGACCCAATCGTAAACCCAATCGAGCTCATTCTCACCTCCTCCATCTCGTCTATCACAACTTCCCCAACGTTCTCATTCTCTTCGGCATCTTCCTCTGATGTACGGACTGCGAAAGACGAGCCATTGCAGGGCAACGTCAAGGACCACGCCACCGCTTTCGCACACTTTCTCGAATACATGAAGAACGAGGCAGACATAGATAGGAAGAGTATCGCACATGTTTGTCATAGAATTGTCCACGGAGGAGATTATTCTGAGCCCGTTATAATCAATAGCGAGTCGTATCACCATATCGAGGCTCTAACCGACCTTGCACCCTTGTACGTGATCTCATATTTCCACCCCCCAGTTATCGGATTACATCCTTGTTTTACTCATGCACGCCATGCCACGCCACACCAGACATAACGGTGCCGCCCTCTCAGTCATCAAAGCCTCCATAGACGAGCTTAAACACGCAAACAACATTGCCTACTTCGATACCACATTCCATCAGGACATTCCGGCCTACATATCGTCCTACGTCATCGACCCAAAGATCGCAAAGCCGAAGGTGTGCCCCGTTCATCGCCATTCTCGGACTTGTGAGAAAATTGACGGAGCTAAATTGTCGGTTGTCTGTAGGGTCTGAGGAAATACGGCTTCCACGGTTTGAGCTGTAAGCAGACATGTAAAATGCCTTCACATCTGACACTCTCATCTAACTATCACGTTCCTCCACGTAGATGCCTACATCGTCCGCACCGTCTCCCAATATCTCCAAAAACCTCCTTCACATACCAACCTAATCCTCCTCCACCTCGGCTCCGGTGCCTCCATCTGCGCCATCCGCAATGGCAAATCCCTCGACACTTCCATGGGCCTCACTCCAGCCTCCGGACTCCCCGGGGCCACCCGCTCCGGCGACATCGACCCTACGTTAATATTCCACTACACGCATCGCGCGGCGAAGATCAGCCACGACAAGAAAGGTGCAGTGGACGTGGGGGTGACGCAGGCTGAAGAGATCCTCAATACCAAAGCGGGCTGGAGCTCTTTAGTGGGGAGCAGCAATTTCGCTGAAATCACCGCGAAGCTCGATGACCCTTCTGAGTCTTCGCCGGAAGTGGAGAACGCAAAGCTGGCTTTTGAGATTTTCGTCGATCGAATCTTGAACTATCTCGGCGCGTATTACCTCAAACTAGGCGGCGACGTCGATGCGCTGGTGTTCTCTGGCGGGATAGGCGAGAAGAGCTCAGAGTTGAGGGCGGAGGTCGCGAAGAGGTGTGCCTGCTTGGGGTTTGCGGTGGATGAGGGCAAGAATGGTGAGGTGGCGGAGAAGGAGGGGGAAGTCGTTGAAATTACCGGCGCGAGTCCCGGTGGTAGTGAAGGCAGAAAGGGCGGAAAGAGGGTATTGGTGTGTAGGACAGATGAACAGGTAAGATCTCGCTCTTGTAATGCTTATTACGGCTCTTCGTATGTTGAAGACTGAGTATGAAGTGCTGATGTCAACTTTTTTGAATGTCCTTGCATTCAACACAGCTCGAGATGGCGAGGGAGTGTGCACTGGAACCGAAGTTTTGGAAGTAACGGCTCTGTGGGTTTGTGCAATATCTCAGATATTCATAATATTATCTTGCTTTGCGGGACATAGACAGCTTCCTGAATATGGTCTTATCTGTACGACGACAAAGATCGTCGCAATGGGCCAACCGTCCAACGCCACCATGACAAATGCGTTGTGTTCTGGACTAAACGCCGGCGGCACAAAAGAACAAAGCGATGCAATTGTATTGCTTGACTTGGGACAGTTGACTCAGTGGAGCTTAGAATTGACAGTACGTTCTTTCCGTGCTGTCCTCGACGAGCCTGTACTGTACGAACATATAATGAACCTTTGCTTCTGTTCAATAATACAGGTATTCTCTTAAAAACAATTTGCGTTGCTCCTTGTGCAGGCTCGTTATCAGCGTCGGCTATTGTCGACAAAGATATATACTGGGAACAAAGCACAACTGTGGCCTAGAGCTGTCTTGTGCCCATCAATACAGGAGTAAGGTCGACAGCAACGAGGGCAAAGATATGTAAGTACGCTTGAACCTTTATCCGGTGACACAGCTGTACTAGCGTGCCATGTGCCGCGGCATTTACAGCCGTATACGGAGCCTCCTTTGTGTATGGTCTACATAAAGGAGCAGTGGACGCGAATGCAGGGCCTTTTTATTGTCGCCCTCTCTCTTCATCTCGTCTCTCGCCTCAGAACGACGACTGTCTTCGGCTTGCGCTGTCAATATGTCTCCTCCTATGTACCCAGTTCACCCCTCATATGCGAGGCATCGCGCGAGGACTACCAGCCTGTCAACATCACAAAGTCAAGGCCCTCACAGTACCCACCATGCGCGCTATCCTGCGGGATCAGGAATATACGGTCCACCTCATCACGGACAGCAATCCGTAGGATCGTATCCTCCTCCTCCGCTCCCCATACTCTTCCATCCAACGCAATCAGGCCAAATACCTCCTGGAGCGACACCTGGCCAAACCTTCATCCCTCCTGTGATATCTTCTGTACCTCATCCCTATCCAGGCGACGGAAGACATGGAATGGATTACCCCTCTGTACCTCCTCCCTTTCCACACGACGGAAGACATGTCACTAGACCCGTTCCACCCCCTGAAAGGTCCGAGTTAATTCCAGCGTCGGCCTCTGCATATACCGGACGATACCCTGATCGTGCTTCAGGTGGGTACCCGGAGTATACCCTAGCACATCAGTCACAACGCGGTTACCCGGCTCACTCTGATCGTGTCAATGACAATCTCTCTCCTCTGAGTTTGTCAACTCTGTCTCTCGCTCACTCAGACTCTGACTCGGCAACCCTCGTAAACTCTCCTCGATCGCTTTGGCCTCCGTCGCCGTCCGTATCATCGCTCTCTGGGACGATAGCAAGCTATTATGATATCCCATCTCGCAGCCCCAGCCCTTCAGTCTTTGAGGATTCCACGAACGGCAGAGAGACCCCACAAGCCATAGAGCTGCACCCCCGACCCGCCCGCGACCAGTCCTTAGATGAGCCCCCTAGGATCTTACAGCGAGTGCCACAAGTCATGTGGTGCCCCTGCATCGACAGTTCCCGTGGCGTGCTTGACGAACACTATCGTTGCTGTGACAAAAGGGTACCGATGTCGGTCGACAGTATCAAGTTCTTGTCGAAACGTCCTCGCGATGTGGCACCTGGTATGACCGGCATTGCGATAGAGAACGGATTTTGGGTGTCGAGAGGGTTGGAGTTCCTGTCCTTTCCGGACGATCTGGCCCTGGCTGATAATTACTTCGAACGGGAACTAAGGAGGAAGAACCTCAGACTGCATCTTCTGGTGAGTGGTGTCGTTTTTGCTTGGGTATCTTTCTCGGAGTTTGGGGACTGACCTTGCCTTCACTACTTATGTATAGTGGGATGGGTATGAACGAGGTGTTGTACGGGAGGTGCATCCAAGGCAAGGAACGCTGACGAAGAAACAGTTGGCGGCCGAAATCAGCGAACTTGTGTCGAGCTTTTACAGAAAGGTTGCAGTACGTCCACTAGCCTCTGCTACCGTGAGAGGGTAAGACAATTACTCATGACAATAACAACATAGCGCGGCGAAAGAAGGTGGATTCCCTTCGCTCAAGACTTACATCGGCGGGACTATCGGTGGGACCTTATGCATGGCCATAACGGCGCGGGGACTAAGCAGGAGGATCTCGTGGTCGTGAAGTTGGACCATCGAGGCGGCGAGAACTGGCAGCTTGATTTGCGGTGGGTCGATCCTACTGACATTCAAGGGCATGCTTGAGGCTATGACTTGTCGTTTCAAAGTTGGAGAACCTGTTTTAGACACGTGTACGATATTATGATTACTTAGGACGTGGAAGGCGTAGAACTAGAAGTACGATGAGGCTGTTTATCAATACACGCGATGATGACATACTTCGAAAGGCAACGGACCCACCCATTGACGGCATCGAATTACTGACACTTGCGCATGGAACTGAGCCTGAGCCTGGGTCGTCGAGAGTGGGACGAAATGACGAATTTCGACTTACCAAAAAGAGATACAATAGCGATTGTTTGTGCATGTTAGGATCAGAGGCTCTTGTTTCCCACGCTTACTATACGGAGTTCTACGCCACCCATTTTTGACTAGAACTTCAACCAAACCACGCTTGAGTCTACCTCGTCTACGCCAAACATCCTCGGAAAAACCTTGTAATTGCGTTATATAAAATGAGCAAGAACAACACGGAGAGAAAGCGAAGGTATCGATCCGTACGTCCGCGTTTTACAATCAATGTTTCCGTGAGCAACGAACGAATGATTCACGGTGCAGGATGGATCCTCGATCTGGGGCAAGCGGTCGATTGATGGGCCTGGTGTTTGGGTAAGTTGTGTCAAAGGAAAGGAGAAACAGACTGTTGGCGAGTTATATGACTTGTTCGAGCAGGTGCGTATCTTCTTACGCTTTTATGGAGATCGGTCACCTATCCTGCTTCATAAACTACGAAGCTCGCTTCTGAGCTCTACCCAGAACTGGGCACAGGGAATGCTGGCGCAGGGAATGAAGAAGAGACTGCAACGAATTCAGACCAAGAAGAGGAAGAGGACCTAGAGAAACAACTCGCGAAGGAGTTGGCTGCGATGAAGAAACCGCGAAAGCAGCAGATATTCGGTATGTTCTTTTCCTCCCATCTGTGACCCCCACTCGTTTCAAAAAACCCGGGTATTTGATTTCATGGTCAACTGATTTATATAGCGAATTGTCAGACTAATACCACCTGTGGCAAGTCTTCCGCCCTCACTTTCACGAACCAGTGTCGCAGGTCGATTGTTAATGAACAATACAGTGGTGTTCATTTCCTGCAAGCCGCCCGTGGATCCTGTTCGGCTCGTTCTGAGGCACATCGAGAACGTGGAGAAGACAGGGGTCACGAACACACGGTGAGTTCCGTGGTTATCCTTCTCTCTATGTGGTCCAAACCCTCACACTCTGTTTCTTGTTTAGATTCACACAAAGACTAACGCCGATCACCAACTCTTGTGTAGCCAACGTGCCAGAGATTACATCACTCTTCAAACGCGTTCTCAAGTCGTTTTTAGAAGAAGATCCCGAGCGCATCAAGTCCAGCGTACGCAACTTCTCTTCTCCTATCCCTTGCTGTGTATCTCCTCACACCCGCTACCCGAGATCATTTTGACGAAACTGATGCTGACATGGACCCAATAGTATAAAATCGAACTGCGATCACGGAACCACAACACGCTGACACGCCAACAATTCATCGACACCATCGCCGTATGTGTCCCACCTGAGTTCACTGTCGATTTGGAGAACCCCAAAATCTTTATCCTCGTTGAGGTGTTCAAGGTGCGTCCTTAACCTTGCTCGGCCGAGTCCATGCCAAAAAATGGCTGTAGAGAAGCGTTTCACTGACCAGTGACCCTCTGGCGGTATGGCTTGGCCTGTTGTAGAGTGTCTGCGGGATCAGCATCGTCGAGGATTATTACAAGCATACGAAGTTCAACGTGATGGAGATCGCAAACGCGAAGAATGAGGTTGAGAAGTTCAAGGAAGGAGAAGGGCGTGTCTTGGACTGATGCCGTCTCGTGCGGCATGCTGGGTTTACTACCGGGCATAAATTGTGGCCACTGTGCACGCCGTTCGGATTGAAAGTCACCCTGAGAAACACCAGTAAATGTAATTTTATTCGCTCACCCGCCGGTATAAAGTTCACTTGTGTGCGGTGACTTTCAACCATCTCACGGTATAAAGGAGGGGGATTGAAGATCACCCCTTATATTGCCGAATTCACTCACTTCAACTGGGAAGGGAATTCAACCTCTTCACCAGAGAGATATCACTCGTTGTTTTCTGCGGTGCACGGCACCTTCAATTGAAAATGTATGGCCCATAGATTGACTTTTGTATTGGTGAACTGTGACTACAAGTACATACATGGAACTACACAAAGTCTGTATCTACCCCGAACCTCGAGTACCATAAGGAATGCGAAAGAAGTGACTTACCAAGTAAGAGTGAGACCCGCTCACGATAATTCATGATTTCATATACTCACCAATGGTCGCGGACTCGCGGCGCGTCATACTAGTCGAACACAGCACCCGAATGGTCACAAGAGAATACGCACCGGCGGGACCGCCCTTCACAACGAGTATAGCAAGCACCCAATGCCGGGACGAAACGATGCTGCACTTTGCTGTATGCTAGCTGGAAACCGGTTAGCCCTACGCTCCAGCTAGCATGATAGAAGACCTCCTCATCGGAAACCTAGAAGCAAAGAAACAAGACGTACTGTTGTCATACGACACAACATAAATATCCTGATCCCCTTGAAGATTGACCCTCCCGAGTAGAGCAAGACCTAGAAAACATTATATTGCAAACGTAAGACAGGCAATGAGAGCGCTCGATGACGAGCGAGGCAATGGGAAAAACGAGACGGCCGATGTCGAGGTTACGGGTGGCGAGTGATAGCCCGCAAAGAGAAGCCCAACCGGAAGAGGTTGATAAGTTGAATAGATCACATTAAAGACACAGGGAGCATACCGAGGATGTCGACGACGACGAAATGTCGATGCGCAGGTGTTGCAGAACGTTTCTCGACGTCGTGGTCTGACTGGAAGGAGCGAAGGGCAGAGCACCCGGCTTTGCTGGCATGCGATGCAAGCGATGATGTCATCCGGTAAGGTGCCAGTCTTTAGGGCAGGCTAAAAATGACTCGCGCAAAGGGGCAATTTTGCATGATTTCCGCCTCACCCGCATTCACTCCATCGCCGGCTTCACCCTAAGCGACTCGTTTAACGAGTGAAAAGTGGAAGTCAACCTCCCTTGGAGGTGACATTCAGCCCCTTTCACGTGCACAGTGGGCGCTGGTAGGAAGAGCAGTTGTAGTAAATTGTAGCCTAGCTCGAAGCCATGTAGTCGCATAACAACCAACTTGTAGTGCCTCTCCTTACAATCAACGAAGGTGGCGTAGCCGCATCAATACATTTGTAGCGAGGACTTTCGGAGTTCGAAGTTGATGTAGCGAATGTGAAGTCTCTATATCATCGGACCCAAACGTAATTCCGTTCGCGTCTTGCCCTCATACCCAGCACTTCCCACTTGCTTCGCCTCCTCCACATACTTAGGACGCGTTAAACCTCATCGAACTCGTTTGATTTGATCTAATCACTCATCACTCAGGCCTTATACTCACCATGGCCGACCTCGTCGACTCCATGCTCGACCTCCTCCGACGCCTTCCTCCTACCCAAGTCGAAGACAACGTCTCCGCGCTCGTGCAAATCTGCCCAGACTACGCCGATGATCTCCTCGGGAGCGTAGATCAGCCGCTCAAGTTGAGGATGGATAAGGCGACGGGAAAGGAGTACCTTGCGTGCGATTATAATAGGGATGGGGAGAGTTACAGGTGTGTGGCGCTTCGAGGATACTGGCCGAGTTCGTAATTATGATTATGAGAGGTTAACTGATGTTTGGTTCGTCTTATGTGGTCTATTGGTTTTGTATTGGGCGATGCAATGTGATGTGAAGGTCACCGTGGTCGAATGAGTATGACCCGCCGTTGGACGATGGGACTTTGCCGTCTACGAAGCTGCGCAAGCTGGAAGTTACAGCTAACGAGGCGTTCGATACTTACCGCGAGATGTACGTCTCATCCCACTATCTCTATGTCCTCTGGCTACTCACAAATACATCCGGGTACACGGGTACATGATATATCTATATATTTTGAGCAGGTACTACGAAGGCGGTGTATCGTCCGTGTTTCTATGGGATCTCGACGACGGTGGTTTCGCCGGAGTTGTTCTCTTCAAGAAAAGTACGTTGCCCGTTTACATGCCCGACATGCTCAAGCGATTCCGCCCAAAACTGACCACCATCAACACTCCGACGTGTCATATTAGCCTTAAGCCCATCCTCGCCCTCCGAACCCTCAGGCAGCTGGGACTCGATCCACGTCTTCGAAGCCGCAGAACGAGGGCGTCAAGCGCATTACAAGCTCACTTCAACCGTCATGCTCCAGTTGGTCACACGAGGTATGGATGTCGACGCGGCGGCTGCTGCTCAGAGTGGGAATGGACATGGACAAGGATCGGCGAAAGAGGAGGAGACGTGGAAGCGGGAGGGAGAGGTCAGCTTGAGTGGGAGTATGACCAGACAGGTACGTCGCGTTAATCCCCAAGATCCATTGAATAACATATGTTACCGGGGTGCTCATGGTTATGTCGCAGACGGAGACGGACCAGCCCGTGCAGGACTCGAGTTCACATATCGTGAACATGGGCCGGTTGATTGAGGACATGGAGATCAAGATGCGTAACTTGTTGCAGGAAGTGTATTTTGGCAAGACGAGAGATGTGGTTTTCGACCTGCGCAGTCTAGAGAACCTGGAGGCGGCGAGGAGACAGAGGGAGTTGCAGAAGGAGCTAGTAGGATTCATCAGGCGGTGATACCGGCCATCTGGAAGGAGCTATGGTCGTTGTCGTTCGTCGCTCGATGGGGTTCTTACATGCATAACTTTTACAATGGAAGTAAGGAAAGGTCGTTGTACATTAGACACGGTACACCTATGGAAGGATCCGTTTTTGGGCCACACGAGATGCATTGGATGCCGCGCAATGAGGCTGTGGGGTTAAGTTCAGGCTACGATCTGAGCTCTTCGTCGGCTACAGGATTAGCGTGAATGGTAATCTGATGGACGGCCGCTCAGTACTCAGCAATCCACAGCACTGTACGGAGGTGATAGTCGATAACTCACATGGGTCAGCTTGATCTCATCGAGCGGTCGATTCTTGTTGTTCACTGGCACCCGTTCCATGGCGTCCAAGGTAGAGTCCGCGCCATCGATGACTTTGCCGAAGATTGTGTATTTTGAGTCCAGATGAGGCTGTTTAGCGTACGTGATGAAAAACTGAGACTTGTTGGTGTCGGGGCCGGAGTTGGCCATCGCCACAACACCACGGGCGTTAAACTGGTGTCAGACCGGTGTACAGGTTATAAGTCAAATACGGTCAAATACACCATGAAACGACTGCGATGCTGACTTTCAGGGTGGAACGGAGCTCGTCTGGGAATGGCTTGCCCCAGATGGACTGCCCACCTTTTCCAGAGCCAGACGGGTCACCGGTCTGGATCATGAAACCTTTGATGTTACGGTGAAAGATGCAACCATCGTAGTAGTTAGAGGCGCATAGCGCGAGGAAGTTCTGTGGGTGGATACATGAGAGTCTTTTACGAGCATTGGGTGTAAGCCGAATACCTCGGCTGTCTTAGGCACTGCTTCGACGAAGACTTCAATCTATGGTAAAAGGTCAGGGCGACCGATAATAGGGAAGAAAGGGGGAAGATTACCTTGATGTCTCCATGAGTTGTGTGCAGCGTGACTGACTAGGCGTGGGCAGTCAGAGGAGAACTGTAGAGCAAAAGGCGAACATACCATGGTCGTCGTGCGAAGGAAGATGGATGAAGAGGCACGGAGAGGGACAGGGGGAGAGCGCCAGGTCGCCGGAGCGATCGACAACACGTGTGCGAAAACGTATAAGGAGGATGATGTTCGTGGGGAAGCCTTGCCGAACGCTCAGCCCTGCCGCCCATCACGACATTCTGCTTCGTCTTCGTCGCCTCGCACGATGCTCACTCACCACCGACCACCATCTGTGCTTTCCCAGGACGACCCCCTCTCCCTTGCAATGCGTCCCCCAGCATCAGAAACCGACGCTCAGCGTCAGGCTAGGCTGCTCGAGGAGGCGAACGCCCAGCGCCTTAGCGATCTAATTGACGAGCAGCTTAAGCAGGACAAGAAGAAGTTCGACAAGGCGAAGGAGGATGTCAAGGTGGGCGCTACTCGTCTCGCCTTCTTCGTATTTTTGACTGGCTCTCCTAGCTCCTACTCCTCGGTCAAGCCGAGTCTGGGAAATCGACACTCCAGAAACAATTCCAACTCATGTATAGCCCAGAAACACTCGAGAAGGAACGTGCCTCCTGGAGAGCCGTCATTTATTTCAATGTCGCTCGCTCTGTCAAGCGGATACTCGAGGCCGTCGACACGTACAGCGATTTAATTCCTGACGGGACCAACGCATCAACTCTCACCGGGTCCGATAGGACTCCCGAGGACTCCAGCGGCGAACGGGAAGGTATCTTGCGTGCACGAGCGAACACTCTTCTGGGAGGCCGTCATGGCTCTCCACCCGTTGGCACTCCCCTTCGAGGATCCCCTGCTCCACCATCTGACTTAGCCAACTCTGAAGCTCATAACCAACTGCTCAATCTCAAGCTACGCCTATCACCCGTCGTCGCCGCAGAGAGCACCCTCGCCAATCGTTTAACCGGAGGTGTCAGCGTGGCTGGCTCAGGCAAGGGCAGCGTCTTCGTCCGCAAAGGATGGCAATTTGGCGGGAAGTTCGGAGCCAAACGCCGGAGTCGGCAGAGCATGGGTTCCATCACCGCTCCCAATCAAATTGAAGCCGGGCGACGCAGCATGGACAGTGATCTCAGCGTCGCTAGAAGCGATAGGCAGCATGAGGTCTCCGACGAGCTCGTGGAGGAGATCGCTCAGATATTAGAGGCCAGCCTCGTGGATATTCGAGCTCTCTGGGAGAGCGACGCTGTCCAGAAGTTGATCAGCCGCAGACGTCTGCGGATGGAAGAATGGGCCGAATAGTATGCATCCTCGAATATAACATACCGTCAAAGCTCTAACATCTGACACGTCTAGCTTCATTCGCGACATAACTCGCATTTCGGCTCATGACTATGTTCCTACCATAGGTATTATCTCGGCTGTTTCGCTTGCCGGTTGGAAGCTTATCTCGATGCCTAGATGATATTCTCCATGCACGTATTCAGACCATGGGTGTGGCCGAACACGTTTTCGATGTTCCTCTTCACGGTAGGACAGTTACATGGCATCTCTTTGATGTGGGTGGCGCACGGGGCCAGCGACACACTTGGGTCCCTTTCTGTAAGTACTTTGCTCTCCCAAAATCTCCCAATCGCTAACTCCGCTTAAAGTTGATGATGCGAATGCCATCATCTTCGTTGCACCAATCTCTGCTTTCGACCAGGTGGGCACCCCTTGGCATTACACTCGCACGCCAAGTTTTGACCGTCGTGCATGCTCATTTTCCAGTATCTCGAAGAGGACCCACGCACGAACAGAATCGATGATTCGCTACAATTGTTTACACAAATATGTTCCAACCCCCTCCTCAAACATGTACACCTAGTGCTCTTCCTCAGTACGTCTATCAAGTGGCGCTCAGATGACTGACGGCGCTAATATCATCTATGTTTAGACAAAGTCGATGTCCTTCAGTCGAAGATCGCCTCCGGAATGCGCGTCAACAAATAGTCGGTCACATCTTTGGCCCGATCGTGAACGCATTTCTGACAGATTGTCATTTCTACATGTTTACAGCATCACGTCGTACGGACAGCGCGCAAACGACCCTGAGAGTGTCATGCAGTATTTCCGCGCTCACTTCCTCCAAGTCCACCGTCGTAACAACGAACAGAAACGGGTGCTGTACACGCACTTTACCAGCGTTGTGGTAAGCTCCCTTCTCTGTTTGGCTTCATTGGCGTAATCCACGAAGACTGATGTACCCCTTCGTATCCCAGGATACGAAAACAACTCGCAGCATCATTGCGAATGGTGGGCAAATCATGTTTATTTTCGTTAGCATTATCTGATCGCCTCACTAACCCGTGATACCCTCACCTCTATAGTTCGCGATTCTATCTTCCGTGGTTATCTCAAGTCTGCCGCTTTGGTTTGATTCCACCGGGCTGTATTCGGTTTCTCAGTCTTCCTTGGTGTGCTCTGTGCTCTATTCTCCGTAATCCCTGCGTTACAGACGCGACGGAAGACATCCCTTGTTCTCTTTCCCGCTGTTGTATCTTGTCCCTTCCGCCTTACTTATTCCAGACTGGTTTCCCCTCTCTCTCACTGTTTATATGTTTATATTTGTCCTCTACGTCCCTCGGATCTGTGTCATGTAACTCCTACTCTATAGCTTCTCCTCGGACGAAACGAACGAACAAAACCGGGCTCTGTCTATTTCTCTCTTGCATATAATCGTTGACCGGCTGGCTGTCGTTATCTTTTCGTTTCGCTTTGGTCTTCGGTTGTTGTATTCTATCCGCGGCTCGCGCTGTCTAACCTAATGTGTGCTATCGTTTCTCGTACCCACGTTGCCAAACGCCACGAAGCCCTTGCCCTTTATCCTGTGCTTTTATGTAACTCGGTGTTGTGTTTTATCATAATCACACGTTTGTACTGGGCTGAATTTTATTTTATTATCTCCTTGGACATACGTTACATACGCTACATGTATCTTATCGTTCTACTATATTTGATCGTTCCTGTGCACTTCAACGTCCTAATGCAGGGGGTGACCTAACTTTTTTTTTACGGTGGATTTCCTGTCGTGGTGGTGCATCAGCTTGTGACGATGGGTTGGAGATCCGAACTGCGATCGTGGGACAATGCCCTGATGCAACATATCGACTTTGCCGCTTCTTTGGTACTCCGAGGTTCTGATTTTTTTTTCGATGGTCACAGGTATGTACACCGGTTACAAACCTACACATGCGCGCCGCAGACGCTGTCCGGCAAAATCATCCCCTCTCCCCTCCAAAGTCCATAAGCTCCCAAATAGCGACTCTGCCGTCCTTCCCACCACTGATGAGCCACCTGCCCCGTTTCTCCTTCTCACCCTCGTCTATCTCGTCCTCATCTTCGCCTTCTTCGTCCTCTTCGTCCCCTCTATCCCTATCCTCTGCATCTTCCCCAGATTTAGCTTCATCCCCTCTGTTCCCTGCTTCTCCACCTTCTGATTCTGATCCCCCGTCTGATTCTGATTCTGATTGTGATCGCGCATGCACCTCGGCAGGGAGCGAGGATTCGCCTGGTCCTTCGCTCCCTCCTTCCGAATCTGCAGCATCGCCCTTTACGCTTGTTCCGATGCTGACGCCCACGTTCGCGTCTGGAGCTACGTGCTTATGGGTTTCGCGGGATCGTGCAGGCCGGTCACCGCTTTCGTGTTTATGTTTATCGTTGTGCCGTTCGAGCGGATGCGTAGCACGCGCTTGTGTCTGCTTCCGCGTTTTTGTCTGTGTCCTTGTCTGCGCCTTTGTTGTTGGGCTGTGCGCCCATGCGAGCGCCTGGACGGAGTCTTTGTGGTAGCGGAGCGTGCCAAGAGGTTTGAAACTCTTCGTCGAGTATAGTCGTATTCTGTTAAGGTTGAGGTTTCAGTGAACGTTGAGTCAGTACTGCATGAAAACTGCATGCGACTAATGTGTGATGATCCGAGGCGAGAATGGGGAATGGATGGAAGGCACGGTTTACAAGGAGAGTTTACGGCTATGGGATGGAATGAAACGGAGATATGAAGCAGGAGTGCAGGATACGGACTTCCCGTCCCAGCCGCCAATGGCACAAACGCGGGCATCCCCACGGATCGCGACGGATCCGTTTCCTGGGTGTTTTGTGCGGTGAGAAGTCGCGTTCGTGTTTGTGCTCGGGGAAGTTGCGGATTGAGTGGGGCCATCCGTGGAGTTAGGGTGCGGAGGGCTGTCTGTCAGAGACTGAGAAACGTACGTAGAGGGGTGAGATCGAATATTATTTTTCCACTCTTGCAGCTCAGGTAAGAACCAACATACAGAGATTTGGTATCGCGAGATGATGGGGTCGGCGGAGACAGATAAGGCAAGTGTATGATCTCGAGAGAGTGCCATCGCCATGACTTCGTGATGATGAGAGACGAAATTACGCAGGACAACGGAATCAGCTCGTGTCAAGAAACAAAGAAGAGAGACAGAGAAGTCGAACCTGATTCGACGTGCAACTTCACCGTCCACAAACATTCCCAGCCGATGCCTTCGATTGACTTTGGTTTGCTAGTATTTTTGTACTCCCACATCATGACACTACCGCTCTCATACGAAGCCAAGAGACGGAGGCTGCTTATGTTGTCATCGGTGTTGGATGTGGGGAGGAGGTGCATCGACATGATGATACCTAAACACGTCTATGTTAAGCCACGGCCATCCAATAGCAAAGCAGCAGTGATGTCGACCTGTTGAATTTCTGGAGCCTCGACCATCCGCGCTATTTATTCCAGAAAGCACAGTTTTGCCTATAGCTGCATGCAATCGCTGTTTGGATGGCAGGGCCCATATATCGGCCTACGAGAAGCGACCCGAAAACAAACGAAGTTCAGTGTTTGTTCGATATTCCGAGCACGAGATGAGGCCTGGAAACCCACCATCGATGATTCGACCAAATTCGGCACGGCAATCAACGCCTGTCCTGTTTCAGGCTCACTTGGGTTCCGCCGTTTGAGCACCAATAAAGAAAATCGACAGTAGTTCAATGCGTTCACATCCAGCGAGTAGAGCAGTTCTGGCGTAGGAAGACCAGGGAGTGCAGCTGAGCCCCCGAGAGATGTGGGCCCGCGTTTGATTGGAAGTTTCCATACGTGAAGCTTGTTATCCCTCGCATGTCTGTCTTTATTCATGTTCCGAGAAGTATCGAAATAAGCACTAGGTCAAGATGTTGAAACAAGCATAAAGATAATACAAACGTGATCAACTGATCTCCCCATTCTTCCACACCCAGAATATTGTCCGTGTGTGCGTTCCAAGAGGCTAAAGAACGCAGAGATCGCGTCGACGTGATGACGACAATCCCAGCCGAGTCGCCAGAATAAATTCGCTCATTGTCGTCAGAGATCGAGACGGAGCTCACAGAGGATGTGTGGGCGCGTATGAGATGTATTGGTGTAGGCGAGAGGGCGGACATTAGTGTCCGATGGCCGTAGAACGGTGATGTGGTTCGAGCAATGGTGTGGTTCAACCTCAAAGTCGAATACAATTGGGACCGAGTGAAAGGCGCCTCGTCAGCGTGGCACTCGTGCCACACTACGTGATGTTTGGCCATGTTTGGTCATATTTAGCCTCCCTTCTTGCCGCCACAACCTCTCTGCACTCAACTCCTTGGTTCTTTACCTCTGACTTAGTGTAAACCGACCTTGTACAGTATAATGGCGCCACAAGAGCGCATTGTTTCCCGTAAAACTCAGAAGCTTTGCAATCGGAACTCAGAGCTCTATGGTGGCGGTACTCAGCGACGACCGCCTCAGTCACCACCATTTTATACTTAAAGCTTGAACTCGAAGCAAAAGATGCAGTCCCCGCAGTCGTTACTGTCTTTGCTCGACTTTCATCGCACCAGAGTCTATCAACGTTCCTTGTGCTGTGTCGACACACTCGATCTGAACTTGGAGATGCCGCCACAATACCTGGTTCAACAAGCGGCCTCTATCCTCGCTCTTCGAATTTTCACGCTCTTGTGCCATGCGGTGTACCATCCATCCGCGAGGGCATGTAAATTTTTATCTATGGTATGGGAGTGTCTTTAGACTTCATTTTGATTGAACGTGACCTTGTCTTCTTCTATCGACGATCTAAGGTTTATACATTCATCGACAGAAGTAAAGGTATCGGATAACGAAGGAGTGTTACCGGGGGCAACCTCGTTGCCATATAGGCACGGCAGAACCCTCGGCGAGGTGTCTGACGCAGAAGAGAGCACCACCGCATGGATTGTAATATCGCCATCGGTACAAAACTCCAGCATTTGTGTGACGCACGTTCGATGGGACATGCTGAGTCGACAGTCACCTGGGTGCAAGCAAGAGCTCCTTCCAGATAGTCGCATGTTCAAGAAGGTGAAGCTCTCATGTACTCGTGGGCCGTCGAGCTCACCGATAGGGGCCACTAGACTCCAATATCCAATTAACTACCCCACAAACTCACGACCGCGGTCTCATCGAGGTCGACACTTCAACAGTGCTCTCAATTTAGTCAAGACGAATTTCACGGCATTTTTCTGTGTCACTATCAGACCTCTGACTCAACTTTGACAACTTTGCGCAAAGGTAACACATCAATATGTCGACAGTCGAGAATCGATATACAACACGATACGGCATTCCATAACCCTCCCCAACTACACCTCTTCGCGTACTCTTACATTAGGGATATGGACGCTTGGACGATGCGTTCAGCACTTGCATTCGCCGGGCTTGCACGCGCAGCTGTAGTCGTCTCGCCATCAGCACCGCTGCATGAATCAGAAATAAATAGAGACAGAGAAAGGAGACATACGTAGTGCCGCAGTTGCAAGAGGAGGCACCGCAGTGCTGGTTGGCGAGGACCTCGGTGTTCTGTAAAACGGCGGAAACAAACGACCCAAACCGATGAGTTCTATGATCGACAGACAGGTGGGGAAGAAGGCAAAAGAAAACGGTCATGGGTTGAAGTCGACTTACGACGGACATGACGAAGGTAGGCTTGATGACTGGGTGGGTGTTTGGTTGGTTGTTGGTTGTTATGGCTGAAGTTGGGGAACTAGGAAGCTCTGGGGGTACCTCCTCGGTTCTGAGCCCTTTTATAGCCATGGCTCGCCGTTCTCGGCCATCCTCGATGTGTGCATGTTTGGCTGAGGAGCAACGGCACGCCGTGGCCATCGCTCCATGGCTCTACGTTCAGCACAAGACCAGACTCCGACATATGCAGCGATATCAGCTGCCCTGCTTTCTTTCTCCTTCTGTCGTCGAGCCTGCTTGGATCTCTGATGTTGAATCAGTCGAAGTAGTTGGTTTTGCTTCTACGCCATTCATTCAGACGTATCTTTACGCTCAGCCAAACGCGGTATGATATTGATGACCCCACAACTATATATAACATACTAGCTGCTAAACGGGAGTACACCCTAGGATCCGTCTTCCTCGATAATCAACTTTTTGACGGCTGTGGCGTTGCGCCGTTATTCCAGGGTATACGCAGTCTGTTCCTTGATCGCCCCTACATCCAGCCCTCTCGGCCCTGAGTTAGCTCAGTACTGCGACGCCACACTGAACGAACGCTCCGGCATAATGTATCATCACAGAAAAATATATTAGATGAAGGAAACGTGCGCTTTCCCCTGTCTCATTGTCGGAGAAGCAGGCAAGGCTTACAAAAGGAGAGTCACCGAAGGCATCCGCACATCTGCACTATTCGGTATGTTCTCCCAGCTTCACCGCGCAAGAGAGTTTGAACCATGGTTTCCGAAGTCTCCCCGGGCGCCTTCGTGAGCAGCATCAGGTCACTCTTCGTGTGAATCAATGCGACCGATTATCCGTAAGACAGGTGTGCGCCCTTATACACAGAGAGAGGGTATGGATGTACCGTACAAAGATGTTACGGTGAATGTGTCAGTGAGAATCGTGACAGCCGCAGGCCCTGTTAAAGATTCCATTATGAGGCAAACTGGACCATCGCATCGTAGGCTCGACAGTAGGCCGTTGAATGTGCCTGCGCTGACAGCACTAGCAGTCTAGAATGGGCAGCCATGACCAGTATATAGCAATTCATACAAAATTATGTTCATTAACTTGGTCGGCGCTGGATGATCGCATGGTGATTAATATTCGACAGCTGAAAACAGTAAGTGGACCCCTATCGAAGGCCTGTTCTCGAGCTGCGCTGTTATGGTATGCTTTGCCCCAGTGACACGAGCCACTCTACCTGACTTGGAGACAATCAGGACCAAGGCTAGGAGAGGGCCAGAATTCAGCGCTCAGCACACCAACGCATCCCATCGCTCTTTATGTAGCCAGGCGCAAAGAATATATGGGCGTCAAGCATACCCTCACGTGTCGCGGCGTCGAACGTCATGTCACAAGTTCACCATGCAAATCCGTCAGTTAGCGAACTAGTGCCACAGCATTACCAGGTAGCCAAGGCTGGCGCCACAGCCAGCTACGCGCCAGGATATTGTGGCAACGAGCACCGAGAGTATTTGCCGAACGATGACAGGAAAAAATAGATCGCCAGAAGGGCAGGGAAGGACTCTGTGCGTAGGATTTCGCAGTTATCGTGAACTTTTGCAAGTGCGTGACCCTGTGAGCCCGAGCGCGTCGTCACAGAATGTCGGCGCCTAGACAGGTGCTCGTCACGAACCAGCCTGGAGACAACAATGCGGTCGGTATATGATAATAGTGCGAACAAACAACACACCGTGCTCTAGTTACGAAAACGTTGGTATGCTGATAGTACAAGGTTGACGATAAGTAGACGGTCGTAGAGATTCGAAATAGCGTAGCAGGGAGAGGATGATATATAAAATCACCGCTGCTGGTGCTGAACTCGTCAGCACGGATGAAAGAGAAGAAGCAACGATGATGTTCGTCATCGAGACGTGGGGAGAGAGCAACGTAAAGCAAGGGGGTATAGTGCGCACAAGCTAAAGGGGAGCGGGTGGGTATGCAGCATGAAGGAAAAGTGGCCAGCAGCGGGGGAGAGCTGTAAGACGAGAAAAGCAAGATAGACACAGGGAGAAGGATGAGCGGGGAGATTGGGGCGAGGGAAAGGACAGTAGTCAGGGTCACTTCACGTGGTAAACCAGCAATGCGACATGGGGCAAGAAGCAACGCTCGACGTTGTGGTTGGAGTTGATGAGCGAAGGCGGTAGAAGGCGGGTCATGATCAGAAATTTGACCAGGAGACACACTCCTCCCTGGACGAGAAACCCGGACCGTTCATCTCGACCGTGACACCCAAACTGGAGCTTCGCATCGGCCGCTCCGTCTTGAGACCCTGAACCGGTTTGATGAAAACCCATGCCGGGATGGCTCCCATCTCGACCTGACCGGGACCGAGCATGCTATCTCTGCAAACGATGCACCAGCCGTCGTCGAAGGACTGCATGACGGAAACCTTCTCGCCAAGACTGATGACAAGCTCGTCGGGAAGCACGGGGTTAAAGAGCTGTCGGACTGCGCGTTTCTCGGCACCAGTGTTGGAAGAACCGGTACTGTAGATGGAGGAGGTGATGCGGGTGGCGGCGTTGAAGATCGAGCTGTGACGCGAAGCGCGTTTGGGTGAGGGAAGATGTTCGCCGACCCAGGAGATGGTTGATACGGGACGTGAGCCAGAGGAGCTGGATCGGCCGGGCGACGGAGGAGGGACAAGCCCGGCGTTCATGGCAAATGAAAAGGGGCGGGTAATGGTACCGTTGTCGACGTGGAATTTGATGATCTCGTCCTTGGTTGCATCAGGACGGACGATGGTCTTGTTGGGCATCACAATGGACCGCGTAAGCTGCGCTCTGGAGAAGCCATTCGTCTTGCTGCGAGCAAGACCACTATCCATGGTGTTTAGATTGCAGGATAATAAAACTCGGAAGTATTTTGAGACTTACCCCGGCGATGCGTCTACGATTTTCTCGTCCTCGCCCTCCTTCATGACACCTTTGACGTTGAGGAACGCGGTGTTCCTGTTGGAGGATGCTTTGTCCTGCGATCGCTTCCGGTAGAAACGGAGTGCAAGCCATGCAAAGAAACCGAGGAGGATAACACCGGCGACGGAAAAACCGATGATGACTGTCGTGTTGAGATTTCCTGCTGAGGTCTCCGTATCGCGACGAAGAAGAGATATGGTTGGGGCCATCGAAAAAGACGGTGCGATGACTCGTTCGAGGATGTTTCAGGGATTTCGTGACGTGTATGGGGGGTCGGAAAGGACAGATAGTCTAAAAGAGTGTCGTGGAGAGTGTGGCCTGGACGTGGTATGTAGATTTATACAGCTCTGTGCGGCTGCTGGCGGTGTGGAGGAAGCCTTCGAGCGGGGAGGAAGCTCAGAAAGCGGACCGACGAGCGGGAAATGGAAGGGGAGAGGAGCAAGAGTGCGTTGCCAGTAGCGTCGGACCATCGCGGTAGCACTACTACAATTGTTATTGCCTTTTCGGGCTCGCCTTGATGGGCGCTATTTCAAGTTCCTCAGAAGTGTCACCCCGCGCCGGCCGATCTCAGATTCGGTGACTCAATTAAATCGGACTTCCCTCGTCCAACGTGACGCTTTGATCAACTTCACCTTCGCAGAGTGTACTATTGCCCGTCCTCAAGAAAGAACATAGAGCAGCATAAACATAGAGAACATGGCTTCCGCCTTGCGAGAGTTATTTCAGGAGCCGATGAGAAGTCATTGTCTTGGCAACGCGCTCCGCTTGCTTGACGTGGACGTTCCGCAGATTGCAGTGTGGAGACTGCAGGGCCCCCGGTTTCAAAGCCTCCAGATATACACACATGATGGGGATAACTCCAATTACGCGTACATTGAGCGCGTCAAGCCACAGGAATTAGATTATACCATGATTATATCTGCAAAAGTAAGCTACAATAAAAGTAAGAATATCAGTCAATAGTCAAGCACGGCTGTCTTTCCTCGCAACATCACGGTGCGTATACATATCCTAGCCTCCCACCATCACCTCTCCTCTTCATCTGAATCCGACCCGAACTGCCGAATCAGATCATATAGGCCGAGGTCTCTCTCAATCTGTCGCAGGTAAAGATAGGTCATCAGCACACTCGTTTGACCATATACAGAATGAAACACACCTGTTTCTTCAACTCGTGTTCTGTGTCATCCCCCGTAGCGTCCGATGCTCTGAAAGCGATCTCTTCAAGAGACGCATTGGCGGTCTCGGGAACGACGTAGGTAGACCATAAGTACGCGCCAAAGCAAGCGCACGCGAAAACTCCGAATGTTCCTCTATACCAGTAGATAGAATTTGGGGCCGTGAGCGATGATCAACACCTGGGTGTTATAAAATGCATCACCACTTACGCGGGAGTCACTTCTAACAGTCCAGGTGTCACTAAGCCGATGAAGACTACGACGATACTCTATAAGCATGTGTAATACGTGCCAGCAGGGCATATGAAACGGCGCACAATTGTTCAACCAGACGGAGGCTGTGGAGAGCGCCACACCTCTTCCTCGCATAGATAGCGGGAATATTTCGCTAGGCAAGACCCATGCTACAGGTCCCAAGCTGAGACCATACGCAACAGTGAACACGTAGACAGACCTGAGGGCAAAGACATGAGGCTCAGAAAGACTGTGTGAAGGGAGATCAGACGTTCTTACCCGACGGCAACCCAAGCAGCCATTGCATGCTCGTTCCAATGTCCAGCCCAAAGATACACCTGCGACGAAACGTTGACATGAGAGGGCGTCATCTGAAACGGGTGAAGTTATGACCTCACCAATATGCTGATGGTGAGGTGAGCGGCACACGTCACCGCGCTTCCGTACCGTAACAACGGCTTTCTACCCAATCGATCAATATAGAGGATAGTGGGCAAGACGGCGATGAATTGCACGATGTTGATTCCACCAGACACGAGGAGGTTGATGTTCTCTCCATCGAATCCCAAGCTTCGCATCAACAGTGGGCCATAATAAATCAGAGCATTGATACCACTCCATTCTGCTCATCATATATCAACATTTTTTGGTAATGGGGTAAGATAATGTGAGGCTTACGCTGAAAGAAACCGACAGTGATCCCAACCATCGTCTGGCTTCTGTACCGACGGCTGAACAGCTTCGCCCATGCTAGCGCTTCGTTTCGTATCGAGCTCTTGCCAACGGCGCCTGTCGTTTGCTGGATAAGGGTCGCCTCAACCTGCATCTCCAGAAGCTCGATCTATTTCACCATAAATACGCCGTGATAATAACCGTAGGGCGATCCCGACGATGGCAAGATATCGCACCTGAAGGAGAGGATCTGTCTCAGCCTCTTCTAAAGTCCGTAGCCGCAGTTTCGCAAGGGAAGCTAGCGCCTCGTCTCGTTTGCCTTGATACACCAGCAGGCGAGGTGAGCTGGGTAAAGTGAATGCACCAAGTCCGAGAAGAACACCCGGGACGAGCTGAAGCCCTAAAGGCAAACGCCAAGATATCGCGCCTGGCACTGGAAAGAGGTGGATGCACTCAGCGCCTGGAAATACGGTTTGAGTGATAAGGCTCCTCACGATTACGGGTCCCGTACCCAGTCCAGAATCCAACCACACATCCTAGAACAATGGAGAACTGCTCCAAGGAGAGTAATGAGCCTCTGACTTCCGGAGTCGAAATCTATACCACGCAAGTTTCCACATCAATTTCTCGTAACGCGGACCAACCAAGGGCCTGTCACGCACCTCGCCAATAAACAACGGAGAAAGCATGCTACAGGTACACGTATTTTTCAATGTCATAAATAGAGAACACAGTGCTGCTCGACCTACCTCAAAGCACCAACACCGAGACCGCCTATTGCTCGCCCGACAACGAGCATGGTAAGTGACCCAGCCCAACACTGTATCGCTGAGCCCACACAAAAGATAACTGCACGCGGTCACCCTGAATATGTCGGCATCGTATAAGCAGAAGACATAGAGATGAACGTACGAGAAGCGACAGCTATGGATGTTCTCCTCGTGAACCTGTCCGCGAAAACCCCAGACCATAGTGCTCCGAAGAGACAACCCAGCTCGAGTACGGCGGCTAAAGCCGGGAAACAAGCGCTCAACAACGTCGAGAAATCGGGCTGCAGATATATCTATGTCTCGAACACTCACTCATAAGTCCCTCCTCCCAAGGTCCAATTCGCCACTTCTCCGTGAAGTCTTTCATGACCAAGATGTTGGCAATCACACCCTGGTCGTAACCAAAGGTAAGCCCTCCTATTGATGCAAACACAGCGCATTTGAGGGTATAGCTGTTGTGCAGAAGCCCCCGGAGACCTTGAGGTCCATATGCGTATGTGTAGCCTTCTCCGCCAGGGTGTATGGTCAGTTTGCCGCCATAGGGCGTTGAACAAGTGTGTTCGAATGTCGCAGTCTCCGCGTCAATGCCAGGCGTGGTGGGCGCGTCATCTGGCAAAGATGCACCATCAGCTAGTGGTACATATCCATGCTGTCTATTCGAAGCTATCTGTAGACGGTGGCGGCGGTTAAAGACTGCGCGTACGGAGGCGTAGTGAGGCGTACCATGTGCGGCGGTTTGACCTGGAGATATTGTCTACTATTGAGGAGTCTGAAGGAGCGAATTGAGACAGACTGTCACACTACAAAATAAGTAAAAGGCCAGGATGTATGATAAGTTTGGGCCGATAGCAGTGAAGGGTGAAAGCAAGATGAGTGTCCAAGTGAGCGCGGAGACCTAGCGGAGACCATGCACGGTGTGGCGCTGCTTCCGGCTCATGTGTTGTACCGATCCGGAACCGAACCCTTGTCCAGATTATGAATTGTTCGAGCGTTTGCTAGACTTCTACCCACTTCGAGACACCATGGATCGATCGATTTCGCCCTCTGCTTCAAGCAGCTCGAGCTCGAGCTCCAAACGGAGTCAAGGAAAACGGCGTGGAAGTACAGGGTTACGCGAAGTGAGCACCCTTTCGCTGCCGAAGTCCCGCGCGAGGCGCGCAAGTTCCTAAAAGTATCACGTCCTGGGATCCTGATTGAGTTGCAGCCATCGTTAGGTCATGGAAGCTCACACGGCGAACCGAACATAGGCATGGATCAAAGCGGGATTCAGACAGTACCCGTTGTGTCCCTGAACGCTGATATTCTCATCCTCATCGTCGAACATATAAGGGGACCCCAGTACGACGGATCCGATCTTCTCGTTCGCAGCACTTTAGCTGCGCTAGGAAGGACATGTAAAGCTATCTCAAAGACCGCATTGAACGCTCTATGGAGCTCCCTACGAGATTTCAGACCCATCCGTCATCTCTTGAAATGCGCCGCTGAGGGGTGTAGGCCACCTAAAAAAGTAAATTCCGCTCACTGTCGGGCGAACTTCGTTTTCGCTGACATGTCTCCTGCACATTAGCAAGCAGAAATCAAGACTACGCAGTGGAGACTGTTCGCAAAATACAGACATCGTGTCCGATCCATTGCCATTCGCGCTCGTCCCAGCACGAAATTCGATCTGTTCTTCCTCGCATTTCGCGGCCATACCCCTGTATTTCCCAACCTTGAGCGACTTTACTGGTCGATATCCGACATGAACGACATCATACTTCTTCGCGCATTTATCGCTCCTGGCCTTCACACACTATCCATCACATCCAGAATACCCATCCCAGACGTCTTTCCCATCGTCACGGACCTCGAATCGGACGAACTCTACGCTAACACCATGGGAGAAATCTGCGAGGTTGCCTCTGGACTGCGCAAACTTTCGCTCCATCAGTTCTGGCCCTTTAGTCATGACAGCAGCAGGCTTATGATGCAAGCAATATCGACCAACGCACAACAACTGGAAGAGCTCTGCGTCGACACCACGCTATTGGCGAGCCCATATACTCTCCATGACCTTTCATCTCTCCCACGCCTGCATACCTTGTCGATACGCGATTTCTGTTCGCTCAGCCACTACCCGCCGGTCGTTTTCTTCAAACCGGTCGAGGAAGGTTTCTCCTCGCTTCACACCCTTCGACTTGCCCTCCCAATTCGTTATGCCCATGATGTACTCCACGGTCTACCCCGTTGCTCTCTTACCACTGTATCCGTCGTTTCCAAGACTTTTGGCGGTTATGTCGATCTCGAGCAGTTCTCGCATAAATTTGGGGACACACTTTGGGACGTCCACCTCTGCGTGGACTGCCTCAATCCCGAAAACAAGACAAGTCTTTCCATGGACCATCTCGCACCGCTCACGTCCCTCAATCTCGCCCACCTCCACTTAAATTGCTCCCTCCTCATGAGCGACGACGTTTGCGCTCAACTAGCGCTCTCTCTGCCGCGCATAGAGACTCTGAGCCTCCGAACGAACCTACGAACATCAAGGACCGAGGACGCGGATAAAGTCACCACGCTCCAAGCACTTGTACCCTTCGCTCACCACTGTCGCAAACTCCGAGCGTTGACCATCGGGACTCAGGTCATATTCGAAGAATGGGGATACATCGAACTTCCTGCGGATTACTCGCCCTCGCCGCTAAAGGAACTGAATCTCAGTGTGAGGGCACCGCAGGACATGCTCATTGAAGGCGTGGCGTTCTTCATCATGCGTTTGTTCCCCAACTTGGAGTTGGTTGGCCCTGGCCCTGAGAATGGGAGCAGTGGCGATGTGAAAGGTTTGCTTGGACTGATCGCAAACGCAGTGGGTGTCTTTTAAACATCCCCCCCTTTCCGTCTTGTGTTATTTGTACCACTAGTTGCTCATGGACGGCATTTTTTTTTAGCAACATTGTCACGGAAAGAAGTGCGAAATTGTCAAGTTTTCAAGATGATTAGATGAATTTCGGATGTACTAGGACCTTTTGCTTGTAGCTGCTACGCTTAGATGGATGTATCCCTACTACACCTTGTATACCTCACAAATGTATTCGCCATACCTTCTTATCGAGTTGTCACGGGTCCTCAATGTGAAAAAAAGCACAGAAAATAAGGGACGCGGGGAGTACCCATACGACCTACCAAAGAGAACAGCAGGAAGTATATCATGATTCCGAATCTAACACTTCAACCAAACTTCAACAAGAACGAAACGAGCCGCGGACCGGGGAGTCGGGTACTTAGAGCAAGCGGAGTTCATGTAGGCGCGCGAAGGGATATCTCCAGTTTATCTCTTTCCGGCCCGCCACACTATGTCGCTAGCACCACACACGACCTCCAGTGGTACCGCAATCCCTCACTGTATCGCTCTATAACGTATTCTAACCTCTTCCGCAGGCTTCGTTCTCCCGTCAATTCACTCAGCCCCGCCATTTTTCACGTCAGTATCTCTCAAGTATACCCGCGCATCAGGCCCTTTACATACCTTGCATTGCTCAAAGACAGCAGCCGAATGAAACCACACAAGCCGTAGTAACAGATAACTGGACGCGCCTGATTCTCGCATACGCTCGTTATCGAAAACTGTTCGTTCTACGGGTCGAGGATGCGGAGACAACAGGTGGAGACTGGGATGAGGTTCTAAGGAATGAGAGAATCAATCGTGCGTCACATCCTCTCCCGATTCCATTTTGTCACGAATCTGACCTGCATCGCTTGCGAAACATGTAATGTCAGGGCGGCTGCTGCCTTCACACCTCTCATTCATTATAGCATCCATGGTCACTAAGAATCTTGCAGCTTACGAGCCACCGAAGCAAACGCGGTCGGTCATCCTTCATTGGCGACTCCCCGAAGAGTGGGCCGAGGTTCTACACGAATGGGTGCGTGCTCTTTATGATGTCTCACCAAGCCATGCCTAACTCGCCTGTATCCACATCCCGTGCGTAGGCAAGTGCCTCTGGCCACCTAAACACCATCCTCACATTCTATGAGATCACTGATCCCCCGGTCGAGTCGCCTCTCTCCGGTCTTCCGACTCCACTCCTTAGAAAGGCGATCGCTATTTTATCGAAGAGTGGAAGGGCACAAATTATCTCTATTTCGGACGGTGAAGGTGTGCGGTTTTTCTCAGGAGGCGGGAAATGAGTGGGCATGGAAATAGCATAGGATTATATCGGGGGCGATGTGCTAAGGATTCGACTTGTTGTAATACTTATATTGTCTGTATACTTCAACTGATCGCTACTGTGTACGATTTGGTTACCCAACGGAGATCTCACCTTTGGCATGGAGGTGTATCCGACTGTCCGACCTTTTGCCTCGTACCATGCACCACGACCATGTGCGTGATGCCTCCTGGGAGATATGCCTGGTACTAGAGAGTCTGCAAAGGATATTTCGTCAGGTAATCCTGGTCAACGAATACTGCGAAAACCGACAACCTGCGAGTAGTGGTGTGGCGAGCTTTACTGTGGCCCGCGATCTTGCCGAAAGCGGCATCTACGCGCCAAGCTGAAACCGTGACGTCTGGGAGAACTTGGAAGACCCCGTCCTCAGCGACCCAATCTCCGAAAGAGCTTTCTACAACCAGGCATCTCATCGCTACGGACTAGAGCTCAAAGAAAGAAAGTTGAACGCTGAACTGGTAGCATGTGCAAGGTATAGCTTGATGTACACCTTCTGGTCAGTATTGACGTGAAATCCTCCAATACGCGCCGTGTCTAACCTTTGTTCCACATGAATATCCCCGTCCTACATTTCCTCGGCGAACGTACCACAAACTTTGTATACGAATCATCCGCAGCAAACATCGCCTAATGTGGACTCTCCGGAACTCCGGGAATCATGAAAAATGTAAAAGAATACGGGACTTACAAAATCGAAGACGAACCTCCCCTTCAAAACTCGAAAGAGGTATGTGAACACATTTACAGTCATGGTCGGAACGCAACAGAGGGAGATGGCATAGCCGGAAAGAACTACTGGTTGGATGAATGGTGCGTGCATATATCACTCTACCGTACGCTCCCACCCAAGTGGAAGTTAGGGCGTCCGAACAATGACGATATCTGTTGGAGCAACGGTGCACATACGAGTCACTGCTCTGCTAAGCCTCTATTCCAGATGGCCAGTGGAATTTTATTGGTGATTATGGCTCAAATGAGCTTCGCTCGGGGACAATGAGGATCAGGTCGCCCAAATTTTCATCGATAATGAGCCCTCGCCAACAATAGTGTTTGCCAAAATCAAGTAACTTGCAAAGCCACAGCTTCCTCGAGCTTTGCATCATTATCAGCTTGCTCCACCGCCGTTGTATCAATGGGCAGAGCCACCTTGGCTAGAGGCATGATCGCCCTGTGCGGCCTGTGTCTCTGTGAAAGGCGCTGGCGGGTGTCCCTCAGAGGTAGAGGCTGGCCCGTAGTCGGCGGTCGTATTCACGTAGCCGAGCGCTACACCTCCGCCAGATGACGTGGCGGGTGAGGTGGTATGCGACCCCGAGGCATAGAACGATGTGGTGTGGAACCCGGTGACGGAGGATGCATCGACGGCGTTCGGTGCTGCCACAGCCCACGTATGTGTACTGAACGTTGGAGGCTCTGGAACGGCTGTGGACGCACCGCTGCCCAACCCTCCTGGCTGGTTGGCAAGGCTGGATTCTTCGGCGTCAAAGCTGTGAGTACTTACTGAGTATCGATGACCCATGCAGTAGCGCTTTCGTGACATGGACGTACACGTATTCCTGACCATTCGCGCCCGTCATAATCGGAGGAGGGTGGCGCAGGTTGGCGGCACGAACGATGGCGGGTGTGATAGTCGACCCCATGATGTCGGGTCGAATCGTCGGTCTGTGCAGACGGCCACGACGCAAGTCTTCCTCAGTGTAGTACGAGATGACATGGTATTCCATCTCTTCCAGGTTGATGGTGATAGTCTGGTTATATATGGCCGATGTTGACTGATTGTTAGCGCATTATAATTGAATAAGAGGAACACACCCACGCACCTTCTTAAACAGGCCATTCGGCCTTAGAGGCCCCAAACCCCCCTCCGTATTTTGACCCCGCTCCCCGAAAGATCGACCGCTCAAACCGCCAGAGATCGCAGTGGGAGTAGTCTGACTAGGATCGTGTGCCGGGGTGATCTCCCGATAGACCTATGTGTTCCAGTTCACGGATGGACGGCGATGATGGAGAGAAAATGGCGTACGAGAAAGTTCCTAAACACCCTACTCGCCGACCAGTTTATGCCATCTGTCCAACGCTGGATGTTGCTTTCCTCGACGCAGAAAATGAAGACAGCACCCGATCTAACTAATGTCCTCCGCTCCGAGTCGTTCATCCGGCGAGTCGCCCTGGGGACCACGCCGTTCCTCGAAGCGACTTTCAGGATACAAAAAGGAGAGGTTGTGGAACACTACTCACCTTGCTGCTATGACCATACGCATTGCATCTAGGGTTGTCTCGATGTATCCAACGGACGGACGTATAGTTGAGTCCATGTTCTGTCTTGGATCTTCCCGCGTAGCTGCCATGGGGCTGGAGTATGATAGCAGAGATGAGATGCGTGTGAGAGGCAGCCCTAAACCCAGCAGTGCTATCGCTCGCCATTAGACTTAAAAATGGAAAGTATCAGCGAATACTCCGGCTTCGTTGACACGTCTCCCCAAAGTCTTTGCCTGAAGTACTCCAACTCCGCTGGCCGTGAATATTTCGTCGCTTCAGTCCGTTCGGCCATGCAGGTTACTTTATCTACCCTCCCGTAGGAATCATCATTACCTGTATATCTTTGTGAGGCGTTCCCCTCGCTGGAGAGAGTATTGGTACGTCGCACATTGGCGGATAGAAAACGATACATTCTTACTTTTGTTTGACTTCGTTCCATCACGCATACCTTATACCTCAGCGTTTCACCACCGATGGTGCGCCGGCGCGACTGCCGGCTGACGCTTCCCCACTCCATCGGGTTCCATGAGGTCCAGCGGCTCTCATTGGTCCTCTTCTAGCCAATTCGAGTTATGCTGTAGCGTCCTACTTACGATATTCATGGTGAAGCAGACTTTCTGCGGGACTTGGGCGTTTCCATCCAACGAATGCCCGAGTTTGTGAATAATGGTCAATCCCGTGGTGTCATTCCACGACAAACATAGCCTTGGGTCTTCTCCTTAGGGACTGTGTCTCAATATCTCGTATTTACATATGGCGTCGAGATTCCACAGGGGCACAAGATATCTCATACTCAAATTTCACACTTCTGTAACGCCTAGATCCTCTTAGGTACTGTATTATACCCTAGCCAGCCGTTGCAATTTTGGAAGATGTTGTGTTCTTTGTCTGCACCCTCATGGTGACTGCGGGACTTGACCTTCTACGGTTATAGCAAGCTTCATATAGTCAACGTCTTCGGGCCAAGGTGTGGAGGCCAGAGGACAACGCAACTTAGGTAAATCCTAACACGGCCAACATACCCTCTCTAGTACTAGCACGGCGCACATGGGTTGATGCCGGAAGTCCACGGTGTGCTTCGTCGTCCAACGTCCCTGAGATGCTCCGTCGCTTCGATTATTTGGTACCGAACTTCCGTCCTGGGGCCATTCGATACTTACTTCTATAGCTGTATTCGGCCACAGCGATGTCTAGTCACCGTAACATCCATTGCTAGATATGTAACAATGTTAGTGCTCCGACAGGCTCCAACAACAAAAAAGTGGCCTGACTATTAGAACGTTGGTGCCACAGCATCTAACTAAACCGGCAATTTGGCGCGACAATGACGGCTTCCGTTTGTGCTCGCTAACAGCCGAGGCCTATCCGCCTTCATTCCTCCCTCCGACGTCGTCACACACGACGCCAGGATACCCCAGGCCATGTCCGGCATTAATCTTAATTCATGGAGCGAGAATGCGACTCGCCTCCAGATGCGCCTCCAAGAAACACTTTCTGAACATACCAAAGACTTTGCGCTCACACGCGCAAGCAGCGCCACCTACTTCGATGCCGGCGAAGACAAAGTGAAGAACATCGGACGCCAACTTGACTCCAATAGTGATCGCGAGAAACTGGATGCTATGAAACGTCTTATCGCAGTCCGCCCACTTCTTTCGAGTCCTTACATTGTTTATGTCATTGATATGTGTTTTGACAGATGATCTCCAAAGGACGAGACGTTTCCGAGTTCTTTGCGCAAGTGGTGAAGAATGTCGCGGTACCAAATCTCGAAGTCCGTAAACTGGTCTATATCTACCTTTCGCGCTATGCAGACGCCGAACCAGACCTTGCGCTACTTTCCATCAATACCTTCCAACGGGATCTCGCAGATAGTTCGCCACTGATCCGTGCCATGGCTCTTCGCGTGCTCTCTGGAATCCGAGTTCCAAGTATTGGAAGTATTGTGGTTCTGGCGATCAAGAAATGTTCTGCAGATGTCAGTCCGTATGTGAGGAAGGCGTCGGCACTAGCAATTCCTAAATGTTATTCGTGCGTCATACAATCCTGCTCTCAACATTAGCTGTAACTGACTGGAGAAGGGTCTTCTGCACAGACTCGACAACTCACACCTCTCTTCCCTGCTCCCAATACTTTCCACGCTCCTTCGCGACCGCTCGCCACTCTCCATAGGAAGTACCGCTGCTGCCTTCGAGACAATCTGCCCGACCCGTTTAGACCTGGTACATCCACACTATCGCCGCCTATGCCGTCTTCTGGTGGATGTAGACGAATGGGGGCAGATTGAATTGTTGGACTTATTGACAAGATACGCGCGAACGATGTTGCCACGACCTGGAATGATAGATGGAAGAGAGGAGGTAGATAAGGACCTCCAATTGCTCCTGGTGGCGGTAGAGCCGCTATTCCAGTCGAGGAACCCAGCGGTACGTATTCTTGGCCTTCTGTATCTTTGACTGGTTTGCGAGCGAAAGCGGTTATTAATCATATTGCCATGGCAGGTTGTGCTCGCTGTCTGCAGGACCTTCTTTTACTTGTCCCTCCCTTCTCAACATACAAAAATTGTGCGACCCCTTCTCCGTCTCTTAGACGTATCGCCACAAGTAGAACGCATCGTGTTGTCATACATCCTTTTGATTGCACATGCTTCGCCAGTACGTTGTTCCTCCTTACTTTCGGTAATTTCTACACTCATGCGTTGAGACAGGACCTATTCTCCCCATACTATACTCACTTCCTCGTCCGAGCCGACGACAGTAAACAAGTGAAGGCGGAGAAGATACAGCTTTTGAGAATGTTCACCAACCTGGACAATTATCAGGCCCTTTTGAGAGACTTCATCGTGGGTTTCTCCCTTCATAGTTACATGCGTCCACGCTCACACAGGTGTTACCTATGCTTATTAGGATTACGCAGACGACGTGGATGATGAGCTTGTGTCTGGATCAATACGCGCAATTGGCCAAACAGCACGACTAATCCCTGAGTCAGCACAACAGTGTCTTAACGCGCTAATGACGTTCATCAAAAGTCGACACGGTAAGACCTTTATCTTAACGCTATTAACGATCCCATTTCTATTGACCTGGTCTTGCTCACGAGCCTCTTTACCTCAGATGTGGTCGTGGCAAATGCTATTCTTGTGTTGAAGTCTCTCGTGCAGACTCAACTTCATACCGTACCTTCATATTCTTCGTCATCATCGACACCTTACACGATCATCGAACGTCTCGCATACAAAGTTGACGAAATCCGTCACCCTCAAGCCAGAGCTTGTTTATTATGGTTGGTAGGGCAATATGCTGCAGCGGATGAAGGGGAGACGACCGTAGTAGAGGGCATCAAAGACTGGGCTCCAGATGTCCTTCGAAAGGTGGCGAAGTCCTTCCGCGAGGAAGTATGTCCACTGATCACCTCCTCCCGGGGCTGGAATACTCATTTTGGCTGGTACCATGTTGTTTCAGACGCCCACCGTCAAAATTCAAGCAACTACCCTCGCTTCTAAACTCCTTGTACTCTGTCCAGCAAACAAGACACTCATCATGCTCTCTCACTATGTCTTTACCCTCGCTCGCTACGACAGAAATTACGACGTACGAGATCGTGCAAGAATGTTAAGCGGACTTCTTGCCGGAGTCGTTCCCTCTTTGCAGAACCCCAATACCACTACCTCATCCACTGTGGCGCCATCGAGGTGGGATCAGGGCGAGGATGTCGATATAAATCCAACTGAGAATGGGGCCACGGTGGGTGGGGTGGTATTGCGGAGAGAGCAAGTTAGAGTCATTCTGTTCGAAGGCAAAATGGGTGTCGTCGAGAAAGATGACTACATCGGTCAGTGTCTCTTCCTTCGAGGAGCAGTGTCATCTCTAATTCCGCTTTGTACGGTTCAATTCAACGTGATCGTACCAACAGACGACGATCGCACCGTCCTCGGAACTCTCACCCGAATCACCGGCCGCGAAATGCGAGGCGAACGAATGTTACCCGACTGGATTGAACAAGGCGTCGATTCTTCGCTTCGCGATTCTCCAGATGAGGTCATCGCCGTGCAGCCAGCCACTCCCAGCGCATTCGGAAATTATGCGTCTCCTAACTCTACTAATTCGAGAGGCATGGCCGGGTTTGGTGGCGGTAACATCGGCGGAGGTCGAGGAGGCGGGGGGCCGGTTATTCTCACACCTACGAGTCCGTCACCTGTAGTGAGTGGTGGTGGAGATGGCGATGGGAAGAAGAAGGGGGCATGGCAGGATTTGGAATCGTTCTATGCGGAAGAGGGACGAGAGGACGAAGAAAGCGAGGAGGAGAGTGAAGAGGAAAGTGAAGAAGAGGACGACGACGACGACGACAAGGACGATGAGGAGGACGAAGAAAGTGTGAATGAAGGAGATGAAAACGCCCACACCGAGCAAGATGCGAAACGCGATGGCTCGGAAAGTAGCCATGATGAAGAGGAGGGGTCAGAGGACAATGAAAGAGATGGGTTAATGGAGCATTCATGATCGACCGAAAACAACGGGATTTAGGAGCGATGAACTGTATACCAAATACCTTTGTTGTATCTGTAGCAATATTGTGACTACGTGGATGGGTGCTGGGCCATTCCCGTGATAGCGTGCAAGGCAATGGGCTAGAAAGACATTTATATACACCCAGAGGCAATACAGGCAGCACAAGGACAGGACAGCAACAGTAAATGAGACAATAGACACAATAAGAACGAGTGCTCATCAGCGTAGAAGACAAGCTCGTCGGTCTACTACACTTCAGCCCCTTCAGGAAGCTGATAATACAAGGGCTGGAAGAAGAAGTGGAAACATATAAGTTTTAAGAAGAATTTGTTAGCGAAGTTGTCATACTCACCGTGTTGAATACATGGTAGAAGTGACCTCTTACACCTCCCTCGCGGTTGTTACCATAATACTCCATTGGGAACCACTACATCACATACGTCAGGGTAAAGGGACAAGTGATTTGAGAAGATAGACGCACATGCTCCTTAGGCAAGTCCTCCTTCCAAGACCGCAAATACCTTGCTTCATGTGTATCGTTCGTCACAGGCTTTCCATACCTTGGTACCACGAACTGCCCAATCTGAAGCTCGGTGTCGGTGATCGTACTACGCGAGACACGAGCGTACGCCGTCCGGTAGAGACCTCGGTACATGATATACTCGCACCTAAGCCGACGCATGTATCTCAGGTAAAGTCATCCGGGCCTCCAGGTGAATCACACTCACCATCGGTCGCTGTCTTCCCCGTCAATGTCGTGAACAAGCCCGTCCTGGGTCATAATGAGATACGGTGCCGGTCTCGCAGCCTTCGGTTTCGTGACTACGTAGCCCAGGAAAATGACTGGATCCGGATGGGATGCAGCCATAATTCGAGCGAGTTCCGTCGCCTGGAGCTCCCGGTCCAGTGGTGTTTCCTCTGTTTGACGTCATCCAACGACGCCACAATGGCCCACCACGCAAAGCTCAGTAACTTTGTTTCAAGACATGGATAAGGGAGGCCGGTACGTACCTTGGCCATTGTGCGCAACGACGACAGTAACGTTCACACCGTAGATATCCAAAATAGCTTCGATGGCGGGTGCGAGCTCTCCATACGGCGAGGGAAGTAGATGATGCGTTGATTTCAAGATGGGGAACTGGGTATCGATGTCAGTCCGTTGGTACAAAGCTAAGGGAAGTGTGAAAGGCGAAGGCGAAAAAAGCCGCAACTAACTTTTGAAAACAGTGCTGCGCCCCATGTATGCTGATTAGGACCGGGTCCAATATCCACGTACTGTACACGGTCGACAAACACAACAATCAGCATGATCCGACCAAACGAAGTACCCTTATCAGTACTCACATATCCCAACTCCTGCGAAATGACTCTCGTCCTATCGAGCAATCCACATTTTCAGAATTCCCGGCCATATAAAATGCACCAAAACCAGCTAAATCAGAACTCACAGATCCCGATTCCCAAACACAGGCCTGTACAAATCCGTCTCCAACAACCCAAACACATCCAGCTCCATATCTTTCACGAGATCCCTTATCCTCCTCTGACTATCCCTGCCTGCATCGTCGATTCCGAAATGAACTGTCCAAATGCCTGCGTTCAGGAGTCTGCCACGCGCGTGTGCGGCGGAGGGCGCGGGAGGAGGTGAAGGCGGACGAATGAGCGGTGAGAGGAGGGCTATGAGGGGAATTATGGTCAGGAGGGAAAAGGTGTGGGTGCGGAAGGAGCTAGGGAGCGATGACGCTAATCTTGGGAGGCGAGAATGAGTGATAGAGCCGGGCTGGAATGCAGATCGCCATTGGAAGGCTGGTGCCAGGAGTAAGATCTGGGTGGCTAGCACGCTAGAGATCAAACATCGTCAGTCAGAACAGTCCAGCAAAGTAACGAAAATCCATGAGAAGGTACAAATAAGGAGGACTCACTAATCTGTATGCTCCCTGAATGGTCCTGCCCCTGGCACGAACGCATACGCGACCGTAAAGGTTCCTGTGAACAAGAACACAATCCAGACTGCCCACGCCGTCGTCAACACCCTTCCGACTCTCTCCCCCCTAACACCATCTTTCCCTCTCGTCGCAACCGCCACATTCTTCAAAACGTGGGGCGTTATGGATGTCAGGAACACGGTGTGAACCAGTGCGCCGCTGTATCCGAGCCAGTCCTTGTACGCGTACAGGACGTAAGAGCTAGCCGCTCCTATGGCATACCAGACTGGATGCTGCAGAAAATCGGTAGCCGATGTCGAATTATCTGTCGAGGGCAAGGCAAAAATGGCGATGATAACGCCCAGGGATTGTGCAATGAGAGTCAGTGGCGCGTGGGCGTGTGGCGAGGGGCCAGACAGCGGATATCCCGTCCAACTCCAGGCGATTAGGCTGCTCGCATCTGACAGTCTTTCGTGAAGAGAATAAAGTAGTGCACCCAATGCGAGAGAGGATGAAAGCCATGGTGTAGATGACGGCGTGAAGGTGGCTGGGACCGGTGTTTCCGATGAGGACTTGGACGGTGTGGCGCTGCCTTGTCCGTCGATTTCGTCGAAAGCCGAGAGTCTGGGTGGTGAGGGAGACGTGGATGGTCGTGTGATAAGCTCTAAGATTGCGAGGAATGAGAGTCCGAGTATAGGGATATGGTATCCGCCCGATTTCTCGTCTACGATAGGCCAAGCTATATGACGAACTAATTCAGTATATATTACATCTGAAATGAGGAAATATACGTACCAGGGTTATTGCTGTGATTGAGATGCTTGGACAGCGACGACACCATAAGCCCAAATATGAACACTAGAATCGAGGAGGTAAGTACAAGCTACAGCAACGCGGTACACGAAAACCTCACCGATACCGTGATACGCCCTCCCTTCCTCCCACTCAGCGCCCCACCTTATCAAGCCTGCCATGACACCGACAACTACTCCGCCTAGCCTAGTCCAAACACTCTCGGCTTTCCAGAGCCCAATCCCAGCTACCGCGCCCACGGCCGAAAGAATCGCTCGTCCGTATCTTGAACGTGAAAAGGAGAGTATGTGAGGGGACGCAAGGAGAAGTGGCGAGAGTGTTGCGAGGCTAGAGAATTCGGGACCTGCGAGGGCAAGTTTCCAGACGGAGAAATAGAATAGCGTGGTCGGAAGGGCTGTCAGGAGCGTCCAGGTTTGGTACGCTGTTGACGTATGTCGGTAAAGCGAAGTATCAGTGTGCTGGTTCTGCCTGTTTGTTGAGCCAACTACGAAATAGAGCATACCAAAGTACACGTCAACCAAGAAGCTGAGAGTAGGACGTGATGTTGACAGGATTGACGAGTTGGCGGTCATGCCCACTTGTCCATTGTTGGTGATGCCTGGCTTGGTGGAGTTACCGTTCAGCGACTTGGCCGGTGCCACATCACTTGGCGCGGTAGTGACCGATTTCTTTCTGCTGATAAATTCACGGCGAAAAAGGCCCATGAATCAGAGATATATTTACGCCAGACGATGAAGACGATTGTACATTTCGTTGTCCACTCTCTCGGCTGAACCGCTCTGTGGCAACGCGATGGTTACCTGTCAATGACCGTCAGTACTGTAAAGCAAAGATGCGAAGACCACATATGAACGTACCTCCACACCACTCTCGCGGAACTCGAGTTCTGTCGTGGCGTCGAAGAGGACATCAAGGAGTATGAGGGACCATTCAAAGAAACTGTAATGTGTATACGCTGAATAATAATGGACCGGTCAGTCCGATGTTGGCCAAGGAGAAGGTAGCCATAGGAGAGTACCTCCAGGGATTCGATGGACTTTATGCTGTACGAAGAAATAAATCATAGGCACGAGAGCCGCCCAGAATCTGTTTCGGCTCTCCTAGTTATTTAATGTGGCGCTAGGGCTGGAATGGACGCTGGGCCACTTACGCTGCTGCGATAGCCGTTCTTCTCAGGAGGAAGACCATGTAAGTCATACTGCTATCTGCTTGGATAGATGCATTCTCTCGGTGTCTCACCTTCGCCTCCTAGTCTTTATGCCAGCAGCTTTGATACCTCCGTACATCCAGGGGATGTTGCAGACGATGTATAGGATCATAAGAACGTCGTGTACGTCATGGTCATCGCTCGAAGTGATGTAGACCCATCCACCACAGCTCAATGTGCGTATGATACCGGTCGCAAGTATGAACGCTGGTAGTGAGGAAGAGGGGGCCTTTGCATGGTTCAGGAAGTAACTGAAGAGGATCACAGCAAAACGAGGGCCTAGAAGTAAGTCAGAAGTGTGAACCCGAACGACTCTAACCCGAGACCTACCACTGGTCAAAGCAATAAGGATCTGAAATATATTTCTCTCAGGATACCAATCTCCAATTCTAAACCAATTCACATGTCGAATAATCAGACACGCGTCATATTCGATGTAGAAGAGGAACGCACGTCGCAGACACGCTCGGAAACCACTCTTGAGGCCATCCAGCTACTCCGTTCTTCACTATCTTCTTATAATGCAGAGCACACCCTACGAGCAATGCCGTGCCGAATGCTCCGAACGAGAGGATGGTGTGGATACGCGCGACCGTGGAGGCGCGCAAGATGTACGTCGCTGAATAACCAACAGGTTTATCTACGGTCATTGTTGTTGTCGTCGTCCGTGTCGAACATGTAGTATAAGCGCCGCCTGCCTTGAGCTGCAGGGCGAAACCGGTCTGCGTTTGATCGCAGTTCAAGCATGTCGGCGTTCTATGGGGTCATCGTCGTCGCGTCCCGGTCGCGTTAGCGCCGCTCACAAAACCCCTGTGACGTGATCCTCGGCAATGCGAAAACTAGCAGCTGACTTGGATCAGCTTCCATCTTTGACGAATTGAACACTGCCCTCTGCATTTCGTCGAACTCGGACACAGGCAGACACGAAGTCCACGGATAGTTACGCCTAATGTAAGTAACAAATCTGCACGGCCTGCTTTCGCAGGCTTTCGCCCGTCGGTCTTTGGGTGACTTATGCTCAGCTTTCTAAAGCTCTAGACTTATCTAGACCTCGGACCACGCACACAAGGACCTTGACGAATTCATCCCAGAATCCTATATTTCAAGGAGAACACATTCTCCACAACATCCTTCAAAGTTCCAACCATCAACTCTGAAACATGCCCTCTGATCCACCACCAGCACCTGTACCCATCACCGTCTTCACGGGCTTCCTGGGCGCCGGAAAAACGTCTATCATCCTCTCACTTCTACCACAACTCCCGAAAGGTTACCGTTGTACATTGCTGAAGAATGAGTTCGGAGACATCGAAGGTATGTTTGATACTCCATTAATCTACTTGTTGACTGGTGGACCGACGAAAATCTGGATGCTGGGGCACGAACATGAAGTGGACAGCCAATTAGCGAAACAGAGTAGCCTAGCGTCGGTCAGCGAGATCTTAAACGGATGCATGTAAGCCGAATTATTCTCACCTGTGGTGTATTGAGGGGAATCATTGGGAAGGGATGAGCGAGTCTGAATTGGATGGAAGGACAGGTGTTGTGTGTTGGTTGGACAAATGAAGACCGCATTACTCGAGATCATGGGTATGTCGGAGTTTTGCTTTGTCTTTTGCCTATGCTCCCTTCTAGAACGCATTTCTACTTCGTGGTCTTATACACTTTCCTTTCGGTCGATGACCGATTGGTCATTGATTCTGAATCTGAACTTCTATATCCAGAAACTCAAAACCCTGACCGTATCATCATCGAATGCTCGTGCGTTCTGCCCCTATCCTCTCCACGCACGATGGTCAACTCTGACGTATCAGCATTCATGTCGTCCCTCTATTGCAGCGGATCTGCCTTTCCCGCTACCTTAGCTTTCCAAATCCGCGAACTTGAGCGCGAAACAAACCACGCACTCGCACTTGATGCGATCGTCACGGTCATCGACGCGGAGAACTTCAGAGGATACGAAGATACTAGCATGACTGCTCGCATGCAGGCTCAGTACACTGATGTCATTCTCATCGTGCGTAGGCTAGCCCTCTTTGCCTCTCCATTTATTCTGCCTCTTCTCTGTCCCAGCATTGTGCTCTTCTGTCTCTCTGCGCTTTCCTAACTATTTTCGCTTATCTGGTTATCCCCGTCTTGAAAATTCTCTAGAACAAGTGGGAACATGTATCGGAGCGTGCTCTCGACGAGGTGTTGGATCACCTGAACACTCTGAATGACCTCACGCCCAAGATTAGATGTACGGGTCGCGCCGGCGTTGATCCTTCCCTCATCTTCGGACTAGACTCGAAACTGTTCCTGAAGAATGTCGATGTTAGGAGTGGGGATGGGAAAGATTATTTGCCTTCGGACGCTTCGACTACACACCACGACGAGGTCGAGACTGCGACTGTATGGCGCGGCACAAAGCCTTCCACGATAACTCATGACCATCAACATAACGGCGAGAGCTGTACGTGTAGTTCCTCCGCCGACGCCCACTCACATCAGGCCCCCGAGGTGATATCGCAGGGAACACATTCCCAGCCGGTCGACGAAGTGGTTCTCAAGGACGCTTTGGCTGGATTGTCAAAGGAGACCATCTATCGTGTGAAAGGTTTCGTTCGACTCGACTCTGGCTTCAAAATATTGAACTGGGCGTTTGGGAGGTATGATATGCATGTCTGGGAAGGGGGAAGTGTAGATGGTCAGGAGGAGGTTAATATCAAGTTGACCGTCATGGGCGAGAGGGGTGAAGTGAAGAGAGCAGCGCGAAAGTTCGCCGAGAAGCTAGGGGCGGAGCTATCGAACGTGTAACTTTATTGCACTAAAGTGAGTTAGAGTCGATGTATGTAACCATAGCTCTATAGATGAGTGTAGATGCCAAATGTAGAGTCGAGTATGTCATTCCTACCCAGCTTGTCGTTGTAGAGTACGCCCGTATGTGCTTATTGGTGGCGCGCGCCGAGCGCAGTATCAGAATCCAACGCCTGTTGGGTGAAGATGTTGTTCTGGGTAGTCCGCGCGTTGAATCTGTGTACGTGGATTGATTTCCACCTCAACCCCTCCTTGGAGCATTGTCAGTGCAAACGGCGTTCTCTTCTTCCTTCATTAGAGAACTTCAGCGCCCGGACTGTGGCGTCGTGCCGCGGCGAATTACGTAAATGGAGACAGCGTGTTGGAAATCGGAAACACGTGCACCCAATTGGACAGACAAAATCACATGGGACCGCTCTGAGAAGAGCTCGTTAGCGAGACCGTTCAAGGTGCAAGGCGAGACCGTCCCTGATCTCTTCAAAGCAACAGCCATCTCGTCCATGTCGCCCTAATCTCTACTTCTCTTCCACCCACCCGATGTTCAGATACGTTCTATCATCAGGTCAGTACGAGTCTTGCTCCATTCATAGGTTGCCATGCACTTCTAATCTAAACGATATGCCCACTTCTAGCTTCAGACTATTTCTATCTTCCCATCGACGACGAGCCACAGACGGAGGGTCAAGAGTCGAGCTTGCCACCTCATGCCAGACACATATCTTGGGCATCTGCGGACGATATCCTAGAAGCTCGGGCTCAGGAAGCAGAGTCGCATCGCTCAGCCCATGCCTTCTCCGCAAAGCAAAAGCAGCAACAGGCAGCTATCGCTGAAATTCTCGCACAGTCGGATTTATACAAGATACTTGGCGTCCCTCGTGCGAAAAGTATAGACAAGATGGACCTTCGAAGAGCCTATCTAGCTCGAAGTAAAGCATGCCACCCAGAGTGAGTAAAACTACCGTCAGACTTTGTACTCCCGTTGCCACCGGTCTCCATTCGATTGAGACAGGCATGTCGCTTTCCTGGTGCTGCTCTACGATATATATCGAGAATAATATTGTCTCCATGACCTAACATATTGTCCCCCAGTAAATTTCCTGACAATCCCGAGGCGACTTTGGCGTTTCAAAAGGTTTCCGTTGCATACGATGTTCTTTCTACTCCAGCATCCAAACGTCTCTACGATTCCCATCCAGCAGCGCAAGACTTCTCCAGCGCGGCTAGCACTGGTGCTCATGCCGAAGAGACACTCCGAGGTGTCGTTCTCGGTGTCTTCAACGACTTCCTCGACGGTGATCTTGAAATGATCCATACATTGCTTCGTGAGTCTCGATCCCATGCTTGTCCCAAGCTCGCCCAAAGTGTGACGTGCACTCACCTAATCGTACCTCCGTCACTCCATCTATGACAGGTGCCGTTCAAGACCTCAATCCTGCTCTGAGGTTGGGCGAGGATGGCATCGATTCCATTCTTGTCACGCTTCAAGCACTGCGAGAACGTGTCCTTAGTAAGGTTTCCTCCTTGACGGGCTTGTCTCTGAACTATACCTGTCATTTCACAAGCTCATTCTCACCTGGTAATTGCAGCATGTCGTGCCGTCACGCACGCTCTTGTATCGACCTTATCTCATCTCCTCGAGACCCATGCCGCCCTCGCCCAACATTCGTACTTTGCCATCCGGCCTCGAGCCCGTCTCTCCATTCAACTCGCTCGCATAACCCTCGGACTTCCGTTAGCTCTCGAGACCGCTGTCCGTCAACATCGCCACTCTAGAGCTAGGAGTCGTGCTCGGAGAGGGGCTGCCCGACGACGAGAGCGCAGCAGTCCAACGGAGAGCGAAGACGACAGTGCCAACGAGGATATTGTGGATGACGAGCGAGCAGAGCGAGAAAGGGAGCGGGAGGAGTTCGGGAGAATATTTCCCAGACGAGTGCTTGTTTTGATTGAAGCACTCGTGGTCGTCCTCGAGCGCATGGAGGGCGTCCTCAAATAGGTGCGATTTGTGTTACAGATCTCGCTAGACCCCAGCTTGTGACCCCTCTCCTTCTCCCTCCTTCAACTCTCCTCAGCCTAGGCCCGAATATCTCTGCTTTCTCGTTTCCGACGATCTGGTCGCCCTCTTTTCGATACCTGCTTGGGATCAACGGAGGTTGTGAGCACTAACGTCGTTGCTCTATCTATGCTCATTGTCCGCTAGTTCTCCCCGCTTTTATTCCTATCTCTATCATCTGTATCATCCATATGGTTTCGTCTTTACCTATGTCCCCATCAACGTCGCATACCAGTTTTGCTATCCTACTCTACATACAATTTAAACCACGCCATCAATATCCTTCCCTTCACTCTTTCTCCCCCTTTACCCGTGCACTCCGCGGGGATACATGTACAATTCCTTTTCTCCCGCTCATCATTTTCAGTGGTGCGGGTGGTTCTGATCTTTTCTTACCTACATTATTAGACATCGCAAGTGGTTACATAGATAGATAGACCAGCGGACAGTTGCTGGTACTACCGAGCTAACCGTCGTTGGGTGACTTCACTGTATCGGATCCCTATATGCGTATATATTGTACATGAATTTATTATAAACCAAAGTGTTTTCGCAAATCACGAATCTCAGGTTGAACGCCCGAGCGGGTGACTTCCTACTTTTGCTGGGTACAAGCGTTGTGGCGGAGCCAACCAGCCGGTTTGTGTAATGACTGAGACATGTTTTTGTGGCCTTTCCAAGAGACCATGATGCCAGGGCGATGTTCTGCACTCTTTACCAGCCATTTACCATGCTCGTAAACCCTCCGAGACCCTACGAGATCCTCCGTTATGCTTTTTATCTCGTGTTTTGTTGGCAGGCACCAGAATAGTGTTCTTTAGGCGCGCATCCATCTTTTCATGATCACAACGTCCGCGATGCCGCCGCCGGTCCATTCACGCCGCCTTCGATTTCTTGACCCTGTGAAAGCTGCTTTTAACAGGCCTTGCTCCATCTCATAGCTCAGGCCCATCACTGTGTTTTCGACATGGAGAGCACGAAACAACTACGCGCTAGTCGACTTCCTGGGGAACCTTCGGCTGAGCCGACACCACCCTCAAAGGAGACTGTGGTTGAACAGCGCGTCGCCGACCAAACTTACATGCGCTCTGCCTTGCATAATGCCTCGGAGAAACCTCACCATGACTCTACGCAGACAAGAGTGATTCAACAAAGAAAACGGAGTTTCTTCCAGCATATACTTTTCTTGGTCGTGTTGCTTCTCTTCTGTCTACTCATCAACTATGCTCTCACTTGGATCTTCTGGTTCACTCTCGGTAATTCATCTGACTGGCAAAGTACGCATCGTTACGACATGATGCCTCCTTCACCTGGGTCAAACCCGCGTCCAGACGGGTACTTGGCGGGATATAGTGAACCGCAGGAGTACGAGGAGCTTGAGGGTGACCTCTGTCCTCAGACCGGTGCTATCCAGCCTGTTCAGCACCGGAGTGTCGCGCTGGCTCTAGATGGCGTTCTTCTCAAGGACGAGCATAGGATGTGGGCTTACTTGAATCTTATGGGTGCCATCAGAATCCCGTGCGTGAACCTTTGGTTTTATCTCCGTTGGGAGGTTATGTCTTGTGCGAAGAGTATGCGTTGACCGGTTGTCAGTGACGACAGAACGGAGACGTTTGTCGATCTTGGGACTCGAGAAGAACCTAGATGGTACGGCCTCCTCGAATTGCGCCGGTACATACAAGAAAGGTTCCCTCTAATGTAAGCGATAGGCGATATTTTCCGACTTGGTCGAGTATTCAAATTTTGGCCTAAACAGCAATACGACACTCAAAAACACGACACTGAACAAATCCGCTCTGATGTATGAGTGGGCAGGTTCCGATACGTCACTGAAGCCCATTGTTCTTACGGTTCACCGAGGTCAGCACCTTGCGATCAACGCCTTGACACTCACACTAAATACACGTTCTATACCTAGATACTGTCCCTGTGGACCGCGAAACACTAGCAGATTGGATATATCCACCGTTTTCTGGACATTTTGACGGTAGGACTCAGGCTATCTCTCATCCTTGCTGTGCTGACCCGTGGCCTTTTTCAGGAGAGTGGATATGGGGACACGGAGCTATAGGCTTCAAATCCAACCTGATTGCTAAATTGTGCGTAACATTCGACGAAGTTCGGGAATGTAATGTAGGGAGTCGCTGACCGACTTTGTGCAAGAAAGAACAGCAATAGAATTGCTCTTGCAGCAGGGGTTCACGCCGGAGCGAACAGTCATCCTCGCCTTTCATATGGATGAAGAAGGAGGCAAAATTATGGTCAGAAATGCCGCTCATTATCTCACAATTCGTGCTCAGCCTGACGCAACCGTCACCACCAGGACGGGCCCGCCATTCGTGACTATCTATTAGGTCAATATGGAGCGGATGGGATCGCTATGTTAGTCGATAAAGGCAGTCAGTATCAAACCTTTCGTAGATGCTATATCACTCACCCAACATTCGAATACAGCACAGTTCGACCAAAAAAGAGACCTTCTGATTGCTAAAGTTGGTGTATCCGAAATAGGGTGCATGAACGTTCTCCATGGTCCGTGGAAACTATTGGCGGGCACGATAGCTGCAACTTTGAAGACAACCTTGAGTGGAGCATATGAAGAGAAGAAGGTTGTGATCCGGCCAGAATTGGTTTTAGGTATGTGATACGCATGTACATGATATTCTTGTGCCGAATGCCCTACTTTCCGTAGGATCAACAGGTCCTTTTGATGTTTCTGTCTCTGATGCCTTGTCATGTTGCAACTGAAATTGTGTGCAGATACCAGCTACTATTGGAATGTAACCCGCTACATTCACCGCTATAACCATGTACCGGAAGTCGGAGCTACGCAAGGCGAGCATGGTCTCAATGAAGGTCTGTCAGGTATTCTCCATCATCCCCTCAAATGATGCACTAAGCACAGTCCTTGACATCGTTTGGCGGAGATAGCGATACGCGCAGACGCATACCTTGAGATGATACGGTTCGTTGCCCGTCTAGTCTTGAATGTAGACGAGACGGAGCTCTTGAAGGAAGTAGATGCGAGGTAGGGCTGCATTACGCCACATAAGCTTTCTTGCCATCCGCTCTTGATTTCATGTCTTGAGATTGCTCCAGGAATATTCGATTGTACCCGCACTAAATTATATACATACGTCAAAGATACTTCTTGAGGAACTCGACGCTCTTCTTGAACGCTCCCTCCTTCCCTGCCTTGACAACAGGATCGCTCTATGCATCGACGTCACGTCAGTGAACTGGCGTAGAAATACGCAAATATAGGTTAGAAACTCACTATGTCGCCCCTGACAGCAAAGCCATGCGAACACCCTTCCCAATGCGCCCTCTCGTACCCGGGCTCAAACTTCTCGCCCAACAGCCTGTCTGCAGCTTCGATTTTCTCCGACGTGAACATGGGATCGTGCGTGCACGAATTGATGAGCAGCGCCGCTTTCGAGATTTGGGCATATTTCTGGTGATACAAGTAGGGTAAGCCGAACACTGTCAGTGACCAATTTCTGCAGCGTGCGCAGAGGATATGACCAAGTGGCAGTACCTCGAGATCTTCGATTTGAAGCTGGGAAGGGTGAGCAGTTATGGAGACGGCAATTTTGTTCTCGAAAGCGAGGTTGAACACGAAGCGAGCTACCATAAGCAAAGGTCACCGGAAGTCTTATGTCAGAAACTCGTCAGCAGGTGATAAGATATCAAAACAGGCGAACCTCCGAAGCAGTATCCTGTAGCAGCAAACTTCGTTACGCCCTGAGCTGTGAGAGCCTGCATGAGGCTCTCGAGAATCGGCATGATCTCCTTGGCTGTGTGTTTCGATGCCCAGGCGCGAAGATCCCACCCGGACTGGATATTCAGAGAATACGAAAACGCGGGCAATGGAAGTGAGATTTATGATAAGGGCACGACGGGAAAAGAGTACAAACACCAGGCGTTAATGCATCAGCGGGAGCAGCATCTCCAGCGAAGATGTCGGGGAAGTAAACCTTCACTCCGTTCTTGGCATATGCATCTGCCAACAGCTATATGTGCAATAAGATTATTGGGACAGGAGGGGACCGAATCAGTGCCCTTGCGGCGAACAGGTGAAACGAAGAGATGACACTTACAAGGTTGTTGTTTAACTCCTGACCAAAGATGTCTGGGATATAGATGAGAGCCTTATCCTTGGCGTAGTCGCCGGAAGGTGTGGCGACGTAGGTTTTTATGCCTCCGACCGTTTCGTATGTACCTAGAAGAGCGTAGAGAAGCAGTCATACGAACAACGTCTGTTGGTTAGAGTGTAATCCAAGCGAGATCAAAAGTCGGACAGACATACCGGTTGTAGCACCCTCGTGGCGAACACCTAGGTTAAAGTTGTAGAACGTGAGCAATTCGAGATCAGAGCTCCTTCCAGGGCTCTAAACAGACCTTCAACGCAGTTCTGGCAGAAGCTCATGATCAAATGTAAGGTCGGGTGGAATCAACGGAATCGAGAATTGCTTGAAGGCTGGGATGTGGGAAGATCTGGAGGAATGGCTTGTAGATGGCGAGCATGCACGATCCTCCTAAATATCACAGGAATGCCATATTGATAGTGATTGATGGATCGTCCATGGGTCAATTGGGCAGTCCTGCTATCAACGAACTGCAGCGGAAGCCACGTGGATCGATGGAGGCGTGTGGGTCAAGTTGGTCAGAGCATCCACCGAAGCATCGCACACCCACTGGTGTCCCCAGGATACTATCGTAAGTCTTGTTGACCTCGTCCTCCTATGTAGTCCACTGCGAGTGTATGGGTACATAGATATCCCATAGAAACAACACTCGCAGCTCAATGAATTGATGGTGAGGAATTGGATCGTCGGACGAGGAGTGGGTCGTCACGACCGTAGTACTCTTCAACTTCGAGAGATGAGAATTTTTCGTCAGCTCAGAAAGACGCGATGTGCGGAGGGCTTTGGTGGGGGGGATCGTGGGTGCGAGTGACTAGAGTGTTCTGACCAAACAAAACGATCGTGTGGAGAAACGGTCAATGCTTGTCAATGCATCATAGGGTTCATATTATCCCGTGCATGTTCATGTCATATCCACTTTCAGTTCGTTCGTTCGTTCGTTCGTTCGGTCTCTTTACATAGAACAAAGAACAAGCCCGAAAATGAGCCCGATAGCACAGAGCACCGTGACTTCTCTAAATAATAGCGAGATGCCAGTGAGACAACAGTGAGACGGACGCAGTCGATCTTTCTTTCAGTGAACGAGTTTCAAACCACTCGTAAAGACCATATCGCACATATGCACGAACCTACCATGGTGCGATAGACCGCATACATGCTGCACAGGAGATGGAAGTCAGGACACCGGGCGTCAATCCAAAATTTTCTCTGCCACCGCCGACCTCCCGACCTCCTCCGATCTCGGAAACACTCGGACTACTATTCCACCTGGTCCGTGCGCAAGCCATCTGCGTCCGTCCCTCCTCCTCCTCCTCCCACTTAATGCATAAACAAAGTGATCACACGAACACAGTCGCAGACTATCACATTCATTGATTGTTTTATGTACCGTATATAAGTAACCGGCGTAGAAGTACAAAACGACGAGACTCGGACAAGCGGAGTATTTACTATTCATAAAGGATCACGCCTCTTTGCCAGTGAATCCAATGACGGGTTGAAAATGAAAAGCCACTCATGAACATAGCTCACGGACACGATTATCAAGAACGGGGCCGATCAAGCAAAGAGAGGGGGCGGACCGAACGAACAAAACGACTACGATACGATATATGTACACACAAGAAAATCTGAGGAACGAAGACGAAACGAAACCAACGCAAAAAGGACACACGCACAGGACGAACGAGCGAACGAGCGGGCATAAGCGTGAAGGATAATAAGAGCACACACACAGGCGCGTGAATATTCGAGCGACGTGACGACATAACGAAACGTGAAGAGAGAAGCCAAAAACCGAAGTTCAGCTTCTCGTCCCCTCCACCACCAAGAAACATTCAACTTCAACTTTCACATACCACATACCACACCCACATTCCTTTTTTCCCTCTTCTCATCTCCTGCACGCATACACCTCCTCAAGCCCCCGGCTGCCCCATCGGCGTAAACGGCGCCCCCCCACTCCACATATGCACCGACATATTCCCCGAATGCGAATGATGGCTCATACTCACATCCTTCTCCTCCAGCATATAACTCTCCTGGCTCGGCGCGCCCCACTGTCCCGTCCCCTGCTGCGCCGCCGCCTGCGCCAATATCTGCGTATAATCCCCGCCCCCTCCTCCATTCCCTCCCACAGGCGTCCCGTTGCTCGCTCCCCCATTCGCGGCTCCACCTCCGCCCGCACCAACTTGCCCAGGAGCGCCCCCCCTCGCACCGCCCGGTCCTGCAGCCCCAGGTCCCGGTGTGCCCCCATCGGGAACGACAGTCGATTCCGGGAAGAATGGATAAAACAAGCCCGCAGGCACCTCCGCCAACTTCTGATCAGCCCCAACCGGTGTGCTCACCCCCGTATGCTGCCCTCCTCCTCCTCCACCAGGCCCACCACCGCCTCTCGTCGCCCCCGGACTATTCGTCATCGCCGAGCTAGAGTGCGGTGTCCCAGGACCGGTCGTATAACCCCCCGAACCAGGATACGCATTCGACATCTTCGGCGTCGTCTGATGTCCTCCCGGACCTCCATGCCCATGCGCGCCATGCGATCCATGATGCAGACTCCCAACGGAAGAGCTCGACGACGAGACTGAGCCGACGCCCTCTGTCTCCCAGTCGAGTTCGGGCATGAGTACGGGGTGTGAGGTCGGTCCGACGAGGCGGAGGTTCACGTCGAGTACTTTTTCAGCGAGTCGGGCGATGAGCGGATGTCCGCCGTTCAGGTCTTTGCGTTCCCAGCGCCAGCGGAAGGAGGGGAGCATGTCGAGCGCCATCCAGACGTCTTCGAGAGCGACTTGGCGCTCGAGGTTGTTGCAGTGCGACATGTGGCCGTAGAGGATGACCATGGCGGCAATGTGGAGTGGGATGGGAGAGACGAAGAAGGCGATGTCGGGGAAGCGGATGAGCTGGTAGTGGACGATGATGATGTTGTGGGACACGACGATCGCTACAAAAAAAATCAAAAAAGTGAGAAACAAATAACAAGACTGAATGAGTAAAAAAACAATCCTCACCATCGACCAAAGCCTTGTGCCTCTGAGCATATTCCAACTCCTTGCTACTGAACAGCGCCCTCAACAACAAAATCCTCGAAATCCCAATCTTCAACAACGTCAAGCCCTGGTCCTCATTAATCTCCTGCACGAGCTTATACCTCTTCTCAAGCGGCCAATCCTGCGTCCCCCCAAAGAACCACTTATACCCCTCAGGGAGCCTATTCCTAAACTCGACCATCCCCTTCACGATCCTCGTCGCATGGCGCATGATCGTGTCCGCCGACTGCCTCGTCGGCGTATAAAGCGAATTAATAATATCCGCCTGAATCTCCGCGATCTCATGCTGCAGTATGAAATGTTCCGAGACATCGGGGCGCGACGATTTAGGACGGGACGGGTGCGGCGTGCTCGTATCGCCCGGTGCGATTCCAAGCGGACGTCCGAGGAGAATCGACGTCCCGCGGTCGTGCATGAGCACGATCCCCCAGAGTCGGATCCGGAGCTGACACTCCTGCGGGTCGAAGACTTCTTGAGTGGTCGGGTCATGGTTCAGGCCGAGCTCGATGCCCAATCTGACGAGACTACCGACGAGGCGCCAGAGGGTGCGGCCTTGACGCTGAAAATAGCGTGACGAATGGTAGATTGTCAGTTCGCGGATGATCGGAGGAACGGAACGAGGAACGAGCGGCGTGAGAGGGGACTGAGACTGAGAGAAAAAAAGCGTCCGAGGACTGACCTCGGTGTATAGGTACCAATGGAGCAAGATGAGAGCCTGCAAGCTGCTGAGGGTGACCCTGAGCTCGCTCTTCACGACGAGCGCTCTCTCGAAGAACTCCTCGTGCTCGGGCCACTCAGCCGGCATGAGCTTCTTCACGTTCACCGTCGTGGACGTAACTCCGGCCTTGGCGTTCTTTTTCGCCTCCTGGTCCAATCCGGACGCTTTGTGGTTCAGTTCGCTGAGCGTGCCGAGCGCCAATACCAAATAGACCGAGCACACAAAGCCAGGATCGTGCTGGGTTGATTCGCCGGAGTAGAGCTGGTTGAGGGTGTTCTCGAAGTAGTCGCGCATGAAGACCGGGCGGTGGAAGTTGAGCCTGTCAAAGTAGACGTCGAGGATGCGGTTCACCATGTCCCGATCCTTCGGGAGCCAGATCGGCACGGAGTTGCGGGTCTGCGAGGACGGGCTGGAGGGCGCGCCATGCACGCTGTTGCGACGGACAGAGACATGAACCCATTTGGCGGTATCGCGCGGGAGCGAGGACTCGTTCACGTCGCGGTCGCGTCCAGAGATGAGGGCGGAGGAACCGACCGCGATATCTTCCTTATCAAGCGCCTGCGGACCGAGCTTGAGGTCCTGCATGATGGCAGGCGAAACGCCAAAGGTCTTTGCGAGAGCCTGCGGAGGAGCGTGAGTCGGGTCAGCCACGAAAGACTGGAAGGAGGGAAGATGGACAGGTTTCTCCCATGAAGAAGAGCGTACCTGATCGGTGGTCATGTCGTTCAAGTTGGGGTCTTGGCCAACGATTTCGGGGTTGCCGGTGGACGCAGCGCGGGGTCGGCCTCCTGGCGTGGTCGGAGGAGGCATCTGCTGCTGCTGAGGGGTGCCGGGTGGCGGCATCATGTGAGGTGGCGGGAGAGGGGCGGGATGCTGGAAGGCGGGAGGAAGCATGTGGGGAGGGTAGGGGCCTGCCATGGCCATGTGTGGCGGGGGCGGGTAGGGCGATCCTGGGGGCGGGTAGTAGCCATGGGGCATACCAGGATAACCAGGAGGCATCATGGGCTGCCCAGGTGGGCCGAATGGATAGCCTTTGGGAGGTGCACCTGGATGAACGGCGATGGTGTTAGATCTGGATGGATGACGCAAAAAATGGGGGCATACCGGGACCATTGAACTGGAAAGCTGCAGACATGGCTGGGCCTGCGTTGTCGACGTCGATGCCCTCTCTGCTGCAGAGGTCGTCGAGGTTGTCGAGATGGAAGTTGGGGATGTGACGCTTAAGTAGTGCATCGCACTGAGCGATTTGGCGCTCGAGGTGTTCGGTGTGCCCTCTTGGGGTGAGGGTCTGCCGATGCCTGTCTTCCTGGTGGCAGGGCGTGCCAGCGGCAGCACAGGCAGAGCATCTTGGGTGTTTGGAGTCGCACTGAGCTCATTGCGACGGTTAGCACGAAAGAAAGAAGGGAAGTTGCCGACGGTGTCGCCCGGCGGGACTTGCCTTGATTTTCTTGCTCCTGCAGCGAGCGCAGGCCTCATGAGAGCGCCTCAGGCGACGTGGTTCGGCGGGCGAGGAGGGCTCGCCGTTCGCGTCGTTCTTCTTGCGCTTTCTGGACGGCTGGGCGGCGGACGGGGGGGACTGCTGGGCGCCGTTGATGACGGCGTGGGCGTGGTCTGGTGGCGGCGGCGGGCCCTGGAGCTGGTGGGAGAGCTGCTGCTGCTGCTGGACGTCCATCGGCTGCTGCTCGTCGCTGTTTGGGTTGGAGGGAAGGACGCGCATATGTATCACAGACGAGCGCTGAAGGCGTGTCCGCTGCTGTTCGACCCAACCTCCTCTTCCTTTGTTCGTCACGCGTCACACCGTCACACCCGCCGGGCCTGCCGGACTCAGCCTCATCGCACCACAACACCGCTCGGCCCACTCCCAACCACATCAGTCCACTGCCATGGCCCGCTCGCCGTCCCTCCACACGAACAACTCGCAGTACACCCTCGCCACCGTCAACGACGATGAGCGCGCCTCCCTCCTCTCGCCCTCCTTCGCCCGCAGCCGCGACTCGTACGGCGCCGCACCCCTCACCCACACCGCGCCCCACAACTCCCGCCGACTGATCTTCAATGCCGCGCTCAAGATGGGCCTCATCTTCACCCTCAGCACCGCCGTCCTCGGAGGTGTGCTCTGGCTAGCACTCCCCACCCTCGAAGAGTTCGTCGCCCTCTCACTCTGCTGCACTGACCCCGTGCTCATTTCACATTTATTCATATCCAGAGACGATCGGCCAATGCTCCGCATCCCAAAGTCGTTCGCGCAGCTGCAGGACCTGAACCAGCTCCTGAAGAAGTACAGAGACATCTACCCGTACCGCATCGTCGTCTGCTATGTCATCACATATCTCTTGTCCGTCCTTTCCCCGATCCACTCCACAACATCCCGTAGCTAACCCGGCCCTAACCACGCACAGCCTCCAAGCCTTCTCCCTCCCGGGCTCAATGTACCTCTCCATCCTCGGCGGTGCCGTCTGGGGCGTCGCACGCGCCCTACCCCTCGCCTGCGCCTGCGTCGCATCCGGCGCCACCCTCTGCTACGCCATCTCCGCCGCCCTCGGCCCCGCCCTACTCACCCTCCCCAAGTTCCAGTCCAGACTCGACAAATGGTCCGAAAAGATCCAAGCCCAGCGCGCCAACATCATTCCCTTCCTCATCGTCCTCCGCATCGCCCCTCTGCCCCCACACTGGGTCGTCAACGTCATCTGCCCCCACGTCGGGATCGGCATCGTTCCCTTCTGGATCTCCACCTTCCTCGGTATTTTTGGTGTTACTGTGATTCACACCACCATCGGAGGCGGGCTCGACGAGATGACGAGCGCGGACGACTTTCATCTTATCTCGTGGAAGAACTTTTTTGGGCTCGCGGCGGTCGTCGTCGGCGTCATGATCCCTGTCGGCATCCGCTACGTCTTCAGTCGCGAAACGGCCGCCATCTCGAATGTGGAACAGGTCGATGCGGCCGCAGACGCCGCCGCCGGTGCAGTCGAAGGAGACGTCATTTTGGCACAGGGGCCGCAGGGGCCACCTAAGGGCAAGGCGAACGTTAACGGTGGCGTGCCTACGGGCCAGCTCGTCGTTTTGTCCGATGAAGAGACGGATATGGATTTCCTTGGGGACTCGGACTCGGATAGCGAGGATGGAGATGTGATACTTGAGGCTGGACCGGCATTGATCACGAAGCCGAAGGACGAGTCGAATGTACATGTACAGACGACACAACCGAGGGCTTCGTCGAGCTCACCTCCGACGGTGCACGAGCACGACCTTCTGCAATAGAATCTTTTCTTCGACTCAGCATTCACTCTTTGTATCGTATCGTCAATCAAACACACAAACATGTAGTCCACCGGTCACCGCTCCGTCGCCTCGTCATTCGCTATCGATTCTCATACAAACAATCGGACATCATCTCCATCGTCTTGACGACACCCATTCTTTCATTCCGTTCCGCCGTCATCATATCGCTTTTTCGTTCCTTCCTTCAATTGTACAATCTGCTCTTTCTTTTTTGTGACATGGGTTTGTATGCATGCATGTATTCTTATCGTTCAACGTTCAACGTTCACTAGCCGCTTGCCTGCCTTATGTCCTGCGCGCGCGTGTGTGTGACGCACGTTCTCATGAGCATTTGGATTCGGTGTGGCGCCTGTCTTTTCTTTTTCTTTTTCTTTTTTGTCGCTACCGTTCTTTCACGCTTTGTTCTTATTGGATGGCTGCTCGTGAGTTGTTTATCGTGCTCTTTTATACTTCATACTTCACACTTCATACTTCATAGTCGCACGGGGACTCGTGGTATTATACTGTTTGGCGTTTGGCGTTCATCGTTCATTCCTGAATCCTGCTCGCCGTTTTCCCATTGACATAAATCGTCATTCCATCGAGGTGCTACATACATACGTATAATAATTTTCTTCTTCTTTTCTTTTTGATGTACTGACTAACCAGAAGAGAAGAGAACAGACTAGTCCTTCGGATTCGGAGAATATAGATGTTGTTTCTATCCTCAGGCTGGCTTGGTTGGTCCTTTGCTGAGTACTGAGTCCTCGGGACTTGCACATCTCTGGGCGCTCGATTCACGTCCAGGGATGATTCGGAGGTATGGATCGTACGGGTGTCGGTGATAGCACTGGCATTCCGACATCCGAGCACTTGAAGGACTCTAGGATCTAACAGATCTCCGTATGTCTCCCTAGAGGCATCCGACATTCGACCACTTAAACCACTCTTCCCAGTCTGCTCCGTAAGCTCTAGTGTGGCTCGTGGGCGCTTGCCAGTGGGTGGGTTTTTAAATAATTGGCCTGAAAGCTTCGAGTCCGCGGAGTGTCGAGGTGAGGTGTTGTGCTTGCTAGTGTCTTCCGAGCTATACCACTACTCATGATGTACCGGATTCTGAAGTCGTGGTTCATGGGCGTCTGCGAATGATTATGGGGGCTCGAGGACAAACTTGAAGCTCTTCATGAGTCTACAGTTGAACGTTGAACTCCCTAGAGCTGCCTAGCATTCGACCTATTTGTGTAACTGTTTAACTTGTCTCCAAAAGTTCTAGTCCGACTCACGAGCGCTTCGTTGCTTTTTAATTGACCTTCAAAGCTTCGAGCTTCGAGTCCGCGGAGTGTTGGGGTGTTGGGGTGTTGAGGTGTCGAGGTGAGGTGTTGTGCTTTTCTTCCAAGCTAGGCTATGATGCGTGATGTGGCGTCTGGAGGTAGTAAGTAGGTTCCTAAGATGCGTTTGGTCACGGTGTCATGACTCGGAATCACTGATCAGTGTACGAGTATGGTATGGCGTAGTGTGGTACGGTTATAAGGTCTCGAGGCCGAGGTACCTATCATTATGATGCGGATGTGCAGTACACACGGCTTCAAGTTGCCAGTCGTGTAGATCTGTTGTCCTCTCGCTGTTGGGAGACGTCCGTCTTTCCGTCTTGGAGGTCACGTAGCCCGAGCTGGGAACGTGTCATGTCTCGTTGATCGACACGGTATTGTTTTCGACCGAGGACCGAGGTGCGTCACGCATGTATCGATGTCCCGAAGTGTCCTCTGGATCTCCGTGATGAAGAACAATGAACAATGGGCGTCATTGACATCCGAGGACTCGAGGAGGAGGTTCGAATTCTGATTCGGACTTCCGAGCAACAGGCCTATCATAGGGATCGCTGCTAGTACTAATTTAAAAAGTTGTCTTCTTGCGTTGCTTGCAAGTGCTAATACTTATGGAGCAGTTAGTATTGTCAGCGTCAGTGTTTCTTAATGAAAAGTGAATGACAATGACGCACCCAAGACGCAGACGCACCGCACTTACGCCGAGGACTAATCACTGGTTCTCCCGGAGGTGTGGTGAATGTTACTGGACAGTTACTAGACACTAAGACAGACCTCAATCTGGACGGCGACGTGACTTCAGCTCGGAGTGGCCCGGGTACTCCCGGGTATGACACTACGTGTACCTGAGTCTCACGGGGTATGTGGCACTCACGTCTTGCAGGCAGAGCACACGCATACGATCCCTAACTTGGAGAATGAGTTCGGAGTGGAGTATAAGCAATACCAACAATTACAACATCGCGGAACCCTTTCAACCAACCTAGGAGCCTCCGAGTCCATCTCATAAGTTGATACGACTGTGCCAACTGCACCATGCCTACTACCCCTGACTAACATGGGTACATCTCATGTACCGGTCAAGATGGACGGTGAGCCTACGGACACCATAAGTAAGTGTCCATTCATAAGACTCGAGAGCACCAGAATAAATACGCACCTATCGGGGCGGATATCCATCGTCGTGAAGGATCCGGGCCACACGATGCGGTATGGAGAGGGTAGATCTTCTTCTGCGAAGGTCTACTCAGAGGTAGTATCAAGAAGAAGTTCAAAATAAGCAATGATCCAGGAATGTGTGTAACGACAACCTTCCCTCATGAGAATATGCCAGTGAACCGGTTTGGGGGATAAACAATGTGTGGAGCATCTACGCACCATTCGCGAAGGGTGTAAATTGCGATACCCTACATATGTCTTTCCCACCAGGAGTCTTTCCCAAAGGTCGGTGTTGGGGATGGATAATGCCATGTGGTTTCTACTTCAACTTGATCGCGATAGTTTCGATGAGAGGTTTGGAGGAGAGAGGAGGAACGGGGACGAGCGCTAGGAGAGTGCTGCTATATACGAAACGGCTCCACGGCCTCAGGTTAGCAAGAAAGTCCGGACAATCACGATGGGTATCGGAGCTGAGATAGAGTCGATAGAGTTTCCAGTGTCTGCAATGGCCCAAGTGACTTCAAAAAAGTCGTGAAGCGGCCATGTCAAAGTCGGAAGCGGGAATGTCTGACCGCGAACTTACCGCGAACGGTTTCACAAATATCGCTTCGGTTGAAGGAGCCACGTCGACGTGAGAGTCGACACGTATACGGAATCGGCTCCATACACAGCACTGACTCCGTGTATCTGGATGTTCAGCCACCTTACTTTACCTGGTATCACAGATCAGTGGCTGGAGCGATGACGCCCTTCCTGACACTGACGCCACCAAACAGGTCGTCGAGAATATACGAGCTACCGACACCAAACTCGTCGTCGACAGCGCCGCATTATACTTTACTGCACCTATCGTCGAAGAAAATATCCCAAAGGTGGTCCTCCCTCCGATTCCGACTCCGTTGTTTCCCAGTCTTAGGAAGGCGAGGGTGTTTGCCTTCCAGACTGATATAGCGGTGAGTGGCTTGAGCTCTGTAACCACATTTCGACTCACACCAGATGATGAACGACTCCTGAACCGATATTTGTATGGGCTATGATTGATTGGGTATATATACCCCAGAACGGTCAGGAGAGGACCGTTTGAGCCATAAGTTCGTGGATATGGCAGCGGAGTGTGGGTAGAAGGTCGTGCATGGCTATCGGATTTCTGGTGAGCTTATCCCTCTAGATACACTTTTCCCGAGCAACAAGCCAGAATAGGCTGCCAGCTTCCAGCAGAAACATGGACAGCTGCTAAAATGACGATATCGTCGTCGTTGATCAACTGCCCGGTTTCTGAGAACAGAGAATAGCTCTTGGTCGCGACGAGAAACATCAGCACAGGTCTCAGCTATAACTGTTGTACTATTCTCGGCGCCAAACAGAGAAACTGCGCGCACCTTTAGGTAGTCTCGCACGGTATTACCGAGCTGTTTAACAAACTGCCGGAGTGGAATGGTATTTTTGCGCAATTTCTGGTCTCTCGTACTGATCTGTCGTTGCCACGCATCGGCATGAAGCTGTAAGGACGAAGAAACGCGGTTAGCTCTGGCAAAACAAGGTTGATCCAGAATATGAACTCGCCCATATACGCAATTGAATATTCGCCTTTCCACCTAATTCCACTGTCTCGTTCCACCGTCGAAGGTGCGCACCCTGCCCGTTACAGGCTTCCTCGACAGTCAGACCGAAGCCTTTTCCGTTGAGATGATCGAGAAAAATGGGATTCTGTAACTTGGCTCCCGTCACATAACGGCCGCAATTACTGTCGGTGGTCGGTTGCCAATAGCGTTGAGGGATTATCGAGATGGAGGGATCGTGACGGAAATCGAGACAGATGGGCATGTGGGCATATCCGAGGACGCTGGGTGGGAGGAAGAAACAACTTCGGGAGCCTTCGTAACAGACGTGAAGACTATCGAATGGAACATGGAGGATAGCTTCAAAAATCCTGCGAGCGGCATGTCGCCCGAAAGAGCAAGAGATCACGCCATAGTCCAGAAGAGTAGCGTTCATACCACCGTCCACTGTCTAGGATGCATCGTCATCAGCTAGAACTGAGGATGTGGGAGACATGCATGAACCGAGCCCACCTTCTGACAAGACATCCAATCGGCCACGACTCCTACTGTTACTATATTTTCACGGCTAGCGTGGTATTTCGAGACAGAGGTCATCATGGAAAGTAATCGGGTTATCGCGTACTAAGTGTCGAAGGGGCCCTGAGATGCTTGCAGAGTTGGCATTCCTCTTCCGAGTATTTAAGCGGCAGAGAGATGGATAGGCCTTGTGTCAAAGCGATGATGAGGGTAGATTGTTAGTTAGGTAGATGCATTTTAAAAAAATACATGGAGGAAACTGACCACCGATCCGACTGACGAGAGAGAATGGCCAGTAGGGCATTATGCAGGAGACTGTCTTGGATAAATTTATGAGAAACAAGTCGGAGCTTCGGCATCTGTCAATCAATGGTTACGAATCAGATATCGTAGCTCTCACTTCCGAGAAGGAAAGGAGCTGGGCCACACGGGACTGTCATCTTGACTTACCACCAACAAGCCCAAGTTCACGACTAATATACCCGAACTCCTGAAGACACATCCGAGAACATCGGAATATGTTGTCGCAAACATGGATCAAACGTACGACCAAGATCTCCGGAAGAATGTTGTTGTTGATCAAGATAATCTCACGAGCGGCATGTGCGCATCCCGATGAACGAATGAGCCTATGCGCCTCGTATGCTGCCGACCCAGATAATAGCCGTCCGAGATTTGGGTACATTTCTGTGGGTTGAGTGCCACGTTCCTGATGTCGGATTGACCCAACGTACTGAACTAGATGCTGGGACAGACGTAAGAGATTTCAGCAGTAGTTGCTGACAAGTCTAGGGGTTGCAGCGTCTCGTTGCGTAGCGTTTGCTTCAGGATTGTTACTTGGCTTGCCGTAACCTACCGATACCCAGATCAACATCCGATGCAATTGTAGTTCATTGATGGCACTGAAAATAAATGGGGGCAATGTTCAATGAGCGCATATTTCTTCGTCCAGAAAGTACTTGCCGACTCCAATGTATCAGGCAGTGAGAGCATCTGGACCCAGCGCGGTTGTTCGGATGTCAACAACATCGTAGGTTTTTGTCCTTTTAGAAGGCAGCGTTTTCTCTAGCACGGCGAGGGACACGTTACTACGCGGTCCACGGCATTTTGAAAGTAGCGGTACTGTACTCACTAGCGTCAATGTCGACGTCGTCGGCTTCTAAGAAACGAGCGAGATATTTGAAACACGGCACATTGAGTTACCGTAGGCAAACGCTGTGTCGACGAATAGTGTCAGATCGGCTGCTAGAATGTTCCGAGCATTGCAAGATCAACATATGTATGTCTGACGGCTTTAATCCACTGTCTCCGACAGACAACGCGTCGCTTCGGGTCCCGGGAATGATGAGCAACCGTCGGCACGGTAGCCAAACCGTAGCGCGAAGATCCTTGAAGACTGGAGCTCAGAGTATTCTATACAGCCCCCGGAAGAGTCTGATCTGATGTATCAGTCACTGTGAATAGATAGAATATACGACGGGGACTCAGAAAGAGAGGGCTCTTACCACATCAACTTGGCTGATCCGAGTTCGGTGGATTCCTTGACAATTCCTTGAATAAGTAGTACTCGTTTGGGATCCATCAGTTATTACTAGCACTACCAAAGTACTATAATGACGGCACGATTCGGATGCCGCCCTGGAAAAGGCCTGTCAGAGCTGATACTTCTTGGCTAGATGGAGAGGTATCACTGTGTGACCGAAGGGGGGTGGATTTCAATATCACGAGCGGTGAAATTCATCGTTCGCTGAATTTGCAGCGAAACTTGTTTCGCTTCCCATAGAGCTTCAAGAGGATGGGAGTGAAATCCACGAGCTGTTACGCGAAGATTGTTTTTGGGGGATGTTGTGGCGTGTGGCAGCGGTGTGGAGTTATGATGTCATTGGCGGCTATGAGCTTCGTTCGTGATGCAAAGTCAGTTCAAAGTAGCTCTTTGCTCTGTACCACCACCTCACCGGCTAGTCAAGGCTATGTCCATGTCGTCGTCGTCGTCGTCGTCGTCGTCGTCGATGTCGGTGTCGTCGTCGATGTCGCGGCCCCCCTCGAAAAGTTCACACATTCTACTACATAAGTATCCACTCACACTAGGATGACAAGTTACACCACCATCACGAAGAGCGTCAATATCAGCGAGCCCATAACACTCTGATTGAGCAGACTGGAAACAGTGAGAATATTCGTAGGCACAAAGGTGTGTCTCTTTCTGTCTTTTGCTTCTCCATAGTCTTTGCTAACAAGACATCCTTCGGCTTGCCGTTGTAGCACAGGGTAGACATTTTGAGTTTTTCTAATGACTGGCCCTCGCTCTATTTCTCGCTGCCGCCTATTCATCTCACCCTCCTTTGCAACAGGAGCATTCGGTCTCCCAGCTGTGCTACACCTCCGTGTACGTTACCGTCACCAGAATATCCGGCCTCGCTTTTATATATTTAGGCACACGTTAAAGGTCACCGTCAATGTACGTGGAGAGTTCAGGCTTCACACGGGTCACGAGCGGCATACTTTAGGCAATATGTATATTAGCAGTAGGATAATTGTACTCAATTAACATTCTCATGGTGTCCAAATGATCGAGAGCAGCAAATGGAGGTGGTTCAGTGGTAGTGCTCGCAAATCACCATTACATTGATAGCGAAACACATCGTGAAACGTTTCTAAATGGTAGTGAATTTTCGCTCCACCGTTTTGCTCGGATGCTGGTGAAATTGTTGTCCATGCAGCGAAATCCACGGTGTTTCTTGATGGACTTGACCTATTCTGCACTCAAAATGTGTCGTGAAAACCATGCTCCAAGAGGGGCTCAGTGTATGGTGGCGGTAGCCACTTCATGTCACACCGTATTCAATTTGTTCTTGACCTGAAAATAGGATTTCTGGACTCAGGGACCCTCATTCCAGAGTAAATCCGCCATTTCGAAGTCAGGGGATTTTCCTAACCCTAACCCTAACCAACCGGCCAAATTTCTGGTGAAGACCCACACCAGGAACCCTAAGTACTGTAGTTTTTCGACCGTAGGTTCGTGAGAAGATTATGTCAGACGTGACCTTTGCCAGACCAAGGTTCGTCTGGGTGGGCCACGCGTGACGAACCAATGAAGTTGTTCGCGGAATGACCCAAAATTTGATTTTTGGGCGATTTTTGGCGCAAATCGGTCACGATTTGCTGTTCGTGGGCCCGCGCATATGCGTGACCATCGGGGCAACTATGTTCGCCGGCGCACCCTGCGTGATGCGTGACGAACATACGGTCGAAAAACTACAGTACCCGAGATACATTGACTAAAAAAAATGCATGATGTGTATATACCTTGGAACATCATGCAGTCCGTTTGTATATTTGCTTGTACAGTCTTCAAACAGACGTTGCAGAAGACTGCCAGGCTACAGTGGCGGAGTGGCGGGGTGGCGGACGACCACACGTGTGACAAATCATGCCCAGTATGGTAATGTCACACGCACGTGGTGTGACAAACGGCCAAATTTCTCTGACGAAAACCCCCCCGGAGAATTTTTAAAAAGTGCACCGACCATCCTCTAGATACCCTCCCTGGGGTCCTATATATGAAACAACAAGCCGCCAAACCCCCGAATCCGTGTTCCATTAAGCAAAGGGTCCCGCGGCACAAGGCTTGCCATGAAGTGGCTACCGCCACCATACTTGAAGCTTGAACAAGTTTCGACCCAAACATTCCTTCGGGCCGTAAATGTCGGCCCGGCCATAACTGGACTTCGAACTCCGCGTCACCTCGAAGGCTCAGACGTCGACGAGCACGAGGCTGTGTCGGAACTCCTTTGCACCAAGAATGGCCTGAAATTTCGTTCAACATGCGTGGGGCTCCACCACGGACCCATTCAGGTTCAATCGTGCCGAACACGCACGAATAGGAGCAATTGCGGGTCTGCGACATCTTGCGCCTGAGTTCAAAAGAGTCAGACAACCCTTCTTGCTGCCCGACGAGGTATCTCACTCTTTAACCATCTCTCAAGCTGCGCCCCACTTCGATTCCATGGACGACGCTCAGTCGTGTATCGATCACAGGCATAAGATTATGTGAGTACTTCAAGTTCAACATACTAGCGCTACTAGTCTGCGGGACCGAAGGCTCGTATTACTCGAGTGCAAAAATAATATTATTGACGACAATCACTACAGGGAAGAGCTTTTGAGCGGTATGATGAAGCTGATGCAGGAGCAGAACGACGTGATGAAGCACTTTCTGTCGGACAAGAGCGACACCCTGGAGAGATGTATGTAAATGCCTACTATGTTATGCGGCCCGCAAGTTCTATCGCCACTTACCATAGCTGCTTGCTCATTTATGTGACCTCCTAGCATTAGTATCTCATGAGATTCGCCAGGTCTTAGACATCCTGAACAAGATGAATGAGAGGCAGGCAGCTGCGGCAGCCTGCGGGTAAGCATCATCAGTCTGGATTCCGGATGATGCGCGCCTCGATATGACCAGCCTGCATCTCACAGAAGCGCTCTCGAGGTAGCCGCTGCCTGAGGTTCCGGCGACATGTGCCAGTGACTGGACAGCACTCCTACGATCGCATCTTGTCAATAGACAGCCCGTCATTGATCGGTGGATGGGAAGTCTAGATACGCTACTCATCTTCATAAGTCGTCTGTTGACAGACTTTGGCGCTCAGAACTCCAGTCTGAATTTATATTGAACATAGGTTGCATTGTTCTCTGCCATAGTCACTCCATTTTTCGTCTAATGCTTGACGAGTCTCTCACCAGACCCAGGAGACGGGACCAACGAATTGCTAGGCAATCTGACGGATATCGTCATTGCTCTCAGTGGAACAAACGTGACCCATCTGAGTCTCTCTTCACCGGCTCCTTTCGTCCCTGATGCAAATGCAGTCAGGGTGAATCTCTACTGGTCCATCTCGCTTGTCCTCAGTGTGAGCAACATTATACTATTTTAGTGATTCGAACTCGTGAGGCTAAATTCCTTGTCCTAGATCTCCGTTGCATCGCTCGGTGTCACGAGCCGAGTCTATATTGCTATGCTCAGTCTCTCTCGTCATCGACGGCCTCATAAAGAGCTGGGAGAGCTTCATCGACGTTGGGTCAAAGCTAACCAACTCCTCGGGCTCACCATCGAAACACTCCCTCAGTTACTTATTGCGCCTGTTGCGCTTCTTGTCATCGGAATCGTTGACACTCTGTTCTCTAATGCGATTCCAATATACGGCTCCACCGTACCGATCTCTATTGCGGGCATTATCTCGTGCTGTTGTATGGCTGCTGTGGTGATCTATACGGTGTGGGCTGTTATACATGGGTGCCTATATCTGGACGTTTCCCCTTTCCAGTCCTCACTCTCACAAGCCAGTGCAATGCATCTCTTACCTTTGGTGGATAAAGCCCGACCGCCCTTCTGATTTGAAGCTGCATCGTTTGCGACAGTGTGGAGCACTTGTTTCATACGCATCCGAAGGGGACATATTGGCAGTGACTCTGAATCCACATTGCCCTCATTTGCTTCGAGCTCTCAACCAGCCGAGTCCTTGGCGAAGCCTTCTCTCCTCCTTCCTCGAGCAGATGTAGATGTCATCGAATATTGGGAGGAACAGCAGACACTTGCTGACTTCGAGAAGCAAACGGCCGTTCTCAGGGGTCAAGAGTGTGTTGCTTTTCACATGACGCTTCGTCGAACGCACGACGACTATATTACTGTCGACCAGGCAGCATCCGCCCTGGCGGCTCAAATTAAACAACGTTGTGTGAACTCACATCCACAAGGGCCTACCCCCGACGAAATGCGATCACTTATAGTCTTGCTGTCCTCAGAGGCATCTATTCGTAGTAATATTACTGCAGCCAATGTCTTGTGCATCTTTGATAGCTATCCCCGTGAGTGTTTCCATAAATTGCCTACATACATCACCTCCCAACCTACTTATTCCTTGAGTTGTGATGTCACATGTACGGGTAACTGATATTCGTAAACGAGTAGGTCATAACGTTATTCATCTGTCCTCTCTCTTGGAGCAAGCTGCCGAATGGGTGTCTCGACTAACTGCGGGGACCACCCATTCCTCAGTCTTGTGGACGAACCATTGTGTACGGCGATGATGCATATTCTAAGCGAAAGTCTCCGCAGCTGGAACGACTGTTCCACTAGGGCTTGGCTATCTTTGGATAGTTCTCCGGTTACGGGACTTCTACTCATAAATTATAACTACGACTACGTCAGGTACCCATTCTGCTCGTTGGCCCAACTAGCTTCCCTCCGCCGAAGTACCGTCCATTTTGCCTCACGAATACTCGGATCTGTGCTGCCTAACCTGTGCGGACAAGTGACAGACCTCTATCATATGCTCGAGCAGGTCAATCTTCCAAAGGAGTGGGAAGATGCCGTCGATAATCTTATGGTTTCTGAGACCATGTAGCATTCCTCCGTTTGGAAGGGCCCCAAGTCCCAGTCCGTCGTCGCGACGGTGCTGTCTCTCGGGTTCGATTGTGGTATAAAGGATTCCCAAAGCTATCTAGCTCTCTCCTCGGTTGTGCGGTGGCTCATCCGCTCAGAGGTTGGAATCCTCCCTCACTAGTTGCCCTATTGCGGTACGGCCAATTCTTAGCAAACTCGAGAACAACCCCGAGAGTGCTTCGCTTTTTGGTCGATTATGGCTCGAGTTCGTCTTGAGCGAGATGATATTGGCATTTGATGGAGCATTGAGTCCCACGGCGTCCTGGAACGAGTTCTTAGATGTGTTCGTTCACCTAGTCGAGTCCCTTGGGAATGATGCAGATATCAGTCCCTCTATCATAAAAGATTTCTCAGAGCGTTGTATAATTAGATTCGACTGAGTACCAGAAGCCTGCTCCTGCACTGTGCTGTGTCGTTCAAATCAGACATTGTGCGCTCTTTGCGCATCCTTTGTCGACGCGCACCCTCTGTCCGCCTAGATGCTCACACTTGGAAAGGGCTAATCATAAAGCTTGACGGTCGGCGCGACGTGCAGCCTGAGCAAGAGACTGAGACATTGGATATGCAGAGCCGGTTTCAGGGGACGATCAAGCGCCATCAGTCACAGACTCGACGCATTGTGCTCGGAGCTTTCAGGAAGATCTCACCAGGTTATCTTTGTATGTTTTGTTCATTACATATCTATCCGCATTGATCACCGACACTCACAGTTTTTCTCCTGATTTCACTTCCCACAGACTTGCAAGAGGACTCTTTTCCTTCTACGACGTTTACCGAGCTTCCTTGGACCTGGTTGGAGGCTTCTCCTTTCGATAGAGGGATATAATCTCCGGATATTTCTTCGTGAATGCCAGCCGTTGGTGGGTTTCCTGTGTGTCTTTTTCTACGAGAGCGGCTCGGTGTCATCAATGCGTCTGGAAAAGGCCCTGTAATTCTATCTATCTTCTTCGTGCGGCGGTACTCATACTAATGAACGTCCCCCTCTTCTTTGCGTAGTTGTTACTCTGGTTTCATTTGGATCCTTCAAGATTCGATCTCTATACCTTCGATCCCGCTGTTTGGTATGATCATAATCGAGTTCTCCTTCTTTCCTTCTCAGATGTTTCCATACATTGTATACAACAGTGATCGATTATCATCACTATAAAGGTCTGTAAAGGAGACTAACATTGTATGTTGCAGCTCCTGGAAGTGCACTGGCAACGCGCTGGTAGGAGATGAAACTGCCTGCTGCCCTGCCACACAGAGTATGACTCGTCCGCCCTCTGGCCTTTCTGGTTGCCTTATGCTCATGTTTGGCGCGGACAAGAGAAGGCAGCGTTGCATAGACGTCGAGCTTCAGCTGTATGAAATGAGAGAATTCGGATGAAATTGAAAGCCATGGTAGATCGACAAATGATTATCGTGGTATAGGGAGCAAGCCAACGGGTCCCCTAGGAATCTGAGAGACCTCTGAATGGTAATACATACGGATCCATGCTGTGAACACTGGAGTCATTGTCGCCACTCATCATCACAAGCACTGCCTGGTAAAAATGATAAGTTGCATATGGGCGAGTCCGCCGCAAGGTCGCACGACCCGACGATGCCGATGTCAGAAATAGAGCGGGAAAACGACGTCGACATGAGGTCGTCTCGACGGCCTCACGATAAGCAGCAAGCGGTAGGTATATTTATACGGCATGTAGTACACGGGCTGCAGGCTGGCAGCGGTACAATCGAATAGCGGGATGATTCCAAAATTACTTAACTACGATATCGCCATAGGGCCGATGCTGTAGAAGAGGCGAGTCGGCGCTATGTCGGAAGGTGTGGTGAAATGGCCGGTGGTGTTGGCAACCTACCATTGACAGCCCGTGAGCATATGTCGTGGGAGACGATCCATGACCATGAGTGACAGTTGATTATTCCCTTGGGTGGTGTATATGATGGGAACGGATGCTGTTCGACGGTGTGGCACCGGTGTTCTATGAAGACAGTGAACATTGAATGTACTTGGTTTATGGATAGTAAGTGTGGATATGCATTATATGCGCGTCGACGTTCGTACAATGATCATTAACAACCGACGAACGAACGCAAAATCACGAACGAAGATACGTGGCAGTAAACGCCATGGCCGACGCCCAGAACGTCGCTAAAGACGAGCGCTGTTAGCGACATGATGATGCGATGCACCGAGCATCGAGTCGTGCGTCCGGCGATGATGGATGATGAGATGCAGTGATGGCGTCGACATCGTCACTCGGAGGACAGCTTCGTCTGGGTTCTGGGCACGATCTCCCCATATTTTCGTGAGTTATATGCGTACTACCGGGTAGTCTGCATCGCGGACGACAGTAGGAAATGACTGGAAGTCGCGATGGAAGCTATGTAGGGCGCGTAGCAGCACAGACCAGGCAACCGAAAGACTTGTGGCGAGCCGTGAGCGCGACGGCGCTCCGGCCTACTCCGGCCGCCCGGAAGAAACAGGGAAGACACGGAGAGCTGGAGTTGCGAATGCGGTCGAGGGAGGGAACAGAAGAGAAGGGTTACGAGAAGACGTGGGAGGTATGGGTGACTGTGGCGTTGGGGGTGCGTTTTCAGCGTGCTCTAAGAAGTGAGCATGACGAACGGTTTAGGAATATGGTAGGGGGTTTTAAACCACTTGCTTGAGGCGTTTGGGGACATGGTCCGAGCTTTCCATGTGCAGCTTGCGGGAGCGGTAGCGCTCAGGATTTTGTGGTGACTCGCGAGGGAAATTCATGCATAGTTTGTGCGACTTCGATTTCGTTCCTGCTGGGACATATGCGTCCATGTTGGCCGGCTCGGGTAGTAGAGAACGGTTAAATATCGCAGACTCAGAACGATATCAGAAACAGAGACGGAGGCACGATCCGAGCTCCGAAGGGACGCAAAGGGCGCAAACGCCGCGGGAAGTTAGTCCATAAAAGCAGCATTAGCTATGAACAGAACAAGCAAGCGCGTCCCGTACGGTCGCGGCATCCACAGTCTAGAAAAAGCAAGTCGATGCACGTCCGTGCTGGCTGGTCCAGACGATGACGAAGGCGGCACAAGGTGGGGTGTAAAATGTCAGCTGCAGTATCATGCGATGGAGTATTCGTGGGCCTCGGACGAGTAGTTGAGGCGCAGTCGATGTGAACGATAGTTCTCGTAGATCCGAGTTTGTACAAGTGTATAACTGTGTGGCACGTCCTTGAGGCCTCAGAGGAAGATATAACACTGTAACGAGATGCTGGTTTATGACGGTCCTTCGAACTATATTGGAAATATGAGAAGCGCTAGAGACCATAGCATCGGTCGGAGCGCAACCAGGATCAGGACGGCGTAGATGAGTGGCGGTCGCGAACGAGATGAAACGTGTTACTGAACGCAGGTGTGGCGCGGGGTGCGCCCGAACGAAAAATAAAATGCACGACTCAAGTGGAATCGGAACAAGCAGAGGCAAAGAGAGGCTAGAGTCACACCGACGTTACACTGAGTCAGAGCAGCAGTTGGGCCGGCGAAAAGAGCGCTGCGGAGAACTACAGCTGTACTGCACCGGCGGGTAATGTTATTTAAATGATATAAGAATAAAAAACAGAGTGCAACGCAAGAGATATTGCCAGAAAAATCAAGAGATTATAGAGAGTGATGGATTGAGAGCGACAGCGGTGGACATCGGTCGGGCCATCGAGGAGTGTTTCAGGGAGGAGCTGTGGCGGACAATGGAGCGCGGAAAGGGAGACACAGCGATTGGAACTCCGCTTGGGCGACGCTGGGGCTTTACAGCATTCCGTCCGGCTGCCTTTGCCGCCTCGTTCCAGCTCCCACCACTCGACCCCCTCCTCGTCGTCTGCGGCAGCGACAAGCCCACCTTCCCGTTGTCCCCAACAGCGACAAAGAGCAGCTACCAACCGCCGTCGTCGCCCTCCTCGTAGCAGCCGCCTCTCGCGGCCGTCTCGTTCGACGACTCGGACTCTCGACACCCTCATCTACCCCCCTCTCTCCTGCGGCCCCCCTCCTCCACCATGGACGATCGCATGCAGAGCGCATACAACATGCTCCCCCCAAATTTTGCTCCTCCGGGCCTTCACCCTCAGCAGTCCCAGCAGCAGCAGCAGCAACCGCAGATGGACGGACAAGCTTCCGTTGGCGGTCTCACGAACCCAGAGCACAGCAGGATGTGGACGCAGATGCATCAGCACTACATGAAGAACAACATGGGAAATGACCAGATGAACAATGTACCCGTCAACCAGGTGAGTGCTAGTTCGCGTTCTAGTTATCCTTAAATTCCTGCGCTTGCCATGCATGATCTCTCGTCTCATCTAACTCGGGCAAATGCTCTCTTCCGACTCCTTCAAATCACCTTTTCTTCTTCGTTTAATATTTCCCGTTCTCAAATTACAAACGCCACTGTTTCTGCTGTGTAACCCTTCGTCACCTCTGCCCACTTGATCCACACATGCTTAGTCATCAGCGGCGCCTTCTTTCGCTCTCACCGTCCCTTACCATCATTCCTTGTCTGACCGAGCAATCCCTCGCAGGTTACTGACATGCTTCGGGCCCAGCAAATGGCGCGTCAGCAAATGGGCCAATCTCAACCCAACGGCCAGCAACAGTTTCCTCCCCTCAACGGTGGCCTGCAGCCTACACATCAGGGATTCGATCCGTCGCATACTCAACAGGCGCCCCAGAATTTCGCTGGGGGCAGTACGCCGCTCAACAGCATGCAGCGTATACAGGCAGCGTTTCAAGCCACTCGGAACCAGCCCGCCCCGAATGCGAACAACTACATGCAGGCGCTTAACGGAGCTAACCCTTCTGTCATGTCTCGCCAGCTCGAGCTGATGGGCCTCGCTCATAACCAGCAACCACAAAACGGTCTAACCAATAATCCCGCGCAACGGACGAACCAGCAGTCTCTCCATCCTCCCCCGCACAATATGGGCGGTCAGCCTATCGCCTCATCATCGGCCGGGTTTCCTTCCTCCCAGGCGCCTCGTATGTCCCCTATCCCTCCAAACGCTCAGGTTGGTCCGTCAGCAATGCTCCCAAAGCAGCAGATGGGCATCCCCGGAGTGGACACGTCGGGCCCGGCGACTGCAAGGCAACTGCTTACGACCTACCAGACCCTAAAGGGTAATTTGCAGACCGAGGAGCAGAAGAGGATAGCGATCGAGAATTCTAACCAGTCGGAGGCTATAAAGCACCAGCAGAAGACAGCATCGATTCAACGAATGGAAGGGCTCAAACGGCACCTCCAACTAGTCACCAACAGGCTGACCCAGATGAAGAAGGAGCAAGGTGCCATGGCTAGGTGCGTAATCTCGCGGTGTATAGTTGTTTGTTCCGACTAACCTCTCAATTACCAGCAATGTGGTCCCGCCGCCTAAGCTCTTAGCGAATGGGCGTACCAATCCTGCTTTCCTGGCGTATGTGGGACAACGACCGGATTTGTTCACGAAACCTGGTCAACCTAGCCCCTCCCTTCGCAATCAATCTATCCCGGCGCAGGATGCCGCCCCTCAGCGGCAAATACCCACGCCCAACCAGTCGATGTTGTCTGCGCCTCAACCTTCCCCCAATCTCATGCGCATGTCACCGCATCTACCCTCAGGGACTCCTCAGCTCCAAGCGAACGTGCAGCAGCGGCAAAACGGTGGCGCCCCTCCACAGCAACCTCAGGCTGTGCCTCAAGTCCCCGGACCCGTGTCCGAAGCCAAATTCGCCCCCCTTTGGCAGCATGTCGCCGCTGAGCATGGTCTTCAGCTCAACGAGCGCTGGATGAGCTTCGACGGTCGTCAGATAAGCCTACATAAGCTACATACCATCGTATTCACTATGGGTGGCTACAATAACGTATGTCTGTCTTTGTTTCTTGTATCGTACTTCCCGTCTCACGTGTTCGTGAAATTAGGTCACGAATAATGACCTTTGGTCCGTCGTCGGCGGTCGCCTTGGCTTTGTACAATTTCCTGGAGGCGATCATGGCCCGGATCGCTGTGGGCCTGCCGCCGCTCAGCACCTTCAACAACTCTACCAGCAATTCCTGGTCCCGTTCGACCAACGGTATATCAAGTTGTTCCTGGACCTTCGTAAGAAGACAGCTATGGCGCAGAGTCAAGCCGCTCTCGGCCAGCAGTCTCAACCTTCTCAACTTCAAACGAACGCACCGAACCAGTCGCAGCCGGGACAAGTCCAGATATATCCGTTCCAGACTAACGAGGTTATGATGAAGAATATGCTCCAAAAGGGGCATCAGCCGTTTTTGGAGTTCCTTTACAAGCTTCTCCACACCTCTGAGGCGGAACTGCGACAGCAAGGCCATCCGGAGATTTTCATCAACTGGTTCGAGCAACATCGCGATATGATCCGTCGTCAGTACCAGACTACGGAGGATTTCCGTAACGGTCTCGGTGCGAAGACTCTCCCTCCGGCCATGGGCGGTGGACCTTCCATGATGCAGCCCTCCATGAACGGACAGCGTCAGGCCCCGCCTCCTTCCATCCCCGGCCAGCAGCAGCAGCTGTCCCAGCTTCAGCTCCACCAACAGCAGCAGCAACAACAACAGCAACGGTTCAACGCCATGAACGGGAACATGCAGCAGCTCGCATCGGCCGGACAAGGCTCCTCTCAGCCAAACCCCGCGCAGCAGAATCTCCTCAACATGCAAATGGCGATGAACAACCTGAACGGACAGCAGCAATCGCAGATCATGGGTAGACAGATGGGTCCGAACGGCATGATGAACGGTGGGCAGCCGCCGATGCATCCTCAACATCTCCAGGGTCGTCCGCCACAGCAGGGCGGGCCACCGACCGCGCAACCGCGTCGACCAATACAGCGTCCCTCTCCTGATCAGCTCCAAAACGCCGACAAGGTTATCAAGGAGCTTCAGCAGCAATGGATGATATCGCAACGTCAGTGATTTAATTACCGTTACTTACGCCTACAGGATTATGCTAATATCTCTCCTTC